TCTCAAGCCCCGGTAAGCCAAGCGACTCAGTAGGTCACGCTCAGTCAGCCAAACCGACGAGAGAAAAAAGGACTCACACTCAATTAAGGCCCATTCTTAAGATCGGTTCAATCAGCATGTCCGGAATCCCGTCTCCAAGGTTTACCAAGGCTTATCGCTACAAAGTTTCTGTCCGCAGTGAGAGCTTGGCCATGGCTGACCAATGGATCGCATAGCTCGGGAAACGACGAGCCAGCCACAAAGACTTGGCTAAAGGTTTTCTAGGCCTGGGCTCCGGTTTCCAAGCGAAAGTCAGTCTGGCGGGGCTAACAGCAGCTTTAAATTGAAGCTTAAAACGCAACGGGGGATCCTCGTGGCCGCCAAGACTGATGAGGTCTCTTGCACGCTAAGGTAGAAAGAATGAGTCTTTGATTGTTTCCCACTTAAATCTTCCATATCTCGTATACTCCTGGTTCCGAGTTCCGGCCGATCCAGAAACTGTAAGCGCCTAGGTTAGGTTCGAGACATCTCAGTGTTCTTTATTAGAAACCTTCAACTCTGGAAACTGCAGCATCACCCAGGACTTGCAAATCCTTTAACCTAGTGAAATGGATTGCCCAATCGGGATAAGCTTCCCCCCAATGAACCATGTATACGAGACCTGCTTTTGCTGGGTGGGACTAAGTTATGTGCTTATTGGTGGCAATAAGCTGTTGGGAGGTTCTTACAGAAGCAATAAAGCCTGCAGGGCCATTCCTTCCTTTGACCACCGAGCCTCGCGTCCGCCCAGACGATTGCGACATACCTCACATAAGCAGACTGAGGCGTTGTTCCGCGGTCAGAATCCGAGAGGTATGTTTGCAATGTTCCACTTCCACAGCAGTGTTCTACGATCTGTTGCCTTGAGTAAAACAGATCCTCTTCATCGACAATGTGGGGGGCCTTAGGTAGTATCAACCCCGGTAAAGGTATTGTTCATGCCGACCGACCGCCGAGCCTCCACAGTGACGCAAAGTAAACTTGGAACCAAGCAGTATGTATTTTGTGGGATCATTCATCAACGCCAAGGGCTTGTGGAATGCTGATCCGTTGCAGAAATCAATTGAGCACGGCAGTTTGGTCTTACATTTCATTGCTGTTATTTTTGCAGCTTCGTGTGTCACAGTGTCCAGTCGCAATCTCATCTCATCTTGCAATGCCGTGCCATGTGATAATCACCGCGGCACTGACAAGTAACGGTAAGTGTGACCCATGTTCTTTCAAACCGGCAGCCTGCAGCATTTCGCTTTTTATAATGCTGGAAACATGACAGCCCCCTCGAGTCCGCCGTCTATTATCTGGTTCTGTGAAACTCTAAAAGATTTCGCGGAACGAAGTACATCGACGACAAAAGGGACTCGCACTGGACCAGCGTAGCCAGCAATGAAGCCTGTGTAAGTGATCAATCGCTTGTTCGGCTGTGTCAGACACGCGCAACCTGCAGAGATGACAGGACATCCCAATAAAGATTGCGGGTGTGATCGAGTCCATGTTGTGCTCTATTGATAAGCACCAAATCAGGAAATACTCCAACGTAAACGGATGTCAGAGTACAAGTCGGGGGACACATGAGATCGGCATGGGTTTCCGTAAGACCAGCGAGTTTCTCGCGATGGGCTAAGATTGTTGTGCCGTGGGCAGTCATATATTGGACCAGGAAAACAAGCTGATGGATATGAGGCAGAGATCAAGCACAACGCCTCTGTAATATATTGACGGCGTATCGGATTGATACACTTGCGATGGTTTAAAAAGCGCTCTGTACCTGCAATCTTTTATACGAACACAGCCACGTAACGGACAGGCAACAAGACCTTGACCTGCGCTATGCCTGTGACAGTGCCGTTAATTAGTTAATTCGGTGGAGCTAGGTGCGAAAAGATGGATCTCTGCCGTTCGTACTCTGTGAGACCCTCGCTCTGTCCTGTCATGATTGTCAATCGACTAGTTTTAGGCGCAAATAATGATTATGTGACGCCCTTTAGTGTATTACGAGGTTCGAGGATATCACCTACCTTAATATTGACATCATAAACTGGGAAGTCAAAGTCAAGCTCAAAGTCAGATGGTGGCATAACGGAGTTTACCGCAGGGTACGTAGATGTGCAGGGGCGGCGATAAGTGCACTGCACATGTAGGCAAGGGCATTCTCTTGGTAAACACTGCACTGAATAATAATCGCTAATGTGTAAACGCAAGAAGCGCAGCATGGTACTACTGTATGATACTAGGTCAAGTATCAATGGTAAAGGTAGGGGGCATAATTGAAGATACCGATACGATAGCCTGCCCTTGGCAAATTTTTGGTGCATTCAAGAGCAAATAGAGAGTCTTTCAGTGGGGGAGCGGTGGCAGTTGGACCCCACTGCAGCACCACCGCATCTACATAGTTACTATGTACCCTGCTTGTCTGCCTGTCGCCGTAAAATAAGCTTGTTGTGATCGCTGGGAACTGTATTTCCAACCGAAACATCCCTGGTCACTCACTAAAGCCGCCCATGTTGCTTGGCGACGTGCTCCCTCATCTCCATCACAATCGATTACTCGAGGCATCCGTCTATCCATTAGACTAGGTTAATTATCTGACAGCCTTTAAAGTTTTTCAGTGTGCCTGGGTAGTGTAATCGACAGACCAGGAATACCAGGAATGTGTTGATTAGACGTCAACCATTTCTTCCGAAGTCTCACCTTGTCGTGTCGTACATAGGTACTGTCAACTGGCCCGGATCACTTCAATCGAGCACTTCGCAGACGCGGACTTTGCTGAGTCAACCATTGACGCTTGAAATGTCCCGTTCCAAAGCAGCCTGACCAGCAAATCAGTGAGATATCTGATCAGGCCGGCCGCTGGCAGCAATAGTTGTGCATTACCTCGGTAATTATCTTTTTTCACGTCTCCAAGTCGTATCGCCAGTCTCTGCTGGTCGTTTTTTATTTTATTTATATTTATGTTTAAATTGTTTCCCTCACGTGGCAGTGCCGCGGAGGTTCCCTTTTTCCATTGCAAAATAGTCAGCCAGACTTGCGCGCCCATCGCCAGCGATCGTCATCAGCCCTTTATACATGGAATCCTAGCCTAAGGATCTAACTCGACGCTGCTGCACACTGCTGCAACCACGGCAAAAGAAAGCGTCTGTCTCTAGCAAAAGAAACTTTACCGAACGATTCGGCAAAGTCTGGGCCCTGTCGAACTGCCTTCAAATCAGCTACCTTCGATGGTCAATCGGCCAAGGCGTTCGATCGAGTCAGAACTATTGGCACTCTAACCTCACCAAAGGTTTCCATTTTACCGTACCAACGGCAAAAACCGAGAGCCAGCATTCGTCAGCTCAGATATAGTGGGGGTGGTCCCCTCCCAAGTTTTTGGTGAATCCTGGCGTTGGTCCTCGAGCATAAGCGCACAAGCACACACTTCGGCGCACCCATCTCCCATCTCCCACATTCCGTTGCCGCCAAAGCACTTCAGATCGAGTCACTTACATACTCATCTAATATCTGGTTGGCATCCCCCAAACGAACCAACCGTAGCGGCTTTGAGGCTTGTCAGTGGTCAAACAGTCTTCTAAAGTCGGATATTCCCAGGATAGCACACTTCAATTTCTATTGCCGACGGCCACACAAAGAGTTGCGCATTCTCAAAGAGAGAGAGAAAACCATCTCAAGTCTGTCAGCACTTGTCACCAGTTTTTCGCCTTATAATTGCTTCATCAACGCGCATACACTCGGCTCTTCCAGCATAAACAGGTACGTTTGTGATTTCATTTCGTTCGGCCTTGTGACAACAAATCATCCTAGAGTTGAACGTCCTTGAATGAAATTTAAGTCTTTCTTGTGCGCATGCTGCGCTGTCGAACTGCCAGCATTCCTTCCAGTACGGGAACAGCTGTACTCCATTGCCAACAATAGCAACCACCAAGCACGGAGCCATAATCGACTGAACATGTCCACCGACAGGTTTTGACAGATTATCGTTGCAGTTTGATCCACCCGCTTCAAGCGTTGACGGGACGATTTTGGCAGCTCATTCTGGCAAGATCCCAACTCCAAACTCAGCTAGCCACCTGCGAGACGGACAATTCCAGTCGAGCAACGGGTCAATTGAGCGTCGTCATTGGTCTCGACCCACTGTATCTGTTCATATTACGGTGGATGGATCCTGGGCGCATGTTCTACGTATACACGTGTTTACGTAGCGGGCCTGCGTGTAGTGTATCAGGTTATATATGGCACAAAGGCTACCCCATTTGCAGCAGACTCGAGAATCCAATACCCTGCCTGTCTCGCAAGCCTGCCACAGCTAAAACCTGCCCCAACTACGAGCCCCACGCAATCGTTGATTTGGCCTTGCAGTGAGAGCAAGGCGCTCGCACATGACCCAAGGCGGCATATATCACGCTTCTGTCTCTCACTACAACAATAACAGCCGTACAATCACCCGCAAGTGGTTCGATCAAGGTCACTAATCCAGCATCGTCCTCAGAGAACGAACAGTGTCGCAGCTCGCCCCGTCTCAGAGCGTCAAGACTCCCCTGGCTCGCTGTCTCAACTCTACTTGGACGGCTTTACGTGGACAGGAGGGCTCTAGGATCCGCAGCCCACTATCTTCACAGAACTAGCGTCGTGGAGACTGACTTGCCGCGCAAGCTTCTTATTGTTGGCCTACCAGGTCGGGGATTAAGCAGTGGCCGACCCATTTTAGGACGATCCACATAACTTGCGAAGCTCAATGTGGATCTGACGCTTGTGGAGGAGACTTGAGTTGGGACCAAGCGAAGGGAAATCTTGGCAAAAAAAAGGTTAAGGGCTCAAATTACAACTTTAATCGTTTAACCTTCATATTATAAACACCACCTGCATCCCTCTCGCCTGAGACCATCCTTCCCACCCCAACCCAACCCAACTTCACAACCACCTTTGGTTACGCAATACTCTGCACCACAACCATACTCCATTTTAGCACAAAAGAAAGAGAGCGAGAGAAAATGGAGACATACCATGGATTTGTGCGGACACCGGCAGACGCCATCAAGCTCTTCGAGGCTTGCAGATTAGGTCTCCTCCCGAGAGTACAGAGGCGGCTTTCAGAGAAGGAGAGGCAGTCGATCAGGTCTGGGTCCGTCTTTGTTTGGGATGAAAGAGAAGCTGGCATGCGACGATGGACAGACGGAAAGTCTTGGAGCGCCAGCAGAGTTTCCGGCAGTTTTCTCACTTACAGAGAGATGGAGGGAAAGCGAGGCAGCGGGTTCGGCAACTCGAGACGCAGCAATGGCAGGACACCCGACAGCGGTCGCTTTAGTGACGAAGATCCTGACGGAGAACCAGAAGGCTATCGATACAAGGCGGATGGGCTCATGAAGCAGTCTTTCAGCATCACAACCTCGCAAGGCCAACACTTGCATCTCATCTCATACTATTCCCGGCCGCACCCTGGAGCTCCAGACCTACCACAACCGAGCTCTGATGCCAGCTTGAGACATATTGTGCCCACCAAGGGCATGTATCCAGAGTCTAGCATGCATGATTCCAACCCGCCGGCACTTACACGAACGCCTATGCAGTCATATAACACACAGCCTCCACAGCCGGAGCCGTCACACTATAACCCTTACGGTTGGGGGCCACCTCACCCGGCGTGGATGGGCGCTTGGCCACCATCTCCTGGTGGAACCCCCCCTTGGATCCCGAGAATGTCACCCGATGCAAAGAACGCAATCCCTCGGCTACAACCCCATCCTCACCTGCTGAGCCCGCACATGCAAGGCCCTCCACAACTACCGCCGCCAACAACGCTTGCTGCGAGTCAGCCTTCGCTGTTCCCTCGGCCACCTGTGTCCTACGAGCAAGACCGACTTCCACCAGTAGCTGCTAGCATCTATCCTTCTATGCCATCGATACCCGCCGCAACGTCACCTCGTTTGGCCCAGCTCCAGCAAGCAGCCGCTCATGCTGTTATGATTGATCCTCGCATCTCTACTACGAGTGCGCGCAATCCTCAGGGCCCATTGCCTGCTATGCCCACCACTGCACCTCGGCTTACACCACCCCGGACTCACAGCGTATCTCCTCCACGCACTGCGGGATCGGACAGTGCCAATCAAGCTTCTACCCGTGCGAGCTTGTCAGCTCTTCTCCATCCCACTCCCACCAACTCGGAGCCAAGCAGTGCCAATCCTGCCAGCAGTGGTAGCGCAAACAGCTCACCTAGGATGATGGCGGCAGCAGCAGCAGCAGCAGCAGCTGGTGACCTGTATAACAACCAGGATCACAAGTCTATCCGTGCTTTGGACAGAAAATTTCACATTTAGAAACGAGCTAAGGCTCTTTGTTCGCTCGTTGGGGCATATGCCCTTTGTTCTCTCTTTTCAATGAGCGATCAGTCTCCATTGATTTGCTCAGCTACAGTGTTTCCACGGTTTGCGGCATTGTGCATACTCACGGCGTTTGGAGGGGGGAAAATGATTCTGGGCTATTGCTCGCTATCAGCAACTTGTTTTGGTTTTTTAGTACAGATATCTCTTTGAGCGCGCATTTACGATAGATGGTCACACTGTCGACCTCACGGCGGAGTTACGGTATGGCTTACAGAATGGGCTCGCTAAGCTTAATGGAGCAAACACATTGTTCATGTAAATAGTTAAACTTGCATATACCAAACAGGTTAGAGGTTCTAATCTCGCCTAAGCAATCAATTCAGATGCATTGCTCAACATTTAGCTGCTCCAACTTGCGCCTAATCACATCGGCGCGTCTACTTGAATGGTGTTCAAGATTTGACAATATTTGACAAGATTTCCATATGAAGCAGAGTCAGCCGCCATAGACTAGACAGGTGGCACAGGGAGAGGGAACGCGCAACAGCAGCCTACTAGCGGCTCTCAATCTCAATCTCAATGAAGATTCTCCACGACACAGTCATCTGAATCTCGACCACTCTAATGGAACCACTACACACATCTACGCGGCAGCAACTCCACAAACCAGCCGAAAGACCCTGGCCCCACGGGAGGCAGCATATATCTGCAGACCTCAAGACACAATGCTCACTCCTAGGGCATGTGGTCACATACGTAACACTATACCCAGGGCCGTGGAACCCTAATCTCGGCATCATAACAACCATAATGAGCCTTGAACTTTGTTGCGGGCCTGCTCTAATATGCTTCATTCTTGCTCTAACACGTCTGTTAAGGAGCGCCATGAGCGCGCCCTGCAGCACACCGGCAAGACACCGCGGTGATTGGCCTATTCGTGGGTGTTTTCCTATGCACTATTGCTGGCATTACGACGACTCTCCAAAGAAGATAGCATGACCTGGGCAAGGTTGTGGCTTGGCGTCTGCAGATATTGCGTCCAGCATTATGTCTAGAACAAAACTTGCTCTATTTCGTGGAGCCCAGGGAGCCATCGCCTTCAAACAAGTTAACCCAAACCAAACTGGGCCTGTGGCATGAGCCGATCAATTCCCCCAAAAGATACAGCTACCGGCAGTTTCGCGGCTCTAAAACCGATGATCGCAAGCTTATCATCTCAAGTCTCAGTGCCAATCAGGGAGATCATTATTGGAGAAGCAGCTTGATACGCTTCTCAGGCTTCACCAAAACGCTGGCCCCCGGACCTTAGTCAGCCTCGGCGCGGTACTACCGGCTGGCTTCTCGTCGTTAGAAAGCCAAGCACTACAAGCACCCTGTCTTCAAGACTAATTTCTCTTGCTTTGCTTTCGCGCATCGTCAGTGGATAGATAAAATGACGTCCGATCCAGCACAGAGTCGTGCGCTTCGCAATAACCTATTGGAAAGGATGGCTTAGACATTGGGGGACCCAGTAAATACACGCGTACCGTGCCCACAGTCCCTGGTCTGGACCGGGGGGCTTCCAATGCCTGATCGAACCTCCACCGTTGAGCTTGGAAACAGTGCAAGCAATCTTTTGCACATTGTCTGCTTGTTCCTCTTCTTATGCTAACTTTGCCCGTAATTGGTCCCACGTACGCTTACCGACGTGATTCGCAAATAGATGGAGGATTTATATAAAAACAAGAATAAAAATAAAAATAAAGTGTTCTATGCTGTTGTTCGGATACTGCCACGTCTTTCCTCATCCTTTCCCCTTCCCCAAAGGATCTGCTTGCACAAGAGTTTCTCTCGGCGTCAACTCAAATAACGGAGCGATGATTCCGTGTACATGCAGCGACCACGTATGTCTTCATGGCAGCGTATGCATAATGTTTCAGGACTTTCCGTTTCTTCTCTGTCCACTCTTCCGATAATAAACTTGAACAACCCCCCCCTGGACCTAGAAGGTTATTTCAGCGGGGGGATGCAACGACGTCGTTCCAGAAACAAGCTAGTCTCATTGGTCGCTTTTCTATTATGCCACGCGGTCGTTGATTATGCTTGTGGAGGATAGGGTTAAATAGTGCCCGACGCCGTTGTGGAGTCCGAGGGGGGCCTCGCGGAGATGGGAGATGGAGATGGGAGATGGGAGATGACGAAGGTTGTATCCTCCTGTGGAAGTTGTTTAAGCCCCGATTCGACTAAGTTAGTCGAGCCGCCGAGAAGCCAGATACGTTTCGTTCTTTCTTTTTCGGGTCCCGAAGACCTGGGTCTGTTGCCCATTGGGGGCTGTGCAAAAACGCACGATGGACGCACAATGGATCTTGGTTCACGAAGCTCGGAATTGCGATGTTCAGGGGCAGGTTGCGCCTTTGCCGAGGCGCAGCGCTTTTTGCTTCATATCGTCGCATTTGAACATATTGGACGGCGAGAAGTTGACCGTGGGATATGTGCGTTTTTCTTCTTCTTCTTCTTCTTCTTCTTTTTTCCCCTCCCCAATTCCTTTTTTTCCCCGCACACCTATTGGTAGCACAGACGCCTCAGATGGAGAGAGAAAGAGCGATTTTGCACTCGTTTTCTCGTACACATATTCGCTCTTTCGATAACCATTGGATAGTTTGACGTTTCCAAGCGGCAATGCAAGTGAAAGGCCAAGCTATCTCGGCAGCTTCTCCGGCAATGCTCTAATCGCCGTAAATCCGACCTGGCATTGCCTTCTCCGAGCTTCAAATATATGGACTTCGCTGCCCTTTCCAGTGCCGTAGTCTAGGCTGCTTAGAACAAGCGAGCGTATCGTTGGCATCTCTTCAAGCATGGAGGACAAGGCCATCTCCGAGCCGGCTAAGCGTGTAAGAAACATTGGAGTTTACAGTTCGGGATTGTGCCCCCTTGAAAGGGCTCTCAATACCACGAGTAATTATCCCGTAAGAAGCAGGTGCCTTAGTGCCGCCATCAAAGCTTTAACTCCGAGCTGGGCGATCGCTAGACTAGACTAGGATCGGCTTTTGAGCACTTGTTAGGGCAGTATTCGAAAACTGGAGGCGAACATATTCAACCGCTAGATCTGCGTATCATCAGTCGCGGTTATATTTGAATTTGCCATGGATGTCTATATTATACAGTGGGCCTGGTGGTGCCTCAGCGTAGCTTGTTCTTGACCCAGACGTGCATTGCTCGGCACCAGCGGCGTTTGGTACTCTGGTCAAGGGAGACGAAGGATTCTCTTCCCCGGCTATTGACACGGTGATGTTGCTATGCTCTCCATCAAATGCCGAGCATAGCTCTGGATACAGCAGATTATTTTCTCTTTGTTTGCTGGTTTTTTTGCCTTTCTCGGCATTTCGTGCGGCTAGAACTTTTCCAATCACTGGTACAAAACGTGGACTGCTCCATGAGATTTGCAACGTCAACCTCAGTATAGCCAGGCGTAGTAAGTCCTAGGCTAGTTGAGCAATCCTCCTCGACTTCGGTAGCGCCTGTTGAGACCATGAAGTTTCGTACTGATCGCATCAGTGGGTCGTCAAAGTCTGCAAGCGCTTTGTCGAATATCAAAAGTCCGGATCTCCCGTGCTCGGTATAGCGTCTCCTGAACCGTCGTCCAAGGTGCCACGCTACACGTCGCGTAGAGAAGCAAAGGCCGTCCCTGCTTCGCTGTTGGTTGTGCACGATTGAGCATGATGGTGGCAGAATATACCTACCAGTTATTATTAAGTAGGCTATGTGGCCACTTAGCCACCCTTCTAACTCAGATTAATCTTTGTATCGATCTAGTGTACAGGTGGCGAATCTTCTACGTTTTAGCCATCCTTACCATACTCAGCAACATCAAATATACCGCCCGGAAGATTCGATCTTTGTTCCATAATCAAAATTATTTAGTGCTTCGAGGTATGCTAGTGTATACTACAATATGTCCCAGTGGCCCGTTTCGTTTCAAGTGCATGGAGCAAGGCCATGAAGATACCATCTTTTGTCAGCGGCCGGTGGGCCCAAAATTTTATTAAAAAAATTGGGTGGTACTCTAGCAATCATGGATCTCAAGTAATTTAGTAACACGGAATTAGCGATAATAGCTAGCAACGAGGCCAAGATGAACGTCGCCGAATGTTTCCGTTATCTAGTTTGCTAGCCAAGTCGGGGCCACGGCAAAGTGAAGAAACTCCTTGACCGTTAAATGTAAGAATTGAATTCCAGATGGCTTCTAGAGAATTATCTCGTCAACTCTGGGGCCGAATTTGCACGAGTCGTTATGGTGTAGTTTCTCTTTCTATAGCGCATCTATTGTCTTGTTCAAAGCGAAACGTGTTGCAAGCGGAGAAAGTAACTGCGCAGCGAGGTCCACCATGGAAAATATCTGAACTGCATGTGTATGGTAGAATGTTCAAAAGTTTCCATTTCATTGCCGTCCTGAAACCCCTCGACTGGTGAGTTAACGACCAAGCTTACCCATACGAAGATCTGAACATCGAGACGTCAGTATCATATCTAAACTATTTTGGACATGATATTGGCATGATGAAGTATATATGAGGATCGGCGTCCTGATTGTTATTTGTGAATGCAGTTTCCTCAAATTCAGAATTAGGTATCGAAGGTTCGGCATTAGATAATTCCTCGGTACGCTTGGTGATCAGTCCGGTTTGGTGCTCCTTGGTGGTTTCCATCCCATGTCTACTCGTGGCAAAAGCCTATCTTGCATCAATTCTTTCATTAATACATCTACTCTCCCCCTTTTCCCCAACATCTTTGCAGTAAGAAGTTATAGGTCCAACCTTGAGGTATCTTCAGCCGGGAGGACCTTTTGAAAGACACTATACAATTTCTCGGCTTTTTTCCTTCTCCTGTTCTTTTTCTTTTTTCTCGCAGCTTTTGAATAGAGACCTAATCGCTTCGTCCGTGGTTGTGGCAAGCCCCCCAGGACTTGAATGCTGTTTCGGAGACAACGAAAAGCCTTGACCACCGGCAAACGTATTGCAACGCCGTGGAATGCCTCCGGAGGTCTCTTGCATTCGAAGCGGCAACGGAAATTTGTTGCGGCGCTTCAACAATTGCGATCGCCGAAGATCGATGCCGAGAACAAGGCTGGCTTCTGCACCACTTGCCACAATCTTAGATCACAGGTATTTCGAGAGTGTAAATTTAAGAAGCAACATCCTGATGGGCATGTTATTTTAACATTAGCAGCACCGGGACGGTTGATATTCGCACAACTGACTTCGATCGCAAACTCGTTATAAATCATTCGAAGTGCCTGATATCGATTGATCACGTGCAAGGCAGCGACCGTTGCATAAAGAAGAGTGGGAGGGGAAGCTTTTCGACGTGAGGTGAGGAAGATAGAGGCAGATTAGCGAGCCATAACGTGAAGGGCTGTCAGTCCACAGTATTTTGATGCGAGTGAAGGTGCAAGGCTCCCAACATTCAGCTGGCACCCGAGTTGCCCCACGCCCTCATCTCTTAAGTCTTTATATTTCGGCACATATTAATCTTAGTGAGAGGAAGAAGAGAAGAGAACAGATATTGAGGCTTTCAACTGCAGTTAGATGATGACTAGGAAGCCGCAACTTCCGAGTTTGTCTGTATTAATTAGAGGTGATCACCGCAAATATGTTAGCTGACGAGTGATAATCAGACCGATGAAGGTCTATCGTTCATCTACCAGAAAACAGAGATACTCATTCGTGCGATTTCCGCAGCATACATATATCACGGGTTAAGACGAGACCAGTGTAACATATGTTAGTAGTCATATTATAATAGCAGCAACAGCCAGGCAACCAGTTAGGCGAACCCGGAAGCATGAAGGTGTGGTTTGTTTATCGGGATGTCGCGGCATGCAACCGGACGTATCAGTTGGATTTCTTCGTTAGCGATAAACACCAAATATTAATACTAGCACACGGGACTTTGATACGGCAAACTGTTACACGATAGGTGATGAATATGTTTCGCATATCCAGGTAGAACAGTCCACTGTCCCTTGCCAAAGTGCATTCGCTGGCATTGTGGCTCGTGCGTGTTCGTGAAGAGAGAGCCGTAAATGTTTAAAGCAGACTTATGAACAAAAGGTCATCTGCATTAGGCTGGTATGCTCGGCATCGTCTCAAGATATGAGATCGTCTGACAAAGTTCCAGTTTGACACCACGTAATGAACAATATCTATTATGATGCAGCACATTCTTGGTCATGCGCCCGTAGTATCGTACATCGAGCGGAAGGAACACGTGGTTTGTTGTTACACATAATTACGAAGAGCCGCCGGTGAATGTTGTTCATATCCATATCGGGATAAACGACCTCATCCATACACCCGGGGCTAGGTGGCGGCGACCGAAAGCAGTACCCATAATTGGTGATTGATAAGGTTCCACACCAACGCCCGCCAATTCCCAGCAAGATGCACACGTTTCACAGCGCTACACCTCAACATTAGAAATGGATCTCAGAAGGGTGTCTCTAGTCTGTTGACATATTGCATGCTCGCGTAGTTTGAGACCATTCGGTAGAAACTATTTGAGACAACATCATATGCGCCGAATTTGTGTTACGGTTACACAAGACACGACCCTACGTCCAAGAGAAGAAAGCGTTGACGAACATGGCTTGGCTGTAATGGCGCTTGGGAGTACTAGCAATCGCACCTGCCGTACCAACGGGGGAATGCTGTCGTATCTCTAATGGTCTGGACTCCCGAGAGATAACAGATCAGTCTGTCGAAGCCCAGACCGAAGCCGCCATGAGGAGGGCAACCCCAGCGTCGCAAGTCTATGTACCAGTCGAGATTGTTCTGCATTCTCCTCTCCTTGCCATCATTGGCAATTACTTGCTCTGAAGCAGTGTCCATGCCGTGAAGTTTCATGGAATCCATGAGGTTATCGAGACGGTGTTCGCGCATCGACCCGCCTGCTATTTCACAAAAGTCGGGCACGAGGAGGTCGAAACATTCTACAGTCTCACCGTGCCCCGGAGTCCCGAGATCACCCTCGGATGCTTTCATGTAGAAGGCTTTGATGGTGCGAGGATAGTTTGTCACGAAGACCGGTGTTTCTCCTTGACCGATATGCACCGCTAGGTAGCGTTCATGTTCTGTGCGAAGGTCTTGTCCCCAAACCGGTGGGATCTCAAATTGCTCATCCGAGGCATTGAGTATGTCGATCGCGTCTGTATATGTGATACGAGGCCAGGCCGCTTTCATCAAGCCCTGCCATCGCCGCTCAACTTGATCCACGGGAGCCAGATCCGACAATCCTTCTGCAGTCCTGGTCGACAGTTCTTTCACTGTCCTCGAGCCAATTAATTCGGAAGCAATATGCCTTAACATATCCTCGATAAGACCCATGACAGACGCCATGTCATTGGTGAAGCTCATCTCGGCCTCCAGCATGTAAAATTCACTAAGATGACGTGGTGTATCGCTTTGCTCCGCCCGAAACGTAGGAGATAACGTCCAGACATTACCGAGACCCTGAGCCAGAGCTTCCAAATGGAGCTGTCCTGACACAGTCGTGTAGACTGGACGGCGGAAGAAAGATTTGTTTTTTTCACTGTTTGATTGCGGCTTCTCACCAATGTTGGCAACATTGAAGACTTCCCCGGCACCCTCGCAATCAGATGCGGTGAGTATTGGCGTATGGGTCTGGATGAATTGTCGACCTTCGAAAAAGCGAGTCAAAGAAGCAATGACTTCAGAGCGGAATCGGAAAAGTGTGGAGTTGTAGGGTAACCTCGGGCGCATGTGAGGCATTGTCCTTAGATATTCCGGACTTTGATACTTTTTTTGCAAAGGAAAGGTCTGTTGCTATATCAGTATACCATGCTACCTGGGATAATCTGTTGAGCCAGCCATGTTGGCATACCTTGGCATCTGAAGCTCCTAAGATATCGGCGCTCTGGACCTGCAGCTCGTGACTCTGGCCTTGGCCACGTGATGGTACCCAGGATCCATGCAATCGAACGGCTGCTCCCGTTGTCAGACTGCATCACAATTATTAGTTCGAGCAAATTTCACAACAGATAGATCGGGTCTCATTCATCCCACCCTTCAGCTTGATCGGCGGGCACCACAGCCTGCAAACTGTCTATCGTTGTGCCGTCACCCAAGGACACAAAGTGTTGTCTTTTTTGAGCTCTCACAGATCGAACATATCCGTCAACATGAACACCAGCTGTCGGTTCCGTAGGTTTCCAGCTGAGGTACTCGGCCACAGACTTCGGTAAGGTTGATTTACAAGCTCTGAAGTCTTGCCGGCCATAACGCACCACCCTTCGGATAAGGGGTCGCGCGGTAACGCGTAAAGCCGACATTGCGCGGCGGGAAGTCACAACTGCTCCCGTAGATTGTGTTCAAGACCCCCACACAATAGTTCCAGCCAAAGAGACAGGCACAACTCAAGAAATCATAGTATGTCTTGTCGCGCTCTTGCATTAGATGTCCAGGTTTAGATGAGTTTGAAGATAGCGGAATGAGATGTTCTGCCGGGCCCGGGTACGCAAAGCTCGGATCACTGGTAGACTTTAGCGTGCCGCGCTCCGAAAGCTCGGCTCTGTGCTAGACTAGACTAGACCAAGGTTAGACTAACATTTCCGCCTGCAGCTGGAACACTCTCATGCAAATGCAGCCTTCAACTTCAGAAGGGCCCATCTCACAGTGTGAGAAGTAAGGAGCGCAATATGTAGTGTGTTAAGGCATTATCAGATTGGTTGGCTGGTGTGCTGTCTTGGTACTTAGGGTGTTGCTAGCCTTGCTGCATCAACCTCTCTTGTCTGGAGTACATCCATGCATTGTAGCGAGACCCTCGAGGGTTCGCCGCGGCCTGCTGGCATTACTATCGTATACGTTTCCGGAGTTACTTGCTTTAGTCGCTTAGCCGTCCCCACTCAGCGCTCAAGCCTTTCTCTACTGTGTGTGTCTTGTTTGCTGAGTAAATACACACGCTTGTGGAGACTTCTGAGGTGGTGACCTTGGCCAAATGGTGTTGTCCCAGTTCGCGCGTATGAAGGCTACGCTAGTTCGACCACTCCACGCACTCACTTAGTGGAAGACCGCAAGGGTAAAGATGTCTCATCAAGTCTACATCTTATCGTTACATATCCCCGTCGTACAAGATCTATGTGCTACCGAGATCTTTTCTCATGTTTGCAAAATCCAAATAGTTGGGAGCAGAATGTGACACCCTACGGACGGGTATTTTTCTGGGTGCAATACGAACGGGGCGAAATCTTCGAAACATGATCATGTCTATTTACAGCCCATCACCTTCCTCCCTCACTTCCTGTCGACTTTCATCTGGGTGTTTTAGACAAGCAAAAGTGTTTTCAATATATTTGTCTCGCTTCTTTGCGTGAAGGATGGCCAAGATCTTCAGGCTAGTTGCCCGTGACCGGCCAGCGGCCATGCATTGGCTGCTTTTGTCTTCACTTCTGGAGGTTACTACAAGTATAGAAACTACCCCATACCTCAATATTCTGTGGTTGGTTGTCATAGTTAGTCATCTCTTTCGACCACATCATTGAGCCCCGTCAGTGATTCAACCTCGTTAGTGATATACACCGGTATGACGCAGCAAACCCGATCTGTTGCAAAACACATAAACCTTTAATCATTCACTATCTTGGTCACTCCACTACAATATTTATTCCTCATCAACTCATCAGCATCAAACATCATGCCGTCGTCCAGGCCGAAGCCAAGTGACGTTGCGGCGGAGACTAAGAAGAATGAGATCCCAGAGATTAGAGCCAAGTACTCCCAGATTTGGCCATGCCATTCTTACTTGTTTCAATCACCAGCGCAAGAGCTTGTATTGGACCCGCGAACGAATCAAAGCCTGCCAGCGCCAATCTTCTGTGAGCATGTCGCGCATAACGAAACGCTGTGGCTAAACAAGAACAGCTGTCCACCATGCAGACCCTGTCGACTTCACGATCAATTGGGAACGAGACTCGGGGTGTCGAATACCTTTAATATGTGCAGCAAATGACCGGAGGCCTGGTAAGTGTATAAATTCTGGGACTGGACTTGTCCTGCGACATGCGAGAACATGCGTGTTTATTGTCACATTCGATCGTCCCAAGGAAGGTTTTAACTGCTCACCAACAGAATGAATACTGACGTTGTTTTTGTAATCAGGCGGAGACTGGGAAACTGGCGTCGTGGGTATGTGTAACTAGTAGACGGACTATACTAGAGACAAAGACTCATTCATCCAGGCTACGAAGAGCGCTTTTGCCGCCGATCTAACCTTAGCGCATGCCTGGCTACTCCGGGCCCAGGATCGAGCGTAGGATCCAACTATCCAATCCCAAGCGAGGGTGGCATCTACTCCGAGTTTGTCGTCGTCTTCCGAGGACCACACGACACTTACAAGAAGCTCCCACAATGGGTGGATCTTCCCGTTGTCTCTATACCTCCCGCGCGCTGGCCGAAGCTCAGTCAAGGAGGGTTAAAGTATGCATTCCCTCTGGAGCGCCAAATGGTAATGAATAAAATCCGAGCCGGGCTGCTCATCTGTGCTGCGTACGGACACAAGCAGGTCGTAATCATGGATTTTAGCTTGGGCAACAGCAATCGCAACCCGCCGCAAGAGCTTGCGGAGCTATGGAGAGAGGTTTTCCTCTGGGATCCGGATCTAAGAGGTCGTTTCCAGTACGTGGCTTTTGTGTTCGAGGATCCGTATCAAAGCACAACGAAGCACATCCTCGATGACATTACGAAGAAGAGCAAAAGTGGCGGTTCGGGCTCGAAAAAGTCCAAGTCTTCCAATAGCTCTGGTTCGAGCTCCAGCTACTCCACTCCAAACGATCATGACATCTTCTGCAGCGTGTTTGCACCGAATGAGATCCAACGCGTCATTTCTCGGACCGACCCCCGATGTTCTTTGTCAACGCTTACATCTTGAACCGGGGATTCTGGGGCATTTCTTTTGTATCCAGCTTTGTTTCTGGGACATTCATCAGGTGGCTAGGTTCTGAGGGCGTTGCGGCAGTTTTGTGGTTTTGAGATTGTCCTGTTTACTGCTTGCCGCTTTCTCTATAATTGTCATTTAGTCATACCGAGTGGCGCAAGCCATGTTTCTAGTTTTGGAACCAAGGCAGATAACCCATAATACCAGGGCTTAATGGGAATATACGGTATTTGAACCATGTTTATAGCTACTTGATTATGTTGTCCAAGCTAAAACTGTGCAGAGTCAAGGTCGAATCATTTCTTGGCCTCTTGACCTCCGGTCCGGTACGTATCACTGCTTGCTCGGCCAAGATAAGAAAACGGCCCGTATTCAAAACCATGAAAGTACGCTCAACTGTGTTTCGCTTAACGCCATGTTAATAAGATTTCGAGCTCACAGCAACACGAAAAGTCATTTAGCGCATAAAATAGCAAGCACTACAACGTGAGTTGCTGAAGCTGCTTGAAATCGCCGGAAGATTTGTCCGGGCCTATCGTCGTCCTACATTGTGCTGTTGTGCAGCAAGGTGGCTAAACTCAATTGGAAGACTAACGCGCCCTAAACCTTAAGCCCGGGGATTGTGTTTATTTCTAATCCCGAGGAGCGTGTGCTCCGATTCGAGCTCTCGGAAGTCTGGAAGTCTCACGATATAAGGTATTCCCATCGAAGATACCACTATTTCGTCAGAGGCGAAGAGCCGCCCGCAGCCTCCTGCTCAACTGATATGCACTGCTTAATATACCGTTTATTATTGCCAGGCATGGCTGTGACCACACGTGTATATAAGTACCTAGGTTAGCACAATTCATGCATTGTGAGAAGGTTGTGTGCATCACTAATCCGTAAACTGATCCAGAGTTTGCTGGGGCGACGGGGCGTTCCTGAGTCAGTAATATTAACCCTTGTCGACTCCAGAGACGAGCATCCTCGTAATCAACAGATACAGGACACTTCCACATGCTTCCATCGTACATCATCTCAACCAACTTTTTGTCTTTGTTTATTTCAAGCCCAATGTGCTGCCACTTGGAATGCTTTCTCTGCAATGTCTCAATGGAGCGCTTACTCTTCTGTGTCACACTGCCAGCTGCGTGTCTAACATAAAAGTTACACAGAACCCAGTACCTCTTCTGTAGCAAGTGTGCACCGATCAAAGGCCCCGGGATGGGCTTGCATAAACCTCCGACTCCTCCGCTTTCCAAGGCGAGGCACCAGAGTCCCAGAGTCATCGCGCACACGAGGTACTTCGAGAAACACTCTAGACGAACACGCCTATAAGGGCGAGCTACCCCGACACAGCACTGCGTCGCGCAGCATGTGGGAAATCTACCTATCGACGATCATGTAGCTATCCAGGAGCTGCCATCCGAGTACCCGTTACAGACGACAGATCGCATTTCATTTGCGACTACATGCCATTCAAGCAGCCCACCAGATCCTGCACGCTTTCGACCGACCTGCAGATGAAACGAAGCATCTTAGTCAACATCACATACAACTCTTTCCAAAATGTAGCATCGGCGATGGTCCAGCCAACCAGCTTTCCACTGGAGTACATTGCGCTTTACCGCTCTTTCAATTCAGACTCGCTGATATTGCTGGAAGCACCTCACAAAACAAAGGGACAAAGGAAGAGTGACCAATGCCAAGCGTTCTTGATGTCAATTGATTAATGTCTAGGATTTGAGTTGTGAGGATGCCCGACCTTCTGTGGTTGTGCTTGGAACTTGGATCCACCTCTCTATACTACGTTGGCGCAATCTTAGAAAGGCCAGAAATTCGACTCAGAGCACGAGAAAGATGACTAACAACACCATATAGACTATTTATCCTCTAGAAACCGCACTCATACCATAGGCAACATACTACAACGAACTCCACGACGGCTCGACAAGCCGCCTCCCATCCACACCCTCAAGACGGTCATTTCTTTGAAAATTATGTAAACTCGTCCGCAACTGCGAGGTTCCGCAATTAGGTACAGCTTCCTGGTAACACATGGAGCTGCGTGTCTCGGGCGCGTCTGTTTTTCGCAGTTTCCATCACTAGACAGACGAAGCACAATCACTCCGAGACTGCTTGACGAAGAATTGCGCCTCACATCGACCGAACGCATAAGCCACAAGAGGAAAGAAGAAAAGAAAAGAAAATGCAAGCAGAAGACTCACCGGGCGTGCCCAGGCTTGTGACTTCTGCAGGGTCTTCGGACCAGTGACGACAATGCCGCTATTTTTATTGGTTAAAGATGTTGATTGCAACTTTGTTGCAGAAACGCCCTGGCTGATGATTGATTGCATCCACAGGGTCCGATTGGACACGTACTTGAACTGCAATCCTCATCCACCTAGCTACACTGCTCTCGCAACGTCTACTGGATCGAATCAGTCCTGTATCTTCCTTGAAGGATCTCTGTGGGTCCTAAGGATGTTTGAGCATAGGCCCACGCACGGTGGCAGACCATATCGTCATTCATCGTCACTGCGTGGAATTTGCCGCCTCGTCGTTGCTTTTGATCGATCTGAATCATGTGGTGCATTGAGTACTTTCCATGCGGTCTTCCTGAACAGGGACAGCACCATCTCCATGCTTGGAGCGTGTTCCAGAAGCAACCAAGTCGCCTGCACCATTTTTTTGTCAGCTATAGATAGCGAGCACTGTGCGTATTTCATAGTCAGATTCAATTCCCGGATTGGTCAATGTATCTGACCGCCTGACTGATTATCGCGACCAGCTTGGAGAGTACCTCACTTTGGCTAAGCATATTCATGACCGGTAGATTTAGCTTGTCCATAATGCAAAGGATATATGAGTAAAAATGTGTATTCTATCAGTTTTGTTCCACATCATCAGCGTGATCACCTCAACTCAACAACGTTCCAACGTACTAACCTAGGTTGGTGTTATTGACTTTTGTTGCATAATGTAGCCAATAGATGACCCTTGCTAGTTGTGAGAAATTTACCGCAGTCCAGTTTCAGGGCTGCGACAACGTCGACAAGAGTCGCCGCCCAACACGTTAGGTGATATGAACCCAACCATTCTAGTATTATGAAGAGCATATTGAGCCGGGTAAACCCATCAAAAGGAGCGTCATCGAGTTATCGAGGTAACTACCAAGCGGGTTGCATGAGTATTTCCACGAAATTGTCGTTATTACATTCATTATAGGCTTTTCTTGAGAAGATGACGCATGCAGTTTATGTCCGATGGCCCCGAACATCAGATAAGACTGTGTGCGAGTACTCACGCATCAAGCGCTGGCGGATCAAGGAGAATTGCAGAATGGTGGGTCCAGGAGTAGATGACCACCGATGAACTCTGTTACTGAATATGGATGCTGGTGGCAGCTGAACTTTCTTTAGAGCTTAAAAAAGATTCTCCTAAGAGTGACTAAAGATGGAAAAATTCGACAGACACTTGGGAAGCCCTAGCTAGACCATCTTAAACCTCTGGATGGCTTGAAGAACGTTTCTTTTCAGCGAAGCAGATAAGAATTGTTATCTTGGGGAAAACTCACTTCCATTCCACTCAAAAGATAAGCTATTTTACCTAGAACAGGTATTGCGCACTACTAAAAACCCCAGCATGCTTAACCATGTACCCATACTAGAATCTTGTAGGATTTTGGGAGTGACGCTCTTCTTTTGAAAACAAAATATACATCTTGTTGATATTGTTAGCATCTCAGATGCCAGGATGCTCTCGAAAGACCTTGAATAACTACCTTCATGGCAACATCCTAATGCGTGGGCATAACAGCTTTAGGCTATGAAAGCTATAATAGGATAGTTACAAATTTGAAGTCCACCCTGCAGATCCCGTATCCTTCAAGATATTTTCTCAAGTAGTAAGATGCTTAACGCTCACCGTGCATCAACAACTAATACTGGGATTAGACCATCGGATAATTCAACTCACCGTACACGTATATTTCGGCAGCGTATCTGCCATAATCACGGGTTGCATTTCTGTACACTGAATCGATCAATTAAAGTGGTGCTTCGGTATATACTGCGGGTCAGCATCAAAATTTACAGCTTTGCAACTGTCTGTCATAATATGTGGCTCCAGTAGTCATCGTAAGATACAGTTGAGTGCCTCTGTACTTGGTGGTACCTTGACGAGTTAGGGGCAAAGCTATACATATGGCTAACAGCTGCTCGGTATCTGATATCCTCAGCCACCAGCAAGCACAATCACGGAGGTGATTCCCAAAGCGGTAACAATTCTGAATGTGTCCTGAACCAGAGATTCTGCAAAATGCGAATCTCATTTCAAAATCTGCAAACCGACAAAAGAACCTCGCGCATGCCCAGGGTACCATGTTTATCCAGTGCAGGTTGCAACACCGTTGACAGTACGCTAGGCGAAGTTCGGCCCGGCCGAATGGACCCAAATTAGGGGCCGGGTGGTTTAGGCTCTTGGTCATCCTTGCTAACCTAGAACGTATGATGCACAGGAAACCGGTAATCGACCCTACTGGCACGGTAAAGTAACTATATCACATCATCCTAGGGTGGCGGGTTGGACCGCTATATAAGTCAAAGAAATCATGAATGGAGCGCATGTTAAATAGTGCACATGATCACCATCTGGGCCTACCACTATGCTTCTACCCAAGTTAACCATATTTCACAAAAGCAAACAAACCCGCTGGCAATTGCTGGGATAGCTGGCTCAGATGCCGAACCAATGGCAGGACTGTCCTTGCATGCTGCGGGAATTTCAACATCAAAGAGACTTAGGAACCGCTTCACTCCGCAATTAATTTCTACCAGTACCCGCACAAACTCTGCATTAGGATTGATTCGATGTACTGTATGTAGTCAAGAGGTTTGGATCATTCCAAGCAAATGACCAAGTCTTGCTATCTTTGCACCCTCTGTCACCATTCGCAAGATACGGAAACAAGGAAACACTTTGCGTCAAGTACGCATGGCACGGGCACAAATCCCGTGCTCTTGAACCAACCGCACAGGATCAATAAAGAAGCCGCGCTAGATCTTTGCGGTATTGTCCGTCCGTGGTGGAGTTGAGTTAAACCTTGCGGTCTGGGTCAACGAACGAGCTTATTTTTTTAAGCAAAGATTTATTTCAGTCACTCTCGAACAGTGCATGATAGACAGTGCGATGAACGCAACGGCTCAAGGCATGTATATTGGGTGAAACCTAATGCACACGTTATTAAATGGTGCCATATGCTGTCAGCAATTCGATTTACTTCACCAGGCGTTTGGGATAACCACTCGCTGGCACATCAAGCGATACGAAGGAGCCACAGCTCACTTCAGTCAAGCTTGCAGCCGGTATGTGACATCCGGGCATCCGCAACAGGGTATCCTCCACATCAACCATGGAACTTTGTCCGGCAAAGCGGCTCAATTTCTATCCGTATGTGACCTAGGGTTCGCATGGAGGACACCCTATTCGCTGTTACCATATCCTATGTGACACAGTATACTGTGGGAGAATTCCCACAAACATTGTGTAAGCAAGAGAGATTGTCGTAAGCGCCTATCGTCCAACAGGATGAAGCGCCAAAAGCGAGCAGTGTTTGGAGGTGTGGAGATGTGTGCATCGAATGACCTGGTTGTCGGGAAATGCCCCATGCGGCGAGCGAGGGGCGAGGCATTTCATATCCTGGAGGCCATACTATGGCCGCCATAGTAGTGGCTGATGCTGTGTGATAGCAGGCATCTTTTGGAAGGGGACACGCCATCGATTCAATGCTTAGCCGTTGTTGCCAAAGGCGAAAATATGCACGGCTACCATATGAGGACAGAGCGCTCTGAACAGCGAAAATAACGCTGAGCTGCAAGCGGCTGGGTATCGTCAATAATGCTTGTTTATCTGACATTCCCCGGATTGAGCCCACTATGGAGACGATTAATGTTCCACTGTATCCCAGTAACTCATGCTCAACAACCTTGCTACCTCAACTCGATGGCGATAGCAACCCGCAGTAGTGCCCATACAGTGATACCCTCCAGAAACTCAACATTCACTTGGTACTTCAGAATGTCTGGGGGGACTGCAGGATCGGGCAGGATCCAGATTGACATGGACTGAAACCCCAGCGAGCCTACGTGGTCTGCAGAAGGGTAGCATTGCTTCTGGGGACAGACCTCGATAAGCGCTAGACAGCACAACAACTAGGAATGACTGAGCAGGCATACCATCAGATAGCACTTTGCACTGTGTTTACGACGATATCTGATTTCTTCGTGATCCAGGAAGCAATATATTGCCCCACCTTGGTAGAGCCTTGTGGGCTCTGCAGAGTTTCCTGACTCGCACAAGTGAAATCTGATCCCACAGCACTACCCTCTTCACTTTGCTTTCCTTTCCTCTCCCTGTAACAATGATCAAACAAGGTTGAGGAACGTGGCGAACCACCAGTCGCTGGTCAACGGCACCACACCAACCAGTGTCTGATATTATGCCTGTTATTCACCTACACTCCTACATTGTCAACATACCAGTGGTTCTTGGATTGTCTTTAGACCAACCAGCACAAGTCCAAACTGGCTCCTAGTCTAGACGTTGATTTGTCCACAGACCTTGACGGAGCTTTTCGACCAGCCATCCTGCATGCACACCTTTGTCAATGCATACCCAACTAACATCCGGCCTACAGTAGCATCCACGAAAAGCTCCCTTCTCTGAACACTTACTGACATATCAGGTGGCAGCTGATGGAAGTCTCTCTCAAACGTCGTGGCGAGGCGTCATGTTACGATAGCGTTTGACTGCCTCAAGTATACGTTGGTCTTGGCCAGTACTTTGAACGTTTGGGCTATACTGAAATAGTAGAAGTGCAGAATGACCTGGTATCTACAGCCATGTTGCAAGATTGAACAAAACCATAGTCGGCTTAATAGGAACCACTACTGGCTTATTGTGTCTACTCGCGAGCCACATTAGCAAGACTGACACTATTGACCCTAGCTAATTAGCGTACGATCATATAATACAGAGCATCATTTTAGGTTTTACCCAGCTACTAGATCCCGCCAACATTTTCGACACTGTCTGAACAGCAACCTCGATACAAGCATCTCCACCGAGTCTGCCTTTGCACATCGATTTGCCTTTTGAACAAGAGCCCTACCGATATTTGGCGGGCACATAACCAGAAATCGGACAACCAAGAAAGACCACTGGCCAAACCCATCAGTCACCCTAACGTCCGCGCGAACCGAAGACCTTTGGCGTCGTTATTCACTAACCTAGGGTATTGGCAACATCACAGCGGCCCTATGTCTGCCCAAATATGTGCCATGGTCCAAACGAGCCATCCGCCATGCTCTCGGTCGAATTGGCGGGCGTGAACCAAACAGTAATTATCTTCCCCCCATCCCTCGACCACAGCCCGCACCTACACACATATCACGGAAGAAGCCTTCCAGTCGAGCAAATCAGAGCCGGGGGGGGGGGGGCACTTTGGCAGGTCGACCAGAAGTGATAGTCCTTCTACATGGTACATGGTGGGGGTGGGATTCGCATTCTACTGCACCGCCTCCCAGGAGAGACCGTCGTCTTCACAAGCGATCGCATACGGCAGTGTAACGCCAAAAGGTTAAAAACATAAGAACACCCAACAAACCTTTCCCCCCCTCGCCCGCGGGAGTCCCAAGTTGGACATGAGAAATACGACATCTGTAGTGTAACACTTTGAAGAAGAGTCCCCCCCCGGTGGCTAAACGTAGAACGTCCCCCATCCGTGACGGCGCCCTCATGATTCTGGCAAACACAGATCGACACACGGAAGGGCACAGACGCCAGGTAATACATCGCTGGGCCCGGCTGCAGCGATCCACCAATACCAGATATAAATACGAAGCATCGGTCCCTTACTTTTGACGAGCTGTGCAGTATTGTGCACCATGGGGGGCCATGATCTTCAGATTTCTCTCCTGTTTCAGATTGTCGGGCTTTTTGCACGATCGACATGCATTGGGGTGTCAACTGCATATGTCATGGTATTATATGGTGATAAGTTTATTTACTTTCTCTGGTGTCGGCTTAAACTGCAGACATAACGCCACGCTTCCCCGTTTTTCGATAAACTCAGTGGCTGCATCATGCATCAACTCCCAAAGACCCCTTTGCTGTCCCAAGCCGCATCGCTACCAATATGCAGGCCTCAGACCACTAAAGTTACCCAGCGTGCTGGTAAGGCTCTCATCGCCGTCCTTTCTCTTTTGACCCGCAAGCTACATCGACCAACGTCAGCGTTTACTATGAAGCTAATGCAAGGGATTTTTGTCAACAGTTGAATGCCAAGACAGAGTGTGGAGTGGGAAGGGAGTCTTGTGTAGGGGAAATGGATAAATTTCCACAGTGTACAGCACAGTCAAGAACTACTCCACCAGAGAAACGAGTGGACCCGTGCAGACGCGCCAGCAGGCTTTCAAAGAACGTTTGCGCGTAGACAGATACTCAGAAAATGGACGTTGTACTCACCTCAAGTTGAACACCCTTGTGGAGGTGTACGAGCCAGTCAACATAACTCTGGGCCTCGTTATTCCTGTCCTCAACTAGCATTCTGGCGAACTCGAACTCGGCACCGTCAATACCCTGCCTTGCCAGCTGGATAGTGAGGGCCTTGGAACCTCGAAGGGTTCTAAGGAACTCGACGATGTTGCGGACCTGCGCATTCAAGTGGGTATCAAGAACGGGCAGACTCGAACTGTAAGGATCCAGGGCCTTGAGACTGTCCTTACCCTCTCCGAAGAGGTCAGCAAGGAGATTGGGCGATGTCTGGTTGTGGAGCCAGATGAGACATTGTTGACCGTTATCCACAATATAGACCCCGCCAGGTTCAACACGTGAGAAGGACGCACGAATGCTGGGTGGTACTTTCAGGTGGCCATCTTCGTCGGGGAAACCGTCCTCGGGGGCCAAATTATGGATCGGGAGCATGCGTGGATAGAGATAGACAGAGAGTTCTGCAGGACCCATAGAGCGTATCATACGCAATTCGTGTATCCTGCGATCAGAGCTCTCGTTACCACCCTTGAATGCACGACACTTCAACGTGCCAAGCATGTACATAGCATATTCTTTCATCCTCTCTGGCATGATCAATTGTCCAGCAGGGTGTGATTGTGCTGTGAAGTGCTTCCTATAGTTCGCCAGCACATCAATAGTCCTTGCTGTCAAGAAATCGCGTGTGTCCTTCAAGGTAGCGGATGTCGTCGCAAGTTTGGATGCAGCTTCTTTCGCAAGGATGGAAACTACGGCATCTTGGTCGATCATCTTGATGCACTCACGCGTAACTTCGCTGACACTAGCAATGATATTGCAGCATCTTACGCGACGCTGGCCGGATGCTGTAGTATAAAGAAGTGCCGCCTGGAAATGCGCATCCAGCTTGGCGTCCAGCTTACCGTCGTAGCCAAAGGTCACACCAATTGCTTTGTCCGCGTCAATAACACCAATCTCAAGATCAGCTCCGAACGTGTGTTGCTGTTTGGCATAAAGTTAGCCTCCCATCTTACGTGATCTGATCAATATAATCCTGGTGCTGCTCGTCTAGACCCATGCCCAGGACCGGCGAGACTAGCGAGATGTATAGCTCGGAAATTACCAGTAAGGGAGGAGAAAAACATAGACACATCGAACTTACAAGGAAGTTTCCATGATAATCCTTAATTTGCAGACCATTAGAACACCGGACTTTCATTAGAGCTTGGTATCCAGTTTCTCTCTCGACAGTGTGCTTAATCTCTAGCGAGAGCTTGGCATTGTCACGACCGGCCACGAAGTTGGGATAGTAGAATGTCTCGCCACCGGAGAGCGAAGCGACGTGGCCGATAGTTGCAATGTCTAGATAACCACCGGATGGCGCGGCCAAGAAAAAGTCGACTCCTATTCCTGAAGCCACCATCTTCTCTGCAGCCTTCTTCCAGGCAGGATGCTCCGCATGATACAGCTTCTTGTCGAGCTCACCTCCGGGATGCTTGCCGTCATCTCGCATGAAAAGGCGACCGGGACCGAAGGTTGGAAGAGCGGAAAGCGAGCAAACAATCTTGCCACCAGTCTTGTCGAGTGCAGCAATCGCCGAGTTGAGAGTGGACAGTAGTGCAGGTTCAGGATTCTTGACACTGGAGAAGAGGGTAGGCAATCTTGTCAAAAGTGATGTAATGACTGCCCTTGACTCGTAGGGATCAACGAAGAGGCCAGTGTTTAGAGGTACGAAGGGGTCTTCCACATCTGGCATGACCATCATTTGTGGTTGTTCCAGTGACGCATGGCAGTTGTAAAAGTGGATATCCTTGTCGTAAGTCACAAAACCAACCTTGGCTCCTTCCGGTATCCTCCGCTTTGGTTGATCATCGTCATCCTGTTGGCTCTCGCCTCCTTCCGGCGCATAGAGTGCAGCCAGAATGCCCTCGCAGAAGGCCTCCAAGAAGCCCTTGTTGAAGGCCTCCTGAGTAACATCGATCAGGAACAGCCAGTTCAAACCAACAGGTTCTCTGGTGTAGTATTCCTTGGGAACTGTGAACTCGACCGTGCCACGGCATAGCTCTGGTCTCTGATCCCTGTCTACTCTGACGCCCTGCGGTGTTGTCGCACAGAAGTACTCTGATGGGGTGTCGTTCGGATAGGTGCATAGATTACACTGGAATTTTGAGCCGCCATTGCGAAACATCATGAAGGGGTTGATGTAAGCTCTACATCTCCTACATCTGGGAGGGCCTACGTCGCCGAAGTCCAGCAGGGGAATCTCCAGCTCACCCGGTTGAAGCTTGGCAAGGGGTTGAACAATGAGACCCAACGGAAGGCCAGTGCTGTCCAAGCCTTCCTTGCTTGCCGGGATGTTGTTCAAGGTCAAACGGGTGAACTTGGGAGCCGAGTTGCCCTGATCGTACGAGACGAAGGATGTCGCGGCGGGGGGAGGGACATGGCGCTCAAAGGTAGGATAGACGTTCCTGAAGTAGTACTGCTGAGGCACATCTCTCGAGACTGGGACGCTTGGGATGTCGTCTGGTGAGACTTGGGCTCCGGAAGCCGGGACGAAAGCCGACAGGGGAGGACCAGAATCGGAAGGGCCGTTCCTGGCAGCGAACTCTGCTGGCGAAGCGGCAGCAGGGTTGAAGGGCTGACCGGCGGGAGCTGGAAATTGGGCTGCGAACTGGCTCGGGGTTCCTGGCTGACCAGGGAAGTAGCTGCCTGCTTGCACCGAAGGATCGGCGTTGAGGAAGGCGGTCTGAGGGGTTCCGGCAGGCGGGATGCCGTTGAAAGGCTGGGACGAGCCAGCGGGGGCGCCGACGGCATGAAAAGCGTGGCGGTCCTTCTTCTTCTTGCGGGATTGTTGCGGCGCATCTGCAATTCCAAGACCAGCCATCTGGGACGACAGATCCGGTTGTCCTCCATATTGGTCTTGGTCGTGTGCCTGTCCATGTGCCTGTGGCTGTACCTGTCCCAGTCCCAGTCCCACGCCCTGTTGTGGTGCGAACCCCGGTGCGGCTACTGGGGATGGTGCGCCGTAGTACTGCTGCCCTGGGGGCGCCGGCGAGCTGTAGCCTCCCTGCTGGTGGTACTGCTGGTGGGCAACCTGAGGATTGAACTGCTGAGAGGCAGGCTGGCTCGTCCGGTTCGGGTCGTTGGGGTCGAGCTGCTCCCCTTGGCCGAGCGCATGGTACATGGAGTGGTCGGCCATGTTTAGCGGAGGGGATCGCTGGTGTGTATCCGCGGTTGGGTATGCGGAAGGGGGCGGTTTTAGGTGGTTTGTTGTACAAAAGAAACGCTTCGCAGAATGGATCACGAGACAAGTTTTTCCATACCAGCTGTGGAATTTTGTGGTTGTAACAAGCAAATCAGCTCAGCAAGAAATACGGGCAATAATTAATTCATGGGTAGGATTCATTCTGGACATCTGGCGTTCTCACAAGCTAACACAACTAAGTGAACAATAAATCCCCACCATGGAATTGAATTGAACGCGACCTGGACCTGGACCGGGACTCGGACCTGGGCCGGGGGTGCAAAAAGTGCCCCCTAAAACTTGCACTGGGGGGAACCCTACGGGCTTCCAGGGACAATGGACACCAGTCAGTAGCAGTGTTCTGGCCACATCTACAGTACATAGGCACGCCGTACTGCTGAGATACAAGTTAGGTAACTACTGGAGATACCTAACCTAGCAGGCCTAGTTAGTTAGATTACCTTGTTCCGAGGGGGTTTTTCCAGCGCCGGCTGGAAGCTGGAAGCTGGAAGCTGGAAGAGCCTCATTTTACCCCACCAAGTTGACGTTTCTGCTGCAGTGCAGGGAGTCCGGTCGGATACAGACATGCTAAGTACATAGCATGGGATGATCTCACACGCTAAAGGTTTCCCGCAGCAGGGCAGCTAGGTTACATAAGTTACATAGCAAAGCAACGCAGGCCTGGCAGGGCCTCAGCGCGAACCAAGTCGCGCCTCGGAGGAGACCCAAAAAGGGCTGCCCATCCAATGGCTGTGCTCGTTGGAACAAAGCTTCAGTCAACACCAAGCCTTTACAAAACTGGCACCATCGCCATCTCCGCCAGCAGGGCTTGTCATATCGACCACGCGGACATCTCACCTAGGCAGGGGGCAATAATTCCATCTCGGAAAACTTGATAACTTGACTTTGAGAGTGAATGTATTGTTTGATTGATGCCAGTGGCATGCGCCGCTGCAGCACATAACGGTCGCACATTCCTTTCATTCTCTGTCGTGTTGTGTCCTGTTTGTGTTCGGTTTTGCCCTCCTTCGAGGTCCTTCCCTTGGACGTCCCGGAGCTAAACATCGCATTGCTCGCTCGTGGTAGCAGACCTGAGCGCCCCCCCCAAGATACCCCCGAACACCCAGTTAATCGCCCATCATGTTCACCTTTACGCCCCTACAAGGCGCCAAGTCAGACTCCACGGCTGTCCAGTCCATACTTGAGCTTGATGGCGGCGTAAAAGTGCTCGTCGACGTCGGCTGGGACGAGGCCTTTGATCCACAGCAGTTGAGGGAGCTCGAGAAGTACGTATATACACCACCTCTCGCCAGTACCAAACACCTCCGCCTGGCATGACATCTGTATTAATCCCAATGACAGGCAAGTCCCGACCTTGTCCCTCGTCCTCCTCACCCACGCGACCGTCTCCCACCTCGGCGCATTTGCGCATTGCTGCAAGCACATCCCGCTGTTTGCGCGCATTCCTGTCTATGCGACCACGCCGGTCATAGCCTTGGGCCGAACACTCTTACAAGAGCTGTACATCTCTACACCACTCGCAGCGACTACGATCCCCAAGTCCTCCCTCAATGAGGTCTCGTACTCATACAACGCCCAAGCCGCTGCCACCGAATCAAACATCCTTCTACAGCCACCTACAAACGACGAAATAGCCAAATACTTCTCGCTCATCAACTCCCTCAAGTACCTGCAACCGCACCAGCCCGTGGGATCGCCTTTCTCGCCTCCATTGAATGGTTTGACTATCACCGCATACAACTCTGGCAGCACATTGGGTGGAACCATCTGGCACATACAACATGGTCTCGAATCTATCGTCTACGCCGTAGACTGGAACCAAGGGCGCGAGAATGTCTACGCAGGCGCTGCCTGGCTGGGCGGAGCTGGCGGCGGCGGTACCGAGGTCATCGAATCCTTGCGCAAACCGACAGCTCTTGTATGCAGCAGCAAAGGCGCCACCAAGTCATCTTTGCCAAGAGCCAAGAGGGATGAGCCTCTGCTCGAATCGATAGAGGGGTGCATCTCAAATGGAGGCACGGTATTGATACCCGTCGACTCCGGCGCAAGAGTCCTGGAGTTGGCATACCTGCTGGAACACGCCTGGCGGCGGCATGCTGCCAAGGACGGTGGTAAGCTGCACTCCGCCGAGCTCTACCTGGCTGGTCGTGGTATACACAGCACTATGCGCTACGCTCGAAGCATGCTGGAGTGGATGGATGAGCGGATTGCGCAAGAGTTTGAAGAAATCGCCGATGTGAATAAGAGACCCAATGGTGCTACCAACGGCACAAGTCAAAAGGACCAAGGCTCTCAGGGAGGTCCGTTTGATTTTCGATATCTCAAGTTGTTGGATAGAAGAGGCCAGGTTGACAAGGTCCTGTCAAGGCCGAATGGCGACGGCTCTGTCGGCAAGGTCATCTTGGCCAGTGATTCAAGTCTCGAATGGGGTTTCTCCAAGGATGTTTTCAAGGCTCTGGTACAGGACCCCAAAAATCTGCTCGTATTGACTGGCCTTCCCACGACACCCACTGGAGGCAGTACCACACTGTCAAGCACCTTCTACAAGTGGTGGCGGGAGTCTGTCGAGGAAAACGAGAAACACGGCGCCGAAGCTGTCGGTACGGGTATTGGGACTAATGGCGCGCTCATACAAGTTCCTGGCAAGGGTCGGGAAGCAACACTGCGGGACGCTCAGAAAGAGCCCCTCGAAGGAGATGATCTTGCAGTCTACCGATTTTGGCTCGCTCAACAACGTCAACTACAAGACACCGTGCAGACCGGCGGCACAGAGACACTTGATGCCAATCTCGATATTGATGATGCCTCCTCAGAGTCCTCGTCCGATTCCGGAGATTCCGAGACCCACCAGCAAGGAAAAGTCCTGAATGTGGCAGCGACCTTGGGCAGAGCAACCCGAAAGAAGGCCTTGGTAGCGGATGAGGATCTAGGCCCCAACATTCTTCTCAAAAAGAAGGGCGTTTATGATTATGACTTGCGTGGCAAGTCTGGCCGAGATGCCATGTTCCCCTATCCGGTACAGAGAAAACGAGCAGACGACTACGGCGACCTGATCCGCCTGGAAGATTTCCTGAAGACAGAGGAGCAGCAAGACGACGACCAGCACGGTCTTTTGGATGGCAAAGAGGATTTAAAAGACAACCTCGGAAAGAAACGCAAATGGACCGATTCGGCTCCCAACAAGGGCCTAGGTACCGACAAGAGACCTAAGCTCGAGCGCAACGCCTCAGACGATTTCGAGATGGCTATCGCCGATGGTCCCGTGATCAACGAGCTCGATGACGTGCCGGACGATGAGGAAGACACGTCCACGGGTCCATTCAAACTTGCGCTCACCACAGAACAAGTCACCATCAACATGAACATCACATTCATAGACTTTAGCGGTATACATGACAAGCGAAGCTTGCAAATGCTTATACCCCTAATCCAACCACGGAAGTTGGTTCTCACCGGTGGTAGCTCCTTGGAGACGGAAGAGCTATCAACGGAGATGCCCAAGATCATCCAGTCACAAATCGACATCTTCATGCCGGAGATCGGTTCGACAGTGGATGCGTCTGCCGACACAAATGCATATTCCGTCAACCTGGCACCAGCTCTCGTCAAAGGTCTTAAGTGGCAGGACGTAGGTGGTGTCAAGATCGCTACCCTAGTTGGACGGCTTAGCATGGCCGACGAGAACAAGGACCCCGTTCTCGATATACCTATGACACTGGCAAGTGGACTGGCCGCAACCCAGTCCGTGACCCCATTCCACGTGGGCGACTTGAGACTGGGCAACCTGAGGAAAGACCTTCGGGACAGCGGATACTCAACAGAGTTCATGGGAGAGGGCACTCTGCTAGTACAGAACTCTGTCATTGTACGGAAGGCCGCGAATGCTGGTCGCATTACTGTAGAAGCAGCGGGTTGGGAGACGGACACGGTGCAAACCGTAAGGAAAATGGTGTATGAGAAGCTGGCTGTTGTCGGTCACTAGCATAGTAAGATAACACGCCCTCTGCCACTGGCGGTCGTCGATGCAGAAGTCAGGAATCGTGAAGTCAACACCGAGGCTCTGACATAGAAGATTATGTTTCTCCCGTTAAAAAGCATGCATGATCAAAATAATGACGATTGTTGTATTAATAGGAATAGGAATAGCGGAGTGGAGCCGAATGACATTCTCGAATCGCTGGATTTGAGTGTAGCCATAATATGCCTTCACAAGCAGACACTTGTTTATAGATGGCATCATTTAGATACTCACTCGACACTCCCTCCTATCTGAGATGACATAACTGCGTAGACTGCCCACATGGGATATTTATCTCTGTACAACATAGCGTATGCTTATAATTTATTGAGCAGTGGTGAACCCGTCAGACCATGGGACACCGGTGGTCACGTATAAGTACCAGCGTCGACCAGATTTAAAATTCTCTTCAATCTTTATTTTCCCGGTCCAAAGTAAGCAAACTCGAATATATACTCAAAAGTGAGTCAATTATAGAAACTTCTGTCGCTAGCGCGCCATCATCCACGACTGACAATGCGTCTAAGAACGTCCCACCTGGTTTTTGAATCTCACCGTGTTCGACAACGTCAGCGGAAGACGGAAGCCCGCCCAATAGTGAGTGGGTGCTGCGGTGGAGCTGTGCAAACCGGACGCCAGGTTCAAAGAGAATCTCCTCAAAGATAAGAGGGAGATGATGTCTTTTTTCTTCCTGTTTTAGGAAAAGGCAGGTTTTCATGCACGATGCTCGCTGGGGCAATCCGATCCGATCCGGGGACTGGGTAGGTATCTTATCAGCCCGGGCTTGTATTTTAACAGTTTAGCTTTCTCAGGCAGGGGCGTTTCTTGGAGCTTGTGATAAGAGGTTCTTTTTGTCTGTTCTGGGCTGTGATAGCTTCGGGGGGCCGTAGAGATAAGACAGAGCGAATTGGCTTGGCGAAACTGGGATGTTTGTGGGGTTCGGTTGTTTGGGGGGCAGCTTTATAGGACGATGACGGACGAACGAACACCCCCCGTGAAAAGACGGCGTGGAAAGAAGATTTTGTGTGTTCATACCTGATTGATATATAACTTTTTACGGTAGCTTCAATTCGAAATTCTGTCGTGACTGCCAGCGAAAAAGCAATGGCGACCAGTGATTCGGCGCGCGTCCTGGCGGCGTGGGAGGAGTGCGACAAGACGGATACCTTATTCGTCCTCGTCTGCACAGTAATCTGCTGGACCATTGTGCCGACTGTGAGAATACTCCGGACCCTGCTTCCTATCTCTACACGAAAGAAAGAAAAGAAAGGACAAACAAAAAAATATCGGGAATAATAGAGCTGACACGGAGTCTTTCTCTTTTTGCTTTCAAGGTCGGAATTGCGTACGGAGGATATTCGTGGAAGCGCAACGGGCTTTCTGCCGCCATACCGGCCCTCCTCACCATCGCGACGTGCTCGATACAGTGGTTTGTGGTCGGCTACACGCTGGCGTACGGTGAGGGCGGCTCCGTCTTTGGCGATTTCCGGTATGCCTTTCACCGTGGTGTCCTGTCCGAGCCCGTGGGCACGATCCCGGCTATACTCTTCAGCGAGTTCCAGCTGGTCTTTGAGGCGACCGTCTGCGCGATTGCGGTCGGGGGGTTCTGTGAGCGTGGGCGGTTGTTGCCTGTGATACCGTTCATAGTGGTAAGCCACGTTGATCATGAAATATGTGCTTGGAGTCGTTGCTGAATATGTGGACCAGTTGTGGTCGACTTTCATTTATTGCCCGTTGGCGCACATGGTCTGGGGCGGTGGATTCCTCGGGGAAGACTTGGGAGTGCTTGACTTCGCTGGCGGTAACTGAGTACATCGTGACAGAGGGGCGATACAACACATACTGACCGACAGACAGGTACGCCCGTGCATGTGTGCTCTGGCGCGACGGCCACGGCCATCAGCCTCTACCTCTCGTACCCGATTTTCCGTTCCCGGCGATCCGACCGCCGCACTCCCACCCACATACGCCTCCACCGACCAGGGAACTCCTTCTGCCAGCTGATCGCCCTGATCATCATCTGGGGCTCCTGGCTCGCCTTCGACGCCGGGACGACGCTGGCGCTCAACTTCCAGTCCGTGATGGCGCTCTGCGCGACGAACCTGTGCGCGTCGTCGGGCGCGCTGACGTGGGCATGCCTCACGTACTACGAGACGGGGAGGTGGTCGCTGGACTCGACGTTCATGGGCGCCATCTCGGGCCTCGTCATGATCACGCCGGCCGCCGGCTTCGTCGACCTGCCCACGGCCTTCCTCCTCGGCGTGCTCGGCGCCCTCGTCTGCCGCCAGGCCCTGCGGGTCAAGTCCACGGACACGGCGCGGCGCTGGCGCTGGGTCGACAATGGCGATACCTTTGCCACGCATTGCGTCGGTGGGATCCTGGCTACCATGGCGACTGGTCTTTTTGCCCAGAAAGAAGTTGCGGCATACGGCGGCGTCGAGGTTGATGGAGGCGTGTTTTTCGATGGCAATATTCGACAGCTTTGGGTACAGCTCGTGGAGGTCCTCGTGGGGTTCACCTGGTCCTTTTTCGGCTCCTTCGCGATCATTGCGTTGATTGATTGTGTGCCAGGCCTTGAAGTTTTAGCTGTCGACAAGTGAGTTGCTCAGTTTTCAAAAACCGCATGGCTTTTAACCATACTGATTTTGAGAATAGGGAAATCATGTCAGGTCTCGACACGTTTCAAACGGAAGAGTCCTTGGATCAAACGTATATCGTTGACGAAGAGGACTACTCTCCTTTCACCGGAGGCGAGATTGGCATATAACGAGGGACAAGGACTGGATGGTATTTATTGCAAGTCCGTATGTAAACTTGGTCACATCACTACAATCCAGGATACGATCACTAGTGCTGCAGTTGGAAGCTTCATGTCCGGTCGGTGTTGGTGGTTATTTAGAGCGAGGCGGACAGCGTGTAGCTGAACGTACAGGCCAGACGCGACATAGCTCGAAAGAATATTAATACGCAAGGAAAAGCGGGATCGAAGCCTTTCCAATAGATAGGGACTGGCCAAAATATTCAGCCGTGTCCCCAAGTGGAAACTTTGAGAGTTAGAAATTGATGCCATTTATCGATCGCAAATCACTATTGGGTGGCGATCGGGACAGGAGCCGCATAACCTGATGATTTTCTCCAGTGCGACGGTGTAACAACAAACAGGGTTCCAAGCAAGTGGCAGCCTTGAAAGTTGACACGATTTTAGTGGTGTCTGCCATTTGCCAATATGACCCGTCAGCTCTCCGTTTGCATTCCTGGACTTCCATTGAAGCACGCGCTCCTGGTTGTCGGTCACGGTTCACTTCCTCGAGATGCTTCACTTGGGTCCATTTGCGGCGGTTTTCGAGACTGGAATACTGGATTTCTCTTCACCCTATGGATGCTTGCCAGACTTCTTCATCTGGACTATCTGTAGAATCCGCCTGGGCAGGTCTCCCCCCCAGGATTACAGACATACGGCTCGTGGAGCCGAACCCAAGTCTCATCTGCGTCGCAGAACCGAACCTAAGCCTCCAAATTGGTCATTTGCCTCATATGCTTCGTATCCATGGCCTCGAAAAACGGTCGGTCGCTTGATTGATGATATCGAATCGGCAGGTCAAGTTGAGCGAAATGGCTTATGTGCCAGGGTTGGGGTTCATCTACACCAGAGCGTCAGTAGCTGGGACTTGCCGCGTCTCTCTCGACAGGCCAGGCTGCATTCGTACCTTTCTCTTGCCACCGGTCAGGGTGACGTTGACGAAACGGCGAGTGTAAGTGAGTCTCTTCTTCGCGCGGCCCTTGGGGGTCTTGGCCTTCTCTTGCTTCTCGACCTGAACCGGATTGTCAGACCACCGAATTCCTCGACGCCGGGGGGGTGGGAACGAACCTTGGGGGTCTGAGACTTGACTTTACCGGCACGAGCCAGGGAACCGTGCACTTTACCCATGATTGCGAAATGTACGACGTGGAATTTGGCGATACGTTTTGGCGGTGACGTCCAGATTCGAAGCGCAGCTCTGCCGATACCCTCGCGATGGAAAGAAAGTGCTGGTGGGGCTACAAAATTGTCCCACCCCATTAGCCCTAATAACAGCCACCCATTCCAGGTGGTTCGCTCTCTGGCAGCCGGCGAATGTGTCCGCAGCTGGCGTGAGCCGCGCTGGTTGTGTAAGAGCAGGATTTCTGATCGGGTTCATCGACTGACTCCAAAGGCATCCGCTCGGCAAAAGGTTAACTTCACATCTATGTATATACGGATCCGTACACACAGTAGGACCCCTTCCTTCACGGCGCCACCCAAACGTAACGAACTTACGAAATCAAAACATTCACGTAGCTCACTCACGTACATCAAATTTCACAAATCTCATTGTCAGTCACATTCCTCATCAAGGCTGGCGAAAGACATGATTATCAGTCACGTCTGGTTTATCCTATCAGCACCACGTGCATCTGGCAAAAGTATACAATGAAGCGCTACTGAGCTCTGATTCTCCACTACTGAACCTGTTCTTCATGCATCGACTGGGAGTTGTTTCCAAAGACACCTTGTACATCTGTAATTGAGAGCTTTTGTCCTCGACGTTGCTGGCGCTTTCATGGCAGCACATCGGTCCGACAACGATGCGGGAATATGAGCAACAGAAGACGCCATGTCAGCAAGAGATTGGCTCCAATTCAATAAAGCTCATCACCGAGGCACATGTTGAGTAGAGTGAACCACTAAAGTTATGGACAGTTTGTCTGGAATCCCTGATTGCAATTGGGCGCGACACCATCGTGTCTCCATATGAAAACTAAAGACACATGTTTGAAGTTCGGTTTGTGCAAGGGTTTCTAATGTCGCCATGATTGCCTAGATGACGAGACCTAACTTAATATACACCCTATCCACCGGTTTGGATGGCCATGTCACCCGTACATGTGCCTGCATTGCTTCTTTGCAAACGTCAACGTCAACCCGTTTCCCTGGGACCGACGACGTCGCAATACGTACACCACTTATAGATTCTTGTACCAAACCAGTTCAACACCCTTGCGACCGAGCAGTGACTCTCGCTTCACACCGGAATGACTGCTGCCAAGCCCTCAAAGACGGGCTCACCCAGCCCCTGTTCCCAAGACCCCGCAATACTCGGTAGGGGCCACCGACGACGGTTGGCCTCCGAGTTCCTCAACGCCAATGCGGAGAAATTCTTCTGCATACTCTAATTTGGAGTAGCTTTTGGGACTCGGGTCAATCGTTCACGAACGAGCTGCCAGGGGGGGGGGCAATATGATGTTCTTGGCATTGGCCTTGCGAAAATGTAACCTTGCCGTGATATAAATAAAAGTAATTTCGCACGTCTGCAGCAGTGACGCAAGTGTGCTCTCGATGACCTTCGCGCTCGGTGGTAAAACAGATTGAGTTGCTGTTCCCAATATAACGCTGTAACCTAATAGTAATCACCATCACGTCCAGCTATGCGCTTCTCAAAAACATTGGGCCTGCTCACCGCCGCCGCCGCGGTCACGGCAAAGTACATCGTCCCCGGAGGCCGCTGGCGCGATACAGATGGTGAGCTGGTAAACGCACATGCCGGCGCTGTGATTTGGGACGAGGATACTGAAAAGTACTGGCTGTTTGGAGAGTACAAGATTCAGGGCGCTACCGAAGGAGCGGGTGTCTCAGTCTACAGTTCGAAAGACCTAGCAACTTGGGAGCACCATGGCTTGGCCCTAGGTGGGTTATCTATGCCTCAGTCCAGCAACTAAAGAGTTGGGAGTTGCTGACAAGACTGAAATGCACAGAACCGATTGAGGGGCACCCATACATTTCCCCGAAGAACATCATCCAGCGTCCCAAGGTCGTGTACTCGGAAGTCAGCAACGAGTACCACTTGCATTGGCATGCCGATAACTCGAGCTATGGATTGCTGCTGCAAGGCTATGCTACGTCTCCCACGGTTCAGGTTCGTTGATACGTAGACTCTCGCCTGACTGTATCTACTTACGAAAATTCCAGGGTCCCTACACCTTCGTCAATGCGACAGCTCCTCTTGGCAATTGGTCGCAAGATTTTGGTCTGTTCACTGATTACAAGGATGGGCGTTCCTATGCCCTGTATTCCAATGGCGACAGCCGCGATGGCCGTGACGTCTATGTCACTCGCTACGATGAGGACAAAGCCGAACTCGAGGAGGTTGTGTACCGTTTCCCCAAATTCGACCTCGAGGCACCCACAATTGTGCAGACCGACAAGAGCTACTACGCCATCATGAGCCACAAGACTGGCTACCGTCCCAACAACGTCGTGGCCTTCCGCGCGGATAAGCTCGAGGGACCTTGGAGCCAGCCCTGGATCATCAACCCGCTGAACACGAGGGGCCTGAACAGCCAGAGTGGCAACAGTCTGCGGATCGATGGAACCAAGCAGACTACACATCTGTACATCGGCGACCAGGTAAGCTCCTCTCGCACTCCGGGTACAAAGTATCACAAGTGCCGGACCACTGGCTGACATGGCTTCGATCTAGTGGGATTCCAACTCCAACTGGGAGAGTCGATACATCTGGCTGCCCTTGAACATCGACGACGAGAAGAAGGACCTCAGCATTGAATGGCACGATGTGTACGACCTAGATGTGAAGACTGGCGAGTGGTCGCCGGTCGAAGGCAAGGAGTACTATGGCAAGGATGCAACGGCAACGGGCGATGCTTTCCACCAGGAGGCCAACTTCGCGAGCGGCGGCGTCATAGCCACGGGTATCTACGGCAACGACAGCAAGATCGTTTTCTCGGGCATCCAAGGCGCTGGAAGGCCGCAGTGGGTGTCGTTCTACTATCAGAGTAAGTCTGCCATATTACCGGCTGCTGATGGCAGCATCATCATCATCATTTGTTCTACAAGCACGTCGGCTAACCCCATCTACTAGACATCGACGACATGGGCTTCGGCGACCAGCCGGGCGGCAGCCCAGACCGTATCGGCGGGTCGTGGCAGCTACGCCGTGTTGCCAGCGTGATTGTCAACGGCAACGAAGACAAGGTCGAGACGCTGTATCAGCGCGACACGCACAAGGGCATCATCCTGTCGACGCCGCTGCAGTTGACGTTGAACAATGGAACCAACAACACGATCACGATCGGCGGCCTCTCCAATGGATTCGATTACAAGAGCGCAGACATTGACAAAATCGTGGTGTATCCTGCCGAGAACTAGACTCGAGGGCAAACCAGGCTCAAAAGCGAAGATATACACCATAGGTAGCAGTCGTAGTTACGCCAAGAGTACGTGTATCTTTTCCGATTGCCGTTGAAATGTTTTGGACGTGCAATGATGCTCAAAACACTCTGGCGCTGGCCTTCCTTTGTATGAGTTAACCTGACAAAGAAATTGGTTGAGACCAGGACATATCCTGGGTCTTGTCCTAGCGTATGGTACGTTGGCTCTCACTTGGGCGCTTGATCACCTCAACCTACACTACCTCGGAAAAGGACCAATTACAGCCAAGTAGTAACCAATCAAAACGTCAATCCCATCAAAACATGGATGGGTGTACAAAGACAATTGTGTTTATCAATAACGATTGTAGTAACGAGTAGTGGGCACGGAAATGTACAATAGCCATAACTGTGCACCTACAGCTACGGTAGATGCCTGGGTTTACACTTTACACGGCTGCTGCGTGAACTTTCTATGCATTGCTCGATCCATAGTAATCTGTAATGCACCTAATTATGCTGCCAAGCCATTCGAGGAGCTAAACTGAATACGAACCACACGCTCGTTAGCTTTCTGGCCCACCTTCTATCCTAGCTCGTTCATTTGTCAAAGCTTCATTGGTCGAAGCCCGGAACAAAGAATTACCTGTCCGCTGATAATCTTGGACTGCCCCCCAGGCGAGGTTGGGGGGTTGCCTAACAACCGTCATTCAGTCGAAGTGACCATCGACACCTTCACGTCGCGCCGCAACCACATCTCTCATCGAGTCGCCGTGGCGCGACATCAACATCTCATTTTTTCGAACACCGGAGATCCATGATTCTCCTGCTGCTTGATGCTGCTCAATACTGCGCAGCATAATACAACACAGCACAACCAACAGGGTCAGTCCTTAGGAATGTCACGCGAAAGTGGGCATCCGCGCCGCCCGCTGAACCACCATGGCCATGGCATAACATGACGCTTTCCACGCTCGCAAACGGTTACATCTGCTGTCAAGACCACTGTAAAATTCCGACTTCTACCCAGTCTGGAGCACGCTCCCTGGAAGAACCGGGGTCTTGAAGAGGCTTTCTTACCTCTTGACTACCGTGACGATCTACACACGCAAGTGGTAGTCGTTACCGTCGATGAGAGGTAGGAAAGCCTCGGAGACAGGTACTGTTGCGCTTGCGAACGTCATGTTGTCTTGTCGTGTTCTTGGTTCGGCAGTGGCGGCGAGGACTTCAAACTACCGCTGTTCAAGTCTCGCACCGCACACATTCTCTCTCCTTCAGCTGCGCAGAGTTGGTTCGGGTTTCTTCTACGGGATTTGCAGGGCAGACTGTCCTGCCTCCACTTGAAGCCTGAGTCTCCTCTCCTGCCATTCCTTGCTGGCGTGTCTGATCTGTATACTCGTGACTAAATGCTTATAAATATTCCAGGCCTTTCTTTTCGTAAATCCCACCATGGATCTTTCGACCGACTCAGAGCTCGACGAAGATGTCACTGCAACTCAACAACATTCTGCGACTGGTGACATTCAAGTAAAAAACGTGCCCGCTATTGTAACATGGCAAGACAATAACGGTGACAACCTGTCGTTAGCAGACCTGGATATAGGCATTCTCTACAAAGCCGGCACTAGCGAGGCGCTGGTCAAGTTACAGGCCAATACGAGGCTAAAGAAGGGGCCCAGCAAACCCTGTATCTATCTCTTCATCAAACCTGATCAGATACGGACGTTGACGTGTGTTGGCGATGATGAGTTTGGCAGCAGCAGCGAAGAGGAACAGTGCCGACATGCCCGCGAGAAACTCGGAACGAGTGCACATGCTATGCGGTTCGAGTTGCAGAGCCCTGCCACTTTTGTCGTCCCACCCGAATATCCCTACAAATTCTTCAGGGCTGGCTCGCAGACTGTGTGGAGGTCTTGGAAAGCCTTTGCTCAGGATACGCTTCACTTCATTGTACACATTCCCATGAGAAGTCTTTCCAAGGCACGGTTGGCGAGATTCTGTCAGGTTGCATCTGGAAATGAAGATCTGGTATCGTTGGACGATATTGCCAGCCTCTATGGTGGCAAGGGCGGCCGGATCATCGACCCCAATGTCGACGATGATGCCGATGACTCCAATGCTGGGCACGCGCCTGTGGTTCACGGCGATGAGACTGATGCTCCCCCAGCCTATGAGGAGCGGAAAACCGCTGGGTCTAGCATGTCTGGTATAGCACCACCTCTGTGTCTATCTCCAGGTAAGCCGCTTCCCCATTACTCATTACATGCATCTAGAAACGCTCGGATACCTTTATTCTTGAATGAACTTCTTTTGAGAAGAGCATCTATCTTGATAAAGAGAGTGAAGAAGCGTTGAAGAAAACCGTCAGATGACAGCCTTTCTTGAGAGAACTTGTCCTGTGGTTTTTAAATCGTAGAGAAGTTCCTGAAGATACCTGCTCTATACAACCTCACCTCTACATGGTGCAGAAACCTATGGCTTACTGATCGTGACCTGCAGAACCAGAAGTACCGTCGCGAAAGCGTCGCCGCCGCAGCAGCACGGAGATTGACGGCGACAAAGATCTCGGCGAAAAGAGCATCAGTGCCAACGATAAGATCTTACAAATCCTTTTCAGGCTTCAAAAAACGGTTGACGAGGGAAAGGTGGCGCATGAGGCGACTCTGTCCCAGATACTGGCCAAGGTGGACAAGATAGAATGCCGGCTCAGCTGCCTTGAAGAACAGCAACAAAACGTGGCCGACGAGATAGCTTGTCAGGTTGAGCCATTATGGGACGAGATGAGTGCGCGATTACAAAGCCAGGAGGACAGGGAACATGATTACATCAAGGATATGATTGACGAGGCCTTCGATGAGAAGATAGACGATAAGATACCCGACGCGGTTGATCAATACTTCAAGAACGACGAGGACGGCCAGAGTTTGGTCGCTGACATAGTCGCAGAGAGGATACAGGAAGAGACGAGGGAATTTCTGCGACATCGGCAGATCAGAGGGCATTTTACTATTACTGATAATGAATGAAAAACTGTCTACTATGAATCTCAACTTACGCCTTTGTGTGCGCTTTCCCCTCTTCACAACCGCAGCAAGCTGGTGAATGCAATGAGGAAAAGAAAAAAAAAGGAAAAAAAAAAAAGGGTAAAAAGATGGTTTGGGGTTCTGAAGGTAGTGTGAGTTCAGAAACCCAGGTCATCAAGGCAACCTGTGAGAAACAAAAAAATTAAGTCCTTGGCAAGTATCAGGCCAGAAAGCGCGTAGCCTCATCCGAGCATCGCAGACAATTCTTGGCAGACCTACCCCCTACATCAGCCCAGCTAAGAGATTGGCCTCTTTCGCTTTTGTCGCCGAAAAAGACGAAAACAGAATGCCAGTGTAGATGATGCGCCCGACACCCGTTTCTGCGACCAGGCGGTACTCCCAGAGTCCCTCAGCTGCTCCGTGGTGCGATGAGGCAGGCAGGCGAGAGGACCAAGCTGAGAGGCGATGTTCTGGAAAAACGCGTCCACAGTATGCAATGCCGAGTACCCGAACGACCAAGCCCTCCAGAAACCCACCTCCCCTCGAAAAGAGAAAGGCTTCGCGCTTCTCAAAACAAAGGCCGTCCCCGGGCTTCCGTTGGGGACAGCTCTCACGTTTTTGTTCTGGTGGGGAAATAAAACCGTCACCAAAAGCCTGGTGAAGGAAGCTGTAGAACACTACCGAGCCTACCACCCGCCTGTCGAGAGATTTCAGCAGAAGTAGAAGAAAAATAAAGACGGGGTCCAGGGACCAAGATAAGCCATGGAAGGTCTTCAACACTTGGTTTGAGTAGCTCTTGCGTGATGGAACTTGCCTGTCCTCCCTTCCTTATCCGTGACTCGTTACCGTGTCGACGCCCCACCTGCTGTTGGTTCTGCTCTTGTACCTGCGGTTGGTTCTTTGCTCTTCCCCTTGCCTCCGCGCCGTCCTTCCAGGGCTCGTGCCGGCCGTGTCCCCTCGAGTGTGGAGCCTGGTGATGGAGAATGTGAGTTGGGGTTCGTGGAGGATGAGTGATGGGGGTGTGATGACAGAGTTTAAGTGATGTGCTGGGCGTGTTGGGGGTGGAATCTTTCTCTTTCTCATCCTTTTGCGTGGATGGCACCTGTAGCGGTGATGGCCAACGGCGCCTCAGCTCAACGCGCTTTGACAATGGTGGAAAATGTGGGACATGCGATGTTTCGTCGAGTGGAAACGATGTGACGATCTTGAGTTGGGTGATAAGGATATTATGAGTTTGAAATTACTTACCACAACACGCTTTATCCCAACAACCCAGGCGAAGAGGCTTGCTGGGTTGTTGTCGTTGTCGTTGTCGTTGTTGTTCTTGTTCGTGTCGAAGAAAAGAGTGAATGTCAGAAGCTTGTAAGGCTGCAAATGATGGCATGCTCGCAACTGACTGATGTTGGATGTGGTGGAAGGGAAGGTCTGTGTTTGAAAGCAAAAGCACCAATTTATAATGGGCGGATCAGAGCTTCAGCATAGCTACTGATTGTGGGAAGACTCAGTGATCTAACGGGGACCCACCTGGAGTGTGATTTCGAGTTTAGTTTCCGCTCATTGGTGGCATAGAGTTGTCAATTCAGGTGGGGCCGTGTTGGGGCGTGTTGGGGAATCACCCTAGAAATGGAATAGTCACTCATGTCTTGCATCACCAACCACCTTCGCGTCGCCCATAAAATCGTACATACAGTGACTACTACACGAAACGCTAGGAATTATGTGTACCTGGACGCGTTCCCAATCAGTCAGCTCTAAATACGGCTCGGTGCAAATTCCACCATTGCCCCATTACTTTCGCTGCGTTTAGAAAGCATTGCCAGGCGCGGGATCAGTCTCTTGGCATGGCGTGAAGCATCATGATACTCCCTCTCTATTTATGTCTTCCCATCGTTTAGGCTTCAAATTGGCACTGATAGACGTTATAGTGGAGGACATCATGAGACACTGCTTGTGCAACATCAAGTGCAAGTAGTAGGCAGGTAGAAGCCACAGCAGAATTCGCTGCTTTAACTGCCCCAATTGTGGAGGGGAATTGGTGATTCATTTTTTTCGCCACAGTGTCTGATTATTCAAGAGTTCCTTACGTTGCCTTTGGAATACACGTTATTGGGGAAACGATTGTAGTTGGAAATATTGATAAGGAGATTTATGTGCACACGAAAATCTTCCTCAATATCTAATGGATGCCTCAGGTGTCCACCTTGGGCAACCACTGTAAGTAGCCTTCAGCAGAACAGGGGATAGCTTGGTTCTTCAACCGCAACACCATGCTCGATCAATAGACCTATCTTTGATCACCAACTGCGCGACGTGTCCATAAATATCTGTGATAATATTACAGTGAAAAAGAGATATACATAAGCAACTATCTGTTAATTATTGGATTGTGATCTCTATTTTGCCCACCAAGGTTTTCTTCTCGTCCTGATGCCAGCTCTATGGCAGTTCTTGTCCTGATTACACATAGGATAAGACATGAAAGAGATCCGGTGCTGCAGTTGGCGTATTATGAGATCTGTTCTTGTTGTGTGTCTCCATGGTTGTAAAATGCGAGGTGTGACCCAACAGGGAGGTTTCGGTTGGAGAACCAGGATCGGCCCGCTCGCATCAATCATTTTCTCGCCTGCGCCCTCTCACCTAATCAGGTTCCATGCTGTCGGGTCATCTTTTAAGTTATCCACACGAACGCCAGTTTCGTGTATGCCTGCCTAGTAAGTAAGCAACGTGCAGGAGCCATAAGTCCCTTGCATGACACGCGATAAATGCTCATGAAGTCGAAATGGTAGGTAGGCAATTCATATCATAAACATATCTTCCTAAATTGACTTGCCTGCTAGCAGGGAGTTGTGCATTAACTCAGATCATTGTAATAAGACGTTTGTGCCAGTGCTCCAGCGTCGCTAAAAAGCAAAATGCTAGAGAATTCCCATGAAGGGCCAGCTGGAGCCAGGGTACAAATTAGGAACACGTGTAACACGCTAAAAATATGTGTCACCTTTCAGTGTATGTACATCGGATGGTATATATGATCACACGTCAGATTATATGTCAGATTGCATTGGAACTTTTCGACCGTAGTATTGATGAGGCGCTGGCTACTAAGAGATGCGACCATCACACATGACATGGCACTTGAAGGTAAGAAAATACAAACGAGACTTTAATTTTAATGTTACCAATATTAGATTTCTCGGTTTGGGGCGTCGCCACCTGAATATGTTGAGACATAGCAGATCATCTTGGTACAAAATGATAAAGGCTTGGATAGTTTTTGTTATGGACAATGCGGTCTCAACTCGTTTCAACATTACAGATTTCTACATCGTACTTTCAAATACTCAACATCGAAAGGACATAGATTGCGCAAATATGATAGTAGAGATATAAAGTTCTTCATTACTGTAGCATTCGCCAAGCACTTTATACGACCATGTCTGATGTATCAGTCGATGACTTCTGCGAAAGAACCCATCATCAAACGTGTTAATCTCAGAGGTATGCTAAACATTTCCGTCGGGGCCGGATCTACAAGATATATTCTATGTCTTCTTTCTAAACCGTATCACCATCAAGACATTGCCTACGTTGTAATCAAACTCGTCCTCCAATATTGCCACTTCCAGCTGCACAGATGTGTATCATCTATCCCAAGTTTATAGAGCGTGGTGACTTTGTTGGAAGTTCGCCGCGCACCGGCCCAACACTCCTCTATGTATCTATTATGACAGACGATAATTTCTGTCTTTTTAAACTCAGCATCCAGGACAGGCCAGTATATTTGAGTCGCCGCGAGGCGCAACCTCAACTGAACTTCTTTGGATGTTTTCAATCTCAATTCCCTGAAGGACTGGTATCGCATTGGCGAACAGGCTGAAGCCAAGAACAATGAAGATTGCGTAGTGATTCATCTTTATTGGATGCGCGTTTGTTTCGAGCAGTGCTCTGAAGATCGCAAGTTAGTCTTGCCTGGAAGATTCTGAGCTGGTCGGAGCCGGGCACGTACATGAGTGGATCACTGACAATAGACCGAAGTTGGGAAGTAGATTGCTTATCGTGGTGTAGTTTCTCTGATGATATTTCAAAAAAGACAGGTGGTCCATCGAGAGCTCTTGAGCGCCTTATATATTCCCGTCTCCTAGTATGCTTGTGGAGAAGTCATTTTCCTTCGTTTCAATCACTTTGGACGTATCTGTCGTCGAAGGAAGAAACTCTCTAAGCGACAAGGATAGTGGCTGAGTTTCAGATCCTGAGTAGCCCCTAATGTGTGCTACATGCTGACCACCCGATCCGCTTGCAACGGGCAGCGCCGGAGAGTAAAGGCCAGCGAGGAAATAAGGAAGCAGAGATGCTTATAGGAGGCGTCCGTGAAGGCTTTCAGCACCGGAATGTAACACGATAATGAGCCTACTTGTAAGCGCATAGCGCCATTTGCTGCGCACTTCCTACTTCTAAGAAAAAAATACCAAGGGTTCATGCTTGATGCATTGACTAGGTCTGCGGACTCTGCCCCCGTGTGATTCCAAAGCCTCAGTTGGATCGACCCCGTGCAACATTTTGCGGCCCGATGGCTTACCTGCACAATTCTAGGATGCTGTATCAGTCCCTGACCGGTCTTAAAATACCAAAGATACGAAATGTGATAGAGTTCCAAGTAAGTCTGCTGCTTGCATCAGCGCCGGAATCTGCATCGGCACTAGTCCCCCAGTAAGATCGATGTTGTCGAAAGTGATCCTAGGCTGTGCTTCGCATAGTCCGTAACACCCTCGGCCAATTTGGGGTACTTTGGCCTTGGCTTGCCGTAACAATTGTGGTCCCGCTACGGCCCGGCACGAGTTTTTGGGAATGTACCGTCTTTGACGGTGCGCTAAGATCGCAAGCTTATCCAAAATACAAAAATCTATATTTCATACAAATTAGCAATAATAATATGTCGATGCCATCACTAACAATTGAGGTGATTATGATTGTGGCGGATCACCGAACCGCTCGTTGTCCACCGTTTGACGTAGCATGCGGTTGTGGATGCTCCTACCACTAATGACGAATTGGAAGAGACCCATTCATTCTATCCCTTACTTTGGCCGAAAGTAGATGTGATAGGATGCGCATGAATCCTTCCAATACTTGTGCATGGTGATAAGAACGCTCTGACAGGGTATAATACAGACAAATCATTGTTGACGAGCCAGGAGGGATGGGTGACCCAACGACCCGGGGACCAATAAGATGACATAGTCTCGTCGACCCATGAACTCGATAATGCCAACGTCTGTACCGAACCACGACTTCCGACGAGAGCCGGCCCGCTAACTATTGCGACTTGACCATGGAGTTCGGATCTACAGTACGAAACCATGGTAGATCAGATGTGACTGAGTGACTTCCAGCACCAACTCAACTCGTTAGGGCATTCACTGTTGCGAAATTTTTCGAGATGATAACTTAAGCTCGATTACTACTATTTTTTGACTACTACCTTTTTTGATATCTTTCGCAATTCTATCACGTAGTTATTCTGAGACCTGCGTCCCCCGGTGGCTTCATGACAATGCAGTCATTTCTGCACTTATACCAGGCAGTGATTTGTTGGCACAGCGCTTACTTGGGCTCTCTCTACGTTTCTTGGACTCAAGAAGTAATTTCAGACATGATACTGTCATCTTCGGTTTAATAGAAGAGTGGCACCAGCGTACATCTAAGCAAAAGACGACGCCGCCACATGGCACGGGTGGACAAGGTCTTCCAGGGAATACTGCCTAAAGCACGATCAACGACGGGATTGTCATGAATCTCTCGGTGTTTTAATTCAAAGATACGATTATCATCACCAGCTCTGTGGAGCATTTTTCAAAACCGTCGGCACTTCATCGTAACGCTCCCATGAGCTAACGTTCGGGACTCCCGAACGAACCAGACTCCGTAAGTTATATCAAAGCGGGAACAACATGGAACGTTAAAATAAATGACCGTAGGAAAGGTCCATCGACATACGAGCATTTATAGCCCATCCATTGTGCTACAAAGAATGCCCAGCTTAACGTCCATGATAAAAGACCAGGAAGCGCTCCTCGTATTACGTTTGCGCAATCTATGAACAGTAAATGGGAGTGACAGGGCTAAGAGCTCCGACGGCAATGCCAGCAATGAATTGGCCCACGATCAGCATTGTAACTGAGGTCAAACCTACCTGAAGTGAGAATCCAAGTACGGCGATTATAGACCCAATGAGCACTATAATTCGGCGATCAATCCAGTCTGCCAGGAAAAACACGATAGAGGAGCCTATTATGCGCAGCCCGTAAAGCACTGCACTATGCCACCAGACTCTTTAAACGGAAATAATACCATTGGAATATAGAAGCAAGTGCTTCTAGGCTAAGGTTAACGATATGATTTCACTCTCATAGCTTAACAGAAACCTAAGGTTTATTAGAAACAAGGCCAAAGCCAGATTACGCATAAAGAATATATACCTCTAATAGACAGGAAGATACCAGAAAGAAATGCTACCAGCTTCCCTATTTTGGCAACGTATCGGCAGGATGGTAAATTTGAACTTGGTGAGAGAAATTAAGCCGCCAAATCAGATGCGGTGAGAAAAGTAAAAGATTGTTTGCTAAAATTCTCGATACCGGCCGCCTGCTGCTTAATATGTGCACCTGCCGGTATGGTTCCTCACCAACCAACAATCATCCAAAGGTTCCGGTGCAATGTAACCAGGAAGCTAAGTGAGCTGTTGACCCGATTTACTGATTCCCTAACTTAACAGACCGATATTGGTCTTTGCCGGGAAATACTCGGCTATGGTCGCTTCTCTCCAACAAACATGACGGAGAAAAAGCTAACGAGTCTCATATACCTCATTTCTATTCAATTATAGAGCTGGCCTAATTCACCACGAAACTTGGACATGGTCGGCTGATTTCGAAAGAAAATTCCCAGCAAGAACTTCATCGGTTACTGATTCGAACTGGACCTGGTCGCAAGAGAGTGTAGAATCTATGCCAAAACTTCTAGTTTAATATTTTGGCCCATCTCTCATAGAACTAGAAAAACGTGAATCTCGTCTCAAAAAAGTAAATGGAAGGGGAGGAGGAGGATGAATGAACATCGGCTGGCTACACGCACGCAAGCGTTTAAAAGCTCCCCACCTTTTCCCATATAAACACGAGGTGAAGAGAATCAAATGCCAGCCAACTTGCCCCATATACGACACGCGGTTTGGCTTGAATCAGATCAATGTGGGCGGAAGAAGTTTCCCCATTAGGCACATCTTTTGAGGGTCGAAAAAGACAGCCTCCCCAATATTCCACACAGACCCCAGAGGTTCAGCATAGAAACCAACGTGGCAGCGGTATTTGAGATCGGCAATGGAGCAAGGTTCTTTGAGAATAATATGAATATAAATAGAGAGTGTTCTGCCTATGAAATATTGAGTTGAGCCGGGTAAGCAGTGGGAGCGTAAAGTACCCAGTTAAGCAAGATGCGTCCATCACATCAATTTCGGGCAGGTTTGGCCATCATGACCACCCAAATTGAGGTTTCCCAAGCCCAGGCATCATGTTCAGGGTCATTCTCTACTTTGACAGCTTCGTCCGTCATATCTAGTCTAAGTCCTGGATGGAACCTAGGTATACCACTTGATGCATTTTCTACCGAAGGGAGTTGGAACAATGCAGTGGTTGACTCCGGTACCTCTGATAATGTGGAGATAGCCGGCTTCAATAGCATTCGGATACCAGGTATTTTACCCACTACTGCGGTAAAGACTAAAATTAATTCACAAGTGACCTGGGCCTACCATTTCACAGGCACCACCAACGAAGGGGACTTGCCTGATTGGACGATGCATTCTACGTGGCTCCAACGCGTGTCAGATGTCATCGATATGGCCACCGATCGTGGATTCTACATAATCGTCAACGCTCATCACGACTCGGCTCTTTGGGCTGATGTGACTGTATCTGGGGTCAATTTGACTATGGTCGAAGAGAAGTTTTATAGACTTTGGTACCAAGTTGGCGTTGAACTTGGCTGCAAACTATCAACTGTAGCCTTCGAACCCTTGAACGAGCCGCCGGAAACAACTTCCGACCACGCAGCTGAGTTGAACAGATTGAACAATATATTCCTGCAAGCGATCAATGATACTGGTGGTTTCAACTCCTAGCGAGTTATGACCTTGATTGGCCCAGGAGAAGACATGAGCCGTACGGGCCAATATTTCCAGCGTCCTGACTCCACTTATAGCAACCCTTACGCACTGCAAGTGCATTATTATTCGCCATGTAAGATCTCGTCCCTGACATACCACGCTCTGAGTGCTATACTGAAAACGGAACAATCATAGATGCATTCACGTCAGCAGCATGGGACAAAAACCATATGGGGCTCGGATGCGGATGAAGCGGCCCTCGAGATAGATTTCTCCCTGCTCCAAAATAACTTCACCGATATTTCTGTGGTCGTCGTGGAATGGCTTGCAAGCTCAGTCATGACGGAAACGGCCGGATGCTGGAGGTACTACGACTATCTGTCGCGTATGGCTGCGAAGTATAACTTCGCAACGATCATATGGGATTCCGGTGCCGATCACTTGGATCGCACAGCGCACTCTTGGCATGATCCAATATCGCTTAGCGTCCACTTCAATGCCTTTGGAGAGTATGAATAACAGTCTCCCAGATGCGAATTTGGATTCGTCGACAACGAACCAATTCACCTGGGCATACATCTTCAATAAAGTCGGCAATAATGTACAAGATTATGACCTGCCATTTGTTTTGAATGGCAACTCTGTTAGCGAGGTGGCCTATGGATATTCCACCCTTGTCGAAGGGACACAATCCTACCTCGAGGATAACAATATCACATTCTCTGCTTCGTATCTATCAAGCTATTTTTCTTCCACGAGCACTGACATCCTAGAGACCATTACAATTTCTTTCTCTGCTGGTGCTGCCATACCGGTGCAGATAGTTCAGTGGGATACGCCTGTAATCACTACCAGTAGCGCACAGGCTATCTCAGGGTCCGACACGGCGGTTTCAATTATCTGGAATGGTGTCGGCAGGCCAGCGACTGTGGGTGCATATAAGTCGGACGGAAGCTATCTTGTGGACGGTTGGACGATCTACCTGAGACCGCTGGAACAAGGTAGGATGACTTTTGGGGGGCAATGAACCTACCCCTGTAAGTTCTCTTGATCGGCATCGAGCTATCCGATAGCTACAGATGCTAATATCAAGTAATAGGGGGCCAAGAAGGAATAACAATTACGGGCAGCGCCGCTTCTGCAGACGTTGCAGCTAGCCAGCCTACGACCTTCGTGATCGACACTTATCCCCGAGTTGCCGGGAACAGCGCGAATTTTACACTGACAGTAGGAGTGGGTGCCATATTAAGATATCTGTGATTTGAAAAATATGTGTCACAGGTCGCGGACGATGTGATGACGCGGCATTGAAAGTAATTTTTGCAAAATAGGATGCAAGAGTTTTCCAGTAGCTTACGATTGCATGACTTGCTTCGTTGCCACATAATAGACGGAATATCGAGGAATGGGCGAGTCATAATAAATGCATGATATCAGAGTCATGAATCTGCTAGTTACGAAAAGCTGAGCGCCGCTGCTAATTTAGTAGCATATATATGCGTACGAACCTTTGCCTTGATTAATTTTTGGCCAACGTGGCCGATCGACCTACGCGCCCAAGGTTAAATGATCATGAATAAGGAGTGTTGCAAATACCAAGGCCAATCAGAACGAGAACTCGCACACTGCCCCTAAAGAAAAACTTAACAGTTCACCACCCTGAATGGCGTGATAACTGGATTATTAACAAAATCATTCTCGTCACAATATCGAACCAACGAACTAAGGAGTTCCGACGAGACCGAACACAGAAAGCCTTGTTGCTAATGGCGAGGCGTGCACATTGAGGAAGTTCTCGATGCAGCCGTTCGCACTGGATAATAGGTCCCTTACCTCACCATAGAGCACTGGGAGGCGCCTCCGAATATTCTGATGGCGAAGCACCTCCTTCTTAGTGGAACGCGACCCCATTAATTTCCCTCGGTCAGATCCTGGACCGGGGTTCCAGAGTTCTTAAATGCCTTGGGTATTGGCTACTACACGAAAGTGTTTCAGTGGCCTTCGTCGGGCGCAGCAAACAACGAGATATCTCCAGGAGCACACCTGGTCCTTCGGGAGTGCCCTACATTCAGTATGTGTTCGTATCAACGGCCAACCGATGCCACCTTTGGGAATTTCGAAAACGATTGCGGACATCTGAGCACATGCAGAGGGGGAAAATATTGTGGAAGTAGTGGTGTCAACGATCAAGTGGAGTTATTCAAGAACTTATGTTAGCGGAACCTCAGAGCGCTATTATCATGTCGGCAGATATAGTGACGTGTAATGCGAGACCGCCATTGACCGAGGACGTTGTTCCGATGATATTTGACGGAAGACGTGTGATGTGGGACGCCGAAGTACAGTATAACGAACATGCAAGAAATGATTATAATTTGTTTACCTGAGAGCCGCAGAGAGGTCGTCGTTGTAGTTTCCCCCAAATAATAGATCAAGATAGGTGTCTCTTTCGCCTGTCCGTTGGTTGAGAGAATATGGTGTCCGGTGCCCTAGCCTGGCACCTGCGCGATAAATGTCCTATTCGAAGAGATGTACTGGCAGATGGAACTCCATGATCACAGTTGAAGCATTGGGAGCCCTCGTCAGGATGTTGTAAGTACCCATTTCGCCTGGCTTCAATTTGGGGCAGACCGCCACTCTCTAGTTCGTTGGTAGCTCCGTGATGCACTGATTGTACTGGTCATTATGCTGATTAGTCTTGGTTCGGTAGCCGGAATGAATCATGCGCAGGAGCCTCTGGTATTGTAAAAGTCGATGACATTGTATTTTCAGTAAACGCGTGTAACTATGTCGAGGATGAAGGGTGCGGGCTCGTCCATGTTTATTAGGGGGATGCTGTAGATGGAGACAACGCTGTGTTGCGGGGTCGACTTGCCTAACCTACGCTATTGTACGTGCTCGGACAAACTTCTCGAGTCGGGTTTCTCGGGTTTCTCGGGTTTCCAAGCAACTCTATTCTGTGCCAAGACATTTCGAAAAATGCCCGGCGCCAAGGCCAATTGCACGACTGTAAGTAAATAAGCATTGGAAATCTCTGTGGTAACCATCCCGAGTTATGCGATTTGTGGAGTTTATCATGCATCAATTGCTGCCTTGGCCTCAAGGCTGTGCTATTGTTCAGTAGTATGTTGACACAGCCCGACTATTTAGCATTTTGTTGCAGGTTCATATCAGCATTGCCATTTCTACAAATTGAAGCTGAGTTGCCTGAGATAGGCCTGGAAACCCTTCAACCTCCATCTTACTGTTCAATTCTTTTCTCCAGATTCCTGTATTTCAAGTCTAGCCTCATCTTCCACCATGGCGAAGATCCGATTTGTGGTGGACCACGTCCGTTATTTCTTCGATAGCTCTTACTTCGATGGTCGCCACAAGACGAAGATACATATCCTACAGATAGTGCTGGTAATACTCATGATCGGACTGACCGGTGGACGTATTGCGACCATACCATCGGGCCGGCAGGTGTCGAGAGGTGATACGCTTGGAATAGTGATGGGTATCAAAACCCTGGTCGTCATCACATACCAGCTCGTGACCTCACATGTCGGTCGGTTTCGAAAATGGCAAAGTCTCAAGGCATATGCAGTTCTCAACTCCCTCGAAGTTTTATTTTGGTTCACAGTAATCATCATCAGCTTGATGGGTATATCCAGTTACTGCCAGGGTGCCAATTGTGGATTGTCCTGGCTTGTCGTCCTAGTTGCCACATCGTTACTGTATGTCACATCGAACGCTTGTGCATCGCCTTGTCGTGCAAAACTAATACCACTCGTTACATAGTGTACTGGCATTCTGGACAGCTGTTGTTTCAATCAGTGACCACCGTCATTATAGATCAACTGGCACGCAACGCCAGTCATTCACGCCGAAGGAAAACCAAGTGGACCCAGCATATTGATCATTATACGCTCAATATCGTATGGCACACTGGGTAGATCAGTACGGGTTGGATTGGAGCTAGAGCAGGAGGCGTTACGGATGATTACAAGGCTCACATGATGTGATGGAGACAGAGCGAAGACGACTTATGTACTGGCATGTTGTTATGCAATCAAAGCTGCCAACAGATCTTAGTGAAGGGAAGTCCGCTTTGAATACGAATATTTTCGACAAAAACCAGTAAAGTGCAATACAGGTGGGCTCGTTTTGAACTGTGTTGGTGGAGGCAAATACCTACGACAGAGTCAAAGTGTATGCCTCATACACTGTTATGTGACTTCGTGTGATTAGTGGCTGCAAATGGTTGAGCATGCTACCGGAGAGACGTTATGCCGCCGGTTGAGGCGAGATCATCCGTGAACTCCCATCTCAGATGCATGCAGAGACAACCAAAGATCGAGTGAGGTAGTCGACAACTGCAACAGGCGACCTGATACTCGCAATCAATGCATATTGTTGGTGCTATTTGATTTGTTCTTATATGCGAGGAACCCGAGCAGCCCCACAGGGATTTACGAGTCCGACAAACCCGAGCCTACATATATTCTACGTGACGGAGTATATGCAGGGAGATGTCACTGAAGCGCTAATCAAGCCTGTCGCAAATGGCAGTCGACCCCTGCCCAAAACCGCTGTGCTGCCCGCAGACTTTACGGGCTCGAATCGCGGGGAAACAACTTCGACGATCGCATTACAACGCGAGGAATGTATTGTCCCCTCAACCTTGATCTTTGAGAAGTTACGTATGTATGTGATTGCTAGTAGGGAATTGTAAGGGTTTTAGCTGAGATGAACTGAGATGTGTCGTCCGTTCTCCGTTGTAACTTTGGAGGAATGGCTGGTAGTTGGTGAATAGGGTAAGAAGAATCCATGTGTTCGGGCTTTCCAAAACCAACGTCCCGACTTCAGAGGTTTTGGTATTTAACACAGACGCAGTGAACAAAAAGAAACCTATTCCCCATCCAGAAAGGCGTTCCTCACGATAACGTTGATAATTATTGGACATCAACTCTAAGGTTTCTGGATCTTACTAACCTAGTCAGACCAGTGCTATGATTAGCGAATTATCGCTGGAAGCCAACACTGTTGTGCGGATTGGAGATAACAAGCCTAGCACTGCTCAAGGTCAAGTGTATATATCTCGACAAGGTGCAAATTGACTGATGCAGATTTACAACGCTCACTTTTTATTGCCCTTGGTAGTTCATGAAAGGGTAACGCAGCAAAGCATACTCTGTGTCATTCTGGATTGTTTCTGTTGTTGTGGTGATATCTAAAATGCTTTTCGATTGTTAAGTAACTCAACAATGTAATTGTTTTCGCACTAAAATACAGTCGATATCAATCGCCCGATTTCTCATTCCATCATATAAATTTCCGTAGCAAAGTCTCGCAATCCGAATGACTACTCTTGATGCTGGTGTCCCGAGAAGAACTTGGCCAACTTTGGAGCTGCATCCGGAGACACGAAGAGCTGCAGGTTGTTCCAAGTGTCCTCAGCTGTTGCCTCCGAAATGACGAATAGCTCTTCCTCTGTTGCGGTCAGCGGGATTTCCAGAGCTGTCCTGAATGCCTCTGGCGTGATATCCACGTTGCTCTGCCAAGCATCTTTGATCGCATTGCCCACACCGAGTGAATCACGCATGGCTAGGTTAACACCTTCGCCTGCGAAAGGCGTCATCAAGTGTGCGGCATCACCAATGAGTGTGATGCCGGCCTTGTGCTTCCAAGCCAACTGGCCGACCGGGAGCATATAGAGGGGATTGATGTCGAGTGGACCTATCTGGTTCTCAAGCCCACGCGTGATCAGTTCCTGTAACTTGGGCCCGAAGGTACCAAACATCTTCCAACGGCGCTCGTTCGTATCGACGCTTAATAGTTTGCCCTTCGCTTCTGATGTATCAGCCGTGTTGAGACCGCTCAGGGTAGCAAAATCTTCCTCCTGTGTGTTGACTGCCAAATATATCCTAGCGGTGCCGCCCACTCCGCGCTGACACATGACAACATTCCCGTCACCCGGAGCTGCAAAGCTACCTTGCCCAACGAACCCCGCGAGATGTGGATAGCGCTCCTCGAAATCTGGGATGGTGAGCGTGATGAAAGTTATTCCGCTATAGTGTGGCTTCTTGTCTGTGAGCTGAGAACGGACCCGTGACCAAGCACCATCGGCGCCGACAAGCAGGTCGGCTGTACGTGTTCCAAGTGGGCCAAAGTCCAGCTCATACTGACTTCCTCTGCCGTTTGGTCGCGCCCCCAAGAGCTTGTGCTGCCACTGAATCCGATGCTCTGGAATATGGGACATCAACAACTTCGTCAAAGCGAGACGCGAGATTTCTGGTCGATTGCCATTTCCTTCGTCGCTATGGAGGATGTTGCCTTCCTTGTCCGCTACGACGTCCGCCTCAGAGCATTCACCTGTCTGAGAGAGGAACTCATCGTACAGTCTACACGCACGAATAGCATCCAAGCCACTGCCCTCATTCAAGTTGAGCATGCCGGATGATTGCTCGAAGTCTTCGTCCGTGGGCTTGGAGCGTAAATCGTAGACAGTGAATGGGATATTTTGCTTGTGCAATAACAGACCCAACGTTAGTCCAGCAGGCCCAGCGCCTATAATGGCGATTCGAGGTTGATCGGCCATAGCCATGGTGGTTATTTCCGAAATGGCGACAGGAGTAGATGGTGATTAAGAATGGTGATCGCTCGTTGATGCAACGTGAGTTGAAGTCGCTCTGTATCTTGAGCAATCTGTTACTAGTGTCTAGCTTTGTGATTGAACATACACTGACATCTCTGCAAGATATATACGCCTACAGGATGCCTTGCGCTCTTGAGTATTGTCCGACATATGCCTTCATTGTCAGCCTTATACACGACCCCTACCAATCCTGTCTTCCACTACTGCACCATCCGGGACACTGGAAATGTCCGAAAGTACACTAAAAAGATGGTATGATGCGCTAGTACATTAAGCGACGTTCTATTGGAAAGCTTGGCAGGGCAATCTTCAAGCTCATTTTGGCTTGAGCCAATTGATGACGTACGGATCGTGCATCGGACCCGAACCAGCTACAGCGTGCCCGAGAACCCCGAAATGTTTTCTTACCAGCCAGAAGTTGAGCACTCTCGTACCCGAATCTTTTGCGACCGCCGGAGGTCTCTTCAAATACCAAGAAACATTTCAGAACCGCTTCTTAACTCCTGTCAACCGGCAAAACTGTCCCCGGCCTGCAGTATGTTCTTCTTGCTTGTAAAGACCCAAGCAGTATTTCTCCATAATAAAGTTAGTGCCGTGGCACCAGCCAGTGTCAGAGTGATTACATATATTCGGCATGAAAACTGCGATTTCTATTCTTGTTCATTCGACGGCATGCTGCATTGGATTTAACGCGTAGATAAGTTGTTTAGTTAGGCATTTAATGGAATTGTGCACCGTCGACATTGCCCGTCAAGTCCACTATTAAAAGATTCTTGCTCACAATCTCGTCTTTCCTCGCCAGTAGATTTTCCACATCCCAATGGCTGCCAATTGTCCGGCCACTCAAAAAGCTAGCGTGGGGATGCGACAACCATACGGCTATACCACCAACTAGCTCTGGTGTTTGTTGAGTAAACCGTTTGAACTGCTCCATGAGCATGTCGGTATCAACTAGTCCAGGGGGCAAGTTCACGGCGGTGACATTGGAATAGCCAGCAGCGATATGTTGCGTGAGGCTTAGACCGCCCAGCTTCGAGATGGCGTACCCTGAAAGATTTGGGAAGGCCTTCCAAGCTGCATTAGTCGTGAGATTGATGATAGTTGCACGTGTTTCTTTGGACGGGATTGAGCGGAGAAAGGCTCTCGACACAAGGAAAGTGCCTTTGGTGTTGACCTCAAAATTAGACCACCACGCATCGGGATCCTCATCCGCAACTAAGTTGCCTTCGCCCTCAAAATTCACCCCGGCATTGTTGATCAATATGTCAGCATGACCAAAGGTGCTGTTTATCTTATCAAATGCTGCGTCGACTGACTGCTTGTCGGCAATGTTGACACCGAGGGTAAGGACGTGGAGGTCTGAGTTGATCTCGTTCGCTTGTGCTTTGACAACCTTGAGTTTTTCTTCATTGGTCGCGATGAGCACCAACCCCTTGACGCCAGCTTTAGTAAAAGCAGGTACGAACGCCTAGATGTTCAGTCAGTTAGAATACGGTACTGCAATTGCACGTTTGAGATGTGATTTGCCTTGGCGCCAATGCCTCTGGAGGCTCCAGTGATTATAGCAACCTTGCCCGCTAGAGAAAGTTCGGGGCGTGTGGGGTCAATGGCTGGGTACTGGTCGTTGAACACTCGTGGAGTAAACTGGAATGAAGTGACAAAAAAGTCTTCTGGAAGAGAATCCATGGCGCTTTGTTTTGTTTCTGAATGCTTGTCGTGTAAGATCGTTCGTATAGTGCTTGCAATGAGTAGTACTTTTTGAGGGCTGGCAAAACAGCTTATATAATGGCGGACAACCGTAATGAAGCAGCGACTCGACCTTGTTGGCACTTGTCGCGATCGTATGAGTAGATTAAAGCACGTTCCAGAAATTGCGTTGGTCATCATGGCCAAACACATTTCATCAGCAGCTAAGCTTATATATGTATGATTAATTCTTCTAACTATAACTAAGTTCGTCAGCAGGGAAAGTCTGCAAGGGTGACTACTTGACCTTTGTGGATTATTCAGCACCCACGCAACTTAATGTAAGCGACATCACAAATTGGTTGTTGATGAACCTTATTAGAAGACTGCATTGCTTTTCAATTGCTTCAAGTCACCGTCATATGAGCTTCCCATGAATCTATCAGGTGGAGTATAAAACCTTTGTTCATCTGCTGTGATTCTTGACTCTTCTCGTTCAGAGTGGTTGGTGGGAGACCTGTGGAGTAATTCGTTGTTCTTGTCTGGACCTGGAATCCTGTTACTGGTGGAGTGGATAAGCCAGCCATACGGCGTACATGCATGCATAGCCAGGAAAACTGCCTACCATGTTTAAGAAACATAGCTACAGACAAGTTTGTTGAGTATAGACAAGAAATTTCAAACGCAATGCCTGGTTAGTAATTGTATTTCAACCTGGCACGGACATGAGGCATGACAGAGTTTCTGAGCGATAGGCACTCCAATTTTGTACTAGTTAGTCTAACAGTGATCAACAAGCTCCCAAGCAGTGTTTTCGCTCATCAACTCACACGTGGATAGTACCTAGTGTTCAGCATAATGTCATTGTCTGCCATGCATACGCCGTCGAGTTTCTTGGAAAATAATTTTGCCAGGAGTTCTAAGTTACAGATCAAGTGCTGAGATGTGCTGACCCCGCCTGAGCGGCGCTTCATAGCGTCCTCTGCTGCAGCAAACTGATTGCACGGACACAGCGTTCCTGCAATACAGGCACCGCGACTTGGATGGCGAGGCTGTGAGGCCACATATTGCAACATCTCCTCAACAAATGCTGACCCCCTTCCAGTAGACTAATTCACAAAATGTGTCTGAATTCACCTCACATCATTGGTCGAGCTAGATTTACGGCATCTCGCAAGCCAATTATGATACGTGCCTAATTATTCTGCAGTCTTCGTTCACCTGCACACCCTGCAGTCGGTGAGCGAAGCCCAACCAACTGACGTAGAGTGTTTGGAGCATTATCATGTATGTTCATTGCATCGCAAATTGCATTCGTCATTACGGCATATCCGACACCATGTGTAACAGCGAAGCCAAGAATATAGCCTAGTCTTACCACCCCCAACAATATCCTCGAATGTGACAGCCAAGACCAATACTCAGAAAAGCTGAAACTTAAGGACGAGAAGTTTTACTTAAAAGTCAGCTCGACCGGTGTCAATCTCGTATTCAACAGGATGGATAGAGCTCAGATTTAGAACAAATACTTCCCAAATCTGGAAGCGAATTCACAATAACGAGATCCAGCTCAAATATTCCTGGACGGACAAGGAGCTCGAGAGAGCAATGGAATGGTTTGCCCCACAACCGCGAGTAGCAGCAGGGCAGCAAAGGGATAAGGGCTGGCGAAAATAATCATTTCGACGCACGATTGGGTACTGGTTAAAGCAATGAAAAACGCAGCCGGGGCGCAAGCATTGAAAAGTAGTCGACAGTATGTTTCAATTAACGTGTTCGGCGGTTTCGATGTCTTGATACCTTACCTGTTCAACGTCTGCCATGATTCAGTAGAGGAGGCAGTGTCGGAGGGAAAGCTGATGCAGTCGAGGACTTTCAACTGGGCGTGGAAGAGGCTTCAGGGTCAAACTAGGGTCGATGCTATTGTCTAAGTTCCTTCCAGGCACTCGGAGGCAGGGAATAGTTCATCTCTGAAACTCATTTTTAAATACACTTTCACTGAAATTGGACGCACATATGGGACGATCCCATAAGACAAAATGCTGATACGTAATTCAATAGATACTAGCATGAATATCATGGCTAACGATGATGGAATAGATGTTTGATATTCAAGGTTTTCATTATATATTTTTATAGTACAAGTTCGTCGCTTTATGGAGCTGGAATCTATTAATACCGTAACATTCCATGGTCCGAATCCGTTTCTGCTGACCAGTTGTACAAGATACCTCTCGACGATTGCTTTGAAATGTGAAATGACAAATGCAACGCCCGTGTCAACTAGGCACCATAACACAATTCAGAATGTGTATAACACTAATATGCCGCGTCAAACCGAAATGAAGATTGAAGAATATGCGAAAGATGTGAATCTTATACGGAGTACTGGGTGATCAAGTCTCCGTACACATGTGCTCTCAATACCGGAACTAATCATTTTTATGACGGTATATAAATCATAAAAAATGGAAAAGTTATGTAGTCTTGAATTTTGTATGGCATTTTAATAAATGCATTGTTTCCAGTATGCTTGAGTCTTGTCTTATTTATTAGACACTTTGTGATTAGCTTTCGAAATAATCTCTGGTTATAGACACTGGCCTGAACGGAGACTTTTACCCAATTACTGTACCGGCGCAATGATGCTTGTTAGCCCCATATGTGAGAGAATCGTTCAAACTCAAGACGTTACCTAAGCGTATGCCTTCATTTTCCGTCGGAGTGCAAAACAACTCGGAGAACGGTGGTTCAATTGTCTCCCATATGATACTACGGTACCGGTTTGAGTCATCATGGCATGACCAGATTTGTAATATAGTTTTGCTAGAAGTCTCCGATTTGCTCACGCGACGATGTTGAAAATTGCGTGCGCGCGGGGCATTTTCAATGGCTTTTTGATCACCGCCATTAGCCCGTTATAGGGACCGTGTAGCATGACCCGAAGGAGCTTGTAGAAAGAGCAAACGCCAGGCTTACTGGTAATATAAATATATAAGCCAGCGACTTCAAAGATTAGTCTCAGAAATGTCTTGACAGAAACTCAAGAGACTTTTCTGCGTATTAAACCTCAGATCGATAAATGGCGACTGTTGAAGTGCAACTCCCTGTCGCAGCTGCGACAACATTTGGCAGTGTTACCGAAGCATCCACCCTATCACCACACGATGTCGATACAGTCCTGAACTACTTCAAGCCGAACGAGGACGGATCGCCGCCCGCACCGGCCTACGTCGGCGACCCAAAAACCTATGATCGCCCCTTTGACCCTCGCCCAGTCCGGGTCAAAGACCTTACCGGTCGCGAAAACAAATTTACATTAGATAAGAATGGCTTCCAAATCTACAAACACATAAGCAACGAAAAAGTCTTTTTGGACGAGGAAAAGATCAAAGATACATACTATAAAGAAACTGAGCAACTCCTGAAAGATGCGTAAGTGGTGAATCCTTATGGTAGCGACAGGTACAGGTAGATTGAATCACTGACTGTTTTCTGAAGTACCGGCGCGTCAAAGATATTCATCTTCGATCATACCATCCGTCGCCCCGATCCGAATGCACCAGTTACGCCTAATGGTACCCAGCTGCGTGGCCCCGTTCAGCGTGTGCACATCGATCAGAGCTACTCAGCTTCCTTGAACCGCGTGCGATTCCACCTTCCCGAAGAGGCCGACGAACTCCTCAAAGGTCGTGTAGAGATCATCAACGTATGGCGACCCATCAAACGTATCTTGCGGGACCCATTGGCGCTTGCCGAAGCCGACTCTGTTTCCGAGGATGATCTTGTGCCTATTGGCCTGATCTACCCGAACCGTAAGGGCGAGACGTTGTCGGTCAAGCATAGCAACAATCATCGCTGGTGGTTCAAATATGGCATTACACCCGAGGAGGTCATTTTAATCAAGTGCTTCGACTCCAAGACCGATGGACGGGCGAGAAGAGTTCCCCACACAGCTTTCGTTGACCCCAGTGCCACTGGGGACTTGCCAGCGAGGGAGAGCATCGAAATTAGAGCGCTCGTATTCCATGAGGACGATAGAGAATGATTGGTGATACACGCTCGCCCAGCTATTCACTGAGCATCTGACTGATACTCAATTTTTCTGCTGACGCAACTTCGGACCGCTTGAGACAAGGTTCGTTGCGGTTCGGATGGGAGATCGTCTGTGTTACTTCTATAATGTCTGTTTTAGTTCCATAAATAATTTCAATTGTCTGCGATTGCACTCGAGCCTGCGGTCTCATTGCTGTTTGCAACGAGTTGGTGCAAATGCCATGCCACAAAGCATCTCATAATACCCAAGCGCGAACATGACCATATTAAAGCAGCTGTTACCTCAAACTGCAAAGAAATCGTGATTATGTTGGCTGACGCCCATAGTCCCCACTACACCTTCAACGATTTAGGCGAATCATTAGCGGGAGGCGACTACCGATACATCCATGCAGGGGGGGATATCAGATCTGTGGGGGGGTTTTAAGCCTCATATATGGTGCCAGATCTAGTAATATTGATGTTGTTGTTGATGCCAATCAATGTAAACATTGAAACAGACCGCAAAAATCGAAATATTGTGTATACTTCTGCCACAGTTGTTTGGCACCTGAAGTCTTTTAATGTATTGCTCTTACATAATCCCTGCCCCGCCATGAACTCAAATAGTAATGCGAAGAGAAGTTATGTAAAGCATCCTCAAGATCGTGACGCAATAGTCATATTGATATTGCTTCTTCAAGCAGAAGATCTAGTCTGAAATAGTCATCGGCATACATTCAGGAGACTTTGTTCCGGCGAGTCGGACACTTGTATCCCTTTCACGCTGTCACATGAACGCGCGTTTCTTCTTGTTCGTTCCCCCGCAACGATGGCCAGACGTGATGAGGTCAGTACGAGGGTGTAGCCATCATCACTTCGCGGGGCATGTAACGCGAAACTGAAGCCATGTTGCCAAGCGTTGGGCATTACTGATGTCGTCTCGTTGTTTGCTTCAAAAATCCATGACGCCGTGCTCCACACTGCAGACGCCATCCCGGCTTCCCCACGTTATGCTTATACGCATTGAGGAAAGCGTTGATGTAGATCAGGTACGCCGTGCCCTATGCCGCTGATTCAAACAATGCCGCCCATGGCCTGGTGATGGTAGTCTTGACGTCGTTGAATTCATATCGACGATGTCGTGCTTGTGTCGTCGTTGTGAACAAATATGAGGCCATTAGAGAGCAGCGGGACGTGCAGATGGCTGGTGGGACCTGGTGTATATAATGAGGATCAATTCCTCGACTGACACCACTTTATTCAACAATATTAGTATCGCAAACCACTACATACCAATACACTTCACACTCTAAATCTCAAACCAACTCATTTCTTCAAGCATCATCATGTCTGACTACAAGCCCAGCGGTATGCATTACACCCTACACATCTAACACGATACTCCTGGCTAATACATGCAGAGCACGACGGTCTCCGTAAGGACGGCAAGCCCGACGGCCGTGTTGGCACTGGCGAGTTCGCCCACGGAAAGGTCGACCCCCATCAGGCTGGCAAAGAGGGTGGCCATACCTCTGGCACTGGATCTGCCGACAACTCTGGTAGCAGTGGCAGCGACTACAAGCCCACTGAGCATGGTGGTGCTCGCAAGGATGGCAAGCCGGACGGCCGCGTCAAGGGCAATTAAGGGATTCGAGAGGATGAATACCTAGTTATAACATGGCGATAGTAATGTCTCAATGAATTGGAAAGTTTTGGACTAAACTACTCACCACGTTATAGTGGACATGTGCACATGTTGCTCAGCTATTCCGTTTGGAATGTTCAAGTCCTTCATCTTTTAGCTTGTAGAAAGTCATCGTAACGCATCAAATTGGGATGGATAGAAAAATTGCGATGGATGGTTTAACTACCAGGGATTGTGTTGTTTGCTTGTATAAAGGAGACATGTGCCTGTGCGCCTTAAAGGAAGATATTCGTATTAAGTGAAGTAGTAGTAACCGACGGAGCAAATATCTTGACTTCTATGCGCACAAAATTAGAGATTCCATCCCGAATATGTGCAACTTTGGGTTGGGTTTGTCTCAACTGGATGGCACCACATTATGCCTTTACGCTTTGCCAGGTTTCTTTCGGTAGTGGGCTATCAGTTATCTCCTTTACTGTGCCATATTACTCTGCAATTTTTACTGCAGCCATTCAGATAATAGCAACCGGGTAGAAAGGTTTGACCTCACACCCACCTTAAGGGACGGGCCAATGGGGAGGACTAGGTGCAACTTTTACGAAGTGAAAAACTCATTGACTGTGATAACTTTCTAAACGAATACGTAGACTTTGCGAGAATGTCACAAGGATAAGACCGGCATGTGTGGCGGTCTCAGTATTGAAATATCAAGATTGTGTGGCTATTCAAGACCCAGTTCATGTGACATATACATAGCTCAATAAGCGGCGCCAGCATTACAAGATACTAACCTAGGTAGAAGCGGAATATTGCAGCATAGCATGGAGCCATATGAAGCACCAATTACCTACCAGATTAAGGTAGGTACACTCTATATTACGGACTAATTCTCAGCGTGGCGAAGTGTCATGTACGCCTAGTGGGTCATATGATTAAACTTGGCTAAGAACCTGCGGGGATTGTCCTATAATCATTTCCCCTCAGCCTTGGGAATCCTTCAACAAAGTCAATCCAGAATTCCCAATATCACTGTTGATACATATTTTGCTAGCTCATTTTAACTATGGGAAATTATTGTTTGAGGTGCCTATGCGTTCTGCAACCTATTAACGAACAAGGGAAAGTATGAACCTACCCCGCTATCACAATCTAGTCATACTGCATGAGCTTTTCTGACAATTCAAGAGCGGGTATAACAAGTGTTACCACCCAATCATAACGTGGCAGCACAATCTGTTGGGCTCTAGAAAGACGAAACGTTGCAGCAGCATATCCCATGACGGTTAATCGGGATTTGCCGCGATAATGGCTCGGTCCCTCTACCCGGGTGCCATGGGACTCTGCCAGCTCATTGGTTCCCGTGCTGTCGGGTCGATGCTGCTGGGACAAAAGAACCTTGACATATCCAGTGTTGGACAGAGTATCACATCACACAGCTTTATACCATACCCAAATCTATCCCGTGATTGGTGGGTGATAACCGCACATGTCCCAACATAAGTAAGCGAGGTACCAGCCCAAAATGGGTTCATGCATGATAGTTATTTGAAATATCATGGTATTGTAAAGTAAAATCCACAATGTGAGATTGTGGGGATAGACCACCTGGCCGCATCGCGGACCATGGGTACAACAACCAAACCGATCATTTTACGAACAATGCCAGGCAGAAACAACTTGCTGTGTTAGTTTATCTTGGTTTTGAGTCTTTGGCTTGTTCAAAGGGACCTAGAAAGTGTGGAACTGAGGCTACGATGTGCACAGGAATGGTGTCATTGTGGTAGTAAAACTCGGGATAGACGACGTGATGATTGGAGTTGGCAACAAATTTCTTGCTTTCTTCTTCCAATAACATGCCAGGTATTTAACACGTAGGATTTCACACCTAGCAGGCTAGCAGGGGCGGCAGGCGCTTAGGTAGTGTCAATTGGTAGCTATTATTTTGAAGAATATTGCCTATGGGATTTGGGTATATAAGGGGAGTCTCCCGAGACCCGAGGGTAACTTGAACTGCACAAATGCATATCGGAGAGACTGCCCTTTGATTCATTCTCTTTGAATTCAGTCTTCATAACATCAGCGATAACTTCTCGTGTTTTTACTCAACTCCCAACTTATGCAGGCCGACCCTTCTGAAAAAAGGCTTGCTTGTAATCCTCGGGACACCACTCGAATACACTTCAATCCGGCCAACATGATCCATCGCACCGTCCTCCTTATTCTAAGTTTTGGCCTTTTCACCAATGCGGCTCCAATCCCTCAGGGCAAGGGCATGGCGTTTGTTGGCATTCCTGACGTCCACCATCATCACGTGGCTGTAAGTTGCGATGCAACGACACAGACATGCCCTGGATGCGGTCAAGTCGAGAAAAGGAAACGATTCGAGGGAAAGTCATTTGATCATTCTCTCAAAATGTCCTTACGAGAGGACAAAGTGGGATGTATCTTCACGCAAGACGTCGGAGCTTGACCAGAGCATGCTGTGCCAGCAACAATGCATATAACCATGTTATATCGGCCTGAATCATGTGTAGATCATACTGTTAGGATACTTCCATACTGATAATTAAATGAAATTGCTCGGGGGAACGCACTGGTGGCATTGCCGAATATTTGGAGCTAATGTAACTTGGTGGTATGTATTTAATGGCCATGCAGAAGCTGTATAGAACGTAAGAAATAACTTACACGATATTAGACCAAAATTACTCGTGTTTGTTATGAATAGTCGTTCGAACAGGAGATAGCCTAGTAGGGCAGCCGTGTTATATAACTATGCAGAATTATAGACTAGCCCGGAAGGCGTGTTTAGTGCATTCAGTCGCCATAATATTCAGAGCAGACCAATCTTTTCCCAATGAATTTCTAAAAGTGCTTATAAGTTATTTCATATCCTTATAATAAGCTTGCTATCCCTTTATCGAGGAGTCTTTTGTACGGCGAAGGTGGATTGACTATTATTGTTAGCTGGCATAGTGGAGTTTTACTGTGCGGCTCCCCCTCGACAAGTTCAAATGACTTGCTCATTACAGAACAGACAATAAACTACTACGATGGTGTCAAACGCGGAACTAGGCAGAATAGTAGAATAGTAGGGATTTGTAGTGTACAGAAGGTGTTGAAGTTGCCAATCTCTTGTAGTATGCACTACACCTGGCACTGGGATTGGAACAAGGACTTTGCGATTTACACATATTTTCATTTTGCTCATCAGCAGCTAAAGTTCCCTTCTCGATATGAAAATATTGAAGATGTTGTCGTTGATATAGAAGTCGAATACTCATTGTGGAGCCCGTGGTAAATCGGTGAAATGACCTTAACGGGTATTGTGTTGAATTTTAGCGCTGCTACTTGGGTTCTCTGCTACCCCACGCTCCCTTCTTTCTCACAGCTTAAACACGTTCCTCAAATAATTTCAGGCTCCTTGAGAACGCCAATGTATCCGATTCAATAAATGGGCTACCTTGAAATTTATGAGAAAATAACATAAAAGTACATCATGTATAAGTATTCAACAAAACCAAGACATGAACATATCCGACCCCGATAACCCAGGAGAACTGTTGCCAACTCAATATCAAACTACGAATTAATCAAAAGCAAGTGAACCCTGATGAGAAGCTGAGACAATGTTCAACCCATGACTCGGTCGATAAATCGCCCAACCTGGGAAATAGATGGCTTTTGCTGCGATGGGCATCAGTATGTATTGAACAAAAAGTTTAGTTTGAGGACACTTACCATCATAGAAAAGTGATTCGCGTCTATTTTCCCGGTAACAATTTGAGTGTCCGCTGGCAACAGCGTCTCCCAGCCTGCCGGACCGAAGTCAGTGCGCCGTGCGACCATGAAGGCCAGTCCGACAGAGTTGTGGGGCAAATGCGTAGGGAAACTGGGCTTTCCAGCACCGTCAGCCACGCTTTGGGAGGCCCAGATAATAGCGAGCTTGAGAGGCTTCTTTGGCTTAACCGCGGTCGAAATCGGCGACACTGCGTATGTGTCCAGGACGTCGACGGTGGCATCAAAGTGCGGCACGAGATAAGGCGGGGGCTGTACGTCTCCGAATAACCCGATAGCTTTGCAGTAGTTGTAAAAATGTGGCGGCAGCTTGTCCATCGTAGCAGGCATTGGCGAGTCTAGAATCAATAGGGTGCCAACCTCTTCGCCGGCTTCGAGGAGGAGCTGTATGGCAATGTATGCCATTACCCCGCCCGAGGACCATCCTCCAATATGGTACGGGCCCTTCGGTTGGCGTCTCTGAATCTCGCTTATGTAGGCTTTCATAAGATCAGAGATGTGGCAGTTCATATTTTCGGGATCCCGTGCATATGGGCAGTTGAGACCGACGATTGCTGTGTCACCGTCAAGGCGGGGAAGAGGAACATAGCTGGAGGATGAACCTCCACCGTCTGGAAGAAGAAACAGTGTCTTCTTCGCGGTCTTGGGAAACCCTTGAAGAATGACTGAGGTTGCCGGGCGGCAAGAGGTGAAGGATCGAGTGCTCTTGATGTTGTTCATCGCTTTTGGGACATTCGTCGGCATCACCTCCGACTCTAAGCTAGAATCAGTAGGGGTTACGCATTCTTCAGGAAGGGAGACAACATCGTTGCCGCTGTTATTGCTGCTGGCGTAGAGCCTCTCAGTCTCCGGTGTTAGGAGTCCTTGAGAAGAGTTCGGACTAGCGCTGATGCAAAACTGGCGGATGTGCTTAATCGTGGGGTAGGCAACAAAGAATCCATCCTCAGCTTCCATTTCCAAGCTCAACTCCTCTCTAATTCTGCTCGCAATCACCATGGAGAGGAGGGAATCGATTCCGACGTCAGCCAAAGGACATTCGTCAGTCAAATCCGCAATATCAACGCCAGTCTCCTCGGCAATAATATCAAGGATGGACTTGAATGAACTAGGTGGTGGCAGATCGATGCGCTTAGGCGCATCAGACCTCACTACATTTAGCTGAGAGGTACTCTGCTGAGGCACAGATGATTGAGTAGGGCCCGAAGTCTCGATAGTCGCTGGTATGGGTAGAGGCACATGCGCCGGCGCAACTTCCACCACTGAAATGGCATCTTCCACTTCTGGTTGCTCTCTGTAAACGTTAAGCAAGTCCTTGAAGTGTTTGATAGTTGGATATGTCATGAAGACCGAGTTGCTCTCATCTTCTATGTCTAACCCCAACTCCTCCTTGAACCTGCTATTGATCACCATAGATAGCAACGAGTCGACGCCCATATCAGCGAATGCAGAATCATCCGAGAGTTCATTCTCCGCAATGCCTGTTTCTTCGAGGATTATGGCCAGTGCGGATGGATATTTGCTGGTGGCTCTCTTCGGAGTCTGCCTTGTAATGACTGTGGCTGCTGGCAGATGCACTGCAACAGTCGCCGTTGCCGGTTGAGCCACTACATGTGCAGTCACTACTCCGCTATGTTGTGTTGACTGAGGTTTTAAAGACACCACGGCACGAGCAGCATTGACTCCTGAGGAACCGCTAAGCTCTCGCCCTTCGTTCGCGGCTTGAAGAACCATGTCGAACGCCTTGCGAGGAATTCCGCGGAGCTAGACTCGTTAGTTATCGCAGTACTTCGGAGTGTAAAAGGCTACGCTGGAAACTTACCGCCACACCCTTGAAAGAGGCAGTGATACCCTCCTCATCCAGCACTACCACATCTCCCTTGTACATTGTACCCTCTTGACGTATCATCTTGGCGTAAAGCTGATAATTAGCTGTGTGTGAGACATCTTTGAAGATCCGTAGGGAATCCCAGCCTCTGTTCACATAGACCTCGTGCTCCAGATCAGTTGTAGCCTTAGCATTCATGGTGAAACCACAAATCTGAGTGAATCCGTCAATGATAGCTGGATGGCAGACAAAGTCCCCATCCTTCTTCACACTGTTGAAGGTTGCGTTGCTTACAGCCTCAAGGGTAGTACCGTTTAGTGCGATGTCCCCGGAGCTTCTGTATTCTTTGTGGAACTTAGCAAGACCGGCAACCATCTTGAAACTAACGTCCATGTTGAGCTTGAAGGCCTTGCCACTTTGAACATCTTGAGTAACTTTGTCGAATAGTTTGACTTGCTGGTTTCTTGTGGCAATGAGCGCTGGTAGCAGATCTGAAGCGTTGCGGAAGACCGTCTTACACGTCGCATGTTCGATTATTGATTGCCCTTGAGCCTAATTCACGCTTAGCATTCACACCGAGCGGCCTTGGGTGATATGGAAATACTCACATTGACGGAGAAAAAGGAGAACGATGCCGTCTTTGTGAGCCAGTCAACCTTGGCTGAGGCACGGAGCATCTGGGCGCCCTTGCCTTTGGCAATCAGAGCTCTCTCGACTTCCATGTTTGCTACATCGACGAGGCGATCTTGACTAAAGGGCATATATTTGTCTATCAAGTACTTGCCAACAGTGAGTGCGATCTCCGCGTAAACAGACTGTAGTTGGTGGTTAGCTTGATAAGTTGAACAGAGTTGAGGTTTTCAAGCTTACCGGTGTGCACAGAGGAATGTTATTCACGAAGTGACCCTGTACAATAGGCAGAAGATCCGAGCGAGACAGATCTGACTCTACCAAAACGTAGGCCTTCTTCTCATCCGACTCCTCTCTCAAGATCTTGTGTACAGTGGTACTCTCAATTTTGGGTTCAGGGCGGCGTAGTACCGATGATGGTTCTGGGACTTTGGGCCCGACTGAGTCACTAACCTCTATGGTTGCTGATTCTCCTTTGCGCAGGGACCAATCTCCGACATACTGTATCCAGTAACTCTTCAAATCCCAACTATATGTTGGCAGGGGAATAACTTGCAATGCAGCCTTGAAGTCCTGATGCCAATCTACCCAATTGATATCAACACCCGCACGGTAAAGATAAGCAAGGGCTTCAGCAAGGAGGGGCCAGGTGTCTTTGCCCCGTTGTATGGAGGGGATGGTTGTAAGACTCGATCCCAATGAGGCCTTGATCATGGACGAAACAACGGGATGAGGCCCAATTCCAAGAAAAATTGACTTCTCATTAACGATACGACCATCTGTGTAGGCAGAACGTAGTGTGTCATGCATGTTCACCGTCTCCCTGCAGTGGCGAACAAGGTAATCTGGACCGAATATCTTGTCATCTGTTACCGTACGTCCCAGTAATGGTGATAGCACTGGAATTCGAGGCTTATTGAATGTGATGCTCCTGGCCGCGGTAGCAAATTCATTGAGCAATGGCTCAACTTGAGAGGTATGGAAAGCAAATGGAACCGACACTGGGGTGGCTTTTACACCCATTGAGGTCAGGGCAGACCTTAACGAGTCGATTTGATCCACAGGCCCGCCGAGCACGATGTCATTGGGTCCATTGATGCAGGCTATCTCAAATCTCCTGCCAACCACTGATGTTTGGATCTCCGCCGCCGATGTCTTGACGGCGAGCATACCGTGTGTATTGGCCGTGCAAGAAGACTGGAGAAGCTTAGCGCGCTCGCCGACAAGATATATTGTATCTGCATCGGAGAGAACGCCTGCGGCGTTCAGAGCTGCGTACTCTCCTAGGCTGTGACCGACCACAGCATCTGGCTTTATACCCCAGGACAACCAAAGCTGAGACAGGGCTATCTCCAAGCAAGTGACTGCAAGTTGAACCACAACTGGAGGGTATGATTCGATGACATTGGTCGAACCTGTAATCACCTTCTCAAATTCTGGATAACCCAAGACGACGGCCAGTTGATTGAGACGACGGAAGCTTTCGCGAAAGTGCGAAAGTTTCATCAAATCACTGCCCATCGCCATGTACTGAGAGCCTTGGCCGGTGAAGGCAAACACAATTTTAGGAGACAAGATGACGCGAGTGAAGCCCTGCTTCTCCTGTATTGCCGAACGAAGGCCGATCCTTACATCTTCTAGGGAAGAAGCAACAACTGAAGCGCGGTGATTGTGGTGCTGTCGACGCGCAGTTGTTGTGTATGATAAATTGGAGACCAGGGGAGGCGACTCATCGACCTTGTCGTCCAAAGACTGTAGTAAGGCTCGCATGTTGCCGAGAAGAGATTCACCACTCTTGGCACTGAATGCAATGATATGGCTCGTACGGTCGTCTTGTGCCGATGCTACTTGCTGGGCTGGGGCATCCTCCAGAATCATGGCTGTATTACCACCCGGCGCACTGAAGTTGTTAAGAAGTACTTTCCGCGGTGCAACTCCACGAGGCCAGGATGTGGGCTTGAAAGCGATATGCACATTACGATCCTTCATGTCCGACGGGAAGGTATGGTTGATAGTGGTCTTGATGCCGCAATGGGGAGGAATGCTGTTGTTACGCATCATTAAGAGCACCTTGGCTACACTGGTAATGCCGGAGACAGCTTCACCATGGCCAATGTTGGCTTTGGCTGCGCCCAAGTACAGTGGCTGACCTCTAGCACGTCGTTGTGTATCTGGCGCAAATGTGGCCAGGACCAATGTCATCTCTGCAGCGTCTCCATGCTGAGTCCCCGTTCCGTGCATCTCGATGTAAGAAATATCATTAGGGTCTACTCCACTAGTAGAAAAAACTTTTTCAAAAAGTTTGATCTGAGTGGGTGCATGTGGCCGTGTAATAGAGTCAGACTCGGCCGAATGATTCGTTTTGACATCGACAATGACAGCTTGGATAGGATCACCGTCTTGGATAGCATCATCAAGACGCTTGAGTAGCACGAGACCAATTCCCTCACCGCGACAGTATCCGTCGGCGCCATCGTCAAAGGTCTTGCAATTACCCGTTTTCGATAAGAAGAAACCGCGATCTAGGCCAGCATGCCCGTCGGGATTGGTGATAACATTGGTGCCCCCTGCTACTGCAGTATCCACATCGCCCATGCGCAGCGCGTTGACGGCGAGCTGCATAGCTGCAAGACTGGACGAGCAGGCAGTATCAACGACATAGCTCGGCCCAGCGAATTTATGGCTATAGTTCATTCGACCGCTAACAAACGGCCGGATACCCCCCACGATAGAATGGGTCCCAATCAATTGTGTGCTATTGGTCTCGCCATAATCGTTCGAGGACATGCCAAGGTAAACCCCGATTCGTTCTTTTTGTGTCGAAGGGGTGGCGTCGGGTACGATACCTGCAGTCTCCATCGCCTCATACGTGACCATGAGTGCTAGGCGTTGAGCAGGGTCCAAATAGGGGGCCTCCTTGGGAGAGATGCCAAAGAAGCGAGCATCAAACAGCTCAGGGTCATTCAGCCAGCAACCCCATGGCACGGCACTGGTATTCTTGCTTTTTCCACTCGTATCAACATGAGTTTTGACGTCCCAGCGGTTTGCAGGAACCTCGCTAACAGTGTCGACTCCCTTTGAAAGCAGCTCCCAGAAAGCCTCTGGGCTCTCGGCTCCTGGGAATCGTCCAGCGAGACCGCACACGGCGATTTTCGATTTGGAATAAGGAACATACTCAAGACCATCCTTTTCCTTAGTAGCGTCAATGGAGACAACCTCAATACTAGGTCTTTGCGATTCGGACATGTATTTTGAGGATACGTATTCTCTCAGCTGTGCTTGCATTGTCGCTTTGGTTCCGACGGGCAGGACTTTGATGCGGCCGAGGTTGCTGTTTTCAAACAAAATGGTTGGAAATTCTGCATTGATCTTCCCCCAGCTCAAGGGTTCACGCAGACATTGCTCTGCGGCATTTCGGAGTACTGTATTGAAAGCTCCGGCGCTGACTAGCCTTCCTGTCGAGCAAGAAACGATAGGGACTTTGGAGACGTAAGAAGCCCAAGTCTTGGCAGTTGTTGTCTCCATGATGCTCGTAACATCTTCCGTGGTGAACAAGTGTGGGGCATGCGATGTCACATATATGGGCAGTGTGATAATTCGCTTGCCTAACAGTGGTGAAGCTTGTTTGAGCTTCTCAAGTACATCTGGCGGGCCGCTAATAGTGACACCAGCAGGCGAGTCGGCTGTGATGTAGGGGCGTGAATGAGTTGGGATGTGCTAAAGAGATGTCAGTTATCAGCATCGCTGACTTTTATCTAGAATAGGGAACTCATACGTTAGCATGAGAGAAGTCACTAATGATTATTCTTGCAGTTGCGTGCAAGACGTCGATGACCATAATTGACCACGACTTATTCTCAACCTGAGGCTGAATCCGATCGCGCATCTCGACGGCGCATAGGACCAAGCGGAATGACACGGCTACAGAATGCACCGCTAACGGAAGAAGTTCAGCAACTGAAGTTGCACAACTAATGGCCGCCGCCGCCAGGCCTCCTGCACAAAGGCCTAAAAGGTACGAGTCATTCGGCGTCGGGTATGATTGAGTGCCATCACTATGTACCCTAGAAGTTGATACGTTAGCATACAGAGTTATTAGGAATACTATCATTCGCGTAACTGCACCTAATAAACTCCGCCAGATGATAGGTACAAGTCAGTGCCGTCTGAAGAGCAGCATGAAGATCGCCTTCGCTCTGCTTTGCTAGTAGCTCAGCTATGTTGGCAAATCGCGGGAAGGTATTTCGTTGATGGAGCGGCAAGCGGCCAATCTCCACCTGCAGACCCTTTTGGGATTGCTCGAAGAAGGCATTGAGAACAGGGTTGGTGGTCAAGGTGAGAAGATGTCTAAACCTAGCAGACACATCATACGTCTGATCACCAAAAAGATAGACTTTCAATGTGGCCGCCATCATACCATTTGTATATAACGTTGAATTGAAATTTTTGGAACAGATTGCGATCAATCAGTGGTGTAGGTACACATATCGTTATATGTTGTGTCAGGTTTTAATATTTTGACTATATGGCAATGGCCGGTGATTGATGGCAGTCTACGTGATTCCTATTACCTGGCAGCTTCGAGCAAACAGTATTGAGTTTCAATCCGCCCAGCGGGCATTTGGCTTAGCTAGAAAAAGTCATGTGGCTGTTTTCTAGACGTGGAAGGTACCCGAAGAATGTCCTTGTAGAAAAACACGTAGTCAGGCTCGGTATAAAGCCGTTTGCGTCCTGTGCCGCATTCATCGGGAAGTGGATCATTCTGGGTTAGTTCAAAAACACCGTTCAAAGTTGCTACATGTCAGTTCGGAATATCCAGTAAGAGCGATTCAGTACGCGCAATGTGATGCAAACGATTTCGATAGATTCAAAGCGTACGAGACTGTCTACATCGTCTGTCCATTGCCGATCCAATGTCAATGATACACTTTATGGCGTCTGAGTGTGCTACTGTAGTTTCTAAATATTTCGCTAGTGAGTTGCGAGTCATGTTTCCACGTTCTAGAATTTCTGATCAATAGATTTCCCATGGAGCCGTCCAGTAATAGATCACGACAGAGAAATTTGTGAGGGATGTCAAAAAATGAGTGAATATCTCTACTTAAATCAGTTCATAGTTTCTAGACTCTTATAGAGGTATATAGATAAATAAGCATACTAAGAGTACGGAGTTATATTAGGCATACAGCTTTCACCCATGCCACAACTTGAAGGCGCGATGTATTTTTCCCGAGACTGAACCTTACAACGAAGATTGTGCTCCTGCCAGACATCCAGTCGACCGCTCCACTACTATTACCACTACTACTGCCACTGCCACTGCCAAGGTGCTACCACAGAAAAGGTATCGTGGGAGCCTTAGTGTTAGTGGTGATTAAGTGTTAGAGCACCGTGTCAAGTGGTGGTCACAAAGCCGCTACAATCTTCTTTGTGGCCTCTTTCACTTTCAGTTTTAAGAGGGCTTCGATATCGGGAATGATTCCTCCACTAGACTCATCATTGCAGCGGGTGATAAAAGTCTTGACAAGATGCACTAAACGTGGTAACTGGCTCAGTACTTCTTGAGCATAAGATCTAGCCAATATGTGTTTATTGTGTGAGGACTCCATCCGAAGGCTTCCGATTGCTGAGGCTGCGCGTAGTACTGGCGGTGTCTGAGGTGGTGAGACTGTATTCTGTGACGAGGAGCCGGTCTCGCTAATGGTCAAGCAGGCTGCAACAGATAGGCAATCTAGCACGCCAAGAAATGATGTTGCCACAAGGAGCTGAACCTGTCTTTGGTTGCAGCAACTACACGAGAGAATAGTTGCCAATTTGTCTGGTATGGAGGTATCAAAAGCAGGATGGTTGGTCGCGGACTCAAGCAATTGTGGCGACATAGTCTGAGCGCCACTCAAATCGGACATATGTTGTTTTCCGCATAGTCCCATGGATGTATTCGCGGCTAGATGACCGCTTTGTATGATATCTAGTAAGGTAGACATACAGTCTTTCTTTATAGGGTGTTGAGGAGATGAATTGAGGACGTTCCCTTGCACCGTGACCCTCTTAGGCAAATTGATATTTGGAGCTGGCCGAGTCCGGCGACTGTGCAGACTCATAAAAGGAGGCTCTGGTAGGACCTGGTTCTGAGTTTCCAGAAGGTTTATGATACCTTCAAGGCTGCTTGGCACGGTTGATGCGGCCATCTGACAAGATCGCCAGGCATAATTGTTGACAATCTCTTCGGGGATTTCAGGAGATAAGGTGGCATTTCGACCGTCGTGTGAAGTTGATGTTTCGCCACATGGAAGTTGTTTGTCTAAGCCAAGGTCGAAGTCCAGGTTGTAACTGCCCAAGCCGTCACCAACAAAGTCAAATATGTCAGTAAGGTCGGTAGAGAAGTCGTGTTCATGCATGCTGTTGTCGTCAACAATAATGTTGTCGTCCAAATCGGGGTCCTTTGACCACGACTGCACAGGCTGCAGACTGAAGTAGCTCAGATCGGATTCTTTGCTCTGCCCTCGTTCTGGTGAAAAGCTTCTGGATATTTTGGAGCGCTGCGCAAGGCTATAGCAACAGTCGATGTTTCTGTTCCGACAGCGGGTACACACTGGTTTTTGTTTGCCACACTTGACTTTAGCAACACCGCATTGATCACAGCTGTCCTTCACACGTTTCCGTGTATGACCAGAAGTTTGGAACTCGGGATTTTCTGGAATAAAGACAGCCCACTTCGGTGCAGATGAGTCCATGGTACTAAACTAAAGCAGAAACGTCTAGCGATTCATAATAATTTTGGTCTCTGGACTTGTGGTAATATGCTCATCTAAGTATTCTCATCTAACTGACCACGTACGAGGTCTCGTTCTATGGTAAGACCACGCCACAGCTCTACCTATAGGGCTAAGATGATCCGCCGGAACATTGAAAATATTAGACAACCTGTACACAGATCCCTGCAAGGAGGATGTGATCAAGCAGCTGCATGATGCATCGTAGTTAAATGGGTCCAGGGAACAACGCGCATGGGGCAGTGTGTGGTAAGCAGATGGTACCGCCAACCCTCCGACGCGCTACGCCACGAATTAGTGCGATCTTCAGGGGACTCGCAATGGCCTAACCTAAATTCCAAGATCGAAATGCTCTGAAATCGGTCGAGAATCATTATCATATCATTCATCGAGCTCTTTGTTGTTCCATCAGCTCGAAGTACTATGGCCCATCCGTTTGGGCATTACTAATGTCTGGCGGCATAGTTATTACAAGTAAAATGGATTATTCTTAGTGGACTTCTGGTAATTTGGGCTATAAGTGTCGGAGGACTTGTAGAAACCATTCTGGTAGGTTAAATATGAACAAAGGACTCATAGGCGGGCATGCCTAAAGAACTGTGGGCACGTAATCAGGAGCTCTTATTGAGGCAATCCGTATTGTACATATTGCCAGGCAATATAGTTACGCCTCAGTCAGTGCTCAGTGCGCAGATTCGCTTCTGAAGACCAGAAAGTATACGCGTGTGAGCGGAGCTCAGCAATTTCCAGGGTTCAACGTTTGGCAAAGCAGGGACTTTGCCTGCAAGCCCTGATACTGCGGTACGGTGGAGCTAGCACGGTGCATACCAAGCCTACCAAGCAAAGCTTCAACAACACAAGATGGGCTCGGCGCCTTGGTTAAAGCTTAGTTACTGCCACGTGAGATAGTAGCACTGACGCTCTCAATGGTACCCATTGTCGCGTGGCGCTTCGCAGGAGCTGACTGCAAGACCTTTCGAACTCTGTATTATGCAGGGACAGGGTGTTCTCTACGCAACGTTCACAGCTCTCGCGCGGTTGCCCTGCGGCATCTATACGTAGCAATACGTCCTGCCATGTACTATGTCACAGTGACTAGCTTGCCACGAGAATATATGCCTCAACAAGCTATCCTCGCAGGCTGATGACCAGGGTCGGGATCCCTCTGGAGCGCTAGTCTATATATTAAAGCCTTGGCCTGTTGAGATTGTCGTTTCTTGGCATACTGCTGACATGGACAGTCGACATTCGATCAAATTGGTAAATCCTTCTGCATGATACAACTTGTTTTAGTCAACAGGGCTGGATCTAGAATTCGGAAGGCTGGAAAGGCCTTGTACGGATTCACCGCTGGGAAAGCTTATTGTACGGGTTCTACTCCAGATGGACGGCATCGGGGGTTTCGGGGGATTCGATCCTGATAATGCGGGAAAAGCCTCTCAGAACGACCGAAAGCACCCAAGCCCTGCATCAGCCAATTTGAGAAAGGACCCGACGCGGGAACATCACGGAAGTTTCATTGTCATGAGTGCAGTTGTGATGCAATGAGCCCGAAAGATGGTTCGGGACAATCCTGTCGAGCGACCATGAGGAATATTCTGGGAAGTGCCGGCATTATACAACAGTCAACAAAGAGAATGGGCAGATCACGAAATGATAAACAGCTCGTCAGTACGAAACTGCTTATCTATCGTACGAGACATTCACTACTACCTCATCTACCACAATCGCACACTTTGACGCCCAATCATGTGCCCTTCAACGCCCTTGGAGACGTACGCAGAGAAAATCTGCACTGCAGCCAAACAGATTAGTACTTGGTGCAACGAAAACCAACATCCTCAACCATCTCTTGGGCCGTCAGCATCTAGTGTCACCCTACCGCCGAATGCGCCAGTAAAGATACTCACAGCACGAAGCCAATTGGTTGAAGCTGCGTTCAAAATCCAACAGCTAGCTATAGAGCCGAACGAATATTTGTCTCGCCAAGCGGTTCATGTATGGTTGTCCAATCTCCTACCTATACAATTTCGTGTTCTGACTCTCAACCAGTATCAAGTCTTAGCCTCGGTCCACTGGCTCAGTCACTTCCGAATCTTCTCGTTCATTCCACTCACTGGCTCGGTCCCACGCTCCGAAGTCGCGGCATTAGCAATGGTTCCGGAGAACCAACTCAAGGCTACTGCAAGAATGGCCATGACGTCGAACCTTCTGTGTGAGCCGAGCCCGGGCGAGTTGGCGCATACAGCTGCTTCGAGACTCTTCGTCGCCAACCCTGCCGTTTTGGACTGGGCCCTTTTCATGGCAAAAGGCTCGGCGCCGACAGCATCAAAGATGGTCGAGGCTACCGAGAAATGGGGCGCCACAACATCGATGACCGAGACTGCCTTTAACGTGTCCAACAACACCACCCTGACATTCTTCGATTACATTTCACAGACTCCGGATATGGCGAAGTTATTTGTGTCGTATATGAAAAACGTTACATCCAGCGAGGGAACGAAAATTGATCATTTGATCCACGGCTATGATTGGGCCTCGCTAGGAAAAGCTACCGTTGTTGATGTGAGTCCAGCAAAATATAATGCGATGCTGCTCGACAGAACTAATCAATCTGGGCAGATGGGCGGTTCTGACTGCCATGCCTCAGTTGCGCTGGCGTCCGCCTACCCGGACCTCAATTTTGTCGTGCAAGACCTGCCACGAACCATAGCCAACGGGCCCGCCATGCTTGCTAAACAGCCTGACAGTATCCGCACGCGTATTATTTGCCAGGAGCACAATTTCTTTACACCTCAGCCAGTCATGGATGCGGATGCTTACTTCCTCCGCATGATCTTTCATGACTGGCCCGACAAGGAAGCGCTAACCATCCTGCGTCACCTGGTGCCGGTGCTTAAAGCTCGACCTTTCAAGCGGTCTCAGCCTAACGCGTCCAATGTAGCACGTATCATTATCATGGATACCGTGCTTCCCGATCCTGGAACATGTCCCACAACCGAGGAAGCGCTGATGCGCGTGCGTGACTTGGCTATGCTCCAGGCCTTCAACGGCAAAGAACGTGAGCTGACGGACTGGAAAAATCTGCTGGCGGCTGCTACGGCCCAGTCGGGCGAGGGTGCCGGGGAGCTCGAATTACTTCGTGTCCACCAACCATTTGGTAGCTTAATGAGCCTCCTTGAGGTTGTTTTCACAGTGAGTTGAATGATTTCGAAATTGTCAGGGATAGGCAGTTGTTGTAATTGCCTACTTGGTGTGTCTTGTATAGTGAGAATTGTAGCCTTAAACTTTAGTCACCTTGACATGATAATTATTTCTCTCAATGAACGTCTTTGCTTGAGCCGAGGCTTGTTCGGTAGTCAAATAAGGATAATTCACATATAGGTGCAAAAGTCACCGGTGTAGTTTTCTTGAGATGCATGCGAAAGTAGGCTCTAGACAACGAGGTTGAACTAACCTAGCTATACATACATATAAAGTAGTGTACGCATCCGTTTTTTACGTACCAAAGGGCCCTAAATGATGACCCCGCAGCAGGCTGAATGCCAGGCGCGGTGAGTGACCCAACTGCCACGGATTCTCCCAGACCAGGTCCCAGTAGCAAAACGCTGGCATCAGATCGTAAATAGATTGGTCGGAGCATCAATCCGATGACACATTTTCAAGGCCGATTGGTCTAATGTCCGGCATGGGTGTTGAGGACCAGTTAACAGAAAGCATCACTGCACAATAAAACAAACATTCTCGTCAGGCTTGGACTAGGTTATGGTTAGACTAGTCTAAGGTTAGTACTAACTTAAGAAGGATACCCAGAAAATTGAAAACTAATGTAGCACTAGACTAGTCTAAGGTTAATTAACTGATTAAACGACCGGGGAGTTTAAGTTTGTTTTCGGGAACTTGAAAGAAAAGAACCCCCTTCCCCTACCTTCATTCCCAATTGCGAGCGTTAGCAATTCATCATCAATGCCTTCGCCTGACTATTGCTTTTGAGCCTGTCTCAACGGCCTCACCATCGTGCGGGCCTTTCCCATGACCCTTGACGCTTCTCCATTCAAACAGTAGCGCCGGCACGATGCTCACAGCAGCGATGGCTGTACCGACGTAAAAGGTGGTCGTGATAGCCTTATTGTACTGCACCAGCACTGCCGGTAACAAGTGCGTTGGCACAAAGTCCCGCAGGTCCGTTGCGCCGACCTCTGACAGCGCTTTGGCAGTCTCTAACGGAAGAACGGTGGCCAGGTCCTTAACGAGTTCTTGGATGAATACGTTCTGAGCTGCGCACACAAAAACTGCGCCGCCAAGTTGCTGTCCAAAGAACATGAGGGATGCTCCGACCGGCACGTCCTCGTTTTTAAGTACCACCTGCGCCGCCAAGCCGGACTGCTGCATCCCCATGCCCATGCCAAAACCAGCCAGTACTTGGTAGCCAATCCACTCGGCGTTCGGACTGTCCACACGCAGGAGCGTCATCAATCCTGCGCCGGCGGCCATGAGAACCGAGCACAGGATGATGGGCGGCTTGTAATAACCGACTTTCGCTACGAAACCACCAGCTAGTATACTGCTAACCACGAGCGCCAGGATGAACGGCAGATTGCGGATCCCGCTTTGGAGTGCGTCGACCCCGTCAATGGCCTGAAACCAGATAGGTAGGTAATAACCCATGGAAAGCATTACACCGCCGATGCACGCAGAATAGGAGACACCAGCAATGATGGAGCGCTGGAGGAAGATATGTGGCGGCACAGTTGCCTTCTCTTTCTGCCATGACTGCGTCCATATCCATAAGGCGAGAAGCACGCCGAATAGGACCAAGAGTGCGATGATACGTGCGTTACTCCATGCATAGTCGCTCCCGCCCCACTGCAGTGCTAACAATAAAGAAATGATTGATGGAGCGAAGAGCAGATTGCCAATGGGATCCATGCGGAGAAGCTTTTGTTTGAGCGGTAGATCCGCTTGCTGTGGTGGCGAGAGGTGCAGAAAAAGAACCACGATCAGCATGGACACAGCGCCGATGGGGAGGTTGATGTAAAAGCACCAGCGCCAGGTGAGATGCTCGTTCTTAGTAAAAGCACCACCAATCAGGGGACCGATGACGGATGATATTCCAAATATGGCACCCAATGCTCCCTGGTACATTGGTCGTTTCTCCAAAGGTGCCATAGGGATCATGATGACAATAGTCCCAGAAAAGACACCAGCAGAGCCGCAGCCGGCAATGGCTCGGCCAAGAATGAAAGCGATCGAACTCGGGGCTGCTCCACAAATTGCAGACCCGATCTCAAAGAGCAGCACTGCGGCGAGAAAGACGAATTTGTTGTCGTAGAACAAGTACAGACGACCAAAAAGAAGCTGTGTGATGCAGCCACTGAGAACATACGCACTTCCATACCATCCAATATCCTGAATGGAGTCGAACTCGTCTGTGATTTTGGGAACTGCCGTTGATATGATAATTCGGTCCTAAGTGCATTCAGTTAGCTACGCTATTCTTGGCAAGAGGGTGCGGGCTATTGCATACCAAAGCCACCAGAAACATGGCCAGGTAAAGAGCAACCATGATGAGCGCGACAGTTCGGATGGGAGGATACTCGCCCATCCCCTTGGCTCCATCTTCACGCTGTTGGTCAGTGCCCTCTTTCTCGATGCTATGGCCTTCATTTTCGCTACGTGGCAGCTCAACTGTGCTGAGTGGCCCAACCCCCGACCTCGATGGCTGATTCGTTTCTGTAGCTGTTAACACCATCCTTTGTCTTGTGGTATAGAAGTCTTGTGTCGTCAAGATAGTCCGTTTGGAGTCAATCAGTGCTACGTTTTTGGCTTGAGCGACATGTTCTTGGTCTTAAAAAGAAAGGATGTTTTCCTTGAACAGATAGAATTGCCTTGCCCTTGATTTGAAACTGCTAATAAACTTGTCATTGACTGCTATACGCTGCGGTGGAAGCTGCGGAGAATGTTCCGAAAGCTGCGAAATATCCGAAAGCCCCGGGAAACTCCTTGAAACCCCGAAGCCGCCCCAGCGATTTCTTTCCTGCCGAAGCAGCATCGCTTGGGTTCGACTGTACCAATGTCCCGGTGGTTATGTGATTCGGACAAAAACTGTGCCTAACCTGTTTTAAGAACAAAGAGGATCCGACGCTTCTCAGACGTAGTTTATGCACAATGAGAGTCAGGTCACTAATGACTCTATGATCTGCCATTATCTTATTTAGAGTAATTTATGGGCTCTTGACTATGCATACCTCCCTGAAGTAAATTATCCCAGAAGTCCCAGTCAGCCACCGCCGAAGAACCCATGTTGTCTGTCTGCATGGCCTCCATCTCATGCATTGTAAGGGGTGTGTCTGTGAAGCCTTCGCCAGAACCTTGGCCAATCGCGCCGACGTCGTATTCATAGTCGGGGGTCTCGGTCAGTTTAGATCGCAACTTCCCAATGATCGGTGGTACAATAACTTGCTCGAACCCGTTTCTCACGAAGTTGAACTCTCTTGACTCCCAGGCCCTCACGACTAACTTGCAAACCTCTGCGTTCAACTCACTCGATCCCTCTTCAGCAAGCATGGGGTGATACTTAAAGACGTCTTCTACCAATTGCCACGCCTTGTCCACTTGAGTCCCCGGCTGTTGGCGACGTAACTCTATCAACATGAAAACAAAGGCATCAAGCTGGAAGAAAATATCCATGTGCCAACCAAACCCGTCTAAAGACCTGACTGACTTTCCCAGGACATCATATTCGACCATCTTGAGACTTGTAACAAATAGCATGTCATGCTCTGATTGGGGCATCGACTTGCCTCGGTCCTGATACTGACAAGGATGATGTGCCATCAGCCGCATCTTGCATAAAGCCGACCGCGCTCCGCCAGATGACAGCAGATGGAGCGGCAAGGCAGTATCACAGTATCTGAGGTACATGCACTCTATCCGGTTCTCGTACTTGCTAATCAGGCGGTCCTTCTCCTGAAGCGAAACATCATGGCTGTTCAGTGTCTGCGCAGCGGTGCTCAGAAATCTGCCCAGTTCGTACCTCAGGAGACAAAACATCATCTCCGTGGGGCCGTTGTGAGCCACGGGCTCTTCCCGCATTTCTGGGCTGAGGTCGGAGTCGTTGAAATTCCCGGGCAGAGGGAAGTTGGCAGCATCGGAGAATTGGTAGGTGCTTTGCGACCCTGCCAGCTGTGCACCGCGCGCATCAATGAGGAGAATTTGCCACCAAACTCTTCTCTGCATCTGAACGTCGAAGATTGACAGCTCACTCGAAGCAGGATTTTGGTGCAAGCCAAGCAATTGCCCCATTCTAACTGCTGTTCCTGAAAGAAGCCAGATGGCTTGGGGGTTGTACAGTTGCCGAGCTGCGATCTGTAGACTCGTTTAGTTGGTTGCAGGGAGCAGTAAACTCGCAGGCGTTGCTCACAATATGAAGTGTAAAGGCTTGCAGCAAAGTAAAACTCCGTACTTTCATTACACCAGCAGCTTGCAAAGCCTGCTGTGTTGCGAATAGGTATCTCGAAAGCAATGTCTTTTGAGGTTCCCCGAAAGTCGTGCTGCAGTCTTCGTCACTCATAGACATGACAGCTGCAGTGTAAATGGCAAACAGGAGAGCTACCGTTGGTCTATCGAGCGAATCAAGATTCCTACCAGCCTCTATGACATGCATCTGCACAGAGGACGAATGTATTACTTTAGATAGAGGATTAACATTCTGAAGAAATGACTGCCATAGACTGAATGCATGCATGGGTTGAGGATGCATATCCCGATAGCCGCTATCACTTGGAGTCCCCCCAAGGAGGACATGGCTTGGATCAGAACTGGGGCCACCTGAAGCTTCCATTATGGTGCCATGTTGGCTCTGTGCCTTCGATGTTGTAGGCTCTGGGAACTAATTGATGTCAGCTGATTATCATGGCAAGCGAAAAGGCTCAGACCGAAACGGGACAACCAGACCTCGTCGACGAGTCCATGCCACAAGTTCCTGTAGCCAATCAGCTCTGCTGGGTGAATAACTGTAGTATACCCTACGGAGCATGTTTACATACTGGCCGAAGCTGGGCACGGGTCCGGATGCGCCGGCAATATCACGACTAACCACAACCGGCGTAGTTGACGACTTCATTATCGACGGCTCCGGCACGCTTGTATGTCGTCGACGTGTATATGGTGCCCGCGAACCAGGAATACATTCCAGACCTGTTTCAATGCAACTGATACAGGAGACAGATTGCACGTCAGCATGACCCTAGCGCTGTAGATATGAGATTATCTACCTTAAGCATGGCATCTGGCGATCGCAGCGTACTTTGCGCTTTTTACAGGCGACACAAGAGTATTGCTGCTGTAGACGGGATTGCGGCACTTCTTTGATACTGACGGGAGATGAAATGCTGGCAGAGGAGTATGTATGTTCTGACATTGTTCGCAAGAGATGGCATTTGCCAAATCGCTCGAGCGGTGGCCTAGAAACGATCGTGATGTCTTGTGAGCCTGCAGTGTATAAGATAACTCACAGAGACGTTTGAGGTTGCACACTCCCAAGCGACTGGGCCAGCGACTCTCTATCTCTGGGTGCTGCAGCAGTCCCTGCGCCCGCGTGGACTGAGGTGGTATGCTCAGAGGCAAATTGGATGGGCTGCCTAAACGGCGGGCTAGACCTCTTCAATCCCTGCTTGCAACGCCATGGCTTTACGTCCCATCATACACCCCACGTAAGCATAGGTATGCAACATCGATTCCTCCAAGTCTTCTTCAAGCAATTTGATCGCCCTGTAGGGATTGCTGTTGATAAGCTTCTAGAAACATGTCGCTGAACCCAGTTTGAACGAATCAAGCGACGGAGAATGCATTGGTACCTGTAGATCATACTCATTGTGCACATCTAGACTTTTTGTCATGGGTAATCGCTACATAGAAGTGTTATGGTATCAAACCCTCAGATGTTTGCATCAATCATTGAGAATCAACTCTCTACGCCTCCTTTCATTTATACTCAGAGGCTATCATACAATGGCGCCGCTTCTAGACCCCGTCATAGCCTGAAATATAGCGCGAGTCTGTTGGACAAGTCAAATTCTACAGACTCCCGACCGTATCAGTATCAGGGATTTCATCCAACGCCCTCGCGATACTGCACTTACGTTACCCCATACATATGTGATTAGAAAGCGGGCTCCGACAGGTTTGTTCTCTAGGGATACGAAATGGCGACGAGCACCGGAGTCGAAATAAGCAGTCGGACTTATTGGCTGAACTATGGCGGGGATCGGATTGTGGGGTCTTTCTCAGAGCCTCTCCCACCATATTTTTGGCTCTGAACTACGCAGTGTTATTCAGACAGTCTGACGAATAGAAGATTTTACACAGCATGGGTTTACGCCAGCAACTGAAGTACCTGTACTTTGATTGCGACTGATCACAGGTACTGCTTCAGCTGCAGAGATGAAGTACAGGGATCTCACCGGGAGACTTGCTGCGGCTGGAAGCTTTCGAAGCGGATTTTGTACCCACGGATCGAGCAGGGTGGGACATAGCTGTGCCGTATGCCTAACGAAACATCGTTCGTCGTCGGCTGATGTGGCGTCCAATAACTACATCTTAGCATCGTTATTCTGCACGAAGCCACCCATCGGGCCATCTCACCAAGTAATCATATCAGTGATCCTCCGGAAACATAGACCCATAATTTGGCTGCGCGTGTTTGCAAGCGAGCGCGATGCTGCTGCCGGATTACTTCTGTGCCGCAAGGGATTGCCCGTGCAAATCCCCGATTTGGTTGTTTGAACCATGCGGGAACTTTTGGGAACTTTTGGGAAACCCCGGGGAGCTAGTGTAGTGTTTGATGAAATACTCTGGAAGACAAGCAATAGACAAGCCATAGACTGCCGGTGAAGCTGTAATTGTCTCGCCAATCTGTAATCTAGACAAGATGCGCACCCTGATGCTTCACGGACACGGAACGAGTGCATCTATCTTCCAACTCCAAACAAGTATGTCACCCTGCGCGCCTGAGCAATACTTGCGGCTTACTTAATCACTGCAGGTGCATTCCGGTCCAAGTTGGACGATAGCTTTACATTCCACTTCCTGGACGGCTTCTACACAGCCCCACCCGCACCAGGCACTGATATCGTCTTCGGTTCTAAAAATAGTCAAGTGAACAATAGCTTTACTTGGTTCGCAACATATGATCTCACCTCTGTTCTCGATGCTATCAAGAAGATCGATGAGTACATTCAGTTGAACGGACCATTTGACTGCGTATGTGGATTCAGCCAGGGCTGCTCGCTCGCTGCTAGCTTGCTGCTTTACAGCCGTCAAGAGGGCCGTTGCCCGCCTTTCAAGTCGGCTGTCTTCATTTGTGGCGGGGTGAGTTTTGAGGTCCTGGAAAATCTTGGATTGCGTGTGCCACAGATTGCAAGAGATATAAGCAAAGAGACAGGCCGTGTCCTTCAGGCTAGGGCTAGTGTTTTGGCACGTCTGGCCACCGATCTCGACCAAATTGAAAAGGGTGTGGGGTTGTGGGATGATACAGATGGTCTGATTCATGATCCCACGGCTCTGCCGGCGCTGTCTGACTGCTTTGGTCTTGATCTGACCGCATTTTCACGAGAAGTCATGATTGATATTCCAACTGTACATATCTACGGCGGGAGGGACCCTCGCTGGCCATCTAGTGTCCAACTTGCGTACTTGTGCGACAGTGATAAGAGAACAACGCTTGACCACGGAGGAGGGCATGATATTCCGAGGTTGACAGGTGTTTCCAGAGATATTGCAGACACATTCCGCAAGTTGAAAGCAGTCTGAACGTGCCATAGCGTTTGTTATGACGAAAGGGTTATCTGATTAGATGGTCGAGCTGTATCTAGTAATTAACGCAGCCTCTTTCTCTTTTAATTGCATTCCCAAGGTATGTGCTTATTATTCAGCAATTCAAATATCAAGTAAATGACACGGTGGCGGTTTGGTTTGACGTGGAGCTATTAGAAATATATGTTTATTAAATTTAAACACTCATGCCCATCGTTACACAGTTTGCTGCTTCGCTTTCGATAATCTGAAGTCTTACCGGCGACCTACGTGAGCGATCGTCCAACACGTTCATAGTAAATAAGATTGCATAATACGGATTTCGAGAGCAACTCTTTTATTAGTAGCTGTGTCGCCTCGACTAACTCAACGGCAAGTATTGCAGGGGATAGCCTGTATGAGAAAGAGAAATACTTATGGTAATGTTTCTTGCGAATGTGTTGCTAGCTCCTCTGGAAATAGAATTCAGATCTTCTGCCCGGAGAAAATATGTGAAATCTTCACGTTGTGTTGGTCTGTCATCTCCTTGCTCGGATTGAGTGGAAAATGTGCTTTGAGACTGTCTGCCAAGGCGAAGTTCGTGCCATACCTTCGCTAGCAAGCCAGACAAGTCGTACAGTATCTGTCACGAAAGGGAGTAGTAGTTGTCATTAATCGCACCGAATGGGAAGTGCATGGAATGTGCCGCTTCGGGCTTATCCCGTGACCGGGATATGGCCGAATCGGTCATGGAAATGGCATCTACAGTTTTCATTGGTCCAATCCGTTTCTCCGGAATTCTACTAGAACCACGATACACCGTATCCTCAGTGTTTTCGGTGCCAGAAAATCAAGGAATAGAAAGATCTTTGGCAGTTCCAAGTGTCTGGATCGACCCAGGGCTAAGAAGGACGTCGCATGTGTAACTCATAAGCCGATCTCATCCAAGAGCATCTAACGAGTTCTTTAAGATTTGATCGTCGTTGTTTTATCGCTCAACTGATTGGTATCTGTATCGATTGCATCAAACGAAACCACTTGAGTTTGCATCTCAATACAGCGGCAATGACAGATCCAAAGTACCCCCCGAGTCACCCCTCGGTGCCCCCAGTGAGCTCCATGACCATACAGGCTCCACTTGAATCAGAGAGTATGCATAGCGTCAAAGGCCTTATAGCCGTGGTGACCGGTGCTGGCTCCGGGATTGGTCAGATCATGGCTACAGCGTTGGAGCACAACGGGGCCAAGGTGTACATCCTCGGGAGAACACTGGAAAAGCTCAAGGAAACGGTGGCAAGGGCGGTAAGAAAATCATCAGATAAAATATGAGAGAAGCTGAAACCACTGACAAGCGAAGAAATTTGGAAACATTATACCAATCCAGGCCAGTGTTACCTCGCACGACGATCTTCAGCGCGCCGTCGATCGGATCCGCGACGAAGAAGGATACATCAACTTGCTCATCAACAACGCGGGTATCAGCACCCCCAACTTGGGCCCACCCAACACTCGTCCCGGGCCGAAATGGTCGCTTGGGCGGGTACGCGACTACTGGTTCTCTCGAAGCTACGAGGACTACCTAGCCGTGATGCAGACCAATACGGTTGCCAACCTAATCGTCTCGTTCGCATTTCTAGAGCTTCTAGACCAAGGCAACAAGATGCGCGAGGCAGAGGCTGCCCTGCGCCCTAACCTCAACCCAGCCACTGCTAAGATGCGCAGCTGGGTCAGCTCCCAGATCATCACCACAAGCAGCATCGGCGGCTTCGGCCGCGACCATGCCGCCTTCATCTACAATGCCAGCAAGGCGGCCACCACCCACATGATGAAGCACCTCGCCACGTACCTGGTTCCATTCGGAATCAGGTCGAACATCATAGCTCCTGGTTGTAAGTACATAGTCTCTGCGCGAAGTTCAATTGATGCGCCCAAGCTAACAAGGTTAACAATCAGTCTGGCATACGGGGATGACGGACGATGTTGCGCGGGGTATTGCCTTGACTGGAGGCGCTGTGCCCAAGACCTTGATCCCGGAGCAAAGGTTCGGTACCGAGCAGGAGATGGGCGGCACTATCGTGTATCTTGCTTCGCCGGCTGCCGGGTATTGCAATGGGTCGGTCTTCGTGATTGATGGAGGATATTTGACAAACCACCCCAGCACTTACTAAATTATCGCATTGGGCAGTCTAGAATATAATGACCGTATTTCATCCCCCCGTTTTTCTTTTTCTTTGAACTATACTATTGGTAGAGCAGACCGGAGTTACCAGTCTAGTGTTGATTGCATCGGCTGTTTTTGCCGGATTTGATTGTTGAGTAGTGGTAATTATGCTAACCATAAAGGAATCATGTTAAAGTCTTCACTAAATACTTCCGGGTTAGATGATTAGATTAAAACATCTAAATTGTGGTATTCAACACGAAGATATAGATTGGCAATGCACGGGGAGCTTGCGGCTCGTGTCTTGGCAAGAAGAAGTCTTACATCACTGCGAGCAAAGGTACTCGCGCGTCGATATATTTCTAGCCCTACAATTTTAATTTTCAAATGCAATTGAATCGATTGTCAAACGAATATGTGGGTGGTATAATTAGACTGATGGCCCTGCGGGACCAGATGGTAACGCACGACACAGTGAAAGAGTAAAGAAAATAAAGAGATTGATACATAAAACTCAACTATCTTACATCGCAGGACGCAAATTCTCTCGATAATGATTTTGCTAGAACGAAAAGAAAATAGATGCAAAACATCAACCCTTCGCCATTGTCGTCATGTAAGGATCGAGATAAAACTTCGAGGCATTTTCCTTCTTATATGGCCCTTCGTTTTTGATGGGTATCAGACAATTGTTTACCATACCATGAATGTATGACCGCTTTGCCAAGTTTTGGCGTGTTTCAGTTTTCTTTCGGTATGTCTCAACATCCTCTCGATTCAGCGTAGCAAACAGGTATTTGGATGCCACACCCAAAATCTGCCCACCCTTCTGACCAAATCCAAAGGAATTCAGGAGAAAGGCCTTGATCTCTGGTACCTTGAGATTATCCTGTGTCGGAAATGCTAGGTACTCGAACTGGCGTAGTTCCTCATCTACCGAGTCCAGCGCAGCGTTCCTGGGGATGATACCATCTTTCATTGCCTGCAGACAACCATTTAACATCCATGCAGCAGCCGCGGCCTTGGGGTGGCCCGTGAGGGACTTCTGACAAATAACGGGTATAAGGCGACTCTGACTCCGACCAAGATGTTGCATTTGTTGCTGGATGACATGTGCTTCGTTCTTGTCGTTTCCTTTTGTGGACGTTCCATGCATTGAGACCATGTCGATGTCATCCACACCTAACCCCCAAACTGCGAGTGCTGCTCTAAGGGGAGATATACCGGGCTCTAGCCGGCGCAAATCATCCCCATATAGTAGTTTCGCAGCACGCCTAGGATTCATAGGAGTTGCCCACTTCGTAACTGCGTTGTCGTCCAGGATACTTGGAATCAAGGTAGCTTTGGGCTCCAGACTCCAGTTGGAATCGGGCGTCGTGGCTTCAGTACTGGGTGTATTTGGTGAAAGGCTTGAGCTTGGAGTCGAGTAATTGCGCTCTGCAGAATGTCCAGCCACGAAGTCATCCATACAGGCTCTACGAAACCTGACGTCAAGCCATGGAGAGTGCGACGCGTTTGGTGATTCGCGCGCGTTAGTAAGTATGCCCTGGCCAGGGGCGGGAACCGAGCGTCCAATCCCGTCAGAAGCCATCGTAGACGAGGCAATGACCGCGTATATGGGAAGGCCCATCTTGAGCGCGATATCAGCAGTACAGATCAACTGCATACCACAACCATGTGATTCGACAAAGCCCGCCCTGGTTTCAGACATGGGACGAGACATTTCATGCGGTAAACGCCCCATCTTGAGTTGCTCTCTGGAGTTAACGGTAGCCTTCATGGCTGAAAAGTTGTAAGCTTCCTCTTCTGCAAGGTCATCTACTCCACCAACAAGACACATCTTGGTCTTTCCGGCTAGAAGTGATTCACAAGCAGCGTCAAGAGACTCCAGACTTGTAGCACAGGCGCCAGTGAGGGTCTTAATTGGACCAGCAGAGCCCATGAGCAACATGTTAATCCATGCGGCGGGTGTGTTGAACAGCGTTTCTTGCATGACGTCTCCAGGGACAGGTTTATCAAGATGGTCATCCTTGTACATCTGCTGCAGCTTGGTAAGACCGCCCAGAGAAGATCCGACGAACAGACCAAACTCGGAAAGATGGAGGTGTTCATATACTTCGTACGGATCAGTGATACCAGCGCTGTATAGCGCTTCGGCGGCGCCACAGAGGGCATATGTCGTGACAGGGTCGATTTGCGAAGCGATGTCTTCGGGTATGCCATATATGGACGGACTGAAACCGGTTGGTATTTCACCTGCCACTACGCTATCGAAAGCTCGTGACTTTGGCACATATACAGTAGCGCCTCTCTTGAGTTGAACCTTGAAGGTGTCTGTTCCAGCTGCTGCCCAAACATGGGCTTTGTCACCGTTACGAGCCTTGAAGGCGTCGGCGGTAGCTCTTGTTGCATCAAAAGGGGATAGATCTTGCTCGAGAACAAACTCTTGCAATGATTCTTTACGATCAGGACAAAAGCCGCCGGCTCTTGTAGACTCGATCATACGAATTCCAGTATGCGCGAGTATATGATCGTGATATCTTCGTCCAATATCGCCATCGTTGATTGGATCTCCGGTCTCGCGATCAACCCAGCCAATGTAACGGTTTCCTGACTTGTCCAAACCATCAAAATGCCTGATAAGACCCATCATCCAGGCTAGCTCTAGGTATGCACCTGATGTAAAAGCAATCCCCTTCTCCTTCTCCCAACGGGTTCGAGAGCTGCCCCATGGTCCCAGTTCGGAGAAGCCGACGATGACGATAACTCTCTCTGGTTCTACCATATCGTGCAGATGGTCCAACGATGCCAGATCCTCATCGTAGAGGGCCCATGATGGAAAACCCATATCGGGGTTCCATCTTTTTAATTCTTTAGGGTTTTTGATAACGAGTTCGTCTTCTCCAAGAAGCTCTTGTTCAATTTTGTCTTCCTGGAATATGATCCTTTTGATAGCTACAGCATCATGCAATTCCTGCCTCGCCTGAGCTACTTTGGCTTTGAGTTGCGACAATCTCCCCAGGCCCCCACTCAAATCTGCCAACAGTGGTTCCTCGGTTGAACGATCCATAATAGGATGAGTCAGTAAGCATAGCAAATTGAGAGCCATCTCGGTAGTCGAGAATGTCAATGCGCCATGCTTCTCGATGGCTTCGGCCACAGGTCCGTTACCAGACATTAGCCCTGTACCACGTGTCCATCCAACAACTGCACCACAGACGGAGAGGTACGGAGACCATGATTCGGACGAGAAACGCTCAAGAAGAGATTCCAGGCCAAGCTTAGACTCTGAATACAAGCCATCGCCTCCAAATGAGCCATGATTGGGGGAAAATGGTAAGATGGCCATAGTGGGTTGGGAGTCCAATCTGCGCGACCTCTTCTGATCAGCGACCGCGCCGAGCACACGGATGCAATTGGTTAGCATGACACGGTGTGCAAGCTCCGACCGGCTGCCGATTCCATCGATCTCACTACCTATTTCTGAAACTGCGGCGAAAGGGATGACCGCGTCGAGGTTACGGTTCAGACCTTTTTCCGAATATATGTACTCAATCATTGACTCGCAGTCCTGCTTTGAACCCTGATTAAATGGAAGTAGCAGCAAATCTGAGCCATTGGCCCCGTTCTGCTCGTAAATAGTTTGACACATGCCTGCCGAAGCAGATGGGGCACGACTTGTAGTCATGATGACTCTAGCGCCACCCTGCAGAAGGCCTTGTACAACGTCGATGGCGATAGATTCTGGACCTGCTCCGATTACAAGCACAGTCATGCCCGCAAAGCTAATCCCGAGGTCGGTGGATTTATGCAATTCAGCGTGATATATCCGGGTCATTGTTTCATCCATAAGCCACCCGTAAGGTGATTTCCGCTTGATGTGAAGGCATGGCAACTTGTCGTCAATACCCTCGACTTTTAGTGATGTGCACATTAGATCAGTATACTGAATAGCTCCATGTTTCGCTAGTCGTGAAATTTCGGCAATTTGCGTTGTTCCATCTTCAAGCAGAGTGGTTTGTGGCGCTTTGGGATGTCCAGTATAGCGAAAGAGAGGCCCAGCAGCTTGATGCTTCTGCACTAATTCATAAATTGCGGCTAATGAGCCCCCTGAGATGCTTGAGAGCAATCTTTCGATAACTGTATCGTAGCAATTTGCGAATCGAAGTGCCGTCGCATCTAGTTCATGGTTCTCCAATTGACCGTGGTTATAACACAGTTCAAGGAGCTTAACTCGAGCCGTATTCCATGATGAGGCAAAGCGCCGAGCCTGTTTCCTGTCGAACTTCGGTTCTACTCCTGTTTGGAACTCCTCTCCAAGCTCACGCTGTAATAAATCAAGCTTATTCTGGAGCGTCTGGCTAGCGTCTATTGATTCCTGCAGTCTCTGGAGGCCCGAGGATTGCGTTTCTCCTAGATGGTCGTGAAGAAACTCCAGGAGTTTCGACGATAACTGGCCTTGTTCCCGCTTCAGGTCATTCAGTTGCGACTCGTCTGTCATCACCGGTAGTTGGCCATGAACCGTTGATTCTTGGTCTCTTGTTTGTAAGTCCACCTTCTCTTCTATGGCATATGACTGGACGGTTTCACTGATGAAGCTCTTCACTGCGTCCGGGGAATCGAGCCGAACAGCTGGCGCCGACGTGGCCGCTATCAACAATATCGCATCCTGCCTGCTTGGCCCTAGAGCCCAGGAACTGGAAATATGGGATTTGATGGTATCCAAGCTCCAGCCTGTTGGCATTTTTGCCGAGACGAACCTCGCAATCAAACTAGTCGATTGCTTTCCAAGCCTCCCCGAATGGGATGGCTCCAGGGACACTGCAAATCGTTCAAGACTGAGGCTCTCCAAACCGTCTGGTAAACTTCCAAACTCGTTTCCAAGGTCTGAGACCAACTCATTCTGCATGGTGGACCGACCTAGGTATATGTATTAGCACAGTTTGAAATTCAAAAATGAAAATTGGGGACTACGGACCTCCAGTCAGCTCTTTCAGTGATTTAGATAAAGCTACAGCTTGCCAATCCTTCTTGAGCTTGAAAGAGACTAGATTGCGGATGATCAGCCCTGCGGATATCGAGACATCTTCGAGTTGAGCACGGGCATGAGGTTGTTGCGTCTGAGCCGCCGGTATTGTATTCTCAGTAATTGGTGGTGCTGGAATTGGCGCTTCCGCCAATCTTTGCTGAGTGCTTGTGGAGTCGTTGGTGACTAGCTGCTCCTGTTTTCCAGCATGCTGGTCACTTTTGAATGTGATTTGGTGTACATCTTGCTCATAAGCCAGAACTTTGTACTGAGACGCGACGGCTTGCTGGACTTGTTTGGATCCGTATTGGCGTTCAAGAGTCCGGCCCAACAAGCCGCCTAGGACCCTTGACGGTCCAAATTCGATGAAACGTTGAGCTTTTCGCTCTTCAGATAGCATGGCATCTTGGGTGTCGATCCTTAGCGGCCAGTTAGTGTTCAGTGGGCCTTGGTGCGTATCGGAGGATCGTAGCACATACCATCTTACAGGAAGCGCTACCTGATGACTATGATCAATAATTAGTTACTGCCTGTGTATCCAAGGCTGAGATGAAACGTACGCAAGAAGTTCGATCAACAACCTGTGTGCAATTTCTCTCTGCTCTTCATCCCCCATTTCTTCTGAGATGGAAACACCTGTTGGGAGCCCCATTTCTGCACCAGGTTTGGAGTTGTAAGTGATTCCGTGCAACTTCAACTGCTGTGAATTAGCCGCAAGGTTCACAGGCGTCGTTGCAGCTACAAGATGCCAGAAGACCGGAACGAGGCTTCGCGCAGGAAGACCCTACCTAGGTTAGGTACATACGACTTCGGCGCAGCCGACTCCCAAAACTTCGTCATATTGCTATTGGGGGTACATGAACGTACGGTCGAACACGTCTGTTCGTTGCCCATACCCTTGCTGCTATCGTAACGCGGGCTGCCACCGCCCAGCTGCATCTCACTAACAGCACGGAAAATGGAAGCATTTAGGAAATCCCGATACTCGGGGCCTGTCCTGTGCCACCCAACGTTTGCCCAAATTAGAATGAAGCCTGCCCCACCAATGCCCCGCAGCCATAACCAACTGCAGCCAACGGGAAAAGTCCAAATTCGGAGTACGCACCTCATCATCACCACCTATTATGATTATTTCTTTTTGTTATTTTGGATCAATTGTCTAGCTCTAGAGCGAAAGGGGTTGCCCTACGTATCATGCACGTACAATGACCAAAACAGTCAAGCTCAGACAACCCGACCAAAACGGGTCAAGGATTTCAACCGGGGGCCCGGGTTTGGACCTGGACGGTTTTACAATATGACCCGGCTTCAAATTACCTTACAGAAATGATTGAGGAACATTACCAAGATCTTGGTAGACATGGAACATGCACCAGCTCTATTGTCTTCATGCTGTCAATGTCGCCCATCTACCTCTGTACACCTTGACCTCTTTCGACATCAACGGACTCGTCTGTCTCAGCGTCTCTATTAGATTAGACAATTCAAATGGATGGCATGTGGCAGCCAGCAAGGTCTCATGCGAGGATTAGAGTTGCCGTATCACAGGAAGCCCAGGGATCATGGTTCATCTCTGCAACACCAAGCGATGCCGATATTCTCAAATACCATGTGGGAGGCTTTTCGAGATCGGTACCAGCAAGGGGCAGATCTCTGGTTCAGGATACAGACCCCGACCTTGAGGTAGCCATCTCATTTCTTGAGTACCTCACGTCAAACGAATCACCACAGAATGCGATTCATATCGCCCTTATTGCATTCCAACAAGACTTCTTTGGAAAAGGAGGCGTTTTTGCCTTAGCAGCCCAGTTGCCGCACCACTCAAGAAAGCGCTTCCTAACAGTCTACTACGGCTCTCTTCAACTTGCCGGTCTACAGGGCGAGCAGGTACCATCGCCCTTGATGCTTGGTGGGGTGAGAGAGGACGTCAGGTTAGCTGCCATCTTTGGGGGACTAGGACCGATCAATATCAAATGCCTCGAAGAACTGCGCGAAGCGTACAAGGTATACAAGCCTTTAGTCGAGAACCTAGTCAGACCAGCGTCAAAACTACTGAAGGATCTGGCGAAGACAAATGATGCGCTCGATTTCCATGGAAACTTTGGCTTTGACTTGGAGCGGTGGCTAGACTACCCCCTTGAAGCACCACCTACGTCTCACTTGGCCTTGGCTCCCATCAGCTGCCCCTTGATTACATTACTCGGAATTTTGAATTACCTTGTAGTCATCCAAGTACTTGGGTTCACCCCACAAGACATGCGCAAGCGATTTATCGGGGTCACCGGTCACTCCTTGGGTGTCCTCGCGGCACTGGTTGTAACTAGATCCAAGGATTGGGTAACCTTTTACGCTTGCGCCTTATATGCAGTTGAGATGTCATTCTGGGTGGGACTTCACGCTCATCGTGATGGAAAACTCGCGTCTCATTCATCAGCCCGTCTGGGCGACAGTGAATCCAGGATGTTACGCGTTCGGGGTCTTTGTGTCAAGGATCTGAGCCAGGTAGTTGAAGTTATCAATCGTTATTTGCCAGAGCCTGCCCATGTTTACCTGTCAGTGGTGAATGAGAGGAAGTCTCACGTAATTGCGGGGCCCTCTTCTAGCCTCGACGCGGTTCGGTTGAGATTGCAGCAGCTGGGGGCTGATCCAGAGGTCGATCAGACCAGAATTCCCTTTCACAAGAGGAAACCTGTCATTGACGAACAATTCCTGCCTATTTCAGCACCATTCCATACCCAGCACCTGGAAGAAACTGTTGACAGAGTCCTGACGTCGATGCATCTACAAGATATTCCTGGTGACTGCCTTGGTCCTCCTCTTCGGCACACAAAGAATGGAATTTCTGTTGATCTATCGGATGGGCCTCAGGGTACAAATGCCATAGTACGTATGATGCTTGTCGAGCAGGTCAACTGGCCAGAGTGCATCGCATTTGCGAAAGGTGCACAAGTCCTCGACTTCGGACCAGGGCTACCTGGTTTGCTTGCCAGCAAATGCCTAGAAGGTACGGGCAGCAGGACTCTATCAGTCACGGAATGGGACTTGTCTTCAAGTAGCATAGGTGACGCGGCCGACTTTTACACATCAAAAATACACACAGGACACAACTGGGCAATCAGATATCTGCCTTCAATGTCAAAATGGGGCATGCGGACGAAATTTGTCGAAGTTCTTGGCTGTCCGCATGTCATGGTAGCAGGTATGACACCCACCACTGTTTCTTGGGAGTTTGTCTCAGCTGTCATGAATGCTGGGTACCATACAGAGCTGGCAGCCGGAGGTTATGTGGACTCGCTAAGTCTCCAAGACGCCCTGCACCAACTATCGTCAAGCATACAGTCAGGGAGGGGGATTTGCTGTAATATCATTTATTCCGACCCCAAAGCTATCAGTTGGCAAATTCCGTTGCTACGAAATATGATAACTGAGGGCTATCCAATCCACGGCATCACCATTGGAGCTGGCATTCCTTCGACTGAGATTATTGATGATTATATCAAAACATTGGGTCTACGTTACATAGGGTTGAAGCCGGGGTCTGTCAAGGGTATTCTTGCCGTTGTGCAGATAGCCCAGCGGCATCCCAACTTTTCCATTATCCTCCAGTGGACAGGTGGAAGGAGCGGTGGTCATCACTCCTTTGAGGACTTCCATGAGCCTCTTATAGAAACCTACAGCCGGGTGAGGGCATGCAAGAATATCACATTGGTGGTAGGTGGCGGATTTGGCGATGGCCTAGGAACATTCCCTTACTTGAGTGGGGCATGGTCATGTTCGCGAGGCTTCCCTCCCATGCCTGTCGATGGTATACTACTTGGAAGCAGAATGATGGTTTCAAAAGAAGCGAAGACAGCTCCGCAAGTCAAGGAATTGATCTTGGAAGCTGAAGGGGTTGGAGATGAGCTGTGGCAAGAATCCTACGATCGTTCCGTTGGCGGCATCATTACTATAACTTCGGAGATGTCTCAGCCAATTCATGTTCTGGCCAATCGAGCTGCGGTGCTCTGGAAAGAACTGGATGAAACCGTTTTCGGTGTGAAGGATCCAGTCACTCGACTGTCCATACTGCAGGATAAGAAGCAATGGGTCATTTCTAAGCTTAATTCGGACTTCCACCGGCCATGGTTCCCTATAATGACCGACGGGCGTCCTTGTGAGCTGCATCACATGACTTACCGGCGAGTTTTAGTCCGTATGATTGAACTCATGTTTGTTGGTCACCAGAACCGCTGGGTCCATGAGTCTTACTCCGACCGAGTTGTGGAATTTGTGGAGAGGATGTTTGAGCGACTGCGAAACGGGCTTCCCACGTCGCTCAAAACCACCGAGCCTGGCTTCTTGCTAGAATACGTCATGCACCAACTGCCGGAGGCGGAGAACGAGTTTCTTCACCATGACGACGTCTTATTCTTCGTGGATCTGTGCTGGAGGCGTGGACCTGCGCGAAAGCCAGTTAACTTTGTGCCTGTTCTTGATCAGAACTTTGAAACTTGGTTCAAGAAGGACTCATTGTGGCAGTCAGAAGATGTCGACGCTGTCGTCGACAAAGATGCGCAGCGTGTTCTAATTATACAAGGGCCTGTGGCAGCATCCTTTTCGAACAAGGTTGACGAGGGAGTCAATGATATCCTCGATGGAATTGTACAAAAGCATATACAACTTCTATCAGAAGATAGTAAGCTGTCACATCCAACAACTGAATTGGAGATATCGCCGAAATTAACTATTCCCATGGATCAGGCCATAGATGACTCTACATTCCTTGAATTCACGGATACAAGAAACCTTCCGAGTCTCGATTCGTTTGTGTCAGAGATTTGTACCCAAGTCTCGCCATGGGCTCAAGCGTGTATGACAGACTGCACAATTAGGCAAGGATATCGCACGGTCCCAAACCCGATTCGAATGGCCCTCGTACCATGTCCCGGACAGCAAGTCGTTATCAATCGTAATGCCTGCGGGGTGACGAGTATGATAACCATATCGAACATGGACTCCACTTCTGAGCAGGAAGTGCCCTGTATGATACTCAAATGTGACGACAGCAAGAATATCAAGGTGGTTTTGGGCCATCGATCGTCAAACCGTCAATTCTATTCTCTCACCTTTGATTACCTCTATCAGCCACAACATATCGGTGCAAGGCTGCTTGAGAACACCGAAGGACGGCTGAGAAAGATACAGGACTTTTACTCCAACCTCTGGCTAGGCGGATGGCCATCGCATGTCAGACATGGAGACATTCACAGCACATTTTCGGGATCACCTGTAGCACTTACCGAGTCACTGTGCAAGAGGTTCTTAAATTATTCAGGAGCACAAGGAGTCTGTGGCGTCAACCTCCCGATAGACATTGCTATTGTCGCGGCTTGGGAGGCATTAGTACTTCCGCTGCTCGGCTCGGGGTTTAATGAGGACATAACAAAGTTACTCCACCGCTCTATTAAGTACCAGTATTTACCAGGAGCTCAGCCGCTGCAAATGGGTCAGACTGTGCAAGCCACATCGACTGTAGATTGCTTGAGCAACGAGGATAATGGCAAAGTCGTCACGGTAAGTGCTACGGTACGGCACGAAGATCAGCCCGTTATCAGAGTAGTCAGCGAATTCTTCATTCAAGGTCTCTGTGAAGAGGATGAGGGCACTTTCAAAAACACCGAAGAACAAGTCATACGTGTTGATGTTGCATCTAAGACGGTCGAAGCTGCTCTTGTGAGCAGAAAATGGGTCCTACTCGACGAACGGAACCTATTGGGTAAAGTGCTTCTCTTCAAATTGGCCTCTCGGAGAACGAAACAGACTTTGAGCGTGACGGGCTCCATATTGATTCAAAACAAGTCTCCCCATGTCAAATGCGTTGGCCGCGTGGTCTTTGAGAGTTGCCAGCCAAGAGCCGGGAATATTGTCCTGAATTTTCTGAACCGTTACGGAAACCCCAACAGTCCGTGTCAGCCTATAAAGAACCGCGAAGTTGTATTTGAGGATATTCGAATGCCTCTTCGAAACGATGAATACTCGTTGGTCTCGAAAGACGACAACCCGATACACACGAACCACACTTTTGCATGCTACACGGGCCTGCCAGGTATTATCGTGCATGGAATGCACACAAGCGCTATCGTTAGGAGTGTTGTGGAGAGGATGGTTACTGGCAATAATATAGACCGATTCCAATGTTGGAAAGCAGACTTTCTCGGCATGGTGACGCCCGGAGATAATCTGAAAATCGAATTCCAGCACGTGGCCATGGTTTCCAGTCGTATGATGTTCGAGGTGAAGGCCTACAAGAAAAGTGACAAGACTCTGGTACTGTCAGCAGAGGCAGAGATTGAGCAGATCAACACGGCCTACCTGTTCACGGGTCAGGGCAGCCAGAAGGTGGGCATGGGCATGGAGCTATATGAGACCAGCCCAGCTGCGCGCATACAGTGGGACCGAGGAGGTGAGTAATTTTATTCCAGCCGCGTGCAATATCATCAGGACTTATCATGTTACTAACGGATGGCGTATCAATAGAAGTCTTCTTTACCGAAAACTATGGTGAGTTGAGTCTTACTGGCTTATCTATGCTCATCAGGATAACATTTGAGGCAGGCTTTTCGATACTACAAATTGTGCGTGACAATCCAAAGGAGTTGACAATCTACTTTGGCGGTCCTCGAGGGAAGTATGTAAGAGATCAGTATCTCAGACTCGCAAATTTCCAGCCCGGGTCAGCTTCAGAGAAAGTCGCGGCGCAGTCAGCTTTCCTTGGTCTTGACCAAACCTCAAAGTCGTACACATTTCGACATTCAGAGGGTCTCCTTTTTTCTACACAATTCGCCCAATCAGCAATTATGCTGGCGGAGATTGCAGCTTTCGAGGATTTCAGATCCCACGGATTGGTGCAGTCAAGATCACAATATGCAGGCCACTCCTTGGGGGAATATGCCGCAATAACATGCATGGGCGAAGCTCTCTCTGTTGAGTCCCTTCTTCGTGTCGTCTTTTACAGAGGTGCCACGGTACAAGGAACCATGTCAGCAGCAAGAGAGCAGGGTGCCGAGTACTCTATGGCTGCCATCAACCCTGAATCTATCGGTAGGACCATCCAGTTCCTCTCCCATGCTGAGACTAATATTGCCATTTATAGGTCTTACGGAAGTACAGCTTTTGAGTATAGTCGAGTTGATATCAAAGCAGAGCTCATTGCTGCTTGAAGTGGTGAATTTCAACGTCGCTGACAAGCAATATGTCTGCGCAGGTCACGTATGTACTCTCTCTCGGTTCCCATGAAGGTTTTGTACTTGACTGATGTCTGACCTTCCCATCAGAATCGAGCTTTGTGGGTCTTGAGCCAGGTGCTGGATGATTGTAGTAAATTCAAAAGAACTGGGCTTTGCTTGACCCAGCAACTGCAGGACTGCGTCGGAAACTCCATGGCGAAGCCCCGGGACTCTACACTTCAACGCTCCTTGGCGTTCATTCCACTGCTTGGCATCGATATCCCCTTCCACTCATCGCTGCTGAAGAAAAATATCGAACTCAGCCGCGAATTCCTCGAAGAATCGATTCCCAAGAACACGATAATTCCTAGCAGGCTTGTGGGTCAATGGATTCCTAATATCCTTGGCCAGTCATTCTCTATAGAATACGATTTCGTGGCCGCGGCGTATCAAGCGACGGGAAGCAAGAAACTCCAAGAGATACTTCAGAAGGTAAGAATAGTTACCTGACATGCTGAAGTACGCCGCACGGCTAACAACTCACAGTATTACCATTCCGTGCCCACAATACTCAGGTGAGCCGTATTTCCCGGTATCTTGCTGTCGAGTATAGAAGTATAAGCTCTGGTAGAGAATGAATGGCAAGTTCTCACATCATTCAGAGATTGAAATTGCAATCCCTATATCTTCTGTACAGAATCATTATCAATTATTTCCGTCCAATGACTAGATTTAATCTATTTCAGACTACTTCGAATTTGCATTGTCCTATAAGAACATGAGAATGCGACTTCTGTATAATTTGTAATTTTAGGTATGAGAGATACATTGACCAGCCGCAATTTTGATGGCGTGTCTATACGGCTGCTGGTCCTCTTAGCGAATATCAAGCTATCTAAATATATAGCGTCAATGTCATATTCCCAATGGACACACGATTCATGCGCGTCGATGATGTTGATATACCATGCAGCACAAAGTTTCATTGATTTCCGGTTGTTAAGAAAGCGACAGTCTGATAGTGCGTAGTATTAGGCTGCAAGCTAATTAATTGGCTCGAGGTCAGCTTCTTGCTAAGCATCCGCAGCGATGATTGAATTTCTAGATCAGCATAATTCACGATTAACCAGATTTTTGAAAGGATCAAGAAAACGTATGCCCTAAATCAAGCGACTGAGTTTCCGCATATTCCCGGTTTTGTGACAGAAATAAACCAAGCGCGCGGGGAATGTACGAATTGAGATAGATCCCATTTGTATTGCCCCGTCAGCATCAGCCCGGGATTAGGCCAAAATCCGACAGATCCCACTGCGTCCAACTGAAAATTGGCCCGAATATAGGCAGAATTTCTTTGCGACTTCGTTTACAGGCATCTGATGGATCTTATGGCGTGCAAATTCAATCCAGAATGGTTTGAGCCGGTGTCCTGTTCGCGATAATGGCACAAACGCGAATGTTTCAATGCCAAGCGGAGGAAACGGGAATCACCACCTGATGGAGAGGTCTCGGTTCCAATATATAGGCTCTGTATGGGTTCCTTTGGCACGAGACATTACCGCAGTACATTGCAGCGTACCTAATTAGCATGATCGTACCAATGGCGCCCAAGTCTATGCAACTACTCTCAGCAGTCCTGCTGGCGTGTTTGTGCCTGTCAGGGGCACAGGCCCACCACACGGTGAAGAAAACCCTGACTGTGACATACAAGAAGGGTGCGCCAGATGGAATTCAGCGAGATGTGATATACATCAATGGGCAATTCCCAGGACCGGACCTCGTATTCGATGAAGGCGATGATGTGGAAGTAAGTCGGCTTGGTGCTTCGTATTTGTCATCGAGATACATACCTAACATCTGGACCAGATCACCGTGAAGAACAACATGCCTTTTAATACTACTATGCATTGGCATGGGCTTTTGTAAGTCCACCTATTTATCTGGTCGTCCAGGTTTTCATACTGACGAACAGGCAGAATGCAAGGTACACCTTGGTCTGATGGCGTTCCAGGCCTCACACAGAAACCGATTGAACCTGGAGAGGACTTCATTTACCGATTTAAGGCAGAGCCTGCTGGAACATACTGGTGAGCGCGGCCCTGAGGATTGAGTTTTGTATGTACGGTGCGGCGCGGAAGCTGACCACGTTTCAAGGTATCACTCGCACAGCCGTGCTACTCTATTGGACGGCATGTATGGGCCTTTATGGATAAGGTCTGAAAAACTAGCTAATTTGTCAGATACCGAAGCATTACTGACAGGATTGAATAGGCCCAAAAGCGATGCCGCGACGCCGTACAAGTTGATCTCCAGCGACAAGAAAGAACTCATTGCAATCGAAAAGGCTGCTCGTGATCCGGAGCTACTGACTGTCTCTGACTGGAGCAATTTCACATCTTGGGAATATATGAATGGTATGGTCGCATCTGGTCTGGACATCTTGTAAGGAAATTTTGCTTCAAGTGTAGTATGGGAAAGAACTAACTGGCCGTGCCTGAAGCTGCGTAGATAGTATCCTTCTAAATGGCAAAGGCGAAAGTTACTGTCCTGGTCAACCGTTCCTCCAGTCCGAGGTAATGAGTTACATGCAATGGGCTCTGGGTGAACCAGTAAACGACAAAGGGTGAGTAAAAGAAAAGATATACATAGGAATGAAAATGAAAAATTACTGACTTACCTGTCGATACCCAGATGCTTTCCATTTGTCTACTCTACAGAAGGTCCTTTCCTACCTGGCAAACCTGAAGCTATCCCAGATCACATGTGGAAAGACTGCATACCTGCAAAGGGCGAGAACGCGACGATTTCGGTCGATGCCAAGGATGGATGGGCCAGTCTCAACATCGTCATGGCATCGACAATGAAGGCTGTGGTTTTCTCAATCGACGAGCATGATCTGTGGCTCTACGAAGTCGACGGTCACTTTGTTCAGCCTGCCAAGTACCAGTGGATTGTTTTGCTTCCCGCAAAACGTTACAATGTCTTGGTGAAGCTGGATAAGACGCCAGGAGATTATACCATCCGCATTCCGGATCAAGGCTTTTCGCAGATCATTTCCGGATTCGCCACGTTGAGCTATAAGCACGGGAAATCCTTGGGTCCGACGACCCCCTGGATCACGTATGGTGGTCTCAATGCCAGCACCGAAGGCGTCGGCTTTGCCTATTCTGACACTCTGCCGCCATATCCCCCAATCAAGCCTGCCGCGAAGTCAGACGTCGCCCATGTGTTTTACTTGTACCGCTGGGACCAGGCTTACACGTGGACGCTCGGAGGCTCTGCCGTCATGCCTGTCGATGCATGGGCATACAAGCCGCTACTTTACAACCCCCTCTCCGAGGCTGCCAACGACACGACGTTGGTAGTACAGACAAAATTTGGGCAGTGGGTGGATCTCATCATTCAAGTCGGCTCCAAGGCTGGCGAAGAGCAGGAGATCAACCACGTCATCCATAAGCACGCCAGTAAAGCCTGGCAGGTAGGCGCAGGATCCGGCGTCTGGAATTTCACCTCGGTGGACCAGGCTGTCCAGCTGCATCCCGAGCTGTTCAACTTTGAGAATCCACCTTACATGGATGTTTTCCTAACGTCGTTCGAAGGTCCATCGTGGATCATCATGCGCTATCAAGTCGACAATCCGGGCCCTTGGCTAATACACTGTCACTCCGAGATACATGTCGCCGGTGGTATGGCTATGGTCATTATGGATGGAGTAGATAAGTGGCCTAAGATTCCCAATGGGTACGGACCTGACCAGAAGGGTCACTTCTGAGTTGAAACGTTATAGGAGTGATGTGCATACAAGTGGTCGCGGCGTATGCTCCTGGGCCTCGAAAACTTATTCATGGTCGATTGGCAGTAATAATATTAGTTCACGTAATCATCTAAATCAACCATCTTGAAGGATATTTGAAATGTTTATGTGACCATCATTTGAAGTGAAGTATGGATTCAGATGAGGCTCTCTGATGTTCTTGACTAGAAACACCAGGTACAACAAAGTGGTACAATGTGGTCGACCCGGGCACTGGTCTTGCACATCTCTCTCACTGTCGCTTTTGAGGGTATTCCCATGCTTCTGTATCACTACTTTCGCTTCTTTATTGATTTATGTTACTTTCGTACTTCATATTGTCGTTTTCGCTTCTTTTCGCTCTTTTCGCTACTGTAACTACGTCCCTGCCAAACGAGATATGAGACGGAGGCACCAGGGGCAACCCTTATGATGCTTAGTGCAAGCTCGAAGCGTGTCTCCTGGAGGTGGTTTCTGAAGGCCGTCCTCCCAACTCATCAAAAGCGTTACAGGATTGCTCTTTATCTTTTACATGAAGCCGTGACGCCAAATTTTACTAACTGAAACGCTCACTGAGACAGCGAGCAAAGCTTCGATCACCGTGTCAGTAACGCAAACCTTGCCAGTGTCTGCCATCGAGTGGCTCTAGTCTCTCAAGCTTCTCTGCACTTTCCAAAGTCCTGCCGCCCACCTCATTATGTTAAAATGTTTACTCAATACTAATCCTCCTGCTCGTGTGTCTGTGTAACACCAACCAAGGTCACGCTGGCGTCGCCAATGGGTTTCGCTGCTGTTACGTTGACGCAAGGAGTTGGACAAGTGACCGTCAACACGACTGGCTCAACTAGCATCCTCTTCATGGAAGTTACTAAAGTCCTGAGCACAACAGAAACCACACAGACTGATACAACAGAAATGGACAGCACACGGAAATGTCTACTGCCACGACGTTTGTCACGGCCACCCTCGAGGTGATGGACGTCGTCTCCTCGACCCTCTCTTTCACCGGGACCCTGAACGAGACGGTGGTAACCACCGCGGCCGCCGCGCAGCTGACATTCTACATCCAGGTCACCAACAGCCTCGCGGCGGGGCAGTACGTGGTCGCGGACTCAGACCCGCTGACGTTTCGTCTACATGGAATTGATTGCTGGCTCCAATCATGGCGCTTAGGGTGGCATTTAGCAAGATACCGATAAGGTTAAATATTTAGGAATTGGCAAGAGCACTTCCGCGAAGCAGGGGCACCATGGCATTCATCTCTACCGCTGTCGGCTGGCGACACGACCCACCCAACCGAGTCGTCACGGTCTGTCTGTTGCTTGCGCAGACCATGCCAACCCAGTCAAGTGTCACATACTGATTCTCCAGAATGGCTTAAATGCATGGTAATCACGTTCTGGTTCTGGAGAAGAAGAGATAAACTCGCACGTGAGGGGGAGCAGGAGAACCTCGATTGACCTATATACATTTGGCGTCTGGCCACCGTCACTATATACATCCACGTTGTGACACTTTGCGCTCTCAAACGCCAGCCTCAGACCACACCACCGTAACTACTCATGATATGTGTTGTCGATACAAGCCTCGTGGTTTAGAGCTTCACGGTCGATCCGATGGGGCCAAAACGGATGTTGGACCAGATGACTTGCCTGTGGACATGGGTTAGCAGCGACTTCCTTCGGGATCGAACCATTACAGAGGAAAATGGCAACTTACGCATTGGGGATGCTGGCCTCGACGTCGGATGGGACACCGGAAGTCGTGGCACAGTCGCCTCGGTCGGCGCCAAGAGTGCCGGCTTCCGCGACGGGGTAGGACGAGTCGAGCCACAGCATGTTAGCATAATGCTACTATGTGATCAGCAATGCATCTCTTGGGCTCACTGCATCTTTGCACACTCACGTCATCCCAGATAGACATGACCAAGACCATGGGGTTCGAGGTCAGGGCCGAGTTGAGCTTGGTGAAGCCTCCGACCTCGGAAAAGCGGTCACGGTCGTCAAAGACGTCGAACTCGGCAGAGCAGTAGTCAGGCGTGATGGAGCTGCTGTCCGGGAAGCCGTCGTAGGTGGGCTGGGGGATGAGGATCTTCTTGCCGTTCTGCACAAAGTACTGGGTCAGGTTGTTCTGGGCGAACGAGGTCACGACCGTGAACTTCTGGCTGGTGTCGACGGTCTTGCTCTTGCCGTAGAAGTTCTTGTTGCCGTTTCGGTAGGGATTGTAGTCGCACCCATTGGCGTCGCAGTCGCCAGCGAACCGATCCGCGGAGTATGTACCACCACAGCCTGTGGTCTGGCAAACGTGGTAGGCGTTGTTGGTGCAGGGGTGAGGGGTCAAGGCGAAGGAGTGAGAGTTGGACTCCCTATCATGTGTCAGCAGATAATCTGTTGCTAATGCCTTTCGAGACACGAGGACACTTACCAAACATCAATCTCCGCGCAGCACGCTCCGTAAGGGCCAACGCCAGCATTGGCATCGTTGGTCGATGGTACCCAGCCTTCAATGTTGGCTTTGCCACCGACGAACTTGAGGTCACGGGCACACTGGGCGTCGCAGTATCCTGTTCCATACTTGGCGCCGGCCTTGTTGTTAGTTTGAGTGGACATACCACCATCGGCGGGCATGGCGACGAAGTAGAGGGCGGCGTTCAGCCCACAATCGACGGCCGACAAGTCAACATCAAATGCCAGTTCGTTGCCGGACAGAGTAAACTGCTGGTACTTGTCGGTGCTAGCCATCAGATACATGCGAGACCCGATGTTTGTACTGTAAGTGCTCTTCGTGATGAACTTGAGTGTCAAGGCGTTACCACTGGTCGTGGCACCATAAGTTCCGGCGTAGTCTGCGCCTTCGAGCGCGCACTTGGTAGTGCAGTCAGTCTCGGTGCTGCAAACGGAGGTCCACTCGTTGCCATCATAACAGTTGGTTGTGCTGCTGACGTCGTGCAGCCAGCGCCAGTTGGCGTCAACGACGACCTCGCCGCTGACCGTGGAGCATGAGGAGCTCGTACATTTGCTCCAAGAGAGCTTTGGATGGGTCTCAGTCTGCTGAGTGCCGACCTGTTGTGCGGCGGCAAAGCCTGCCAGGGAAACGGTTGCTACAAACCCTGAGATCATGGTGTTGAGGTTCAAAACTAGGGAGTTTACCGGTGTGTCGTTCTGCCCACAAGACTATATGACAGGAGCGGAAGCAGACTTTATATACTAATGAACTAGCAATTTGAGTCACCAACTGCAGTTATCGCCTCGCCCGTGGTAGCCCAGACACATCATGCGACACAGCATGAACGGCCTAGATCAATCGATGTCTGACATATATTGAACATCGACACGGAAACATCGCAACGCCGTGCCGAGTGCTTTGATATTCGAGATCCGTCATGGACAAAAGGGGCGTCTCGTCCCACAGATCCGATCTGATACCCCTGACGTATGAATTGATTCCTTCAATCATCAGCCTGCTTCGCCTGGTCTAAGCCTTGGCCCCCTGGATATACCCTGGTCTCGCTGCCTCCCTCAGAGGTTAACCTATACTTCAACTCAAGAGTTCCTCATCGTCCGATGTCCAGAGTCGGCAGGTTTGGCACCTCTATAGCTGGGGAGACTTGATCCTGGGGATGTTAAGAGGAAGTAGCGTGGACGCCGGAGAACATTCATTCGTGCAAAATGTCCAGCGTAACATTGTGTGAAACTCAAAGCTTCATTCCGTACAATGCCAAGAAATCTGACTTAGCTCAGTCTGGGGAGCATTGGTTCCCGCAGTACCGGACACACTTCGTGACAACGCGATACCACATGATCGAAGTCAAGATCAGAGTTTGACCAATAGCCTGGTCTCGGTTCTCGGTATGTTATGAAAAGAGCACCCCTCACCGGAAACAGGTCGTCCGATTAAGTGGCATTGACATTGGAGAGTGTGGGGTAAGATATCCGTCCAGCATCTCCGGGCTTGTCGCTAGTGGTGGGTCATTTCGGCCGGGATCGACACGGCAGTCTACTGACTGATCCGGCATAGTGACCCTTTGAGAGAAAAATGTGCCTGGTTATGTTCTAGATTCCAGGTGACTTTATTGGAAGAACATACAGCAGATTTCACTGATCTTGATCTGCAGGGCCGCACAGCTCTGGATCATCGACTGTCAACTTATGTATATTTCTGTGCGTGTGAGTTGCGACACCAATGTTCCTTGCCTGTGCCATGCTATTAACCCAATCCCTGGTTGAGAGTCTCCATTTTAGGTATCAATATGTCAACTGTACACGAGCGGACCAAGTTCGGAAAGTGAATAAAGAGAGAAAGGGCTGTGCAAAGACCTGGGGCTTGGTGGTATCGTCCAATTATAGGGGACGGAAGCGACATGGGTACGGCAAACTCGGTATAATCGTGTGATAATATGTCGGGGTTGGATCCGCCTACCGCGTGGCGACTTGCTTACGGTCTTATCGATGCATTATTTATGGCTGCCAGCCGCGTAGGTCGGCTTCCCCCTTGCCAATGCGTTGTCGGTGTAGTACCTTTTTGTTTTTCTTCCCTCTTTTTTTTCCTCTCCTCATTCTTCTTTCGTTTTCCCAGATTAGTGGTTGAGGAAATTGAAATGAAAGGCATTTGAATTATCTCCGGTCTGCACCTCATGTCGAGGCCCTCCTTGCTCTATTCATGCTGCCATGCAATCACAGACCAGGAGTGCCTGACAAAACTGGCGTCGACGCGCAAAGGCCTTCTACCTCAGTAGCGAAGATCTCTTGGAGCGGAATTCCACTGGTGTGCATGTCCTCATTAATCCAAATATGTACATCTCCCAATGCAGTGGGCAAGAGATGCTGTACACATGCGCACTGATAAACAATCTGCCCAACCGCTGTTCGTAACTCAACTACTGGCTAAAGAACTGACCAGTAGTCATGGTTGATTAGACTGTGCCCAGGGAAGATCAGTTCAACTACTCACCAAGGTCGAACCAGTAGGATCCTGTATCTGCGAGTTTGATGAGCAATGTAGCGTCCTTAGTAATCCCTGTGCATATACCCTCCTCATTGAAGATCCGCAAAGACTCCGGTATTTCGTCGAGCCTGGGAAGTATAAAGGTGTAACCAGTAGCAGTACTGCCAAATAGATGATTCCCGACCATACTCATTTGTTATGACACCCACTTGAGTTGCCATGACTTCATCACCTATTCTTCTCATACTCGGCGCGGGATCAGGTGTTGGAACAGCAGTCACAGAGCGATTCGCAAAGCTCGGCTACAAGATAGCCCTTGTCTCACGCCGGAATTCCAGCCCTCCCTCAGTCACATCAGAGGGGTACCTAAGTATTAGAGCCGACCTAGCTGACGTTGACGCGTATAAAAGCATATACGACTCCATTCGTGAGACGTTTGGTGGAGTTCCTAATGTCATAGTCTTCAACGCCTACGGTCTAACGGCCCCAAGCGAGGAAGGCAACATATTCACGGTGCCATTGGAATCGTTCCGTCATGACTTGGAGCTTGCAGTGATTGGCCCATATGTTGCTGCCAGAGAAGCCTATCGGCTCTGGACCGAAGATAATGATGAAACCAAGAGAACTTTCATCTACACGGGCAACATCCAAGCGAAAAAACTGTTGCCCATGCCTGTGATTACCTCTATGGGTGTGACGAAGCGCGCAAGCTATTACTGGCTGGGTGTGGCAGACAAGTTGTACCGAGAGAAAGGCTTCCGGTGAGTCCCGAGTCGTCGGGGGACGGACAGATAAACAAACAAACAAACAAACAAGAGCTGACGTGCTGGATATAGTTTCTTCTTTACAGATCAGAGAAGCTCTCAGGGCGGGCCGAACAATGTTGCTGGACCGGAGGAACACGCTGAGATGTACGAGAGAATAGTCAAGAGTCCGGATGAATATCCATTCTACGCCACCTTTGTGGACGGGAAAGGGCTGGTACAGTTTGAGGATAGTGAAGAGTGACTAAGGTTAGTGACTCGGGGAGGGGAGCACCATGTTAAATAGTCGTGGTTGAGATGGGTGTGGTAGTGGCAGAAATACTGCGTAGACTCTAGCGTACACACTCCTGGTCAAATGAAATTGTCCATTCCAATCCGTCTGATCATACTGTGCTTTGCGTACTTGGATGATGCTTGGAGCGTGGCCTTGATATACAATTGAACGCCTCCTTGACAGTTTTCGGTGAACGACCTTAACATGGCACTGATCTGGCCCCCGCCTTCACCGAAGGTGCCCCGCCCACTGCCCCTCTATTTGCATAAACATTTTGGTGCCGGCTTCTAGCTCCCAGCTCCCAGAGCCCAGTCCAGAGTCCAATTGCACGAGCTTCCGCGCTGTTGACTGCTTTTTCTTTTGAGAGGCAGCTATAGCGACAATGGCAACCAAGGGCAAAGAAGCCACACCCAGGTAAGCGCCCCATCTCTACCCCCGAGGCAACGCACCCGCCCCCACCCCTCGAAATCGAGCAGAGACTGATCCTAGGTGCACAGCGGCAAGGAGGCCGGATCTACGAACCCGCGAGGTATTCCGTATGCGCCATTCGTCGACAAGGTCGAAGACTATGTCACCTCACGCGAGGAGGTCGAGCCGACCCTGCGCCAGTTCCAGGAGATGATCTCCAAGTACCAGTTCATGGAGCTCAACCTGCAGAGGAGAGTGGCGGGGTTAGAAGACAAGATGCCAGATATCCAGAAGACCCTGGAGACCGTGCGCTTTCTACAGACGAGAACAGTATGTCGAAGAGGGGGATGAGCATGTCCGCTTTGCTCTGCTCTGCTTGGCTCGGTTTTGCTTTGCGTTTACAGCAGCTGCAGCAGTAGCTGATGTTTGTTTTACAGGAAGAGTCCGACCCGATTGAGACGACTTTCGAGCTCAACGACACGCTGTACGCGAAGGCCTCGGTGCCGCCTACAGACGAGGTATACCTGTGGTTAGGGGTACGTGCAAAAGGAGGCGGCTCGCGGCCTTATTATCAATGCTAACGACGGCATACAGGCAAATGTCATGCTGTCGTATCCGATTGATGAGGCAGAGGCACTACTGGAACAAAAGCTTTCCGCAGCCAAACAAAGCTTGGCAAACTGCGAGGAGGATCTGGATTTTCTGAGGGAACAAATCACGGCAAGTCACGCGCTATTTCTATTTTTTAGGTGAGAGATTCCAGGCATATGCTAACAGAAAACATAGACGATGGAGGTAGCGGTTGCGAGAGTATACAACTGGGACGTTGTTCAGAAGCGCAAAGATAAGGCTGACGAGGAAGGCAAGGGCAGGAGTAAAGAAGGCAGCAAAGGCCAGTCAAAAGATTGAAAGTCCAAAAAATGACAGATAAGGGGGTTTCGACCTTGGATACGCGCCGCAGCCTTTTCATTTGACACCCAAAAGGCTACATTCTTCCGCCAAAAAAAAAGCACAAGGCATTTAAGCCAGCGGTGTGGTGGTTGAAGTAGTGCAAAGAAGTCGTCCCAATCGTCAGCCGCATTTTACACTGCGGGTTTGCTTGACAAGGACAGCTTTGTGGCTGCGCTGCGAGGCAAGGTTGGTCAATTCATGAAGTTAGTATAGGCGCAACTAGACCCCGTGCCGACGTCGAGGAGAGGCAGAGAGGCCTGACGTCAGATTCCAAATGTCATTAGATTAAACCACCAAACATCTAACAGGGAAGACGTTTCTTAATCACCGAAACACAGCAAACACAAAGTGAGCTATGGGAACAGCCAGACTAGCTGAAGCTGAAAACGCGACAGCTGTCGCGTCCTCTCAATGGGCCTTGAGCGGCCTTCCCTCTCAACTCCAAACTTGCCCCTGGGAATGCCATAAAACACTTCCCACTTTCGTATTTACTTTCACCGTTTCGATAGATTGAAGCTGGCCGGGCTGGGGTCGGATGGTGGGGACTGTACCGGGGGGCGCTTTTGCTGTGTAGATCCATATTCTGCCGCAGAGGCAGAGAGCTGCTGAAGGACCCCCTGGCTCTGCCGTAGTTATTATGTAACCAAACTTCTCCACGTCCAATCCACGCACAGCCGTCCCTCATTTTCGTTCGGTTGAACTAATTTGCTGTACAGAACTTAGCGGTTGGGCACCCCTTATTGTCATTAGCGACAACCCATCAGCCCAAGCTGCTATTCGGCGAGAGTCCCTTTTCTCTCCCAGATTGCGGAGACCCTGAGACCTAGCCTCTGTACCGTATGTAGAAACCTCGAGTCCTGACTCGACTCGACTTTGCCTTGACAATGCTGTAATCAAGAACGATAAGACAATCCCCATCCCTATCCCAATCCCTGCATATCCATCATCCCTGAAGGCTAGAAGTGCTGCGTCCCTACACACTGCGGAATACATATTTCGCTTCCCATACCCCACATCTGCTAGTATTCCATTTCTATCCTATTGCTCACCGCACCTACAAACTCTCAAAGTTGCTTCACTCCACCTCCCATCGCATCGCACCACACAAAGCGCAAAAATGGCAGCACAAACGATGCAACTAGACCCCAAGTACGACGACTATGACTTCCCGACGACTGCTCCCGAAGCAGCGAGCGGCCATCCCGGCCACCTCAGCGAGCAACAGCAGGCCCAGGTCGTCCAGCTGCGCCTGATGCTCGAGCAGGAGGGATACACACAGAGGTTGGACACCCTGACTCTGGTACGGACATTCTCTCCTCGTCTGGACATGGGCACGCACAGAAGCACACTTGCTAAAAATAAATCCCCCATGCAATAGCTGCGTTTCTTGCGTGCACGAAAGTTTGACGTCAACTTGTCCAAGCAGATGTAAGACACTTATCTATCCCCTCGGCGGTTACATGGCCGAAGAGCGAGCAGCTGATCACCACCACCGCAGGTTCGTCGACACGGAGAAATGGCGAAAGGACACCAAGCTTGACGAGACGGTGCCCATCTGGGATTACCCCGAGAAGGAGGCTCTCTTCAAGTACTACCCTCAGTACTACCACAAGACAGACAAGGTATATCTACATCTACATCCATATCTATTCGCCGAAGGTGGCGGGGGGTGGTTTTTTTTTTTTTTTTCGTAGCCGAAGCAGATCTTGGCATGTGCAATCATCTAACACTCTACAGGACGGTCGCCCGGTCTACATAGAACAAATGGGAGGCATCGACTTGACTGCCATGTACAAGATCACCACAGCCGAGCGCATGCTGACCAACCTCGCCGTCGAGTACGAGCGCCTCTCCGACCCTCGTCTGCCCGCTGCCTCGCGCAAGGCCGGTCAGCTCCTCGAGACCTGCTGCACCATCATGGACCTCAAGGGCGTCGGCATCACCAAGGTCCCCCAGGTATACTCATACGTCAAGCAGGCCTCGGCCATGTCGCAAAACTACTACCCCGAGCGCCTGGGCAAGATGTACCTGATCAACGCGCCCTGGGGGTTCAGCGGCGTGTGGAACGCCGTCAAGGGCTGGCTCGACCCCGTCACCGTCCAGAAGATCCACATCCTGGGCTCTGGCTACCAGAAGGAGCTGTTGGCCCAGGTGGCCCCGGAGAACCTGCCCAAGGCCATCGGCGGTACCTGCGAGTGCCCCGGCGGCTGCCAGCTCAGCAACCAGGGTCCTTGGCAAGATCCCGAGTGGGCCAGACCCGCCAAGTGGGAGAAGAAATCCGAGACTGTCGTCAACGAGCCCGGCACAACGACTGCCCCTCCTCAGGGCACTGAGCAGATCCCCATCGCTGGCGGCGAGGGCGCTGCTGCCCCTGCCCCTGTCCCTGCACCCCATGCATCCTAGGAGGGGAATCTGGCATCTACCGGCACGATTTGTAAAGGAGACACGTTCTAGTGTAGACTCTTATGTTGGGCTAGGTGGTGGCCGAGCGGCGGTGAGGACTTGTTGCGGTGTTGTTGCGACAGACAAGAAAAGACACATGCGTCCCGGTTTAGAAAAATGGAGGACGCGTTTGTGATCTGCATACTTCATATAAATAGGACGAGCATAAATGCGTAGAGGCTGCAGGAATAATAAACCTGACCTTCAAAACAGGCAGGCGTTAGACAGGGTACCAAAACCGACGTACTCCCAGATCGTATACAGGTGTCATGTAAATATTGATGCTCGTGCCATGTTCATGATAATCTTCGCTGCTTCGTGCCCTGCTGGTATCTCTCATTCTAAAACGCCATTGTCAGGCAAAACCCCAAGCACCACTGCGACATGGCACAATCCTTCTTCCCTCATTTCTTTGTTGGTTGCTGACCCAGAGAATGATTCCTCGTCACCTCTCGGTGACAACATAGCTGCCGGCGCCCCTGGCCCTCTCCATGCGCGCCACCACGGCCGGCATATCCCTCTTCAACCTCGCGAGGCCCTCCACCGCCCTCGCGTATGCCTTCTCCACGTCCTCCTGCCTCTCCAGCCTATCCATGCTCAACCCACCGCCGCCGGCAGCCTCATGCCCCGCGCCGGACGAGGAGGAGGACGGCCCGTCCTCCCTCGCCTTCTCGGCGGCCAGCGCCTCCTCGTCCCGCGCCAGACCCTCCCGGAACGCCTCGGCGTACGCGCCCGCCGTCGCCGAGGGCACGGACTTCTTGAGCGCGGCGATGTCGCGCAGCAGGTCCTCCTCCTCCCGCGTCAGGTCCTCGACGCGCGACCGCAGGCGCGGGTCGAAGGGCGTGTAGACCACCTCGGGCTCGCCGGCGCCCCTCGGGAGGGAGCCCGCCGAGTCCGGGGACAGCACCGAGAGGTCGTCGATGTCGAGGCCGTTGATGGAGAGGTTGGGCGCCGAGAGGGCGAAGGTCTTGGTTATGTACTGGAGAGAGAGAAGGTTTCGTTTGTTTAGCTTTCTTTTTCTTTGCCTCCCTCTTCTTGTCTCGCTAGTACTTCGCGAACGGGTGGGAGGGGGGAGGGAAACAACTAACTTCGTCGATCAGTTCCTCTATCCGGTTCCGCAGCTCGTCCTCCTCGCCCTGCGCGCCCTCGACCGGCGGGAATGCCTCGTTGATGTGCTCCGCGGCCGCGCGCCGCACGTTGGCTAGCAGGTAGGTCAGGTCCTCGGGCGCCTGCAGCTCGATCTTGCGGTAGTGGGCTGCCACGGCCGTGTTCATCTTGGGGGGGCCGTAGGTGTTTTGGGTCGTGTTTGCCTCGTGCGCGCAAGCTCGCAGTAAATAAGATGTCGCTGTCGCTGTCGCTGTCGCATTGTTTACTTTCCTGGGTTCCTAGTTACATGGGGCTTATCGCTTCCCCTTATCGCCCAGCGGGGCGGTTGGAAGGCAGGCAACGTGGGGGCTTGGTGCAGCTGTGGCTTAGGGGTCCTTGGTAGAGCAAGTACGCTGTGCGTAGAGTAGTTACGTCAGACACTGTGAAGTCGACCGGACCAATATCATATTAGTCTAATCTAAGGTCATAATACACATTATGTAAGAAATTTTGATTATCTCACTGATATACTCCACGACCATCTCCTATTATTCCTCTTCTTCCTTTTTTTTTTTGCCAGCTTTTCCGAAAAGTGTTGGCTGTGATACCATTACAACAACTTCTCTGGAGTAGCAGTCCGCCGTGTAGGTTACAGAACTAAGAGTGAGTACGTGGGACAGAGTTCTTTCAAGGTTTTATTCAGGTGCAAGTACCTCCATATCTCCATAAAATCCAATTACGTTGCTGAAGTTCAACTGTGGCTCAGCCATCTGATTGTGTAAGGCAGGGGCGGCGCTCGACCACGTAGCAGGCTAGCAGTGTCTCTTTAGAAGGACAGGCCACAAAGCAGCGAAGTTTGTTCTGACAATCATCTAATCTAGTCTAGGACAAATCAAATATTGCTCAAATTCAGAGACAGAGTGCTTGTGCAAACAACCGCACAGGCATGATGTCCTGATGGCAGTGTTGGTCGTCGGGATATAAATTATACACAGACTGGACCATGGAAGACGAACAAACTTGGTCGAATAATGTTTTAATGATCTATAGTCGTGCAGGCCTTTCATATTGTCCCAACTTGTGCTGGCGGTATATTTCGCTGCGCGACTTAATCGCCCTCTTTTTTAAATCAATGGGATACGTGGGCAGAAGTAACAGAATGTTGACAATATAAATACTTGCTACGGTATGAACCGATTATTCCTATCACCATTTTATGTATATTCTTTAATGGTACATTGCCAACAATCGAGATGAATACTACATATTACATGCTCTGGGATTCCTGGATGATCCTGTTGACCTCACTAGTTTTTGCGACCCAACAAAGACTAGAAGAGAACAGGAGAGAGAAAGCAGAAGAAGAAGAAGAAAAAAAAGGCTTGATAAGCAGGGAATCATGAGCCTAACACACTCATTGAATAATATGATAGCCAGTAAGTCCCGATGAACGTCTGGTGGTTCAGACTGGGCGTACTTTATAGACCACTTCAGATAAACTCGGACGGGTGGTGCCATCCCGCAGCCTTGACTGAACTCGCTCAGCTTTTGGCACCGTGACTTCTGTGGACTCCAAGCTTCGCATGATTGGCTCTGTAAGGGCTTCTTTCAGGCTGCCAGCTTCTCCTGGCCCAGGCACGGCAAGATTCCGAACCTCTTCCTTCCGGGGTGCATGTGGATGGAAAACAGGTTTTCTCCGGGAAAGAGATCACAGCGTAGCGTATGCTTAACGCTCGTTGTGCACAAAGAGTGCTTCCCTGCGCTTGGCCGAGGTAGCACGGGAAACATCGCTAACATAGCCAGCCGCAAAAGTCCTAGCCGTTGACGAAACATTGTCAAGTAGTATCACCGTAGAAGAGCTTACTTGCCGGATGGGGCTGCCCCTGGGTTTTCCATTCAATATTACAGCCAATCATGCAAGAACCCGGCATCCCCTTCTTTTCGTATGGCACAGCAGGAGGAGCAAATCCTAACGGCAACTGTTGGGGCTTGCAGAGTGCTCTGATTTGAGGCGTATATCGAGGCGGATGTTCAGTATGCCGGCCAAAAGTATGGTGTGATTGATGAATCTCTTGGCGCATCCTTGTAAGGCACAGCGTACGAACGTTATAATGGCTGGGGGCTAGGTTAGTTTGGTCACGCCCCGTGGGATCGGAATCCGCTAACCAGAGAAAAAAACAGCCCGGCTCTCGCTCTCGCTAGAGTCTACCCTGTTCTAAAAGGACAATGCATGCATGGCAAAGACTGACCGGGGAATATCGCTTGTATGTAGTTCTTATTGGCTGATTTGGATCGCCTTGTTGGGCCTAGCCAAGAAATGGAAACTTTTCACAAGCGCGTTGTAAACATATAACCCTTTTTGTACTGTAGTGTGCACAACGTCCGTGATATGCCGCCATGTGGCCCTGCAGACATGATACAGTGTACCAAACCACCAACCAACAAAATCCTGAATCTCACTCGACTTGATCTAATTGGCCGCCAATATGGATGCTTGTATCTTGAAACCCTCCGACCTTTCTTCCTTGGCAGTGTCATGGAACTGCTTCTAATATAATGTCGCCTTTTCTGCCTAGACCAGCCCGAAAACTTCTACTTCGATTAAGGCCCCACCTGCTCCTTTGACATCTCAACTCCGTGTAAGATTCTCCTATTCCAATAGTAAGTTGAGGGAACCGCCACCAGAACCTCTAATGTGACTTACATGGAACTTGCTGAAATATATTTCTACCTTGATTGTCCGTAGCAAGGGCGGGGGGCAACGGCATCGGTGGTGGCGCGAGTACATCCTGCACCCCCGGAGATAATAGGTTCTGGTGCTGCAACCGGGAGGGCGGTCACTGAGACCGATGCTGCGAGCACAGCAAGGAGGACGTGAGCGATGGTGGCGTGCATCTTGAATAAACTAGATTGGCGTACGGGTAATCAACTAAAGCTCAGAGGTGACGAATAAATGTAGCTGAATTGTTTGTAATTGTTGAGAAGGAAATTCTTTTCTCAGCATATGTGTGGTAAGAGAGACTTGCACGTGTTTACAATGCAATCATAGGTTTGATTTGCTGGGCTTGGCTATCCTTTTTGAGTTCTTCGGCTCACTTGAACGACCCATCAATGCCATCATTTGTCGTGTTCAGGTTCATGTATCTACACGGCACAGTATATTGAGGGTATAGCCAGTCTGGTAGGCTGTGCCTGGAAGGATTGCGCTCCTGGACTAGTCACCGGCCGTAGGATCCACATCACGGCTTCGCTTACTGCTTATGACTCAAAAGGTTGCAATTGACTGGACGAACAAACGAGGCCATGGTTATGTAAGGTCTAGCCAATTCATGGGACCGTTGCGTGACCAACTGCAAGGTGCGGTTGAGGGCTGCCGTGACCTGACTTTGGGGGCCTAAAATATAGGACCCCCCATCTAGCGCTGTTTGTTGCTGTATTTCAGTTTCGGCAGCAATCCACCCGTCTCCACGCACTCGGATTCGACAATCATCGCGATCCTCAGCAGCTGCAGCTGCAGCAGTCTCAAGACTAGTCGTCCATGATCGTCGACAAATATCTTATGGAAGAGCCTGACGCTGTGGAGTTTTCAAGTGACGAGACCGATCATGGCGCTTTGTGGCCTATTACAGCGGCACGTCCGCTCGTGAACCTCAGCCGGCCGGCAGTCTGGGTTGCTTGCTCTCAGATATCGATGCTTGATGGTCTCAAGCCAGTTTGAGAAGTGGCATTTCGTTCATTCATCTGTGCATTTGCTGGAACGCGAGACGTTGATGGCAATATCCGCCTCATGTGCTTATGCGGCACAGAAAACCAAGGAATACACCCGGGTATGGTACAAGGGGGCTCGCCCTGATTGGGTCGCACCCCCTGCCAAAGTGACCGGTACAGTTTTCAAGGCCTATGGGCTACCATCTATTTTGAGATACCCATGCATTTTACCTGAGGTTGGTTAGGAAACACGGATTCGGCCGGTTCCTCGGCTGCATGCCCATGCTGACCAGGGAATCCCATCCACCATAGGGCTGGGCCGGTACCCAGGAATCACGTGGAGATTATAGGATTCCTAGGACAACCCATCTTCCCACATGTTGTACGATACATCCGTTTTTGTTATGTGATGTGGACCGACTCTGGATCTTGCTTACTTACGCTAGCAGTTGCAGCATATCGTAGAGCTGGCAGATCCAAATGAAAACTCGTCAATCAGCACTGGTAAGGAGACTGAGTGCGCAATATACACAAACCAGGGCACTGTCGAATTCTTGCAATCAATTGGCCTGATCTATCATATTTTGGATCTGGTTCCGACTGAATTTGTGGTATTGTCCGTACTTGCGACGACCGGGGAACCCCCCCATTAATTAACCTCTATAGCATCAAATCATTGTGTCAGACCACGTCCAACAATATCATTACATCATATCACATCTCCTTTAGAACCAAATCAACTTAATGATGCAGTCTTCTGGCGGGTCGCCCTCTATGCTTAGTATTGCCCATAGCAATCACTTCCAGGATTCTCGAGACCGCGCGAGATAATACCCCCACCAGTACACCCAGCTTCTACATTCCCATCTACCTGCCTTGGGGCAGGAATAACAGGTAGAGCGCCCGACACTTGGGCGAGGGCGATAACGCTCAGAGCAAATGTGATAATTTGGGACCGCATGTCGACAAGTTGACGCGCGCTGTGAATTCGACAACTGATACTCAGGTTAGCACATGGAGTAGTTCGAGGCAGAGGACTAACAAGAGGGTAGGTAGTAGGACTCTGATATACTGAATCTAAGGCGACACGGCTTTGCGATCTTGAGCATGAAGACTTAAATGCTTGAGAGACTAAAAGAGTAATTGACCATTATGCCCCCATGGCTTTTATACACAGATATTGGAGGCCATGTTGGCTCTGTCATGATATCTGGAAATATTATGGATCCTACGGTGTGAGTGTTCAAGTGCCAATGTGGCACATATACACAGGTCATCAATCACATTTCTGCCTCAACCCATCCTTGCTATTATTGGACGCTAACCTTTCGCATTGCCGCGCGTATTCAGCCCCGTCGACTATGATCCTTCTATTGGCGCTTTACATTGAGCTGCCTAGAGTCGTACCCATGAAGATGAGAATATAATCTTTGTGGCGTTTACCGCGCCTCTTCACCTATGATATTAAGTACTTCACAGACATCGGTTCGAACGGCTGATCCTGTGCGCGGCCCCCAACAGCTGTCATCCGAGCAAGCCTGGCAGAGCTGACATTCAACGAGGGTAAGGTATGGCATCGATGAAATTCAACACATCCAAGAACTTAAATTATTTCACCCATCCAAATACACTACGGGACTTGCATGCGTTTACCGGTTCGCCCACTACACATCGAAGACCACGGACTGCGTCCTGAATACTGATCCATAAACGAGTGTTTATGCGCATCACAACCTCGCCAGCTCAAAAGGTCATATAGCATGACAATGAATAAGGAAAATAGAATCACGTATCCAGCGGGGATTTATTCAAAAAGAAACGAGAGAAAGGCGAAAAAAAAAAAAAAAAGAGAAACAAGGCTGTGTAATGTTTTTGTCATTCTACGATTCTTTCTCTTCTATCTCTGCAACCAGACCTATTTCTCATCACGATATTTAGTAGCGGCAAATACGAAAAATCTCCATAATTGTGCCATGATTTTTCAGAAATAACCACCAAATCCGTTTCACCGTCGCAACATATTCAATTCGTGCTAAGTTCCAGCATTCGAAGCTCTTTTGCAAAACTTCATGAAACACGCCCACTCCTCTTCTAATCCCGAGCTTAAATCTGGCCCACCGGAGTTTGGAGATAACGTTCTGGGGCAGTTACAGTATGCATGGGAAGGAATAGCCTGTGATCCCCAGCTAAAATCGTTTCTAGTGCAGAAGTTGCCAATTCTATGTAAAGAGGTCGAGCTCTTGTAACCCAGGATTAGTTCAATTGGTCCTGCAATCTCAAGGACCAAACGGAGGCACTTCGACAGCGAAGCGGGCATGGCAACTAGGGAAGATGGGTCAGTCTGGCAGAAGCAGGTCAGGCACTGAACGAGCCAGAGTCATAACTCACTCAGCAGTTTCGACAGCCTTTTCTGGATCTTCCAATGCAAACTGCTTGCATGCTTCGACACCGTAGCCATTGTCAACCGTGCGCAGTACATCTCTGAAGTGTGTCGCCTCGTGAACAATAGTGCTGCAAAGCTTTGTGAGATCACTTTTCGTTTGGCATGGAATAGACTGCAGTCCAAACTTACTCCCACTGTGAGCGATGGCCTCCAGGTGGCACCACGGTCTCATCGAAGTACACACTGCAAATTCTGACGTCTCCGTATGTGCCGCCAATCGTCGCGATCACGGCACTGCTGACGCAGGCACAGTCATAGCGGAATGTTGTGGCTAGATCCGGTGCGAATTTCTGGAACACCGGCCTTAGTATATCGTCTCACAATCTTGCGCCTCTGATCCAGATAACATTTCATACCTTGAAGGCGGTCAGGATTCGATTATACCTTTCGGTACTGAACGCGCCGTACCAAGTTGTCTGGATCTCGCTGCCGTTGGGATTGTCTTCCAGATGCTCTATAGCTGCGAACGACTTGTTCGTGGCTCGCTCGATAGCGATCTCAAGTGTGGCTATTTGCGAATCGGTACATGACGTGAAAGTTGCTGCCAAGCTTCCTGACAGCAATGGCAGGAGGCTGAACAAACGATATCCCCGCATCTTGCCTGTTTTATAACTCGTGATCTGACGACAAGTGTATAAGCAGGTCAGGATTCAGTTTTCCTAGAGGTTTCTCTGTGGCATTATTTAAAGTGGCATGCCCGTACCCTTGCTTCTTGGCAAACATCTTTTAGGAAGGCCGATCGGATCCAGTTCCGCTCGGCATTTGGTGTTTTAAATGAGTACGTTACAATACCTCGTATTGAAGGCTTCCTCCAAAGTTAGAGATAGCCGTTAGATAAGACACAGTCAAAAATCCACACATCCATACTACTAGACCACTAATATTCCACGCGATTGAGTTTCGTGATGGTTTGTATGAATATAGTGCCATTAACACCTCGCCAATTGATGGAGACTTCTAAATGCAGAAGAACACATCGTATTTCCTATTCTGACTGATCGCTTTTTTGGCAATAATTATTTTTCCAGAGTATGACACCATTCTCGGCGTCTTTCCCACGCTAGAAAGCGCAACTGAGAATAACCTACCCCTGTCATAGCTCGCCTCCATGAATGATCTCACCAATTTTGTTCATCGCATAGGTTAAGCTCTACCTATTCTCCACATGTGTGGGCAATTGTTTTTAGACGGGCAGGTACAAATAATACGAGCTGGACCTGGGTCTTCTTTTGGCTTCTCACTGTCCGTGTCGAAGAGGTGGCCATACTCGAATGCAGGGAACTCCAGCCGGCAGCGGTCCTCGTCCGGCTTGTCGCTTGTCGTCGCAGCTGCTCTAGTAGAGCTTGACGAATGGCTTCTCAAGACCGTTGCGCAACTTGCCCTCCTCTCTAATTCCGCTGGTCAACTTGTGTGGGCAGTTTGAGCCCGCGCCACCGTATCCTGCATATAGTATTAGATCTTGTGGAGACGCCTTAGTATAGTTTTGATAGCTAACATACTACGCAGATATATAGCGGCAGAAATCGAATCCAAGTTACGACAAACGGAAAGAGAACGTGAAGACATACAAAGCGCGCCTGGCAGCTGCAGGCATAGTCGATCAGTCTCGATCAGCCGTCATTGTTTAGATGCTTCATTGAACGACAAAGCCATTATAAAATACACATATACCCGTGGCAGAGCTGCGGCTGAGAGGGACTACTCATTAACCCATGACCCGAAACTTGACTTACTGATGTGAATGGTAACGGCCTGGGTTCAAATAACAGGAGCACGTATATAAAACTAGACTGTAAGAGGTTGAATGAATGAAGTGATAGGTATTGGTAATGAATTCAGCTAAACCCCTTTCGCTCCAGTAATCTAGGGGCATACGGTCCTTATGTATCAACAATGAACAAAACGCCCCATCGGACGTAACCCTAGCGAAGGTTGAGGGTGGAAACATGAAAATTTTGAAGAGGGATTTATGGGAATCCTGGCTGAAGCGATGTGGCGTTGATGCGCAAGTTAGAAGGGGTGAAAAAAAAAAAAAAAAAAAGGACAGCCAAGGCTGGAAACGAGCCGGCCAGGAGATGGATATTTTGCGTTCTACAAGAATGAGACAGGTATGAACCACACTGTATTGTATTAGTCAAAGTCTTGCATTGAGTTTGATAATCGTGCTAGATGTGATCAAACCATACACGAGACCCGATTGGTTTGTGAAACCGCACGCTTTCAGTTGGAGTTCCGTGAATCTTAGGTATTGGGAATAGACACTGTTAATTTCCTTGGCATGAAGTCGTTAGACTCGACTATGATCAATGCAAGGGACCGGTTGAGCGCGTTGGAACTAATTGTAAACGATCTCGTTGCCGGCTTCTTTCGGTGGGTCTTATCAACAGCAAACTGCACTAGTTTACGGGCCATCTCCATTGCAATTTCTTAAAGTCATTGTCATATAGAACCTGCACTCCACGAAATTACAACACTACTTTCAGATTACCATGACAAACTAGTAATCTTCCCTTGCTGATTTCATACTAGAAAACGACCAATTTTCTATTGACCGGATCTGTAGACTACTTCTAGACTACCGAACGTATTTACCATTGTCTAGACCTCCGTCGCTACTCTGGCTTGACAATTTGCGTCGGATTCTCTCAAGAAATCACTTGGAGTTGAAGTAGGCCCAGTTCTGTTTCGTTGGTTGAGCAGCGCCGACCTGTTACCAGAAGCGCTGCAGGGATGGGAGAAAGGGGTACACTCTACAGAACCAACACCTCATACCCTGTATGCACCTACGCTGGGTAATGGCCATTGCGAGAAGAGCTAGTTGCCGTGGTGTGGCTATCTTGTCATGGAGCCCATGATCACTTGGAGTGGACGTTGTCTGTTATGACAACCGGCAATGCAGCCAAGGGAGCCAGTTGGCCTTGGCAAGAGGTGCAAATCGAAACCATGGAGAACATTGGCTCAATTTTAGCAAACATACTCAATTACCAACAATAATTGATCAGAATTCAATCAGAAGATGGTCAACACTGTTACCCCTTGACTTGGCGGAAAGCGAGAAAGTTGCAGCGGTTTAGATGTTAGTTGATAGTGAAGTTGCAGCGACAAATAAAAGGAGACTTTCATCTTTGGATATCACACATACCCGAATTCTTAGCCACAAGTCAACGGCTTTCTCAAAAATCAGAACTGAAGGCTAAGCACAGCTTTACTGCTTCCTCATTGATTATCTTGATCAAATATCACCAGCTTACAAATTAACTACTCCACATTTCCAAACACGATTCTTCACTCACAATGGATTTCATGGCTATATCATCGTCATTGCTGATTCTCAATTACTTCACTACCTCTACCACATTGCCAGATAAAGGGAATACTTTACCATTTGATGTAAGAAACATCTGTATTGTTGCTTGTTCGATCTAATTTCCTTGATGGATAGGCAAGACAGATCACATGCCCTTTGTTAGGCGATGTTTGCTATGCTCAAGGAGGATGCTGCGAAGGTGTTTGCAGCGGTTGGAGGACAGGTCATGGTACCTGCGTTTTGTAAGGGTCGTATTATCATGGGTTGTTGCGCTGAAAAGACTTATGTAATGGACTGATACTGTAGCGCTAATGCGTTTGACCATATTAAACAATGGGAATGGACTTTCATTATTTATGGAAATATCTGTCTCATAGCGAATGACGTGAAGCAAGATCATTGTGCACAATCAATCTATTGCTATTCATTTGGGGTAGCCATTGTCTACAGAACTTCGAATCCAGCAACAAAATAACAGTTTGAGTTTACAAGATATTCTCTCTTCTCTCATTATGAACCATAATCTCAAATACAGGCAAAGAGCACACACGCATATTTGCGACTTCGGCCATATCTCAACCATGGAAGTGTCTAGTCTAGTCAATAGAGCAACAATCGACATGTCCGAAATGAGTCAACACCTTCAGAGACGGCAATTACCAGCCAGTTCATGTCCAGCGCCATTTCGCTTTACTCGTTCACCGTATTAACTTGCTTGTTGAAGCAGCGATCAACCAACAAAATGATGCGCCTGTAAAGTTGACAGGTTTTGGTATGGTAGTAACAAACCTGAATACATTGACTGGGGAGTACCTACGGATAAGGCCCGCCAATGACAACCACAAGACGTTCAGTCTAGATGACGATATGCTAGCCACTCTGCTTAAATTTTTATAGTGGTTAAGATAAGAAATTGTGTCATCGAAAAGGTCCTGGGGGGGTTGCGTGGGTGAGAAGCGCTCAAGAATGATGGGTATGAGAAAGCAAAGTTGCAGGCAGTCATATTACCTCGGCGGGTTAGAGATGACACCCAGACAAGTCTAATAGCTCCCAGATATCAAACTGAAAAATGTATACTCCATAGCGCAACTCAATTGAGCCTTAGTCTTAGTGGCTGCAGCGTTCAGTGTAGTGGGGCCTATGGCCAGGCGGGCAGGGTCGCTAAAGTGAATGGTTGACTTTGTTCTGTTGTGCTATTTGTCCTTTACCAGTCAAAATGTGCGTTCTGCGTACTCAACCGCTCATGCCAACACTGTTGATACTAAATCTGTAAATGTCTCATGGATAATATCAGGTATGCTGCAAATATGTGTGGTCTTGGAGCTATGCAAATTCGTCACTGGTTTGTTCCGGTGTTTTACATAATATATTCTAAGAATTAATCCTGCAACTCTAAAGGAACTTGCCAATATCTATAATTGCTGGTATCCGTCATCAGCAAGACCCCGCAGCGTGTCCTTCAATGTCTCGTCTGCCCATGCCTTTATCTGCTGCTCGATTTCTGGTACGTAGAGCCACGCCATCTGCTTGGGATCTTCCAACGACTTGTCTACCCAAACTTCGTCCTTGGCGAGCAGCTTTTGCTTTTCAAGTGGTAAGCGTTTATTGTTAAGTTGCTTAGTAAGGCTAAGAAGTTTATCAATGCGATCCTGCCGCATTTTCTGCCAGAACTTCAGGCCATCGTCCCATCTCAGGCCCGATGTGCTTCGCAGTGTCGCGAGTAGCAAAGCCAGGGACATCGCGTCTTCGAATGCCTGCGAAGCACCATTTCCAGTTGTTGGCGGAATAGCGTGTGCCGCATCACCAAGAATAACGACACGGTGATGTCGCGCAGAGGTCCAGTTCTGCAGTCGAGGAACCGCGTAGAAGACCCACATGTTCATGGTGTCAGCGTTAATATCTTCCAACACAGATTTAACAATGTCAGGCCAGGTGTCGATGTTTTTTCTGGCATGCTCCTTCAGCCCTTCCTTGTCGGCCATGAGCTTTTCCCATCCTTCTCTTGGCTGATCCTCAACTGGAAACTGCGTACCCGCCAACATGGCCGATCCATCAGGCCTTTGAGGTGCGAGGACAAAAACGCCGTTCTGTGTAAGGACGCTAATTGGGAACTTATAATCTTTATTTTCTGGGATTCGAAGCTGACTCGTTGGTGTCTCCCATGTCAACGCTGTCATGCCCATGAACTTCTTTTGGACACCAGGAGCGACATATTCTCTCACTTTGCTGTGAATTCCATCAGCACCGATGAGCAGAGTGGCATTCTCTATAGTTCCATCGCTCAGTTCGAAGGTAACGCCGCTCTCTGTCTCGTCAATGACTTTAGCAAACTTCTTGTTGAACTTGATCAGGATGCCCCGCTGGAAGCATGCTTGGTAAAGAATGTCGAGAAGTTCTTGACGGTAAATGCGGAAGGCCTTATATCCGTACGCCTCTTCATCGCCCAGGGGATACTTGTCGACCGTATCCTCGTTTGCATCTTTGTAATAGACATGCTCAAACGCGAAGCTCTTTTCCTCCAGTTGGCGGTAGACACCTAGACGATTTAGAATGCTGAGTCCATTGGGTGAGAGCATTAAAGCCCCGCTAGAAGTTTTAGAGGCAGAATGGGTACTGCGCGCTTCGTATACAGTAGCAGGAATACCCAGGTCATGAAGGGAGAGCGCCATGGCTATGCCTGCTAGTCCACCTCCAATAATTGCGACATTATCTTTTGAGGAGAACATGTTGGAATTATGGGTAAGTGAATAACTACTGAGTTGAATGTGAATCTTCTTCAATTGAGTGAGGGAGAGGCCTGAAAATGTTGTCTCTTTGATTGGTGGTGCGTCGAGTGTTCCTTAGTGTGGGTTATTGTGAACTGGACAGTGGACTTCAACAACGACATGAAGAACGTCGTGCAATTCATATAAGAAGAAACAGATGTCGCATATGGAGCATTGAGCGCCGGATCCGAATATCAAATCCGAATGAGGCCATTCTCGAAGTGGAGTGGATTCCTCTAGCTTAATCCTTCGACTGTGTTCGGACCCGGCGCTCGGCCGAGTTGTACTATTGTTGAGGATGTGGCTGAGGTCATGTATGCGGAGACCGATTTATTTATACACGTAGATGTAGCCGAGCCATGATCGACTGCTAGTTTCATAATTAGACCCCAAGATTCACATCACAAGAGAAATTGGTGTGAGTATCCTTTGATGTCCTTCTGAGTTACTTATGCTGATTACTACTAATTAAAAAGCCACGGAAAGTAGTCCCACCTTGTTGAATGGATGTAACTCGCTCTAGTTGAGGGACTTTCTCCTTTATTGAGTATAGCCAGAACCAGCTCATCAATCATTCTAATGATTGGATCGGTGCCTGAAACAATGCAACTCAGGTCTCTAAAATCCCATGGCACTGCCTCGCGCGAATGTCATGTCCGCCGATTCGGACGAGTTACTAAGCCTACTGGAAAAACGCAGCAACTCGGCCGAGTTCCGGATCCGAAGTCGTCTTCTTGCAATCCCTCAGGAAGCTTTCCTTTCCTGAATTACCAACCTACTATTTCTTATGTGTTTAATACAATCCCGATATACATATAAAGACTCTCGTTCTTACGACTTACTATCATTCGTTCTACTCATCAGACATACTCATCAGACATACTCATCAGACATACTCATCATACTTATCCATCGCTTCAACATTAGCGCGGCCTTATTGTCTCTACTAAATATACACAACATACTACAACAGCAACTAGCTTAGTTACAACCACCACCAAAACAACTTCTCTCAATCCTATACCTACAAAATGCATTTCCTTATGATCGGAGGCAGCGGCCGAACTGGCCAACTCATCATAGAAGAAGCACTTAGGCGTGGCCATCAAGTCACTGCCTTAGTGCGTACATCAGCATCCCTGGAAGCCAGGGACAACCTCACCATCGTTGAAGGCACGCCCCTAAACACCAGCGACATCGGCCGGGCATTCAACGCGACCTTGGAATCAAGACCAACCGCGGTGGTGGTCGCGCTCAACGCCCGCCGTACCAGCGACTCGCCCTTTTCCGCACCGTCGCCGGACACGCCGCCGCGCCTGATGGCCGACTCGGTGGCCAACGTCATCAGCGTCATGAAGAAGTATGGCACGCACAAGATCATTATCAACAGTTCCATGGGCACGGGCTCGAGTATCGAGGGCCTCGGCGCTCTGGTGCGTCCCGTCTTCGCGTACACCAACATGAAATTCCAGATGATCGACCACAACGCCGTGGACGAGGAGACAAGGGCTGCCGGTGTCAACTTCGTGCTGGTCAGGCCCGTGATGTTATCTGAGGGTGCAGCGTCAGAGGTCAAGGTATACTCCGAAGACGGAAAGGGGGCCGGCTGCAAGAAGATTACGAGGAAAAGTGTTGCTCGGTTTATGGTTGTTGAAGCGCTGGAGGGTGATAAATACGATGGACGAGCACCTGTCATCAGCAACTAGATAGGCTGGGGCACGGATTTGTTTGACAGCCTTGCGAAGAGATTGATCTTGGCATGAGTGGTGCTTCTTTGTAAAGCATGGGTGGATAATGTTTCAGGTAATTAGATACACTAAATGGAAAGGTCGGTGGGGCTAGTTTGTATAGACGACATACTCAATACACATGCAATGACAACGCTCTATTCTCATTGGAGTGATTTCAGTGTTATTTAAAGACGTTTTTAGGTTCCTCGATCGATTGGCATTCGCAGTTTTCCTTCTCTTTTTCTTTTTGCTGCCTCTAAGCTTGAACGAACTTGCTGTCTGAGGACAGTTAGCAGTGTCAAGCATGCATGGTGGAGCAGTGCGTAGCGCCAATGTTAGAGTAAGCGGCACAATCCAATCCACTACCATGGCTTCTTCTTTGGCACTTTCGACGCTAGCCTGATGGCGTGTTCTAGCTCCCATATGAGAGGCAAGTATGAATGGGGTACAATACCTGAAATAATCAAGGCAATGGGGTTCAATATCAAAGAAGCTGGATATAAGAAGATGGAGTAGAGCCGATCAGTGTTCTGTTGCCGATAATAAATTGATCTCCGTATCCTGTCTCATTGAGACTCCTATGTAAGGGTGAAGAATATGGAAAGACATCCGCCCATTGTCCATGAGGGCAGGATTCTTAATGCATTGTAGCACTAGCCCGTCAAAGGCCTCTGAGACCCATCAGTTTCGGGCTGAACCGCGGACGATTGTCTTTGTAATGTTACCCGGTACGCAGGAAGCTCTATCGAGGTTGCAATTTTTCCAGCTTCTCCCTTGTCCATGGTGAATATGAAATGATCTTGCGACTGAAGACCGTACTGGACCCTGTCCATTTGGGCCCAAGTATTACACGTAGCCATGGGCCACATGAAAAGCGAATCTGCAAATTCCAATTCTTCGGGGGTCCCGAAAGTAAAGACTCCCCTCCAGGAGTCGTGTTTCTCCGTTTCTAGCCCGGTGGGGTACAACCTCACTCTCACCATGTCTTGTTCAGGCGGGCCACCAATGAATGCGGTGCCGATTGTTGGCCACGTTTCAAGCACATCAACACCGCGAACTGTCCAATCGGATACTCGAATGCCCGGCTCTTCGTCATCTAAGGATAAAGTTATGGAAGAGTTAGAAACGGGATCGCTGTATGTACCCGTATGGGACAATCTTGTCTCTTCCTTGCCCGCTTCTTCCAGTGCCGGTAAAAGCGTCCTGAGCGCAGCTGTCGTGATACCCAGCACGGTCCCTCCAGATGTTTCGGGGCCGGCGGTCAACACCTGAAGCACAATGTCGTAGTCTGGTATGAGGACAAAGTTTGAGTTGTAATGAAAGAGATTACCCATCTTCGTGTACAGCTCAATCAGCCGGCCACCCTTCGTTTCATTAGTGAATCTATAGATTTCCCAGGGTGTGCCAAGCAAAAGATTAGAGGCTGACGTCGAAGAGACTGGCTTCAGCCAGCGACGTGTGTTTACTGGCGAAAGTTGTTCGTTTTTCAAGATGGAAATGCCAAACGCAAGCATATCTGAAGTACTCGAGTAATAGTCACCAGCACTACTAGTATCAGCAGTCGTCGATGGGATTCAACGATCAAGTGTCGTACTCACGCCTTCTCAAGACCCACGGTAGCCTTCCACCAGGTATCATCAGTGGGAATGGCTCCGAGACTGTCATTCGGTTGGCTTGCGAATGTGTGGAGCATCCCAGTCGGCTTCCAGATAGTTTCACGAACGTATTCGGAGAACGTGACATTTGCTGCCACCTCTACAGCCCAGCTTATAAGTGCAAAAGCAATATTAGAGTATACTGGAACTTTGAAGGGAGCATAGACAGGTGGTCGTTGACCGAAAAGGTCCCAAAACACTATCTCATTTTAGCACGCTTCTTTTCATCGCTTCGATGTCCTAACTTACACGTCTCAGGACACGCTGGCTCTCCCTTTAATGAGCAGTTTAGCTGTAACGAGTTTGGAAGCTCTGGGAAACCAAGACCTGTCCAGTTCCCATCAGAATCTGTGCTTATGTCGAGTACCACTATTTCCATTTAGCAGCCTTCACCCATACGACCGGGGCCACCTACGGTCTGATGGCGCGCCGAGATGAGACGCCAGTGCTCCAAGGGTAATTTCATCCCAATCCACGGTCCAGATTGGATTCGGCTTACGAGCCTGCTTGTTCAAACCTCGAAGCTCGGGCAGCCACTTGGTGATTGTGTCGCTCAAATCCATGCCCTCCGTCCTTAGGAGGGCAAGAACAGGAAATAGTTTCGATGTGCTTGCTAATCGATAAACAGTGTTCGAATTCACTTCTTTTACTCCATTTGCCCCAGATTCCGGTGGAGTATAGTGAAACTCAACTATAGGTTTGGCCTCATGGATTGACTGGATGCCAAACGATATTGCGGAGCCATTAATTGAAGCAGTAGCATTCTGTAATGCTTCCTTGAGAAATGCTGCTGCGGTTTGCACATGCAAGCTGGAGCTGGGCGCCTTTGGTGCTGGCAACACTGCTCCCAATGGCGGGCACAAGCCATCTAGAGCCGCCGAAGCACCTTTCAAGATACCAGAGACGAGGAATGCATATTGTACGAACAATGATCCGACATTTCGGGTTCGTGCCATTTCTTTCAGTGTTTATGACGTGAGGGTGTCTACCTCACCTTACTCTAATATGTCGGTGAATGTAGAATGCGTGCTTATATTAACATCAGGACTATGCAACGATGGCACGTCAGTCTCATCGGAGTTCGGAGTTGGGCCAGAAACCTGCAACTAGTCGCACGAATTGAGTAATCATGCATAAGACCTTTCCCAAAGCGTGCCTAGTCGCATATGAATACCTGCCGTATCAGGATCACTACGCGAACCTCGTTACAGCGGATTTCAGCGGGTTTGTCATCGGCTCGACACCGTTCTTCCCCAAGAATTGAATTGTTTCGCAGCCGCAGCCGTATGGAGCACATAGGAACTTCACAGACTTCTAATCAACGGGATGTGCGGTGTTACGGAGTGCACTCCGGACTGTATTATACCTCAGGGTTGTGGTGTTGTAGTCATGAACATGCTGTGGTCGAGATATTTTGGTTGCTACTGGACAACATAGATAGTGGTGTTTGTCATTTTAAAGCTGCGAGCGAGGACAAGCTCTTGTTGGTCAATTGCACTGCCGCTCTTCAACCATTCAGTGGCAAGCTTTGAAGCCGGACTCCTACACTCTAACACTCTACGGCTGTATCTTGCATAATCTTGCAGTTGTTTGCGCTTTTGCTAGAGTAGCGATTATTGGCTCCTGAACGAGTGCGGCCTTGTTCCGCATCATAAGAGCCCCAAAGTCGGCGAGGAGAAGACCAGCGTCATTGGTGTCATTTCTCCTTTGACCTATCATTCAGTCACATATCACTTCCGAGTCAAAGCCCCTGTCGCGATCAACCGTCTTCCCGAGGAGGTGGCTTCCTCTTTATCCCTTTAAGATCTAGCACACGGCATTTGACACGACCACGATAGAGGATATCGTGGGTGTTGAATTAGTGTGAACTCAAAAAAAAAATGCGGATCAATGCACGTCACCCTCCTGGACCGGCCGCATGATAAAGGTGCACGTACGCGGTTGGCATATCAGTTTGTCAGCTTTCCCAACACCAGCTGAAACGCATCCGGAAATTTCGATGAAGATTTGCTCGGCAGAAGTACATCACCATTACCACGTCGAAGACTCTTCTCGGGCGAGAGACTTAGCTCGCGAGCCTCGACCAGGGAGGGGGGGGACAATGAGATCCACATGGAGCAACGGATGTCTCGCAGAAAAACATAAGGTTGAGAATACTACACTTTGTCCGGAATTGTGGCTGCAAGGCAACAAAATGATCAATGCTTCAGTTTCCTTGGTCTCTATGCAGCGCGGCTGCTGAACCACGCACGCTGAGCCCTGCAACGTCATTCTGTCTTTTGTTCGACGAATGTCCTGCATCTCGCTGCTTCTTTCGCATCACGCTGGGTATTTAGCACCCAACCAACAGGCGGAAAGTTCCCCTCCCTGCCAGCCAGCGCGCTGATATTTCCGCCAGTGTGGAAAAGCATGGCTCGCTAATCTCCTCGCCTGCTAGCGCGCAGCCCAGGCGTGCATATGTGGACCTCAGCTGAAGTCGAATAAAGGCTCTGGAAATGGAGATCTCCGCTGCGATCCTGGGGATGACCCAGTCCAGTGGGAGGAGGCTACTCCGAAAATGGTCTTGGTTCCGATAGTTTGGAGGAATCTCTCCACCAAGAAATAAATGACAGGCACTCAATGATCAAGGTTGAGGGATGCCGGCCCATTAATAATAGGAGGGCGTCCTCTTCGAGTTCGTCGCAGCTCCAAATGCGCGCCTAGTCCGTCTCAAGATAACGATATTCAAGTGCATCCTCATCGGCAACAGGTCATAAATCTTACGTCTATCTCTCCTCAAACCTGCTATGCTGCACGTAACGAGAGTCGAGAGTCGGTGGTATGGAATCACAGGGTGCTAGCGGTATCAATTTCCGCAAGCTCGACGCTTCCAAGTCGGAAATCCGCCTACTCGAACTTCAACCAGCAGATGACATCGATCAGCCACCGGTCTGTCGCCTTGTCAATGTGGCGCTCACGGACAACGTAGAGTACGTGGCCATCTCATGTGCGCTGTCGGAAACAGAGACCGAGAATGTCGTCATCAACCATAAGAAGGTCTCGCTGCCAGCAACGTTGGGCGAGGTTTTGAGACACATACGAGCGGTATTCCTGAGTTCGCCAACGCAGACGGATAGATCTCGGTCGCCAACTAAGGAGAAGAAAGGGCCTCCAAACTGGCTCGTTCAAGCTATGAGAAATGTCAGATCAATATTTCCGGACTCAACCAAGAGCCAGTTTGAACATGGCCAAGGAACTCTATTGGTCTGGCTAGCGCCGCTTTGCATTGACCGGAGGAGCTCTTCGGAAACAGCACAGCAGCTGTCACACATGGCCATGGCTTACAGATCCGCCCAGGTGGTCGTCGGATGGCTTGGGCCGAAAGCTGAGCTGACCGATGTCGCGCTCGAGGTTCTGCAGCAAGTAGAAGATGCATTCCCAGAGCATTTCGGCGAGCCGGAGGATAAGAAGTTGCACCCAGAACATTATGCGCCACAGCACTCATGGCTGCACAAGCTCGCCTTTATGTGGGAGCATGGGCTTGAGGGCCCTTACTACGCTGCGCTCATGGATTTCACTGAGAGGCCATTGTTTCATCGAACGTGGCTCATTGACGAGATTGCTATGGCCCGCTATCCTGCCTTCCTCATTGGCGACCGATTAGTCCCCTGGAAGCAGGTCATCACGCTGAATCAACTCTGCGAAGAGCTCAGCAGCGAGTCAGATGTTTTCCCGTCAGGCCTTCGTCCAGTGGCACAGTCCTGGCCGCTGGGTACCATCTACACCATGTTAAAACATTACGAGGAGAGAAAAAGAATGGAAGCACAGGAGGAGCCGTCGAAAACGGGCGCGCTCAAGCAGTATGAGCTCAAAAAACAAAGACAGCAAGCCACAGAGATTGCAGGGGCTGGCGAGCAGGCTCATGAAGAAATGAGAAAGGAAAAGGCAAGACAGGGTTCAGTAGCGGAAGGCGTAATTGCGGGCTCATAACCCTTGCAACGGTTAGCACTCTGTTCAGTCTGGAATGTGCGTGTTGAAGAAGTTGCTTAATAATTTGGTCCTCGATAATTTAACCACGGGATAGCAACACCATAATGGTTGTGGAAGGGCTGTGATGGACAGCCTGTCAGGCCAAGATCTATGCTTTACGAACAAGCTTGTTATAGCAAGCGTAGAAAGCGGCATTGTATGCTCTAACAGTTTGATTTTTGCCGTAGTGCGCGATGAATTACGAAATGACGGTTCTTGATACTAGTTGAGCCATACGGGAAGACGGTTATAACCTGAGTCCGTCAAAATCATTGTGCCAGCCGAAGATCGGTCCGATCATCTGTTGATGGCGTTTGACGTTTTACACTTCTAAAGAAACGTGTTGAGTATTTGTGGTTCACAGAAATTTTCGGGCCCAATTCCATGCTTGCGACTATATGACAGCAAAGGTCATTGAGTGCTCGGCTTATGCAACAGTTGTAACGAAACATTCAGATTTATCGCTTTCATTACTGTGATATATGAGGTTGAAATAATAAATGGATAGGGTGGACATATTATGAGTTATCGTTTTTTACGACTTCTGCGTTCCCAACCTTTACGCCTTGTATTTTGCTTTCAGGGCTTTTGCACCTTTGGAGTCAACAGCTTGGAGTTCCGTCAAACCTCGGAGTCTGAATCTGGAGATCCACTAAATCCAAGTGGTTGGCTTATTACATTGTTAACAGCCTAAGCAAAGGGAAACGTCGGTGGCTTCGTCTTCATTCAAAGGCTGACTATCATTGGTGGTCAAAATAGGGTCGTTAGAGCTCTAGACTCCCGACAGGATCAAGGCTAATACACCAGCTCGATGCTGCTCGTGGGTATTCAAATACCAGGACTTAAATCTATTGGCTAGGACTAATAATTCTCGTATAGCTCAAGAACGATCGGCAGCCGCAGGATCTGGCTGAAGTGTGCTGTCACTAGTGCCTCGAATCGTCGAGGAAGTGGGAATCTGGACTCGTAGATTGAGGTAAGCTCGGCGGTCATGTAACGTCTTGGTAGACAAGGATCCATGGCAGTGTATCCGAAGTAGAAGGTCATCTAACCACGACCTTCTTTTATCTCTCTCCAAGAACCTTTATCATATGTATGTAAGATATCAAAGATGCACTCACACTGGAACAGAGCGACTCTGGATGACACAATATGCATGCACTATCCAAAATTCTCAGCCTATGGATGTAAAGAGTAAGATATCAAAACATATAGGAACATTTCTGGAAAGGAATACTGTATAATAGTCCAAACTTCGTAACACGTGAAATTATTGCGCTTAGGGTCGGCTAGAAAACATGACAGGGAGCTTATCCAAGTAGCTCAAGGGGACCCTCATGTGTATTGTGCTTTGGGATAGTCGGGGCAGAGGTATGTTATTGCAGTCTGTCCCAGTACAGGCGTCAAGTAAGTTTTAAACGACGTAGCGGCATTCATCGACCAGAATCGGTATTTAAAAAGTAAATCTATCTTGCAGAGCTAAACACAGCCATGTCTTATTCCATAAGTTGCCGTCTCTAACGAGGCCACCGCAGGTCGAAAGTTCTCGTGAGATCTAGAAAGATTCCCAACACTTTCAGTAGCATATGGTTGCAAATCCATGTTAAGGACGTCCCAGACAAACAGCGCTTGGTTTTCGAGATTTTCAATCGGCGTCCCGCTTGAATGGCTTGGGAATATAAGCCCAGACAGAGACCTGTACGGCACATACCCCTTGTGACGCTTATACCTACCGCGACACTTTGCTGTCTATACCGCTTCTGTCACGGATTTATCTTGACAGAACACCTGGTCTCTCTGCGTAATTTACCCAAAAGTGCTTATGACAAAGTTGTTTGGGAACACTATTCGCCACTCTTCTAGAACAGGAGTTTGAGCGACGACAAACATCCACACTATCTTCTTTTTTTCTTCTGTTTTTCTTGTAGTGTCTAATCACGTGTGAGGCATCTGTTTCTCGACAGAGCTTCATTCGTATGTTTCTTGTGACTATAGTTCACCTTCCGATCGAACACCAAACAAGTGTAATCAACATATCCAGGCACGTTTGTACCATAAGTACATGGAGTTGATGGCTTCTGACAGTCCATTGTGGTTTCTCTTATCAACGCAGCCAGATTCAATTCATAGCCACTCACGTTCGTTGCGACGAGCCTCGTTCCAACACCCATTGATCTTTAGAAAGCCGGGGAACGAGCAGAATAATGGTCATAAGGGGGGTTGGGGTTTGTTTTAGTTGGAAAAATCATGAGAACTCACTTCGCCTTCAGTCATGTGTGCGATGAAATGGCAAAGGGCCGCACCCGATCGCTGAATTCACGGATCACACGACCGCGAACGTGTAGCAAGCGCATGTTGTTGAGAATTAGGTCCTTGCGAAATTTGTTCTTGTTGTAATCATCACAAGAAGCTGCAAGTATTCGCGTGATGCTGTTCTCAACGGATGCAAACAATATCGAATTTGGACCAGGCTGAGTGGGGAACCTGGGATAAGACCCCCCGCCTGAAGCCGCTGAGGCTGAGCATTGTCATTGATACCCAATGAGCTGTAGCCATGGCGAAGAACGCCGCGTGCTTTCGCAATACAAATGCGACTTATTGAAGGAGTTTGGGTCTCCCGCTGTCTTGCAGTATCGAAAGAGCATTGCAATTCGAGTGGTATTCCGTCACCGAGATCCTGGGGGCCGCAGCAGGACTATCGACTGGTGTCTTCCAAAGAATGCCTTATTATATCGGTGCAGTCATGGCGTATGGGAAAAGTATCAGCACCACAGCAGAGCGACCACCTTGAGTTAAGTGTGTCTATTGCAGCTGCCCACACTACGTACTGTATGTACCTAAGAGAACGGTTCCCACTGTATGCTCGTGGCGGGGGACGTTAAACATCAGCAGCCGATCCACTGTTTACCCCAAACCTTCTCCATTCCAGTGCCCCATTTCCCCAAACTCGGCATTTCCCACCGTACCCGAGCATAACCTTCACAGTCCGATTCCCAGAAACGACGGATAAATACGTGGTAATTGAATGAAAGGAGAAAGAAACAACAAGAAGAAGAAACACATCTTGGCCGCTGCCGGCAGAGATATTGATACCAGCATCTTGGGGCAGTCAAAGGTCAAGCTAAAAAAAAGAATTTAGATTTCCACAGCGTTTATGTACCCGTCATACAAAATAGAATAGCCATCTCGTCTGACATATCGCGGAATTCACATTGGGTGCTAGAGGACATAAGCTTCAGCGTCTTTCCGCCCCCGCGGCTAACCGACAGCACGACTTGGGTATCGCCGGATGGGGAAAGTAGCTCATGGCATCCGCGACGAGCCGAATGGGTTTTGTGTCATAAAGAGCTGGAAATATGTCAGAGGGATTACTGATAGAGGAGGGTGTGATTGAGACTGAGACACCATTTTGTCGCTATAGCGGAAAACGGTCCATCTTGTCTCACATTCCAGAAAGAAAAAGGAAATTTCACCAATTATCGCCATCTGAAGAAAGAGAAGAAAAGTAAAAGCTGTATAATTGGAGTCGCTTATGCGATAAGAGACCTTGAAATATGACCGAAATCAATGTCACAACAGCCCTACTAGGCTTTGTGGGACTAAGCACTGCATATGTAAGAACGTTGTTGTTTGCTGCGTCGACAACACCCCATCAGAGAGCAATCGGGACTAACACATGTACATAGGCCATATGGATCGTAGTCTATCGTTTGTACTTCCACCCACTCTCCAAGTACCCAGGGCCCCTCCTGGCCAAGATCACCGACGCGCATCAGCTGTACCACGCATGGAAGGGGGACCGCCACCTGGAGTTCTGGCGGCAGCACACGCGGCACGGGCGGGTGGTTCGGTTCGGGCCCAACAGCGTGTCGTTCGACTCCGGGGAGGCGCTACGGGACATCTACGGGTTCCGGTCCAACGTGCGCAAGGCCGAGTTCTACGACGCCTTCGTGCACCCGGCGCCCAACACGCACAACGCGCGGGACAAGCACCTGCACGCGCGCAAGCGCCGCGTCCTGAGCCAGGCCTTCAGCGACGGCGCCATCAAGGAGATGGAGCGCTACGTCCTCGCCAATGTGCGCACCTTCTGCGAACAGGTCGGCCTTGGGGCTAGCGAGGAGGGCAAGGGCTGGACTGTGGCGAAGAACATGGCGGACTGGTGCAATTACCTCGCCATGGACATCCTGGGCGATTTGTGCTTCGGTAAGGCCTTTCACATGCTGGAACGGCCAGACAATCGGTACGCATTGGAACTGGTTTCTCTTGCGACCACGAGACATTTGATTGTGAGTATTGGTTCCTGCGATGATATGAACGTTGGCTCATCATGTCACAGTGCGGTACCATGCCTCTGGTCGGCAAGCTCGGCTTGGACAAGGTGCTTTTTCACAGGATCGCAGCCGGTCGTGCCAAGTATATGGCGTACAGCAAGTCGCAATTGACCGAGCGCACCAAGCTGGGCGATGACACAGACCGAAGGGACTTCTTTTATCACTTGCTAAAGGCCAGAGACCCTGAAACGGGCCAGGGCTTCACCACACCTGAGCTTTGGGGAGAATCGAACTTGCTGTAAGTTACAGAAATAGCCACTTGTAGTCAGGGAATTGACCAGATATCAGCATCATCGCAGGCTCGGACACGACGTCAACGGCAATGGCCGCGACGCTCTTCTACCTCGTGCGCAGCCCCACTGCGCTGCAAAAGGCCACGGAGGAGGTTCGCACCAAGTTCGGCGACGTCGAGGACATCCACCAGGGCCCGGCTCTGACCAGCTGCGCCTACCTCCGCGCCTGCATCGACGAGGCGATGCGCATGTCCCCCTCTGTCGGCGGCATCGTGCCCCGCGAGGTCCTGGCCGGCGGCCTCACGATCGACGGCGAGAACATCCCCGCCGGCACCGTCGTCGGCGTCCCCCACTACACCATCCACCACAATGCGGCCTACTACCCGGAACCGTTCGTCTACAAGCCCGAGCGCTGGGTCGCTGGCTCCCACAAGGCTCTCGGCACCGTGAGCGAGCGCGACGTGCAGACGGCGCACGGCGCTTTCTGTCCGTTCTCGATCGGACCCCGAGGATGCATCGGTAAGGGTCTTGCCTACATCGAGATGTCCACGACCATAGCGAGACTTTTGTATCTGTATGACCTGCGGAAGTCGCCCGGCTTTGACCCGGCGGAAGGTAACCCGAGTAATGAGTGGGGAAGGCAGCGGGTGGAAGAGTTCCAGCTAATTGACCAGTTCACAAGCCTGAAGGACGGGCCCATGGTGGAGTTCAGAAAACGCCAAGTAATGAATGGACAGTAAAGACCGGTTCCAGGTTGATTCTTTTGCTCGGGGGCTCTCGGTTCATTGGAAACTGCGTACCGTCAGTAGCTACTTACAAGTACAGTGTATTGTGCTCGATTGTTGATGTGTGCGGTCCGTGGCGGACCGAAAGAGAATGTATCTAGGTGCAAGCGGCCCAATGAGATTCAAGCATCGGCATAAGGAAGCCGCCCATGTTAAACACAAAAAGCTCGTATGGCCTCGGTTGTAGTAATGCTGGGGGGGTGGGTGTGGTATCTTTTTTGAAAGTGTGGAGATCTGCCGGTAGAGTGGATCGCGCGCGGGGAGAGCTCGCTATACCGCATCCGTAATAACCGCTGTGTATGATGGTCTCGTGTTCTTGCACGGCCGATGCTCGATGTTGTCATAACCAAAGAGTGCCTCCAAACTTTGCTTGCGAGACCCTCATTTCCTCCAACCATACCGAGGAAATCATTAGTGGAAAAAGCACTACTTGACCCGCAATGGGTGATAGTTGGGGTCAATGCTACTATACGCGCAGCTGCCCTTGCAGGAAGTCCTTTTGTAGACAAGACCGTGGCGATCTCTGATAGCGAGTTGGGGGAGATTATGGCCATAGAGACATGATATAAGGCAGAATTGCCCCTATGAATCTGGATTGGAGAATGTAGATACAGCTTAGTACACAAACATCGCAAGCCCTCCAATATGGCCGTCATGTCGCTGCAAACTGTTGCAGTCTCAGTCCTCACCTTGAGCACCCAGCTCCTGGGCACCGCGCTCGGAGCTCCCACGAAGGAGCACGTCGAGCGAGCAGCGTGGCCGTACGGCCCCTTGGTCACCGACGGTCGGGACATCAAGGACACCAATGGCGACACCGTGGTGTACGCCGGCGCCAACTGGCCGGGCGCGGCCGACGTGATGATCCCCGAAGGCCTGCAGTTCCAGTCGATCGAGACGATCGTGACCGAGATCAAGAGCCTGGGGATGAACTCTATCCGGCTGACCTACGCCATCGAGCTGATCGACCAGATCTACGACAACGGCGGGGCCGACGTGACCATCGAGAGGGCGCTGACGGACGCCCTGGGCGCTTCCAACGGTAGCGCCGTGCTCGGCGAGATCCTGGCTAGTAACCCGTCCTTCACCGCGGGCACGACACGCCTCGAGGTGTACGACGCCATCGCGGCCGAGTGCGCGGCGCAGGAGATCTACGTGCACCTGGACAACCACATCTCGCGGGGGGAGTGGTGCTGCAACACGGCGGACGGCAACGCCTGGTTCGGCGACACGTACTTCTCCGTCGCCAACTGGACGCGCGGGCTCGGCTACATGGCGGAGCACGGCAAGGCCTGGCCGGCGCTGGTCTCCATGTCACTGCGCAACGAGCTGCGGACGCCGGACGACGACGAGGCCCTCGCCAACAGCTCGTACAACTGGCAGGACTGGTACAAGTACAGCAAGGAGGGCACCGAGGCCATCAACTCCAACAACGCCGACGTCCTGATCTTCCTGTCCGGCCTGAACTTCGACACGTACCTGACGCCCGTGGTTCAGGGCACGGCCTTGACGCCCGGCAACGAGACGTTCGCCCTGTCCGACTTCGACGGGTACACGGACAAGCTGGTGCTGGAACTCCACAACTATGCGAACAGTGCGACTGACTGCACGAGCTTGCAACAGAGCCTCTACGACGACGGTTTCCAGGCACTACATCCCGAGGACGAGGGCACTGTCAATGTCTTCCCGGTGGCTTTGACAGAATTCGGCTTCGCCCAGGATTCAACCACATGGGAGAGCGTGTACGCGACCTGCATTGCGGATTTTCTGATCAAGGAGAAAACCAGCTGGTTCATTTGGGCACTTTCTGGAAGTTACTATATCCGATCTGGAACTCAGGACTATGACGAGACGTGGGGCTTGCTAACCCATGACTGGTCGACATGGCGCAGCCCTGAGTACATTGAGGGTAACCTTACCGCTTTGGTCGGTTCGACTGCATCGCCTTAGAAGGGTAAGAGAACAAAAAGAAAGAAAAGAAGACACACTAGCAGAAGAAACGGTGATGCTTCATAATGATTCATATTATATTTGAAGACCGTAGTGATATATGTATAGCGTCTGCATGATGAGCTATTCGTGACATGACCAGGGCGGCAGTTGACACTATCCTGGTTTACTTGCAACAAAATATATGGCCAGTGGTGGCCTTTCATTAAATCTAGATGGCGCATTGTATGCCATCGGCTTGTTGTGTCTATGCTATGTTGTGATAGTGAGCAGACGGTAGGCGCTCAGAGGCGCGTCAACTCTTATTTCCACTAGTTATGAGCATTCGAGTCTAACCAGGAAACCCAGCTCGCGCCATCTTCTTCGCTCGGCCATCGCGCCGATTGTGATTCGCACGTGATGACTTGTTGGCCTCTTTGTTTTTGCGAGCGTTCTCCGTGCTCTTTTCACCAGTGGGGCCTGCTGCGCTGCCGCCACGACCACCACCACGTCCTCTACCTCTTCCTCGACCACGGAAGCCACCACGATTAGAACCTCCAGCTTCTTGTCCAGACTCTTCAGCGCCGGAGTCGGCGCTTGCACGCCATGATGTCGGTGCGAGTGCTGTTTGGCCGCCTGTGAAAGATCCTGCTGCACTGTACTTCAACTCCAAAGACTTTAACTGCGCCGGATTACGATTGAGCATTACTGCCCAGCCCTCAATGGCTTCATCCGTCATTCCCGTGTCTTGTTTGAGTTTCGTTCGGTAATTACTCCGCCGCGTCTCCGAATCTCTGCCCAGCAATTTAGGGTCGGCCTTGAATGCTCTGAACAAAGTCTCTTCATGAATATCCTTCCGTTTCTGATCGTCCGCATCATCAGCTAGTGCATCGTTCACCGTGAATCCGGCATCAGCTGCATCATAAGTATCGTCCCGCTCATCATCATCTGCGTCAAATGCGGAAAGAGCCGATAGAATTGCGGCCTTATTTGGTGCTGTTGATCGATCTTTGAGCATATCATCCGCCGTCTTCTCAGGGTTTCTTTTGCCAAAGTGGAGGTTATCTATGTTGTGGGAAAGATTGTCAAGTTCGTCGTCATCAAAGACATTATGGCGTGTGGGGAGCAAGGGAGGTGTAGCTCTGGGCGCAAGACTGCTCCTCCGCCTTCTAGTTCTCTCAGGTGACCTATATGATGTTAGTAAAGTTGTGAATAGAAGTTGGGAAGAGCACTAACAGTTCCTGTTTCCGATCTGCCGAGGCCAGATGTGGTGGCAAATCGTCTTCCAACAGATGTGCGATAACTTGTTCCGTACCGTCTCGAAATTCGTCTAGAAGTTTAGAGATGAAACCGGAGCCAAGATCTGGAAATAGATCGTGTATTTGGGAAATCTGGCTCATTTGATGAATCCTCAACTCTCCGATCTCTTCATAGTCCTCGCCATCCACAACGCCTTTGCCCTTGTCGATCTTTCGCTTCACGAGTCGTTTGGGTCGAATATTACCACCAGGCTTTTTGTAACTCTCCAAACCTGTGATGACCGACTTCAAACGGGTTGTGGTCGATCCGGATAATTCAAGTCGATGTTGTACGAGCTTGAGAAGTGGTGTGGAAGTGACCAGTTCAGCTACCATGGAGTCATTGCTACTCGTCGGACCAACCTTGTGGGAATCGGCTGCTGCCTTGAGCGAGTAAAGTTGGTCTATGAGGGTTGAGTATTTTGGTGATGGGCCTTCGGTCAGTCCAATGAGACACAGATATGCCGTGGCAATAATAGTCTTTCGAAGCGGTGGATTCATGATCTTGTAGCAACTAACCAAGCCGTCGGCGAAGTCATCTCCAGCCATCATAAAAGCCGCTGTGTCCGGCGATGTATAGATCAAATGATTCAGGTGCTTCAATCGGTCTTCGGGTATGCGTAAATCACCCTTAATTCCCGAGTCCAGTGCAAGAATGAGGGATTTCTTGATCCCATGAAGTGACGTTTCCAGCGGCAATGGGTGCTTCTCGAACACGTCCACGAGCACAGAAGATGTCCTCTTCTTTCCATAGACCCTGCTAAAATCCGACAAAAATTCCCACTGCAGAAGTATAGAAGGTGCTCCGGGAGATTTGAGAAGTCTTGTCGTGAGAAGATACCCATGCCTCAAAAGCACCGCTGCCGACTCGGATGACCCCAAGATACTGATACTAGAGCGGGCGGTCTCCCGTGTGAACACGACCAAGAATTGGCTGAGCGATTCATCTTTGGTAGATATCTTCCGAAATTCGTCTTGTGGTAATGACAAATGTGCTTCGGCCAGAGAAACCCATAAAGAGAGACAAGCTTCCCATTCCACCGGTACGATATGATCTCGCCATGGGGCTTCAGGAAACGCCGCAAACGCGGGAAGCGTTGGTGCCATGGCTATCTGTTTCTCAGATCCGGAAGCGCGAAGAGGCACAGAGGTCTGGGTGGTTTAGAATAAAAAATGAATGATAATTGGTCTCAAAAAAATTTTCAGTTCCCTACAAGCCGGCTCGCCAAACTGAGTTTGTCGTTATTAAGACTGGCCGAATGACTCTCACGATGTCATTGATGTGAGATCTGAGCTCCATAAAGGACCCACAATACTCCGTCCCCTGCCCAAACCAGGAAGGGGCCACGGGTGGCTCATTCTTAATCATCCCGTTATCGATAAGACGAAGAAGCTCGGCGCACAAAACCTGTGGCTATTTTTTGCGTCTGGGACTGGGGGCTAGCGAAAGAATGTGGGGAGGGGGTGCGCTTCGAAAAGTTTCGCGATAGCCTCCTTTGCGACTTCACAACCTCCCTCTCTCACACTTTCCATTCCGCAACTTCATCACTTTGCCGTAACGTACAGTTCGAGTCGTGAAGTCAGCTTCTCTCACCACATCAACCCACCCAAACCCACCTACTCGCAAACATGTCTTCTTACCAGAAGGGCGACAAGGGCGCTGACGCCCCCGAGGCCAAGACCCACCGCATCAGAATCACCCTCACCTCTCGCAAGGTCCAGGCCCTCGAGAAGGTCTGCACTGAGCTCCTCGAGCGTGCCAAGACCAAGGACCTCCGCGTCAAGGTGAGTCTCCGCGCTGCTTCCCGAGGGAACGCCCACGCCGTCTCCGTGGACACGACTGACAGAAGTAGGGCCCCGTCCGTCTCCCCACCAAGACCCTCAAGGTCACCACCCGTAAGACTCCTTGCGGTGAGGGTTCCAAGACCTGGGACATGTGAGTTACCACTCGGTTTCCGGAACACACGAGCGTTCCTGTCAATACTGACTTTGCGACCCCCACGAAAAAAGGTTCGAGCTCCGCATCCACAAGCGCATCCTGGATCTCCAGGCCCCTACCGAGATCGTCAAGCAGATCATCGTCAACATCGAGGCCGGTGTCGAGGTCGAGGTTACCATTGCTGCTTAAATGCTAGCTAGTGGCTAAAACCATCGGCGTGGGAACGAAGCAGGCACAATATAAAGAAAGCTGGTGGACATTTAGATCACTGCGTGGCGGGTTTCCTGAAAGAAATCTGCCCAGGTCCATTCGTATCTGGAGCAAATCAAAAACTGTTGATCACACACACACACACAACATATCCTAGACACGTTTGCTTTAATGGTGATTTAACAACGTGCATGTTCTACCTCGATATAATAAGGACGGTCGCTTATCCAGCCGAATGAAGATGTGCTCTCACGAACCTCCATGACCATGATGTAAAGCTGAACTCGCACAAATGACACCGTCGTCTGATTCTGAGTGAATATAATGATACGTGCCAGCTCTTAGTCCGGCCCATGATAGTCGTTCTCCCCTAAACGCCGTCGCTAATGCAAGTCCGGATCACAAGTCTATGTCAATAAAGAATGCCCAATTTCGGTCATAGTCGGTAGAATTATGTCTCCCAATCAGAAATCCCATACACAGTCCTCTCGCATCGGCGGCACCTCTGGCATCAAATCCGGGAACCTGCCGGTTCTGCTGCTTTCCTCATAAACCTTATGGACCGCATCTGTATAAGCGCTCTTATCCTCTGGCTCGGTGAGAGAATAGTAGGTGGGTGGTCCGTTCGGAAACCATATCTTGGTCCAGCCGCTTCTGGTTTGCACTCCGGGCTTGTCGTTTTTGTATGAGACAGGCATGTTCTTAAATCGAATGATTCGTGTGCCCATCTTTGCGACGTAGGAATCGAGAGGTGGGTGCTGCTTCATGCTTCCAGGCTGGTAGGGTGAGTTCGCCCCTTGTGGTGCAGCCGAAGCGGCCGATTGCCCACCAAGCCCACCCACACCACTGGCCAGTGAGTTAGAAGGTGCGCCAAAGCCATTCGTCGCCGGTTGTCCGAACGGATTCGACGCCGCTGGTGCCGCTTGTGTTTCCATGGCTTGGGAAGCAAGCGCATTGTTTGTAGAGGAGAAGGGACTAGATGGCGTAGGAGTTCCGAAAGCAGTTGCCTGAGCTGATGGTTGGCCGAAAGGACTCGTCGCAGGTGCGCCAGATGGTTGTGCAGGGGCTCCGAACGGAGACGCATTTTGGGGTTGAGATGAAGTCCCAAACGGACTGTTACGGGACGGTTGTGAGGATGCTCCAAACGGGCTTGGGTTGGAAGGTTGAGACGGCGCACCAAAGGGACTAGAACTAGCTGGTTGTGATGGTGCTCCAAACGGGCCGGAAGTCGAGGGCTGTGATGGCGCACCAAAGGGGGTTGGCTTTGCGCCCATCTGTGATGGTTGTCCAAAGGCACTCGTCGTAGGGGCTGCTGGCGCACCGAACGCACTCGTGGACGCTGGTGTCCCGAAGGGATTTGGTTTTGCGCCCAATGCTGATGGCTGACCGAAGGCACCCGTCTGTTGCTGAGCTGCCGCCGCAAACCCAGATGAAGCGTTGGCAGGTGCTGCAAAGGGGTTGGATTTGGCCCCTAAAGATGATGGTTGACCAAACGCCGACCCGCCTCCCAACGATGATGGTTGGCCGAAAGCTGATCCCGAACCCGCTCCTCCCAAGGCTGACGGCTGACCGAACGCTGAAGCTGATCCCTGCCCCAAGGCTGATGGCTGGCCGAAAGCAGATCCGGAACCAGCCCCCAAGGAGGATGGCTGTCCGAAAGCCGAGCCTCCTGTCGAAGCGGGTGCGCCGAACGGGTTGGGTTTTGCGCCCATCTGCGACGGTTGCCCAAAGGCACTCGTTGTAGGCGCCGCAGCTGCTGGCGCGCCGAAGGGACTCGATTGCGTGGCACCAAAGGGGTTCTGATTAGCAGATGACCCTACGGACAGAGGGTTCGCCCCAAAGCCCGTCCCCCCACTGCCTACGGCAAATACACCCGAGCCTCCTTGTGTATTCTGTTTACAGATGTCATGACGATTCGGGTGGTTGTTCTCGGCGGAAAGAACGAATTGTATGGCACCGTCTAGGTTGCGCAGAGCGGTATCCATCTGTTTCTCGGCTTCGACACACATGGTTTGAACATCTTGTAGCTGGATCCTGGGTTAATATAGCGACACAAGAACTTGGTATTAGGGAGAGCAGGCCCTGACGTACTGCTTGCTGGGGATTTGGGCTTGATAGTACGGATAATCTTATCTCTTCAAAGCTTTGCTCCCTCGGGTATCCTCCGAATAGCTGTTCCGGGGCATCTCTTCCGGGGCCATAGGACGACAATACCCATGACGGGCGCTCATCTTGAAGATCAATCTTGATGGCGTCCTTTGTGATCTTGTAGGCATTGCTTCCGTCGGCAGAACTCGAGCCGCGTCCAAAGGCTCCACCAGAGCTGCCACCTCCAGAGCTCAAGGCACCATAGCGGTTGTTGTTGGCACTGCCGAAGGGATTCGAGTTGGCGCCAGGGTGTTCGAAACGGCAATTGGCTGTTGAGAGGGGTTGGTCAGCTTGGAATCTGTAGGCCAGTCTCATGGTCATACGACCGAGATCGAAGCACAGATTAGTGAGACTCACATCCATTTCTGCAGGTGCCCTGCTGGTAGAACTTGCAGAGGGGCGCCATATTGGCCTCAGATTGTTGTTACTCGGACAATGATGCACATAGGTTGAGATGCGTTTCTCATTATGCAGGTTTGGATTGCAGCCTTTCAGCCTCGCATGCATGATTCAAAGGCAAAGCTTAAAAACGTTGGAGAATCATTTCATTTCACAGTCCCCATTTCATTTGTTATTAGTCTTAGCTTTAGCTACATCTAGCTTAGCTTACTACAGCTCATAAGTATAGACACTAGACTAGACTAAAGTTGATGTACTTTAGTAAAACATTAAAGAGGAAAATAATAAAATGATAAAATCATACTTTTATATCTTTTATTTTATTTATTAAATAATACTTATTTATTATATTATATAAATACGTGACATTTAAAAACAGTGGGCCCACCGTGAATAGAACGATGGTAATCCCAGGGTATATATTCATTGCCACAGACCCTCTAGTGGAAGGGCTATATGTAACGACCATTCTCAGGGAATCGAACTCTAGACCTCTCTTAGGCCGCTGTCGCGCTGATCCTCCCTCGGAGTTGTTATTCGGTAGAATCGCCATTTAAAAACAGCAATAGATAAGAATAGGTGGTTGGCGATAATCATGGTGCAAAAGCGGCCATCGGCAACCGCCGCGATGTATACCCACACCGACAGATAGAGCTTCATTATCGGAGTCATGTTATTGACATATCGCGGTCGTGGAAGCAATCAGCACCGGATAACACTGCAAGCCACAATTGCAATGAGGAAGAGGATATAAAACAACAGTGGTTGCTGCCGTTGATATGATATCACAATCAAGTCTACACTTTATTTTTAAATTAATTAACTCGAAGTTTGTCGCCAGTATGTTTTGCAACGCTTATGCGCTGCTATTAGCCCTAACAGGCCTAGCTCAAGCAGTGCCAGTACGTTATGACAAGACTCTTTGTAGACATGAGATAACCTAACAAGATGATTAGTTTTCGAGTAAGGTGCACAAAAAGACAGCTCTTGTCCTCATCGATGTCCAGAATGACTTCATCACTGGATCGTTAAATAACTCCAGAGCTCCTGCTATCTTGCCTAAGATCTACCAATTGTTGGATGACCACGAATGGCCATTTATTGTAGCGTCGCAAGGTAAATAACGGTTACATCAGAATCATAGGCATCGTACTTATTCGCGACAGATTGGCATCCGACTGACCACGTCTCTTTTGCATCTGCCCACCCAGGGAAGGAATCTGGCGACTCCATCAACATCACCTTTCTGGATACTGCTAGTAAGATTGAGACGCAAGGACTCTACGCGGATCACTGTGTACCGGAAACCTGGGGCGCGGAGATCGAGACAGGCGTTCAGACGCGCCTGCACTACTTGGAGGGCTTCCGCACACCCGTCAACTATATCAAGAAGGCTCAGAACCACTCAGTCGACTCCTACTCAGCATTCGCCGACAACCAGTACCACCAATTTACCACCCTGCATTCAGAGTTGACACTACATAGCATTGAGACCATTGTTATTACTGGGTTGATCACCAATGCATGTGTGAGAGGTACCTCCATAGATGGCATCAAGCTGGGCTACGAGGTTGTCTTGATTGAGGACGCTACTGAGACTTTCTCCGACGAGGCGAAGGCCAGTACTATCGCTGAGCTAGAAGGGTGGGGTGAGTTGTTCTGATCGCAGGAAACGTTTAAACAACGACGCTGACAAGAAACAGGAGTCCAGGTCATGAACCTGACTGACTGGGAAGCAGCCAACCCAACTGGCATTCAGGGAAGAAGACGTTGGGAACTGTGAGCACGGTACCTGAGTATTAGTAATTAATGGTGTCTGTTGTGAGACAAACAAAGCAATGAAATCCTCAAGATAAATGTACGAGGTATAATCTTCAGAAATGATTACCAAAATCACATGTTATATTTATAAATTGGGATCTGCTGTCGAAATTGTTCTTTTCAAAACGGGAATAGCCGGATAATGTTACAAAAAGTTCGAGAGTTGAGTGAACAGAGGTGTAGTGGAGAGTTTGATTGCCTATCTTTGTCGCTCATGGTTGAGCACTTGTGCGAGTAAGAGTATGCGCTCAGGTCAACATATGAACCAATCAAAATCTCCAAAATTGGACCATCGCAATGGCCAGCTTGAAAGTTGATACTAGTAATGTTGTTAGCACGCCAGGTGACAGGTGAGTGCACTTGAACTTTTTAGTCATCACACCAGTCGGTGCTCGGCCATCGTGCAAGCTGCCTCGAGTTGTTTGATGTCTGCGAAACCTTCGCAAGGAATAGCGGTCACACCAATATTTGGGATCTCCTGTGTAATTGTCGATCTAGTATATATGACCTGACACGACCGAGAACCTTGTCAAATCTCGATACTAGCTTGGCAAAGCATAATGATAAACACAGGATGTTCATGATATTTCGAAAGAGCCGCGCGCTCCACCAGCGGATCGGGGAAACTGACAGACATTAGACCCAGCAACCTCAAACCGTGGCCAGCGAGTGCTCGTACATATTCTCCTTGATTGGTTAAGAATCCGAAACGCGCAAACCGACGTCATCAGTGGATTCATGAAGGGCAGAGAAAGGGATGACCGGGTCTATGGCTGCATACTACATAGGTAGCACCTGTGTTGCTTCCGTACATCCAATCAAGTCTCATCCTGTTGCGAGCACGTCTCCCAAAAATAACGAATTCCGGAATATGAGGTGATCAACTGATATCATCACTGGTACAACAATGCATCAACAAGAGCCCTTTCAAAAGGTTCAGACCTCGACACCGTTGCTTCAGTCTCCGACCAGGCGTCTGGGCCTTGACCCACGTGCAGTATTAGCAGCGCCTTTCATAGCTCTAATTACTTTTTGGCCGCATTGTCGTCCTATATCTCCTATTGTGTAGAGCGGAGAGCCTGCGGAAAAGTGTCAACCTCCATATCCACAATCGTGTAAACGCCAAGCGACGAGCGCCCGATTCGCATCGAGACTCCATCTCCGCGCACAAGGTCCTAATGCCATTTCCCTGCCCTCGCGATTAGAACTGCATCTTTCCGTTTCTTTTTCATGCAATTTTACAGTCAAATTGATAAGACCCTGACGTCGTCCGGTAGGTAATGGCAGTCTAGATCGCGAATCAATGGGTTTTGGGTCCACTTACCCCAGTGCATGGATCTGCTGATCCCTGAAACAATCGCGATCTGTTGTTTGATTGGTCATGTCCGCAAGACCCTGATCATCAACCCCCCGAAAACAGGTTTTTTTCGCTGAGCCACACCACCATCCACAGGACGTCTCGCTTACAAGCCCCCACAGGACCCTGAGCTTCCCGATATCTTCGAGTGTCAACAAGGATGATATCATTCTAAATACGTCATAACATGTGGCTGATCGAAGAGTCAACATGTTAATCGACCGGAGCATATAAGGTGTCCAGTAGTACCACCCTAAGAAACTCTTTTGACCCGTATCAAACTACAACAATCATCACAGCAGCCAAGCAAGCTTACTATACACTTTTTACCAATCACAAGTCTCCACTACACAGACCAAAACCAACCCACACCACATCAAAATGTCGAACGGTGGTCTCCTCGGCGGTCTCTTGGGCGGTGTTGACAACGTCCTGACCGGAGGCGAGTCAGCAAACAACCAGGGTGGTCTCCTCGGTGGTGTCACCGGTGCCGTCGGCAAAACCACACAAGGTCTCGGCAACGGACTGAACGCGACCGGCCAAGGCCTCGGCAGCGCCGTCGGGGGAGTGACCCAGGGAGTTGGCGGTGCTGTCGGCCAGGTCGGTAGCGGCGTCGGCAGTGCCGTCTCGGGCGCTACTGGCGGCAACCAGCAGCAAGGATTCAAGAAGTATGGAATCTAAACACACAAATATGCTCGCGCAAGAGCAAAAGCATTGGATGATACGGAGTCATGAAACGATACGACATACATTGGGCAACGGAATGGGAATCGGGTTAACAAGACAAACACTACATGGCATATTAAGAAAGCGAATTGAAATTTTATCTTTAACAACTGCACGATTGTATCTTACTCATTAGTGCACTAACTATGCAAAAGCGGGACATTAGGAGAGGCCGATGCCATCATCCTAGTCCGACAAAGTCAACCTGTGAAAGCACTCCATTTGAACACATTCAATCAAATAATACCTGTTCTCCCGTTCTTCTACCGTGTAAGCGGCGATTATCCATATCAGCTGTACCTTGGCGCCACCTTCCGGTAGTGGTGCTCTAAAGAGAGCAAAGGGACGTACCCGCCTCTCGGTGCGCAGGAGATAGGTTGATTTGATTGACAGTGAAGTACAAGTAACCGTCGAATCCCACCGACATTGTATCGACTCAATTGATTCTTGGGTCCCATACAAATGGTACAACCGTTCCGTTCTTTGGATTGAAAAAATTGACCGCATTGTTCTCGTTGTTGCCGAAGTATATATAGCCATCTGCAATCAGAGGTAAGTAGGGTTTTCTAGAGATTGCAGGCGGCTAGACTCATCACCTGCAAGGCCTGTATCCATAATCAGTGAGCAATCGAGAAGGAAGAGGGTACATACTGCTGTCAGTCTCAAAGCCGTCACTTGCGCCCTTTTCACCATGTGACTGTACGCCTGACTGAGCTAGCAACTCGCTTGTTTGGCCTCGCGCTCGCAGCAAGGAGGTCGCAATGCTGTAGAGGTAACGTGATGCAAGAGGAACCCAAAATAACCTCTCCACATCGGCAGACAGCGCGATCCCATCGGAACCAATGGGGAGATCGGATAGCGGCATAACCCCCGGGAGTATAGTAGATTGGCTGACCTCAAATGAAGGGAAGAAACTGACTCTGGAATCGCACCGGGTGTGCGATATCTGAATGTCTCCAGCTCTTGCCAGAACCAAGATCGACGATGATAATTCCATTGCGACCCTCAAAACTGCTGTCGGTAACGTAGGCAATACCTTCGCCGGACTCGGAAACCTCCTCCCGCAGGTCGAACCGAACATCGTTCAGGTAACTGTTTGAGTAAGCTACCGTTTGGGTGAAGACAATGGTCTTGAAGACTTGGTCTGTCGACAAGTCAACCCGGACGAGCTTTGGTCCTCCGTATGCTGTATAGACGAGCTGCCCGTCCGGCGTCAAGACTCGGCCTGTGTCAAAAGTTTAGAGGCGGTCTTTCTGGTCGGCCACAACAGACCGAACGCCAATCAGATAGTCTTGGTAGTTTGCTCCAGTTAACAATAAGTGTTAATGGGGCACCAAATGGAAGAGTCAGCATAATCGACTCACTTGGCGGGCTGGTGGTGTAGTTGATGGCACCACCCGGTGGCTGGTTTATCTTAAGCGATGGGTAAGCCGTCTCGGTGGTGACAGACGTGAGCCCCCCCACCGTGAAGACATTGTTTGACCCGTTGCACACATTGGTTAGATCCAATCCTGCTTGTAATCAGCATGGCACGTGTGTCGGTTCAATCTCTATGTCATACCTCCGGGATAATTGGAGAACTTCCTTCCAGTGCTCGAAACTGCGATGCCGGTAGGCCATTGCTTGTAGTAAGCATGTTCGATCTCCAGAGCAGGTCCGCAGTATCCCGGATCACTAACAAAGCTGAAATCGTGCGCGCCAGCAAGCGCCGCGGCGCCTGAAGAAATAACGGTGGACTTCATGATCAGTGGCTGATAAAATTCGATCTCTGAATAATAGATGCGGGACACACCTCCTATGTTTTCGAAGCAAGCAAAAGCTCATATGAGTCCTGCTTATCAATCCATGTTACTCAGCCGTCACGCAATATCAATATCGCGGTAATTGGATTACTCATAACGTGTTCAATTGGGTGATCCGTTGTTAGCGACGTATTGGTGTTTGTTGAATCCTCAAGTCCCCGCATTCCAGGTGTTCTTGGAATCCTTGTATTGGCATGAATGCTACCGTATTCTAATCCCCTGCATTAGTTTTCACTGACCACTAGGATCTAGTGGCACGCGTTCCGCGGAAAGTGGACAAATCAAAGATCTAAAAGAAAATAAATAATTCGTAATTTCTGGTATTATATCAAATGGAGAGCTGAAATTAGTGCTGGCTGACGTATATCAGAGATATTCCAGTGCTCTCGATGCATGCATTCCAGGAGCGATTTTGAGTCCAAATATCGAAATTGGAGAATTACAAAAGCTTTTGGTTACATCCATGGAAACATCTTAAAGTACACGTCCTTGACTCGGCCAAATTCCCACTGTCTTCCAGAATGCCCTTCCATCAAGGACACGACCAAGCAAGGGCGAGTCTCTGGGCAATGCCTTGACGCCTTCTTCCTCCATCAACTCGCCTACCCAGACCTGCATTTGCTTTTGTTTCGCAATCTCGGCATCCTCCACGCGAATGTTACCAGCTTCAGCATCATATTGTACCTTGATTGCCCAGTCCTGCACGAGATCCCACCAATCGTATGTATGGAGGTCACACAGAAGCCAGCGCTTCGCAGGAGTGAAGTTCTTATGCAGTGCGATGATCCCCCTTGCGACATCCTCGCCATGGATGAGATGCAGGGCGCCCTTGCCCTTGAGTTCGTCCTTTGTCTTGACTACGCGATCAACCCAGTTTCGAGGCTGCCGGGCGCCACCGTACAGGCCAGCAAGGTTCATGACCGCGCCGTTGGCAACCCCCATAAGCTCATCTTCCGCAATGGCACGTGAGTTGCTGGTGTCATAGGGCGAGTCGTCATTTTGCCAGCCCTCGCCCTTCCAAATGCTTGTAGCACCGAGTTGGATGTAGTGGGGCTCACTGCTCTCGTGGGTCTTTTTGTAGAGCTTGGTCAGGTGACTTGATTGACCTTTGCCCTTGAGTGGGAATACAATAACGACGGTGACAGCTGAGGGCAATCTCCTGAACTGTGCAGGGTCTTCGGTATTTGGGTCATACTTGAAAGGTATCGTGCCGTCTCGGCCGGTCGTTGATGTGGCCGCATAGGATATGTTTTTCTTCTCAAGCAGAGGTATCAAGAAATCCGAGGTCCAGCCTGCTCCAAGGATGAGCAAGTCAACATGGTCAGGCAATGGTCTCAGCATGTCTTCGTTCTCCATGTGACGTACTAGAATTTGGTGGTTTTCTGGAGATGACCAGTAGAGTTGGCGGGGCTATTTTCGTTCGGCAATAGGTGAATTTTAGGTGTTGGGGCTTCTGAACTCTAGACTAGCGTGGTTTCCGTTTCTTGCGGTCTCCGCATTCTGGCGCCATTTTGTTTCTTTTCATCCAGCTTTAACTTATTTTCAGCACCGTGTCGCAACCGATTGCAGTCATCATTGAACGAATATCGATATGGATCCAAAATGTTTATTTACGTATATACAAGAAGGTAATGACGGCGCTAACGACGGTGCTGACTGCTCAGCCTTGATAACCAGCACCAAGGGAACGGCCATATGACAGGCGATTGCGTGAAAGATAATAACGAGCGACGGAATGTGAAGAAGACAAATTCCTGCACCACAACAGCTTGGCCCCCTTTTGAAGCTATGATCTGCCAGGGTTTCTCCTGCAAACTTCGCATGAGGATTGCTACTTAAGCAGCATTGATTCTATCGACTAGGAATGCGGCGGCATCATCGGCATCTGCGCCATACGACAAGTGAGCCGCCGTGATAGTCAGGGTGCCTGCGCAGACAAGATCTCCAAACGCGCAGTAGATCTTGGTCTTCGAAGTAGGGTAGTTGGCAATTCGACCATTCGATTGCAAGTACTGTGTGTCACCAAACAAGACAATGCCAGCGATTCGGGAGATAACAGAGGCACTGAGCTGCTCCACTGCCCGATGGGTCATGGCGGCGCCTTGACTGTGGTGGGCGTTAGTCGTACATCACGATCTGATGCCTGATGAGCTCACCTATAGCCTCCGGCTACGATCTTTGAGTTCGGGCACTGAGTGGCTGCCTGAGTAAGAAGCTGCGACATCAGCGCAATGCCCACCGGATCAGCGCCGCCCGGAAGGAAGTTCGTAGAAAGCAGCGCAGCGTAGTCGACACCTTCAGTAGCGACCTTCGTCGCCCCGAACTTGGCTTTGAGGCCGTTGGATACTGGCGGGCCAACGATGGTACCCTACCCATTGTCAGTGCAGCTCAGACGGACTGCGATGTGGTGTCGGGATAAGGAACTCATGGTAATACCTACCATGTTGCCAACTTCGGTGCTTCCACGCGACCAGATAAAGATCACATCTCGACAGCCCCCAATAGTGAACTCGTTGGAAGTGGCAGCCGTCTGGCGCGTTTCGATGACAGGAACAGGTCCGGCCCAAGCGAAAGACGCCAATGTGAGTGCGACGATGGGGAACTTCATTTTTGTTACGATATGGGGATGAGAACAACAGATGAAAGAAGGGCGAGAAGTGACTACTCAGTAAATGATCTGGTTGCAGAACTGCCTGGTCTTCGAAACTGTCGTGGTGAATAATTCGTATTCAACCCGCGTATTTATAGACTTCGAATAGCAGCCAGTCCGTCAACTTCGAAGCATGAGCCTCGGCTTATAATGCTGTTCTCCTCATTATGGTCATGTTTTGGAACCATGATGCAGCTGTGTCTACATCGACTTGAGCTTCTACTAGTCTTGGCGCTCGGCTCTTCGTCTTCTTGGTATCTGGGGAAGTTGCAGTAGGGGCTTGGCTATGCCTCATTGTGGTCGGAATCCAATGCTACCACGGCCTCGGTCCCCAATGTTGAGAAGACAATTTCGCGAAGTCATGCATCTGGCTTTGAGAGGTCGACAATAGCTCACTGACTTGTGAGCTCAAAACCATTCACTGGTTTCGCAAGTTTTCCTCTTTTGGGTTGGCACCATCTCCAAACCCCGTACCCCAACTTGAATTAGAGAGCCCGGCAGCAGTGCGCACCAATGACATGACGAGATGGGAGTCACGACCAGCGAAGCCTTGTGCTTCTCCGCAATGAGCAAACGCTGACTTGCTCCCACAGCGGATATCGTCTAGTAGTATCCATAGAGCTCTCAATGATATTCTAAATTACTTGGTCAGGTTATGGGAGTTTTGAGGCCGAAACCTTCCTACCTCGGTATCCGCCAACGCACTTTGAATGTCCATTGGCGCATCCAACCTAGCAACCACACCTTGGGCGAATATACGAAGGCTCTCCAGGCCTCGGCAAAATACGTAGAGGGTAGAGATGCGATTGGCGATCTCTCAGTCTACTACTGCTGAGCCCAAATTGCATGCAGCGCATCAAGCTGTGAGAACATCAGGCGCTCTTTGGTGGAATACCACAAAGGCACATGTGTCTAGAACTTGGTATGAAGTGTGCCTGGAGACACCGGATCGGCAACTAGCTCCTATAAGTCTGAATGGAACATCAGGTAGAGAGGTCTTTCGTGGCCTCGTTCACAGGACACGGACCGCTTGAGTAACGAATGTCCCAGCTTACCGTTGCTAGATCGACTTTGTAGCACAGGATCACATTATGAAGGTCGGGACCAAAACTGACTTATCGCATCAGGCATATTTGCTCTGATGCTTTGCGTCTACTCCTATGGTAAAACTAAATGGTCAATCCCTACCGTCTGGTCATCTCGCTGGACCTTATTAAAGAGACTTGCAAAACGAGACTTATAGATTGCTAATGGGCGCAATGTGCATCCAAAGATGCGGTGACTCACTAAGTACTGCGATTTACGTTACTTCCCGTATTTCGCTGCGTTCTTCATCGACGCTATGTAGCGTCCGGGCATGTTTTGCTGTTCAATGCTGAGCACGGCGACAAGGTATTCACCGTGGTCGAGCTTATAGGGTAACAGATGAAGAGTACGCAAGTTAATTAATCAACTCGCTCAAAATGGAATTCAGATCAGATGCGATTGTGGTGACTTGATATAGAATAGCAGCAACAAGAATCCAGTGTGACCATATCAAACATTGGAATTGACGTGTCGATATGGCTGTGATTAGAACATCGAGAGGCTGTATCACCTAGAGCATGCCCTGACCATGAAAGGCAGTCCATTGCTCAATTGGCTCAGCAGGAGTTATCTAGAGCCCCTTCCGTACGTTTGTACGAGTCGCGGTCAGCCCTACCAAAAGTTGCGATTTAATGGAATTGGTAAGGCGCAAGCCGATCCGCGGTGTCATCTCAACTAGGGTCGCCTGCTCGGTGCGTCTATCCCCGACATGGCAGATTGAAGGCTGCAAGTCTAGGATGAATTAAAGACATCTGCATAACGCTGCTTGCTGGGTCTACCCCGTTTACATCGTGCCAATGACTCGGGTCAGGGGGCTTCGAAGCCCGTGTTTCGAGGCGACAGATAGCGTCCAGGACGGCCCGCGCTGTCGGGGCTAGTTTTAGCCCAACGTTGGCGCGACGCCGTCTGATGTCGGCAGTGTCGAGCTTCCATTCACGGCTGTCTGTCACCGATATACACGGCGAGATATTCGAACATCTGGTAAGGAAGTGTGCTCGAGATGAGATGGAGACCTTTCATGCACTGTTTTGGGCTTTGCAAGCGTCGCCTTTAAGCTTATGTTCTCAACCCCGGCGCCCGAACAGTTAGACATCAGGATGAAATCTAGAACTCTTATTGCTTCATCATCTCTCTTGCATCTTGTCCATCGTTCAGGAAACGGGTGAAAATGGTCGTGGAGTCACAGCAACCCGATATGTTTGCCGCTGTGTCGATAACACTCATCGCGGCGGCGGTTGCAATAACGTTGCGGTTCGCGGCTAGGAGGATGACGAAAGTCCCTATATGGTGGGACGATTTCATGTGTATTGGCTCATTTGTAGGTTGTTAGGCTTTGCATGGCCATCTTTTATCGCTGACGTGTGTTGCAGGTGTTCGGTGCGGGATGGAGCGCACTTCTCATATTGTGTAAGCATTCTCTCGACATGCGAGTCGTGCTCAACCGGAACTCTAACACACCAGGAAAGGGTCATACTATGGGTTTGGCCTGCAGCTCAAGGATATCGAACTTACACCGAAAGAGTCACTAACCAAGAGCCTGTTATTTTGTTATCTTGCCGAAATATTCTATGCACTTTCTCTTGCATGCGCCAAATTTGCTGTTCTTGCCTTCTATTGGAGGATGTTCCGAACCTCGAACATCAAAATCCCTATTATTGCGCTAGTCGTTGCGACCACCATATGGTTCATATTGAGAGTACGTTCCGAAGCGCACTGGGTCAGCGAATAATTAAGCTAACGTCCAGTAGACATTTCTTGCGATATTTCGTATGTGGATCTCCTAATTCCGACATTCTTCCTCATGCGTGAGCAGGCATCATGTACTGACATCATTCTATAGACTGTGTACCCGTACAGGCCTTCTGGGACCGCGAAATACCAAACGCGACATGTCAGATTGACGATTCGAAGTTCTTCTTCGGTACCGTTCTAGTTCACCTGATCATCGACCTTTTTATCCTGAGTTTACCTGTCTATCAGGTTAGAAAATTACAATTGAAAACAGCGCAAAAAGTTGGAGTGATAGCCTTGTTCATGTTTGGAACATTGTAAGAACCCAGCCAAGATCGCTGATCGAGTACCAAATACTGACCTGCCAACAGGGTATGCATCGCATCGGTGATCGTGTTGGTATACTCCATTTCGTACGACACGAACTCGCCGGAAATATCTTGGAATGTTGCACCTATCATGTACGTTTAAACGTTCACATTTGACGCGCCGAGGCTAACAACCACAGGATTTGGGCTACTGTCGAAGTCAATCTTGCAGTTATATCAGGTAGGCTTGCTTGAAAATGGATGTTGAGCTTGCTAACACGATTCTAGCCTGCCTTCCGATGCTTCGCCCGATATTCCTGAAGGTATTTAAACGCATATTCCCCAACGCGTCGACAGAATCCAGCAACGAGCAGAATAATCCGAGAAATTTGAAGTCGCTCATCAAGATGTCGGCGATGAAATCGAAGACGCGGAGTATAGATGATTCAGATTCAGTACATCAACTCACCCGCCCAGACAATGACGACTGTATGTCAGATAACGGCGATGAAGAACAACATATTTATGGTACAGGGTTGGCCAAGGTTGTAATCACAGGGAATGGAGCTCGTTCTGATCTTGAGCGTGAGATTTCGCTTGCGCCAGCAATGGGCGGTATCTTCGTCAGAAGTGAAACGATTGTTCAGGTTTCGCAAGCTAATTAGCCAACATCAATCAATGAGACCCAGGGTCCAAGTCATCAGATCCGACACGATTCTATCATTAGATCAGCCAGTGCCACTATGAACTCGCTCACTGTATTCGGGCGGATTGATTGATGTGCTGCTCTATAAGTTGTTTCGGGGATTGGCCAGTGAATGGTATTGTACGAGTAGGCCTATCTGCCGACCGTCGTGAAGATGTCGAATGTGACATGTCCGCAGCGATTCGCAGTTACCTTTCCCATTATCACGTTCAATCCAGAAGTGAAAGGCCGAAGAGAGCACTGGGGCGTCTCAGTCACCTACCTAGACCATAGACAATTGCCACTGAGCCAACGGTCATGGAGAAAATCCCATTTGATCATAGTAATCCCGTGTATGGATTGGGAGTCTGGGAGTATGGGTAGGGTGTTTGTTTCCCGTTTCCTTAGTGGCTGCATAGCGCGGGGTACTGACGTCACACGCTTCACGTGCGTTAGGTATTTGAACATACATCACGACATGTCGAGATACGTCGTGAAGAATGATGGAAAGTATGTCAAGAACTACTTCACAGACCTAAATCCGTCTATCGGGTCTAGAGGTAATATGGTAGTATGACCCAGCAGGTCAGTCCTCAAACAAAATCATTTGTCCATGGGCATTGTTTCAGTTCACTGCGTAGTAAACATACTCAGGACCAAGAGGTTCTACGTTGGTTGACTAAACTGAGCCGCGATACCGAAGACTCGCAATCGCTGTGCACCAGGGCACAGTAGACAGTATGGCACTTCAAAGGCTAGAGATAACAGATGGTCAAAAAAGAAAACAAAGAAAAAAAGAATTATTCGTCCCAGGTTATCATTCCTTGGCTACATATATTACACGTTGTCTTGGCAGAGCTTCAGTGGGATGGCGCGCAAGTGCGCCTTGAAGATGTGTCTAAACTTCTTATAGCTTAGGCTATAATCAAACTATCCACTGTACCCATTGTACAATCGAGGCCAAGAACCAGATGTGCATTAGCACCTCCAAACGTCGAAGCACGCCATACTTATTGCCAAATAGCAAGCATGGTTACTGCCGTAGCGCTGCAGCCTTTTATCATGTCTTCTTTGTCGTCCTCGTCATGTTCTCGTCGCCACCATCTACTGCGGGATACTCTCAGCTTGACCAACAACCCGACACAGACGATATGGCCGGCCCAAAGTTCTCTGAACCCGCCTCAGAGCTGTACGCCGAGGATGCTCAGGGCAGCGATTTCCGGGCGATTGACCCGGAAAGTGGTGTAAAACGTGGGTTGAAGACGCGCCATCTCAGTATGATGGCATTAGCAGGCATCATTGGGCCTGGACTGCTGGTAGGATCTGGAGGAGCTCTGTCGAGCGGTGGACCGGCATCTCTGCTGATCGGGTTTGGTATCATAGGTATCATTGCTTTTAGGTGAGAAGGAGCGACAAACCCGGCCAAAAATATGGTAGCTGACAATGCGCAGCATTATGCAGAGCTTGGGCGAGCTCACAACATTATATCCGAGTGGAGGTGCATTTACAAAGCTTGCTGACCGTTTCGTGGATAAAGCTTTTGGCGTGGCAGTAGGATGGAACTACTTTATTATATGGTTCGCAGTGCTTGCCAATGAGTATAATGCGGTAACCAGTATATTGGTGTTCTGGAGCGACAAGGTTCCAGTATGGGGCTATTTTCTTCTCCTCTGGACAGCTTTCCTAGCATTTCAATTGTTGGGAGTGGAGACATTCGGAGAGGCAGAATTTTGGCTGGCACTCATCAAGCTTCTGGGTCTCGTGGCATATTTTCTTTTCTCGATAATGTAAGTTGCGGCAGGTATCAAGTTTTGATTCAGACTGACTGGGTATTAGCTATGTTTCTGGGGGCATCAAAGGTGTTGATGCTATCGGGTTTCGTTACTGGCACGACCCGGGCCCATTCGTGGAAGGTTTTAGGGGAGTGGCAGCTGTGTTCGTCTTTTGCTCTACTTTCTATGCTGGTGTCGAGTCCGTTGCTGTCGCTGCTACAGAAACACGAAATCCAAGAGTAGCTGTGCCATTGGCCATCCGTCAGACCTTTTGGCGAATTGTCTTCATTTATATGGGATCGGCATTCTTCTTCGGTCTGACCTGTCCTTCCAATGCTGACGGCCTGATCAACGGAGCGAGTCGAGCATTGAAGAGCCCAATGACCATTGCTATTCAGAACGCTGGATGGGAAGGTGGCGTAAATCTCATCAACGCATTCATTTTGGTAACCTGCATTTCGGCGATCAACTCGTCGATCTACATTGCTTCCCGAACTCTTTTATTCATGGCACAGGATGGAAAGGCGCCGAAGTTTTTCGGAAAGACTGACGGCCGCGGCGTTCCGATCCCAGCTATTGTCTTTGCCAATGCGTGCGGAGCTATTTCTTTGATGAACATCAGTACCGGAGCAGGGAACGCGTATAGCTATATTGTCAACCTGAGTGGCGTGTCAACGTTCTTAGTCTGGGGTTCGATCTCATTGACTCATATTCGGTTTCGAAAAGCTTGGAAGGTTCAGGGTAATCGAATCGAGGATCTGCCATTCAAGTCCTGGGGCTATCCTTGGTTTGCATATTTTGGCCTGGCCGCCAACGTCTTTCTAGCCCTTGTGCAAGGCTGGACAACTCTATCACCATTTGATGCAGGAACCTTCGTCGATGCATATATTCTGCTACCATTATTCTTCATAATTTACTTCGGATATAAGCTTGTATTCCGCACACGGTTTTGGCGGGCTGACGAGGTAGACTTGCAGTCTGGGCGGAGGCGTGACTTGGATGAAGCGAAAGAGTTCGAAACTGGAGAACTTGGCAGTCGGCAAAGCCTATGGAAGAGACTGGCCAAGAATTTTTAACGTGTTCTCAATCGCTGAAGACGCGCTTTCCAAGGTCAGTATGTGTCAACAAAAGTTTGAACAGCATTCAATCGTTATTGTTTTGGCAAAAGCCACATGGCATTTCCGGATCACGTTGACAACAGAAATGCGGTCTGACGTTGGTCGCAAAAGTGCATGCATGAAATTGCCCGGAGATCCGAGTCTTAGCTATGACAGCGTTTACATTCAACGCAAGAATAATCAAAGGACAACCGCCTGGAGGGTTTGCGCAGAGCTCGATCTGGTAAACTCGCCACGAGTGCTGAACCTCATTCGCAGCTCCCATGTGTAATCGCACAGTTCGGTAAATGCATGAGTCGGATAATAATTAAGGGTTTAAATACTTTTCATGTCCACAACAAGCTTAGGTGAAACTACCCCGGGCTCCGCGCTGGAAATAAGGTTGCTGCATCCGCCCCAGATGTTCCTGACCTTGGGTGGCTACTCTACCGATTTAGCGTTTATACTCTTTCTAAAGCCGGTATCACCGTCTTACGCTGAACTCTATTATTTCTGGAGGCTGGTGGAAGCTGAACTCCCTTCATGGCAAAAGCAAAATTTTGTCAGTGGCTAGTCTAGTGGTTATTGCCACTGCAAGTTGAAATTGCGATGTATTGAATAGCGGTAATCTGTTCTCCATGAGATAAAGGTAAGCGAACCTTGGCAAAGCATAGGTGAGGTTTGACGGGCTATATCAAGGGCTGTTGACCGTGGCGATGGACTTGGTATGGCTATGATGTTGACCAAGTATCAAAGTTTGGTGCGGTCATTGGCCATACAAAATTTTGAGTTCATGTCAACCATAGAAAGACATTATTGGATCTTGGCGCGCAGCCAAGGCTGAGCTGGACATCCGTGGGAGCAACCGATCGGTGAGCTATGTTAGATTCTAGGTATCACAGAGATGTAGGAAAAGCACCAATTAAGTGTGATGTCGAGGCCAATACTGTTCAATCGCACCAGCCTCTCAGGGTGTCCGCCCCGGGAGGCCCCCCGGGTTAGGGATATGGAATAAGTATTTAGACCTCCCAGCTGAAGATCAATAATGACACAATTCAAACAGTTAAACCATCTCATAACCTGTTCATACCGGAGATCATATACTACGCCCTTAGACGATGCGCCTGCTCAAGCTGCTCGCCCTCTGTGTGGCTTCCAGCACAGTCAATGCAACGTTCTCAAATGTGACAGGTATCAGTCCGAACCTGACATGCGCATCCGGCACTTGGGGCTGCGAAAAGTGTACGTCATCCGCCTTTTCCCTCTTTAGACTAATTGGAGAAAGAAGTATATGTTAACTGGTTCCTTGAACAGAAAAAAAGCGGTTCATCGAATATCCGAATCTGTCACTCCTGTGTTTGGATGATTGCGGCCACTTGTCTGGAGGGAGAGCAATGCACTATCGACGGCGCTGGAGGATGTACATGCCAACCATTAATTTGAGATTATTCAGGAAGTCAATATGGATATTTCATGGTTCTTTTCACTGCGATTTGCAAGTAGCATTTGATTCTGGATCACCTGGTGATGATGATTTGAGATTTGTTATTGCTGTTCAAGTATTGGTGTAAATGCAGCAACGTTGACGATTTTTTTGCCAAAGCGTCTCACACGAAGCGTAACGCTCTACCGAGTATGCCCAAGTAAGACCAGATAATTGAGCCAGGTGTGATCAATTACTGGCAGACCTAGATAGTCAAGTGCCTTAGCAGGGTTTGTTGTCCAGCGTTATGATCCCAATTCGCATGAATGTTGCGCGTCTATTGAGTCGTTGTATGTAGTAGCTGCGCTACGGCCGCCATTTTCGCAAATTCCAGCGCCCGTTGCATAGGTAGTTTTGCGCAGAGCGAAGCAAACTACATGTAGTTGATGAGAACATTTGAGGCGTGCACTCTTTGTGCCGTTTTCAGTTGGATCTGAGTCATTGAAGAATGCGGTGTGTGTGCACTTTGTAGCCACCTGATACGTGAACATGTGCAGTAAACAAGCATTGCACGACTCCTAGCCTGTTCTCACGTGTGAACTTTGGATATTTCGCTGAATATAAGAAATCTGCAAACACTTACAAAATGCAACAATCGATCAAGCAAGGGGGTTCAATCGAGGAACAATCAAAAGTATGGAGCTAGGGTTCCTTGAAATGACCGCTCTTCATATTATCTATTCCAGTCTAGTCTATATAAACAAAGGGTATCTCGACAATTATCGTTAGATAAAAATATTTTCGAGGAGGTAAGTAATCTCCGTCGACCGATAGTCGTCTTTCGCAACGTACGCCAGACCCGTTTGGTTAACGTCAAAGATGAAATTATCCGGTTGATCAACTGTGTACTGAGGCCACACAAGGCTTTGGGCAGAATCGTTGAGGTTCGGGTTCAATTCGTTTATGAATGCCACCCATTGCTTGCTCATTAGATCGGCTAGCTCCACGAAAGTCTCGGGCTTGTTATCAAACGGATTGCTCGCATACCCAAGACCCTGAGTATTGTCGAAAACAAAAGCAACCTCTTGGAAATGCGTAGCTCCGTAGATTTGTGCTATTCCGTTCACGTGGACATTCCACATGTACGAGTAGACGGGCAGATTAGCACCAGCATAAGATTCTGCTGTAAGTCTTCTTCCACTGTGCTGTTGATAGTCTCCAGCAACAGCCGATACTCTCTTGAACTGCAGGCCATAGGGATAGGCCGGAGGCGTGGCATTGTAAAATCCGGGAATGCCAACAGCTGGATCGTCAGGGTACAGCTCGGTAAGAGTCGCCACTTGGTTGCTGTCAAATCCTAAGCCTGTCAAGTACGCTTGGAATTGCGCCGTGGTGTTGATGCCTTGCTTCGCGTATCCAGTACCCTCGTCAAAGTTGTTGCCAAGTAGGAGTGGAACATGGGCAAATTTGCCGTCACGCAAAAGCTCGGCTCCTTGAGCTGTGATGAAATCGCCATCAACAACAGCGCTGAGCGTAGGGGATGTGACCCCCAGAGGAGTTGTACCGTTGAAGATGTCATTGAGTGTCTTCACTGGTAGCTCTCTCAAGCAGCTCAATCGGTCAGTGGCGTTAGTGCATCCTGTCTTCTCGACGAGAGCGTCAAAATAGGTTTGCCAATTCGTAGCGTTGGCAAACTTGGCGACAGGACTTCCACTCTCGAGGATGGCACTTCGAAACAGGTCGTTGTGGTTTCCGTCGTAAGCCACGAGCTGCATGCCTAGAGATCGAGCACCGGCCGACTCTCCCCAAATAGTCACCTTCTGAGGCGAACCGCCGAAAGCTGCGACATTCTCCTGAAGCCACCTCAGCGCCAAGCGCTGATCTCTGAAGGCAATGTTGCCAGCACCAGCCTCCTGCAATTCCTCGCCGAACAGGAATCCCCAGTAAGACAATCGATAGTTGATTGAGGCAGCTACAATCGGCTTGCCCTCCTTGACGGATTGGTCAACAATATACGTAAGATTGTACCTCGGGTCGCGTGACCCGCCGTTGACGTAGCTCTGTGGTGAAGATTAATGTTAGCAAAGGCCGGATATCATCAATTTCTTATTCAAGGGAACTTACGCCGCCGTGGACCCAGATGCCCACAGGGAGGTCGTCACCGGGTTGTGTTCCAGCTGGACGGACAACATTAATGGTCAAGCAGTCCTCAGAGACAGGATTTCCCAGGTTCAAAGTATCCGAACCATAGCCGATACACATCAAACTGTACTCGGTTGCATTTCGAGGTTCAGCAAACGATGTTGTAAGTGCTTGGGGTGGTGCGAATCGAAGAGAGCCAGTAGGAGGTTGAGCATACGGTATACCCAAGAAGAAGTCCTGGTCATAGTACTCGTTGTGTAAGCCGTAGTATGTCCCGTTAGCAAGGTCCACTAAGGGGCTCCTAGACGAATCAGCATTCTGACGTGAGCCCGAGTGTCGGCCGTGAGGGTTAGAGAACGCCAGGCCGGCAAGGGCCGAAACGATTATGCTGAAATTAAGCGACGGCATCTCGGGCCCGGTTCAAACAATGCTGTCTCGGAGTACAGATTCGACACGGAGAGATCAACCATTCTCACATGCTTTGGTCCAGGACCGATCGTATATATGCGGCTCAGGAAGCCCTTACTGTTGGGTATCCATAATACCGTTCCACCATTATAGCAGCTAGTCCCGGGTCAATTCCGGCGACGATTCGTTGAAAAGGTCTAGTCTTCACCCAACCCCAGCTGCCCCGAAGAACCCCGAGGCCAATGGAGACTCCCCACACATGCTTGACATACTGAGGTTTGGCTGAACAAGGATCAGTCAAGTCACGATGTGCGCTAGACTCCTCAACTTTTCCACCCCAGGAATGGTCATTCCGACACACAACTTGCGAATCTTCAATAGACCTGCCGATCACTACCTCGATCGGTCCTTTACCAAGATTTTCAAACCAGATCGAAGAATGTGATGTGCGGCGGGTTCCCTCATGGCTCAATAACCTGCAGGTACGCAATATGCAACGAGCACATCACGTCAGTATGTTATGGAATGTTGCCTCCGCCGGCCCCAGGAGAAGCCGACTCGCTCTTTTCTTCAGGACACGCAATACGGGGCACTACCGTCACCACAGTACGTCGTATTGTCTCCTTCGGAACAGGGAGCCCATGCTCATAGCGGTCCTTAGCTTGTCTTGGGTAATAATGGCATATTATGCAAGCCTCCCAGGCCATTTCCTCGCTAGAATCACGCCAGATGTAGTGGGGTTCGGCTCCGGCAATCGCTAACAATAATTGTAGTCTCTTGAATGTTTGTCAAAAATGCGTGCCATTGGCTTTGGGCTTGGAAATTACGTCTTCTACGACATATTAAATGGTGCCATACACAATATAAACTCAATGGTAAACAACCAATCATGGTCACGAATGGTCAAAATTAAGTAAGAGAAAAAGCGAAAACCGGCGGCCTTAGCTGCACAGGAGTTGAAAAATCATATGACTTGAACATGAGATTAGCTGGTTTAGACAGCGTCGTCTCTCCTCCTGCCAACCCTGTAGGTCGGTTCTATGGGCTTTAACTCAAACGAACCATCGCCGCTTACTTTACTAAGTCGCTGGTGTTCCACGCTTACTTCTTCCGTCTTGACGATGCCGCTTATGTCTGAAGATGCTTCGGCTCGAACCATTCCTGCGTCCTGCAAGGCTTCTTGCGATTCTTGCCAGCCTGATGTTGACATGATCACAACCGAGTTTCGCCCATAATGCGATGGGTGGGCCCCATATCGCGTCGTCCTTCTCGACTTTGTATCTGGTTGAGTGGTTCCCCGATTGACGCTGTACGGAGCGGTGTTGGATCTGCTTCGAAAGTAACTTCCATGACTTGACTTTAATTCCTTGTATAGCATCCTCCTGTAAAAGTTTAGCAAGTTTCGCTCATATCATATAGCCCTAAACTCATGAAAGACTGAACTCACAAAACAGGTATGCACGCTGCCATAATGGTGGCTGCAGGTTCCGTAAGAGTCCATATTGTCAGATCAACGCGATCATATGTGATATCTGTGCTTGTCATGTTGACTACTAATACAGCTTTGACAATGCCAGTAGCGCCGGCACTGATAATTGTTAGTCAAGCTGTTATAGTTGATTTAGTTTAACAAGTCTTTCTTACATCGCTCCCAAGCTCATTGCAATGGCAACACCGATCTTCTCCCGTCGGAGCATAACCATACCCATCAAGATCTTCCATGGAAGAAACGCAAGCACAAAATCCAGAAGTGAGGAGTAATCTGCGGCTGTTAGCGACGGAACGGACACAATAGGGTCCAATTGACATACAAGCAGAAAACAACTGATATTTAAGCAAGCTCGTCCTGTCCCAACAGGTCCCAGGAACGCTGCTATCAAAGACTCTCTCGGTAGGCGTGCATTTGGCGAATCCAAAGATCCAAACAAGGTTCATCGATATGTTGATGGTAACAATAACGAAGATGAGGAAACGTTTTAACCAAGTGTTCAACATGATTCGGTATAGTGTGAGCGCAAACGATGTTTTGCTGATTGTCGTTGCCATAATTCCAAAGGCTGCAACGAGAATGGTGCATAGATTGATGGTTTTCTTGTTCTCAGCGCTGATTGTCCAGAGGTGGCGGCCGAAACCCAGAGAAGTGATGTATGTATTGATTGATACTGCAATCAATAAGGATACCTAGGTATCATAGCTGTCATTAGCAAGTTTCACCATGTGTGTAAGAGATGGGGCACAACATACCCAAGAAACAATCATCAAGTGGTCGTCCCACCATAATCCACGGGCACGCCATAGCTTGCAGTATACTCTCAAGATTAGAAATATGGCACTCAGGGCAACCAGTGTCCAACACGAGGCGAGGAGCCGTGGGCCTCTGTCATCATCCATGTTTGTATCGGTCGCCGATGTGCAATGCACACCCTGTGCAGCATCAAGATCTTGGGAGGCGATGATCTCGGAAGAGATGGGATCAGAAGTATTCACAACGGGACCACATGGCAGATAAGGTTGAGTCGGAAGCCCTGTCAGGATCTGACATGCTGAAACACTTCTCAATCTCGATGTATCAATCAAGCGAAATGTGTAATCTTCATCCTAGACTCTCCCCTGCGTCCTTCGCGTTGAGGCCCAAGGACCAGTACTGCACAAGTGTCATATGAGGCTAGTGATCGACAGCACTTTAGTTGTTCACGACTCATGGCACCACTACAACGTATGCTCCAATTGGAGAGGTTGGCAAGGGAGAATGGAACCTAAAGGTCTAACTAGCGCACCGATCTCAAAACATTGACAAAGCGTTACCAAAGATCTTCTACATACATACATTGTCGGGCCACTCCATACTGTAACCGAGGTGAGAGGCACAAAGGGAATTTTCGAATTGAATAGGTATGTCTTGGCTCGAGAGCATTCGTGCCTGAGTTCTGAACGCTTCATGATCGAAATACCGAATCGCCGGTGAAACGACGGCGCCAGCGGGCTGCGCCATTGCAAAGTTCTTCACATGTCATAGCACAAGTCTTATGCAGAACAAACTTCGAGAAGATCAGTTCTAAGTTTACTCTGCGCGGCTGACGGCTACTTGGTGTCTCCGAGCCATCCTTGACTGCTGAAACCCGGGGGCCTTGCAGTATTTCAGGGTTCATTGCAAATGTCGGATCGAGGACTTTTTAAAGTTTGCACTAAACGTGTCGACCCAGATATGCATGATCGAACCTGTGAGCTAGCTAGACTTTTCCAAGCAGGTCAACTGGCAAGACCCTTTCTAGGCAAATTTAGGACCTCGTGTTCCACAGGGCATGAAGCAATCAATTGCGACGCTGCGGGACAGTCCCGAAATTGTCTCCAACGAGTGTAGGATCCGCCATGTTGCCGGCTAGATCAATTGCTCTGCTGTAGTCTAGTTCCGCACCGGTCCGGTGGCCGTGAGCTGAAGCTTTATAGTCACCATACCGTTTCCGTTCCCATGCAATCTCAAAAGCCACGCGGTCGATGGGGATGCAATTTGAGTTCACGCGCGGCAGTGGTATACAAGCTCCTAACGTCTGGGGAATACTGTGGTAGATGCGACATCACAGTTCGATCCAAACCTCACCAATCTTCGGAAATTAGTGACTGCTACACCGGCATCATCAAGTCCGACGGCCACACCGACTTGTTCAGCTTATTTGCATAACCCAGGACGGGCCACTGGAAACGACAGACGCTCCGAGAATCGTACCATATTCTTCGGAATGCAAGTATTCGTTGAGTCAACCCCGCCCAGGTCTCCCTGTGCGGTGGAGTATTATAGTGTAAGACGAATCGCACGTGGTATCCGTCTACCAGAGTACTACTAAGACTGACATAAGTGAAGCTCAGGGATTCCGGTGCCATTGATGACCGCAGAAATCCATAGTACTGATGTGATGTTGTATCCTTGGATGCGCCGATGTGCGTAGTCGTTGGTGTGATGTAACGTTGAATATAGTGTGCTTGTCATCTTCTCCCTACTAAATCCGAGCCGTTAGTTGCTGACTTCTGTTAGGGTATTTGGGCTTGATTCAAAAATCCAATCGCTGTAGAGGCCCTCTATAACTCTCGACACATTCCACCAACGATACGTGAATAATCATCGTGGTTTCTAGCGGGTCTCGCAAGCTGTTCATTCGGGAGTGAACTAATTAGCCCGGGCTGTTGAAGCGCAAGCTGAACGAAATCGCAGGTCTTTGCAGGATTAAAGTTTCAGCCCGAGGACTAGTCAGAGGCTTATGGTCTGTTACCGCTGACCAGGAACGTTGTAAGGGGGCCATGCGTCACTGTGCTCGTCCGGAAATTATGGCAGTAGGCTGCTTTAGGAACGTCATTTATACTTCTTAACAACTCTTCCATTATCGATGCCAGTGGCTATCCAAATATGTCACTAGGAGAGCACCGACTATCTCCTTTACATCTCTTTAATCAAGGTGAAATAGGCTATGCTCTTGAGTCAATATCCGCATCTTCGGCATTTATTGTGACCCATATCTCATCATTATAGCCTGATTAGTTATAGAATCTGGTTAAATGAATCACGCTATATATCAGTGTTACATCCTCAAGAATCTCTCTGGGACCATGTTTTGATGGACGTGTTGGTGGTATGTCTGAATGATGTATTTGAACGGCGTTGATGAACCCCGACAGTTGGTGCAATCCTCATGGATTTGACCCTTCGAAACTGTTCGATTCGAGTTGTGCCGATTCCAAAACTAAGCACGGAGTAAACAATAACTGCGGGTAGACTATCTAGTAGAATCGTCACAAAAGTTCAAGGTTTACTGATAACAAGAGCGGTCTTTGTACATATAATTTCTATTGTGCGACCGTAAACTGGGGTTTGAGAGGATGCTGCCTCCCCATAACTAGAATTACACAAAACACTACATGGTCTTGCCCAACCGATGTCAAAGAGCATGTACCATGTTCCACTAAACACTATAGGCTGCGTCTGGGAATTCGCAGCCTTGCTCGGCAACTCATTGGGCTCATATGGTACCGGGCTATGTACTACAGGAAGAATGGGCATAGTTTGACCATTATCGTTCCTGTAGACTGACACAAGATTAGGCACTGTAGGCCGACAAGATCCATGGAATTGCTCTTTTTAGAGTTTGACATGTTTGAGAAGATGATGGAGTCGGCTAGAGTCGTTCGAATGCCAAACAATTGCAAATTTTCCGAGGCTACGGCAGGTGGGCGAGCATGAGACGTGTATGTCTGTCTAAATTGGAAAGGCTGCAAGTTTCAGATACGATGAAGGTCGTTCAATTCTTGCGTTGTATGGGGAAGCTTAGATTTGTTGCGGCTCATCTGACAAGGTTCCGCGCACTCGGGGGAAGACTTTTCCGAAGCCATAGATCGATGCAACTGCAGAGTTGCTAGAAACCTCATCACAAGGAGCGTTGCTGATGGTGACGTAGACGAGCACTCTTCTTCGCCCATCCACAGTCATTCACCTGTTTTCCTATGAGCATACTGGAACATGTTTGATCTACCAAGTCCACACATTCATGGTCGCTGTAACTGCATATCATAGTCTTACCCATGTCCCATGAATTCTCCGGTTCGAGACGTCGTAGTAATCCCTTTACTTTTCGTACATCCAATGAGACCACGAAAAGAATTGGCTTGAAATCGACAGAGAATACACCCATTTTCCTCGCTTCACGACTAGATAATCCTAAGTTGGTATTGAGCTTAATAGTAGCTTGACTAAGTGTCACTAATTTAATAGATTGTTTCGACCTCACTACTTGCATGGAGATGATATAAAAAGCAACTCAATATCCACTGATTTGTCAACTTAACCAGTGGCCAAACCATCCCCCACTATTTTCAAGCGAGCGCCACTAAGAAGCACTGACCCTTGAATCAGGATGCCTTCGCATTCGCTGACATCATGCAAAGAGGTGGGTTTTAGTTCTGCACATGTCCAGGCCAACAGAAACCTGCCGAACTTACGTATTCCCCTGGAGTGGTGCCGATCGAGCTCTAAGTGTTCAATATCAATACAGATGTGTTGGCACCCGTAATCTTGGTTAGAAACATGGCAAGCCCCGCTAAGAAGCGGAAGCTGAACAAGGACGCCAAACAAGCTTCACTGCCTTCCAGAGGACTTGAGTACTTCTTCACAAAACAAAAGCAGAATGGGAATGATGCGACTGCTTCAAAGACGGAGGCTAGCACGGTGGACGCTGGGCAAGATCATCAGATGACGGATGAGGAATTTGCCAGGAAACTACAGGATGAATGGAACCAAGAAGCTACAACAGCGGAAGAGAAAAGAACATCACCGCATCATGCACTGGTGCAAAATAACGGGGCCCAGGAGAATTATGACGAGCCTAAAGTAACCACAGATGCCGTGACGAAGCAATCAAGGTCGTCGCCCATACCAGTGCCACTTCCAGCACCACTTCCTGCAACGACAGACGCAAAAGGCAAGGGCAAGGGCACATTGTCATTACAATCCGCGGCGGCATCCGTTGACAGGGTTTCGGAGACGATACCCTTTGATCAGAGCCCTTTAACCTTCGATCCTAGCGAGTACGTGCCGCAACTTCAGGCGCATTGGGCAAGCGAGGACGGCAATGCCTCTTACGCGCTCCTGACGCGGTGCTTCATATTAATCAATAGCACAAGCAGCCGCATCAAGATCGTGGACACGCTGGTCAACTGCCTGAGGATGATAATCGAAGCTGATCCTGAAAGTCTCCTTCCAGCGGTGTGGCTGGCCACCAATTCCATCTCGCCGCCGTACGTCTCGCTCGAACTGGGGCTAGGGGGCTCGGCGATCTCCAAGGCGCTGAAGCAGGTCTGTGGGTTAGATAGCCGCTCGATGAAATCGTTGTTTGACAAATATGGCGATGCCGGAGATGTCGCATTTGAGGCGAAGAAGAAGCAGAGCTTCACTCTGCGGAAACCGAAGCCTCTGACCATCAAAGGCGTATACCAGGCGCTGGTGAAGATTGCGAACAGTCAGGGCCAGGGCAGTGCGGAAACCAAGCAGCGACTCGTGGATCGGTTGTTGCAGGATGCGCGGGGTGGCGAGGAGAGCAGGTTTGTGGTGCGGACATTGTGCCAGCACCTGAGGATAGGGGCGGTCAAGACGACGATGCTGATTGCGCTGTCAAGGGCTTTCCTTTTGTCGCGGCCAAGTGGCGCGGATTTCCCGCTCCGGTCTACGAAGGAGCTGGCAGCGCTCAAGAAAGAAGAGCTCGCAGAGGTCTGGAGCAAAGCCGCCGAGATTGTGAAAGCCTGTTTCGCAAGACGACCCAACTATGATGACCTGATCCCGGTTATGCTCGAAATTGGCGTCTGCGAGGAAATGCTGATAAGGTGCGGACTAACACTGCATATCCCTCTCAGACCAATGTTGGGTAGTATTACCAGGGATCTCTCAGAGATGCTCACGAAGCTCCAGGGTCGAGACTTTGCTTGTGAGTTCAAGTACGATGGCCAACGAGCACAGGTGCATTGCGACGAGGCGGGCAAGGTATCTATATTTTCGCGGCACCTAGAAGTCATGACAGACAAATACCCAGACTTAGTGGATCTTGTGCCGAAGATCCGCAGCGAAGGCGTCAGCAGTTTCATCATGGAAGGCGAAGTAGTAGCCGTGGACCGGCAAACCGGAGACCTGAAGAACTTCCAGACTCTAACCAACCGAGCGCGAAAAGATGTGGCCATCGGAAGCATCACTGTCGACGTGTGTCTGTTCGCGTTCGACCTGATGTACCTGAACGGGCAACCGTTGCTCAACAGGTCGTTTCGTGAGCGCCGGGATATGCTCAAGTCCCTGTTCACAGAAATCCCGCACCACTTCACCTGGGTCAAGTGTCTAGATGCCACGTCACAGGACTCGGAAGCGGTTCTCGACTTCTTCAAGCAGGCAACGGATACCAAGTGCGAGGGGATCATGGTCAAGATCCTGGATAACCTCCTGGACCTACCTGCCCCGGAGATAGACCCGCCCCCGGACATGCCCAAGAGCGAGCCCTCGACCCCGTCGAAATCCAAGACCCGGTCCAAGTCGGCGGGCAATACGACGACGGAAAAGAAGACGCGCCGCAAGCCCCTACTCGCCACCTACGAGCCGGACAAGCGGCTCGACTCCTGGCTCAAGGTCAAGAAGGACTACTCGTCATCCTTTGACACCATAGACCTTGTCCCCGTCGCGGCATGGCACGGACAAGGCCGCAAGGCCAAGTGGTGGTCGCCCATCCTGCTCGCGTGTCGCAACGAGGAGACGGGCCAATTGGAAGCTGTCTGTAAGTGCATGAGCGGGTTTACCGACGCGTTCTACAAAGCGAACCGGGCGAAATACAACGATGGATCCGGCGAGGGAAATGGCGAGGCAGACGACGGCCAAGAGGAGGAGGGGGACGGGGAAGATGCGCTGGATGACGGGGATGCTGAAGACGCGGAGCGGAAGCACAGGAATATCCGCAGGACGAAACCGAGTTTCGTCGAATACAGCGGACATCCGGATGTTTGGTTCGAGCCTCAGGAGGTCTGGGAGATGGCGTTTGCCGACATCACACTCTCGCCTACCTACACGGCGGCCATCGGATTGGTCAACCAGGACAGAGGCTTGAGTCTCCGGTTCCCGCGTTTTCTGAAGAAGCGGGAAGACAAAAGCATTGAGGAGGCTAGCACGAACGAATTTCTTGCCGGGCTGTTCCGGAAGCAGGAGGCAAAAGCGCCGGCACCGCCTTTGAAAGAGGAGGGCGACGAAGACGAAGAAGTGTAGCATGTCAAGCGTTGCACCACACCACGATAAGAGATTTAAATTATTAGATATCATAAATATACCCCAGACGGCGAGAGAAGTACGCCTCTACTCTTTCCAGGCCTTGTACACGATGCGGGCACCATACTTCTCGCCTTTCCTGACAAGCACCTGGCTCTTCCACTCATCGACGTTGATCGCATTCACAAAGCGACTGGGCTCGACACAAAAGCCACTCCGGGATCCCCTTGCTGGGACATTCTCAACAGCAGGCACGTCAATGTATTTGCCAGTGTAGAACTGGAAAGCAGGCTCCGTGCTGAGCACCTCGAGGTGGATCTTGGACTCGGGGTGGTGCGCAGAGACGAGCTTTGTCAAAGGCTGGTTTCTCGTGTCGAGGGGGCCAGAGCTGGGCGATGCTGAACCGTCGACCACGAAGCAGTCGTCGATATCGGGGTCTGTTGCGCCCAGCGTGAAAGTCTTGTCTGTGGCGACTTTAGAGAACACCTCGGGGCCTCCTGTTGGAATGCCGTCAGAGTCGACAGGTAGATAGGAAGGAGTGCAAAGTTGCACCACAGTCCCCTCAATCGTCTTGCCACCGGTCAGGTTGAAGTAGCTTGGGGTTTGTCAGTACGTGTATGTTCCACGATGCGGACCCGGTGGACAACTCACGAGTGGTTGGTCAAGTTGACAACCGTCTCCTCTGCGCCGCCGACCAGTTCAGCCTCGTACTCGATCCCGAGCACAACGACCTCCTTTCCAGCGACGTTTTGCGTGCCGGTCGTATAGATGACCTTGACCACGACCTCGCCAGGGAAACCCTCATCGCCATCCTTACTCGTCAGCTTGAACTCGACGCTCTCGCCGCCGTCGAGCCCATCCACGCCGGGGATCTGCCTAATACCGACGGGCTTGGGGCCCTCCCAGACCCTCTTGCCCCAGCCCTCGACGCCGCCGTGCAGGCTGTTGGGCGCGTTGTTCGCGGCGAGGGGGTAGCTCGAGCCGTTGAGGGAGTCGATCCTCGCGTTCTTGATGCGGTTGGCGACCCGGCCGATGGTCTCGCCAAAGTACGGGCCGTTGTGCGACACGTAGAGCTCCTGCGTCGGGAAGCCCTGGACGATGTTGACGCCGTCGACGACGAAGGACTGGATGATGGCGCCGAGTGGCAGGAGGGAGATCTCAGGCCCGCTAGACATGGTGGTTTTGGTTGTACGATAGCTAGGTAAGGTACAGTAGGTAGCTTCGGTAGGTAGGTAGGTAGCTAGATTAGTGGGTGGTATGCGGGGTAGGCCAAGTATGTAGGTTAGTTTGGAGAGTTGAACAACACGAACTGGTATCGTGGCGAACTGTATGTGTCTTTGCTTGTGGATTCAAGTAACAATCAAGTAGTCTGCTAATACTGATTGAGGAGGACACGAGAACGAAAAAGAAATAAGAAATAGAGAACCCTACCCTCACAGGATCACAGCAGATATTTGAGATGGATGTCGTACAGATTCAGGCTATTTACCAACATGTGGTGAAGCGCATGTCACTGTCCCACGCGATGGTGGGGTTTGGCGGGGTAATTGGAGAGCGATGATGTGCAGCGAGACGGTTTGCAATTCACCGGATCCTCCGCCGAATCCGTGGATTGCAGTGTATGTGCTTGGGGGCCACTTGGGATTGGGGCGTTTATAGGAATTATGCCAAGGCTAGTACCAAAGGTGCCCTGCTCCGAGCTGGAGAAATGGGATGTGTCATGCGCAGCTATGATCGAGAGGCTCCGCCAAACCTGTGATCCGCCATAAAAGATGATTTGAATTCATCTATATGTAGCAGATTGTCCATGCGGCTACAGCATATCATGTGATGTATGGCTTAGTGCGATGATCTCGGCTACATATCTTCATCATTAAAATCAAGCTCAAGCCGACCAGAACCTGCTGTGGGTTTGATACAGCTACAAGCACCGACTACCAGCTATCGGCAGCGAGGAAGATCGGATATCTTTCGTCGAACTATTTGAGCTTACAGGTCGATTTCTGAGCGAATTGAATTTGCTTCATCACGATATCTGTGATGTGCTTGTACGTACGATACGGAAACCATTGCCCGCGGGATTGGCGCCGCCACCGAACCTTACATTATTAGGCAAAAGTTGGACGAAGCTGCAGAAATATCAATCGTTCATCTCCTGAACGTACTCGTAGACCTCGATGCGCGACAAGCCAAGTGTTGCAGTCCTGCATATTCTCTCAGTTAACCGGGTGGGAAAAAAGAAAAAAGGAAAAAAGAAAAGAAAAGCGGTTGTTGGTTGGGCAATGGTAGTTGGCGATGACAGTCGCAGTTGCATATTGTAGTAAACCAACCAGCCATCCTCCTTCGTGGTCGCTACCAACCAATGGCGTGTGTTTCTTTGAACATCTGCACGGGACGGGGACTATTTTAAGGCAGGAGCCATGATCCAACACTATCGCCTTCTAGACTAAGCTTGGAACCTGTCTCAAAATCGAGCTCATACCTAAGCTGACTCTGCATTTCCACACACCCCATACACTCACACAATCAAATAATGAGGACTTTGGATTACTGAGTTGAAATACCGATCCCCAAAAGGTAACGACCTCGAAAACCACACAAAGCACCAAAGTGAAGTTGACCTTCTGTTTTCTTCTCTCCACTCTATCGACTGCTACAAATCATCACCATAAACGTTGTCGGCGGGATCTTATATCATCACGCATAACTCGGGGTACGCTATTATCTACCTGGACCCTGACGTACGGAGCCATCCGCTATGTCAGGCCCGTATTCACCAAAAGCAACTCCCAAGCGGAAGCGGGATGATATCATCAGCGAGACGCCCGCTTCGAAGTTATTTACAGCCTCAATCTTCACGTTTGAACCTCCTAGCTCGCAAGACTCAATTGAAGATGGCAGCAGTAGTCCTCGCACCAAGGTTGCTAACAAGTTTCGCGACCTTTCACTCGAGAGAGGTGGGGGCGGGGTTCAGGTCACATCGACGCCAGATGGCATCAACGGTCAACGGCCAGTAGCCCAGGAGCGCCCGAAGCGATTACCAGATCCCGTGATCTTTGGCTTTGGCGGCGGAACCCATGAGGTGGGCGGAAAAAATAACATGCAGCTGGACGGTGACGACAATGTCGCCCGGAAACGCCATAAATACATACAGTTCGAAGGGGACATATCTCCTGGCGCCAAGGGAGAAAGCAGTGCTCAGGCAGCCGAGCCCGTGGAGATTGACGAGAAAAGAACGCTCACTCTGGAGAGTGGCGTGGACCCGAGCTTGGTGAGAGTGGTTCGAAACGGATCTCTGGGCGGCCTGAAGAAATCCTATCCCTCAATTAATCGTTTGTCGGATTCGAGATCTCGTGGTCGTAGGCGGTCGGGCACACCGCCCCTTCATGCATCTAGGCGTAAGAGCACAGGGTCAATGGAGGAAGCACCGCCTGCCATCGTGGATCCTGTTCGCGCGGCATTGACCTGGCACGAGGACGAGATCACGGTCTACGACTCTGAAGACAAGGATGACGATGGCACAGGACTGAACGGAATCGGATTCAGGCCTACGCCTGCCATAGCATATCAGCGAGCACAGAAACGGAAGAAGCAGCTAGCCGAATACAAGAAGCGCGAGGAGACCGAGGCTAGAGCCCAGCGAAATCAACGGCGCCGAGATGCACTCGGTGGAGGGACAGAATTACAAAGACAGCATTCTGCGAGCCGCGTTCACTTCTCCGAAGCGGAACCTGAAAAGTTGGTCATGACTTAGAAACCAGGCAGTGTCCTGTAGCGCAGTGTCCTGTAAATTTATCAGCAATTTTGCAAGAGCAACCTGGTCAGTCATTAAGAGATTTCCACAATCTATTCCCAAGACGGCGGGGAGGGGTTCGAATTTGCAGCAGGGGAAACGCTCTTCAAGAGCTGTTTGACTTTCATGGTTATCTTTGAATTGCAAGGCTCCGTTCTGTGTGGAGGAAGACGGAGGCAGCAATCTATCATTTCAATTCCCTGTGCTAGATCTCAGGCCTTGCCAGATCGACGACAGGATGGTTTATACAATAATGGTACAAATGTCAAGCTCTCCACTGGTCGAACCGAACGACGAGGCACGAAATATTTTTTGGGACGTTTTTCTTCGTCTTTTTACCAGAATTTGTACCAGCTCCTTTGGGAGTCCAGCTTGGCCTTTTCTCGTGCCTCTGCTCTGAGACGAGCGACTTCGTCGGCCTTTGCCTTCTTCTCTGCCTGCTTTCGATCAATGACCTCTACTACCCTTGCCATGGCTTTGCGCTCTTCGTCTCTTTGGTACCGGCAGACCTCAAATTGTACGACGGAACCCAGCATGAAGGATGCGGCAGCCCAGTTGGCAGCCTTGGGTATCCGAGCTGTATTTTGGCCATGCCAGTTAGCGATGCGAGGGTGGTTGCTGGGTTTTCTGGGTGTGCGACTAACCTCCTGCGAGATATCGAACCATGCCCAGCACGAAACCCGAACCGATACCGGTCATGAAGCCCTCCCTGGCACATGGTATTTGGGTGACTTTGGAAAAGTCGTCGGACTTTATAGTCTTGATACCGTCCGAGATTGTCGGCCGCCTGTTGGGTTGTTGGTCGTCGGCGGGGGCGCGCGAGACGGTGCCGTCTCGATCTTCTGGCTTGGAGCCGTGAAATATCTCGTAGACCTGGGGTTTGTTGACATGGTCGGGGGGGTTGACCTCTCCCGGCGGAGGGCCTCGAGGCTGTGGGAGCGAGTTCCCCTGATCTTGTGGCATTGTGCTGTGTGGACTCGATGATCCGATACTGGTGGCGTGGCGGCTCCCAGCACCTGAAAATCCTCAAAGCGAGAGCAGCAGTGTCTCGTCTCCAGTAAAAAAGAGCTATGACGCCTGCGATGCTCCCGAAATCCCAATTGATGCTTCCCAGGGTGGGGGCTGGGGCACACCGTGCATCATCTTGTGCCTAACCTTGGACTAACCTAGGGTAATGTAGTTATTATGCAACAACTGGTACATTTGTACATTGGGCTTAGTCTAGGTTAGGTTAGTAGATTGGCGCAACTGCACGGTGACGGGGGTCGCGTACTATGTATGCAGTAAAGCCTAAGTAAGTTAGCTCTTTTTCCCTGTCTGTCAATTTACGCGCTCCCACGTCCATGTTCGCGTCAAACCGAGACGCCGGACGCGTCCTTTCAAAGTGTAAAGTAAGTTACTCGTGTTAGTGTTAGTGTTGGACTTCCCGGGTTTGGCATTTGATTTTGTACTGGCCATTCATACTACCACCACCAAAATAGTTGCCCTAAAGCCTCCCCAGAACTCCCAATCGACATTCGAGAGTCCCTCGAACCTCTCAATTCGTTTCTGTATAATTGTCCCGAGTTCTCAATGACGTTCAAATCCACCATTTCCATTTCAGACAACTCGTAGCCCTCCCCCTCCACTCCCTCCCGGGGCATATCCTCGATTTCACGGGTCTCACTCATACTCGCGCTCGACACCCGAAACCGCGACAATGCCCAACACACATCTTAACCGCAAGCCGACCAAAGGCTTTGCCCGCCGCGGCGGCAAGAGGGCTTTTCATGGCCAGCGTCCCCAGACTTTCGCCGCGACGTCACGGGCAGAGGGCACATCCGCCGACGAGAAAGCCGAACGCGCCGCCCTCGTCAACAGCATAGACGAGTTCATGGGCTTCCCACGCTACGAATCCGGCAGGAAAAAGGAAGGCTGGCTCGTCAACGTCCAGCCCACCACCGTGGGGCTGTCCGAGTCTGATGGCGGCCGGGCGGCGTTGGACTGTTACTTCATCGAGGAGGACGGCCAGACGTTCAAGGCCACTGTCGAGTACGAACCATATTTCCTCATTGCCGTGCGGCGAGGCCACGAGAGCGAGGTCGAGGAATGGGTAAAACGGGTCCCCGGCGGCGGCGTCGTCAAGAACGTCAAGAAGATCGACAAGGAGGATCTGAGCATGCCGAATCACCTGTTGGGCTACAGGAGGACCTTCTTGGAGCTCAGATTCAGGAACGTGAATGATCTAATGTCGGCTAGGAAGGAGATAATGCCTGTGGCGGAGAAGAACCGCAAGGCCATGGGCGCAGTGGATGTTTATGCCGAGGTCGCAGCGTGAGTACCACCCCTGAGACCTCGAGGTCGAGGCTGCCATGGAAGAAGCATGAGAAGCTGACTACGGTGGCCACAGCGAACAAGCAGGCTTCGACCTCTTTGATGATTCACGAGATGACGATAAACGACACAACGCTTCTTTCGCTGATGCGAGCGACTATATTGTCGATATTCGGGAATGGGACGTTCCCTACCATGTAAGAGTAATGATTGATATGAGTACGACGCCCCTGCCCTTCTACCGTTTAGACGCTCTTCCTGCTAACGCGGAATCAGGTATACGAGTCGGCAAGTGGTATTTTGTAGAAGCGAAACACGGCATCACCACAATAAAACTTAATGCAGAACGTCTCGTACAGGCCGACCCGGTCGTCATGGCTTACGATATCGAGACGACAAAACTTCCGCTGAAGTTTCCCGATGCTGCTATCGATCAGATTATGATGATTTCGTACATGATCGATGGCCAGGGCTTCCTCATCACCAACAGAGAAATCGTTTCGGAAGATATCACCGATTTCGAGTACACCCCGAAACCGGAATACCCCGGACAGTTCATGATCTTTAACGAGCCCGATGAGAAGGCTGTCATAGAACGCTTCTTTACACACATCAAGGAGGCGAGACCGACCGTCATCGCGACATACAACGGTGACTTTTTCGATTGGCCATTCGTGGAAGCGCGAGCAAGCATCAATGGAATCGACATGTACCGGGAGATCGGATGGAAAAAGGACAGCGAGGACATCTACAAGTGCACCTATGGTGTCCACATGGACTGTTTCGCTTGGGTTAACCGTGATTCATATTTGCCTCAAGGAAGTCGTGGTTTGAAGGCTGTCACCGTGGCCAAGCTTGGTTACGACCCCGACGAGCTCGACCCCGAACTGATGACACCATATGCGGCAGAGCGACCACAGACTCTGGCAGAGTACTCGGTCTCCGATGCCGTCGCGACATACTACCTTTACATGAAGTACATCCACCCTTTCATCTTCTCTCTATGTACGATTCTACCGCTGGGCGGTGACGATGTGTTGCGAAAAGGAACAGGTACGCTGTGTGAGATGTTGTTGATGGTGCAAGCGTTCGAGCAAGAGATTGTCCTACCAAATAAGCACGTCTCGCCAAAGGAGTCATTCTGGGATGGACATCTGCTAGATGCTGAGACATATGTTGGTGGCCATGTCGAGAGTATCGAAGCAGGTGTCTTTCGGGCGGACATTCCGGTCAACTTTGCCGTAGATCCCGGTGCTGTAGACGAGCTTCTCCATGACCTGGACGCGGCTCTGAAGTTCAGTATCGAGGTCGAAGAGAAGAAGTCCATGGATGATGTCGTCAATTACGACGAGATCAGAGATCAGATTGCGGAGCGCTTGCTTCAACTTAGGGAGACGCCGAACCGGAACGAGAGACCGTTGATCTACCATCTGGATGTCGCGTCTATGTATCCCAACATCATGACGACGAATCGTTTGCAGCCAGACTCTATGATTCAGGAGTCCGACTGCGCGGCTTGCGATTTCAACCGACCTGGAAAGACGTGCGACAGGAGATTACCATGGGCATGGAGAGGAGAATATCTTCCCGCGAAGCGAGACGAGTACAACATGATCAGACATGCCCTGGAGAACGAAAAGTTCCCTCCCAAGTGGCCCAAGGGTCCGATGAGGACTTTCCAGGAACTCTCCGAGGAGGAGCGGGCTGCGCTCGTCAGGAAGCGTCTCACAACATTCAGTCAAAAGGTGTACCACAAGATCAAGGAGCAGACCACCATCGTACGGGAGGCGATCATCTGCCAGCGAGAAAACCCCTTCTATATCGACACCGTCAAGGACTTCCGAGATCGTCGCTACGATTACAAGGGCAAGGCCAAAGTATGGAAGGGCAAGACAGACAGTCTGAAGTCGGCTGGTGCTTCTGCATCAGAAGTCGACAACGCTAAGAAGATGATCGTCTTGTTCGACTCGTTACAACTTGCGCATAAGGTCATTCTGAACTCTTTCTACGGTTACGTCATGCGAAAAGGCTCCCGATGGTATTCCATGGAAATGGCGGGTGTGACCTGTCTGACGGGTGCTACCATTATCCAGCTTGCCAGGCAACTGGTCGAGCGACTTGGGCGTCCGCTTGAGTTGGACACGGATGGTATTTGGTGCATGTTGCCAGCAACCTTCCCGGAGAACTTCGCCTTCAAGCTCAAAAACGGCAAGAAGCTTGTCATCTCGTATCCTTGTGTCATGTTGAATCATTTGGTGCACGCCAAGTTTACCAATCACCAATATCAGACGCTGACGGACCCGAAGACCTTCAAGTACGAGACACACAGCGACAACTCCATTTTTTTCGAGGTTGACGGTCCCTACAAAGCCATGGTTCTGCCGACGTCCAAGGAGGAGGACAAGAACTTGAAGAAGCGTTACGCCGTCTTCAATGACGACGGAAGCCTGGCTGAGCTGAAGGGCTTCGAGGTCAAGCGACGTGGTGAGCTCAAGCTTATCAAGATCTTCCAGCAACAGATCTTCAAGTTCTTCCTTGAGGGGGAGACCCTTGCAGAGTGTTACACTGCTGTTGCCAAAGTTGCTAATCAATGGCTGGACGTCCTCTATAGTAAAGGGTCGACGCTGGCTGACGAGGAACTCATTGACCTCATTTGCGAGAACAGAAGCATGTCCAAGACGCTGGAGGAATACGGGAATCAGAAGTCGACATCCATTACAACTGCCAAGCGTCTTGCTGAGTTCTTGGGAGAGCAGATGGTGAAGGACAAGGGGTTAAACTGCAAGTACATCATCTGCGCCAAGCCTCGAAATGCTCCCGTCACTGAGCGAGCTATTCCTGTGGCAATCTTCTCCGCCGAACCCGAGATCAAGCGAAGATATTTGACCAAGTGGCTCAAAGAGGAGCCGTCCGACATGGATCCTCGTGCATTGCTCGACTGGGACTACTACCTCGAGCGTCTTGGCTCCGTCATCCAGAAGCTTATCACTATTCCAGCCGCCCTACAGAAAGTCCGGAATCCTGTGCCCAGAATACCTCATCCGGACTGGCTGCAGAGGCGAATCAACATCAAGGATGACAAGATGAAGCAGAAGAAGATGACCGACATGTTTGCATCCAAAGGACCGCTGGAAGATATCACCAACATATCCGCTTCACGAATGGACGATCTCGAGGACTTTGGCGCCAAGCTTCTCAAACCAAAAAGCACGAGCGCAGCCATCAATGCTTCACAGATAGCACCCAAAACACAGAAACGCAAGTCGCCCGAGCCCGAAAGAGAGAACCTCGATCCCTTTGCTGCTCTACCCAAGGTTATGCCGGATCCCTCGGAAGACTATCCAGAATTCCTGGAGTACCAGAAGCAGAAGTGGAAGATTCAGAAAGCAGCCCGTGCCCGACGCCGACATCTTTTTGGTGAGCGTCGTGGCAACACAGGAAACACCCTTCAGCAAACATTCCGCAACCAGGCAGAAGTCACGTTTAGGAATACGTGGCAAGTCCTGCAGCTGAAGACCACGGACAATCCTGGTGTTGTGATGGCCTATGTACTCATCGATGCAAAGATTCACACCCTCAAGGTCAAGGTGCCTCGAACTGTCTTCCTCAATCTCAAAGGTAAGGATCTGCCTGAGATTGACGTCGAAGGCTGTGAGGCCGAACAAGTCAACCACACCCTGCCAAATGGACACTCGTCGACACATCTGTTCAAGCTCACGGTGCCAGAGGACGTGTACTTCGCCGAGGCAGACAAGTTCTCCCTGCTGTTCAACCACCCTAGTGTTGAGGGAGTCTATGAGAAGCAAGTGCCCCTCAATATCCGCGCAGTCCTACAACTGGGCAATTTGGCGACCATTGACGAAAGCCGACCTGGCGTCCTTGGCCGGGGTCTTGAGCAAGGATTCGATTTGGGTAACCTCAAGCGGCCGCTCAAGCCCAAGCCATATCTCGATACTAACCCACTGGCGTATATCTATGTTTCGCACATCACTGCAGGAGAGAGGCAGATCTTCGGGCTTTTCTCCACAACCGGCGAGCAGGCACACATCGTCATCCTACAGAAGAACAAGGACGCTAGTTCCGACCTGCCAAATGTCGGGAAGATCTACAATGAGTTGCTGACAAGAAGGATGGTCGAAGGGGAGGGCACAAACTGGCAAGAATGTTTCGCGTATCAAAACACTCTCAGCTTCAAGGTGACCCAAGTTACCACTCGGCGCAAGGCACATCTTGAGATCGGCGACTTGATAAAGAAATTGAGGAAAGATGAGCTGCGACCTATGATGCTGGTCGTCCAGTCGTCTCAGAGGAGTCAGCTAGTGCACGACGTGCCTATCTTGTCTGATTTCCCCATCCTCCCCCTCAAATACGACCAAGCAGATAGTGCCCTGCCGCCTCTCGGGTGGCAATCCGTCATCGCGAAGCGCCTCGTCACCCACTACCTCAACCTTGGGTCCTGGATCTTGCATCTCACTGCCCTCGCACGGTATGGTGACATCCCTCTGTGCAACCTGGAGCGCGATGATCCTCGCTTCCTAATTGATATCGCCTATGCTCGTCGGCTGCAAACTAACAACGTCGTCTTGTGGTGGTCCCCAGCGCCTAAGCCAGACCATGCTGGGTACGAACAAGACGATGTTACTGGGTCTCTTGATACTGTCAGCATGCCGTCGGTCAATAACCCAGGTACATATGCGTCCGTGTGTATCGACCTGGACGTGCGAAACTTGGCCATCAACACTATTCTCACTTCTTCTCTGATCAACGAGCTTGAGGGATCTGACTCCATATCTTTCAACCCCGCTGCTGATTCTCGCGGTGACGATGGATCTGAGGCACTATACTCGGAGAACGCCTTCGCCAACGCTGGTGTGCTGGTATTGCGTGAAATGGTCAAATCCTGGTGGGCGGAAGCGTGCAAGGGCAGCCCAATGGCGGATATTCTTGTGCAGCATCTCGTGCGCTGGGTTGAATCGCCCGACAGTTTCATGTACGACCGCGCGCTGCACTACTACGTCCAGATGATGTCGCGAAAGGCGCTTCTGCAGCTGATGGCAGATTTCCGGCGGGTCGGCTCGCAAGTCGTATTCGCCGACTCTAACCGACTGTTGCTGCAGACCACGAAGAGTGAAGTCGGCAATGCCTATGCCTACAGCCAATACATCCTCAAGAGCATCAAGGGCAAGCCACTCTTCCATTTCATCGACTTGAACGTCAAGGAGTATTGGGACTACCTGGTGTGGTATGACGAATTCAACTATGGCGGTAAAGGCTGCCAAGAGGTTGTTGAAGCTGAATCGCAAACGCTTGAAGTCGTCATGAACTGGCAGATGAAGATGTTCCTACCAGTCCGCCTACAGGACACATTCCAGAACTGGGTCGTCGAGTTCATTCAGACTATGCACACGCTCAAGCGGGGTGTCACGAATCCCGACTCCACACCGCGCATGACACAGCTGCCGTTCAAGAGTCTCACCCAGATCGATGCCGTCGATGAGGAAGGACGTGAACCGATCATCCTGACCTCTGCCTTTGAAAAGCCGCTGAAGAAAGAGATCAAGTCCCTCCTCTCGACTCAAGCACGTGAGCTCTTGCATCCCGAACTTGCGTCCGACTGGTCCTTCCCATTGCTCCCTGGTAGTCAAGACCTAAGCAAGCCGTCATCTGTCGGGCGACCCAAGAAGAACTCGGCGCTCCCGACCAAGAACGCTGTGCTGGAGCTAGTCAAGTCCCTCATGCAGGTCCTCTCTCTGGATAAGAACATTACAAACGAGGCGCGTCTCCTTCGAAAGGAATTGCTTGCCATGTTCGACGTGCGCGAGTTCTCGAAAGAAGCAGCCTTTGCGAACCCGAGCTCCAGTCTCAAGGTCCCGCAGTGGAGCTGTCCAGAGTGCACGCTGGCCCGGGACTGGGATCTCTGCCGTGATGAGGTCCTGCTCCCGGACATGGAGAGCCTCATGGCCGGTCTGCCCGCCGACGCCAGCCCGGAACAGGTCCAGAGCGAGCTGAAGAGGGCCGCGGCTGTCAAGCCCTGGACTTGTGGGTACTGCGAGGCCGAGTTCGATAGGTTGCGCATCGAGGAGAAGCTGCTGGCTGATGTAGAGAGGTTCATCATTGAATGGTCAACGCAGGATGTCAAGTGCACCAGATGTGGTGGCGTCAAGCTGAACGAGTTCGCGGAGCACTGTACGTGCTCGGGCGCGTGGACGGAGAGCGTTAAGAGGGATGAGGTGGTTAAGAGGCTGGGTGTTTATAGAGGAGTTGCTGACTGGTTTGGATTGAGGATGCTGAGTGAGGCTGTTGGGGATGTCTTGGGTAGTCTATGATCACAGAGGTGCATGTTTCCAAGGCTATAGGACTTACTGCATGGTTGGCGTATATTGTTTTAAAATACTTGTAGCTTTTGTCTTTGGTCAATGACGAATAGATACCACTCATTTACACAGAAAATTGTTTTAAAGTGATGCGTTCTCCATGCTCTTCTGGCGACATCATCGAAGCAGTGGAATAAAAGAACGTGGCGGATAGTATCCACTCTTAAGTTATAGTGCCCGCTCATCAGTGTGCCCCAGCGACAGTCCTGAGGGGACTTGTCTGACCTTCTACGCCTGCAACTACATGAGCGCAACCAGATCTTCCTGGGAAAAGGTCAAAGTATGCGCAGAGCCTCTTATCGTGTACAACCCGAGCCGGAGCTCTCTGCCGCCGGCGGGAAGATCCCTGTGGCCCATCAACCAGTACTGTAGAGATAGGTCCCAGCCTCCTATATTTCCGACCTTACGAAGCCCTTGCTCCACCGTATGTATAGTGTTCTATCTCCCTTCTAGCTACTCACTGACTTTTGACCAAGCAACACAAACAAGTCGCGTTCGCTATAAAACGTATTGATTTGTCAGCGGGGCGAGGCCGCGTGACTCGATGCGTTGCCCTCGGTCTACCTTTCCCCATTCCACGTCAAGTAACCTGATGAAAGTGTTGACATTGAACCCGTATGGTGGGCAATGGCTAGAAAGCTTCATAGCACAAAGGCCTATAGAGACGTGGTTTTAAATCTGTCGAATCTATTGCTCTCGATTGAACTCTTTTCGCCCAATCAGCGGAAAACAACTACATGTGTTGGGTTCAAGACATAGTGTACGTTCCAGATGGGCCTCTAACGGCATTGCGGATAGGCGTCAACAGCGTTTGGAGTTGAGCGGTCAGCTGGTCTTCCGGGGAAGAGCTCGTAGGATTCGGGTCGACCGGCCTTCTCACCACCGTCAATCGCGGGGCATGTCTGGTATCTGGTAGGTCATTTTTGTTGGCTGGACATTTCCGCATGATATCTCGTAATGCGAGTCAACCGTGGATTTGCCTCCCGGATTTTGTCCAGATAGCCCAATAGGTATCCCTCCCACAGGAAACTGCCTCCCACCTTGAACCATAGGAGGTTTCTGCATCGGAAGTGTCTGGGGAACAGGTTGCTGGGAAGCGAATAATGGCGTCCAAAAGGTTTGAAAATCGAGTCGGAAAGTCCGCCACTTGTCCTTTTGCGTCTGCGCTCCATGCCAAAATATTTTCGAGATTGTCATATTTATGCCGGGAGCATAACCACAAGTACTGCAGTGGAATGTTCTCTCTGTCCATCTGGCGTTTCCACTCCTCGGGGTTTCTAGCCCTATGAATTTGGCATCTTTATCAACCGGCAGAGCATTTCGTGTAGTTGTGGATTATCTAGCTACTTTGTACAGAGTTTGGATGCGGTAACGCAGTAATTACTCTTTGAAAGCGATCGCATCTGGGCTGGAACTACATAAAAAAAGAATTTACTCAGCTTAGGAATCAACAGAAGGGCGTCGCATCGTCAAGTACACACAGATTCCATTTCTCGCAAAGCCTTCTATTGATGCCTGTCGCACTTGCACCAGTTTCCAAATTTTCATCATAAGCAGCCTTGAGCTCGTTCCAAGTAGCCGCAGGGAGCAGACCCAATTTGTTTTCCATGAGTGGATCCCAAACATTAAATTCGTACTCCGTACCTGACGTGAGAGGACCGCTGTCATTCTGAACCGTTGTCAGCGCTTTTGATTTTCGACTCGAGCCTCGACGCGCGACCCACGCTTTGTGGACGATCTGAGTCGTGATAATCGTTCAGCCAGCCATTTGGCGAGTCACCAGTGCTTGAAATGCTTGTCGTTTGGATTGATCAAGACAAGATGCTATTTTGATCTGATGAGTTCGAACTTCGAATGATGACCGCCTGGATATTGCATCAATATTCTGAAGCAATATTAAATATGACGTATAAATGGAACACTTACCTCCCACCCAGCGGGCTTGAAGTTGGCAATCGTTTTCTAGTGGCAACCGTGTCCACGAGCCGTTCCAGGCCATTGATTCACTTGCAATGGTCCATGCAAAAAGCACCTGGAAGGTTGTTCTGTCTTTCACTAACGTGAACAGTTTGTTATTAGATTTGGTCTTCATGCAGAGATGGAGATATCGTGTATCAGAGCTGTCCATCAAACATAATGGTGCACGGGCAATTGAGCAACCGGTAGAATGAATCGATACGGTACGATAGTGATTAGACCAGCTTTTCTTCAAAGCATAGATCCGGAGGTAACGACCTTCGTAATCCAGGAGAGTACCAGGAATTCGTTGGGCGATATTGTTCCATATAGCTACACTGGGCATAAAGGAGTTTAACAATTGGTCGCAAAGTATTTCGATGGTGTCAACGGTCGTGCTTAGATTTGGAGGAAGCCGCATGATTTGTAGTGCTATGTTGTATTGATAGAAAGGGTCGTTTTGAGCGACAGTCTGATGGTTATCACTAGCTGTTGCCATTATGTTTTCTTGTCTGTGTTCGAAGATGTAACCTCAGAGCCGAACGCTGCTGGGAGATTGTCTTGGGTTTTATACTTATGGGCGACAGTTTATCACAGAGAACGTTCCCCCAAACCGAGGCTTGTTTACTTGAATCAGTCTCAGAATGTAGTTATGAAATTCATTCACTTAACTATGAGTTCGCTTGTCACTCGTATTGGGTTATTGTAATCTCAATGAATCAAGACAATTTGCATTTCCACGTTATTATGAAAATATTTCTGGAAAAGTAACAGCCGCTTTTGTTCCCTGCACCTGTTCGCACCTCCTCTAGAATGTCAAGAGGAAACGTTTCACAACCCTCTACATGCCGGCTAATCTCAAAGCGAACGAACGTCAAGACTTGAAGGTATATGCGCCTAATCCCATTTTCGTCGGAGTCAGAATGTGGTGTTTGGCACCAATGATTCGCATTTACCCAAAGTCTGGGCAGGGCTTGACAGCTCTCAGTCCTTTGTAGCTCAGTACAAATCACGAAGCAACAGTTTTGTGGACCTACTTATTGAATGGTGGGATGTATGCTTCACTGATCCTGCTGTTCACCAATTTGTGATGGGCAACGTTCTTTATCTCCCGCTGTTGGAGACCGATGTATTGTGACCGCAGAAAGAGCCACTATCACCATTTGTCAACACAATTGTTCATAGCACATATATAAGTAACCAGAATGTAAGAGGAATCAGCGACTAGAAGTACAATTTGACATCCGAGCCACTGAGTACGAAGTTGTAAGGCCTGGTATAATTCATGACTAACAACCAACAACTAATATTCCTAACATATCTTTGATCTGCTAACTTAAACTTGGTATTTGCCTACCATGAGAGGATATTTGTTTGCACAATCACATTAGTTCTTGATACTGATTAATGTTGGATGGTAAGCTTTGTGATTCGCCGGCTTATTACGTCTGCCTACGGACACAGAGATTCTCTGTCTTCTTTCTCTGATTTCGTCTATGCGCTGGTCAGTGAGTTTCCAGCCTTGAGGGGAACGAGCCGCTTTCCTATAGCCACAATTGCCGTAGATCGCAGAGAACCGCTCCTCGCACAGCGGGCCATGGTTGCTTGATAAGAGTTTAAAATTGGAATTGGCGACCAAACAGACTGGAGAGGTTTGATATCCCACTTGTCTGCCCCCAAGGCTTTTTAACCAAGTGAAATGCACGAATACCTACTGGAACGTGACGGGTATCACTCAATTCGTGGATCTCAAACTTATGCTTATTCTTTCCCGCCTTGTACCTCATTAACTTTCACTATCAACGTTTCGTATTTATTCAAACGTACTTCTTGCTCCGACGCATGGATCATTTGTGTCAGCTTAGAGCGATAACGCCATGCTGGTGGGTTTATAGAGCTTGCTCGTAGGATTAGTGCTTTTTAAGTTGTGAAGCTACGCGAGTGCTTACAGTGGCTATCACAACAAATTGTGCAATCAATCCATGAACCTAAATCGATGCTTCAATGCGCGCCCGGGTTGATCGCATGAGGATTTATATAAACGTTCAGTACTTCCATTACTTCGCAGACACAAAGACCATGAAAGCAGAATACGGGTAAGCCCTCAATTCTGACCCGTCACGTTTGAAGGCTGGTGCATACACCAATGGAAACATTTGCCCGAAAGGACCATCAAGATGATCTTTCCAGCTGCCGTGAGGCTTTGTAAGCCAATGTGAGGCGGACGATTTGACATTGATATAATTTATAATCGATGTGTTACTGACGGGACAACTTGATCCGAGGCCGAATCCGAGGCCATCGGCAGAGCAACGCTAATTACCGGAATACTGGCCGCCATAACCACCATTACCGACCCCGGGCCCACTGAAAGTCGGGATCGGGGTCGGCAGGTAGGCTCGCATCCTTGTGTGTCCAAGGCAACCAGAAACGTGGTATATATGTATGACTGCTGAAATTTGAAACAGTGGAAAAGTATGAATTTCCAACCAACTCATGTTCAGCAATAAAAATCGGCCATCATCATCATGGCTCTAGTCAAGATCCCTGGACCGCCGGGTTATCCAGTCATCGGCAACATTGCAGACGTCGATCCCAACGATTCTCTACGCTCTTTCGTACAGCTAGCAGATAAGTACGGAGAAATATTTCGACTTACTTTCCCAGGAACCAAGCTCGTAATCGTCTCGACGTTTGCTTTAGTTGATGAGCTATGCGACGAGAACCGCTTCAGAAAGGTTCCCGCCAGCGTGTTAGCTGAGCTCCGCCACGGGATTCACGACGGGCTTTTCACAGCGTTTCCCGACGAGCCGAACTGGGGCATTGCTCATCGTGTGCTCATGCCCGCATTCGGGCCAAAGAACATCAGAGACATGTTCGACGAGATGCACGACATTGCTTCTCAGCTTGTGCTAAAATGGGCCCGACAGGGCCCAAATACCCGGATCCACGCCGCCGATGACTTTACTCGGCTTGCTCTCGATACTTTAGCTCTGTGCTCCATGGGATTCCGCTTCAACAACTTCTATTCGGAGAAGGAGCATGAGTTTGTCAGCGCCATGGGAGAATTCCTGATGGAAAGCGGTCGGCGCCCGCAGAGGCCGCCACTACCGGCATTCCTTTTTCGCAAGCAGGACGAAGAGTTTGAGGGTCACATCCAAGTTCTACGTAGGACGGCGGAAGCCGTACTGAAAGAGAGGGCCACCAACCCCAAGAACGACCGGAAAGATCTACTAGCTGCGATGCTGCGAGGAAGAGACACGCAGACCGGGGAGAAGATGAGTGATTCCTCAATTATCGACAATTTGATCACGTTTCTCGTCGCTGGCCATGAGACTACATCCGGAACGCTTTCTTATGCCATGGTAAGTCTTAGTAGGCATATCACGCTCCTCTACCTTCCTGAATGAATGTTTAACTCAACACGTCTTGCAGCACCAACTCCTCCGTCATCCTGAAGCGTACCGCAAGGTGCAAGAAGAAGTTGACTCTGTCGTCGGAGACGGCCCTGTCACAGTCGACCACATGCAGAAGTTTCCTTACATAGAGGCAGTAGGTCACGGCCCCCATCTCATATCGATTGACGGACCTTGACGCAATGATGTAGGTGCTTCGAGAAGTCTTGCGCCTAGACTCGCCAATCCCTATCATCGCCCGCAACGCTATCGAACCAGAAGCCCTACTAGGCGGGAAGTACCAGGTGAAGCAGGGTGACTCTTGTCTGATGCTCCTCACAAAGTCCCATCTGGATCCAGCAGTGTTTGATGATCCGTTGGTGTTTCGACCGGAGCGCATGTCGTCGTCGAATTTTGCGAAGCTTCCTAAGAACGCTTGGAAACCATTTGGAAGTGGTATGAGAGGTGTGAGTGGATGCCTAGTGATACTAACTCGTCACCACATCGGATTGGAAAGACATGCATGCTGCTCTGCGAAGGATGTAACACAAGACATTGCTGCTGATACTTTTGCGACTATAGTGTATTGGACGACCATTCGCATGGCAAGAGTCGATTCTTGCCATGGTACTTCTTTTCCAGAACTTCAATTTTGAAATGGACGATCCCGACTACGTTCTGGAGCACAAGCAGACACTGACAATCAAGCCAAAGGACTTTCACATCAGAGCGGTTCTCCGACAGGGTCTAACTCCGACATCGCTGGGCCGCCGCCTGAATGGTGGCACGAATGGAGTAGTAAACATTAAACACGCCACGGGGCCCTCCAGACAGTCATTACCGAGGCAAGCGAGTGCCCATGGTCAACCAATGACTATTCTATACGGTTCGAACAGCGGCACATGCGAAGCAATGGCGCATCGTCTTGCCTCGAATGCCCCTTCGCACGGCTACCAAGTTACACGGTTAGAAAGTCTGAACAGCGCCATTGGAAAGATACCACGGGACCATCCCGTCGTAATCTTCACGTCGAGCTATGACGGAGAGCCGCCAGATAACGCCAAACAGTTTGTTCAATGGCTCGAATCAGTCAAGAGCGGGGAGTTGGCAGGTATCAGATACTCCGTCTTTGGCTGTGGGAATCACGATTGGGCCCAGACTTTCCATCGCGTCCCCAAAATTGTGGATAACGCTCTGAAGGCTGCTGGTGCTGACAGAATGATCGAGATCGGTCTCACCGACGCCGCAAGTGACGATGTTTTTATCGCTTACGAGACATGGGAAGACAGCGTAAGTCCTCGAGATCCCCTACTTCAATCCTGAACATGGCGCGCTTCTAATGTTGACCCCGAACTCAACTCACCACTTACATTCGCACAGACATTTTGGCCAGCTGTCCGAGCCGCATTTCCTGCCGATAATGCCACCTCGTGTAAAGGAGTTGCAAGTACTCTGCAAGCACACATATCTGACATGCGCCTGACGGTGCTGAACCTGGACATGGGAAAAGCGCGTGTCATTGCCAGTCGTCCCTTGACTGCGGAAGGAGAACCCTTGAAGAAGCACATAGATATCGAGCTACCGTCCGGATCCTCCTACAGAGCTGGCGATTACTTGACAATACTGCCATCTAATCCTCGAGAGACAGTGCTGCGCGCCCTGCGAAGGCTCCGCTTGCCAGTAAGTTAAAGATCCTGCCTATCGTTTGATCTGATCAACTGATACGGGATACATTACAGTGGGATGCTACCGTGACTATCGAAGACAGCGGGTCCAGGCTTCCGACGAACGTCCCAGTGCCAGCACAGAGCATCCTTGGTGACTACGTTGAGCTTGGACAAACAGCGACGCGCAGGGATGTCAGTGCGCTTGCCGATACAGTCGGGATCAGCGCACAAGACAAGAGAGCATTGCAGTGGCTTGGCGCCGACGGATACGATGCTGAAGTCGCAGCTAAGCAGGCTTCACTATTAGAACTGCTAGAGAAGCATACATCTGTCGATATCTCCTTCGGGCAATTCCTGAGCATGCTCCCACCGATGCACGTGCGGCAATAGTAAGTCCCTCCATACCACACCTCCGACATCATGACATACAGTAGCATATGCTGATCATGGTCTCGCGTAGCTCCATTTCCTGCTCACCTAGGAACCCCCATGTAGCATCGCTCACATTTTCGGTGATCAGAGGGGCAGCACGATCAGGCCAGGGAGAGTTCCATGGCACTGCAAGCTCGTACCTTGCTAGCCTACAGGCCGGTGACCAGCTTCACGTTTCCGTGAGGCCATCGCACGATGCGTTTCACTTATCCCCTGATTCCAATTCGGCTCCCCTCATCATGGTCGCCGCAGGAACCGGCATAGCTCCGTTTCGAGGCTTTATAGAAGAGCGCGCGACCATGATTGGCGCCGGACACGAGATTCCACCAGCGGTACTGTATCATGGATGCCGACAGCGTGGTCGGGATGACTTGTATGACCAGGAACTGAAACATCCGGAAGATATTGGCGCTGTTGCTGTTAAGAGGGCGTTCAGTCGAGAGCCTCGCGAGTCAAATGCCTGCAAATATGTGCAAGATAGACTATGGGTCGACCGACATGATCTGCTGAAGCTGTGGCGCCAGGGCGCATTTTTATACATATGCGGCTCCAAGGAGATCTACAAGGCAGTTGGAGATATTGCAGTACGCTTCAAGCTGGAAATTGCAGAGTCCAGAGGCAAACACCTGACAGAGGCGGATGCGAAGAGTTGGTGGGCCACGATGCGGAATGTTCGGTATGCGGTCGACGTCTTTGATTAGTCTCGAATCTTGTAATCTGTAATCTTGTAGTATAGACCCGGTCAGTCGCTCGTACTTTTTCAGAAAAATATATACTCTCGCCTCCAAAAGGTTTAGTATGTATTTATCAACTTGTGGTCATGAAAAAGTCTTCCTGTAGAACATTCCAGTTCGCAGTCCAGAAGTCATCGATGGCTGATGCTTCTGCATCGAGCAAAGGCGGTTCCTCTGGTATGGGATCCTCGCCACACGCCAATGGAGTGAGCATTGAGAGCCCCTCGAGACAAGCCTCCTTACCGGCTGTGCTTATCCCTTCATGGATGGAGGACCCTTTAATCGCGGCGTTGACACCCCCAAGCGTTGCGGACATGATGACAAATTCTTTTACGTCGTTCTGAACTGCTGTAGTGCGATGTTTTGACCACTCGATCCCGACCCGAAACAAGGAGAGAAGTTCAAGGCCGCGAAGGCTCCCAAATGGTAGCAGCGTATTCGATAACGAAGACCCGGAACAGTTAGCTGAAATGGCTACCAGTTCCGAACCGACGACGTTGATCGCCTGGAACAAAACAGCCCTATACGAACCAGAACCGTAGAACATTAGATGGGTGTATTCATCGCAATGTGATTCAGCTGTCGCGGCTGCCTGGGATGCTCCGAGAAACGGGTCTCGCGCAAGAGTGGGATGAAAAGATGAATGACACATCTTTAAAGCGACGTCTAGACACAGATCCCTTGATTGCAGACATGCCGGATTGCTCGATGCTACGGTAATGTATGGTATGTGGAGTGCAAAAATATAGCGGGTCATTATCATGTCGCAATAAAGTCGCTGGAAGTGACCCACTTTTGGCGAGAGACATGCCACATGGGCGTTGAAAGCGCGACGGGCGGTCTGAAAATCGTCGCTCAGTTTGACGACCTCTTGGTAAGACATACGGCCTTGGATGCCGTTAGAGGATGATGCAATGGCTAGCCGCACCGGAAATGTGTGCGCGATAGCAATCTGCAGAGATGTATCCGTGCGATGCGTGGGATCTTGAGTCACCAAGTCGGCACCAGAATCAAAGTCTAATTGCACATCGTCCAAGTTCGTTGGAATGGCACAATCATAATCGCGAAGTGAAATTAGAGGAGCTCCTCCGGCGTCAAGTGATGCATCGAGCTCCAGTTCAAGAATTGTTGCCCATAGTCGGCGACGAATCTCAGTCTGCGCTTTTGGCATGCCTGGCAGGTTCGCCGGATCCCGGTGCAGCCCAATTGACATGGCCGACCGTAGCAATGTTCCTGACCTTATCCATGCCCGGTCGCCATGTACTTGACGCATGCATCTCCGTGCAAGCTCCAGCAAACACGTGTTTTGCATGCCGGTAATGGAGAGACCTGCCTTCTCGGAAGAGCTGAACCACGTCATGGCCTCGTGAACCCACTGCAGTGCTTGGGGCCGCAACGAAAAAGCGTCGCGGGATAGGCACACACCTAGAGCAAGGCAGAGCTGCACCTGGATCACGAAGTAAGCTGGCGCACTCGTTGGCTTTTCCCAAAGTGTTTCGTAGTCATGTTGGAAGGTGGGAATGTGTACGATTCGATAAATGCTCTCGAAGGTGCGAAGGTAGGCATCTATGAGTCTATCTGCCGTATGCTTCGAAGGAAGATGCCGGCCATAATCACCAATTGTCCACGTCAGTTTTTGATTGGCCTTGATCACTCGACAAAATGATTTGCAAGTCTGCAAGGCCTGCCACACTTCCCCTTTGCTGGCAATCTCGTTGTCAAACCAACTCAGAGTGTCAGGGAACTAGTTGAACGTTCGATAAGCATAGCGTGGCATGGAGTGTAGGAAACGTACGAGTAACAAGGAATGCATCCAGTTGCTCGGTGCTGAATAACGTGACTTCACAATAGCACCTCGCACGGGAGCGGTAAGGCTGTCCAGCGCCGAAGCGATGGGCTTGGCTTGAGTTTCACCGGCATTGTGATCGGTATCGCCCGGTCCAAGTGGGCTGGGTACTAGAAGGCTGGCTACCGTCGAAGGAAACCATACTTCTCCTTGCGATTGGGATAGAGGATCAAGGGAGTTGCCCCGAGCCTGCGTCGTTGCGTCCTGGATCCGATGTGGCGTGGAAGTGCCATGGCCAACGACAGGCTCATCTAAGAGTGCATGAGGATTGCGTGGAGAATTGCTTCGTCGCGGTTGATCCTCTTCAGAAGCATACGTGCACGTCTTCGTCCTTGCACGTGTGCAATTGCTACAAGGTTTCTTGTGATCGCATCGCAGCTTTTTCCTGCGACACTGAGTGCATGCACGAGCGCGTCGGCGTTGTTGAGTGCGCGACACTGAATTGCTAAGTCCAACATCCATTGATTACTGCTAGAGTTGGCTGTTGAGGCGCTCAAAGATGAGGTCGTGTCTTCAGTACGGAATACTAACGTTAGTCTAACCTAACCTAGACTATTATAGGTTAAATGGAGACATTGTAGAATCTTGAAGCACTACTCCGTACAGATCAGTAGATAATAAAGTAATGGCTGAGTTACGACCACTTCATCGTGCAAGGTTTCGCAAGAGGGCCGCTAATTTTTACCAGTAGGCTTCTCAAGCACCGTGGAAATGTTGGGTAGGGTGTCATGAAGGAAACGCTTTTCAGCCATTGCGGCTCGTGTACGCCAACATGAACGGTACACGTAAGCGGCCTCGAGACGTTCCCCAGGGGGTAGCGTTCTCGGACTCGGGCATTAGGGTCGGGGTCGGCATCGGGTCTTCCCTCGATTGTTTTGCCCAGAGATTCGCCCAGGCACAATCATTACGACTAACTAGAGCAAATCTTTCGAGTCGAAGAATATTTGACAAGCTAAGTTATCCAATATCGAGAATTTCCAAAAAGATTTAAAAATTTCACTGAATACATAGGCCTTGGGGCATGGCTACAAGAGAGGCCCCCACGAACTGATACTGGAACTGAACTGAAAGCTTAGAACAGCTACGCAGGGCTCTCCAAACCTCCGACTCCAACATGATATTCTGAAGCCCGCACCAAAAAGCTATCTGCGGTCTCTTTACCTTGCTCTTCGTTGAACTTTTGAGCATCAAAGTCGAAAGATGTTATGGGGACATTTTCATCCGTCATGTGTGCTACTCGAAGTAGAACATCAAACCGGTCGACAATTGTAAGCATCATTTGGGTCCTGTTGGCACGCGGGCAAGGTGGGGTATATTTATCATTGATTTACATACATACTTTCTTACTATCCTCGAGTGAATCATCTATACCCAAAATCTCATTCCCCATGGACATCGGACGGCGTTGAAGATGTACTCCTGTATTGAACAGCTTGTCCAGCTGTACTGTATCCTTGACGACTTCACTAATGCTGCAAGATGCATGTGCGCTGTTCTCCCCGCGTTGTTGTTGCATCTTCCGAGCCAGGCTGGCTAGTGTTTCTGGGCTATTGTTTATTGAGACACCCTGTAGATGGTAGGCGAAGACATTGATTTGCGAATTTACGAGTGATGAAACGCCAGGATTATCTTCATCCCGCCCGAAATTAACGTACGCAAATGTCACATTGTTGGCTCGGTATACAAGCTGCGAGTTTGGGACCATGTTGGGTTGACGAAACGCACATAACTGATACCATTGTTGACATTGAAGGAAGACATCGACCGTGGCTTCACTGCCTGCAAATGGTTGATAGTTCTAGAGGAGTTGGATCCAGGCTGCTTGTATGACTTCGCCGGTGAGGGGGAAATCAGAGACGATTCCTGGACACACAATACCGGACCTTGGACTCGATCTGGCCGCAATGTGACAATATAGCTCTTATACTATGGCGACTACCCCACATCAAGAATCTCCTCAACCTCAATCTCGCGTGCGATGACAACGATGCATGGTTGGCTGTGGTTTGAGCATTCTCGCCTGCATAATACCGAGGCCGTGGGAGGTGGGTCTTGGAATATTCGTTACCCTTCGCAAATTTCTTTCCCTTTCTCGGAAAACTGCTTTTCTGTTTTGGACGTTTTAAATATACACCAGCGCTAGGTGATTATACCATCTTTGCGACCTCGCATTGGGTGCAGAGATCGACAATAGACCCCGAAACTTACTAATGCATGCACCCCAATTTGATACTCAAGCCAATGAGTTCGTGTGTCTTGTGAATTGACCAGCTCCATGTACGACGAAAGGAGAACTCTCAATCATAAACACAATTGCTCTGCACCTGACAAACAGGGCTCTGGCAGTATGGTGATTCTTTTGGAGGCAGGATATCTAATTTGTAATCTTGCAATCTTTTTCATGCGATCTGTCTGTATTTCAAATCACGACGATAAAAGACGTGTTTTACCAGCCACGTTAAATCCTCTTCCCAAACTGCATCGACAACTGATGAAATTGAGGAAGCTTCCACGAGTCACTGCGCGAACAAGATCCGTCAACAAAGGTAGCCCTTACCAAATTCACGGTCTTTTACACCCAGGGCTTAGTTCCCAGCACCGGTTAAGACGACGACAAAGCTGCCTGCCAGACAGTCTTGTATATAGGTCATCCGAACTACCAGGGTAGCTGAGCAGAGCGGTCGCCATGTTTCAGAGCATAATGTCCTAAGTGCACCGAGGCCTCCAATGGGAAGGGAACAAACGCCGGACAACGAGAAGCAGGAAGAGTCCAAGGTGGAGCAGTATCCTCACGACATCAGTGGATGGAGATGGGCTCTAGCTATGATTTCGATCCTGTGTTCAATCTTTTTATATGCCCTGGATGCAACCGTCGTTGCAGATATTCAGGCCATCACTGTTCAGAAATTTGACTCCCTGCAAGACCTCTCGTGGGTTGGGGTAGGTTTCCTGATGAGCGCTACAGCGACAAACCTGGTTTGGGGCAGAATCTACAGCTGGTCCAACTCCAAATGGCTCTAGATCTTCAATGTGGCACTCTTCGAAGTAGGCTCTGCCATCTGTGGTACTGCGCCTAATATCGAAGCCATGATTGTGGGCCGCGTCATCTGCGGTATCGGTGGATCTGGACTCTACATAGGTGTTATGACTTCAATCGCTGTCACCACGACACTTGCGGAACGCCCACTGTATATTTCTGGCACCGGGCTAACATGGGGCTGGTATAGTTCTGGGTCCAATAATCGGAGGCGCTTTCCAGGAATCTGATTAATTGTATCCTTTCATGGAAGTAGATAGCCTCATCATGCTCCTTGACTGCTGTAACCTAAGTAGACATAATTGATACACGACAAGATCTGCCTGTTGCATTTATATTTTAGTGGGGTAACGCCCTGACTAACAATGAATTTAAGCACGTCCAGTGCCTAATGACAAATGCCTATCAAGATAATCTACGACATATTTTACCATATAACTATGGCTTTGGAGACCCTGCTAGTTATATATATATATAATTGTAATAAGTTATATGTGAAACGGTCGCTATTTGTTTGTTTACTCATAATTATTATTCTAGTGATCGTGGTCCTTCGATACATTCTCGTCTTTCGACTTAGAATCCAACCAAAGACCTGATGGCGTTCGCGATGGGCGGTATTGATGTGAACAATACAGTAATAGTGCCGAATAGGCCCATTGAAAGACTCGACAATGCCGCTGCACGTGGGTCAGTGCGCAGAAGCATTGCAGTAGCAATAGCTGATGAGTTCGCACCGAGCGTAACTCCTCTGGTGACATAATCATCTGCCGAGATATTAGTACCCACAAAGACTTGATCATGTAGCACGCGATTCACCTTCAGGTATTTTGAGCCATCCGAGAATCTGCTGCCCAGCGAGAACACCAACGATGCCACTCGCAATGGCAATTGCCGCAACGGTGTATGTATCGCCGCCCAAATTCACCACGGCGGGTGTTGCGAGGGCGAGTGTGAGACTCCGGGCAGCAAATGCTAAACTGCGCTCCGCAGTAATGCCAATAGTATAACAAATATACGGGTACGCAAATAGAGACGCTATAGACACGAGAATGTTTGGCGTCACTATGGCAAAGAAATGCTGGCGAAGTTCTCGTCGATACTGGTACATCGGAAGTGCTAGAGCAACAATGCTCGCATCCAGAACGCTTGACAGGATATCACCAGCTCCGGGGAGCTCATGGCTGCCATTCCAGAGCTGTAGGTACTTGACCCCAGTGCGGTATTCAGTCAAAGTGGTTGTTAGATCACGACTTATGGCAAGGCCAAGCACCCAGATGATGAGAACAGTAGCGAAGGATGAGACCAGTACAGGATGAAGGTATCGCCTCCAAGCAGCGGGCAAGGCGATAGCACCGAAGTATGTGAGAACCCCAATACTCAGATGCGTCGGCATGCCATAGCCAGCAGCATAATATGCCGGGATGCCCACGAACATAAACAGGAAACTATACGTAAGCACGTCAAGATGTCGGACAATGACAAGTGCCCAATTCTGCGCTCGGGAAGGTGGCGGCGGCGCTTGTGGGGGGAGCTCTGAGCGTTCACCGTTTCCATTTGCCTCCGGAGGTGTGACTGGCTCTGGGTCATGGAGTCGGATCTGTGAGGTCGTCTGAGAAGCAGCAGCCGGCGACGGGATCGTGAGATTCAACGACGACGTTGCAGGCGATAATGCTAAAGCATCGCGCTGTTCGCCATTCACCGGGGTGGTGGTCATTGGTATCTCATCACCCTGAGGACCAAGCTCCTCAGCACGCTCTGTCAGGGTACGTTTTGAGGTCCCTGAAGCTAGCTGAATGGCGCGGGTCAAGTATGCTGTGACTACCATCATTAACAGAAAGCCAATGACTGATACTGTTAGTAATTGGCGACTAGCAGGGCTTTGGCGTGCTAGAGTTCGGCTCGTAATGCTCACCAAATACGGCTATGATCTTGAACACCTCAATTACTCCAATGGGTGGACTCAGAGGCAGCAATACAAACGACGGCGTGAAGAAGATGCTGATCCAGCGCAGTGACCAGCCTCCCTAAGTCCTGTGAGCCTCATATCCAAAGACCTTCGTCGCAAATAGCTCACTGAAATATCAACATAGCCGACAAAGCGACGCGTGCGATGCTCGCCAAGAACCCATTCCGAAAGCAGAAGCGCCAGAAAGAGGATGATGAGACATGCAACAGAAGCCGGAAACGAGACGCCTCCCATCTCCAGCAGCATATCGACACCGAAGCATGCTGATAACATGGCCAGAATCCCGGCAGGGACTGCAATCCATGATTGCGCGCTTATTCGCCAGGAACTCCGAGCCACCTGTGCATATCAGATCATGGTGAGCGGGTATTTGATAGACTGCCTCGACCTACAAGTTTCAGTGCTACAGCGAAATCCTTTGCACCACTTTGAAATGTCGTCTTCAACATCGTGCGCTGCTTTAGATGTCGCGATGACGCTATGGCACAACTTGGAAGCACTGAGCGCTTCTGGATTGTACATGAAGACTGGCGCCGACTTCGGCGATTAAGCAGGCAGGTCGAGTCGCTGATCCACTCCACTAACCTAGCACTAACTAGAGCCATTCAGGCTCCCTAAGGTTTAGATTTAGCACCCATGACTATATACCACAGCATCATGTGCAGCAATTACCAGATAGAAGAACCACATCAACACGTGTGCAAAATGTTCCTAAGAAATAAAGACAAAAGGTAAAAGAGATCGCTAAATTAGTATAGAGTCAGAATCTGTTCACAGGTTGGTCTGTGAATCTATTAAACATGAGTGAACGCAATGCGCCAAAACCATTCCTTGTCCATTAAACCATCGCATGAAGACAACCCCCAAGGCCCCTAGACGGATCTCGTGTTGCTCAAGCTGAACAGATCAGATAATAGCGACAGGGATTTGAATGCGCTCCCCCCAAATCTCATTGTGAAAAGTTCACTTTCTCGACATGTGGTCTCGGCAGACTAAAAAGTGAAACTTTGCCTTACCGAGTTCCAGCTTCTGCGCAGCTGAGCGGTGGCGGTTGACAGCTCGATATGCCGTCTGAAGTCGTTTCATGACGTCGAGCAGGCCTTTATGGTCGACAAATCGCTCCAGGCCCTTCTCATCGACCTCGATAAACATTCGTTCCGAGTCAGAGCAGACCTCGAGTTCCTTTTTCTCCGCATAAACTGCCATACATGATTAGCGATCGGCCCTGACACTGCATGAGTAGGCTTGCACATACCGCGAAGAGCGGACAGGGTGTTGTCAATCTTCTCATTCGCCGTGAGCTTTACCGGCTGCAACTTGGTCACTCTACCACTGATCACTGCCCCACTCTTTTTGCACTGGACCGCCTTGCCCTTGTTACTGATGTTGCCTCGGGCCCGGGTCTGTGTCTCTGACTGCTTGATGTCCTTGGCACAGATACGGTAGATGAAATAAAAATGGCGAAGGTCCGGAAACAAGCGCAAGAACTGGGCGATCTTGAGAGGGCAGTGCTTCAGGTGCGCATGAGGCTTGTTTTGGCAGAGGCACATGAACGGAATGATGTGCCAGTCGTGGCCAGTGTGGGTTTGTTTCCAGTTGAGACCAATGGAACGAAGACCTCGGAGTTGATTTTGGGTAGCTCTTATATTAAGAAAGTCGAAGTTGATGTATATTCCAGTGAAGGTCACAACAACTAGGTCCTGCTTAGCATGAACCTTTGCTCGCTCATCGATCTTGCCAGGTTGTCCTTTCTTCAGCCGGAAGGGAGCAACCCAGAGCGCGCCTTGGCCAGTAGTGTCGGCCAACCATTGCCTGTATTTCTCGTAGGCAGCATGGTCCACATGTGCAATGGTCCAGCGGTGATTCCATGTTGACACGTCTTTGGCAGCGTCTGTGTCTGTGGCCCAAGGCTCAATGCCCAAGATCTGGTCATTGACACCGTTGATTTTGGGAAAGACACGGAAATGGTGGACACCTCTGGCCTTCATTGCCTGCTCCCAGACATGAAGGACAACCTCTAGTGGAACCTTTGAATACAGCTGCGAATCTGCCATAGCGACCCAGTCAAGCTTTGAGGGGTGATGTGTGTGTATAGTTACAATCAGAAATGGAAGACCGATTCAAAGTCATGTGTAGTAAGAAGGGCTTGTGCAAATGTGAACCGTTGTGGGAGATTATAGATTTAGGCATCGGCGATTAGAACATTATAAGGGATGTGGGAGTTAGGTAGTAGTCTTAAGAGACTGGACACAGGAGGAGTTGCGATATTAAATAGATGTGAATATCTGGGGAAGCTGGAGTGGAGGAAGGCACGTTGGAAATGCTGTTGAAGTCAAGACCATGTGAATACACGGACAGATAAAATTACCAAATAATGGCAACAGCGACGATTAGAGCTCACCCGGTGGCAATACGTTTCAACGCCAGTGAACAATGACAGTCACGTCGGTCCGCCTTGTAAGAAGGAGATGATGCCACGCTGTCGTGGGTGGAGGTATGATGAAGAAGAGAATATATGTTATTATAAGGAGTGCGGCCCTTGCTGATTGGCCATGTGAACAGTGAAATGCTTTTTGCTAATTTCGAACACAGAAAGTTCATGTGCAGTCTATGTAACTTCAAGTGTAGTAGAGCTGCTGGGTAGTGTCGTCATGAGAGAAAGAGGGAGTGTTGTTCAAGGCAAATTGATAAACGTAGAAAGACAAACAGTAAGTCGTCATATGAAGTGGCCGTAATGCCAAAGCTGGCTGGTAGTTTCCAAGTGTGGTTATGGAGGACGGATTTGCCAACTAGCTAGAAGAATCTCCACTGAACACGAAAGCTTGAATTGCTTGCTTGTAGCTGGATGGAGTGAAGATTAGTATGAATTAAGGGCTTCGATCGATGGTAGATTCTCCTATCAGCTATTGCCGCCTGGAGGCTATGAAAATACGGCAGCAAACTTAAAGACACGAATGGTAGAAGTATATGCGATGAAAGGCTCTTCAAACCCAGCCACACCGAGCAAATCTAGACCAATTTCAAATAATAATTGAACGCTATGAAGTGGGTACCTGCCTATGTTTCTTCTATCTAGCTCTAGTAGTCAGTAAGTAGAGTCATCCCTCACTGCTGACTTCAGCAACTGGTCCTATAGTGAGCCACCCAACATTCGATCCAAACCCCCAGCAAAGTAGAGGCCTAAACTGAGGAACACGGTTTTCAGGCCTTTAACGTGGTGACGACTGCTATATAGTCAACGTGAACTCGGCAAACTCAGGCTGGTAGCTCGGAGTGAGGAACTATCGAACGCTTAGCGACTAGGTTCGTCGTGGTTTCAGTACCACAGTGCGGACATTCAGTCGAGGATGCCCATCACCGGATTTGCAGACACAAGCAGAATCCAAAAGTTGATTTTGATGCAAAACTCGGCGGTTCTCATGACAATTCGCCGTTTCGGAAGGCAGCGCTCATTTCCTCATCTCCGCTGCTGTCATCTTCCGCTAGTGTCCTGTCTTCGTTGTAAGGGTGTGCCAAAAAGTCTGAATCGTATCGAACAATCCATTTTGGCGCCTTCTCTCTATAAAGATACGGGGGAATATAAGAGACGCGCTTCGCCGTCAGAACCCTCATACGAACTGGAACAAGTTCAGGTGAGATATCTGAAGCAGCTCCGTCGCCAGCATTGTCAGGTTTCAAAGGCCCCGTTGGTTCATCCTCTTCCGGAAGCTCTGCCAACGTGTGCTTGAATGTGTCAAGCTTGTTTTGAAAGTTTGCAATTACCTGGCGGATCGACACGTCCTCTCTTTGTCCGACGGACCAGGCGGGATACTGTGGGTGGATGCGTAGGTCTAAACGGAATTCCGTCTTACGCACAGAGCAACTCCTAAGGCATTCCTCGAGGTTGACACTTTTGAGTAACATGGGCCGCATCCCAACTCTTAGAAGTCTGAGGTCTACGTTAGTAAGACACAGAGTCTCAAGGTTCGGCGGCGGAGTTTCAATATTGCAGTCGCCCGAGTCGAGTTGTAAATACGTGAGAGCAGTCATGTTTGAAAGATCCAAGCACCTGCTACGCCGCTCCAGGCGGCCAGTGTAACCCGTATATTGTCCATAGAAATCGAAATAGCGGAGGCTGGTGGCTTGCAGCGAAAGAGCGCGTTGAGATGTTTCCAGATCGTCTTTGAAGAAATTATAAAACGAAGTGCCAGTTCTGTGATAGTTAAGCTCGTGCAATACCAACGTCGTGAGACCTGATGGTAGTGACAGGATTTGTTCCAGCGCATCGGGCGATACAATACTCTCGCGAAAGATAATAGACTTTAGGGCGGTCTTGCTCCGAAAAGCACTTAAATCGGGGTCCGATTCGGAGATTTTAATCTTCACGCAAGAGAGTTCTAACTCGTGCAACTCCGGGAGTAAGAAGACGGGACATGCGGGGCTCGTCTCCCAAAATCTGAGGTGGATGCTCGTTGTCCAGTGCAGAGTTACTAGGCCTTGAGTGAGCTCAAAGTTTGCAGCACGGAGCTTGGAATTCGCCACTTACTTGATCTCAATTTGCTCAATGGTTTTTCAGCTTTGGGGATCCCAGAAAGCAAAGAGGCCTTCTCAAAAGCACGCATGTATGCTTCCTTATCTGCTTTCCAGATACCTTCGTCGTTTTTGCCTATCCGCGAATGCCCATTGCAGAAGGGGCTCTCTGAGACAAATGTCCCCAGGCAAGGAAAATATAACAGATCAACAGGTTGAGTTTCAAGGCGGTCGTACTGCCTGACCGAATACAACAATTGCAGTTCATGGATATAAGATGCACGTCGAGTGTCACTCCGGCAGAGCTCCATGAATTGCTCCATCGATGCGCGTTGAGTGATAAGCGCTCGAGAGTACAAGCATATCTCGGCGACATCCCTGAACTCAGCGCACGTGCAAGCAACCGATTGGAGAGCCTTCGCATCATCAATCTGTTGGAACACCTGCAGGATCAATTCGCTCGGTAACTGCTTGAGCGACATTTCGAAGAACTGCCGAGGGATTGCCTACGGACTGATCTCGGGTGAGATTCTGTGAATTTGGGTGTCACTGGCTTGATGGAATTGGGCTGTTGGTTGAAGGGAAGTCCTGTTGGCTACGGCAGACTCCCGCTGACGTTAAGCCACTTGCTCGTCACTCCAAGTACCTATGCATGTTAGCGTTCATAGCTGGCCCCAGCTGCCCACTTGATGTGTGCTAATCTAACCTTAGGTTAGACCGACCTAGGCTCAGCTCGTCTGATTCACCTCGGTTGTGGTTACTAGCAAACCCAGAACGCTACAAACCGTATTTCTCCCCCATTCAACACGCTGGCGGACAGAACGTCGATCTAATAAGCATCATAAAACTGTCCTTTTATCGCGTGCACGCGTTGCTGGAACATGATTTGGCCTGGTTTGAACTCGCTGACAAGAGCCATTGTACAGTATCGGTCACCTAATCCAGTGTCAGATTCCAGAGCGCACATAACTGGTTCTTGCGTAGGTACACTGGGTATCACCAACCAATGCTCTCCAACCTTCCTTCACATTACTACCATTCCCCAGGTCCAAAACCGGAAATAGCCACACCACACGTTGGCATGGCGTTCGATCGCCGTTTAGATACCTACCATGGACATTTTGCGAATTGAAGATCCGATCTCGTTATTGTAGCTCGACTATTGGATTCAGAAGGATGGTTGGCAACAGGATCATAATTTAACGGTGGTAAGAGAAATCCCTTGTCTCCATATATACCATTTTGGCAATGCCAGGCACAATGAAGAATAACTCAAAGTCCAACACTAGGGACGATAACTACTTAGATAGTCTTTCGTGAGAAGCATAATTGTGTATATGACCCGAATTGGTAAGGCGACTTAGTTTGTTGTGATTGGTATCACACGCATGACGATTCCATCCATATAGGAGTAAACCACAATCGCACTATTAATAGCTTGAAGCCTCTGATATCCCATCCAAATTTAGTGTCATGAATTAAATAGAGAACTGAAGAGCGATTATGCTCTCGTTCACGAATTCAATCAGTCGGTAGAGGTGCTTAGCCTCGGACTTATAAGAGCAGCCACTTACAAGGGCAATCACTTACTCTTGACGTCGCTAGGCTATTGCAGGACCAATCTATAAGGTAGGTTATGCAGCTCTTAACCCTGTGACAAGAATTTAATAGTATCAACAGTCCTATACCACAAACATCCAACGTCTTTTCAACTCTAGAAACTCAATTTTTATGCCGTCATTCGTTCAGCAGTTACCTTGGGCCATGCCATGCGAAAGACGAGAATTGAGTGGCAAATAACCCTCCAGCCCTGTAACTAATTCATAGCCAACTCGGTTGCATCGCCATTAGAAATGTGACAATTGATCAAACGCTGAGACACATGGGAGCAGAGGCTGTGTAAATATTTGTATCAACTACTATGGATCTCACTGGTGGCACGATTTGACATGCCCATGACTTACTGTACGTACTACCAGGTCGGGGGCCAAACATCTAATCTCAGGGCCAAGTATGTGTCTCGATTGAGTACGGCACAACAGATCGCCCGTATAGTCCTCATTGCCTGATTGGGTGCCACTTTCCACTATTGCGGAGTTCCGCCCTCTAGTGTTCCATGTGCATAACAACTTGGGATCCACCTCAACTACGCGACCAGGCGACGTATGCTTTTTCTTCATTATGAATGTGCATTCGGACGTGGGGTTCGGAATTTTACCCTGTGCGACTGCCCCGATAATGGGACAACTTGTGTTACTAAGACTTACTTAACGAATTATAAACCCTCGGGACCAGAACAGTTGCAACACGCCGGCATGCTTCGATCGGGAGATTTATTCATATTGCTTTATTGCCTCTCATAATTACATCTAAAGACCGAAACATCTTGATGTGGCTATGGACCTCTATGTCATATGAGAAGCTATTGCAGCTTGTCTCGTGCGGTGATATCTTTCGAGCATGGCGGTACCGTGCTGTGGTCCTCTAAAAGACAAGGGGTTTGCTATTAGCGACATTCATAGGACATTTGCGTCCAATCATCATCCCTCATTATGTACTCCAGCTACACCCTGATATCTCTGCACCTTCCTTTCTTGTTTAGCTTCTCCAGTATAGTATTGTCGTCATTCTTCCATTGCAGTTATGATATATGTATGATCCTTGAAGAAGGATTCATCGGAAGAGTCCTTTCACCTTGCCCTGAACCATTAAAGCGTTGGTATTAGTCAGATCCAAGGAACATGTAAAGGCTCTGTATTGTGCCTGCTGTGAGTTTCGTATGACCCCTACAATGTGTAAGCATCTGGCCCTACAAGCGTTGCTCAATCTGCGATCTTCTGCAATGCACGAGCTACATGTTTTCAACCTCCCGAGGGCTCTAGGGCTTGGTGATGATCTGTATGAGAGTTGCACATATTGGCACGTGGAGTTAACCCCGAAAGCCATCCTAGAATTCCGCCGTGAAATTTCCACTAGATTTGTGAGCATTGTCGCCCCCAAAAGATATCCAGCCTCAAGTATAAATCATCGAGTAATTCCTCCTAACACAACGACTATTAGCACGTCAAGTTGCCCACAATAGAGCATTTGGCCACCAAGCCAAGTAACTAACCCATCAATACGCCTAATCAGCTTGGTTATGTATCTACGCACTTTGATAGTAGCAGGCTTAGCCTCGCTGATACACGCCAATTCCAAAGATCTCACAATCGATCTTGGATATGAGACGTATACAGGTGTTCATAACCAGCTTAGTGGTTTAAACATATGGAGAGGGTATGATCTCAAATGCCGATTTATGTCACTGCTAACGTTAATAAGTATCCGTTATGCGGCCGCTCCAATTGGGGATCTTCGCTTCAGAGGACCCGTTGAGCCAGAAATTACCGGGAATTCGGCGCAAGCTGACAATTTTGGGCCGCCGTGCTTTCAGAGCACGGCCATCGGGGTCCCTTATTATCCACCCAATGCAATCGCGAACGAGGATTGTTTGTTCCTGAACATCTATGCACCAGACGGAGCCAAGGATCTCCCTGTCTATGTTTACATCCATGGTGGAGGGTATGGTCTCGGAGACGGAAGGCAAGACCTCTCTGCACTGATCAATGAGAATGAAAATTCATTTCTCGGCGTTTCTCTTAATTATAGAGTAAGCTAGTCCCTCAGTCGGTTTTATTTTTATTTTCTTTGCTCTAGCTTGACTGAAGCCTCCTAGCTTGGCGCCCTCGGCTTTTTGTCTTCAGAAGATGTTAAAGAGAATGGGGTTTTGAATGCAGGTTTACTGGACCAGCAATTTGCTCTGGAGTGGATACAGAAGAACATCCACCTTTTTGGCGGAAATAAGTCCGAAGTAACCATCTATGGCATTTCTGCCGGTGCTGGATCGGTATTGCACCATTCGTTGGCATATGGTGGTACTCAAGGCAACAAGCTCTTCAAAAATGTAAGGTATCTCGTTTATTCGGTATAGTGGCGTTATTTAACCCCGTCTAGGGTATGGCTGCCTCGCCTTGGCTCTCTCGGCAGTACAAGTAAGTCATACGGTGTGAGGTACTGACGGTTTTATTAATCATGAACATCTCAGATATAATGACGATTTTCCGACATCCTTGTACGAACAGTTTGCCAGACTGAGCGGATGCGGCGAGGAGAATGACAAGCTATCTTGCTTGCGTGGGAAGGATAATGAAACGCTTCAGCGTGCCAATAACGAAACAAATTATGCTGGACCATATGGGTGGTGGAGCTTTACTCCTGTCATAGATGGGTCTTTTATACAGTCTCTCCCATCCCAGCAATTGTTTGAAAAGAAGGAAGTTAACGGGCAGAATATGTGGGTCAGTTACAATGCAGATGAATCGCCCTGGTTCGTGCCTCGGACCGTTGCCACTGAAGAGGATCTTCTCGACCTACTACACGTTTCGTTTCCACACTTCGATGAAGACGACATTGCTTCAATTCTTGAGGTATATTCTCTATCTGAGTACGGGAAAAACTCATCGAATCCTCGCCTTGCAACAGCAGGAGATAGCGGTCCCACTGCAGTGGACGTTTCGCCATTTGCCATCGGAAACCAACAGCGCGCATACGTTATTATAGCCGAATCATCCTATCATTGTCCCTCATACTGGTTAGCCTCGAGTTTTACTGAAGACTCCGCCAAATCATCGTATGTGCACACCTATACCAACCCGCCCGCTCTTCACGGACTCGATCTATACGCCTACCTAGGCCAGTCTGACGGGCCGCCTTCGCTACTAGGCCAACCTTTGCCCAACCAAGGCCCTGATTTCGCTCACGCATGGCGTAGAATGCTTGGTGCGTATATCAAAACCGGGTCTCCCAATATTCCCTGCGGCGTTGCCAAGAATCCTCATTCTGACGTCTTATCGAACTGGCCGAAATGGGGAGAAAACCGCCTGGTGAATTTCAATCAAACTGGAGGGACTCCTACATTAGAGGATGTGCTCGGACTTCATATTTGGAATATCACTATTAATAATGGCCCGGGGTTAGAAAATGCATTTAGAGAGGTCGATGCTGAAACGTGGGAGGGGGGAAGAGGCAAGAGATGCGATTTTTGGAAACACATGGCTTCTAAGGTGCCAATGTAGCAGAGGTCTTGTCACCAGTGCTCCCCATGTTTGTGGCTGCAGCGGAGTAGCTGCGTGCTGCAGGAAGGCAATCTTCAGAGGCCTCTCTTCACTCCCGTTGACAGATTCTAGAACCAAGGGATGTTCTTAGTGTGGACTACGTGTCTGAACATCAGTACTGCACATCTGACGGGTTGCGATGGGCCTGGGACTTTCAACTGTCTCAATCTTGTATTCGGGAGTGTCAAGAATAGTCAAGAACATAGTCGAATAACTCCAACTGGTCACGCTGCTTGATCAGGAATCACCACTATCGACTCCAACTTGTGTGAACTCTAGCTTGAGCCCTTGCCGCCCGTCGTTGCATATGTTTGTAACATGCGCAAGTTGCTCAACTAGTCACCTTCACTAGCTTTATTATCAGGAGTGTTATTTTCAATCTGTAATTTGAAGGCGTAACCACCAAATCTAGTCTACATTGTGTGACAATTCTAATAGATTCATTGCCTGAGTCGATCGACTCGAGTATCCAGGTGAGACACGATGCCCTAGCTCTACGTAATCAGGTGCAGTCAAACTGCAAATCAGTCGTGAAATTCCGATGAATATGTCCTGCACAACCACAAAGGAGAACAAGCAAGAAGTTCAATGCAACATTCTGAGGATCTGGTTGAAACTCATACTGCTACGTTTAGCCATTACTTGATAACTAAAATGTCTAAAGGCCAAACACATTAGTCACAGCGCCATGGGACGGTGATCAGCTGAGGACCGCCTGTCTCTGTACATGTGGGGGGCGAAGGTGTTTGAAAAAGTATCTTACTTATCATTGGTATATATTATCGAGGGAAGCGGTGGTCTTCAGGAAATAATCCGCATCGCATCCCCGATCGCCAACGGTCTGGGTTGCTTTTCTAAGAACATATTGCCGTCCCAATGAACTACCGCGCCAATGCTTTCGGATACAAGATCCATGGTCTAGCCAGCTCTCGTTCCAGCTACTTATCATGCATCGGTCTTTCGTTGGGTATCCGCGCTTCGGTAGAGCAAGCCTTTGGGTCCATAGAGTTATTTGGAGGGCATGAAAGAATCTGAGAGGCAGCTCTACTACATATATGCACATTGGCCTGGCTAGAGCATCTACTTGTGGGCGAGTTCGGCATTTTGTCTGTACCTCCAGACTTTCGCATCAATCTTAAAGAGACCTCTGATCATGTGCCGATCTTGGTATGTGAACTGTAACGCTTGGATGCAACCACGGAGATTATTGCCACACTGCATTGAAATGCATGCGCCATTTGCTATTTGTGCAGTCCAAGGGAACATCACCTGTGGGAATGTTGCCCCCTTACTATTTCCAATTACGCGCACAAGCATCATCGTCCCGTCTCAACGTTTGACTGAAAAGATAACGGATTGTGGCCCAAACAGATAGGAAATAGATACTCTTTGACGAGTGCACCCATCGGGGTCTAGGTACGCTAGTATCTGGTCCAGCCGCATGTTCAAATGCTGTGAGAAAAAGACCTACAGAAAGGAACCAAGTGGCGTAGACTGTGAACTTACGGGCTTGCAAATAATCGATCACAATGATAAACGTGCTGCGACGATCTGTCAGTCTAGATGCATGTGTTCAACTCTTGGCTTCCACCACAGGAGAATAGAGTCCGTGTTCATAAAGTATAACAATCAACAACCATAACAGTGTAACAGCGTGTCATGCAAGATTGCTGCCAATGCGTCAAATGGGGGGGTACAATTCTTGAGTTCAGTTAGTAACGCAAAACCTTAGTGTTGAAACCTCATGCTGGAGGACTCCCGAGACTTTTTCTTATTTCGGGTGATTAGCCTATTGTATGCATGAACAATGGCATGAAATCTGATTCTTGCAGTGTTGATCAAGATTCCATCCTGCGGCTGCCATGCACCCAACTTCGGCTTTGACAGCGTGTTCGGCGATTGAATGGTGCGCCACCACGTCCAACCACCTCCCTTCAGCATGCGCCACAAACCAAAAACTTCGACAGCACTTCGCTGCCCGTGCTATACTGTTTCACGGTGCAGTGATTGCATACGTACTATTAAGTTTGTTCTCGACAGCTGCCGGAAGGATCAATTTAGATCATCCCACTGTTTTATTGCAAGCCATGCCCACTTGATCACGATATCGTAATACTCCACTCCAACGGTCCCACAAGTCGAGTTACCACGAACTTTGAAGTCATGCACATCGGCGCGGCAAAGTCCCGCTTGACTGTACAATAGGACCTAGTACTAGACTAACTAGCCGATTACCGATCTGCATGCAGCCCACGATTGACTTTCTATCGCCACTCCTAATCCCAAAGGGTAACATCAGAAGCATCTGAGATACCTTTCTGGAAGTGCAACAGACGAATCCGGCCCGCCACCAGAGCCAAGCCCGGACCAGATTTCCGATCTGCCAATATCGCAGGTCACTATGATGCTTAAGGTATCTAGCATCTGAAAACGCCTTCTCGAAATAAGGTTATATGTCTGAAATAGCTAAGACCGACGTGATATGCCTTGGCAGATATTGTGGGTTATATGAATAGGTTAGCACGGCTTGCGTCGCGAGCTGCAACTCATTGATAAGATGATAAAAGCAACGAACCTGCAATTTTGCCAAGACGCGGCTCGTAGTATCAAGTAGTCCATCCATTCATTCAGCTGTGCGATGCGTGCTTTGGCTATTCTAGCCACCCTTCTGGGCCATGAATCTCTGGTCCACGCACAGTTCATGACGAAGCCAGGGAGAAGACCAGATGCGAGCTCTATACAGGAGTCACCATCAGCACCAGATGCAATTCCAACGTCGAAGACGCCGAAGACGCCGAAATTAGACGCAAGTTATTGCGTGAACACAGCAACATCACGGAGTTGTTGGGGAAATTACAGTATTGACACTGATTACTATGTGACGACACCCTATACAGGCGTGACGAGAGAGGTATGAGAGGATCAATAATGTTTTCCCAGCTGTATGACTAAACTAGCGACAAAGTATTGGTTAACTGCGGAATCCACCACACTTGCACCAGATGGATATGAGCGCGAAGTATTGGTCTTCAATGGTTCGTTGCCGGGTCCGACAATTGAAGCAGACTGGGGAGACGAGGTCGTTATTCATATTACAAATAACATACCTGATAATGGGTGAGCAAGGGCTTCAGTCAACCAATGTCGGTTGCAACGCTAACAAACAACTAGCACTTCAGTGCACTGGCATGGTGTTCGGCAGCTCAACAGTATTTTCAGCGACGGTAAGTGCCCATGCAATCCCTGAAGGAAGTCAGGCTGACGCACGAACAGGCGTACCAGGAGTGACCCAGTGCCCGTTAGCGCATGGCCAGACGAAGACCTATAGATGGCGTGCGACGCAGTACGGAACCTCGTGGTACCATTCGCACTTCAGCTTACAACTCGGTGAAGGTCTCCATGGTCCGATCGTCATTCACGGACCAGCAACTGCAAACTATGATATTGACATCGGTCCGGTCGTGTTACAAGACTGGACCCACACCAGCGTCTTCACCATATGGGAACTTCTGCAGAGAAAAACGGCTGACGTCCAACCAGTTGGTGAAAACGGTCTCATCAACGGGTTAAATCCCTATGATTGCAGCCAATCCAGTGACCCGGCCTGCATCGGCACCACCGAGCGTTTCGAGCTCACCTTCCAGAAGGGAAAGAAGTACCGACTTCGTATCATCGGTACTCAGATCGATGGCTGGTTTAAGTTCACTATTGACGGCCACAAGCTCACCGTGATCGCAAATGATTTTGTACCAATCGAGCCGTATGAGACAGATAATATCGTCTTGTCTGGTGGGGAGCGGTATGACATAATCGTCGAGGCCGATCAGCCAGTGGGAAATTACTGGCTTCGTTCAATCTACCAGACTGCCTGCAATAGGAACGATAATCTCAACAAGAACAACATCCGAGGCATTGTGCGATACGTCGGTGCGGATACCTCTGAAACTCCCACCACAAGCGTCAGCAAAACCATTACAAATTCGTGTGGGGACGAGCCTTACGAGAGCCTAGTTCCCTGGGTATCTCACGATGTAGGCAGCAGTGACTTTGAGGATTCATTAGGCATGACCGTTTATATGGAGCCGGACCTTACCTTCAAGTGGACTCTCCGCACCAAGACGCTGATGGTCGATTGGCAGAATCCGACGCTATTGGATATTTACAGAGGCGATGAAAAGTTCCCTCCTGAGAGTAATGTAGTGACAGTACAGGCTACCAACGAATGGGTGTACTGGATACTTGAGGACCAAACCGGAAGAGATATTTGGCATCCTATGCATCTTCACGGTCATGACTTTTATATTCTGGCCCAAGGCTCAACACAATACGACTCTAGCGTGAAGCTCAACACCAAGAACCCGCCGCGAAGAGATACAGCAACATTATATGGTAATGGATACCTCGTGATAGCCTTCAAGACAGACAACCCTGGGTAAGCCATCTCCGCGAGCCACACCCCGAGAAAATTACTAATGTCTACAGCTCTTGGCTCATTCATTGTCACATTGCATTTCACGCAAGCCAAGGCCTCGCTTTGCAGCTAGTCGAGAGACCTGCAGAGATACCCGACCTGATTGCCGCAGATGTCGACCAACTCAACGAAACGTGCAGAACCTGGGTCCCGTTCTACAATTCGGCATCTCAGGCACATTACAAACAGGATGACTCGGGCATCTAATTGTCCTCTAGCGGTAGTGAATTTTGTCCTGGTTTTGGTTTTGAGGCGGTGATGCTACGGCTGTTTTGCTGTATGAGGTGCTTATACCATATCTTTGTTCGCTTACGGTGGGAAATGATGCATACGACTACGCGCGTTAGACTTTTCTTGATAGTAATGATACCTGTTGTTTCCATGACTAAACAAATTTTTCTGGTTAAATGAAAGGAGCAGTGATGTGGTCAAATCGAATGCCGTTCAGATTTTCATGACATGAGCTATCGTTGTCGCACTCAGGTCTCGGGTGGTATGTTTACCATAGCGCAAGGGCCCTTGTGATATACGGCGGCCTTTCAACGCTAGGTTAGTGCTCAAGTCCCCCAAACTTACTATAGCGATTAAGTTAACTTAATACCTACTAACGAAGCAGCATTCTACCAGAGAAAATCCGTGCCGTCTTTTCAGTGTTCTCTGCCAACGTAACAAGATGCAAGCCGAGTTCGAAACCTCGCTGCTTTTTTATTTTATATTTTCTAAAAAATTTTTAGCATAGAAACTGACGAGACATATGATACTGTCACGTTTATATTACAAATTGTAATTAGCTGTTGTCAATGCGTCATGGCGACAAGGAGCTACACGTTTCAAGCGGCGACTTATAGGACAGGACGAGGTCATTGAAAGTGTTTAAGGACGTGCACCAGCTTCAATCGGCTTATGTACATACCTGCAGCACTGTCCGACTTCCCCACTGTCTCTGCAACATTTTCACAACACCAGTCATCTGCTCTGACGCTACAGGCAATGGTAGGAAATGGCTCAGCCTTCCGCAGCAAGGCAATCACCGCTACCATGACTCTGCAATTCATTGACAACAGTTCGATTGATTCCAACACGAGAAGACTGATACGCAGTCATGCCGCCAAAGGTAAGAACATCGGCAAGGGACGGCCAAGGCGGAAACCGCGTCCAGCTGAAGGTTCGCCGCTATTGTCTGTTGGTGGACCAAACGAGCCCCTTGTGGCCCGTTCGGAAAATGCGCAACGTATCACGATAGAACGTCCTCACTTTGATGCAGTATCGCTTTGTTCTACATTCGAGCTCAGTTCCACATCGAGGCGCATGTTTCGGCAAGGTGTGTGGTCAATTTCCGAAGTCCCCGTTTGCCTACCTAACTTAGTCATTGCGAATAGTCTTCTCGTTCATCCGCGTTGAACTCTACCCAAGACAACTTGAAATTGCCATTGAGCACGACATGGCCAGTTCTATGTGGGTGAGGTTCATTTTTGTTGATGAGGCATGTAAGTCACGCGTCTCCTTTTGTGTGGGTCTGTTGCTGGGAGTATCAAGACTGACACGCAGAAGACTTCCACTGCATAATAGCAATGGTTAGTGCTATATCAGGGTTTCCATTGATTGGCAAAGAAGATTCAGCAGAATCATTGCGTCATCTTGCGCACACATTCCGCTTGGTGAACGAGAAGCTCTCTGGGCGCGAAGCAACTGCAGACACGACGTTTGCTGCCGTGGTTGCGATGACCCAGTATTATCGCTTGAGAGGAGACCACAAGCAAGGCTTAGTCCATCTCGACGGCCTTCGGCATATGGCTTGCATGCGTGGAGGTATATCCCACCTTGCACAGACTCATCCCGCGTTGGCTCGAAAGATATTTAGGTGAGCTGATAATGTGCCTTGCATGCAAGCACTAGTTAATGGTTCACAGGGCAGATTTAGAGTTTGCTCTTAACCTTGGAACGCCAACAAAGTTCTCTCACGCGGACATACCCAGTGATCATATCATCAAGTTATTAGACAATACGACACATACACTTTCTTCTTTATGGCTATCGACAGTCTTTGCCCAAGTTCCAGAGGATCTCAGGGAAATTACGTTCGAAATTTTCAAACTTGCGCAATCGATAAACGCGCACACTAGTAGTGCCCAAAAGATCGATGGCGATTTATTTCACGACGTTATCATCTTCCTTGGATACCGACTCAATGCAATAAATCCCCTGTCTGCTCCGCCAATTTCGCATGGCCTATCGGACATGCTGTGTTTGGGTCTGCAGTCTTTCATGGCATCATTCTTTGCTGGACTCAATCGGAAAATGCCATCGTTGCCAAAGCTATCTGCGAGGATTAAATCAGTTGCAGTGGAACCTTCACACACGTCCCAGTCATGGCACAAGTTGCGTCTGTGGATGTTATTCATTGGCCGCACCACAATTCTAAAGCAGTGCGAGGATTCGTGGGTTTTACCGGACATCATCACTAGCATTCGGTATCTTGGCATCTCAAGTCCGGGTGGCTTGCAGGAGACCTTGTCTCAATTCCCGTGGGTCAATTTGTTACATGATGATGTATGCGAACGACTATATGTCAAGATATCGACTGACCTCCAGATCCCACCATTATTGGTCATTTAACTAAAACCAGGGGTTCACCGGGAATTGAATAGAACCGCTATACTGGACTGCTGTCGCTGGGTTTGACTTTCCAACTCCCTTGAGCTCCCACAACTATTCATGCTTAAATCCTAGCCCCACAGTCACCTACTCCGTATTATCCAATACTTCAAGTAATTACCACCACTCTCTGCCCCAGGCCACTCTTGTATACGAAGGTAGGCATACTCTGCCCCGTAGTTTTAACCCCCGTCCTGGTTTTTTCTCTTTCTTTTTCTTTTCTTTGTTTCCATGCGTAAAAAAAGAATTTCTATCTATAAATTTTTACACATCGAACTAGCCGTGCAAGCAACAACCACAAAGTGACCGGCAGCAAGGCAACCAGCAGCGGTTATCTGACAAATGGCTCCCAATTACGGTAGCGCACAGCATTTATGGTTATTACCACGATGATTACTTCAATAGTCTCGTCTTACCAGCTTCTTAATAAGAACTCAACTGCAAACATGGCGATTTCATTCGGGGATACCTCAAGGGTGGTCGAGACTTACCACCTTAGTTGGTCCCACTAAACAGCTGCGCAATGACAGTGACATCCACGATTTAGCCTAAAGGTTGCACAAGCGATACCCCAATTCCCAGGATGGCTGGTGCCGGGAACGCGGGGCGATGTTGCAACCCTCGATCTCTTGTCCCTGGAATTTGGTATGCTAGAATCATGAAAGCCATGGCTCGGGGTTCGGGCAATCTCTTTGTCGAAAGCTGATTGGAGGAATACCTCGGCACAGCGGAAGCACTATGTTAACACGCAGATGAACATTGCCATGCGTCTATTCGCATGGCCGTGCGGAGCCGCCGTCACCGCCATGCAAATGGGCCGGATTCTATAAGAGATCCAAGTCTTGGCTTCTGGATTTCTTGCTGCTTGGACATTCCCGCCTCGGTTGTTGACTCGCTCTACTGCCAGAAATCATCTTGTGATGTTGCGCTCTCTGTACTTGGCAGCCTTGTCGGCGACGGCTTTGGCAGCCCCATCCCCGAGGAGTCTCAATTCAGACATCGCCATATTGATATACAATGACTTGCAAGGTCAGTACAAATTCAGAGCGAATAAAATAATGTGCTAAGTTTATTCAGGAACCGCCTCCGCAGGCGCAGACTCCGGCGTCATCGTCCTAGAAGCGCGGTCATATAACGACGCCAATGCAGCTTGTGCAGTATTGGGCGAGCAATTGTGGTCACCGAGGAATGGGACCTCAACGCCAACTTTAGACTACCTCAAGTATCTCAATTCTGAAAAAGGAGAATCACGGTTCTGGATTGCTTCCAAAGGAACAATCAGTAGCACAATTGACTACGATGGCCGCACGTCTAGAACAGCACCCTCGACTAAGCTTCCAGTCCTCTGCACACAATCTGCTCCATTCTCAAATGAGACAGTCAAGGATACGAGTGAGAAGTGGCAAGTCATGGTCCACTCCAATAACGAGTATTTGACTGGGTAAGTATTCCCTCAACACCCGCCCGGAATGACCTCTGAAAAATGTAGCTTCCGGGATCGTTATAGCTTCCGGTTCTTGGGTGTTCGTTATGCTTCACAGCCCCAACGCTTCACATACTCAACGCCATATGTCGGAAATGGCGACCAAGTATCAGCCTCAGAGTATGGTTCCCAGTGTGTTCAGGGCGGCAACACAGGCTCGGAGGATTGTCTGTTCTTGAACATCTGGACCAACTTCTTGCCTGGACCTCATTCCTCCAAGAAGAACCTTAAACCAGTCATGGTAGGTCTATCTTGAACGTGATGACGCATGTGCAGCTTAAATAACAACTGCAGATCTGGATTCATGGCGGTGCCTTCACAGGCGGTACTGGAAATGATCCGACAGCGGATGGTGGCAACCTGGCATCGCGCGGCGACGTTGTCGTGGTCGACATCAACTACAGGCTGACGACTTTGGGCTTCCTTGCTCTGAACGACGGCAAGACCAATGGAAATTTCGGACTCGCAGACCAAGTCAATGCGCTGGACTGGGTAGAGAAGAATATTGCGAACTTTGGTGGCGACCCTCATCGCATCACAATCTTCGGCCAGTCTGCAGGCGCCGGCAGCGTACGTGCTCTTATCGCGTCTCCTAAGGCCACCGGCAAGTTTGCAGCGGCAATTCCTCTTAGCAACTTGGGTGGAATAAACTACGGCACTACTTACTCAAAATACTACACCATCGACCAAGAGATGGCAGTCGCGGGTTATGCCATTCTCAATGCTACCAACTGCACAAATGCAGTCTCTCAAGTTGATTGCTTACGAGCTGTGTCGGCCTATGATCTCGCCAACCTGGCCACAGTTGCCAGATATCCCGTAGTAGACGGTACGTATCTGGTAGCCGATGAACTCCAGCTATACGGCTCTCCGCTTAATGTGCGCCTGATGTTGGGTACCACCCGCGACGACGGAGCTGCTATGATCAGTTTTCCTAAGATTACAAACCAGTCAGCATATCTAAATGCCTCCGGGTTCTCAGTACCGCCAGCGAACTTGTTCCCCATACCAGCACTCGAAAACCAGACGCTCGCACTGTACAATATGAGTGCACGACTAGCGACAGATGGCATCTTCCGCTGTATCGACCAGGCCACTGTCAAGACTGGGTTAGAAACTGGTGTCTTCCAGCCGAATGTTTACTACTACGAGTTCAATCGTACATATCAGATACAGGGATGGCCCGCACTTGACGTATGCGAACCGCCAAAGACTGCAAGCCACCCATATGGTGACCCCAATGGAGAATACTTCAAATGCCATTCGGGTGAGTTATATTATGTCTTCGGCAATCTGGTACGTCAAGGTCTGCCGATGAGAGATGAGAATGACTTGCCCTTCGAGCAATTTGTACTTGACTCTTTTGCTTCATTCGCGAGAGCTTATGACCCCAACCCGGACCTTGGGTACTTGAAGGCTAGGGGTTATCACAACACGATCGATGAGCTGGCTAAAGCAGGCAAGTGGCAGCCATCCACGAAGAAGAGTCTGACAAAGCGAACGTTACAATGGCCAAGTTTCCAAGGCCCTTTCACGGAATTAGAGCAGTGTGAGGCTTTAGGCTTGAGTATCGACTACTATGAGAGGCGATTCTCTTAGAAACCCCTTTCTGTGACCTATGAATAGGGCTCAATGGGTAATGGCACAAACTCTTGTTAGATAATTATTATAAGTACTTTTCGCATACTATGATCCAAATAATGGCATCCGTTCCGAAGCCTCACTCATTTGATCAACTAGTAGTGGCCACGCATGGTGTATACAACGTTCAAGGTCATCAACGCAATTCGGGGAAATACGTCCGGTAGGGATTTCTCATTGAAGAGCAATATTAAATCATTAATGAGACGATGTGGTTTCTTCGTTGAAACAAGAACGATTCTATACTAATTTCTTCTTATCGGGGTTCTCTGTAATACAGTCATTATCATATTTTCGCGGAGCAATACGTCCGTGGTAGTGCTCCAATTTGATCACGCCATCGAATCACAACACACGCAACTTAGCACTAAGCTAGGAGTCGCGTAATTACGACATCCATTATCGGATGCTTGCCGAAGGTCAGCAGGATATAGTCGACCACTCATAGCTACCAACTTGCACATCCGTACATGTGGAGATTCAAACAAGCCCTTGATTTTGTCAAGCGACAGCCATGCCTTCTGCAACCCAGCCCGCAAAACCATTCCCGGTGTTCTTCATAGGTCATGCTGGAGTGACACTCTTGTTTGAGGAACAGCGCAGTTTCGATACTATCCGAAATAACTTACGTGAGATTGGCAAGGAAATACTCGCTCTCAAACCACGCCCCAAGGCGATCGTTGTATTTAGTGGGCATTTTGAAGCCGGTGAGATTCATGGTCCAGGTGTGATTGAAGTCAACGTCAAGAAGAATACGTACATACTGGTAAGTCCGTCTCCCGTTTCATCTGACACTCCCTCTCACAATTCGATACAGCATGATTTCGTGAACGACTTCCATGACTCAAAACCGTTTGTATATGAATACGAGTGGCCTCATGAAGATGCTCCCGAGCTCGCCAAAGGTATCTGGCAGCACCTGAAGGACTCTAGTATCAAGACCAAGCGGGTGCAGCGCGGCGTTGACCACGGTGTCTGGGTTCCTTTCAAGGTCATGTTCCCTGAAGATGACCCGCTGGATGTGCCTATCATACAGGTCTCGACGTTTCACGGGTATGATCTAGAGAGTCAGATTCGACTTGGAGAATTGTTCAACTCTTTCAGGTTAGAATTCGATGAATCAAGAGCGCCTTTCGAGGTACTGACTTGTTTGCAGACACGAATACGTAATAATTGGTTCAGGAATGGCCGTGCATTCGTTTACTTCGAGGGAGGAAATTCAACAAGCATCAACAGAAGAGGAGAAGAAGGCGGTCGCAGCCCAGGTCCTTCAAGAATCGATGACTTTTGATGAAGCGCTCCGTGATGCGGTGGCCAAGGTCAGCCCGGAAAAGCGTAAGGCCGCAATGCTAGAGTTGGAGTCTCTGCCTGAATTCCGTCGGTCGCATCCAACAGTAGAGGTTTGTAAGCTGTCGATTTCGCTCGAACATCATACTAACAGACATCTCAACAGCATTTTACACCGCTATTAGTCGCTGCGGGTGCTGCTGGTGATGCGCAAGTGGAACCACTTGGGGAGAACATAGTCGAAGCGGGATTCTCATATCTCAACCTACGGTTTACATGAATTGGCATTTCCTCGAATATGATACGAATAGCATAATATATCTATGCATTTATCGAAGGCTCAAATGAAGAGCCAAAACCATTGTTCCCATGATTAACCAAACCATGATACAAGCATTTGGTTCTGTTGAGGACTGGTCTAGTCTGTTACGTGAGAGCTCGAAGCACCAATAACGCCCAGCGACTAAGTCGGTCTCTCAGTCTGCTAACATCAAGCGATGTAGACCCCGCGACAATATACCATGCGGGCATTTCACCAGGCGGCTGCTGGCGCATCTAAAGATGCTGTTGCCCCGCAAATACATACCATATAGACAGCTCTCGGGACCGTCAACCGGGATAACCCCACACATGAGCACGACATTGATAAGGTCAAATGCGACATTACCTAGTAGTTATTGCGATTCTATGCGACTCGCCATTGGTTGCCACTCGCGCTGCCTCGCTGCCAGTAGTGTCTTCGGTGTTCGATACCCAGCAGCCGATCCGTGGCCGGGTCCGGGTATGGCGACATCAAGTCGACCCATGGCGATGGCGGGCAATAAGAAATCCAGGCCATGTACTTGCTGAATTTTAAAACTGTCCCATGGTGACTGTGCGTATGCTAAGGATGGCTTGAATGTGTTAGACTTCGTCCTGCATAGTTTGAAGCAGCATGGGGGATCAAGAAGCAGAGTCGCTTGCATTAGCGAACGCCCTGCCCGGAATAGTCACCAAGAGAACACCAGAGGCATTGAACAAGGAGATTAAGGCATCAGTCAATATTTCTGACAACGCCGTAACGACTCCTGATGCGAATAGTGTGCAGGATAGTGTTTTAAGTCAACAAATTAAGAGAAACGAGAAGCAGATCATTGTGACATGGACAAAAGAGGAGGAGAGACGAGTAGTGCGAAAGGCAGATTTCATCTTGTTGCCTCTGTTCTCCGTGAGTACCGACGCTTCTGGACGAAATGTGGTGGCTGACACAGAAGGCAGTTGATGTTTACATGGATGGCCATCGATCGCACCAACGTGTCCGGTGTCCTCACATCTACGTTCCTCGCTGACACTGGTATGACCAGAGACCAAGCGAATATAGGTATCTCCCTGCTATGGCTTGGTATTGTGCTACTAGAGATTCCCTCCAACGTAGGTCAAACTTGGACCATCACATCTATCTGGACACAACGTGTTGATGATTTCCTAGATCGTTCTGCATCGCATCGGACCACACTACTGGATCCCGGCGCAGGTCATTATTTGGGGGTTGATTGAAGTCCTTCAAATGTTCGTCCGGAATGCCAGTGGTTGGTATGCCGCTCGTATCTTTCTTGGTCTCGCAGAAAGTGGTTTTATCCCTGGTGGCCTCTATACCCTCTCCCGATGGTATACTCGCGACGAGATCACCAAACGCACCACCATTTTCTTCTTCGGACCATCGATATCTGCTGCATTCGGATCTTTGATTTCAGCCGGTGCTCTAAGCATTGCCGATAAACGCGGTTTAGCTGGATGGCAGTGGTAAGGTCAACCAATACGCAATAATAAGCGCCTACATGCTAATAGCTCATAGGATTTTCATTATATGCGGAGTTTCGACAATTGGTTTGAACAGCCTCCACTTAATGTTTTCGAGCTTTTGCTGACCTGTAAAAGCGACTGGTATCCTGGCATTTGCACTCGTTCCGAGATCACCCCATCATACTGGGCACCTGTTCGGTGGACTGATCAAGACGCGGGGTTGGTTGACGGAACGTGAAGCTGACGTCTTCGTTGCAAGACTCCTCTTATCCGATCCTCTAAAAGGTCAATCATCTACCATGAAAATCACCCTGAAGGACGTGTGAGTTGTGTGGCTCTGAAGTCTAGGCGGGATTCTGCTAATGTCCGGAAGTACCGATGTTCTCCTCGATCGAACGACCTGGCCTTATCTCATCGTGTGCCTGAGCGGCCTCCAGGCCGTCAATGGTCTATCCACCTGGGGCGCCACGATCATCCAGTCTCTTGGGTTCAGTAGTGTACGTGCCAACTTGCTGAACTCACCAGCGCCACTTCTTGCTTCCATCTTCGGCGTTGCGCTGGCGTCAGTCGTGGATCGGACAAAACGATTCGGTTATGCTATAATATTTGTCGCAATCTGGACTCTAGCAGGATTGATCGCTCTTTATGTAAGGTCCATGTGTCCTTCGAGCTCATTATGTTGTGGTCCTAACGAATTAAAGCACCTCCCAGTAACGACAAAGTCTTCTTGGTCGTTCTATGCAGCATACGTCGTAACACAAGCTTCTCCTTCTTGGCAGCCAATCAATGTGACATGGTTGTCGCTCAACACCAAGACGCCGCAGCAGCGGGCCATCGCCTACGCTATTTACAGTGAGTATTCCCACCAATGAGCACCAATACAAAAGCCCTACATCACAACTCACCACAAATCTCAGTTGGATGTTCGAATCTCGGTGGTACATATGGAAACCAAGTATTCAGAGGTGTAAGTCTCCTTCCATCTGAGAAGTGGCCTCCATAGCTAATCAAACTTGTCGCTGGCAGAGCGATGCGCCGCTTTATCGTAAAGCTTGGGCAGCCTGTTTAGCTCTTGGTGCTGTTTGGCTAGCGGTTGTCTTGTTGCAAACAATTGCGTTCCGCATCGCAAGTTACCGGTATTCGCGGAGAATTGGTAATGCGCCCGAACTGGAACCTAGAACGTTGTACTACGATAAACAAGGGCGAGCCCACCGATATTACTGGTAATCCCATAGGCGATCACCTCAGGCGCATTCTGCTTGGCCTAGCAGCTCACATTGTCAACGAGTTGCGCCCAAGCAACCAAGCTTTTGGAGTCTCAGAGGACGGACTTTCAAGATATGAAACTACGAAGGACCTAGATTACAGCTGGAATCAAGAATTGCCCACCTCATGCAGAATCCACGTGCAACTCACTGGCATACAGCCTAATGTGCTAATATGCCACTTCCCCAGTAGCCGACGCCTCCAATAAGCCCCCGCCCCCCAGTAGGAAAATAAGCCGTTTCCCCAGCGTGCTGATCAACCATTTCCGTTTCTGTCTCCAACTTCCTATATAGCAGGTCTTCGCTTCCCCGACTCGACTAGACATAGCCGTAAGCCGGATACTGGTCCCTTGCGCCACGTAGAGGCGACTGCTGTGCTCGGGTAATATTTTTTAATTTTCGTACTTTTTCTGTGCCTGTCGTTCCTCGAGTAGTTGCGGGGATCCCAACAAACCTGCACCGAGCATGAATTCAATTCCATGTGAGCTGCTCAGTGACCAGGGTGTGGCTAGATCTCTTTGATAACTACGACCGTACGAACTGGTAAGCCGTTCTTCTGAATCGTCGCACCAATGGGTTCTACCGTCCGACAACTTGATCCGGTCCAGATATGATGCTGAGTCGGGGCTAAAAGCAACGACATCTCCTGTGGCCGTGCTTTGGGTCAAGTTGCCCGGTGACAATACACGAATTGAGTGTCGAGGCGCTCTGTGCAGCTCCATAGCTCCATTTGCACTTATACCGCCTCGCTTTTTATGTAATTGCTGGATACGTGTTAGATTTGATGCTAGATAGTATTCTGTGTTAGGATCTTGACATACCCAATCCATGATGGATAGAGGTCCTAGCCGACGATCGTTGTGGAATGTGTGTTTTATAGGAACGCCAGGTCTTCGGACCAACGTCAGTACCATGGGCACGTCTGACGCCGGGTTTGACTCAGATATGACTTTGATTCAGATATGAAGTGTGTGATACAGTAAATGTTTGTCTGATCAAGGTTGTACGGGATGAGAGGAAGTTGTAGGAGATGAAGTAATTTCCAACGAGGTAACTTAAAGTTCATTTTATACTCAGGGCAGCTAACGTTAGTTCGGGTGGAGCGGAGGCCTCATTGGGTCAATCCGTCCAAGCCACCGACTGCCACAGCCATAGCCCCCAAATGTAGGCGCGAAGAGGCAGTGCATTTGTTTAGAAGCGCAATGTCGTCATCTGGGGAGTGTTTCAAAAATCTCAGCGTAAGCCGACCCCTTCAAAAATCACCAATTGCCCAATAAAGGTCCATGAACAGCTGAAAGTCATGTTTCACCATTATCAGAACTACCGCAAGTGCTGATGCAGACTGTGTCGACAGCCGACACTAGACCAGTTCAGGGCTCGTTGGGCAAAGCCTCAGTGTGTGCAAGCCCTGCTCACCGAACCACAAACCAACCACACGTCAATGTCTTGTGGTACTACTCGACACAGGCCCTTTTGCCGATAGATTCAATCTCGTGAAAAAATGTGACGCCAAACTCGGTGAGATAGGAGAGGTCGCGAAATAGAAAGTATCTCGACATCAAATCTCGTTTGTGAGGTGTGCATTGGAGACTTCCGACGCGGCGCCTCAGGAAAACCCATGACGATCCACTGTCTTCATCTGATAAGACAGCCAACGGGAGTACCCCTAACACCAAAATGACAATGCCAGAGAAGAGCAAAGAGGCTGCGAGGAAACAAAGGCACCGGGCGAATGTGAAGTCGAAACTCGAGAATGAAAAAAACCGTCAGGCGGAACAAAAACAAACGTTTGTGTCGGTATCATGTCACTGCGCAACTCCCTGCTCTTCTACAAGGACGGATTTCTGTGAGCTCTACGCGGCAGTCCCGCTTGCAGTCACCTCGGGCGATTCGAAGACATGGACACGCATCATCCGTTTGATCAGGCTTAAACCAGCTAAGGAGGGCGATCCTCTTGAGTGCGATCTTTTCTACGCATCGTTAGATGATGGCTACCATTTCCATGCCCTATCATATGCATGGGGGAGTTCCGACGACCCGCTACCAATCCATGTGAATGGCCGCCGCGTCAACGTAACTAGAAACCTGCACACGGCTCTTTTTCATCTCCGCAATGATAGAGCGACAACCGTCGTATGGGTTGATGCAATATGTATCGATCAGGGAAATCTGCCAGAAAGGACTGACCAGGTCAAACACATGCCACAGATCTACCGTGCCGCCGCTGAAGTCATTGCTTGGCTTGGAAAGGAAGCAGATGGAAGTGGTCTTGTCATGGAATACATCAAAAGCTACGCCATCGGCACGAGTGAGGTCTTAAGCCGACGTTCAGAGCCGACTTTTTCCCAACTCGAATCCTTATGGGCTAGACCCTACTGGAGTCGCATTTGGGTAGTTCAGGAGTTGGCATCGGGCTACAGATCAAGCGGCAAATGCTTTATCAAATGTGGTCATCAATCCGTGCCGTTTGACCAGTTTCGACACTTTCTAGGAGATTTCCTGGACAACTATTTCTACACAGGACACGATAGCGTGCTGGGGCCTAAATTTCTACTTAACCTGAGTATCATACCCGAGGAGACATCTTTCTTGGAGATTCTATCCAAATCTGGCGCGCTGGAGTCTACAGACAAGCGTGATAGGGTCTACGGAATTAGGGGCATCTCACCCGAATTTTACCGCACCAAGATTCCGGTGGATTATGAAATCGATTTTCAAGAGTTATGCAGAACCGTTGTTTCAACATATATCAAGAAAGAGAAGACACTGGATATATTATGCCAGTTTGGAACATTGCCACCTCAATACCCGTCCTGGGTGCGCGACTTGAGCAATGTTAATCACGGAGTATCCCTGTCAGCCCACTCTGCCTCCGTTGGGGGTCAATCCAACCCGACCATCTCCGACAGCATTCTCCATGTCAAGGGGAAACGTATTGGCGTAGTCGAACTTGTAAGAGGTCCTTACAAGTTCCCTCCCCTGGAATCACTGAAGATTGGCCAACCATGGCCCACGATGCCGAGGCTGAAGAGACTGGAAAACTTCGTCTTAGCAGCAATGGGAAAGCGGCATAGAGGCTCACCGTCTGGGAATCTCCATGAACGCTTCATGAATATGGTCTCGGGGGATAGGTGGCGAGGTACAGGCATGCACGGCCTAAGGGTTTCCCTAGACCCATACGAGACTTGGGAGTCAGTCAGTCGTTACAAAGAAGCCTCGCCCGTCGATGAGCAAATGATGTTGGAATATAAGTACTTCACCTTTCTCTTCAGCCCACTGATTGGTCGAACACTTTTCGCAACAGCTGGTGGCAATGTTGGCGTCGGTCCGCCCAACATGCAGAAAGATGATATGATATGTTTGCTTTACGGGTGCAGCTACTGTGTTGTTTTGCGCAAAGTTAAGCAACGCCACTACGCTTTCATAGGGCCGGCCTATGTTGACAACGCAATGAGTGGAGAGTACGTCAGGCAAGAATATGACGATGAGGGAGCTCAAATGAGGGAGGAACAGTTTCATATACATTGAACCGGCTAAGGGGGTCGTATCAATGGCGCATGTGTAGGCCTATGACTAGTAGGCTCCCGAAGGCTCTAGGACCCCTCCGGAGTTTACGAAAGTCTCTACTACGGTTCTAACTAAACTGAGGTGCTGTGATAAGCAGTATTCGGTTTTGTCGCACCATCTTGTGGGATCCTCTTGATCTTGGCCAAACATCGCGAGAGGATGTATATGACGATGAACCATTCTGATGTGCTTCTTACAGTCTGCAAAGAGTTTTGCAACTCATTTTTTCTTCTAGCTTTCCACCGTTCGTGTTGTTGCATATCCTCGACCACCTTGTTCCTCCATGAGAAGTATGTCTCTCGTATTATAGATACAATGCTGCCGAGATCGAAGGCAACGAGCAAGGTAACCAAGCCTACAGTTGCCGAAATGATGATGGAAGGACTCCGTGTGTCAGGCTCCGGAAGATTCGGAATGGCTCAGAGTGCCTATAAAGTCAGTGATGACCGGGAACCTTTGATGCGGGTTAGCGCGCACACCACATAGAGTGCCAGTAGAATATAGAAGATGCTCACATACGTCAACAACATGACATTCTGATTTAGATTGGTGGAAGTTCTGCTTTCAGTAATCGCAGCTCAAGAGAATTATTATGTATAATCAGCTACAATAATCAAGATGTATAATTCTACTCACGATCTGCAGTAGCTCTTTGAGTGTTGAGTCTAGACGATTGAGCTTGTCGGTGATGCTGCCTTCAAGGTCGGCCAACTGTTGCAGGTCCACGACGCAGCCATTGTACTATATGCAAATGACTAGTGATAAAGCTACGGGCAGTTTGGAATATCTTGGACGATTTGCCTTGATTCGGCCAATTTTTGTGCGTCTTTTGCCAAACAACGCATCATATCAGGACTTTTGCCTTTCTGCTTGAAGTTGGGCAAGTCTCGGAGAAGCCCTTCCACATTAGCATCGATGACTCAAAACCCGCCCTGTTCCTTGTTCGGATAGCAGATAGCCAAATAAATAAACACAACTCACTGATTCGACAAGGTGCTTATCATCAAGTTCGTAGATTTGAATCCATCTTTGGGTCACACATGCCATAAATTGTATGAAGAATTCGGCTCCGTTAATCAGCAGCCACCCGTACGGTAGCGGACTAAGGCACAATACGAGCGCCCATGGTCCGTGGACCGATATCGATGGCCTAGATCTCTATGCATTAACCTAATGTAGTTTGGAATGCTGAAGCAGCCCGGTTAAGTGTTCTTATTAGACGGAAAGCAGAGCGAAACGCAAGTGTCTACACCAGGACCTTCGGGTGAGGTCTTACGACTCTGCAAAGACGTTCGAAGCCGGTATTGGATTATCTTATCAAGACGCAAGATTCTGATACATCCTCAAAGGAGTTTATCAACATCCAATCAGGAGACACCAAGATCCGACACCCTACAAGAGCCATTCTTTACTACCAACTATCGAAATGAAGCACTATTAGTGATAATACTGATCTGGTGCCCTGGTCCCTCAACGAAGATAGCCCTGAAATGCCAGTTGTCTCTTTGCCAAATGTATCGAGCCACTCTGAAACCAAGATGCCCTTGGAGTCTGGGAGTACTTAAGCAGTAATGCTGAGGCCAGATTATTATTTCTGACACAATGCCATCCGCCATGGAGTCAACCCTTTACTGTCGCGATTGTTTACTTCGTACTTGCTCGCGAGGAACAACTCCACAGCTCTCATATGAGTCGCTTCTAAGTCTCTACGCCTCACAGCAGTCCAAGAGCTCATTTGTGCAGAAGAGTGAAGTGTTTGGTCCTGATTGTTGTTGTCAATGGGTTTAGCAGTACTCCGACTTGAGCGAGGTATGCAAGATGCAAAGCCTTGAGCGAGTGATAGGCTGAAATGCACCTCCGGAGAATTCCTTTAAAATTAATATTCCGCAATGTGGCTACACAGCAATCCGGTTTTCTAATTCCCCTATCACCTGGCGGCACGGCCAGAAAGTTTATGATTATAGTACGCCAACTTCATGTTTCAACCGACCCTCTTCAAAGTCGACTTCGCTCCAGTTGGTTTTCTAAGTCTTTGAGCGTAAACAGTCGCAAGCGCCAAGTATCCTCATTGTAGGAAGGCAGTCAGACTCGAACCGATAACTCATGCTGATCATTCAATGGAGGACTGGCGCGGAGCTAGGAGGCTAATAATGGTCTCTGACGGTGTGGAACAGGTCTTGAGATTCAACGTTTCCTTCCTTAGTCTGGTCTAGGGCACTTGACCCCCACAAGCCGGAACCAGGAGCGACGGTCCAGTTCTGTAGTGCTCGATATTAAACCGCGGAGCTCAAAAGAGTCCCCGGAGCTGCTTCCGCGCACCGCTGGTCAAGAGGAACTCCAACGGTACCAGAACAGCAGCCGCAGCCATCATCTCGTCCTCACTCATGCAGCTGACTATCTGATTGAGACGGGCAGGTCGGCTGCGGCGTATACAGATCCATGACTACAGCCAGGCTTGGGAGGCGGATTGGACTCCCAAGCCAGAGGAAGCAATGATCCAGGCTTGCTCTATGGCACTCGGCAGACTCCTGCCTTTCATTGAACGAGGGCCTATAAGCGAGTCAATCTTGGACCCTTTCGAGGCCTTGCAAGTTCGAGCCTCGTGATTTCGAGTTCTCACACGCTCCTTGCACCATTATTGACACGCCTAGTCCCTAGCTCTGACAGGGGCTCCCGACCACATCCTTTGCCCAACCCTATCCAAGACGTCGAACAAGCAAGAAGGAATGTGGGGAAACCTTAACGATTGCGGCAATGATTCGTTTGTACGGCTTGAATCCACGGGGAAACCCACTGAAGGACGGGAGGAGATAATTCGCTCTGGTTTGATGCCGTACGTGTTGCGTTTTTAGCAGATCGCTGCAAGAACGCCCAACACTAGGAGATAAGTTCCAAGAGTTCCCGGCTCACGGGACGGCAAGCCACGCTTTCGAAAGCCTTAGTCCACGTACGAACTGACGACTTTTGATTCTAGATGTGATCGTGAATCATGATAGTGCGTCGATGGACGCCTCTCGGCTGACGTGGATGGTCAGAACTAAATCCGGAAAACAAACAGCGTCGAGCCGCGAAAGAAATGGCCATGGCATTTGCCGTAAGGTGTGGCGAGCTATTTCAACTCACTGGCGATTGACTCCTCGCCACCATTCGTCGAATCTGTCGATGATTCAACCGACTCGGCGCAAACCGCGCCAATCGCTCGATGGTAACGTGATTGGCATCATATCAAGAGGCGACGGACATGTCAGAAGACCGAGACGGCATGCCATGCCCAAGATACGAGAACCCGCTAGCGAAACTACAGATATGCACGACCGCCGAAACGGGTACGGTATGCACTTGATTGGAAAAGCTCACCGTCCTTGCTGGCGATATGATGTATCGAGCCCAAAGAAGAACAATGCGCCCCACAACGAATGCGACGCTGCGATATCGAATATACGATTCTTCACCATATGTGCCGATCCAATCAAGCGGTTCCGCGATAGCCGGCGGGACCTATGACCTCTAGTCAGAGCAAAGGTACTTGTACTTCGAGTGAGCTTGAGCAGGCTTTGAGCAATTGTGTTTAATGCAGTGTGGGTCGTGGAAACCTGGATCTAGACCGCTCAATAATTCCCGAGAGCTATTTCCTTTTTCTACTGTCCCTCTACCAAGTGGGTCATACTGAAATTCACGATTTGTTGCGACTGGGTTGGGACTGGGGATGGGAATTCCTCAAGATTTCCCGATCAAGGCAAATCCCCGATAAACACGGTATTTCTTAGATAAACTGCGGTATTCCCCAGGCCTGTAGATACTTCTTTCCAACCCTAGTTGTGGTTGAAATCATAAATTCTTTTTGCACCCTCCTCACTTTGCCTTGTCATCGACTCCCTGCCACGTAGGCTAGCGCATGAAGCGACATCCGGGCTCTGGGATTTGCGGATTTGTAGTGGTTTGACAGGTGGGGATGAACGCCCCATCTTATTTCGACCCACCGATCCTATAGATGATTTATAAACACCCGACAGTCTCTCGGCTCAGCAGCTAGGACGGGTACCAGGCGAGCCTTGATGAGTTCTTTTTTTGTGGGAACACGAACTAGTCGAAAAACTAGCCTCGGTATCGCTAGCAGCAAGACACATCCATCTCTTGGCAAGTCTCCTTCCATAAATACGTCGCTGAGTCGCGTTTGTAATCCGGATCATGATCGAGTGCATACAAATTTCGCCATTCCCCCTCATCATATGATGCCGGATAGTCTTGCCAACCTTGGCTGCATTACCGAATACCTCTGTGTTGCCACGGCGGAACTTTCCTGTGCCATTGCAGAAAAGTTATAAATGCCGCAAGTATACAACCGGGTCTCGGAAATGTCTCTTTAGAAGATTAAGAGAATACCACTTTCTCCAACGATGCTGTTTAGTCAGGAACCGTCGGGCGCAACGCTGCTGGGCCTTTCAGCCCTAGCCGGCCTCGTGTTTCATCATGCATATGCTAGACGGGTCGAAATAGACTTTTACGTCTGGAGTCTGCTTGGCCTTGCAGCAGTGCAGGGCCTAGTCATCGTCTTGTGGGCGGTCAATATCTGGCAGGTTCCCTTTCCGGCAGCCTTATATATCCTTGTCAAGTGCATGCTGTCTTTCTCAGCCAGCCTTGTGAGCTCCATCCTGATATACCGTGGCTATTTTCATCGAACGGGGAAGTTTCCCGGCCCAGTGGCTGCGCGCTTCAGCTCGCTGTGGACCGTCAGGAAGAGCTCGGGCGAGTTCAAGTTTCATCAGCGCCTCAGCGATGTGCATAGTCAATATGGGGATTTTGTGCGTATCGGGCCGCGACTTGTATCCATCACACGAGCGGAAGCTCTGCCTCAACTGATGGCACTCGGGAAAGGCGTTTGGTGGTCACACACGGGAAGCGACCACACAAAACAGAGCTTCTCGCTCTCTCGTGTACCGGAAGATCATAAACAAAGACGCCGACCTTGGGAGCTGGGATTCAGCGAGCGATCGATCGAGAGGTTCGATCCCGACGTCCAGGAAATCATCGGGATATTCTTACAGCAGGCCGAGGAGCAGGAAGTCGTGAGTGTACCCGCCGCGATGGGGAGACTCTCGTTCGACATCACCGGACTAGTGGGGTTTGGCCGCTCCTTCGAGAGCTCGTCTCGACAAGTGGCGCATCCCGGTCTGGTTGCCATGCGGAAAGCTCATTACGTGCTTGGAAGCTTACGGTGGATGCCGTGGCTCATGTACTTCCTCAGCAAGCTACCTGGCGGCGGGAGTGATTTCGTCCCCTTCCTCGACCTTTGTGCGGGTGTTGTACACGACAGGCAGGCCCGGTATCGGGCAGAAAAGGCATCTGGAATTGACGGCGACGAGGATCGTAAAGATGTCATGGCGCATGTCCTAGAGGCCATGGATGAAGGTGGACCCGGTGCCAACTCTACGGCGGAGGCATTGGAGAACGATAGCCGCGCTATGATCGCGGCAGCAACAGATACGACGCAAAGCGCGCTTGCGAACGCACTATGGTTCCTGGCTGCAGAGCCAGCCCTGCTTCAGAGGTTCCAGAAAGTTCTCGACAAGGTTTTCCCTGGAGGTGCTGACTCTTTCACCTATGCAAAGCTTATCGGTAATAATGAAACACTGGAATGGGTTGATGCCATAATACATGAGACCCTCCGCTTGCGCCCATCTGGCATCAGTGGGAATCCTCGTGTCACTAACCCGGAAGGGCTGCTTATTCCAGAATCCGAATTTGGACCGGAAGTGTTCATACCCGGAGATGTCGATGTGCTGGCGCCGACATGGGTGATACATCGCGATGAAAGATGGTTTGCGCGCCCCCTGGAGTTTCTCCCAGAACGGTGGTTGCAAGGATCTACCATACATACTGACAGAAATGGCTTTTTCCCATTCAATATTGGTATGATGATGAACTGCGCAAAAATTGCCGACCGTAGCTAACGCTTGATTTCGCTAGGTAAACATGCATGTGTTGGGAAGACGTTGGCTATGCGGGAAATGAGAAGCTTGGTAGCGAGGGTTGCGCTGAGCTTCGATCTTCAATTTGCAGAAGGAGACGATTGGCAGTCGTACGAGCAGAAGATCCAGGACGCTTTCACACTAGCTTCGCCGCCCTTTAGACTGATGTTTCAGAAGAGAAGTAGGACAGTGTGATTGGTCGGTAACATGTCGCGGGTTGCATGGAGATATACTGAAGATTGATTCACTGAAGATTGAATTATTGCAGACCATTTAGCACAGGATCTCGCTGAAGGAGCTGCAAGAACTCAGAGATCTGACTGCTGACAGATTGATCTAAATCCTTTTCGCTGATGCTTCTTGCGATGCCACTCAACGCGCTGGCCGAATGCACGTATCGCCTTTTGATGCCCGGTGGCGCCCTTGTGAAGAGTGCGGTGCATACTTCTAGTACGTCAGCCCATAATTGCTGTAGGGACAACCGAGGCTGGACACTAGGTGGAACATTATAGGCGGCTGTCGCCGTAACGACGTCTAGCCAGTCTTCGGGTGTGGCTGTTCTGCTTTCGACAATGATGACCAGAATTGCGGATATGTGCTGGCCAAGCTCGTGACCAAGTTGGTCGCTTTCTTCCGACGTTGTTAAGATATTAAGCAGGTCTTTGCTCAAGATCGACCAACCATCATGCTCTAGAAGAGCCTGGACCCCATCCTCTTCTTTGAGAATGCCGTCAAGCACGCCTAGCACTAGTGGGCGCGTTGCGACTCCAACCCGCGCTGCAGAACTTGGTTGGTAAAGATCCACGAGTAGATCCATGAGACCCGTAGCCTCTCCTCTCAGAGTGGGGCCATCGTCTTCTCTCAACCAATCACCTAGGCATTTGAGAGCCGCCAGCAGAAGCCGGTCTTCAGATGCGGTTTCGTGTTGAGAATCCCAAGCCAATGTCTTGAGGGATCCTGAAGCAGTATGTGCCACACCGGCGCGAGCTTCCGGATGCAGACCTTGAGCCCCAGAAACTGCAGCATCCCAACGGTCTCTGAGATATTCCATTACGAGAGACAGCGTTTCCACGACTGAATCTCTGAGCTTTAGCAATAGGTCGGGCTGTACTTCACTAAATATGTCTTCCGAGTCTGCTCGCTCCATCATGTGGAGCAGATGGTTGATGAAGAAAGAGATGACGACGAGGCCAGAGGTGAGCCTCTCGGAAGTGGCCGGATAATCCGAAGTGTTGAGCTTCTCGAGCAATGTTGGCAGGCATGCGCGGATGTCAATCAGAATGAGGTTCATGAAAAGATGAGGAACTGCCTTTGATGTGTTGAAAACGCCCTTGAACAGCATGTCGCTCGCAGTATCGCCGTATGCCACGAGAAGGTTGGCAGCACAGTTTGTATACGCTTCGCGGCTAGCAGCTGTAGGCTTGGATAACACAAGGCTATGTATGAATGTAACGATCGGTTCTAGCCACGTAGGTTGCTTTAATAAAAACTGGAAGCAGGTCAGCCAATGCATTCTGACAAGAACGAAGCATAACGAAGAGATGTACCGAGTCCAGTTAAAGCGAGGATAAGCGGAAGCTTACGTTGGGATCAATACGACTGAGGAGCTTGCCTAGGAAATCCAGTAGTGTTACAGCATCCGTGCCTTTGTATGATGCGCATAGAGCAGCGATGGCCTGGTCGATGCGGGTTGCGAGCGCACTTGCATCTCCAGGAGCACTGCCATTAGTCCATGCCCACGCCAGAACAGTCAAGGCCATAGGCTGCTTCGGTGATATCTCAGTGAGCGACGACCAATCCAGAATTTCCAAGAAAGCAGTGCTCCCATCGTGAGAGGAGCTGGCAATTGTAAGGAGTGCCCTGAGAATGACATCTGTCGTCTCTTCCGAGCTAGATTGATCAACATGCACGTCCATACCCCTGCATTTGGACCAAACAACATACCTCTGCAATAGACCATCAACCAAGAGAGGTACTCGAGCAAGAAGCTTCCCGTCGGACTTTTCGTCATCTGGAAGCAGAACCGCGAATGTGTAGATAACGTGGGCCGCAAGGTCGAGCATTTCCCTTGCATCTGCCTGCTTCGCACCAGACTTTGACCCCGTCCGTAACAGACGATCCAGGAACTTGGATGATACGGAGCTCCACAGCCTGGATATCACAGCCTGGTCGTTCCTCAAGCCATCATCAGTATCCAAGGTTGACTTTAGCAGAGCTAAGCCAACGAAGCGAGAAGTGTCATCCTTTGCTTTCAAAAGCTGTGCGATACTCTCCACCGGTGCGACAGTAGTGGCATTCGGGGTTGGCTCCTGAGTATCTTGTGGCTGGGGTTTGTCCATTTCCTATATCTGATGGGCTGGCGTAGTCCATGCAAATTTTACGTTGCGTTCGCCTCCGCGATCATTGGTGAGAACCAAAGAAGGGCCGGATTAGATCGAACAAATTAAGAACATCAAAATTTAACAGAGAAGCCGATTGATCGTCGCCGAGAACGGTGTAATCCAGATCCTCACTGCATGTCAATGAGGAAGTTCGAATCAGGCAAAGATATGAATGAATGAATAAATGAATGGATGAATGACTTCACTAGGTTAGGTTAGTCTATATTGGATTTGCGGCATCTCGAAGTTTCGAGGCCATCATTTGCTTGCAGATTTCGAACGTCCAAGTCAGTCACCTCTCTCCACAGCTCCGTAGGCGGGTCACAATTCAGTAGCAGCCACTAAGTTAACTGGCTGGCATTACACGTACAGAGCTGAGAGTAAGTTAGCTTCACCTGGGGCCGTGGCCTCGAGCTGCTTATCGGGGCTTATCAGTGATCTGAGGTACGTAACCAAAGCCCCCCTGCAGCGCCCTGTGGCCGACCCCCTACATGCTCATGCTCATGCTCATGCTCCAGCCGTCGCCATCGCTGGAACGCCAGATAGTCTTGGACGCCAGATGATCAGGTAACCACTGTAATCGCCAGACGATCGAACATGGCAGTTGTTTCTGCCGTTCACCAAGTATGCCCAGTAGGATATCTATAGGCGAGGAAAGCTCTTTTCCGGCCTCGCGCAGCACCAGCGATGCACCGCCGCCCCGAGCCGCGCATGGGCGCAGTCTCGACGACAATGACGACGATGGGGACCGCGCATTGCTCGGCGCCCCAGAAGATAGTGACATCCTGGGCGACGACCCCTTGGATCATCCCGTGAGCTTCAAGCGGAAACAAAAAGAACCCATGCTCTCGCAGCCTGCCCGTCTGCTCTCAGCCATCACCGGAAACCGTCTCGGCACACCTCCACGATCTCCGAATTCACGATCGCCGCATATCTCGGGCGCAAACACGCCGACTGGACTACACGGGCTCACAACCCCCACGAGGAACCACGCAGGTGGATATGCGACGAATGGGTCGAAAGACGGGATACCGCTGGACTGGTACGTCGAGGGGCCCGGTCGCAGAGTCGGCTACGAGGATCTTACGGCCATCGACTGGATCTTCGAGTATACGAAAGAGCGACAGCGACTCCGAGTCCTTTATTCGAGCGCGTCAGGAATTGTGGGATATGTACAACAGCTGCTCGACGCTTCCCAGACTTGGTTCATTCTCGTTCTTACCGGCATTGCCGTTGGCGCATTGGCAGCAGGCATCGACGTGACGTCTGACTGGCTGGGCGACCTGAAAGCCGGCTATTGCTCGTCGGGGCCAGACGGGGGCGCGTTCTACCTGAACAGGGGATTCTGCTGTTTCGGATACGACCAAGGTGCCAAATGTGTGGGATGGAAGCCGTGGGCTGCCGCGCTAGGAATCACGAGCGCCGGCGGCAAGTGGTTCATTGAGTATTTCTTCTTTTTGCTTCTCTCCGTCACCTTTGCGCTGTGTGCAGGCATCCTGGTCAAGGAGTATGGCCTTTATGCAAAGCACAGTGGTATCCCAGAGATCAAGACTATGTTGGGAGGGTTCATCATTCGAAGGTTTCTTGGTGGATGGACACTAGTCACCAAGTGCCTCGGCTTGGTACGATTCAAGGCCCTTTCTGTCGTCTGAGTATCTAGCTGACAATAGTGCAAAAAGGCTCTCGCCGTCGCATCAGGCATGTGGCTTGGCAAGGAAGGCCCTCTGGTTCACGTAGCTTGCTGCTGCGCAAATCTGCTGATCAAGCTCTTTCCCAGCATCAATGGGAACGAAGCACGAAAACGCGAGGTCTTGTCAGCAGCTGCTGCATCCGGTATCTCTGTTGCCTTTGGGTCACCCATTGGCGGGGTGCTTTTCAGTCTCGAGCAGCTCTCGTATTACTTCCCCGACAAGACCATGTGGCAGTCATTCGTCTGTGCTATGACCGCTGCCGTGATGCTCCAAGCTTTCGATCCGTTTCGATCTGGCAAGCTCGTCCTGTTCCAGGTCCATTACGGCTCGAGCTGGCATGGGTTTGAGATGATCCCCTTTGCAATGCTAGGCATCATGGGCGGAATATATGGTGGTCTTTTCATCAGAGCGAACATGGCCGTAGCGCGGTGGAAGAAGTCCACCACCTGGCCGCTTCCGGGACCCTTGACGCAGGTCGTTCTTGTCGCTTTGCTTACGGCGCTCATCAACTACCCTAATCTTTATATGCGCGCTCAGTCGTCCGAGCTCGTCACGAACTTGCTGTCGGACTGTACACAGATTCTGGACGATCCGCTCGGCCTTTGTAAAACTGGTGCCGCCACTGCGGGCACCATCGTGCTGCTCCTCTTCGCAGCTATACTTGGCTTCTTTCTGGCTTCGATTACCTTTGGGCTTCAGATCCCTGCTGGCATCATCCTGCCCAGCATGGCCATTGGCGCTCTCACAGGCAGAGCTGTCGGGCTTATCATGGAGATCTGGCAGCACAATCATCCAGGTTTCATCGCATTCAGCAAATGTGAGCCCGATATCCCCTGCATCACGCCCGGGGTCTACGCCATCATTGGTGCCGCCGCAACTCTGGCAGGCGTCACCCGCATGACCGTATCTATTGTGGTCATCACTTTCGAACTCACGGGTGCGCTCACGTACGTCTTGCCCATCATGATTGCGGTCATGTTGTCAAAATGGGTAGGTGACGCCTTTTCGCGCCGCGGCATCTACGAGTCCTGGATTCATTTCAACGGCTACCCCTTCCTGGACTCTGGCGACGACGGCACCGGCGCCCAGAGCATACCGGACATCCCGGCGGGGCAGATCATGACGCGGATCGAGGACTTGGTCGTGCTGACGGCCACGGGGCACACTATCGCCTCGCTGCGCAGCGTGCTCGACTCGTGCGAGTACCGCGGCTTCCCCGTCATCTCGGACCCGCGCGACGCCATCCTGCTGGGCTACATCAACCGCTCCGAGCTCGTCTACAACCTGGACTCGGCGACCTCGATGAGCCCCTCGCGCGGCCTGCCCCCGGAGACCGAGTGCTTCTTCTCCCACCAGCCCCTCGCCGACCCCCGCACCACCCTCGACCTCCGCCCCTGGATGGACCAGACCCCGCTCACCCTCCCGTCCCGCAGCTCCCTGCACCTCGCCGTCTCGTACTTCCAGAAGCTCGGCGTCCGCTACGTCCTGTTCACCGAGCGCGGCGGCCTCGTCGGCCTCCTCACCAAGAAGGACTGCTGGTACGTGCTGAACGGCGCCGAGGAGAACAGGATGGACGGCGGCCGCGGGGGTGCCGCCGCCGACGTTGGCGGGCGGCTGGGACGCACGAGGGAAGAGGGCGTCGGCGTCGAGGAGAGGGGTCTGCTGGGCCGCGAGAGCGGCGCCGACGATGACGGCCTCACGCCCGGCTTGCTCGAGCGCGATGCGATATTGTAGCGACATGTAGGGTACTGGGCGTTGGCCGTCTCGATAATAGAAGAGTGCTCTAGAAACTACCAGACTGGGATCCCGAGGGGTATTAGAATAATAACTCGAGATGTCGATCAGGAGGGAGGTTCCCTGAACCGGGATGATCAGAGGCCGAGGCAGAGGCAGGTTGTTACGATTGGACGCAGAGACGGACCGTATGCAACGGCTTAGAAGTCGCAGCGTTGGTGTGACGGATAGAATTCGCATGTGGACATGATGATACAAGCTACACGGATTCTCATTTTGACATCAGAGGGCGAAGTATGTTCCCGGTTGTACGTCAAGCGGCCTCTTGAGCACAGCAGTTAATAGCTCTGAATAAGTATCTCAATTACGGACATGGTACTTCCTTGCCGTCCAATGTCATTCCTGTCATTCCTGTCCTCCCTGTGCCGATATACTTTGGGGGGGGGGGTATCATTTCCCTTTTCGCCCCATGAATGAAGAACGCCTAGTATCATGCAAATGCAAACTGCAAACCGCAATGTGTGCCAGTCCTCTCATCTCGTTCGGCGGGTTCTCACTTTCTCTCCCGCCCCAAAAAACAAAACCAAAAACAAAACAATAGTGTTGAATCTCACCTGCCCACGGGCTGTTTTCCTTTCCGGTTCGACGTCATGAGCTTCAACTCGAGGTGGTAAAAGGAGTTCTTCGGCTGCTTCTGCCCGGGCCTCGCCTTCATGTCGACTTTTTGCCGGCAGATGGGACACGTCTTCTTCATATGGTCGATGTGCAGGGCAGAGTGTAGGCACTCTGAGCAGAACATGTGGCCTGTATTGTCCCTTTGTCAGCAGTTGTTGCGATGACGATGACAATGAAGAAGAACTAGAGCCTCGCAAGAGAAAAGAAAAAGAAGGAAACAGATTGGGAAAAAGAGAGAAAGAACGAAAGAACGAAAGAACGAAAGAAAGAGAAACATACCGCAATGGGTGACGGTCAGGCCCGATACCTCGTCCATGCAGATGGAGCATTGGAACTTGTTGAGCTTGGTGCGGTTGTCCTCCTTGGGCTTGAGCAGCTCTGGCGGGACCTCGTTCGTGCCCGTCAGGTCCAGCACGTCATCGTCGCCGTCGTCTGGGCCCAGCACGGACGACGAATCGCCAAATAGACTGTCCGCATCCTCCTGCTTGGAGGCCTTACGCTTCGGGGGCAACGGTTTCATGGGCCGCGACCTCGCCGAAGCCGAGGGTCGCCGGGAGGTGGCCTGCGGCGTCGTGCTGGCGGCGGTGTGCGATCGCTTTCTGGAGGGAGGCGGGGCCATGGGTGTCTGAGGGTCAACGCCGGAGGGCGACTCGCCGTCGCGTTCTATCTTGGGCGAGGTGAGGTCAATTGTGCTGGCTACGCTCGATCGCCTTCGAGGCCTACTTGAGGCGGCCGTGGGCGGGCCCCTCGACGTCGTTGAATCGCGGCGGGGAGGCATGTTGTAATGGTTGGGTGGTATCTGTAGCTGTAGTTGCAGCAGTGAGGTGGGCTCGAGGTTCGCGGCCTGGTATTGATGGGGAAACTGCGCAGATTGGGTCTCGGGGCCCGTCGGGCTGTTACCGTGCGAGGGCAGCGAGGGAGACGAGAAGTCGCGGGTCAACAGGGCAGCAACGTAGTCGTCGCTGTTTGGATGGCGGCTACAGCCTGCTCCTGTGGAGTTGTCTGGCGGGAATGGGTTCTGTGGCTGTGGTGCAGGAAACTGAGGGAACAACGGCTGCCAGATGTTGGTGAAGGAGTTGGGCCAACTCGATCGTGTTGTCGGCGTCTGCGTCGGGGTCCGGATGGAGTTTGTACTTGGACTTGGAGTTGGACTCGGGTTTGGGTTGAGATATGGATATGGATATGGATAGGGATATGGATAGGGATAGGGATTGTTTTGCTGGTTGGCGTTGATGTCGCCGCTGATCCTCGGCGGGGCAAATGGACAGACGCCCGCACTGGATAATCCACCAAAATAACTGCTGTTCGCGTCCCCTGGATGTGTGACTTCTCCGCTTACTGGCATCCGCGACGACTGGCCGTCGCTGTCAATACCGCCGAACGCGAACGGGCTGTAGTCGTTGTCGAAGTTCGTCGTTGCTGCTGTGGGTGCGGTTGGTGGTGGCAAGGCGGGCGCTTGGTAGGGATCGAAGGCGCTATGTGGGATAAAAGTAGAATCTAGTGCTACGCTCGAGGGCGGGTTCGGGTCCAGGTTCGGGTCCAGGTTCAGCCCCAGATTCAAGTTGTCTGGCCCGAGCATGGACAAACCAAAGGTATCTGGGAACGATGGGAGAGAACTCGGGGCAGCACAACTCGTGAACAACAAATTGACGTTGTCCCCGGAGAACGGAGTGAGTGGACTGAAGTTGTACTCGAGCGGCCGATACGCTTGCAAGTTCCGAGGCGAAGGATTCAGGGCGGCGCCGCTAGACATGAGACCGAGCCTGTCGCCGTCACCGTCACCACCAGTGTTTGGATGGTCCCCCAGAGCTATATCATCTAGAAATCATAACAAGTTACAGTCAGATGATATCTCCGTCGGAGTAGAATCTCAAGTCAGAACAAACAGGATTGATTCAGTCTTTTTCTTTTTTTTCTTTTCGAAATGCAACCGGGAGAGTCTAAGAAATGTCAATATATACCTGAAAAGCTCTCGAAGCCATCGATCTGGTGGCCATAGTTTGCGGCCATGTGGATGCAGAATGGCTTTCTTTTGTGATCTCGCCAGTCGTCGTAAAATGTGTCGAGTCAAAAAGATGTTCAGTTGTGACTTGGTCCTTGCTGCGCTTCATGCCCACTGGAAGCTGTCTTGGATATGGATGCTTCTTCCGATGTCGACCGTGTTAAATGCTGTTTTGCTGTCATGTCCTCGGCAGGCACGTGTGCGTCTTCTGGGTGGTGAATATTGGTGGCTTTGGTGGTTTACTGGTCGAATGTTCAACAACAACTACAACAACAACAACAACAACAACACCCAACGGAAGCCAGGTTCATCTGAGCTTGTGGTCTTATACACAGTCCCGCGTCGGTTGCAAGCGTGTACGTGTATGTGTATGCGAATGTGAATGTGAATGTGTGTAGAAACTAGAATTAATTACAAAAGTGTTGGGCTTTGAGGATTGAACCGCCTTTCTTTACTATAACAAGTGCTTATTATGAAGCACCATGGAAAGGTCGCAAAAGCAATGCACAAGAAACCTGATCATTCATCATCATTTTCCAAGGGTGGGCGATATGCCTCCATCGTACTCGGAAAGACGCAACGCTGAAAATTTGTACCGCGGCCATGTCGGAACACATCATTCGTAGATTAAACGAGAGAAAAAAAAAAAGGGCCAGGCATGCGGCGGCCTTGGAGCATGGGAGCATTGGAGCATGTAACATGTAGCATGGAGCATGGAGCATGGAGCATGGAGCATGGAGCTTGTAGCATGGGGAGCCTTTCCTTCTGTCATCCCATACAGTAACTAACGTACATGTGGTGAGTGTACGGATCCGTACTGTGGTGTGATATAGGTCCCATGCGATGCCCACGTCGCAAGATGCAAAGTACTTTTGAGTACCATGCAGCGTCGGCGCCCGAATGCGGTGGATTCTGGTACCCTGTAACAGAGAGATACTTTTCGCTTGCTGGCTAGCAATGGCTGCGGCCGTCAGTCTTGTAGCGAGTGGCCAAACCAAATCGGAGCTGGGTTACATGATTTGCAAAGTTTGGGAGGTGGCATCGGACAGCTCGCATTTCTTTGCCAATGCGAGTTTAGGAGGCTTTTTGTCCATGGCTGTAAAAGGTGAGTTGCTGGTAGTACCAAATGCGGAGTTCAGCAGGGTTAGCGTTGTGTGTCTCGGAAGTGTTACCCATGGCACAGCTGGCCCGATAGTGCTGCTGGAGTCATCAGACTCGGTACGACACACCCGAAGCCTCACATCGACCTTGGAAATCTCACATTCCCAAACTCCTAGACAGAGCTGAATGTACGCCACACGTTCAGATTTTGTTCTCCCAGACGCCATGACTACGCCCAAATGCTCATTGGCCCAGACGACTCAGTTATCAAGAAGTAGCGAGGTATAGAGTTTCGTGCGCCACTTGCTCAAGTGCTTCTCATTACTACGGTGACGTCCCAGGCTAACCAGGCTGTCTCCAGGTATGCTCGTTCATGGTAGGCACGGTTAAGCTTGAAAGTCAAGATGGCAAAGAGAACAGGATGAGACCCAAATAATTGGCAGTTTCCACGAATGTATACACTTGTTTTGGCGGCTGGGTACGATACCAACTGCATAAAAACAGCCTGCTTGGAAGCCTGTTGTACATATTTCGCAATAACAACAGGTAAAGTACACAGTAGAACGCGACAGAATTGGCCAAAGCTAGTTGGACTTGTATTTCGCACTAAGGTTAGCTACATAGGTATGTATGCGGCCGAGTTGGTTACGGAGCCCTTTTGGTGTGTTCGTACTGTGGCTAACTCAGAACTTCGCAGATTACAGTATGTACATACTTGGTACCGTAGTGTGGCCCTTCCCTGGAACGACAGCAATACCATACGTAGTAAGTTACCATACACGCGAACCTTTCCAGTGCATTCATCATATGGATGCATCCCTGCAGGCGACGGGAAGCTCCCCCCCCCCCCCCCCCCTTCTCCACAGCGGGGCTCGACCGAGCTGCTGGGCTGGAAAAGCGGCCTGTCTTATCTGACCTACGGATTCGCAGAGATTTTGTTGAAGCATGTCACGGTCATGTCTTGCTCATTGTCAATTTCATGGTACTTACGAGTTTGTTTACTAGCCCGAGTGCCTACAGTAGGTAGGTGGTGGGCTCTTTTCGGATTTCCGCACGTATGCCCTGCAGTGTGGGTCATACTTAGGCATGGTCCTTTCGCAAGCGTGTACGTGTACGGAGTGCTGTATTGTCAGATCGTTTGCAGATACGGCCATGTATGGCAAGTCCAGCTCTACCGTACTGTAGACGGACTACAATATGGCATTTCGCTGGCCAGAACAAAGCACATGCATGCCATATAGATACTGTAGGCTACACACATGTAGTATATGTACATGGTGGGGGATTTTGTCCATACTTACGTATAGTAGTAGTCCCTTGGCTACCAAGACTGTCCCAGGGTTTTGCAGCTGGCGGTCGCGTCCCACTTTTCACCGCTGTACATAACTAACCTTAGTAACTTACCAAGCAATCCGCAGGTCTGGAGTAACCTATTCCAGTACCAGAACGAGTCCACTCGTTCTCGAAAATCTTTAGCATGACTAGCCCCTTATCCGTGACACAATGATCTATCTCGTCATCCATGTTGATTCCAATCGCCGGTGCCACATTCGACAGACACCTTGGCCCCAGACGTCCTCCTCCGCCATCAAGGCCATGTGCAGAATAACAAGTTAGCAATGCTTAATCATGCAGGGTGTCACGTCAGGCGCGCATCCACTGCGACCTTCGTGCGCCTGGCCCGACACAGAGCGGTGCATAGCCAGAGACGTGGACAACGGCAAGCATGGATATCACCACCGTCGCAATCGCGATGGCAATCGACAGTCGCAGCCGCACATCCATCGCCGGAACCCATCCCGGAGCAGCTTGCCTCTCAAAGTCTGGCCAAACAATCCGAGGCCAGATTCAATGAGATCGGCGTCCAGCATCTCAGCGCCCATGTCTACGATCAGGTCTTTCCAGGTGGAAACACCCCGGCGCCGAAGGAGTTGGTTGAGCTATCAAGAGACCACCTCCGGCGCCATGATCTTCTCGGAAAGAACACCGACAACAACCCCCCTATTGCCTTCGATGTACCACCAATACACGGGCGGACCCTCGATGAACATTTTCACAAGCTAGGCGTCGATTGCGCCGAGCCATTCCTCACCTACGCAAAGCAGTTTGCCAAAGATAATGCGCCTCCGCGACCGAGGAAATGGGTGCGCCGAAGTGGTTGGACCAAGTACTACGCTGATGGACGATCTGAGCCTGTTGAGGCGCCCGACGACAAGCTCCTCTGTTTCGACACCGAGGTCATGTGGAAAGAGAGCTCTTTCGCCGTCATGGCCTGCGCAATGAGTCCCAACGCATGGTATGCTTGGCTGTCACCATGGCTTCTCGGCGAGTCTCAAGACGACAAACACCTGATTCCACTCGGAGACCCTTCCGAGGATAGAATCATTGTAGGGCACAATATTGGATACGACAGAGCAAGAATTCTGGAGGAATACGACCTGAAGCAGACCAGAAATTCATTCCTCGACACCATGTCTCTGCATGTAGCTGTGAATGGCATGTGCTCACAACAGCGGCCTACATGGATGAAGCACAAAAAGAGCAGGGAGTTGCGGGACAAGATCTCCAAGGAGACAGATAGTGCCGATCTCGCGAATTTATTGGCCAGCACCAACTTTAGGGAAGAGGAGGAGGAGCTTTGGGTCGAGAGAAGTGCCATCAACTCGCTGAGAGATGTCGCAAAGTTCCACCTCGACGTCACTCTGGATAAATCTGCTCGGGACGATTTTGGCGGATCGAGTCGGGACGAGATCTTGGGCAAGCTTGACCACCTCTTAGATTACTGCGCCGCCGATGTCGCCGTGACTCACAGGGTCTACAAAATTGTGTTCCCAAATTTCTTGGAGACATGCCCGCATCCAGTCAGCTTTGCTGCGTTGCGGCACTTGTCGTCGGTCATTCTACCAGTCGACGAATCCTGGGATGCATATATCGCCAACGCAGAGGCAACATATCACAAGCTGTCCGATGCCGTCACAGAACGGCTGATAGGGCTGACGGAGAAGGCACTAGAAGTGAAACACGACTCGGAAACATGGGAGAACGACCCTTGGCTGAGGCAACTCGATTGGTCTGGCATGGAAGTCAAGATGGTCAAGGGCAAGAAGAAGGGCGACCCTCCAAGGCCTGCCGCTCGTCAAAAGATGCCTGGGATGCCGAAATGGTACAAGGACCTCTTCCCAAAGAAGGACGAACCAATCAATATCTCCGTCAGGACACGCATAGCGCCGTTGTTGCTCAGGCTCATGTGGGATGGATATCCTTTACATTGGTCGGACAAGTATGGGTGGACATTCAGGGTCCCTGTTGCCGACATGTCGAAATACAGGGAAACCCAGCTTGTTCGTTGCGACCTAAGTGACGAGCCCATCGAGGCGCTCAAGGAAGATCGCAACAACTTCTACTTCAAACTACCCCACAAGGATGGTCCTACTGCACGGTGTGCGAATCCTTTGGCCAAGGGTTACTTGACATACTTTGACAAGGGAACGCTATCTTCCGAATATGCCCTCGCCAAGGAAGCCCTCGAAATGAACGCTTCTTGTTCCTACTGGATCAGCGCTCGTGACAGAATCATGTCGCAAATGGTCATTTACAATAACGAAAAGATACCAGGATCGGCAAGCGGCGGCAAGAGTCCGCATAAGCAAGGATTTATTCTACCCCAAATCATTCCCATGGGAACAATCACTCGAAGAGCTGTCGAGAACACATGGCTTACAGCTAGTAACGCAAAGAAGAATCGTGTGGGTTCCGAATTAAAGGCCATGGTTCGAGCACCGCCAGGCTATACTTTCGTGGGAGCTGACGTCGACTCCGAGGAGTTGTGGATTGCAAGCGTCATTGGTGATGCGATCTTCAAGCTACACGGCGGCAATGCCATCGGCTTCATGACACTGGAAGGCACAAAGGCTGCAGGCACAGATCTGCATTCTCGAACGGCATCCATCCTCGGCATAACCCGTAACGATGCAAAGGTGTTCAACTACGGTCGCATATATGGCGCGGGATTAAAGTTTGCTGCCACGCTTCTCCGACAATTCAATCCGGGCCTTTCGGAGACGGAGACACTTGATACTGCCGGCAAGCTCTATGCCACCACCAAGGGTACCAAGACAAATCGAAAGGCTTTATACAAGCGAGCCTTCTGGCGTGGTGGTACCGAGTCGTTCGTCTTCAACAAGCTTGAGGAGTTTGCCGAGCAAGATAAGCCTCGCACTCCCGTGCTTGGTGCTGGCATTACAGAGGCTTTGATGGGTCGCTTCGTCAGCAAAGGTGGCTTCTTAACCAGTCGTATCAACTGGGCTATCCAGTCCAGTGGTGTCGATTATCTGCACCTCCTCATTGTCGGTATGGACTTCTTGACTAGACGATTCAACATCGACGCCCGCCTTGCCATCACGGTGCATGACGAAATCCGCTACCTCGTCAAGGACGAGGACAAGTACCGGGCAGCCATGGCGTTGCAGATCGCCAACCTCTGGACCAGGGCTATGTTTGCACAGCAGGTAGGCATCAACGATCTACCACAAGCCTGCGCATACTTCTCGGCGGTGGACATCGATCATGTGCTCAGGAAGGAGGTCGATATGGACTGCATTACGCCCAGTCATTCAACATCTATCCCGCCAGGCGAGAGTTTGGATATCATGCAGCTCCTCGAAAAGGGTAAACAGGCATATCTTGATCCCTCGATCGTTCCGGAGAAATTCGCGCCGAACTTGGACAACATCTCCTACACTCCACGAGTCCCCGTCATGGAATCTCTCAACGAGGTGACAGCCGCGGACGACCTGTCCTTTTTGAAGGCCCAGATCACCAACGATGATGCAGAGCTCCGCGATATTCTAAAGAACCAGAAGAAATCGTCAACTTCAGATGCAGGCGGCTCGGGGTCTGCCAGCGGAGCAACGGGCTCCGCCAGAGGACGGCCAAGGAAGATCCTGCCCTACAGTAGTCAGCCTCAGCTGATTCCTCACATGTATGAGCCGTTTGAGAGCACAAAGTTTACGAAGAGCTTTGACGGCGGCAAGAATAAGAAATGGGTATTCGAGCGCATGCCGCCAAAGTCAAACAGGGGCTGGGGTCCACGAATCTGAGCCTCTGTCGTTGCGATATAAGATAGTTGAGTTTTGAAGAGGCAGGCTGTAGCAACATCAGCCTACGCGCTGCTCTCTTTTGTGCGTGTACGATGTTGGACGATGTTTGGACATGTATCGTGATGTAGATATTACTGGCATATAATATGGGAGGAAAGGTGGACTCGATGAGCGGTATCAAAAAGCGATCAGGTTGCATAGGGACGGCGTTGTGGCTTAGGTCATACCATGGTGGTTGTGCGCTTATTGGCGGCAACGGATGTAACTTATTGTACAATCATATAAATCTACAAAAACACCCGTCAAGCGCACCTCTTCCATCTCCCGAGCTGGCCTATATCTGTAACACTACGTAATTCTTTGATGCCCTTGTATATATATCGCCCAAGCCGAATACTAAAGATGCCACTAGACTAGTCAGACCCTTTTGAGATGTGCTCAATAAGCGGCTTAATACTCAACGACTCAAGGCGAACCTTGTATCATTGAACAATTCAACAAGTTTAAAACTGGATGCGCAGTGTAAATTGAACTAGCTGCCAGGCCAGTTACATGACCGTATCAATGATACAGCCGTCTATTCAACTGCGTAGTTGAGTTTAACACTGTCCAAAGTTAGACTAACTAATCTCTAACCGGGCGCCACCTATCCTATAGACCCCCGTCACAGAGCTCTAACCTATTCATTGATGGTGACATGCTTGGCAACCCTCGAGTTTACCAACAGGCTTAGTAAATCAGGCCTTGCATAATGGCCGACGACATCTATGAAAGATTTCGGCTTGTCAATGTCTCTCAAGTTGACTTCTGCTGTGATGATTTTTTCCTCCCCATCGGAGATAGCCTCACAGAGTGGTTTTCCATCTGGTCCGAAAATCATCGAAAACCCTCCGCCAGGCTGATGAGCTTCTGTTAAGACGCTGCTTGTTTTGATGAAATAGGGATAGGTTGGACTTACTGTTTTTGTGACGGGGTTTCCGGTGAGCATGTTCTTCTCCAGGTTCTTCTCGGTAAGGATCTGTGACGCAATAGCGACGAATGTGCACCCTTCCATCGCCATGAACTGGCTAGCCCGATAGCTCGCCTCACCAGTCTCATGATAGAGCCAGGCGATCTTTTCCGGGTCTGGCATCTCGAACTCCGCCGGCCAACTGGCGATGTGGATCTGCACACCTTGCGCATACTCGTGGTATCTGAGCAGCGGCTGAAGATGCTCCCAGCAATTTAACGCACCGATCTTGCCAAACTTGGTGTCGACTACTGTCTTCAACGATTCGGCTTGCCCATCACCCCAGATTGTTCTTTCTACATGGGTTGGCTTGATCTTGCGACGATGATGGAGGATCTCGCCCTCCTCCGATATGAACGACTGGCCCATGTAGAGGCTGGCGCCATCCCGCTCGCTGTAACCAAGGACAACCACCATGCCGGCTTTCTTAACGGCTGCTTGGATGCGCTTCATCTGGGGAGAGTCACGAGCCATAGAGTTGGCCATGTATTCGTGGACCCAGCCTCCATTGTTGATGACAGGTGATGTCCACATTTGCCTATGCCTAATGCATGAGCACGATGGAAGACGACAAAGAGAGGGCATGCATACCAGGGATACCCTGGAATCCATACTTCAGGAAAGCCCAGCACTTGAACTCCATCAGAAGCAGCCTGCTCGATCAAAGCAATCGTTTTATCAACGCTTCCCTCTAGATCCAGCCAGACGGGCTCGGCTTGAACAGCCCCGACTTTGACGATTTTATCCATGGCGAAGAGGGGACCGAAAACTTGCTCTGTCCTGTAAGAACAATAGTATCAAACAGAGGCGACGATGGACATGTAGTTTTTATATGTAAAAAAAAATATCATCGGCGATAGACGCATTATTATAAACAATACCTTCCTACTCCGGGAAGCGCATCTAGTCAAGGAGGAGAAGCAGATCTCCGCATGTTGACTTAGACGATACTTGCAGTATGAACCACAGCTTCTCTAGCTTGGGTCGCCTGTGCATCAGTGACAGCAGAGCCCCCCCCCGCATTTGAACAACAGATACGAAGATCTTAACCACCAACAAGCTGTGTCAGAGCTGGTATCCGTTGGCTCTAGACACTTGTAAATGCATTGACGTAACCAAGTCCTCCCAGATGCGTGCAAGATACCGTGATTCTCTGGCCATAACCCCGCAATTAGAGGCTAGGCTCCATCGACTTGATAGCAAACTCCTTCCATGTCCAGTCCGATAGCAAACTCCTTCCGTGTTCTGAATTCCCAAGTGCAGCTAAGAGTGGAACAAGCTCGGTGTTTCTGCAGTATGTTCTATGTCAACGCTTTTGAAGTGCTGCGCCCAAGATATCCGGTTACCGATTGCACGTTATACCATCTGCTTAAAGCAATCTACCACGTGTTTCCGCTCGTCCTTGAGTTGACCCTGTGCTGAAAGACGTGGGGAGACGCGATCTTTCTAACCGCATTGCCCCTTGATACTAAGATGGCCATCTCGCGCACTGTAGTATACTAGCCCGCTGTGGTGTTCGTCGCTTATCTGCTTCACTTTCGCACGCATGATAGTACTTTTATTCGTAATTTGTGTCAGCGTTTAATCGACTAATAAACTTATCTTAGTCTAAAAGAAATAAAATAAAATATACGACAAAATGGTGATAAGTTCGAATGATATCGCGCAAAAGGTCTGTCCCATATCCCTAAATGGACTTATAACTGTGTTTAGTCCGTATTCTCACACCTCCTTACTGCCATCAGTCCTCCTCGTGTCAGCTGCTGAGTTTTATTAATTTCTATAGAAATACCTTGCTATTGACTTCAATCTAGTGGCAGAATTTGGTACTTCCATCGCTAGAAAGCCGCTGTTTAATTGTTCTCTTGCACGTGTTCAGTATCGTAGTCAGGTAGTATATTTGCTAGTTTAAGCTTCATCTCATAAATAGCTAAAAAGCGCCCTGTGTTTGGTTACTTATTTGTTCCAGGTCGAAAACATATTTGCTCGCCGAAGTCGTAGGCTTGATGGCCGTGTATGTCTGGGATTTTGACTTGGTGATAAATTTGGCTGGGTTTATCCCTTTGGCATCAGGATGATTGGTTTCATCGGACTGAATGCTTTGTATTGGCAAGGCCCGAATAGTACCGTGTGGTATAGTGGTGTCGGAACCGTCGTACTCAACGGAATCTCCCTTGAGGGTCAATTAAGTTTCAATTATTTTGGCGTTGGCTTTGAAAAGCTTCAACATATCTACGTGGCAAATCGGAGGATTTGTGCCTGATATGAACAGGTGTCAAATTGACTTATCATATATTCAATGCTATTAGATGTGCCGCACGAGAAATAAGATCTTTAAACTGCGGAGCTGATGCCAGAATTAGTGAATTTTCCCTGTTTCGTGCAAGTAATTTTCCCCTTGGATGTAGCTAGTCGTTATGCCACCTACTTTGTCTTTGTTTTATTGCTTGGTCTTTCAGCTAAGATTGTCCCATTACTGAAATCCTTTTTAAGGTCGGAAGTGGTGGAACGAGTCTTAATGGAGCTGCCAAGCCGGCATTGACTGCCAATGGACCATTCAAAGTTACTTCGGACTTGTGTTCGGCATGTGCCAACCTCTTATAACTCGTAAGTATCAATTACCTTATACCGATTTCATCTATTTAAAGATCATAACTCAATAGTAATAAGGCATGCAACACTTCCACTAGACTAGTCGATGAATTGCTGATTAGGATTGGTTGGAGAGTTTCTTACCGGCAGTAATACGCAGTATCCACTTCCAGTATATAATGGAACGCGTATGTGGCCTATTCCGTTATATAACAACTATGATAGTCTATGTCTTTGCAGATATAATACAATGCAAAAGAGCAGTGATGAAATTACTAATAAAGGACTATAAGGTATGGAAAGAAGATATTTTGTGAAAGAACTTAAATCAAAATGAAATCATAATGAGAGGCTGACTTGTCGAAACTATTTTGTAATATTAGTAGTTAAATATATACTTCCAGGCCGAGTTATCTACTGAAGTCGAAGATAATGGCTCAAGACGGGTAATATATACTAAAATGAATCTTCAAAGTGCTGAATTGCGAGACGCAAGATCGATTCGATGGCCAATTCTCAATTGTCGATGTAGAAGACAGCGTTCAGATCTAATGATATCAGTTACGATATCCGGGATTGTTATAACTGCCATATCAACAAGTACGAAGCCGCCGACTTTACGCGACACGATGCATCTACGAGGGCCGATCTGTAAGATTTACGCATGTTTTGATGCTACAATAGCAATGGATGGATGAATTGGTCAAATTAATAAGGCCTGCCTTCTTGGAATCCAAGGGACTTCGGCTGTTCTTAAGGTGCGTTACCGGCTATCGATGGGGTGTTCGAAGTTCTCTCAATTAGGTTTACAGGATAATCCTTAACCTTATCGGGGATCTGTAAGCTTACAACCTTAAGTTATAGCACAAACTCAAATGATAGAGTGAAATATTTTGATTACTCGATTATCCACTACGTGAAAGCAACAACACTGATCTCCCTAAACAAAAGCCTCCCAATCGCCGCTACCTAAAGGACCTGGATTATAGTTGAACCTTTTACAGCTTTTCGAAAACCTCAACAGCAGCTTTAGCAGTGGAAGCTGCACTAGCTGGGTTCTGCCCCGTGACAAGACGACCATCAATGATGTGAAAGTCATCCCAAATTCCAGAGGATCGTTCATCTGTGAGTTTACCACATTAGCATTCATGCTCTGACAGCTTCGATTATGTCTTAGGAGGATATATCACTCACAAGTGGCGCCCAGTCGAGCCGCGATGTCCTCGACCAACTCCACCTTCCAGCTCTTGAGCTCCTCCATGATCTTCATGGCGTCTTCAGCTTCAGTGGTGAAGCCTGTGAGCTTCTTTCCCTTGATCAGAGGCTCACCGGTTGTGCGGTCGATCATATTGGCGAAGATAGCGGGTCCGTGACAGACTGAGGAGACAACACCGCCGTTCGCCCATACCTGCTCAGCAACGCTGCGCAAAGCAGAAGCAGTGGGATAATCGATCAACGCGGCATGGCCAGCCGAGGCATAGAAGAGACCGTACTTTGAGCCGTCTAGGTCCGCAGCCTTGGGCATGTTGTCGAGCTTTTGGCGGAATTCGCTGTTGGTGTCATTCCAGGTTGCAAGATCGTCACCACTGAGGAAGTCCGGCTGCTGAGATAGCCAGTCGGGTGTGTAAGTGCCGGTTTCCGAAGCGAGGTCGACTTCGAATCCAGCGGCTCTCAAGACATTGTAGGGATGTAGTGCCTCGCTGATGAACACGCCGGTAGTTTCCTTGCCGTTGAAAAGACTGGCCTGCGCAGAGGTAACAGCGATCAAAGCACGACGAGCTGGCGACATAGTGGATCAAATAGTTGATCGTACTTGTGATGGTTATGTTTTGAAGAGTGGTAAGCGACTAAATGGATCTGTAGGGTGGTGAAAGTTTGATTACAGAAACGGTGGAAGCGAGCTCTTGTTATAGATGAATGATGATGTTGTTGGATGATGTTCTGCAAAAAGACAGATCAATTGGAAGGCGGACATCGCCCTCTTTATAGATATCAACTTGTATCCCTACGCATTAATCTCATAGTTGATGAGTTCGGAGTGACGGAGATGCTGGAGTGCTCTTGGCGGAATGTTTTCTCCAGCAATCTGTACGTATTGAATAGGACTTTGTGTGCACGAGCAGGTCTGCATAAGAACGTCTAAACTCCACTTCAGCTGCGTCAGGACTGGACTAGACAAGATGTAGCATGCATGACTCCGTAGTGGAGCGTCTGGAGTGATTCCTACTGGTGACTCGTAAGTTATGAAGGAGTCGCTCCCATTGGTCGCATTGCCTATAATCCCTGCCCACCGAGAGTGCACTAGGTTAGGTCTTTTATCCACGGAGCAACTCCAGACTTAGAAGGAATTGACATTAAGCCGAGCTTTGTGGACATGTTACAAAAGGACCTCACATGTCTTTGATGATTAGCAGTATGATGTCCCTTCTTAGGGTACGTTATGGTATATTATAGTACTGACATGAATGTGTCATATCTCTCTCTATGTATGCTTGGTCAATTGCGTTATTTGGTCAAGTCATCCATTGCGGGCATTCTCAACTGTGTTTCTAAAACAACACATCAGGCGCGCTTTTATCTCATCCTCATTCATTGTTAAGACACCCATGATCTCTACCAAGACTTGGTCCTTCAGAGGGTTGACTCAGTTAGGCCAAAGTACATCAAGGTCGGCCCAGAAGTCTACGTCGAGAACCATATCAAACAGGTCGGTGCCGAAGCCTTCGTTATTAGTCTGGATGTCGTTGAAGTCAAATGCCCTGTCGGTCCAAGACGCCGAATTAGTCATTGCTTGTGATTCAATCATGGCCATATCCATAGCCACTGTCGTGTTGTTGGTCGTTCCTCGGTTTCCAAACGCATCGTTCTGAATCTTGGCATCTGTTAGCGAATCAACTCTGATGATGAGCTCCCTCGCAATCTTTGCTGCATTGGCTGCTACCACGAATCCTACCCCGAAGATGTCAAACACTGCGATTGCTAAGTCGACTGCTTCTCTCGCTGATCTTGCCAACGATCCGTGTGGATACGAAACCAAGAATCCAATGAGCGTCATGGCAGCACTCCATTGCCATTGGAAAGCCTCATGCCAGCCATTCAAGATAGATGTTGAGGAAAGGACTTGATGCGTTATTTTTGACAGAGCTATCGCATGCGCGGCGCACTTTGCACCGACGCCTTCGGTTAACAGGCCAACAGTCGACACTGTGGTTAAGGAGATCAATGGCCGATAGAGGTCGACACACAGGTGATGGTACGTCAGCTCTAAGAGCACACGCTGCCGCTGGAGCCACATGGGTGCAAACTGTTCGAGGTCTAGTTCGGTTCCGTCGGTGGACAATGTCAGCCCGCCATTCTTTCGATTCACCCTAAGTGCCATAGGCACTTCAGCAGCCCACCCGTCAAGGTCCCGCGTATGTGGGCTCAGACACTGCGCATAGTCTTCTAACGCGTGCGCGTTATCCCACAGCATCTGCCCGTCATCCAGTACCGGCTCTTTGGCATAGAAGGAGACGTGTGCTGTCCGTACATTTTGATAAAGCTTAGTTTGTTGAAGATTAAAGCTCAGCCAAGTGGTGTTCATCCCAATGGGCGCGAAGGTTGATCCGGAACCCACGGCGGCATCTAAGTCATCCCCAGGTAGGTCAGGCATAACGTGATGGTCGCTCAGCAAGAATGGCCGGCCAAGCTTCATCCCGATCTTGCTATCGACTAGGTAGACCGCCCACCACAAGCGCCTCCGCATCTGTCGCTCCTGCTCGGATATGGTACCAGGAGCCTCCAGGTGAAGTCCAAGAGCATGAGCTGTTCGTACGGACAGGGCACAGGCAATATCTACCATATTGTGGAAAGAGCCGCCACAAAGATACGCAATGCAGAGAAGATGGCATTGCAGAGTTGCAATAGTAGGACTTTCGGATTCTAGCGAGAGCAACATTTGAGCTCGTCGATAGTGCCATCGACCTGCGATTGTGGCATCATTGTTTTCTGCAATAGCACCCTGACGTTCGCTGGGCAATGCTGAGATGCCGACTTGCATGCACATGGCGAGGATAATATCGACTAGTGCTGACGGTTTGCGGAAATTGCTAGATCTAACCCACAAAGATTGGTAGTGCTTCTTGAACTGCCTTTCGTCAACGATCGGGACGAATGACGTGTGGTATGTCTCCCAGAACATATTTATGAAGTACTCCTCCTGTACCGGAGTGAGATACACAGCTGTCGATGCCAAATCATTTGCTGATGCCGCGACATGACGAGCCAGATCATCAAAATTAGTAGCCGTTCTTTCGAGGAGCGCACTGCTGCTGGCTGATAGAGGAACCATATTGTTTGTGGAATTGAGATGTTGAAATGAAGTACTTAGGAAAGTACTCAAGCGATTGGTATAATAATAAAGCGACGAGGGGCCGAACCAAGTCTCATTTGGTGAGCGTCCTGGGCGAAGTCTAACACCGTCCCAGTACCTTTGCTTTGGCTCTTTTTCATCGCGATGATCGATACTTGGAAGCGCAGACGCGATCGATAGATACGAATCGGCTGGCGTAAGCTGTTCATTCTCGCGCTCTCGCTGAAGCTCAGCTTCTAGTTCTTTGACTCTGACCTGGAGGCGCCCAATCTCCCCATGGGCCTGTGACAGCGTTGATACTTTCGTGTTCTCGTCATTACTACAAGTCCGGTTCCTTGCTTTGCAATTAGAACAAGGAAAATTGTTGTCGCATTTGATGCGATGAACCCGACAGGCGTTACAGGCTCTGGCGACCTGAATCCGCTTCTGTTTCAGTCGCGTGGATTGATACTGGTGCGAATTATTGCGTACAGTGCCGCCTGGGTACGGGCTGTTAGTAGCCATCTCTAAAAACAAAAGAGATTGAAGGGTAGGCACATCAACTTGGATATTGCAAACTTTTACCAAATCCTAGGTGCCGGGCCGAAGCATGTGCTGTTAGGAAATCGATAAGTCGGCCGCTGCAACGTCCGCCTTGTAAGCACTACGTCCGACCCCTCCCGAGATCCACGCATAATAATCGCAAGGATACTGGACTCGCTCCCATTGGTCAGTAATTTGTCCATTCAATTTGTCCATCCATGCAAATTATGCATGCGAAGGTTTACATGAAGTACGGTGCACTATATATAGTGTGACTGTATCGCATTCTCACGTCTGAGCTCCCTAGCAACTAACTAAGGTTAGGTTAGGCTTTTGCAGGGCCGCATTGGCGTGGGAACGACACCCAGCCTGTTTACGCCTCGATAAAATACCCCAGGTGGCGATGCTTCTCTTCCGTCTCTTTCAAATATGAGGTATTGAGAACGCAAACTATTTCGAGCGACCAAAAAAGAAATGCCCGGCCAGGAGTCTGCCTCGTGTCTATTAGTTGCGATGATGTTCAGCCCTGCTCAGAAAATAATGGCAGTATTCAAACCGACCAGTCCTCGGGTTCTGTACTTTGATGCCATGATCTGAGCGCATTCAAAATCGTTTCAAGCTGAACCGCGTATATAAGACATGCATATTGAACCAAAGGCTTATTTGATATCGGACGTTATATGGTCCGTTGGGCCTGTCGTAATCTTGCACGGTTTTGCGAATGGCTTTATCCAGCGATGGCCATTCCTGAGGAGGCAACGGACAGACGAACATTGCCGCTAGAGTGCTTACCTATTAAAAGCTTATCCCGTACAATTCACATTACACACTACGGCGGTCGCCATGTCTACATCGTCAGTGTATCTAACGTTGTGAGACAATCAGATGCGCCGAGAGCTGGAGTGCACTCTCCTTGCTTATTGTGTCTCTTGACACTGTTTGAATTTCGGTATGGGCTGTATAGCATGCTCGACAACACGGCTAAGACTCTAAAACCTTCAGCTACCCCTCACTTTAACTCTCTAAATACCATACTTAGATGTGCATGCTCCGTAGGGGTAAATAGCTCCCGCGCAGAGACCCTGCGTTGTCAACAACGCAAATATCATCAACCAATTGCTCAAGCCTGCCGTATTCTGATAGTCTACATCACTGGGAACTCTGCATATATACCATGAACCTGCAATCCATATTCACCGCATGAGCGATATTGGAAGAATACACAGACAAAAGCCAATGATTTTTGTAGACTTGGGGCACCATGTACTTTGACAATATCGGACTGAAATCGCCGCCCAAGGTACATAAAGAAGTGTATAATGCTCGGCTCTGAAGACTGCACCACTTGGATTTCTCAACCGACCACAGGCATCGTAGACTGGTATAGCTTTGGAAATTTTCGCATACCTACAAATATGCTTTGCGTCTTTCCATTCAGTCTCATTTTCCTCCCTTTGATCACACCTGCAGCATGCTACCCACATCTCGAGAATCAGTGGCAGAGTCGCGAGATTGCTGCTGGCGGTATGGTGGGTTGCCCTGTGCAGGATATGTATAACTTGACATCCGTACCGCAAGCTGGTCTACTGGGATTGACCAAGCAGGTCTTGTCCGCCTGTGTGGTAGGCGGCGGTTCGACTATCAATCGCATGATGTTGCCCCGTGGAGCAGCAGGTGACTATGATAACTGGGGCAAGTTGAATGACGAACCTGGATGGGGGTTTGAAGGCTTGATCCGTTATTTCAAGTTCAAGAAGGTAAGTGCCTAATCACCATCTTGCCGAGATTGCTCATATGCTCCAGAGTGCCATGTTCCAAGAACCCCTTCTATATCTAGTATGCGACTATAATATCACCTGGGATCTAAGTGTATACGGCGATAACTCGCCTACACGTGCTAGTATTTCTTCATTTCAGTACCCAGGGCTCTTTAAGTCTGTATGCCTTCCAGCAAGATCAAGACTGGCAATAACAAGTACCTCAGTAGCAGGGTACGGAGAAATTCATTCTAGTCTCTCAGATCGACGGTGGCAGTGGCAAAGCCTACGGCATAATTTGGTATCCTGTACGTGTCAGAACTGATCAGTAAACATGCATCTGCGTTCAATGCTAACATGTGCAGAACGCCTTAGGAAACAGAGCTATTACCCGTTCATATGCCGTTACCGGATACTACGACCCCGTGGCAGACCGCACTGATCTTCATATATTGACTTGCTACTGGCTGAATGAGGTGCTCTTCGACGCAAAGCTAAAGGCAAATGGCGTCCGTATTTAAAAGCGCGGACTTCTCTACAATGAAGGGGCTACTTGGATTAAGGCCAAAAAAGAAATAATCTGGTCACCGGGGCTCTCCATAGCCCGCAAGTCCTTCAAATGAGTGGTATGCTATTTCCTTCATTCCTGATAACCTTGCCTAGCAAATTTTCTCAGTACCTGAAGCGCGCGCCTAAGGCCTGCTTGGCATTTAGTACTGAACAGGTAAATAAAGTCGGTTAATAGTCGTATATGTATCGGGTCTTCGTCACTCCTCGAGCAAGCGGGTATCGAGTTGCTCGTCGGTCTGTCTAGTGTCGGCAGCAATCTACAAGACCATCCGACCTCTTTTATTCCTTAAACTGTAAGTTAACTCTCCTGCCTATTCGACAGCCACCGAATACACAAAATAGAGACAAAAAATGTTGACCCGAGCCCTCAATACATGACTGAGAATCAGGCATTTATCGATTGGGTTTACGAAGTGTGGGCAGAGAACCGGACGTATTTGGGTCTTATACTGGAAAGCCCAAGACTGATAGCTGACTACACCACAGATCGCCTGTCCATGACCAAAGGCAATAGTATGTCACTTATACCACTTCCGCAGCTTGCCTCTGATGCATGGGCCTCCATCCTTGATACATTAGAGGGTCAAAACTCCGCGAAGTTTCTCCCAATCACATGTACGGCCAAGCAAGTTGCTGGCTTTGAAGCGCGACGTCTTCTAGCCATCGATATTCTAAAACTTACAGATAATGCCGCCATAGGGGTGCAATTCAGCGGTTACTTGTGGGGGGGGGGATGTCGTAACAAAGGTCCAAAGCCGGGGAACTATCCTTCTTATCCCACAAGATATCTACGGCGAGCCGATTGTCGACAATGAGTTTTTGATATAACCTAGTACTAAGCCTGTAAGGTATCATAATATCCTTATAGTGTATAATCACACTTTGAAGAGGAGGCTTCCGATTTTACATATCACTAAATGTGAGGCCTTGACCTCAAGTGCGAACAAAATGTCTCTGGCGCACTAAGCTTTTTCAGCTGTCAGGTTGTCGGTAACGACTTTTAATATAGAGTAGGAGGCTTGCAAAAGAGCAAGAATATTGGAGCTATTGTGTTCACATATTTGTCCATCTTCACCATTTTAACTAGGCTGTTGTGACGATGAGCGTTAGTTTATGCGTTTATTTGCGGCCTTAATTTGTTCAGCGCCTAATAAGGCTTCGTGCTCTGGATCCACGTTCTAACTAACCTAACGGTTAGTCTAGTCTAGCCAAATGATACCCCAATAGCTCCTGTGATACTTTCAAAAGTTTAAAGCACGGACTACATTTTACTCCAAGGCGAAGTTAACAGCCATGTTGAGTTGGGAGGGGGCTATCTATGAAATAAGTGGCCGAGATCGAGATTTGGGATACAAATAGCTAAGCAAATTAAGTTACTGGCATGGGTAGCTGGGCAGTTTCTGTAAATTTGTTGCCGGCAAGAATTAACGATCGAAGGTGACAGAGAATGAGTTAGTCGTACTATATATTTGATCTAGGGTGCGGAATCGATCGAGCGATCGTTCTACCCTACCAACTTATCAAAATTAGAAAAGTAATCTTCAATAGCCTGTCCAAGAAGAATGCGAAATCTTCAGTTTATGCCCATTCTCGAATAAGATGTGTGGTTTCCACGGTCCTATACTGTACTTACACAGGCCGATCGCGATGACACAGGATACTGGGTTGCCTTAGCAGCTGGACGTTTCTTTAAAGCCCGACGAGCTTTTTGAGAAATGTGCTCGACCGTGTGAGGTTTTGGTTAAAGTTCAGGATAATTCACTACGATGATTTATCGCAATGGAGACTATCCCCATTTGAAGCACTCGGATGAAATACTTGTGCGAAAGCATCGATGGCCCTGCTGCGCCTTTAGGATTCAGAATGGGTCCGGAACCGCCGAGCTGTGGGCATGCCAACCAGTTGAAATTTCGTGGAGCTCCTGCAGAGCTCTAAGCAGGCCTCTGGAGAAGTTGATATATACTACAACGATTATCGAGTAAGTGATTCATTGACAAATGTGCATGGGCCCAGAGAGAGCAGATATGGACAAGTAAAGTGGACAGCTTTAAGTGAGATGTATGGACTTTCTAAGAAGTGGGACCTGCTCCTTGGCGGGTATGCTAGCATGCACTAACAAACCTTACCGATTCTGACACTTGGTTGCAACTAACATTCATGAGTAATGCTGTACTGCGAATACATGGAAGGTTTTATGAATGGTATCACGCCCTCAGAGGCGGCACTGCTCACTCGTGGGGCGTCTGGTTGCCGCCGGCGCCATCGGTTATTACTGCTGCTCCCATCCTCGCCATATTTGGTGGACTCTTCTTACATTGCCTTGACTTCGTCAACGGTGTTTAATCTCGCCAGCGCCAATCTGCTCGCGGTTGCAAATTGCTATGAGTACCATAGGATTTCGGCGGCCTGTCTTTGCCGAAGTTATCTTGGGCACATCATCAAACCCATGGACTCGGGATGCCTTCATACTTTTCCTCTCTCGGCACCATTGTATGGAAAATCTTGAGTTTAGCGTCGACGTCGAAAAATATATCGACATATACACCAAATCAACTACTAATATCCCAATGTCAAGTACTAAACGCTATTCTATAAGTTCGTCCTGGGAAAGATTGATGCAATCCTACATCGAGCCAGGGGCACCTAGAGAGGTCAATGTTTCTGGTCGCATACGAGACAATCTGTTGAATCTCCCTTATATACTCTCTCCGCCCAAGCCCTCTGAACTATATGAGGCCCAACGACTCGTTTCTGCTCTTGTGGACGACTCTCTGGCTATATTTCTCGAGTCGGCTGGCTCCTCGCAGCCCAAGACCCCGATAATAAACCGGGATACAGAATTTGGAAATACAAGTATGCCTATGGGAGGAAGAGTCTGGAAAAGCATGACTGGCATCCTTTGTTTCACTCGGAAATAAAGTCATGTCTTCTAGGTCGGAAGCTCGCTCGACAGCGTGCTGTATAACCTAGTCGACTGGATATCGCAAAACGTTTTAGTCCTCCACAACTGGTTGGTCTGCCAGGACATCATGATGCGCCCAGATGAATCAAGAAAAGATCATCGCGGAGCAACACAACGATAAACTGCAAGGTCCCCAGAAATTGTAACGGCCCAGACGACCAACCAAATCTGATAAAGGTAGGAAGTTTCGATGTAGCCCCGCTACTTCTTCCAGAGCTCGGAATAAGTTCCGTTAGCCATTGACATCATATGGAGGGGAGATTGTACTTTTAATTTTTTCAAGTATTAGATGCTTGTTGATAGGATAGCCAATTCACAGTACATTGAGTGGGCCTGTTACATGAAATAGCTTGACGCAAAGCCATCTAAACAAAGAGCCATCTACAACTAAAATAAAAAATAGGATCATAAAGGTGGCGGTATGTATAATGACTTCATTTGATACCACGTAGAAAAATAAAGCGGCGGATCCCCTTTGCACGCCAGGAGCTGGATGTGACACACTCGGCCTACGGAATGGAGCGTACAAAACAAATATCCATTCATAAACCGACCTCATCGTTTGTCAACTCTCAAGTCCGTAATTGGTCGGAAATATCACGAGCACAACCCGTCCAAGCTCTAAAACACCGAAAATACCTATTCCAGGGCTCCTGCCTAATCTATGTCCACATGATACTTACACCTAGCAAAGCATGTGCGACTGCAGTCACATACCCACACGAAGTTATTCGAACAATATTGCAAACGCGACGGAAAATATCCCTCGTTGCACCAGTCGCTTCGGCAATGCCAAGAAATAATGGAGGCCCATCTGTGCGAAGGAATGGCACAATTTAGTCCGAGTAGGACGATAGTACTGCTGTCTGTGATCATTAGTCAGGGTGCTAATGGTTGACCAATCCTTCTTTGTATATCTTGCTGTAAATCAGGCTTTTGGTCTATCCTACGCGGCTTCAACGAGCAAACACGCGATTGGCTGAAGTCTCGGAGGATGATCCGAGCCGCTAAGTAAATCGGACCTCGAAACATCTGGACCGGGTCTAGATTGCGTTGTCCCTCGCCGAATGTTAACTTTGTTCCAAACCTTGTTTAAGGTCTTGATATGAAAAATTCAGCTGCTTGACAATTTTCACTTTGATTTTGGCAGTGGCGGGTCTCCTGTATTCTAGGGGAAGTTATCCCGTTGTATTGTACATATCAAGCACGAATTGCCTGACATCACGGCTTATTTTTGGCCATCGAACAAGCTCGTCATCCATTTTCAAGAAAAGGATCTGAGAAATCGGGGCCAACCGAAGCCCTTCAATGGTAAATATGTGATGTGTGTGGATTTGTGCAAGAAATACTAATCTCAAACTGGTGGGAGCTTCGGAGGATCCACTGAACCAATAACAGCCCCTCCTATATGGTCAGATATTAGTAAGTCTTGCTAGCTGTGCAATATGGTACTTAATTCAACACGAGTTAGCGCAGTTAGCCACTTAGCCACCACTAGACTAGTTGAAGTTGGATGCAATTACCATTCTACAATTCAATACCATACCCCGCAACGTTAGCTTAGTTCCCCCAACCACGGCTGATAGATGACACAAACAAGATTCAACGGGAGTCTCTTTGAGTAGTATATAGAGATTCCCAACACTCAAATGACACTTCTACGGATATCACATTGTATGTGTAACATTCACAATCAGCATTCACAGCATATCGGTTGTTACATGTCTTGCAGTTCATAGCTGTTCTCGATATCGTTTTCGAATCACACTTCACTAATCGAATGAAAGCGTCCCAGCCAACACTATCTTGGCGGATACACCTTCAGCCGTTGATCGCTGACTGCATGGGCATGTCGCGTGTAATATATTTTTGGTAATTGCTCAGAGCTTGTAAGTCTACCTCACCGCAGCGTGATTCACATACCCTCATATCATGTCCCTCTCCCACGGCTTATATGGACAAGGCAACGTACTGTTGCTACCTCCAGTCATGGATGACACTTAATACTCGCTATCTCATCTATGGGTCTTACACTTGCAATATTGCATTTCCACACCTTAGGCTTGTCTACTGTTGTCTAATACCTGGTCAGTAATACTTGGAGCATTCTAATATACTAGTTTTTTATTGCAATTCATCCATACCAAAAGGCCATAACCAATAGGACGATAATGCGAACCGGTACCTCTGATGGAACACATAGTACTATAGAAATCCTTAGTCATTATTTTATCATATTGCAAGTGGAAGGTGATTCAGTATCAGGTTCAACTGTCAAATGTGCTATCAATTGATTGAGCTTTACTCGGCGTGCCGATGCTTTTACTACCTACATGCAGTTGACCGTTGCGCAACATATGGTTGGCCAGGTCACGGGATCAGGAAGAAGGCTATACTCGTGGGAGCTGCTTGTCAAAAACATAGTCTCGCCACGAGTACGTTCGATGTTGTTGATACCAGTTGCGACGTTTCATTCTAGGCTTTGGCAAAGACTAAGGAGATCCAAGAGGTTCAGGGATCCAAGAGATTCAATAGGGCTGGGTATCCACCGCGGAGCCGCTAAAAGTCACAAGCAACCCGATCCTAATGGATCTAAACCCATCTGACGTTTAATTCAGACCAAAGTAAAGCCACTGCGATCAATTTATTTGCTGACATTCTGGTGAACATCAGTGATATACCTGAAGTTCTTAATTAGTAGATATTTTCATCCCTAACACTCTGCCAGATATCCATTTTACGTCTGGGGTTAGCTACTAATTCGGATACTGACCTCTGCATTTGTGAGTTTAAGATCCAATAGTATGAACACTAGGCACGTACCCTGCAATGAGGTGTTTCCGGTGCCCACTCCGAACGCGTTCTACGAATCATTGCAGCGCAGTGGCGTGGGCGAGCATTTTCTTTTTAAGTTTACCTCAACGTACAACATCCATCAATCGAGCCGCTTTAGCGATGCTGCATCAGAATGCGCCGAAGAAAGCAAGTCACTAACTCGGAATCACGGAGTTGACGTGACGCTGCAGTGACTGACCAGTCGACCTTGCAGCGGTCATTGCTCGAGAAAGACGCCCCATTAACTGCGCATTAGCAGCGCAAGGCAACCGTGATGCTTCATGCAAGGAATGTCTTGCAGCAAGCCTTACGCTCTTCGTTCCTTCTTGTCGGACCTCGCAGTCACTCTGACTCTTTCGAATCATATTCATGTGGAAACTCGGAGTGGCATGGAGATGCTTGGCAATTGTCTGCTTTTCTGTGCGCATGACTACGAAAGGCTGTAAAAACATATTTTAGCGTCGTAGAAGAAGGGAAATCCTGCTTCGCAACGTGAAAGTCGGCTAAACTTACAGCCTTTGATGTACGGCTTGAGGGGGGCGTGTATTATCTCAAGGAGTCTCTCGATGATCCATTTTGCAACCATAATGCTTGGAAGGATCAGTAGCCCTATTAGCATCATCTAGATTCATTTGATGCTATCTTCCAGCTTGGAAGTTCTCTGTATAAGAGAGACATTAGAAACGTCCCTGTGATCACTACAGGCCCCGAGGAGGTGACAATCAACTGTAATCTTGGCAGCTGTCCCGGCTTTAAGTGGGTCGCAGCCACAACTATGAGCGAAAAGAGCTTTCGATTTTACGTGGTAAACATGATGGCGTCTGAAGAGGCTAAAGATGGGTCGTTTGTGTCTATCAGCAAAATTCGCGGAGGAGCTCTTCGTCGGATTGGTGAAGCTCTACTTGACGAAACTACTCTCCCGTTCTATCGTAAGATGAGCAATCGTCTCAAGTGGCAACTAGATATCGATCTCATTCTACTTCTGAGTCTAAGAGCCTTGAGATTGGCACTGCAGTATTGGATATAACTGTTGGACAAAGACAGTCGCTTCTAGCAACGGATCAAATGAGAATCTACGAGACAGCAGCTGCGATACACATTTGAGATTGTCTAGAAAAGAGCGGGCCACTCAATGATGAAAATGTAGATCCCCACCTTTAACACCACTTGTTGTTTCTGCACATGCATGGTCAACTGTCGAAGTATCAGCTTTGGCGCTCAGTTGACCTCTGCGAGTATTACGCACGAAAAGTTGATAGCGTGATAATGGTCGTCAAACTATGCTGGTGTAGAAGATTATGTAGTAGCATTGCGATTCGACGAGCGAAGGAGTCGGCATCAACATCTTCGATATTCAGAGCGTTGTTTCCAAGCAAGGTAGGACGAGGCTGCATTTGAGCATGACTGCAGGCACGATCGTGTTGATCGTTAAGCCTTTTTTTGCTTTTCGCGCATGAGCTGAAACAAAGATGAACCAATTAGGTTAGATCAAAGTCTGCCGCGTTCTTTTACCCTGACTTGTCGGCCCGTGCTGATTTGACGCATTTACTGTAACCAATAAAGCTAATGCGATCGTGGGTCCTACATGACGAGAATATACATTAATGTGCGATGAAGTGGCGCTCAATTCTCGTCGCAGTATTGCCATTTATTGCAGATGGATCATGGCAGATATGTAGACACGACTCTAATTAACTCTAAGACTTTGCAGAATCCTATCTGACATGAGTATCGACTCTCTGAAAAATTGCTGGGAGGCTATGAGATGTCTTCTCTAGTGTAGACTCTGTTGTTATCTTCGAATATTCACCCCTGTCATTCGGTGTCAAAGAGATCGTCTCATTACTTTTTCGGCTTTTGGTTGTCTGTTAGAAATTGCAAGCTCTAAAGTTTGGTCTTGAAACTCATTTGCGTGTCTTCCAGTGAAAACAGGGATGCTGCTATAGAATTTTACATGTTGTTGTAGGTAGATGGAGCTTCTAGGAATACACGGATGTTGGTCCTGCCGTACTCGAATGAACTGACAGAGACTTACCTTGGACCTGTTGATGGAAGAAGTACTATTTCTGTCGCAATCTGGGATACATAATAGGAATATCTAAGTACATTCGTTCAATTCACACCTTGATCATCCGCTTCTCGAATTGCAGCGTGGGCTTGGCTTGATAAATTTAATATTAAGTGGGAGCATTCTGTGCTTCAAGATTATAATCGTCTTGAGCAACCCAGCAACACCGCTTGAGGCTTCTAGATGCCTAATGTTCGACCTGATAGAGCCAATATAGACATTGTCTACACGTCTGATCTCTGTGCAGAACACTTCTGCCATGGTCGATACTTCTATACTATCGCGTGTCATAGTTTTAGAGTCTGTTCGAGGGTAGTGGTGCTGAGTTTCTCACCATTTTGTCTTCCCGTTCCACCTGCATCAACACATACCTTTTTCGCAGGTCCAGACCGGCATTTAGATGAACAAGTCGCATGAGATTTGCTTCAGCAACAGGGTTGGGGAGCGAGATTCCTGCCATCTTACCGTCCTGGTTCATACCAGAATTTCTGATGATGGCACGAACTTTGTCATTATCTCTGACAGCATCATCAAGACGCTCTAGAATCAGACTCACAACGAAGTTACCCCATACTGCCCATGGTAATGATCTGATCAGGAGTTAAGACCAATTGAGTTCCAGCAGCAATGGCTATCTTTGGTTCCCTTGCTCGAAGTGCATGGCATGCCTGGTGCAATGCCACCATGCTTCCTGAGCAACCCATTGTCCACTATACTCAAGAAGCCCCTGAGATCAAACCCGTAATTAATTATATTGGAGACAATTATAATTCGTGTGCCAATCATATGAAACTTAAGTATTCTAGATATGTTCTTGCAACCCATGCGCTTAACACTGAAAGTGTGCAAATTAGCATATTGTATCTGCTACATACAATGTGATAGGAGTAGATGGTTTGGCCGCGCCCGCAGATTCACACGTGGGACACGAAGCAATTAATCAATGGCATAATCCTTGAAGTGGGCAGATGTATCAGAGCGTTCAATGCCCTCTAGTGTCTGCCCGGCGTTCTCGAGCGCCTCTTATGTCGTGTCCAGGGAGATGCGTTGTCGTGGCTCAAGACAATAAATGTCAGCTTACCCGGTGTCGGACTTCTATTGGGTATATAAGGGCTGAAATCATCCATATATGTTAGATAGTAGGACTCAGCGCGTCAATACTAGCATCCTAGCACTCCATTGCAACGCTATTGTCTGACAATAAGCTTCATGAGGGTGTATGTTGAGGAAACGCGTATCAAAAGCTCCGATGTCTTGATCCAAGAATTAGAGGCTCTCGATATCGATGGCCTCTTTCGTCTCGGGATCAGGATGATACAACGAATCCTTGTTCCATCGGTCCACCGGGATATCACGCCAGCCACTTCGTCACTCGGAAAGCATGTCCCAGAGCTTGTCTGGATTGTCTGAGCCACCCGGGAGACGGCATGCCATACTAATTATGGTAATACGAAGGGAATATGCTCGGGCATATTTGCCGGTAAAACCACTCTAAGGGGAAATACAAATCAGGTGTAGGCCGAAAAAAGAACCCAACAAGTACAACAGTGAGCATATAATTGATAGCAACTTAATTCGTTGATACCGTACATAAATAATGTTACAAGGAAGAGTGTAAAGGAGACGCGGCGACAGGTTAGAAGTCGGTGGAGAGGTCACCCATGATGTAAGAGCAGAGACTGTCTCGAGATTCAATCATGAGTAGCAGGCAACAGGATCTCCATCCATATTGAATTACCTAGAAGTCCAGCCCAATTTTCTCTCCATCCGGCGATCCCTTACAGCATCAATCTATTTCAAGATAGATACATTCACGTCTGACCATATTCTCAATGCCATCTTACCACAGTATTAATAGAATCCACTCAACAGACAAGAAACATGGGGCAACGTGCTCGCTAGAATGAAGAAAAAAGATTGCTGCAAGACAGCCAGCTCAGGGTAGATGCAAGCCCTGGCAAATTACGATCCCTCCTCCCGGCTGCCTCAGCTTCAGGGAGAAACATCGTTAGCGGGATACGGACGAAGGATCCATCACTTCTGGCACTTTTTTTCGCAGAGGAATAGATAATGAGTGAGATGAGAGACAAGTGCGGTCCAAGGCGGCCTATGTCATAGATGATTCTGAGAATGGGCCTTCTGGGGGTCTGGGATAACATCTGACACTTCGTAAGCGGTTGCGAGATGACACTTCTATCTTGTTAATAGTGCGGTAGATTCTCAGGGCGATGATATGACCGCCGTAGATCCATCAGGAGAGAAACAGTGCCATCTGGATACATTATCAGCCTACATTTTCAACCTGGACTCCTGACACAATGAATACTCTATTCGCAGACTCTTACGAGATGCCACAGTTTATGGTGGGATCCATAATGAGACGCGTCACGCCCCTTCGAGGCTCGGATGAGGAGAGGCTTGAGCCAGGCGATGCGGCGCAGCGATCTGAGCGAAGGATCTTCGTTCTCAAGTCCAAGCGTTACGGCACGATGATCCGCAATTTTAGCTAGCTCGCGGCACCCCACGAAGCTTGCCAATACCAATGAAACCATATCACCCCAGCCCAACTTTACATCTGTTGAGGTCCTCCAATCAAGATCTTACCCGCGTATCCGGTAGTCTAACTCACAATTCTGTTCAACCCCCCTGGAGAGGTTAGATACCGTTTGCTTTGATGCCTGCGCACAACTAAACAGCAACTTGGATGCAGGTCCCGGATCCAGAGAACAGTCGGCCATCTCGCAAAGGATTGGGACCCAGAAGCAGACCCAACGAAATCCTTCTTTATTTGCCTACAATCTAAGTTCTCGGGTCCTTGACTCTCCAGATGTCGACTGATTCATAATACTGATAGCCAGGAGATATTCTACCTCAATTGGTTCCGTTTTGAATCAAACCAGAAGCATCGTAGGGCTCAATTCATAATGACCGTCCCAGACGATTACGTCCCAGGTTTCGTCTGCCAGCTGGGCACTTGCGACGTGGAAGAATGGGGCTATGTTCATTACCAGCCGAGCATACCAGGAAACGCGCTCTTCTTGGCTATCATCGTGCTCTTCGCAATTTGTCAACTTGCTCTGGGCATATATTACAAAACGGGACTCATGGCAGTATCGATACTCCTTGGCCTGGCGACGGAAGCCCTCGGTTACATCGCTCGAATACTCCTGCATACCAATCCGTTCGACAGAGCATACTTCTTGTGGTACCTGATCTGTTTGACCATCGGCCCCGTGTTCATTGCGGCCGCCATCTATTTGAGCCTCGGCCGGATCGTCGTAGTCTATGGGGAAGATATAAGTCGGATCAAGCCTCGAACTTACACTATCATTTTCATGGGATGCGATATCATCAGTCTCTGTATTCAAGCGGTCGGTGGAGGTATCGCTGCATCGACACCTATCACTAATCAAACTATGGTACTATACGCCTTCATTGGTCTTTGCTTGATCCACTTTCCATGCTCGTAGCTCCCTGAAGCCAATGCTGACAGACACATCGACACTTGCAGATCGATCTTGGAACACATGTTCTTATCGCAGGTCTCTCGTTTCAAGTCGCCAGTTTGTTTGCATTCACTGCATGCAGCCTTGAATTTCTGTGGCGCGTCAAAAAATATCCAGGTTTGCGTAATCCGGAGTTCGCCGACCTCGTGAACAGCAAAAGATTTAAGTTGTTCCTATGCTGTATGTACCCAAGAACTCAACATCATCCGTCCTAGAAGCTGACGATCGGAAAGCACTATTCATAGCAACGACACTATTATTCATACGAACGGTTTTCCGGTCTGTAGAGCTCAGCGAGGGGTTCTCGGGGAAGTTGGCAAACAATGAGGTCCAGTTCATGATTCTAGATGGAGTCATGGTCATTCTTGCAACAATGTGTATAACTGTTTGGCATCCGGGGTATGGATTTCAGAAGCGATGGAACGATGCTAGATTCCGGTTCCGCACACCCAAGGCCATAGGCGATCAAGAAGATCCACAATCAATCGTTGCTGGAGGCTCGGAGGGCAGCGAGAAAGTAGAACCTATGGCATCTGAAGCCGTAGCCGTCGCGAGTCGAACCCATTCCCAAAAATGTTAATCTGAATAGGCGATCATTCTTGTAATTTCAGACGCTTTGTTCTATTATTGTGGCCCGGGCTTGGTGGAGCTTATTGGGAGCAACCAGGGACCTTCGCTTCACAACAAGGACACATATGAAGGGACATGAGAACATCGAGCATCATCCATCATAATCTTTCTAACATGAGCTACATTGTCTAGTACTTCGTCATGTATGAAGATTATTGCACAAGCTGTCCTCATATCTTTCGAATAGAAGAGATTTGGATGGTGTCGCGGCTTTATGGTGATGTGGATCCAACTCCATGAGCTTGAGCTCTCGTCCTCAGAACTCTTGTCATTCTTTCAATTACCTACATCACATCACGTCACATATTTCACCACCCCAATACTACGTCATTAAGGCTGTGAAGTGATCGTTGGTACAAACCATTGATTAGAGAGTACTGACACAATATCAATTCCTATTATTGGATGAGTGCCTCGGGGTGTGTGTTTTGCTATGAGCAGTACTTTACTTACCGATAAAAGCACCAATTCAAGCAATATTAAGCCTTGAACTATCGATAGTAGCTAATCTTGGGATGTACCATACTTCTGTCGCGATCCTTCCACCCTGCGAGTTGACCTTCATACGGAATCGTGGGCTAATGTAGCCAGGGGCGTGGCGAAGATCTTTAAGTCCGAGATGATTATACTGCGTAAAGGTTTGCGAGGGTCCACTCTGTTCTAGTCTTGCAGGGTATTATTTTCTATTCCTTCATCAACATTGCGATTCTACTAAGGCTTTCGCTTAATATGTATGGGCAAGCCTTTAGGGACATACTTTCAAATGGCAGCCGAAACCACGGCGAGTTTGAGTCGCACCTGCTCCTCGTTGGAACAACGATATTGTGAACCTCAATCAACTAGTAAACGAGAGCAAGGGACGGTGACTCAGGTCTTCCCGTTGAAACATGGGCCCAGCCACCTAACATGTATATAACAAGTGTGCTACCGCACACATAGCTATTGACTAATTGTCAGACGTAGTATTGTAAGGGAGTGCTAGGGTGCTAGTTATGACGCACTGAGCCCTAATCTATCTCATATGGAGGATTATAGCCCTTATATACCCAATAGCAGTCCGATACCGGATAAGCTTTGAAACTAATACTCAACTAAGTAATTTATTCATTTATTTCTTGCAAACTTTTTCTATTTTAAACAGAGAGTTGCCTCTGTTTGGCTTTGTGGTATCTGTATTATATCATTGAATCCGCTCATAGCATCTCGACCTCCATTTATACGACCACGTCTACAACGCTCACCACCACGATTCTCCGGGACAAAATGTGCCTCAATAGCAACGTGTTTCTGGTCTTACGGACGCTCATTCCTCTCCTCAAGCTTACTCTTGGTTCCTTCCTGTCTTTCCAGCGTTTATGAGTCCTTGGTGGCACGCCTCAGTTGCGTCCTGATATCCTCTGACTGGCGGTCGTTCTGGTAGTGCAAGCTCCTGCTTGTTGTGAGAGCCATGCTATACGTACCTGTAGTCTTGCTATCGCTTGCGGTATATTCCTGGACAAGCTGCGGAATGCAACGGAGGTGGGTTCTGTGAAGGTACAAGTTATCCCTCCTTCTGAAGCTGAGATTTTGAACTCTTCCGGGGGACCGTCCATTGCACTGGAACCCACAGGTTTGAGACCCCTCCTCTGGCGGACAGGGCGCGTCTTCCTCCTCATTCTCATTCTGTTCATTGACATCCGCCTGGCTCTTTGAGACTTCCTCCTAAGCATCCGTTTTCTTTCTCTCCTTCTCGGTCTTCTTCTTAGCCTCTATGGCATCTTTTGAACTTTCGTGGATTGGCCTAGATTAGTCATTTTGGCGATTGTGTTCAGTTTTTCGGGAAAGAGGTCGTATGATGAAAGGAAAGGCGGTTTGGGTGATATAAAGCTTCGCTTCGTCGTATGTGATATTTGTTCTGGTATTGATCGAGGCGTGATCTGCTTGGTTTCAAGAGGGGCCATTTTTGTTTCGATCGTCGCAGGAAGAAGGAAGCGGGGAAAGAATTTCAGAGGACGTGCAATAGCTTCGCCGGAATACAAACACGGCGGTGCACATTATCTGACGCGCATAGCTTTTAACCATCACCCACGGCCACAGAAATCATGGTTGTTCCTGTTGAGAGCTCTTATCATGCAGCTGCTTAGTTCGATAACATGTCTACGTTAATCGTTAGAAGGGTATAGATACGACTTAACACCCTTGATGTGAACCCTTTTGAAGATTAACCTTGCTAATTCTACTTCCACATTAGAAACTGAGCTTTTGACAGTATGCCCAGAGTTATCTCTAAGCAGCCGTGAACTGTGGCTAAGTATACCTGAGCTGGCATATTAAAAAGCCTGATGTAATGAAGATGATGCTTAGCTTGTGATGATTAGAAAGAGAAGATTAGGTCATATTAAAATCCACTATGCGGCTTGATCAAAATACTAATTTCTTTTATTGCAAATACTAGTACCGGGCTTATAGTTTCTTTCGAGATGTGCAAAACTTCGAAGATATGCACAACGGTTGTAGATATGCTATTTTCGGTTATAATTAAAACAGCGCTTAATATAGATCGAGTATATGTGCTATTTAAAATAGCTATAACTCAAGCACTACATTCAGACAAATTTAAGAGTTAAGGAAGTCACATATGTTTTATAAGACCATGCGCAGTGTCTGTGCATTAATGGCTGCTAAACCTAATATACCATATGTATTGAGCTACAGTATGAGTCTAAGTATATTTCACACTCGTCAAGCCCATCGAGGATGACAAAGGTGCATTGTGCTGTTGCGTTGTATATTGTATGACGCTTGAGAACAAGTTTGACAAAAACTTCCCAAAGGATTTCGATGCTCTTTACGCTCCGATTTTCGAGGATTTTCAGCCGCGAACTTTTTAAAGTAGGGTGACGATCGAAAGGCTGAAGGAACCCTAGAGACCTACCACAGCACTTCGTTAGTCGTGATAGTCGATTTTGAAGAAGAAATAACATAGGTCAACTTTACTATCCTAACTTATTCTTATCCGAGTCTTAGCAAGGTGTGATGTAGTAACTAACTTATCATAGCCGGGGTGTGCCGAAACCCACAAAAGATAAAAATCGACGTTATTTAACCATTCGGTGTAAACGTGATTATCGAGAAGCTAGGTGCAAGTGCTAAGAAGAGGTAAAGGGTGGCGATCTTTGTATTGTTTGAAATTAGGATGTGCGAAGCTTTCAAGCATGGTTGGAACTACATCATTCCTACTTGCATTCTGTCGCTTGCCCTTCTGAAGTACCTCGTTAATGAGTCTCGTTAAATTTATCACAGGTTAATAGCGAGGTTCTTTTGGATCCGAGAATTGACGCATTGTCTTGTAATAGCCGTCGATCCGTATGGTAAAATCCTTGTCCAACCCTAAGACTGCCGACTCCCTATCGACAATCTTGATGCAAAGATTGGCCTTATCGAGAGGATGTCGCTCGATTCGACGCCTATCACGTCAATTTCTGGGGAAATAGAGAGCTCTTTCTCAAGCTCATTAGAATCAATTTGTCGGTCGCCTTTGCCGAAAGAAATTTTTCGTACTGGTGGTATTCTTAGAATACGTAACAAAGTCTCATACAAGTAGGGCGCCGCATAACAGTCCCTTAGCTGCGTATTACCCCATCCGGATACACGACAGCAGTTACCAATCCAGCCAGCCACCAACGCGCATGTGCTGACTGGATTGGACGTCGACTGTGATTAGTTTTGGTTCAATGGTTTGTCACCTCGTTCCTCGATTGTACGAGAACACGTCAGGCGAAAGACATGTCTTCTCGATTTTCGCACATTTCACCAGCACGCCTCTGAAATTCCTGCGTTTAATCCGAGTTCAAATTCGAAACAGAAGGAGACATGTTGCTATATAACGTGATATATAGACTGATGTTATAATACGGAGTTTGAAATCGGACGCGCAAAGTTTATTCACGTTTTCTACGTTATATAAGTCGAGAAAGGTGAATCATGCCGTTGCGGCCGTTGTAAATCGTACGTGTATCTGTTACAAAATAATGTTTGTTCACTTATAATGCCAGAGCAAAATCAGGAGTCTTGCAATACCCTCGTACATTATCATCTTAGGGTGGCTCGGTGAGACCTGCATGAACATAATTAAACAAAAGATTGATGAAATATAAACATTTCAAGCCTCAGATGAAAAGCTTGAAAATCGTGAACAGAATTTTCACCACAATTCTCTGTTACAATACCCAACTCGTCCTGACAGATTATTTCCTACATACCTCTCCAAGAATCTCTCCGAAAACTTTGGAGCATAAGCGCATACATCTTGAAACAAAACCCACCATAGTCTTTGTGCCTTGCCACACGAGCCTGCTACACAATATTTGCCGGACCATCGCTGACTATCATATAGCCTGCGGGATTGGGGATTTCTACTTGATCTTAACGTTGCTCGCGTTGGTATATCGACAGTGTTCTTATTTAACTGCCCAACAAGACTTGACCATGGCATTGGCCAAGGGCGATCAGAGTTGAATAAGATCAAGTGAGAGATACAGCAACTGTTTTTCCGATACTAACTCTCGGATGCTATGGAAAACCTGATTGGCCTATACTCTGTTTCCCTCTCTCATGCCGTCCCGCAAGACTTGGACTTGCTTTTTGATTTCAACCCACAGTATGAGATTTTCTAGATCGTCATCATGAGTATCGATGCCAATCCAGTCGTCTTCTAGGTTCTCCATGAGTCCTCGCGGGTTTGGCTTATCACTCTTTGACCTTCGAGCAATTGCAAGAAGTGCAGCCACGAAGGCTTCCTGTATGTATGCGAAACTGAATTTATCGGTAATCTCGGCAATCGCGGGGCACAGTCTATCCGGGAACTCGACCTCTTTGTTATCTGCGAGCTTCTTCTGCCAAAAGTGACAATATGCGACACGCTCATCGTGGTCAGGGTTGGGGAACAAGTATTTTCTGTCGAATCGGGACGGTCGTTTCTGAACACATTGTTAATAACGACTTTCTTGTACTTCGTGAATTGGAGGTGTTGCAAAGATCTGCCTACCGAAATACCAGGGTCTAACCGCTCAAGATGGTTCGTGCTTCCGACCATGAAGATACCGTCGTTACTCTTCAAGCCGTCGACTTCATTCAGGAAATAACTTCTGACGCTATCGTTGATGATGGAGTCCAGATCCTCGAATACGAGATAACATGGCGCGAACTCGCGGGCCTTGCCGAAGACCTGCTTGATTGAGTACTCTGGGCCGGCATACTGATTGCCTATCAGCTTGTTTCAGGTTAAGAGACTTACGACGGAAATAGCACGCACCGAGAAGAGACTCCGTACGTAGAGGGTTGGGATAGGTGTTGGCTCGTGGTCGTAAAGTGTACGCATCATCGCCTTGATGCTGATTGTCTTTCCGTTGCCCGGCGGTCCGTAGTAGATGATACCTCGCTTCCATGGAACTTTGAGATGTGTGTATGTCTCGCGTGAATTGAAGAAGGACAGGTGATCGTCAATGATGTTATTCTTCATCTCGGAGCTCAAGATGACACTTTCCCAGGTGGCGTTTCTGATTGAGTCATAAAGCTCCTTGCTCTTCTGCCAATACCCGCCGTCGAAGACCCAGACCTCATCGTGTAGATCCGCATTCCAACGCCCAGCCTCCAGAATCAGCTGATGCGCTTTGCGCTTGTTAGATGTGAGGATATAGTAGTTGGACACGACTGGATACGGCTGTTGACCATCTCGTCCGTCGATGAGATAGACAATAAAATCATCGTCCTTCCACTTGTACAGGTATTTGCCGAACAAGGTCATCTCGCCCAAACCACCCAACGCGCCATCTAGCCGGCGGGTGGGCGGGATGTAGAGATCCAGTTGTAAAGAGTCAGGCAGGCCGCTGGTGCTGTCCTGCAACGGTTCAAAGCTGGCATTGCCTGCTGTCGCATAGCTCAGTAGATTGACATTTCCAGCAGGCGTAACAACAATCTCCAGGTTGGGGTATTGCTTCGTGAGTGCGGCAGTGATATATGCATCCGTATTGGTGCGTCGCGCACTGCTATGCTTGAAGTAGGCTCTCGTGGTGGCATCTTCGCCGTGGTCTTTGCTGGTAGATTCCGGCTCGCCTAATGGCCCCGGGTGGGTCAAGACGTCCGCCTGTTGCTGACGTGTCTGGAGCCCCAGCAACATGTTCTGCTCACTCATTCCTCTCCATGACAGATCTGCCGGGATATTCTGATCCAGTTGCGGCTCACCCGTTCGTGCCGAGTGAGCTGTCAAAAGCTCGGCCTGTTGCCGACGTCTCTGAAGCTCAAGCAACATGCTCTGCTCACTCATCCCTCTCCATGATAGATCCACCGCTTGGTTCTGATTGGTTTCCATTCGGTTCATCGTGACTGTGACTTGTGCGAAAGCTTGATAAAAAGAGAAAATTGATTATTGTAATTGCCAAAGCTGGGGAATTGACTACTGAGAAGCCATGGGATAGTGGCTCCGTAAGCCGTAGGAATTCGGCTGCCTGGCGCCATCCTTCGCTGATTACCCCAACCACTTGATGTTGCATCGCCCCGGGGGATCGAGTCGAAGTGGCATGAAATGCGGGGACAGCTTCACGGCGCCACTACAACATGTAGGTACTGCCAGGTGCCAGGGTTCGTCGAGCATCCTGGCATATATACATGAATAATTCGAAAACGACTTGATATTTAGCCCTTATCCCGTGAGATTGGCCTGTTTCAAGGTGGGACAGTAAGGTCAATGGCAAATGTCCAGATCTTGTAGTAACGTTAGTGGGATGATCGATGGCGCATCGAGCACAACCACAGTCCAGGTCTTGGCGCTTCTCGTACTAATATACGGATTATATCAAGTGGATATGTATGGGGCAAAATAGGTGAGGATCACGCGCGTGAGCACCAAAAGCCAGCATCGGCTTGAATATCAAAGCAGTAACATTCTACTTAGTACTTTAACCAAATGTTTGTCATGACAACCATGTACTCAGTTATATTTGATGCATCGTGTATGTATCACACCATTTCCGGTATGTCAGAATTTCAAAACAACACGGTAGTTGGAGAACTTCCTAAATGAACCTAACGAGTACTGATTCACGGTGAAAAGCAACTGCTTCATAGGAGGTTTTGGTTCAAGCTTGGGAGCTCTCGGTGTTTGTAAAGAATCGGTGGGGCCACAAGGCAGCTATTTGTCAAAAACATACGCTGTAAACAAATTCCTCCCAAGCTTTGAGTTTCTTCCTTCCCGCCGCTGTTCCTCTTTTTTGGCCGCCGCGATTGGCACTGAATTTTGCGTCGAAGATATCTCACAACCATATCCTAACATCCACAATACTTCTATTGGAAATACACTCTACGTAAGAGTCGCATTCTGAGTTATTTCACTTTCGAACTAGCAACAATGGACGCGACGGAAGTGGCAAAATTGAATAAGCGGATGGTGAATTTATTCTCCATATTGGGAGACATCAGTCAAAAGGTCAACACTCAGGTGGCTGCGATGAGTTTTGCGCTACTAAGCCTCACCCACAAATATTACAGTCGAGCTGCAGCTCATATCCCGGCAAGGCACAAGTGCGACGAGAAGCTATGCAATGTAGGACATCGCTCTCATACTACTTAGGCATCTTCATACGTTTATCATATGGGAATCACAGCCATACACTGGGGAGCTGGGCCCAGAACCAAACAACTAGCAAGCCCCGTATGAGTAAAGTTTGGGGACAAAGAGAAATTTACCTTCCTAGAGGTTACGGAAACTGAGGAAATTTACCAGCGGCTCTGGATCAGTAACCACTTCTTGCCATACCATGGTCAAATGCAGTAGTTTATCAAGCTGACAGGAGAGACACATGTACTGAGAGCACACGTGAAACCGATTGATAGATACAGGAAGAAATAGGCTGTCGTCAGAGAGCTTAACTGCGACTATGCGATGAAAATGAAGGTGAACGGATGCTGTACCATGTGCCGGCGTCACATTTACGTATTGACGAGGAACGTCTCTGGCTGAGGCTACACCGAGGGGCGACAATGTCGTGGATACAAGTGGCAAGAGGGCCTCCCCCTTGTTGGCGATTCAACATAGAGAAAATACCGTCCTGTGTCCGGAGAGCGAGGAGGCTGACGAGGATATTGACAAGGGGGCTGCACCAGGATCAGTGGTTGAAAGAGAAAACGGCCAGACGTGCGAACAAAGGTCCTCCTCCAAACGCACCAAAGGACCCAAAGGGTGATAACATACGGATGACTAGATGTACAAATTATCACCAAGAGCATCAAGAAGTGATTGTTATTGTGTAATTAGTTCATCAAGCGCTGATTCATATTGAATGTGCAACCTTCTAAATACCCGCCCACGTTCAAAAGCAAATAACAAATAACTGGCAGGCATGACTTATGAATGTAATGTTTATATTTCAAAGCTTGTATTGGAATATTCAGTTGTTTGGTGGCCTGGACGCGTCAAGATTGGATTATAAAAGCGGTACCGAAGCTGTGTTTGCGTTGCCTAGAGAAGCGTTTGTGCGTCCCCTGACCTTTTTTATCCTTTCTTCTTCTTCCTACGCTTCAAGGAACCACAATTTTCGTTATTTGAAACTTGAAAAACAACAGCATTGACAATTGACTATATTATCACATAAAACTCATCATATAAACAACGAGATGTCGGTGTGGTGTGTCGTGGAAACCTTTCGTAGTAATGTCTGACGTTCGGGGTGATATGTCCTTCGTGCGCGGCCCTGGTTCTGATGAGCTTCCGGATGAGTGTTTAGAGCATAGTGAGACTATTAAGGGACAGCGGGCGATTAACGCTCATTTTTTCCGGCCAGAAGTAGGCCGAGTTCAAGGGGCGCGAACTGGTGTTCAATATCTGGATTGAGGACAGACTGGTAGCCAAGGTCAGGAGGCAGAGGGTTTATTTGATCCCGGTGGCTTCAAGATCATCCATGATGATGAATTTATGGGTGCTGAGGCCCGGTGAGCAATCGAGTTGATTGAATTTGTGGTCCACGCGTGACCTTGTGTTGTTGTAATCGAATTTGATCTGTTCGAAGCTGGTAAAGTATGCTTTCGAAAATGCCAAGTTACCTTGGAAATGGGACTTCTCGCTCCCAAAGGCCCAATTCTTCGCTCTCTCAGTGTACTATCTTCAATATCGCTACTTAAGTGCCTGATTGCTTTACGTTGCAGCCTCAGGAGCTCACCATGGAGCGGGCAAGTATACTTCCAAGAATTTATACTGGGCTGATTTAATTGTATTCCCAACAATTGAACAGTGGCAATCCTACCACCAACGGTTGCAAACTTATTTTCTTGATTATCCACAGCGTCAGTGCCCATATCTTAGGTTTCAGGCGGAGACCTCAACTCGGATTATGTTGAGCATACGGCTCGCTTTGGTCCCTGAATTCTCTGCCATGGTTGGCACCTGTCTCTAGAAGGTCTTTGGGTCTCCTGGATAAAGTTAAGTCCATCTCGATGGCATATCTGCACGAGCACTGATATGCTTTGACCCATTCCCCTCCAATCCCATCTCGGTCTTTCATCATGTCTCATGCCTCGTTTCCAACTGCTGCGACCAAATTCCGAATCAGTCTCCAGATCTCCGTCGGGAAGTACACGACAGCGCAATCTAGCACCAAAGTGATTCATGTGTGCGTCGGTCAGGTGAGTATCGTGATAGTCCACCGAATCTGCATTGCGATCCAACCGCCGAATCACAGGACATACTTCATCCGTGTTAAAGCACTTCCCCATCGATGACGAATACAAATCGCCATGATACTCGCTCCAGCATCCATATTCCTGTGTATTCGATCCCAATTTGCATGATCAGAATTGAAGAAGTCATACGCCACGCGTTTAAGTGAAACTGAACGCAGTGTAGATCGTGGTGGGGTATGAAATAGACATCTATAATCATCCTCTGTCGCTGGGATCTTGGCCACTAGATCCATCGTAGTCTTCTGCTCCACTGGAACATCGTAGATCTCCTTTCATGCTCAATTACTGGTCAGTCTTCCCAAGTAGTTTCTTTTCCTCTTCTAGGAGAAACGGAGCCGCGTCTGTCTTCTCTGGTTATGTATTACCCATTTTTGTTTTTTCCCCTTTCTCTTCAAGAGAATCAGGTTTGATTACGGTGTATTTTTATTTCATACATACACCATATCTGACAGGTAGGAATTGGTCATGAAGACACAATATGTAGGGGTTATCTCCCTGAGTCTTCGGGTATAAGTTGTCCGTCACACAATCGTCCGTTCCGCAGCGCCTACATAGGGTAAGTCAGGATTCGGGTCATAGTTAGCGTCAGAGTTAAGGGAACGTGGCCGGCGAGTTATACTGCGTTGGTAAGTTCTCGATGAGGGCAAACTACGATGGAATGAGTATCTGTCACCATTGGGGTGGGTGGTCTGAGCTGGAACGGGGATATCGATTATAGCGGCAGATACGCCTTTCAGTTGCCATCAGTGTGAGACAAAGGCATTGGTCACGCTATCTAGGAACTCTTTTCTATGACGATTCCATCTTCTACTACTACCCTATTCCAATGGCCTCCTAATAGACACCAGGAAGGATTCTGTACTTGACAGCCTTCTTGTACTTCTCCCAGTCCTCACCATACTTCATGCTGCACTTGTCATCATCACGACCATCACGGTGGATGAGAAGGACCGCAAAGTAAAGAATGTAGAAGTAAGTGAACAGCATACCCCAGGCACGGGCAGGACCTTGAATGACCTCGCGACCATCGGCCATCTTGAAAGCACCGGGAACTTCACTACCGGCATTCAAGATGACATAGCCAGCGACGCCGGTAGGCAGCGAGTATGGCCAAGACTGGATCCAGTCGCCAAGGTAGTTGACGTGTCGGGCAACACCCCACCAGCCGGAGGTCAGGAGACGTGAGCCAGTCTTGGTCTCAATGTACTTGAGGTGAGCAACCTTGGGGTCGTTGGGGTTGGTACGGAAGGTATTCTTCTCGGCGTTGCTGAGGCGGAAGATGGTGAAGCCAGTAAGAAGAACAGCCAATACGCCACCAGTGTAGAGCCAGCCCATCTGAAGAGGGTAGACAGACAGATAGCGGACCTGCTGAGAGTACATGAAGGGGAGCCAGCCGAGATCCCCAAAAGCCAGCATGAAACCAAAGCCGTCTCTTGTGATATCCATCATGGTGAGGATGGCGGGCTCCATCCAGAAGCTGTCCATGACGTAGAGACTCTGGACGATGGTGATGAAGACCGCGCTGTCTGTGACGTAGCCATAAGTACGGTACTGCTTTGCGACCCAGGCAACGTCGATCAGGATCCATCCCAGAAGACCAGGGCGAACCTCCATGAAGGTCTTGATATCGATCTCGCCAAAGAAGGGAAGGGTGACACGGGGGTTCAACTCTCGGCCAATGTAGAAGTCGTAAATCATGTTGCCGGTATGTCCGCCAGCGGCAAGCTCGCGCTTCTCGGGGTTGCCAGCCTTGACGGAAAAGCTGGCGACGTATACATAGATGGCAAGAGCGAAGGAGACGATGATGTTGGCGGTCAGGATCTGTAGGTAGTTGTCGGTGATATATGTCCAAAGGGGGAATTCTGCGCCTTGGGCGATGGTGCCAGCGAGACAGACAGCGAGGATCAAAGAGCTGGATGCAAGACCTGGTAAAATTATGCTGTCAGGTTGTGCAATTCTATGAGGGATGGGAGGGAGTGGTCCAGCGGCATACCATTGAACTTGTACTTCAATCTGCCACCAGATTCAAGCTCGGTGCCTTCCACTACTTGTCCGGGGAGCACTCGGAACAAGAAGAGGTTGAGGAAGTAGTAAGCCAGTGTCCAGCCCATAGCATCCCAACTGCACAAGCCCCAGATACCATCTGCGGGCCATCCCGCCTCGGCCTTCAGAGTCTCGAGGGACAGGTTCTTGGGATCGAGAAGAGAAGGTATGGGACATCCAGAGACGTCGTTGCAGCCGAATGCATACACATATTGGAGGATAGGAAGACCGAGAACGATTCCGAGGGCGCCAATGCTGATTGTGACATGTCAGTGGGTTCTTCTTTGTCGCATGTCTTAGACGCAAGATGGATATATGATGTGATGCAGATGATGGGACGTGAAGAACCACTTACGGGCCGCCAAACTCATAACCTGGCTTGTGCTGGGTAGCCATGGTGTCTGAATGGGAATTTGCTGTTTTCAAGATTCCGACGGACGACTCTCGTGACAGCCAAAAGGCGGAGGAAGAAAAAGGGCGACGGGATTCGAGTTGGCTTGGACTCGAGCGCAAACGAGATAAATGTTGACGTCGTCGAAGACCCTTTTTATTGCCCAATTTAAGCTATTTCTCCATGGACAGCTCCGACCAATTAGACGACACGATTGTGTGCAGCTGCAAAGCAAAGCAGCAAAGCATGCGACGCTAACAGATCGGATTGCTTGGCTTCCGTGTGGCACCACTCAGAACATCTCAGGTCTCGTCCCCTCCAGACGGACTTGACCTCGCAGTTGGTGAGGTATCCGTTGCGCGACTACTAACTTATGTACATGGACAGTGTGTACTAGGTTAAGTCACTTATGTAAGAGCCGGATTGTGCACTAATGCTAGCGCAGGCCATCTCGAGATCGGCTTCGGCTTCTCGCTTCTGGAGAAATGGACTGGCTAACCAGAAAGGGGAACCGGCAGGATAAACACAAATGGTCCGAACCTCTTTCCAGGCACAAACGAAAATGGTCTGTCTGACCTGCAAGTTGAAACATCCGGGAGGGTCCGCCAACCAGACGAAGGAATGTTTCGCTGGTGGGGGCAATGAATGGCTTTTGGGGGGAGTGGGGGGGCTGAGCTCAGAGTCCAACTGCCTGGCAGAGCTGGGGCTGCATGGCAAAAGAAAAAGAAGGAAGAAGAGAAGAGCTGAGGAAGATATAACTACCTTGGTTGACTCTCTGTCTGGGGCAGGCAGGAGAAGAAAAAGACGAGGAGAAAAAGACAAGGCTATAACTTAACTTACGGGTGAGTTAAGTTAGTAAGCTACAAAGCAACGCGGCGGCACAGAACAGAACAAGCTACAGCTGCATGTGGTGCCGCAGAGCCGTCCAACCCGGCGCAGGTCAGGGAAACAAATACCAATTACAGCACAGCATGTAGCCAAACGACAGGTGTCGTGTCTTGTCGTCGTGTCGGGTCGTAAACCTTCCTCAAGTTACGTACATACTGTAACACGCAAATCTAATCCACCCACCCATCCATTCTTTCATTGCTTATTGAACTCTATCGCCTTCGTCAATTTCCCATCATCTCCTCTGCGTGAATCGCATTTCGCTCGCCACCTTTCCTTGATGACAATCTTCCTCTTCTGCACCCAAGCGCAACGAGCGCTGCCTCTTCACATCTGCGCATAAAGTAGGTGTACTGAGTCCGGGCCCCCCTCCCTTCAACCCCGATACCTCCGACCAGAGACCAACCATGCGCCTCTCATCATCACCAGCGACCACATTGCTCGCTGTGCTCTCGCTGGCCGGCAGCACAATTGCAGCAGCGGCCGATGCAGACAAGACCACAACCGCAGAAGCATGCACAGCGACCAACACGAAATCAGGTTCCTTCTTTGATCTGCGCCCGGATATCGCCCAGAAGGCCCCGAAGGACGGCTCCAAACTCAAGAGCGGCGTGCCGAGCAAGGACTACAAGGCCAACGGATACGACTACGGCTACAACTTCACACTCAACATCTGCGGGCCCGTGGTGGAGGAGGTCGACAACGTCAGGGGCGACATCAGCCAAGAGCACTGGAAGAACATCAGCGCATACTACCAGACAAAAGGCGACATATACAGCCTCGGCTTTTCCAACGGAGACCTAAAACCCCGGGGCCGGAAACTCGTCTTGCAATACACCGGCGGTTCGACATGCGGCCAGGCCGCCAAGAGGAACGTCGACACTGTCGTGGACAAGAGGAACAACGTCCACAACGGTGCCACCTACAAATATTCCGACTATGAGGATGACGAGGAACGCTCCGTCCAGTCGTCGGCCGCCAAGGCAGCCAAGGCGACCAAGGAATCCGACAGTTCCAAGCAGCGCAAGTCAGCCACCATATCCTTCCTATGCGATAGAGACCCGACGGCCGCGTCAGCTGCCGTCTCCTTCGTCGGCACTGACCCCGATGAGTGCGCCTACTTCTTCGAGGTCCGCTCGTCCCATGCTTGTGCCGGCGCAGAACCGCACACGCCGGGAAGCGTAGGCCCAGGCGCTGTCTTCGGCATCATCTTGGTCATCGCCATCCTCGTCTACTTTGGAGGAGGTGTCATGTACCAGCGCAATGTCGCCAACCAGAGAGGCTGGCGCCAATTGCCCAACTATTCGCTCTGGGCTGGCATCTGGTCTTTCGTCTCGGTGAGCCAACCCGGAAAACAACGGGCATTCATTTGCTAGAGGCTAACTTGCATCCAGGACATCTTCATCGCTGTGACGTCATCCTGTGGGAGAGTGTTTGGCAACAGCCGAGGTTATCACCACCTTTCTGGTTCACCCTCGATAACCAGGCAGAGCCGAGATCGGGATGCTGAGAACAGGCTAATTGATCAGTATGATGAGGAGTGGGATGATTAACGTCCGGTTGGCTTATCTGTTTCCATAGAGTGTACGCAGAATGATTCAATATGGGTCAAATTTGGGATCAAGGCGTTCTAGGCGTTCAAGAGATGTCTGTGATAATGGATTGTCCATTGCAGAAGATACACATTCAACAAATCGCAATATTACTGATACGTTATGGTAGTAGGGCCAGCCATCATGGCTGTATTCTACGTATCACCACAGATCCAATGTCATGAATAACTTTGCTCCATTTTTTTTTATTGGGGGGTTTTTTTTTGGTTTTTTTTTTTTTGCCAACGAGCTCAGCCCAATACTTCTCCGATTACAATGCTTATTCAGGGTGACTGGGAATGATGCTGATAAGAAATCTGCTAAACAACATCTTCATTGGTGTTGGCGCGCGTGGCCCCTCTTCACTGAGCGTCATCATCACCATCCAGACATACGTCACCGAGGCCGCCCTGAACAGACAACCCTTCCCCAAAACCATGTACTACATTTGCATTAGCGACTTTGTAATTAATCTCTTATTACTATTAATAACGTTAGGTTTGAAGAATGTATGACGACTGTTTTTCGAAAAACCAAATGTTTACCAATGCTTTCGTTGAGAAATGATGGCCCTTAATAGCATGATCTTCATTGCGCTATTCTTTTCATCTCTTGTGGTTTCGTTTTTGGTAATTGTGTCCATCCACGACGTCTCCCTTACTCTTCGTCTCCTTCCCAATTGTCATTCTCGTATGGTCCAAGGACGTGATTATATCCGTCATGATACTCCCCGACAAACTTGATCCCCGAGGCTCGAAACATTTGTCTCAAGGCATCCAACCCAGATGATCGTCTGAAAGAGCCGCTAGATTCAAATTTCGGGTATGGCCGGAAGGTCATGTGTCTCAGAAATGGAAAGGCTCCTGCTTGACACTCGAACGCGAGGTCTTGGAACAACCGCTCCATCCATGCTTCAAAGAGTCGAACTTTTTGTTGCCTCAATGCAGCATTCTGCATTCTTTCGACCTCTTTTCCCCACCACTTCTCTATAAGCTCAAGCTTCTCGAACGACTCTGGCAGGACATTTGATATGACTGGTGGCCGACAGCCGATCGTAAGGCGTATAGGGCAGTCTGCGAGGCTGGAAATATCCACGGTCAAGACTTTCAGTTTTGTAAAGACCGCAAGGCAAGAGATGCCGGCGAAATCATACGTATCGCAAAGGGCGTCACGTTGCCATCTTGAAGGGATCGTTTCAGCATGCAGAGACTCCCGCTTTTGCCGCCCCCTCCAGCATTGCTGTACCCAGATCAATAACATCGCCACATGGATACCGATTCGGATCATCGTCTTCCACCTCGGTGTTCCAAGCCTCTTGACCGAACGTGTAGGTGAAATATTTGAGCTTTTTGCCTTACTTGAGCAGCCGCTCGATCCAGTAAGGACAGGTGATTGAATTATACAATCCGAGGTCTTCCACCAGGCGGAGCTGCTTGGCTACGACCTTGGCTTCCAAGGGTTCGTTGCGCTGAGCCATCCAAACGCCATCCGCTGGTCGTTCTATTCCGAAAAAGTAACTGCAGTCGCCTGCATCGCATTGCAGGTCTATTCTGGTCGCACGTGGGTTCGGGAATGCGTTTGGTAACGTGCTATCAAACTCCGTGTTATCGGAGCGGCGTGCGTGATTGGCATGACCGCAGCCGTTCTGAAGGCGGATGATCCCCAATGCCTTCGAGGATCATAAAACACTGCCGACACTGCGCCCAAGGCTGTCGACTTCGTCCTTGACACTGGTTATTTCCGGTACAGCGGGACCTTCGTATGTCGTCACATGGTAGCTGAAATAGGACATCATCACAATGTGCCATTTCGTCGAGGGGGTAACAAAGAACCACTTTCATAAGTTCGTAATAGCGAAACGGTACACTGTTTCTAAGTGACGAGAAAAAACTTGGGTAAAGTTCGTTTATCCATTCCAAAAGAGGTAGTTGTAGACACTTATCGAGCAGCACCACCGTATCATGCACATGATGATACCATGAGTCCGGGTCAAACCAGATGAGACAGGCGACGTGCCTGACTGAAGTGCCCATTATGTTGGACAACAATGCTAAAAACATGACCACGGGCTTGATATGGTGACTTAATTATGACGTTTTGATACAGAAAAGGCATGGCGATAGATTCGTACTGTTGTGAAGTCAGGCACAATCAGCGCAATGCCTGGTAACGTCCCCTGGTCTCGTTGCTGAGCACCTAAGTGCCTGTGACGGGAGGATTCGGAATAATGTACGAGAATATCTCAGTGAGAGCCGCATTGGGAAGACTCGAAAGTGACGGAGGCATCGTGTGATATACTGATAGCCTGTGTCTAAAATAATCAATCAGAAGCACGAGCAGGCTACTGTGGTGCTAATCTGTGGTGCGGAGACAAACCTGGAAGGTGCTGTGCTGAACGGTGTCATGTAAGTCACAGAAAAGATTATTCAACGACCGTTTTGGGGAGTTCGAGTCGTGAAGATGAGCCGGTTATCGCTGGCGGCTTCGAGTATTGATGAACGATGAGTCGAGCGTCGTTGATGATGATGTTGATACGCGCGTCTACGAAGACGAGAGGCACGGCATATACAATCGCGCTAGATTTTTTAGAAACGGCAATTTTTTAATTTTTTATTTAATTTTTACAAACAAGAGAAATCCCGAACTTCGGTGAAGTTGCGAAGAACAGTACTAGTTGTAGGCGTGGGAAAGCTTGATGTGCCGTCCGTGAGTGTTGTCGGTGGCTGGTGGGTGTATGTGTGAACAGCTCTGCAGCTCGAAAGGATAGCTGCAGCGAGATAAGCTCTGCAAACGATCATATATCACATTTATAATAAGTAGACTTTCAAGAATATTTGTTTAACGTAAAGCTGCAGTTTGTTGAACCTCAAATATGTTCCAGACTTTATTATTGTGCGAGATTGGTGGCGCTCGGAGATGAGAATGATCTGGGGAATATGAGGCGTCTAAGTTTAGGAGAGTGATAGAGTGACAGTCCTGTAAGAGATCCATTGGTTGCATGGTTAGGGGGAGGAGGGGTCTAATCAGATGGTGGACGACTGGTTCAAGAATATTTAAACTCTGCAATACATTGGAACTTGTAATGTTCTGAAGTCTTGGTCTTGGCTTGTGCTGGACTGAGTAATTGAACCGATTCTATTCTCTAATTATGAAAGCTTACTGGTCAGGTGCAGACAATATCTCATTGTCAGGGTGCTTCCTTCCGCATTATGTTGTCTATTCTACAAATATAGTAACATCCTTATTCGTTCTTGTCCTTGTTCATCCCCGCATGCGCCAAGCCAAGGGCTAGAAGCTCTTCATCTGGCCGTCTATATGAACCACCGATTCGGTCCCACAAGGTTGTGAATTGACCGTAGTTGTAGTTGAAGTATAGATGATGCATTGTATGGCAGGCAGCACCGTTGATTATCTCGTTCTTGGAGACATATTCCCCGTCGTGGATGACCACGGTCCATATCTGCACGAAGAAAAAAAGGCCCAGATATGTATATCGGTGCAGCGGAAAGAGAAACGGGTACAGATGGTATGGAAATGACTGGAGAAATCCATCGACCGGGTGAAAAGCGACGGAGGCATACGGGGTTGGTACGACCCATTTGTGATGTGGCTTATGAATGTACTTGTACACACGGGGGTGGTGCATGAACCGATGGATCCAGTATATGCCGAAGTCCGTGAATAGTATGACCAACGGGAACTGGGCGATGTCATACCAGAGACCCGGACCGTCTGCCATCGTAGCATACAGCTTGGAATAGCCTCGAACTTCCAGCAGAAATAACGGAGTTGTGAGAAGAGCAATGTATGGAGTGGATGCTAGAGCATGCTTTATCTCTAATGAGACTTGGTTCTTGAGGACCTTCGGGTGCTTTAATGTCGCCTTGTCGAAGATGAAGACGTAAGATAAGGTGGCACAGATTAGGTATAGGACGGTGCCGAAGATCCTAGGAAGTGTCAGTTGAATCATGAATATATCATAAGGGTAAGACATACCATGTCAGCATGTATAAAGTCAGGGTCTGTCTCCAGATGTTGTCTCGCTGCCATGCACTCGTTTGATCTGTTCGGGCATTGTCGAGGACTATGGACGTGTTGTTCAATTGGGAGAAAGCACCGTTTTCTATGGTGCCCGAGGGAATGCACTTTGCATAAAGTTGATCCAGCACAAGTGAGTCAAAGACTTCCAAGACAACGTCCATTTTGCAGACACCGGCAGGTTCTGTGTTGAGTATTGGCTCATACGAAGCAGGCTGACAGCAATTGAAGGCTAGGTAGATGTAAGGGTCATCAAGACATCAATATACGGCTGGAGGCTACTTTTATATACATCCAGCAGAAATTGCACTGTCGCCATGGCCAAATAACTCGCCCTGAGCGGCGAGACAGAACCATCAATAGACTCGAACTTATCGTGCGATTCATGGGCCATACGTTGCAAATATGGTACCACATCGAGCTTAGCGGCCATATCTCCATATTTCCCAAACAGGTACCAAAATTGCAGAAAGCTTGGCGTTCATTCAATCTTCCGGGGCCGCCGTACGGGTCGTACTTTCTTTTCTGTCTTCTCTACCACGTACGCTCATTTGCAATCCCTTTCTTTCCTCCACGGGCGCATTCGACCTCGCGTTGTATCAGCACACCGGAACCACATAGCACCATGATTGCTCTCGATCTGGCTTGGTATCCATTCTGGAAATTTGCCCCGCAATGAAATCATGCTACACGTGCCGACCGCGTCGGCTCAAATGCGATGGCGCGACTCCAGCTTGTCAAAAGTGTGTCGCGAATGGCGTTGTCTGCCTAGGCTACCAGAAACCAGTCGTATGGGTCGGCGGTGCTGCACTGAAAGGCCATTTGCAGTCATGGACGAACAATTCTGACCCAAGGCCTTCGAGGGCACGCGGTCGGCGTTCCCCTCCAGTTGCTGCAGAGTCGAATCAGATCGGCCATCCACAAAAGCTCCATGTCGTCGAAATAAAGTCCCCTCAATGGGCCCTGACAGATCCAAACCTACAAGACCTGACCTACAAAGAACGCTACTTCATAGATTACTGTAAGCAGTCCGCACCTTAGTTGGGTTCCACGTCACTGCGCATCTCTCTCTTAGGTGGACGTTCGGGACTAGCAGTTGTTGTTTGATGAGTAGGGGTTGTTTGGTAGAGTTGATGAATAGCGAACAATACCTAGCCAGTACCGTGCTGACAATCCTGTTTCAAGATGAGCATACACTTTGTCCAAGCTTGGTGTTCAGTGACACCGCAAGTAATCCGTTTCGACGACTTGTCTCCATGATGAGTGCGTTTCCTGGTATTTCAAATGCCGTCATGGCACTGGCAGCGTGTCATCAATCTCACAACTTGACTGGTACTCCACTGCTCCTGCAGCAGAAGGCTCAGAAGGCTCTGGAGACCAAGAATCATGAGATCGGGGAGGGCGTGGCCAATCATTTAATGGTCACCCGAGCAAATCAGCATCAGAATCAAGGCCAGAATCAAGGAGCGTTGGAGCAGGTACTAGTCTGGAAACAGAAAAGCATCAAACATCTCTCTGCCGCCATTGCAAACTCCGACACCCAGCATAAATCCGCTGCAATTGCGACTATATTCCTTCTCGCGATACTGGAGATGTGGGAGACGGGATGGGGCATATGGTACTCTCACGTCGAGGGCGCAAAGAACTTCATCGAGGATTTGCACAAGACAAGCAGCAATGAACCAGCGATTGACCTGAAGGGTATGATAGCTTCCATATCAGTGTAGGTTTCTTGGCCTCCCTTACCGTCCCCCGACTTCACGTTGACCGCTTTCAGGTACGAGACGTTCGGTGCCACCGTGCTGCGCCCTGGACAGCTGAGCAAGTCGCTCCGTTCCCGCTTGAACTCATCCGATGGCGCCTGCGATCTGCCCATTACAGGATGTCCCTCGTCGATCATGGATGCCATAGACTTTGTGAACTCACAAAATCAAGTCGAATCGCAGCGGCTATCCCAGCGGGTCGAGGAGAACAGTTTCAACCCGGCGAGCATATCTGGGCTGCTTGCGACGCTGGACGACATTGACCGATTTGATGCAGAGCGATATGCCAACGATGCACACTCGTCTCTGGCTCCAGGACACATGTCCATGGAGTGTTTCGTTCACTTCTGCCTTGCGTGGAAGGTGGCTGCCAAGCTATACACGACGAGGGTCATCTTCACCATCACCAACATGGAAACACACCCACTGGCTCCATCAGTCGACAAGTTAATCAGCCATTGCAAGGTTGTGACGCGGGAGTGTCCCGGGATCAAGTGCTTCGTCTGGCCAGTCTTCATTGCGGGGGTTGAGTGCGATAGCCAGACCGATCGTGAATGGGTATCCAGCGCATTGGATCAGTTTTGGGAGCTTTATCTTGGCGCGAACCTGAAAGCAGTATCCTCAATCCTCAAGATTCTCTGGGGGAAGAGAGATGCATATAGGAGCTGTCAGGGTGAGCATAAATGGAACTGGGTTAGGGAGCTTCATCTGCTCAACGTAGATTTGGCATTGGGCATGTAGTTGGGTGCCCAGAGCACGTAACCATTGTTCAGGCGTGGCTGCTTGCATTCTTATCATGCATGGAAATTCAGCCCTGTCACAACCGTAATGGTGACATGTATTGGTCAACATAAACTTCAAACTTTGTACACTAAAACTAGTCAGACCTTGCTTAAAGCCATGAGGTTTTGCTCGACGGCAGTTTCGGCTCGATCTGTATAGCTACTTGATACATCTGCTTGATTGAGCCTCGAACGTTCCATGGAGTGCCTTGATCGCTTGAAAGGCGTAGTTGAAACACGCTCCAAGTCATTCTCCGACAGTCCGTCTGCATGGTATGGCCTCTGGTAGACGATCGCGTCAAGTACATCGCACTACCAACTTTCCCGGCGCACAGGAAATTGATCATAGACTGCGAATTACTTCCAGCACGTTATTCAGAATGGGAAACCCACAGTTCTGGTCTATTGTGTCAGGGTCGTCTTCCTTACCCCAAAGGACAACGACGGTTCGAACGGCAGTAAGGACAAAATCTTACACCCCGCCGTTCGTCGATCAGATTTACCTAATATCATGGGGATGTTTAGTAGCTGTTGTCCGTTGTAATGCTACTCTCCATCAACGCATCGTGTTCGAGCTGAGCCTTTCTGACTCCTTGCGCGAGCTAAACCGCCATGACAAAATGAGACAAGAAAACTAGAAGGCGAGCTTACAGTAATGTGATCATTCAGTGCAATGCCACTTTATGGGCTACTAATTTTAATGGATTAGCCCCGTGACAAATATGAGTCTGTCTCGGCGTAGTAAAACTATGTACCCAATCAGAAACATCATTGGTGCTTGCGACAACCTTCTAACCACCTTCCTATCGCAAGCTAGTTTTGTGGAACGGATGACGAGGACAATATCGCGTTGATTCAATCTCGTGGAAAGAATCTATTTACGATACAGTATCAAGATTCTACACGCCAGCCTCGGTACTTTTGTCGGGACCTTGCGTTGACCCGCATTTGGCCGGGAACCAGACTCCGAAGTGACGGAGCACATCCGGGCCACGATAAGTCCATAGTGGGGGGTTGCACATCTCACATCTCCTTTCATCCCTTCTGCATCGAATCCATCTAAGACCTGACTGTCAAACGAGCTTGGCTTCTTTTAATCAAGATGTGGTCAATTGCCTTACTGCACTTCTTCATTGGAGTGCAAGCTGTCGATCAGGTTCGCAATGCAAGGAACTTGGCACCCCGGCAATCGTACGGCTCTTACAACACCACCGACGGCGAGACACTCGAGGTCGTGCAAGCTTATGTTCCGCCTCGTCAAACCTTAGACAGCCCGATCTGTCGTCAAACGCTGATGCAACATATTTTCGACAACAGCTATGGCATTCCATACGTCGCTTCCTACAGCCCCCCTGCCAACTGCAACTTCACTACGACCATCTTAAACCTCTCTGTCTCATCTCAAGGCCGGCAGTACGATAGGCTCGCACTCCTCTACTTAGGCGACAATGAGATTTGGCGGACAAGCACTGCCATGCCAATTCGTTCTGGTATCCATTGGTCGTACCAGAAGGACGTATCAATATTTTATGCACTGTTCAGAGAAGAACAGAAGCTGATTTTTAGCCTCGACAACATTCTTCAAGGCGACCTCTACACCGGTCCATACAATGTGACACTTGAGGCTCTCTACTTTGACGATATCTACGCCGAAGGTTTTAGACCAGCCGAGGAGATTTACCCCATCTCGAAGCAAGCGTCGACGGAAAACACGACATCCGTTTTCTCTCTTCCAGGCGACAGCGGAAGCGTCAATCTAACACTTCCGCGCAACATCAAGCAAGCAGTGGTGTCAATCATAGCCAGTGGAAACGGCGCCGAGGAGTTCTGGTTCGCAAATGTACCCAGTGACTACACCAACACATTTCCAAGCCCTCTTGGCTCCCTTAGTGGCTACGGTCCGTTCCGCGAGGTGCAGCTTCTCATCGATGGCCAGCTAGCGGGTGTGGAGTGGCCATTCCCCATCTTGTTCAGCGGTGGTGTGGATCCTGGCGCTTGGCGACCCATTGTCGGCATCGACACCTACGATCTGCCCACTTCCGAGATCGATGTCACGCCGTGGCTCTCGGTCTTGTGCGATGGCGATGAGCACGAGTTCCAGTTGCTAGTTATTGGGTTTGATGACTTTGCGGAAGATAAGATTGGCGCCGTTGGCTCTAATTGGTATGTTGCTGGCTCTCTCTTTGTCTGGCTCGACGAGACAGTCAACCAGACCAAAGCCGGTGAAATTAGCATCTCGGCGCCAACAACTCATTTCGACTATGATGCCGTTCTCGGCACTGCCACGTCTGATGATGGCGCGATCACGAACACTTCGTTTTGGTTCTCGTTGGCGGCCGAGAGAAGAATTTCCATCAGTTCGACCATCGAGACACTGGAGGGGAACAAGACTGTATCGTGGGATCAGCACATCACGTTCACAAGTATCCAGAATCTGACGAATGAGGCCTTGAACCAGTCCACCTCCATGAGCACCAAGGGAAGTTATTCGGGCGCCTTTTCCGACATTGTTTCGACCTACGAGTACCCACTCAACCTCTATAGCTCGTACGATGTTTCCGCTGATGGCCCGGTTACCAACCCGGGGTCCGTGTTCTGTACAGCGGACCGAAGTCTACTGACGGGCGGAGTAATGCTGCTGCCATTCATGACTGGCCTGGTCGTGGGCACAGAAAGCTTTGCAACAAGGCAGAACGTCACAAGCATGTACTACTGGAACGACACCATTGTCGAGGGGACAGGCGACAACAACACGTGTGAGGGATCGGCATGGTTGTCCTTCTCTGGCACCCCAGGGTCCAATGCTGGCGTGCGCGAGTTCTCACAGTACTTGCAGGAATTGAACGATTCGTGGGTTGAGCGGAAGCAGGGTTGGAGCACAATCCAGGTTCCTAGTACGGAGCTACTATTGTATGTATAGAAGGAAACAGTCTTTTCGTACAACAATCTTCGCGCCAATATGCACGATAGTCGTAGTATTCATTCAGATATCTAGATAAAATTCTGCAAGACCTACCAATGGTCACATTAATTCTTCTCATCGTTCATCGGATCGAACGCAATCGCCTCCGTATTGTCATTATTCGATCACCCCCGGCTGATTACGTGAAGTTGTTTAATTGTACTTCAAACCTTGCACGCGAGACGACAAGAATCTTCCGCTTTCTTTACAAGGTCTAGGCCCTCATTCTTAGTCGGCCCCTTTCGGTCGGCGCACGCACCCTACCACACGCCATTACCACCCTCGGCAGCCAGGCCCATAGGCAGTACGTCGAGGATGCCAAAATCCAACCGTGAGCATCACTTGACACACTTCGCACCGTTGCTGATATATGCTAACCATGGACATTATAACATGCCGCCGATAGCATACCAGCCCGAAGGCCTCCGTCTTGCGAAGAAGCTCTATGAGGAAACGCTAGATGAATTTTCGTTTGCTGGTGTTAGAAGAGTTGTTGCTGAGCTATCAAAATCAATATAGCACGAGCTGGTTATTCTCACGTCTCGTAGGCTCCATGTTCCCGGTTATTGGCCGTAATCTCTATATATATTTGGAAGAGTGCGTCATTACGTCCAAGAGATAGACATCCATTTTATCCTTAAATGAGAATGGTTTGACATGATGCTAGAGCTTCTCACGCTTGAGCCCAAGGTGTCTTGTTACCCCTGACTAGTCTAGGTCACGACATTGTATTCGCCAGCAAGTGATGCGCATGAGTTCAAAAGAAGTTGAAAAACATGCCACAACAAGGCGGAACGGAGAGGTCATAATAAGAGGAGCGTATACCGTCTGACGGAAACCATTCTGCGAGCTGATAAGGGAGGAAGAGTGGGCGCTAGGAACTTTTGAGTGATGACTGGCAAAGCATATAATTCGAACGTATTTATTGTCCTATGAGCAAAATGGCGATCAAATGTCGTTAATAGACCCTCATCTCAAGGTACGTTGAGCTTCTTCCAACAAAATATGATAGATAGCACGGATACTTGCAGTGTCGGTACTTTTTGTCGAGATCGATGAAACTTTATGAGCGGATGACAGGATGATCTCGTCTCAATGTCTCGCTTGGCTCGAAGGGCAAGCAAGGTCAGCAATCCGGTACACAGGCTCTTGAAGTTATCTTCAAGGTTGGTCGAAATCTGCCGAGAGCTTTCGGCTTACCTCCAATGTCTACCGTTCTGAGGGCAATAAGCCTTCTCTGTGTAAGCAAGCCATAAACTTTTTTTTTCAAATTTTTTTTTGGAGCTGTTGAACTTTTGGATAAGTAGAAACACCAGGGTAAGTAGTACGAAATGCGGCACTGGCGACCCTTTAGACATCCGGCTACTTTATCCATAGGTGAGACATGCATGAACTACAGTCACCTGACGTATTTTGCCGTGAGCACCGGTGCTGTTCACGTTGATTTCATACTGACCAACGGCTAGCTCACTTATCTGGATGAGAACTGTTATCATTTAACTTTGGCTCTCATCAACGTAGCAATTGCTTTGGAGGGGATTCAAATCCTTGTTCCACATGGGATGCGAGGCTTCTACTTCTGGATGTGCCACGCCCTATTTGAGCTGAACGCCATTTTTTTATTCTACTGTCCTCATATCTATGAATCTATCATGCACCACATGAGTGTAGATGTGACAAGACGATTTAGAGTTGTCATTACATTGTAACTAAGATAGTACCATGAGTTCTTACAACCTCAATCTAATATTAAATCTTGCGATGCTTCTCTCTTCTCCCAGAATCAGATGGAGACTGAAGCAGTCGTTTAGTAAGAAGTTCGGGGTTTCGTTCATTTTTGGGGTAGGTCTACTGTAAGTGCCTCCATCTCTGAGTTCCAGTACATTACTGCTGTTGTCTCGTGAAACAAAGTTTGTGAATTATGATCAGCTTGGTGAACCATCTAAGATTTTGATTGGTAACGTGTATCCAATTGCCTACAGACTGAATTCAGCGAGCTATGACTCGATGAGCAGATTCTGTACCGCATTCAGCACCCGCCTGCTATTGATTGCCACAGTGTCAGTAAGGCCTGTAAGCTGAAACCCAGAGACTTCGTCATACAATGAGTATTATCCATTCAACAACGGCTCGGACTAGGTTTCGACATTACCAACAATCCCTCTCACAATGCCGGAACAAGATCATTGGCCGAAAGATAGGCATCGAGGCCAGCGTACTGACAACCCACGGGTGCGAGAGGTTGAAACAATGCAGCTCTTCGCTAATCAGTTCTGGATCAAGGCCAGGTAAGAATGGAGACTCTGGTCTGCTCAAATCCCGCCACCTCCAAATCTGGTCCCTCCCATCGATCTCGCTCAACGTTCCCCTTTCGGCTTCTTGCGCCCAGACGTGGCCGAGCCAGTTGTTCGAAACCGCCTCCCTCCAACGTTCAAGCAAGTTGGCAAATATTTCGGGGTTCAGTAGAGCATCGAATATCTCCCCATACTCGTCCTGCTTCGAATCTCCCGGACGACCATGCTGCCACAATTGGTGCATAGCATGGACGGCTTTGTGGTCGTCGAAAGGATCGAGGATCTGGATTGGCGCGGCGAGGCCCTCGAAGGTCCCTGACGCCAATACCTGCTCCTCGGTGGCGTGGATGATGATCTCCGCAAGGCACACCATGTACTCCTTTCGCGGCTGGAGATGGGCGTTTACAGAGCGATCAACCACAGGGAGAAAGAAGGTAGGGCCTCTGCCACTCCAGTCAAACGCCACTGTCGCGTCGGCCATGAATGAGACAGCCCGTGCCACGGGACGATAGCCGTTGAGTACGGACACCGAGTCTGGGTCGTCTCCATAGAGCTCATAGGCAGCGGTCCAGTTCAGGTGCACTATGTCCGAGCGAGGGTAGAACCAGGTTTCGCTGGTGCGATTGACGGCACAAAGGTCGGGGATGCCCTTGGTCTCTGGTATCTCCCACAGAAAACCGCCGTCCTCGAAGGCGACCTGGCGGGCCTCGCGGCACGCCTGGGCGAAGGCGGGCTGTTTGCAGTTGCGCAGGGAGATATAGAGGAGGTCACAGTCGGTTTCGACTATCTCCTTGATGGGCAGGTCCAGCTCAGCAACTCTGGCGCGGGCCTCGCACAGCCTCCATATCTTGAGCCGGAGCTCGGTCGGCAGCCTGAAAAAGCAGGTGAATTGTCGATCCATGATAGCGGATTCTCGGGCAGGCGTAGTTTAGTAACGGCCTAGGTACTCTGAAAAATAGACCACAGATAAGGGCAAACGCAATTAAGGCGAGGTGATTGAAGAGCACACCTCGAAGAGGATGGATGCGGCTAGCAGATTATTTCTGGCGCGTGACGGGATGTTTTGCGGTTTTTTTGGTCTTTTTTTGAAAGGATGTTACGGATTGTAGTGGTGCGCTCAGTGAATGCTTACTTTGCTGCTACACAGTAGACTAAGGTTAGTCTGAGCAGGTTGAGGCTCTCGGAGACGATCCTGGTTGGTGCGCGCGGTTCCTGGCTAGATTCATCGTAGCAGCCGTTCTAGAGCTTGTTACTATTTCGATTTACGTATTGGGCAATTCGGCGTCGACTATTCTGGACCCGGCGCTGCAGAAGTAGGGCAACGAACGAACTTGGCTATGGTGGTGGCTTCTCATAAGAATTCTCCAGGATGACGGTATCCCTACCATGCTGCCGTGGAGCCAGGACTTACCACTTAGTCATGGTTGATTTACTAGCCATGATCGACTCCGGGAAGAGAAAAGTCTTCAATACAAATATAAGATGCCCGCAGGCCCGCAAAAGTTTAAAATTAGGGTTAAAGACTCGGGCCCGGCCGGCAGGGAATAAGCGCCGCCAAAATTTCTCCTCACCCGGCTAATACCACGTTTATGTGGGCCTCGAGAATGCAGGGGAAAGGCCTTAAACTAGTTTGTACTCCATTAGGACCGGAATACGAGGTGAGTAAGCCAATGATTCAGCTACTATTTCAATCAAAGGTTAATTTTATATTAGACTAGACGGAAAAAAATTAAGCATCGAATCCAGTGCTAAGTTATAGTCTCATATATTTTATGGGCTCGAAAATTAACAGTCTACAGTTCGACGGTAGTGTATACTCCACCATCGCCGGAATACGAGACGAGTAAGCCCATGATTCAGCTAGTGTTTTCATTCAAACGGCAATTTCATATGAGACTAGAAGAAAAACACGCAACAAGTTTCAGCGGTAATTAATATTGTCACATGGTTTTATGGTATCGAAAATTGACGGTATACCCAGTGCCCAACTATAGGTCCTACTCTGATCTGGCCGATAAATCATAATACATAATGCCGGAAATGTTTAGCAAGTTATGGTATCAATGTATTACGTTAAAACCTCAAAACCTGTGGACTTGATAACGAGATCTCAACTCATGTACTCGGATCTCAGGAGCACTAATAAGCGCAAAATTATCCCCATTGGCTGCACACGGCCACACGTCCACTCAGGCATAGTCAGCCAGTTAAGTCCTCCATCCACACTGAGGTATCGTTTAGTTTGACTCAGCATCGCAAAGCTCGTGCAACACGCCCGCCTTCCTAAACAGAAATTCTGACGCTGAGGTAGGAGACCATCTCCCCTTGTTTTATGTACAAGCGATTGTACTCAACAGATCGCTCAGAGCCTCGTCCACCTTCGCAATGGCATTGGGGTGATTCTTGATCTTCTTGGTGGTCGGGTTGCTGGCCAAGGCGTTTGTGATGCTCTTGCGTAGATCGCCAGGGTTAGGCGCTCCCTTGACGAGGGCCTCGGTATCGATCAATGTGAATGTCTTGCCATCCAGGCCCTGCATAGTCTTGGGCTGCACATCGATGCTGTCGGCCTTCAGCGCATTCGCGATCAGCTTGTACGTATTCGCATCCCAGAAATCCTGCTTGCGGGCAATGGAGATAGTATTCAACACCGACTTCATGTTGGTCAGCTCCACTACCTTTGTCATATCGCCCCCAAGCTTTGCAACAGCGGTAGAAGAGGACCGGATCTTGTTGGCAATATCGACAGCCTCTTGAAGCATTTCGCCGAGCCCTGGTAGGGTCTTGGACTTGCCCCACTTCGCGGGAAACAAAGTGCGCGGGTCTTGAGGATTGGACGATTTCCAAGTTGCTTTATTGATCTTGTTGACGGCATCCTGAGGATCGGGTGTGAGATCCGTGCCGATGGTTCCCTTGGGGAAAGGAGAGTAGTCTTTGTTCCGAGCCTGGATATACTCAGCAAATTCGTCAAAGTTGCAGCTATTTCCAGGTCCAGTCCCACGGCATGTCGCGGCAACGTCTTTGTTACCGCTTACGTCGTTGGCCAGGACGGAAAGCCGGTAGGTGTACCAGTAGAACACAATCTGCCATGGATTGACCAATGCCGAAGCGGCGGCTTGTGAGGCGAGGATCAGGACGACCCCCAGGATTAAGGGTGACTTCATAATGACGAAAGGACCAGGTTGAAACGAAACTGAGTGTTATCAACCAAGCAAACCAAACCAAAAGAAAAGCGACAAACGAGTGACAGAGTGTGCGAGGTGAATCAATCAACGGCTCCACGTCTCTATATGAGAGTACAGGTGTACATCAGCGAATAATCGGCGAATTAGGAGCGAAAGATCCCGGAGAAAATAAGAAAGGCCGAAGAAGGATCTCGTGAAAGATTCATCGACTATCGAGTCCCAATATCGGTCTATTACTAACAGCTGAAGCCCCAAAACCCAACCGGATGAATCCTACCGTCTTGGCGAGTCTAAGGTCCACTGACTTTGCTGCTCAACGTCGGACTCAGCATGCCGTGAATTGATGCCTGTGATCCTAGCTCGAGATGACGATTAATCGATTCGGGTAAAATATATGGAGAATTGTACCATACGATCCCCATTCTGCCAAGCCGCCGATAGACTTTAACGACCGAAGGGATCCGCTCGGCTCGGCAACTCTACCCCCACTCGTGCGGTGGGTATATTGTTAGGCTTAATTGTAGTAATTGATAGGATTGGCTGTTACCCCTGGCCTAAGGCCCGTTTGGGCGAGGGCTGCCTTGTAATGCTAGCAATGTCTGAAGCAAAATTGTTATAGTCTTTCCATGAGTCAAGCGGCCGGTATGGTCAGCTGTCCAAACAGCCACCTCGGCTCGCTTCCTGATGGCCGCAACTCGTAGGACAAAGGAAAACTCAGCGAGCTAGGCCCTTGGAAATGTCGAACTACCAAGGACTCATGGAAGCGAGAAATTGTCCCATAATCTACCTATCCTGGTAGACTAGTGCTTAATAGTTATGTCCCGCCGAAGATTGTATAAAGACTGCCGAATCGCGACAAAGTTCCCGAGAAACTTCTGATGACTGACCACAGCTCTGTCCTTTGAATCTTGTCTGCCTTCCTGCAGCAATATTTGTACAATGAGACCCTGGCACTCTTCTACGCTATCTTTGGCTGCGCTGGTCAGCGGTGCCGTCGTCGCCGCCGCCAGCCGATCGGGCACCATTGCACACCAGCAACCGGACTTTGGCCTGTCCGTCTCAAATCCAAACTACTTCCGCGAAGCCAAGCACAATGCCAGCTACGGCAAGTCGAGCTTAGAACACCGTTCCGCCAATCTAGGGGTCTCCTCGGCAAGCAGCCTCAATGGTCTTCTCTTTGAACCCAGGGATACCGTCGAAGCAGGCGAGGGAGCTCTCTTGTGCAAGGACCGTGCATGTCCAGACGGAAGGTGAGTGACTGCCATTCCACACAAAGAATTGTCTCATCTGGAGAATAAGGATCTGACCTACATCTCGTAGCTGCTGCTCCAAGGACGGAATCTGTGGTTATGGACCTGATATTTGCGGTGCGGGTTGTACAAGCAACTGCGATGCAAAGGCGATGTGTGGTGTCTATTCAGAAGGTGGTAGCATCTCGTGCGGCATGAACATTTGCTGCAGCTCTGGTACGTCTCAACTACTTTACATGGCGGCAAACCCCTAGAGTATCTATCTCGCTGACCAATGACTTCAATAAAGGGGGCTGGTGTGGCACTGAGGAGACTCACTGTATCGGACCCAACAAATTCTCTCTATGCCAGGAAGGCTTCGGAGCCTGTGAGATCATTCGGCCCAAGACCTGCGGTGAAGACTCGGGCACGTCCAACGGCAGGACCATCGCGTACTACCAGGCTTCCAACGTACGCAACCGAGCCTGTAACCGTGTCTCGCCCGCCAACATCAAGTCGGATGGGTACTCACACCTGTACTTCGCCTTTGCCTCCATCGATCCGGCAACCTTCGCCGTGGTTCCCAGTGACGATCAGGACATCCCGCTTATGAAGGAGTTCACCGCTCTCAAGTCGTCTACGCTGCAGACTTGGATTGCTGTCGGCGGTTACGATTTCAGCAACATCGGCTCGACGCATACCACTTGGAGCGACCTCTGCGCGAGCCCTGCCGCAAGGGGCGCCTTTATCCAGTCCGCTGGCCAGTACATGGACACCTACGGGTTCCAGGGGATCGATTTGGACTGGGAGTATCCCGGTGACGAGACCCGTGGCGGCAAGCGCGCCGATATTGAGAATTTCGTCTCCTTGGTAAAGGAGATGCGTGAGGTCTTCGGCACCAAGTATGGTATCAGCTTGACCCTTGCCCCCGACTACTGGTACCTGCGTTGGTTCGATGCCAAGGCTATGGAACCATATGTGGACTGGTTCGGCTTCATGTCGTACGACCTTCATGGGTCGTGGGACTCTGATGTCAAGACCCTGACCACGATTGTGCGCGGCCAGGCTGATATCCGCGAGATTAAGAACGATACGCTACCCCTATGGTATGCTGGTTTGGATCCAGGCAAGATCAACTTTGGCGTCGCCTGGTACGGTCGTGGGTATACGCTTTCTGGTAAGATGATTGTCCAAACGGCTTTGTTGTGATCCGCTGCTGACTGGGCCAGACGTTACCTGCACTACCCTCGGGTGCCCCTTTCAAGGTCCCAGCAATCCCGGCAAGTGCACCAACGGAGCCGGCGTGCTCTCACTCTTCGAGATTGAGCAGATGCAGAAGGAAAAGGGCATCGAGGGTCGTCTCCTCGAAGGCGCCATGATGAAAGAACTCGTCTGGGACGACCAGTGGATTGGCTATGACGACGCTGAGACGGTGGCAATGAAGAAGAAAGTCGCCAACGATCTCTGTTTTGGCGGCACAATGGCCTGGAGCATCGACTTCATCTCCAGCAACCCAGACGATGACGAGCCGGCCAAGTCGACTGATGGTACATGTGGACCCAAGCATGGCGGCGCAGTCTGCGAGGGAAGCGGCTTTGGCGACTGCTGCTCTGTTGCTGGCTGGTGCGGCTCCACCGAAAGTCACTGCGGCTCAGGCTGCCTCAGCGGCAAATGCACGGAAAACCTGCAGACCACCGACGGGACGTGTGGAGTCGGCTCCCACAACGCCTTCTGCGGCGACTGGCCTGCCGGATCGTGCTGTTCCTCGTCCGGCTACTGCGGCAGCACAGATGCCCACTGCGGTGATGGATGCCAGTCTGGGGGCTGCGACTACTTCGACGCTGAAGAGGAGGAGCAGGAAGACGTGTGCGATTACAGCCTTACGTTTGACAGTCTGGACGCGCTGGCCGACAAGGCGAGCGACTACTCCGTCTACTGTACTGAGATGTATACCCTCGCGGTGTTGTCGGCGAACCAGAAGAAAACGCTGCAAGAGTTCCAGGATGCCGATGAGAACTACGACAACCTCTTTGGGTACTACGTCAAGTATGTCAAGCACCTGGTGCCGGGATCCATCACGCAGTTCATGCAAAACGGGGGCTACAAGTACTTTGAGTGCACTTATGCGATCCAGGGGGGCAAGAAAGATACCAAGGCCGTCGACTGCCCGCAACCTAACAAAGCAACCAGCACAGTCAACAACATCGAAGTGACGTGGAGCTTCCGCGACGAGAAGAGCTTCTATTCAGATCTGGAGGAAAACTACGGTATTGATCCCGAATGGGTCAAGTTTGGCGACACGACGGTCAGTCTGGCCTGCAACCAGCCGGCACCGGTATGCCATGGCACCATATGTCAGCCAGGAGGATGCACCGGCAAGATTCAGCGCTGGCTGGGATATCCCATGGAAGCCGACGACATTTCCGTACATAACCCCAAGGACGCCTTTACTGCCGCGGGCGACCCGATGGGCAAGCTACCCGCCATGATTGAGGCGACCTTGTTCGACATGGTGCTCGGCCAGTGGGGCGGTTCTGGCCTCGACGCCGTCCAGATCTTCTCGCTGCCCGTCAGCTTTGCCGAGCAGGCCGTTCACGCTATGGAGCGCGTCAAAGAGATCGGCGAGACTGAGAAGGAAGAGGAGATGAAGAGCCTTATCATCACCATAATCTCGGCCTTGCTCGCTATCGTCCCCTTTATAGGGGAGGCGGGCGCCGCTGCCGCCGGGCTGACGCAGCTCAGCCGTATCGCCATGATCGCGGGCGCGACGGCCAATGCTGCCTTTGACATCTACACCATCGTGGACGACCCTGAGAGTGCCCCGATGGCCGTATTGGGTCTGCTGATGGGTGTTGGGGGCGTCTCGGCTGTGGGTAGGAACGCGAAGGGTTTTGAGACGATAGGCGCGAAGAGGCGGGACTTGGATGTGACAGCTTTGAAGACGATGGGTGAAAAGGTCGAGGAGACTGCGGTCACGATCCAGAAGATCGTCCGCAGCTGTAAGCCCTAAACAGGGAAAATGGACAAACAGGCCGTACAGTACTTAGTAATGTTAATAGTGGAACGCAATGCTCAATTGGGTAGGAAAGGAAAGGAAAAGAAAAGAAAACGAAAGAAAAAGGCAAAGAAGCATTCTATCAGAATGACCCATCATCATTTACTCGTGTCATTCTCATTGCAAGTTTATATTTACGGTAGTTATTCCCAGGCACTTGGTTCTTCCACGGTTGTCTTGCAGGACCTAAACCTGTTGGCAATCCCAATATTCTCATTTCTCACACACGTGCTGAAGCAGTGAACGCCTTTACTGTAGATAATTCACTACCACTAAATTACCTTACTGCGACTTGTTGGTCGTGATTTCTGAACCAGCTGAAGCTTTGTCCACTCGTACCGCTTCACTTGAGGACGTAGCATGGGCCGGAGCGTGGCCCAGGAGAGCCTGGGAGTATCGTTGTCTTTCAAGCTCGTGCACCAAGCCCCAATCCCCGATTTCCTCCTCAAAGAACTGATCCAGGTCGAGTCCGCTTTCTTCAGCCTCGTCGGAAATACGGAGGTGAAGACCAGGTATATACTTCATGATGAGCAGCAGCGCGCACGATACGGTGAACGAATATGCAGAGATGGCAGTGATCTCGGCAAACTGTCGTCCCACTTGGATACCTTCGCCATCAATCGCACCAGGTGCGAGAGTTACGCCGTCGAGCGAAGAAACCACGGTGTGTTAGTGAAAGAGCCAAGCCATGAAGCCGTGCGTTACTTACTGGATGAAGTGGCAAAGATGCCAGTAAGGAAAGCGCCGACCATGCCTCCGATGCCGTGCAGCTTGAAAACATCCATACCTTCGTCGATTCGCAGCCAGTCGTTGATATTATCCATCAGAGCGCAGACCACCGCGGTTAGGAAGCCGATGACGGCGGCGAGCCAGACACTTACGTAGCCGGCAGCCGGTGTAATGCCTACAAGCCCGGCGATTGCTCCTTCGCAAGCGCCGACGACGCTGAAGCGACGCTTGTGCCGGATGTAGTCCACGAAGACCTGGTCTCGTCAGTAAACCTTTTGAAGCTCAGAGATTTTGGTCGCTACGCTTACCCATCCAATCGCACCGGTAGATGCTGCAGTGTTGGTGTTGAAAGCGGCAAGCATGGCACGAATCGATGCGTTGAGGGCGGAGCCGCCGTTGAATCCGAACCAGCCAAACCAGATAAGAACAGTGCCGAGGAAAACGAGCGTCGTGTTATGCGGTTTGCCGTGGCTCTTGTCCTGGGGGTTCTTCTTGCGCTTGCCGAGCACAAGAGCGTAAGCAAGTGCGGACCAACCTGATGCGATATGGACAGGACCGCCACCTGCAAAGTCGAGCGATGGGAGCTAGGACCGCGTTAGTGGCGGAATCATCACAGAGGTCTCCAGAGTTCCCTACGTTGTACAGCCACCCATTGGCATTCCAAGTCCAACAGGCCACCGGGCAGTACACGACAGTCGCCCAGAAAAAGCCGAACACGAGCGATGGAATAATTCGGCCGCGTTCGAATGCGCCTCCGACTACGATCTGCACCGTGCAAGCACAGAAGAGCAGCTGATACAGGCAGAAGACGATCTCCGGGATTGTAGCGTTACCAGGAGACGGTGCAGACATGACATTCTTCAGACCAAAGTTGGCCAGATCACCGATGAACGGTCCGGCCGTGCGGCTGTAAGCCAAGCTATAGCCCCAGAACATCCATTGGAAAGTCACAACTGCGGACACCATGAACGACTGGAAGAGCAACGCCAAAGCAGATTTGCGACGAGCCAGGCCGCCATAAAGAAGCCCGATTCCGGGGATGATCAGCCACACGATATAGCCACAGAAGATCAGGTAGGTGTAATTCCATTCGTATCCGACATATTGGGCGTTAACATCGACCTCGAGTGGGTTGCCGCCATCGGGCATGGACTCATCATAGCTCGGCTGAGTTCAGAGGTCAGTCACCCAAGCGGTTCAAGGTTCAACGAACAGTACTTACTGCCTCGCTCATGATAGCTGCGTATCCTTTGCGCTGAGCTTCTAGTTGTCGCTCATTGATGAATCAAATATGCAGAGAAACCCTCGGGCCTAAAGCCGCGATATTGGCGCCGGCTAACAGGTCGTATATGAACGCGACCTCTGCACCTCGGTCGAGACCCCGACATCGTCACAATCCCCTGACATCAATGACCCGAGAGATTGGAACCATTGATTGCAAATGCCATTTATTCATCGCTTATCAGTGTTCACTACGGTGCTCGTTTGGACTAAGCCAGTCAAAATCTGGGGAGAGCATGCTAGATAGCTCGAATACCGCTTCTTGGAGTAAATTGAGGGTCATTTATTGGCCAAGTATATATTCCTGGGGCTTCAGGGCTAACCTAAGATAGAAAAAGTATCCGCAAACCTTGCTCAGCTCGGCTCGTCTTATCTCTTGGCGGCGCGGCATGAAGATCCACCAGCTGCCATGCCATCGGAGTCTTTGACTGCGGAAGACAGAAGAGCATTATGATCAGTGCCGTCACGAAAGCACTGTTCGGAGGCTGACAAATGATATAGCACGACACGGAAAGCCGGACAGACGAAAGTTCCCAGTCGCATTAATTTGGCATCCATTGGTGTAATGGCAGTAGCTCATCTCCATCCATACCGTGCACATGTGCGACAGAGACTCGGTGTCGACAAGATTAGACTGGAGGACATCTCATGCCGGCGTCATGCTGACCCAGCAGCCATGAAGTAGGGAAACATTAATCCCCACCTTGAGTACTGCTGGCCTATCGTCTTGTCTTTCGATAGTCTTGAAATATTGCAGCAAACGAAAGGTGGCCATGGCCATCTGTGTCAATGCGAAATTCTGACCAATGCCTATTGGGCTGATGAGCTTTACGTTGACGGGACAGGGGGATGAGTCACTCACAGATGCGTGGGCCTCCATTGAAGGGAAGGTACTCGTGTCTGGATCAGTTAACATCAACGAGGCGACAACCAGTCCGACAGGAGACCTACCCGGGCTTTAACGTCTCCCAGCGTTCGGGGCGGAACTCTTCTGCGTCCTCTCCATATATGTCCTTCCGCCGATGCACAGTCCAGATTTGGTAGTAAACAAGGGTATCTTTCGGCACGAACACGGGAGATTTTCCATCGCGGCCGCCACCAATTGGCAGGACTGTATCCCGCACAGCTGCTCTTGAGTTACTAGGGACTGGGGGATGGAGTCTGAGAGCTTCTTTGACCGCCCAATTGAGGTATTTGAGATGCTTGAGCTGTTCCCACGCTGGGTTGTCATCTTCAAGCTCACTGATCTCCTCGCGTATCTTGGACACGACATCTGGCCGACGGGACAGCTCGTAGAACAGATATGTCAGAACGCTAGTAGTCGTATCGCGACCCGCGAAAAAGATACTGATAAGATGATCTCGCACTACATCGTCGGGCTCGCCGGACTTTAACAATTCATCCAGAAACACATACTCACGGTACTGCTCCTTGGACGTCATGGTACCTGTTCGCCTTCGTTTTGCAACAAAGTCGTCGACGTAACCACTCACGAAGCGGGCGAGATCGCCAAGCTCTGGATCAGGGAATATCTCTGTGACCCATCCCAAGCGGCGCCGCATTGCGACCTTCAGCATACCGGTATCGAACGAGGCGCCAAGCCTCACATCGCTCGCCGGAGCTTCGCCAAGAACATCTGTAGGCTGGCCAAACATGAAATCAGAGATAGTATCAATCGTAAGCATTGCGAATAGAGACTGGAGGTCGAAGCGACTTCCGTCCTTGGGCATTCGCTTGATCAGCTTAGTGATATGCCTGTCGAAGCACTGCAAATCTGATATCTGATTCCTGACAAAGGCGGGGCGAAGCATTGCGCGTGAGTGTTGCCATTCGGGGCCATTGATTGTGAATATGGAATGGGACCCAAGCATGATTTTGAAGACTCGGCTGCGCTGTTTGGGGATGATCCAGTCCTCGAACTTTGTGCTCAGTATTGCTTTGATATTTTCAGGCTCAACAGTGAGGATCGCCATGGACGTCTCCGGAAATTGTTGGTGTTGGAATGTCCGGCCATAGGTCTCCAATTGTGCCGCCCTTAGCTGCAAGAACCTATGTTCTTTCAACGCTTTTGCTGACTCGAGCAGGAAAGGTATCCCCAATGGATTGTTCGGATATCTCGGTACTGGCTCGCACCCATATTGCGCCATCTTGCTGTAGTATACATGGTTATAACGCAGGTAGACCTGTGTGTAAGTTACAGCTAACACCAATACGATACCGACTTCCTTGTGTTGGATCAGCAGAGGGTCCAAACGGAAATAGAGCGCATCCAGCACTAAAGCCAGTGCGATCACAGAGGTGGAGACTGAAGCCACGATATACTGGTTGGTGGCGTGGCGGCCGAGCGAGCCTCGGTCTAGTACCTTTCTTGCCATGATCTCAATGACAGGGAGCCACCTTCTGATGCCGAGGATGGCCAATAGTAAGTCCTTATGTGCTAAGTGTATTTGTACTCGACTTTTTATATATGTGTCATCGGCGGCTCGTATATGGAGAACATGATATGATCGAGGTACAACGTTGGAAAGTTGAAAGCGATCTGAACTCAGTTTATGTGCCGATCGAGTTACCCCACCTGTCAGCGCACCCATTCCCAGTGCTAGTAGTTGCACATGCTCGCATGGTCATTAATAACATGACGGTAGTGATTCGGTGGATCTAGTTGGTGGTATCGGATTAAGACATCGTCTAAGATTTGAAAACTTACACCTATCATAAAGGTAATGCTCTTTATCCCATTTTGAAATTTGTCAAATATTAATGGCTGTCGTGGCCAGGCACGTTTTAAAAAAAGTACCCTCTCTGATGATGTCAGCAAAACATGTGTACTTTACCCCACTCACCTTTCCTATAAGTGCCCGGTTTTCGATGCCTTGAAACTGTTCCTAGGATCTAACCTAGGAACTCGTTTGCTGGTGTTGTATATGAAGTTGAAGTTATGAATGGAAATAATGACGGGCGTCTTACGGACTGCCGGGCTAGGCTAATGCGCCTACGGCCTTATACTCGACAGCGGAGTAGCTTTCTTAGTCATGTCCGCCCTTTTAGGTCTCTCGTAAGCAGATTTTACAGGGATAATAAGAGCTCGTCTCTACGACCATGTAGTTGGTTTCCTGTTGAAATTAGTGTACTGAGCTCGAAGAATGTACGAGGCCTGAGCAGGCGTTTACTAGTCTCAGCAGCCCTGGATGAGCAAGATTATATGGCCTGGAAGCACCCGAGCGGAAAAGCGGCTAAGTAGATGGGCATCTATTATGCTAAGTGAGATTCTAGCTGATCATGATGAGCCCAGCTACCATCATCACGAATTGACTAATTACATCTCGTCACTTGCTCCGGGAAGCTGATTAGGTCGCTTGTTACCTGGCCCGTTGTCGAATGAGGATAAAAAGCTATAGTCTGCTGTTAATGTATCGATATTACTCCGTGTACAGATGCATAGTATTTGAAAGGATCTGAATCTCTTTCCTCGCCTGTATCGTGGACCTCGAGGGCTTTTGGAGACTTCCCAACCGCACATTTTGTCACGGCGACTTCCACCAGGGCAATCAAAGGCAAATTTTAGCTTCATCAACATAACAACACACTAGGTTAGGTATCTAATCCTTGTATATACTTTTACAAAAGTTTCAAAACTTGGATGAATTTGAGTTCTGTACTAATATATCTAGCCACAAGGAATCTGAAGTATATATCTGAAATGATATAGAAGGATAATAAAATTTATCGTTATTTGGGATATTTACGGGTTATGTTATATAACCTAGTACTGGGCTATAATATACAGGCTAAGTATATATCTACAAAATAGTATACTACTCTCGGGAACAAATGACAGCCTTTCCACCACGAGCGTCTGGAACCCAGTCGATGATGCCAGCCCTCTCCGCCGTATGCCAGAAGCGATGACCCAACCAACTACCCTCGCCATGCTGCTCAGCATACCGCTTGACGGTATCTTCCACAAGCACACGGGCATCATCAGTCCTTTCGACGACCAGCAGAGCGCGTAGGAGCTCATACTGAGCATCCAGGTTGACTAGGAAGCCAGTGGAGCTGAGCTTGCGGTAGATGTTGAACGCAGTCTCTGGGTCGCCTGCCGAGGCGTACCCCTTAATGACGCGGTCGTAAAAGATACGGTCCATGTCATCGAAGTCAAGCAGGCGACGCCGCTCAATGAGCTTGTTGACCGCGGCGATGTCAGGCGGGCTGCGTGAGAAAAAGTGCTCCACTAGCGTCGTGTAGATATGCGGAGAGAGCTCGAGGCCTTGTTCATACAGATGGTCCAAGACGGCCTTCACGGATTCTTGAGCTCGGTCGCCGGACCGGAGGAGCAGATGTATCATCTTTCCATAAGTCTGGTGATTAGCATCGAGACCAGCTTGTTTCATGTTTTCGAAGACGGCTGCCACAATTTCGACCTGCCTCTGAGGGTCCCACGCATCGAGCCGGGTAAGTGTACCCTCGAGTATGACGGTGAAGGTGGCGGCATCAGCCGAAACACCCGAGGCCTCCATGCTCTTGAAGATGGCTTGTACCTCCTTCTCACGGCCGTCCAGGATCAGAGGTCGCAACAGCAAGTTGAAGGTGAAGATGTTTGGCGTGATATTCTGCCTCTTTGCCCATGCCAGCAGGGTCTGTACCGCACCATGATTGTTAAGACGGATCAAGCCTGACATGGCAGCGTTGACAGGTTCGATGGTAGGTTTGACTGCATGGCCCTGCTTCGTCTGTTCAAAACGATTCCAAAGCACCGCCATCTCCTCAAGGGCAGTGATAGACGCTGCCGGATCATTACACTCCATCAGACCAGCGATTCGTGTGGTCCATATGGGTACGTCGAGCTTTGCCCCAGAGTTGACCAGGCGGTCCCAGACAGTTTTCAAGCCGTTGACATTCTGTGCCTTCTTGCAACCGTCCAGCATGACGTTCCAAGTCTTGAGCGTTGGCTTCAAGCCGACCTTGGACAGAGTGTTCCATACCTCGATGGCCTTGTCGGGTTTGTTTAGAGCCATGTAGGTGTTGATGAACGAGTCGAAGAGGTGTGGGTTCTGCTGCAGTCCTGGTTTGGCTGTTTTGCTCTCAGATGGACCCACAAACTCGTGCCATAGGCGGTCCACCTCTCTGGCGTTGCGGGTGCCGTAAGCTTGGCTCAGCTTCTTCTCAAAGTACGCGGTGCCGTGCGAGCCTCTCGCCGTCCTCAAATGGGAAGATCTTGGCGATTCGCTCGGCGTTTCCTTGGCTGGAGTAGAGTCCTGCAGATGCTCCTCGATGGTTGGCCACTGTCCCATGATGTAGCTCTCAGCGGAAGGATAGGTGGCTTTGATGGCCTTTCGAAGCGCCGCCTCGCTGACGCCAGTGAAGCTCATAAGGTTGGCGACCTTTGTGATGAATCGAGAGGCACCTCGACGAGAGCTCGAGTTGCTTCTCGTACCATCTATGAGGAGCGCGAGAGTTGCCACGGCAAGAACAGCCAACTTATCTCCCAGCTGATTAGGGGCGTACTGGGGGAATAGACTACTGAGGGCTAGGGAGAAGTTGTTTGACCTCTCGTATTTGCTGATGGCGAACTTGTCAAGCCTGGGAAACCAAAACCCGTCGAGGATCTTGTTCTCATCCTGGGTTGATAGAGCGACTTGAGACCTGGGTAGTGAAAGAACCTTCCAGGATTCTACGAGATCTAGAATGACTCTATTCTTTGTGGCCAGATGGTCCTCGAACGCCTCTATCGAGGTATAGTCATCGGCAGAGGTATTCATCTCGCACAGATAGCGGACCAACTCTCCAGTGAGCGACAACCATTTCTTGGGGTTTAGATCACCAATATCCACGTAGACGCGGAAGATCTCGGCTGCCGATGGTAGATCAGGGTTGAGGACATCTCTCTTCTTGTCATTGAAAACTTCGTGCATGAGACTCGAGACAACGGTGTGGAAGACCTTGGGTATATTGACACCTTTCTGCGTGATGGTGGGATAGAGGACTGTGCGTAGAAACTTGAACGATTCGGCCGTGGGCGCTTTGGCATCCAGCATGTCTTGCAGCTTGCCAATGTCCTGAACGAGTTTTATGCCGAGGGAATTCGTGTGCGTGGCATCTGCAGCAAGGGCATCGGCCGGGCGGTCGACTATTTGTCGAAAGAGAACGGCCATATCGGCATCAGCAGTCGCATTGCCATCTCGCCGTAGTGATTTCAAGGGCTGGCGTGACCTCGGCCGCCTGTCTTCCTGGATCACACGTCGTATACTGGGCCTCGATGAATGCCCTCCGCTCTGCATGTCGGTCCCTTGCGCGCTCTGTGTTGGTACCGGATCCTCGGCCTGGCGGTCACCTGCAAATGTCGAGGCAGCGGCGCCGGGCAAGTATGAGCGCTGAGAGCGCCATTGCGACGTCTGCAGGGCAGCTTTCGTCGCAAGTCTATGGCGACATACGAGACAAACAGTTCTCGGCGCACTCATAACATCTGACGGTTCGTGATGGGCGAGGTGTCGGTGTTTGGATATGCTGTCGCGATTGTCCCTCTACCTTTCCCTTTACGGAGTACTTGACTATGTTCTCATACCGAATAGAAAAAAAGTTGACGTCGCGCCCGAAGCTCATGGCATCTGCAAGATTTAGCGTCGGGGTTTATTAGCGGGCTTCCCAGATGGTGGAGATCGATGAGCCCCCCCCCCGTACCGAGTACGGAGCAAGGCTTCCAAGGCCTGTATCTCTTATCAGTCACTGATCAGCCCACTGATGAGCCCATTGATACACCACCGAGAGCTTGAGCTTCAGCCCACGCTACACATGTGTGAAACGACGTCACTGTACGGATCACCCCCCCCTGTACTTACAGTGGTGCTCAAACTCACGATACGGATTACACAGTACTTGACTACTAGACCAAGGTTAGGGTAGGAGTTGACGTGCTTGACATAAGTTCAACTGAGGATCCGCTGTCTGGGGCTTGTGATTTATCTCCCTGCAACCGACAGATTTCACCTGACAATTGACAGGCCCCAAGTCTTGTCTTGTCTTGTCTTGTCTTTGTTTCGTTTTGGCACACAGTGACTCTCTCTCCCCTGCGGCTTGACTACGACCATGACCACCCTCGTTCCTCGTACTCCGTACACGGAAGATGAGTTGAAGCAATTATATCCCTCCGAGCTCAAGCTCCAGTTCGTCCAGATCCTGTTGCGGCATGGAGAGCGTTCGCCAGTTTCTGCGCGGTTCGCCAATGCCGGTCTGCCTGCCTTCTGGCCCTACTGCAGTGCAGTCCGCCAGATGCGCAGCGCCGTCCTCGATGGCTCCTACACCTCACCGCAATTCACCACATTAGAGTGGAAGCGTCGACTGGAGGCCTTCGGTCCGAACGACGAGCCCGTGGTCGCCTCGGGCCCTCGAGGAGAGCTGGACGCTATCTGCGACATGGGCATGCTCACAGACAAGGGGAGAGAAACCACGTTCAACCTGGGCGTTCGCCTGCGCAAGCTGTACGTCGACCAATTGGCCTTTCTGCCTTCCACCATCAACGACGCCGACAACTTATACCTCCGTGCCACCCCGATACCCAGAGCTTTGGAGTCTCTGCAGGAGACCTTCCTCGGCTTGTATCCCGCAGGAACGCGCGCACCCAACTTCCCACCGCCAACCATTCTCACGAGGTCCATCTCCGATGAGACCCTCTTCCCCAACGATAATACCTGCCGACGCTTTGCCGCCTTGTCGAGGGCCTTCGCGCAGAGAGCTGCCGATCGATGGAACGATACCGACGACATGAAATACCTCACGAAAACGCTGGGCAAGTGGATGCCCGACGAACACCCACGCGTTGCCGTAGATGGCAAGCCCAGGTTGAGCGGCATTATGGACACAGTCAACAGCACCCTGGCACATGGACCCGAGACGCGCTTACCGAAAGAGTTCTATGACAGGAAGGCCCGGGACATCATCGAGAAGATCGGCGTCGAAGAATGGTTTGCCGGATACAAGGAAAGTCAGGAGTACCGCACGCTGGGCATCGGTGGGCTCATGGGCGATGTCGTCTCGAGGATGGTTGGCTCGGCTGAGCGCAGCACTGCAGATGGCGAGTACGAGGTGGCCCATAATCTAGGCCAAGGCGCGCTGAAGGCAGGTAGCGGTGCCGCCCCTATTCGATTCGGCCTCAGCGGTTGCCACGACACAACTTTGGCTGCTGTACTGGCAAGTATGGGCGCTTTCGAGACGGATAAGTGGCCACCGTACACCAGTCACATCGCCATCGAAATGTTCCGCAGAGCCGACCTGGCCCAGCCTCCGACCACGAAGCCCACCACGCCGCCAGTGGGGGGACCATCTGCGCAGAAGCCGCCTGGCTGGTTCAGCAGATTCTTTGGGGGCTCAACCTCATCATCAGTCAAGGCTGGTCTCCCGCCCCCAGGCATCGGCAGGAAGAAGATAGAGGAGCTGAGCGCCGACGATAAAACCAAGATGGACGGCTACTACGTGCGCCTTCGGTACAACGACGATATCATGAAGGTGCCCGGCTGCAAGCCAGCAGGTAAGCATCTAGACGGCGACGAAAGCTTTTGCACGTTGGAGGCATTCAAGGCTATTGTCGACAAGTTCACACCGCAAGACTGGAGGGGCCAGTGTAGAGCCAACCTTGGTGCGCCAGGACTACCTGCGAAACCCGAACCGGCTGGTTACTAGTTGAAGTCGCGTAATATTGTTGCCTGGTTGCATTAATGGTTTTGTAGACCTTGTATGACATGGTATATCGACACTCCCTATATAGACAGAGAGGATATAGCAGATATCTGTTCATGGAATATAGTTCTCCATAGCATAAATCTAGATCATTTTGTAGGACATCGTCTCGTTGTCTTCTGTCGATGTGAGAATAGGTCTACTGTCTTGCTCGACGAGTATTTGAATGCCATGTGCTTGGTGTTGATATTTCGCCAAGAACCCTCAACCTGTCTACTCAAGTCTCATGTACACCTTGTCGGGCCAGCCCAGCACTAAACCTATTCAGCTTCCAGCAATGTGCCGCGTGAGAGATTTGATACTGGTCCAAAGCACATGACGATGAAGTCTCGGGCGAGAAGGTGCTCTATGGACTGGCTGCTGCTGCTACCCCCGGTGAGCCGACGTTTAGCTGTTCGGGCAGAACACAGCTGCTGATAGCTTCCAGGTCGTTCTGCGAGAGGATGTAGCTTATATTCCCTTGTCTGCACTTTCGGTTGTGCTCGGTGTTTTAGTTATGATATTCGTTGCGTGGGTCTTTGCAAATCTCCTTCCTCGGCACCTGTAAATCTTGTCCGGTATATACCAACTGTCAGAATAGCACGAGGGCCATTAGTCTGTAAAGTTGCATTTCTCCGAAAATCACACTGTCGCCAGGCCAATGGTTTCAGAGGGCGCAGGCTCAATGAGGGATTGAGGAACTACAACTATTTCTACTCTCTAGTATGCGATACATAGTCCGATCGGCCTTGAAGCTTACTAAATAGAAGTACCAATGCCGATGATGAATGTACTATCAGCATTATGCAGACAGTGGCATTCGTGTCAAAGGAAATGTGTCCAAGTATAGATCACGTCTTTGAAGTTTTTACATCAATCCGAAGTGTCACGACGCACGTTACACTTCCACAGCATTCATCGTCTGCTAAAAATGACCAGTCCGAATTGACAGTAACACCGACCCAGACGGCTGGGTACGAGATCGTCGTACGAATCAAATAAAACCCCGTCAACTTGCAGTTGAACGCGTTGGTCTAGCGGCAGAAAGAGCAATAGGCTGGCGGCACGAAAGATCAAGCGCCTACGCTTGCTGTCGTCGACCTCGCCTGGAGCCCGGGCTCGTGCTGGCGGTTCCGGTAGACTGGAAAAGAAAAAAAAAAAAAAAAAAAAAAGAGTGGTAAATGCCGATAACCGGGGTTAGTGGAGAGCAAGAGGGAAAGAAAAGCAAAGAAAGGAAAATGATCAGAACGATGCTGCTCTGCTGCTGCGCCTGTACCGGCTCGCTGATCTCTTGATTCCAGAGCTTCCGGAAACTGGGCCATCGAATTGCTCTTTCGGGCGACTATGCAAACTGTGGTGGAAGTCGTGATGGCTGCCATGACCAAAACAGAAAGTTGAATTCGCTGCCCGCATGCGCGTGGATAAAAAAAGAAGCACGAGCAAGCACCGCAACCAACGAAAGAGATGCGACGGTGCATTACGCATTGCCGGGTACCTTACTGTAGTAGCGTTTTCCCACGCCATGGCGCAAGGGTCTTGTGGAGTCAAAGCGCCCAACTGGGTACTCGTGCTTAGTACCATGTAAAAGGGGTTGACGGGCAGGGGCAGGGGGTTCATTTCGTGCGGAGAAACACTGTGCCAGGAGCCCTTTTGAGTTTGGTTTTGGTATGGAAGATGCACATGGGCTTGCAGAAGTCAGAGTCGCCGGGTCATCGAGAGATGGTGTGAGACAGATGAGGGAAGAGGGGCCAACAACCTTCTAACCTGCAGCAAAGAGATGAAGAGAGGCATCCCGTGGCCGAGGCAATGATGTTTGGTAGCAACAAGGTAGAGCAATATTACTAGTTGCATATTTGAGCAACGATAAAATCGTGTCGACAGCTGTGTTAGCACCACATATAGTCCGTATGTATGTCTGGCTGCATCTGTGATACCTATATCCCCCGAGTAGGTGTTCAGATCCCGTGCTCAATTCAAAACAGAATTCGTGCTGCGAACACTGCAGAACGTCCCACCAGCACGGTCAGGTTTCAAGGGCATCGGAGGCCAAGCAAGGCACTGACAGCTGCATAACATGTCAGGGAAACAAAAGGGAGGAAGAAGCACTGAACAATTAAGATCTGATGAACTGCAGGGGGGCTACTATTTCCCTGGTGTGTGTACTACGTAAGGGCGTCGCAGCTACCATCGGGCCATGAACCTACCTACATCCTAGATCCAATGCAGGAAAACAAACCCCGCGAAAGGGGTCGCCATAATCGACTGCGCCTTTCTGGCAGGTTTGAGAATAATTGCACTGCCGACGATACTCTTGGAAGTGTCAAGTGTTGCAAGCTTGAATTTAACATGACTCGGAGGTGCCGTGAGCTCTTGAACAGTATTCAGCACTCCGTACGAAGATGCATCGCCTACGTATGCAGAAACTTGTTTCACGAGCTCTAAGGTTAGCGCTCTCAATATAGGCGACAACGGGTTACCCCCCCCCCCCCCCCCCCCCCCCTGCAGAGGCCACCTGCGCTGGTGTAACAGAACCCCAAGGCGCTATGGTTACATCTGATGAATTGATTGGGGGAAACGCCAGTTCAGAGCCGCGAGTTGTCTAGACCTCGTAACGGAGGCGATTGACAAAGAAAGTGGCGATCCGTCCAAGTATGTACTGTATGTATGCTTAGACTCAAGGGACTTGGACAAGAGACTTGATCGTGACCGAGAATAGGTAACAAGCAAGCAATGTTAGATAAATTGAATGGTTGTTATGCAGTTGCGTTGCTTCTAGATGCCACCCCAAGATACATGTGTAATTTGGTCCCTGACGGGGATTTACTGTATTGAATGAGACACAGGTAGAAGCGAGGGAAGCTAGCTGTTTGTTACCAGCAGATGCACAGTGACGGTTTACACGAATCCCATAAGTTCGCACGCGATGAGTTGGGCCCCAGGCGCCCCTATTTGTTCTTGCTGGCGCTAACGCTAGTGGACCAGGTGAACGGGGTCGGCCGTCGGACAAAAGATCTGGACTTGGTATTTGTGACTTGCATGCATACGGTCGTCGAGGATTACCGGAGATCCAGCGCTGGTGGGAGTGATTGAGAGTCCTAGGTATGGTCATGTTGGATGGTGGATGGGTTGAGTCCGACATGCTAGTTGAAGTTCACCAAGTACAACCTATTCATCTCATCATCTATGGTCCAAAGGGCACGAACAATGCTGTGAAGAAGGCTTTAATACTTTATTTCAGACCACCTATCACCTCACTGGTCTTGAACTGAAGCCAAATTGAATGGTTCCAATCAAGCAACGATTGATCAACTGGATGGGGAAGCGTGAATCTTGCTGTCCACCGTTCGAAATCGAAAGTCGCGTGATATATGCAACTGACGGCTGCAGGTACCCAATCCGCATTAACTGTGAGATGAGATACTCGTGAAGGTCCCCTGCCGCTATCAAATATTGTCATCCCTGGCTGAATTCATCAAACTTAGCGCAGCCAATTCGGGCAGTCTAAGCCCAAACCCCAGTCCTTTTAGCGATTTGACCCTTTCCGAATGGGTAATAGAAGGGCCCCTCCAGGGCCCTGCACCATGGGCTTTGCATGGCTTTGCATGGCTTTGCATGGCTTTGCAATGGCTCCTGCACTGGGTAACTATGGGCAGTTGTAGTTAGTTAGGTTAGTGGTCTTTCGCTTTCCACGAGGTCTCCCCTCCTGAGAGCAGACGCAGACCCGAGACGCCAACGCCAGAGCAGACAATTCAGAGTGGCTCCTCATTTGATTAACCACCCCCATCTCCATCAATCCAATCTTTCCCTTTTTTTCTTCTCCTTCACTCCGTCTCTCACCCTCTCTCTGTCTCTTGACCTGCTTTTCAACCCCCCTATGGTCATCCGATCCTTTTTCTCGTAGACCTAGCATCCGCTTTTTGGATCTTCTCCATTCTCATTTTACCTACGCTCGTTCACTATATTTTCGTAATATTCTTGCCTCTTGAAAGCTTTGTCCCTCAAGCAATCTAGTCCGCCAATCTGACCAGTCTCCCCCCGGACCACAAAGCTACAAGAAGCTCCCAAGAAGTTATTATCGAATTAGTACTCGGCTTTCTGTGTGCAGCTGCTAGACACAAGGGAAGTCTTGTTTGTCTTGTCTATCTTCTCGACCTTCGTTTCAGGGCAATTTCCCCCTAGGCGCTCGCTTTCTTTGGAGGAGTTCATAGTCGCCCCATCTTTGTTCGACCTGGCCCCGATTCGACGACTACATACGAATACTGTGTTGGATCAAAGAATTTCAAATTCAATTGCTGTACTCAATATTTTGCCCAGTCAGAATTTTATTCTGTCAAGTTCTGGCTAGTTGCTGCTTACACGTTCCGATACGATAAGCACATCATACTCTTGCTTGGCTTCCTCAGCAAGCGGATCTGTTTATTAAGCTATCCCGGAAAAATCAAGCTTCACGACGTCTCTAATATCAGCTATTCACGACACAACGTACACCGACCTGTTGCACATAGTCCATATCCGTACTTGTTACTGGTTACCTATTTCAGTATTTCTTTCGCGACTTTCGAGATACCCGCTGTCTTCGAGTTTGTTCGTCATTTTGGACAAATTCAAGCTACAATTTCGCTTTTATTTTTATTTTTATAAGCCAACAGCTCTTATAATATCCCCAGGCACAGGCTTTGCTTCGCTTTGCTTGCTGCCTCTGACGGTCCGCACATTCCAGTTCGGCCCTCAATCTGTTCATTTGCCTTCCCCGTGCCTGATCTCGGGCACGTTTAATCCTTCAAAACGGCGGTTCTATCACACGCTCAGAGGGACAGCCTTGTCCCTCCTCATCTACTCGGGATGCAGGACCTGTCCATCTCTGGTGTTCCCACCGGGCCATCCCAGGGGTCTGCCAACCGGTTCGGCCATGCCTCGAAGCCCTCCCAGAGCGAAACCGGCTTCTCTCATGGCGCTTTTGCTTCCAACATGTCGAGCTTTGGTGACAGACGTCGTGGCAACATCCCTACCATCAACACTCAGCAGATGAACAGCCAACAGATGAACCACCACCAGCATCAGCAGCAGCATGCTGCTCCTCCCACCGCTCAGGATTTGACCACTCCTGGCTCCGGCTTCGACATGAACTTTACGCCTCTGCTTCCTTCTCAATTGCTCCTCGGTAGCCCGTTCCAGCCTGGTACTCCTGCCTTCGCCAACAACCAGTTCCAGAACATGAATGGTTTTCAACACGGCCAGCAGCAGCAGCAGCAGCAGCAGCAGAATGGCATGGGCAGCCCTGTTCAGCAGCACATGTCTCCTCAACAGTACCAAGCCATTGTCTCCCCTTCCACTTACGGTGCTCCTCAGTTCTTCGCTCCTCAGTCACCTACCGGGGCTTTCACCAACATTGGTGGCCAGATGCATATGCAGCCCACCTCGCCTGTTCAGATGAGCCCGACAGCCATGGTTACTGGTACTAGCCGGACTGTCTACCTGGGCAACATTCCCCCGGACACGTCAGCCGAGGAGATCCTTGGCCACGTGCGCAGCGGCCAGATTGAGTCTGTCCGCCTTCTTCCCGACAAGAACTGCGCTTTCATTTCGTTCCTCGATGCCAACGCCGCCACCCACTTCCACTCTGATGCCATCTTGAAAAAGCTCTGCATCAAGGGTCAGGACATCAAGATTGGCTGGGGTAAACCTTCCCAGGTCCCGACCTCGGTTGCCCTTGCTGTCCAGCAGTCTGGCGCCTCCCGAAATGTCTACCTGGGTAACCTGCCCGAGGAGATTTCGGACGAGGAGCTGCGTGAGGACCTCGGCAAGTTTGGTGCCATTGATACGATCAAGATTGTTCGCGAGAAGAACATCGCCTTCATCCACTTCTTGTCTGTGGCCAATGCCATGAAGGCTGTTCAGCAGCTGCCTCAGGAGCCCAAGTGGCAGTCCCCTCGCCGGGTCTACTATGGCAAGGACCGATGCGCTTACGTCTCCAAGACCCAGCAGCAGAACGCCGCTCAGTACCTCGGCATTAACCCTGGATATGCTCACATGCTTACTGGCGCTGACCGCGAGGTCATTTCCAGCGCTTTGGCCCAGCAATCCGTTGCAGCGGCAGCTGTCGCTACCACGGCGGGCGGCATCAATAACCTTGGAAACCGTACCATCTACCTAGGCAACATCCACCCCGAAACCACCATCGAGGAGATCTGCAACGTTGTACGAGGTGGTCTACTCCACCACATTCGATACATTCCTGACAAGCACATATGCTTCGTGACTTTCATCGACCCGACCGCCGCTGCTTCGTTTTATGCGCTGAGCAACATTCAAGGATTGATGATTCACAACCGCCGTCTCAAGATCGGCTGGGGCAAGCACTCTGGTCCTCTCCCTCCGGCCATCGCTCTGGCTGTCAGCGGTGGTGCCTCCCGCAATGTGTACATTGGCAACCTGGATGATACGTGGACCGAGGAGCGCTTGAGACAGGATTTCTCCGAGTTTGGTGAAATTGAACTGGTCAACACCCTTCGTGAGAAGAGCTGTGCTTTTGTCAACTTCACCAATATCGCCAACGCTATCAAGGCCATCGAGGCCATCCGAAGCAAAGACGAGTACAAGAAATTCAAGGTCAACTTTGGCAAGGACCGCTGCGGCAACCAGCCGAGACAGCTTCAGCAGAGCCACGCTCAGTCGCCACGCGATGGTGCTTCGCCTCCCCCGCAGGGCAGTGCCAATGGCGTCTCCCCAACCGGTGCCACTTCTCCTCAGTCTTCCGGCAGCCCTACGAACATGCTCGGTCACGGCAACAACCCACTGACGCTGTATCTGAGCCAAGTCTCTCAGCAGGCCCAGCACCAGCAGCACCATCAGCACAACATGCTTGCTTCTCAGCAAGCTGCGCTCTTCGGTACTGCTTCATCGTCTCCAAATGAGCTTAGCCTCGAGGTTCCCCAACAAGGCCATCTCGGCCATGGCCAGTCTGCCAGCATCTCTAATGGCTACCCTGGCTCGAACGGGTCCCAAGCACCGACCACCATTGGTGGCTTGTTGGCACCTGGGCGCGGCTCTCACAATCGTGCTGTCAGTTTGCCTGCGTTCAACGCTTTCGAGGAAGGCGGCAACAGCCCTGTCAGTGCTATCGGCACTCAAGCGGGGGAGCGCCGAGGTCACCAGTACCAGGCAAGCTACGGTGGAATGGGCTCCGGTTTCGGGCTTGCCATCCAAGGCGGACTGAACGGCTGGGTCGAGGAGGAGGTTGCTAACTAAGGTACTACGAGGAAGTGAAATTAGGGAAAGACTAATATGTTGTAATCACGTGTCGAATTTTAGTTGCAGGGTTCTTTCGGTTTCGTCGGTACGGTCCGGTGTTTTTATATGATCTTTTGTAAAAAAACCTTTGAATCGTCTTTCCCTGGTTAACTGCCTCGCAGTTGTAGGAGGTGGCATGATGGTGACATGAGGCGAACTATTGCCTCTGATGTCAGGAGATACGAGAGACGGGGAGGCTGATAAGAGTCTTGTATGGAACGGAACCATGCATGTGCGACGGTGCTTCTATCACGCAGTTTTACGGATATATAATACATCATCTGAACTTTACATGATGCTTTTTTGTGTGCGTGCAGGGGAATGTCGTGGCCAGGTTTTCCTCGCAGCTGGGCACCTCTGCTCAACCAGAAAAAGGTTTTAGGAAGGACAAGACAGTTTTAACCCCTTCTGGGACAGCACGCGTGACAAGTTTGAAGCTCGAGGTGCAGAAAGTTTCTTGCTTTGAACAACAGACAGCATGACGTTGTGGAAAGCGGGATTTTCATCTCAACATGTAGTGTCTCATTCTTCGTACTAATTAGGTATGGCACTATAAAAACAGTGGCACCACTGTTATTTCGAACAGTAGTTATCATGGTATATATCCGTTGCCATATTAGGATATGTGCAAGTCCATCTACGTTTGCTACCAATCCCTGCTCCGCTCGTCTGCCTTTTGCTCTGCCTCTTCGGCAGTTTTTGGAGCGTTCTGTTGGATACTTCGTGTACCGGGCTGATGGTCATTTCGGGTTCATTAGTCGGTAAACATGTGCCTATACAAGGTCACTGCCGCTGTAGACTGGTCTGTTCGAGGAACGAGATACACGGACATGGTATCGTGAGGATCCCAGGTTTGTTCGGTGATTGGGGTAAGGATGGAAACTGAGCCGACGGTGCTGTTATACTTGACATTTAATAATAAAAAGGTATCTCTAGTCGAGCATATGCTGTAGAGTTCTGTACATAACCATACATTATATGGCCATAATTATTACCACAGACCGTTAAGCCATACAGACCTCTTCATTGATGTCATTTCATGGAGCACCTCTTTGGTGATGTGTGTGACGTCTTCGGCAGCAAGTACGCCGCTAAATTCTCGTCGGAACGGATTGGTATGAAAGGCGTCATAGCTTATGCGGGTTGTTTTTCCATAGCGCCTTGGGTACTGTATATATCCCTATAGAAGCACTCCGGTCTGACCTCCTTGACCTGGGTCGATGACGATCTTCTGCTGCTTCCTAAGCACAAAGCCTGGTGGCGGGTTCTCCATATCTACTCCATCGTCGATCGTATCCGGGACTGCTCTCAAAGATGGCAAGGGGCTTTCCCAGGCGGATATTGCGGGGTTTCTCCACGTATGCAAAGGCATCGCGACCCCGGGACCTGGCCACATGTTTGCTTGTGCGTTGTGGTGGCTCAGCCGTGGCTTTTGGAAGTCATCAAAATTGATGTGTTCAATGTTGGGCAACAATCCAGTTGGAAGTTTCCGCCTGATTACGCCAAAGACGGATTGTATTGCAAGCTCGCGACAGTTCCGACCACATGTTGACGAGCTCGTCTCTACAGTCACAGAGCGGGATAGAAAAGTAGGACGATTGCCATCTGCGCGATGATGTGATTAGGATTAGGTAAAAGGAACTGTACTCAACGATGTTCAGCAAGCATACTGCAATATCTTGAACGGTCGCCGGATATGATCATAGTGCCACTTGTTCCTCAAAACGGAAGTGACTCTAGGAGCAGGGGGCCGAAGGATTCGGTATAGGTTGTCATACGGCCTTGCCCCACGCGGGGTCATATTTGGGATTATGGTAACAAATGCTGGGGTCTATCCATAACATGACTAGGACGAATGATCTGAAACAACACTACGAATATAGGGGTCGTATGGAAGCTGAAAACTCACGAGAACTGAAAGATTTGACAGGCAGTAGATATACTGAAAATGGAGCCGCCATAATTGACATGCTGTCGGAAAGCACTATAGATGATGGCACACTCTGTACAGTACACACAGGTTTGTCTCTGGATGCCCAGAGCTCCACCCCCGAAACTCCACGCCCGAGAGTCCGAACTGCTGGACTACGAAGGTGTAAACTGCAGCATAAGGATCTGCCACATGTCACCCCATGTGAATGGGATGCTGTATCCCTTCCCCGGTGCATCCGTGGCCCCCTCACATGCGAGCGAAAATCTGGAGTGCGTGCATCAATAAGAGCATACCCGCTGTTAAGGTCTTGCCGTCCTCGACTTCCCGATAACCTCCTTGCTGCCGAATGCAACCAAGTTCAAACTTAAGCTTTTCCAGTCGACACTGTATCTACCATGTCTGCGTACAATCTTCAGGGGAAATACGCCATCGTCACTGGTGGTGGATCAGGTTGGTCAAGGCGTACCACCAACAAGGACTCCAAGTGCTAACAGACACATCAGGTATCAACTATGTGACGGTCACGCTTCTTCTCGAGGCCGGTTGCTCCGTGATGATCGCAGATCTGCGCCTTCGACCCGAAGCTGAGGAACTCCTGTCCACCTACACGGGAGCAGAACCTGGGTCGATCAAGGCACTCTTCCATAAGACGGACATTGGTAACTGGGCGAACATCACGACGCTTTGGGACGCAACTCTGGAAGCATTCGGCCGCATTGACATTGTCGTCAACGGCGCAGGCATCTATGAGCCTCCTTCGTCTACCTTTTGGAACCCGCCAGGTCGGTCGACCGTCGCGCAAGACGACGCGAATTCCGAGAAGGGAGTTTACAAGACCTTCTCGGTCAATGCCTTGGGTCCCATCCGGTTATCGCAAATCGCGATCGAGTACTGGATCGAGAACAGACACAAGGGGATCGAGGGAAACCTATTCTTCGTAATCAGCGTGGCGGCCTACATAACCTCCCTTCACACGCCACTCTACGAAGCCAGCAAGGCGGCGATTATGGGGTTCGCCAGGAGCCTGGGGACACTGCGAAAGCTTTTTGGCATCCGTGTTGCGGGCATCTGCCCTGGCGGGGTGTATACGCCGCTGCTCCAGCAGGACTACACCAGTGACCGGTTGACGGACCCGAGGATGTATCTGCAACCGGAACAGTGTGCCGAGGTTTGTTTGGACATATTGCAGAAGCCGCAATATGGTGATGGAAACATTGTTGAGGTCGTACTGGTGGGTACGGTGGAAGACTCTCGAGTGAATGTCCGCGAGGTGCCATTTGAGAGGGTTTATCTCAATGAGGGCATGGAAGGCGTGCCGGACCTTTTCGCTGGTGCAGAAGAGGCGTTGATCGAGGCGTTGAAGGTGAAGGGCATGGGGGGGCCTGAGCCTTTGATCAAGTGATGGGCTCTTGACCCATGTATGGGGGCGTTGACTCTGACGTCGCAAGTAGTAGCGAATAGCAGCCAGCGGGTGCCTCGCAATACCGTAGACCAACGGCTGTCGCCAACATCGGGCTCCTCAAGCAGAACGAGCCAAATTGTAATTGAAGGTGAAAGGGAAACACTCATTGGGTTCTACAGCGGTTGCGACACGCCAACATGACCATGACAGACGCTTGATCCTTGTATACTTTATTGTGTTGTACGACATTCACATGTCCGATAAGCGGTGGATGGCTGATAAGAGCATGTGAGACAAGACAAGAGAGACAAGACAGGAAGTAAAGATTGGGCCTCGTCGCTGGCCGCAGTTCGGGGCTTGTGCAATGACTGGGTTCCTACTACATACAGATTAGAGAAAGGTGAGTCATTGCATGGCCAGTCAATCCGCCATCAAATAGAAGCGATTCAAGTTGAGTTAGTACATGCAAAGGCCCCAGAACTGCAGAGTCGAACTGAATTGAATTGAAGCTGAATAAAACCGAATTAAATTGATTTCACGGTTAACCCCACCATTTGCTGGCTGTCCGCCTCCGTTGCCACACAATTCCCAATCCATTGCCCCGCAACACCACAAAAGTGTGTCAACTGCTGGCAGCATCAAGATAATTCAGGACGACATCTCGACCGACCGAATTCAGGACCACACTCGGCAGCCGTCAGTCGACATCACTGCGAAACGCGACCATGGCCACAGTCTCAGATCTCGCCGAGCGCGTCAAGGACGCCGTTATCGGCAGCGACAATGTCTACATTGATACAGACGTTGTATGTGCCCAAAACCCCCCACCCCCATTTCAATATGTTCAAATATTGCAATTGCAATTGCTGATGTACACTCCAGGGCGTGGACGACGACACCGCCGATGGCTCCAACGCCAAGCCCTACAAGTCCCTCGCCCACGCCTACATCCAGAACATCGACAAGCCCGCCCCCCGATACCAGGTTCGCGCATCCACCACCGGCCCCGTCGCCGAGGGTGAAGACCCTTCTGTGCGCCTGCAGTGGAGGGATCCCGCCAAGAGCGCCATCAAGAAGGCCGACGGCGCCCTCAGTGCACACAAGAAGAAGCTCCAGAAGCAGGCACAGGCCGCCGCCGACGAGGAGAAGCAAAAGCTCGCCCGTCTCGCCAACCTCGAAGACGCAAAGAAGATCGTCCTGAAGCAGGACTCATCCCTCCCCAAACCCCTCAAGATCAAGATCGGACGCAAGGATATCGAGCTGGGCGATGGCGAGAAGAAGGGCACCAGAGTCAAGGTCTTGGGCAGGATCCACAGGCTGAGGGCACAGAAGCAAGCCACCTTCATCACCTTGGTCGACGGATACGGACACCTGCAGTGCGTCCTTCAGGCTGGCGACCTGACCAAGAACTATGATGCTCTGACCTTTGCCCAGGGCACCTCCTTGGCCCTATACGGTGAGCTGCGCAAGATCCCCGAGGGCGCAAGTGCCCCCGACGGCAGGGAGCTTCACGTCGACTACTACGAGGTCTTGGGTGCGTCCCCCAGCGACCACGACGCCATCACCAACAGGGTATCGTCCCAGCAGAACCAGTGGGACCCTCAAATGCTCGACCAGCGTCACCTCGTGCTCCGCGGAGACAACGCCTCGTCTCTCATGAAGATCAGAGCCGCTGTCGAGAGAGCTTTCCAGAAGGTCTACGACGACCTGGAGCTGACCAAGGTGTCGCCCCCGGCCCTGGTGCAGACGCAGGTCGAGGGTGGTGCCACTCTCTTCAGTGCCCCGTACTACGACGAGGCCGCTTACCTGACCCAATCATCCCAACTCTACCTCGAGACCGTCCTGCCCAGCCTGGGAGATGTGTACTGTATCGAGAAGTCCTTCCGTGCCGAGAAGTCTTTGACTCGTCGCCATCTGTCCGAGTACACGCACGTCGAGGCCGAATTGGATTTTATCGAGTTCCCAGACCTCCTCGAGCATCTGGAAGAGGTCATCTGCCGTGTTATCGACATCGTGCTCGCCAACCCCACCATTGCCGCCTATCTGAAGGAACTCAACCCTACTTTCCAAAAGCCGTCGCGTCCCTTCCTGCGCATGAAGTACACCGATGCCATCGATTGGCTCAACCAACAGGACCCCCCTATTCCCAACGAGGAGGGCAACCCTCACGTCTTCGGTGATGATATCGCGGAGGCTGCCGAGCGCAAGATGACCGATGCTATCAACAGGCCAATCTTCCTCACCCACTTCCCTGTCGAGATCAAGGCCTTCTACATGAAGAAGGATCCTGCCGATCTTCGTGTCACTGAGAGTGTGGACTGTTTGATGCCTGGCGTTGGTGAAATCGTTGGTGGCTCCATGAGAATGGAGGGCTACGACGAGCTTCTCCAAGCATACAAGAACCAAGGTATCGATTCCAAGGACTACTACTGGTACACGGACCAGAGAAAGTAAGTTTATATTCTCACTCGCCCTCGCCGTATGGCTTTACTGACAATTCTTCTCAGGTACGGTACCTCTCCTCACGGCGGATACGGTCTCGGTCTTGAACGTTTCCTTGCTTGGATCGCTAACCAGCACACTGTCCGCACTACTTGCTTGTACCCTCGCTTCATGGGTCGATGCAAACCTTAGGCAGTTTTCGAGCTAGACAATCAGGTTGCAGCTGTTAAAGATGATCTCTAAACATAGACACAAATAGACAACCAGATGCAAGTTGACCAATGAATTTTTACTGCAATCAATCTGTGCAATATTCGCCACGCTGCCAATACAAATTGTCGCGTCGATAGTTCTCACGCCTTTCTTTCTTTCTTTCTCTCGTCGCGGCTACAACATGGCCAACTTTTGTATCAGATCCGTGACATGTGTCCTTGACCACAGTGAGTCCTGATACTCTCGCAGTAGCTAGTAAGCGAGGAACAATTTACGAACCCAGATCCCACACACGTTTTGCCATTCACACTCCCACATCGGCCATCGGTCGAGATACTACCGGGACCGCTGTCGTCCCTCCGCAGATACCATTGGACGAGCAGCTATCTCCGAAATTTGAGGCTTTACATATTTTACCGTTGGCGTCACATGAGCCATCTGTCGTAACGTTGGGCGACGCCGAGCAGGCTCTAAAGTTAGACTGACAGCCGGCAACACAATGGGTTATTAATACTCCGAAGAATTTAATGAACAATGTTCGCTATCCCCGAATCCAATATAGGGCAGGTGCAACCTTTAAGTATGCGTTGGAAAACGAAAGACAAGAGAAAAAGTGGAATGACAGGAATTCATTCTCCAGCAGAGCACCTTCCGACGCTACCCTTCATTCTCGACAGGCATGGCCCACCGGTTCATCAGCAGAACAGCTATCATGGGACCATGTGCGTAAAATATGCGATAGGTCTAAGCATGGGCATTACACTGAATAGCCAGCTTATCTTCGCGCCTTTGGTTAAATCCGCGGGAGCTCTGGACGGATTCGCCGAAGGAATTGGGTGTAGAAACGTTGGCCATGGTGGCCAATGACCTAGAAGACCATACTGGAACTTGGAACGCCGTTCCCATGTATTATTCTCTTGGTCGCCGGGACGCTGACAACCTTCCAAGGTTCCCTTACGCCCAAGTTCCAACTCTAACTTCTAACCGCGCTCGTGAACTTGTTTGTGAGAGAGGTCAGGCTACAAATGCTCTAGTGGACGTGATTGACATATAAACAGCTGATTAGGCAATATATCAAGTATCGGTAAACCTGCTTTGCTATCGAAGCTGGATCTCATCTCGAGGATAATGCTCTCTGGATTGTGTCGACGAGCTTCCCCAATATCACTATTATATACGATATCGTTACTAATGGACTACCTCATTTTGATGTTGCTCCAATGTAGATTCACGAGATTTTCGTGCAGTAGATTCTCAAAATGGGAATGGTCATGCCGAAGGCAAGGAACCGAACTTGCTTCGACTCTGTTGCCCGTATTCACCTACGCATGTATATATTGGCATAACAACACTCACTCACTACAAGTACAGCTGATGGCGGGGGCAGACTGCAAAAGTACTGGAACTGTAACTGTGGATGCACACTGCTTGTCTGGTATAAAAGGGGGGACAATCGGTGCATATTCGCCGGGACAAACGACAGATAAAACCATCAAGTCATCCAAGTCATCCATAACTCATAAACTTTGGCATCACCTCAATTTGGAAAATAAGATTCCAGAATAATCTCCGTCTCCTAAGCGCCATCGAAAACCAAAAGACTTTGCAGATCGACCTCGCCGAAGCCCCGCCGGCGCAACAACTCCCGGCCACGGTGAACAGGGAACTCAGCTACGACCATGATGCTCATATCCCGGGCACGAACACCGGCTTCAACTAATAGCTGCAGCACCGCACAAAGCGTCTTTCCTGTGGCAAGCACATCATCCACTATCACCACCGGCCCGCCTCTGGGAATCACGTTCCGATTCATTTCAACCCTCTTCTCTTTCGAATCGGGGGATGCCGACGACGAAATATGCGACGGGGACTTTGCGACGGACACGGTAGGACGAGGGAGCTTTCCAGCTTCGCGGCCTAGCATCAAGGGTACATCGACCCGTAGGGCCAACGCCGATGCATAGATAAAGCCGCCGGCCTCGCAACAGGCTATGGCCTGAACTTTGGTCCAGTCACCGCTAAAGTGAGTTTGGAGCAGAGATGTGCATAGCGCCAGACCCCCCACCTGCTGGCAGATATCGAGCACGTGGCGAAACTCGATACCTGGGCGTGGAAAATCGGGTATCGGACGTACCATATCAGCCAGTCGCTGCAAATCCTCGTGGGAAAAGGGCAGCAGGCAATGTTCGGCGAAATGTTCTACCGCCTCCTTTCCAGTTGTGTTATTATCGAAGATGAGACTCGGTCGGTAGTGCGAGATACACGGATTTGGTCCATCAGCATTGATGTTACTGTTTTTGCTCTTGTCGCCAGGGTCATCGCCGTCATTGTATCCCCAGCGGACCCAATGTGCTCTTCCACTAACTTCAACACGAACGTCGAGCAGCCGGCTCTCTGGTACCAAATGCGACAAGGTTGCGACCGGCGCGTCGTCTCTCATTCCAGTTATAAACAACACGTCCACATCCACGTTTTCGTGTACTAATTTTAGGAAGTGTTCCTCTGGCAGCTTGGGCCGTTGGTGCACCTGGTCTTGGAAAAATGCTGTCAGCGTTGGCCGGTGTTGCTCCTTGTAAGCACGATCCCCAAGAAGGCGGTTCAGGTCCGCATGGGTAGCTGTCGCATATTCTTTCTTAGTCGCATCGCTAATACTGACCACGCGTGCCGTTAGATTTGCTCGGGAGCACGTGTTGAATATTGTAACCCAGATGCTGGCGCAATAGTCCTTGCCGACGCCGCTTTCGCCGGTGACGAGAATGATGAGCTTCTGTTTCATCGGTGGTCTTGGAAGCGGGCAGGCGTAAGCTAGCACATTGTATGGGTCTAAAGTATGCTTGAGACGGGCCAGCCGAGGCCTATTTGGCCCGAAAGCTTGAGCTGCTAATGCGGCATCCCTGGGGTGTGGCCCGAGGTCAGCACTATAAGCTCCGGTACTCACGGGCAACAAGTTCTTTGCGACATTGTACACCCACTGCACAGCAGCTCGAGCGGCTTCGGTTTCATCTTGATCTCGGGGCCACACACCAGTGACGACACAGGCAAAGTCCCAGTCCCGACAGCCGAATGCAGTGGTGTCGGCAGCCATGTCGGTGATCGCTCCGCCGCCTTGCAGCAGATGCAGGTAGCAGAATGGTGAAGGTCGAGTCTCAATAGCCGCCACTAATCTGTCGGCGACGTTCTTCTCCCCGATGCTTTTCAAGAATAAACATCGCTTGAACGAAGAGGTTTTACCGCCACCGTGCCCGCCGTGCATCCCAGATATGTACATTTCAGTGTCGAACAAACCAACACTATCCACGACGTTATGATTGTCTTCGGCCCCAAGTATTTCGACCACAGCCATGGGTGTCTCAGAGGCGCGTCTGCTTGTAGAGGATTCGAACATGGTAACGCCAAGATGTACCTGGTTGGCGTCCCAATAAAGATATGCGTCTGCAGAACAGTTCCGGGGCAACTCTTTGGCGATGAGTTGATCAAAATCTTTCAGCCTGTGCCGCACCTCGGATTCATTCATCAGCGGGAGAACCCAGTTGCGAACTGAAAAGTTCAGAGCTGAATAGGCCTTGAAAGTCACGCTAATCACGATGCCAAAGTTTGTCCCAGCGCCTCTTATTGCCCATAACAGATCGGCTTCATTGTCGGGGCGCACTGCACCAGCCGGTCGATGCCGGGCTGGGACGCATCCGAAATAGAGAACCTGGCCCGTTTCAACGCTGACAATCACGGCACCTATGATGCTGTCGCACGCAAGCCCATGGAGCCGCGCCAGATGTCCAATGCCGCCTTGTAGCCATAGCCCTGCACCCACGCTTGGACGCGCCCCCAGGGGCACTGTCACGCCCGCCGCCATGGTCTTACGGACGATATCTTCCGTCTTGCAGCCGGCTTCAGCGACAACCAACATACCACTATCAGGGCAAGAACCAGATTCTCCTCCATCCTCAACAGCCGGGGACACGTATACTTGACCGAAGGCGCTCATATCTACTGAGACGACGTTGGGCCAGAGGCAATGGCCGCTGTGACCCCCACCGATAATTGTCAGACTAACTCTATGCTCCAGGGCCCATAAAACACACTGTTGAATGTGATGGACCTTTGTCGGTCTGACCGTCGAGGCGGGATGGTGGAGGCGAGCCTCTCGACTTTTGACCATCCTATCGCCTTTCACCAATGGCACTTGTGCTGTCAGTCGTGACAATGCGGTCGCATGTTGGGTAAAAACAGCCACGAGTTCGGGCGAGCTGAATAAAAGACGATCTGGGTGGGCTTTCACATGACAGCCCAAGGCGCGGCAAATCTTACGCCACTCAACTTTGAGAGCCTTGTACACATATGCATCCTTCGGGACAAATCCTGCAATGAACGATGCAAACGAGTCCAGAATTTCGTCGTCATCTGGCACGCTAATCATCCCAGTAGGGAAGGAGGATGTTTGATGGCATGTCAGTCCGTCGAGGTGCAAACTCCCGTCGCGATGAAAAACTACCACGATTCCAGGTTTTGGCAGCTTGACAAGCTTTTCCAGTGCCTGCTCTATGAAATTTCGTTTAGGCTTCATGCCGTACATGCTGTGGCAGAATAAGATGACATCAAAGTTGTCGCCGCCATCACTTGTGTTGGTGTTAGTCCCGTTTGCTGCCTTGATGTCCCCAACAAAAGGGGCTCGGTGGATATCGGCCGGGCTTTCCAAGCAAGGCAGAGGGGAATCAGCTTCTGGGTGCAAGCATAATGACTCCTCCAACCTTGCAGCAAATAACAGGTTGGGCTCAAAAGCGACGTATCTGCTAATCTTCCGTCTCAGAGGACCTGGCAAATGTCCCAGTACGCTCTCCTGTCCAGGTCCAATTTCTAGCACCGAAATATTGGTGGGTGAGTCAAAGAAAAGTGTCAGCAGCTTGGATAGCTGTGGAATAATGAAGTCTTGGTATGTTCTCCATCCTGAGCCCTGCACCAACGTGTTGAAGCCAGCGTTGTACTGTGTGTCCGACAACGCCTGCTTGGCGGAAGGTGTCGTTGCTTCCATTCTGAGTGCTAACTTCAGGGAGTCGAGAGTAGCCATTGCAGTGCGGCATAGGAGGTAAAAACTAATGGGCTTGGAAGCAGTTGGCGACTGTGTTAACCGTTGGAAACCTCTTGGTGGTTGACGGTCTACGTGAGTGAGCAGTCCCGCTGATTGTAAATATTTGTAGTTTTGCTTTGCAATCCAAATTTAAAGGTGAGAGTGTCAAAACCATATATTTCAAACAACAAGTGGTAAACGTCATTTAGCCGAAGTCTTATTAATGATAGACCAGAGGAGCAATATACGTGGCATGTTACGACCAAAGTGCAGTTCTATCGTAGCTTCGCGTTATTTTTCTGACCGGTGGGCGGCTACTGACGTGTTTGCTGTGCCCAGAAACAGCCAGTGCGCATTAGATAGCCTGCCAGCGTGACAGAACCCAGATAGCAATCCATGATGCATATACGAAAGTCCATTCGTACGTAAGCCCCCTGACCGGTGAAGAATATATGTGATGGTAAGGACACATGACAACGCATACCATGGTGGGCCTCCAACATAAGGCAGGATGGATGCAGGACAGGACGTTTCAGGTCGGAGCCTAATGTATAATGTCAATTCGCATTCGCCATATCCCGGATCCGATCCAAGCCACGTCTCTGGGAGTGAGTACTGGCGAATCAGGACTACGTTGTGCGGCAAGAATGCACTTTGCCCGTCCACATACATGCATATACCTGTCATGCAATGCGGGAGGACCCTCGGGGTCGTAAAAGGCGTATCAATCAGATTTTACTTCTTCAAAGTTCGATTTTATTCCTATTCCTACAGGAGACGTCATGGGCCAAATGTGATCAGGAAATGAGCGAAATATTTGGTGATTGCAACACATTAGGCAGACTCAAAGCGTTGTATATATAGTTGCCCACTGACTTAGACTTCCAGGCTGTGATTCAAGAAGCTGTACGATAATAACTCGACGCCTGCAGATAATCTCAATGGTACACAAAAGTCATACTCTATCACTGTTATATGTAATCCATATCAATACCCTACAGCCTTTTTCCAAAGTGCACCTCAGCCCCATCGTTGTCGAACCACCATCATCAACTCAACGAGATTACGTACGAGAGCTCTACGCATGCAATTGTACATTATGTCTACCAAACCAAGTTCCACATCCACAATCTTGGTCAATGGAAACAATAATGGCCGTAGATCTTCGTTGGTAAAGGCGACTCCCGCCGAAGAACTTGTAATGTGTGACACGGACGCACAGTGTAGGTTCATCCTCACATACATTGCGAGGTTCCAAGTCTAACCTCGGTTGATACTCAGCTGCTTCGCACCCAGGGCTCGCCTTGCAACCACAGCTTGACTCGTTGACGAGCCAAAGAGCCCTGGTGTCATCCCAGGGCTCCCCCGCAGCAGCAGCAGTGCGAAAGATTCTGTGTCAAATCGGCGAGGATCCAGATCGTGAGGGTCTGTTGAAGACACCTGAGCGATACGCTGAAGCGCTCCGGTTCTTCACCAAGGGGTATTCGGAGAGTACAGAGGAGGTCGTCAACGATGCGATTTTCACCGTCGACACTCACGAGATCGTCATCGTCAAAGACATTGATATCTTTAGTCTCTGTGAACATCACATGCTGCCATTCACCGGAAAGGTAGGTCGCACCCTTCCCGCCCGCCGTTTCAGTTATTATTACATAAGGTCTTTGCATCTTGCTGCTCGGTACACATTCACAAGCTAACATGAATGAAAACGTCAAGATACATATCGGGTACATTCCGAATGGTCGGGTGCTCGGATTGTCAAAGCTTGCGCGAATCGCTGAGATATACTCGCGCCGGCTTCAAGTGCAGGAGCGCTTGACAAACCAGGTTGCAGCAGCCATAGACGAGTTGCTTAGTCCAAAGGGTGTTGCGGTGGTCGTGGAATGTACGCATATGTGTATGGCGATGAGAGGCGTACAGAAGCCGGGGGCCGTGACAGTCACTCAAAGCATGACTGGTTCGCTGGAACATGACCTAGAAGTGCAACGGAAGTTCTATACTCTGCTCGGCCTGGGACAGAGACGTCATCTCTAATCATTTTGTTATTGTTGCGACTGGGTACAATCTCCTTTGATACATAGTGTACGACATATGACAATATGAGATCCACTTAAGTTGTTTTTGCCGGCCCAAAAACGAAACGTTGTAGGTATGTCATCCATGACGGATTGTCAAAGCAAGCCAATCTAGTTGAGTCTCGGGCAAATCCAACCATTAATGTTTCAGTCTGTACGTGTATATAGGCTATGTTCTATGCTAGGGGATCTTCAGCAGATTCCCAAGCGTTTGGTTTATCGCCTGGAAGTCCCGGTCCCTTGAACGTATACATGAGAAGCAATGACAAATGATCATTTCATAGGCACAACAATGATAATACTTTCTTTGATCCCCCGTGGAGACTTAGTAAGGCTATATCCTTTGGAGATTCTATGAATGGCGTTAGAAAGACAAGCTGAAATGACTTAGTGATTGATTAAAATTGTATAGTAAAGTCGTTCCATCGTAGATACCATCATTCTTTAGTATTATGAAAATAAGAACTACAAATACACAAGAGTGACCAGGTACCACAAGCGATAGGAAATATCTGAGCGGAACTAAACATGGTATCGGTGGAGAGCGAAAGCCTGTGTTAGATTAGTTGTTCATTTGAGGTTTCGAGTATATAATCTCTTTAATGAAAAGTAATGAATAGGTGTTTATTTTATTTTAAAAATAAGAGCTAGTGCTCTTTAATAGTTGTATATAATTTACTACCTACACATGGTTATACATGGACGATTAAAAGGTTGGTTGAAAACCCACTGGCTGCCCTATGAGCGTTTGAAAGAATGTCGGTTAGTTCTCCAGTTCTACCTCCACATCAATGGGCAGAGCTTGATCGAGGATCGATATCATGAGTTGTCTAATAAGGGGTAATAGGTATTGCTTCCCCCGTTAGTGAGATACAATATTCTGACGCTGTAAGCATGATGAGTTGCCTACAAAACAATTTGATGACCGTCGACGAACACTCGACGAGACGAATTGATTGCACGCGATGCACCATACTTGCCTCTCCCCAGCAACTAAAAGCTAAGAATGAATACTTTTCATTTGGCTTTTGAACCTGTCGGCAGACCTGATTCTACTTTACGGACGGGAAGAAAATAGATAGGGTAGATACATATCATGGCGACATGCTGTGACGCGGGGATCTCCAATTGCGGGGGGATGCGAACGGCGCCCTTCAACTGACATGTAGTCAGTCCAAGCGAGACGTGCATATCAGCTATATATTCCCAAGGCGGCAATATTTATTGAATTTTCCTATCCGTCAAATTGCCAGTTCTTTAGAGAAAGGAAAAGATATGACGCAGTCTAAAGCGCAAGCACCAAAAGCGTTCGTTTTCGATGTGTTTGGCACCGTGGTCAACTGGCGCCAAAGTCTGGCTCTAGGCCTCGCATCCGCAGCGAAGTCTGCAGTATCAGCCAAAGGCACGTCTGACGATGCGCCTGGCCTCGTCGCCCGCGTACAGAACATGACGCATACTGATTGGGAGTGGTTCGCTACTGAATGGTAGGTTGCTTCGAGATGTATCATGCACGACTACTCTATTGACTTTTGATACGCAGGTATACTAGATATATCCACTTCGCACAATCAGCGCAGCCCGGAGTCACCGATTTCCTGCTCCAGGAAGAAGTCCATAGGCGTACGTTGAGGCTCATGATCCCCGAGTACAAGTTTGAGGGACTTTGGACACCGGACCAGCTCGAGGAATTGGTCTTCTTGTGGCATAAGCTTGATGCCTGGCCAGACTCAGCTGCTGCGATTGCGCGTCTGGCCAAGCATGGGCCGGTCGTCACCTTGTCAGATGGGTCTGTGCAGCTGCTCAAGGCTTTGAATGACCGGAACGATCTGGGCTACACCGACATCTGGGGGTCGGATACTTGGACAGCATATAAACCGGACCCGGCAGTATATAAGGGAGCTGTCGCAAAGCTTGGCCTGCAACCTCATGAGGTAGCGCTTGTCGCGGCTCATCTTGGCGATCTATGGGCTGCCAAGAAATGCGGGTTGAAGGCATTTTATGTGGAGCGGCCCTTTGAAGAGCGATATAGCAGAGACGAAATAGAAAAGGCCCGCTTGGACGGTTGGGTGGACTTATGGGTACCTTACGGCAACGGTGGACTCCACGGTGTTGCCAATCGCCTAACCTAGAATAGTGAATTGGATGGTGGAGACAAGAGACTAGTTCTAGTTTAATAGTCTACCAATAGTATATACTTACATTGACCGTTGAACACTCTGATGTCTGGTCAAACTTGCTGCTTAAATTTTCCTTCTTCATGCGCGATATCTAAATGGGCAATGGTCAATGGGAGGCCCTGCAAATCAGCCTATGCGACGCCCGCAATCGCTTTCACTTTCTTAGACGAAGTGATCAACTCGACGACTCCTACCGTCCACCAGCGTTTCGTCCATCCCTCTTTGACTGGTAGTCGCTCCTCCGAAAATATCGCTTGCACACGATCGCTATCGACCTTTTTTCCATCGCCAAACACGTCGAGAACGAACGCAAGCTCGCCCCATCCAATACCATTTGCCGCAGCTGCCGGGTTGAGCTGTTTGTTGGCTGCCTTCTGCTCCTCAGTGCGTCGCTGACGAAACCCCACCAGGTTGTCAGCAGTGAGGGTCTTTCCATCAGACGAAGATGCAAGCAATGCGTCAACAAGATCTGGTTGCTTGGTGTGATTATCGCCCTGCGCATAATCGCGACGGGTAAGCGATATATCATGCTCAATGACCCCAGGAGTGCTCAGCTGGTCCAGGTTGAGGCACGGCCTGCCGGCGGAATCCTCCTGGCCCGGCTTACGAACTCCAAAGCGGGAGAAAGCCAGAGCCCAGGGGTTTCGAATGTAATACCAAATCTTCGCGAAGAACGAGCGTTGTTTGGGTTTCCCATCTGCCTCCCGTTCGATGAAAATCGCATTGCTGAGTGCTGCGCCCAGAGCATGCGACAGGCCGAGCCTGTTCATGGCCAAGGTGAAGTCGCTGACACGCGCGTTGCGACCATCGCGTGGGAGGTAACCATGGTTTGCAAGGCTGTTCAGAATGGGACAGGGACTCCGAATATCATCGGGCCCTGCAGGGCAATAGTCGCCCTTTGTAAGAGTTGTTGATTCTGACATTGAATGAGAGGGCTTGGCGGTGGGCTAGATACGCTACTGGTTGGCTGTCAATAGCGCGCTGTGGGTGATAAGTCTCGGGCCGGCTGGGGATCGAAATGAGAGAAAGAGTGAAGAGAATAAGAGCAAAACGACAGAAGAAGGGATCTTCACAAAGACACTCGAGGCAAAGCATGTGACTGCCTCGCTTCAACCCATGCCTTTGTCATCTTCCAATGACGCCGCTTCGTGGCGGCCATACTGCGAGCATCACAAGGCTCCGGCGCGGTGCGAGGCAACTAACCTAGGCGGCAGCGGTGGTCAGAATAGCGCCAGGGTTCTTCGGTGGATTCACTCACGTCAGCGGAAAGCTATGCCCTTCGCATGGGACCATGATCGCTTATTACCAGGGCCAATGTTCATTTGGCCAATGACGAATCTCAAATGTGATATTGGTGAGTCTGGTATTCTGCAGGCTTTGTGTTTGGTTTACTGGGGGAGCTGAAGCTGAGTGCCTCGCATCTTGCAGGCCACTCAGCCACTTATGCCCATTAAAAGTTCAGGGCTGCAAAATATCTCGAACTACCAACCTGCCAAACCGAGAATTTCCAATCGTGTTACATCGGACGAGGCAGGAAGATGGGGGAACATCAACGTTCTGAGATCATGGGAATCAGCATATTGTATTAACCCTGAGTAGCAGCCCGACAGCGTGCAGGCCGCATCGCGGGGTGAAGACGGGATGTTGTCATCTACACCAGCGGCCGAGGCTATGCTCGTTGCGCAAGGCTCTTGGGCCTCCGACGACTCTGATTTTCTGAACATCCAGACTCTGACTCATGCGACATGGGCCCATGGGTATTGTTTGTAGGCCAATGAATCAGCACTCGCTGTAGCCACGCAGCGATCGACTAACCTTGGTCTAGTCTCAGGGAATCTTTAGGTGAGAACATGACTACGGGCTGCGGCAACATATAGGCTGCGTACTGTTTATGCATCGTTGAGCTGTTGCCGGCCCACTGAATTGTGCCGTCAGCTCGGTTCAAAATTCAAACCGGAAATGCCCTAGGTTAATAGAAGCAGGCTTAACGCTTATGTGTCAGACCGGGATTCAGCGAAGTTGTGTCTTTGCGTTCTTTTCGAAGGTCGGCGCAGTCATTGGCTATAAACCAATTTTAAGTTGATCTCAACTAGAGGAGGCGATTGTTGTTCCAGCGCGACGCTAAGACGCTACAAACTCCCAACGATCGATTGGGGATGTGAATATACACAAGGCAGGCGTGACGAGGACTATAAGAAGCCATTGGTAATGCGTTCACTCTTGCCCGCTCTCGCAAGTGTGTTCGGCCAAGTGCGCAGGCGACAACAAAGCACTGCTCACCTCAAAAAATCCCGATGCCATACTTTCATGCTTTTGGACTTCCATAGCGCCATGCTCCTTCTCGTCAGCCTCCTTCGCCTCATAAGTCGCAAAGCGCAAAAACGCGATGCAAGTGGAGCAGCACCCACGGCTCACGAAAAAAGATCTCTGACAGTAGGTTTGGCATTAGTTGACGAGGTAAGGGCCCAGTTCATCGAGCTCAACATCCAGTTGGATGCCGCGACGATAGAGAGCGACTTGCGGCTGACTTTGAGCGGAAAAGACGTCACCGGTAAACTGTCGCAGACGTCAAGAGAGCAGGGTTACTTATATGTCGTACGACCATTACTGTTTATAATAGTGGGAGCCCGGCAGCTGCCTGGGTGCATGTCTAGACAGGTTTTCCAGCATCTAGTCTGGCACATCAGGAACCGTGCGAGCCAGCGTTCCTAGTCTTTGCCACAGCTGGCAGACTGGCAACACTGGGGGGCCTGATGTCATTGTCGCCCACGCCGTGGTAACAATCCTGTTAATTTCTCCACTAGGCGGGGCGCTTGGCAAGGATCAATGAGGACATAGTGCTGGGGAGATGGTACCAATCCCCACTTTCAATCCTCAAGTGACCCCAGACGCCGTGTTGTCCAGCTTTATCAAGTCAGGGCGGCCGCAGCCGTCGTCCTGGCATCAGACCATCGTGAGGATACTTTGTGGGGGGCGGGGCGGGTGTTGCTCAGCGAGAGCCGTCCATAACAATCCCAGAGCATAGTGTTACAGACATAACTTCCAAGGACGTTCAAGACCGGAGACGGTATTATAGACCAAATATATATGTGTGTGTGTGTGTGTGGTGTGCCCTCCACTGCACCAGAGATTAGCTTTCTGAGGTGGGCCGGATGGATGAATCGAAGAGAAAAAACAGGACGTGTGGGATCACAATCCTTACTGTAGATCTTAGCCTTATCGGATTGCTGGCTGGGTGGCGACTCGGTATCTGATTGGCGAGAAACAGCAGGAAAGGCGGAAAGACTGGACAGAAGGCCCCCAAAAATTGCCAAAATGCCAAAATGCCAGAATACCAAAAATGCGCTGGAAGCACTTCAGTCTTAGTGGGTTCCAGCCATGGGTCTAGACCACCGTCGCTGTCGGCCTCCTTGGATGGCATTCTTCAGATTTCCCATCATGCGCAATCAAACAACGGCAATTGAATCTTGATGGGCCCCTCTCTCCTCACCCTCTTCTCCCAACAACACACCAGAACCAGTGGGAGCTCTCATTCCATGCTTACGTGACGACTCCCTCCTGGCACCTGTCGCGCAGCTATGAATTTGCAGCTACCCGGCGCATGATCGACATTTCGTTCGCATCATGAGCAGACATGTTTCCGAGCGCGTCCGTGAGAGGGAAGTCCTGAAATATGCTACCGTCTTGTATGTGCGCCTTTAACTTGGTTAAGAGAGAGAGAGAGAAAGGAGAAAGGAGAAAGAAAAGTTTTTTTTTTTTTTTTTTTTTTTTGGGAAACAAGGAAAGAAACTCAAAAACTAATGTTTGTCCCTTCGCGAAGCTGCAATATCACCGACAGTACGCTTCACAGTCAAGGTCCCTCAAATCGCCGTGCCACTCTTTCCTCTGCCGACGCCAGCCTCAGTGCATTTGCTCAGCTCGGCGCTCTTCGGCTCGACGCCGCACGATGCCTCATCTCCGTCTTCGACGAAACACGACAGTTCGTCATCGCCGAAGGCACTCCTTCCAGCAGCTTGAACCCGAATGCCACCGCGACTGACGACTACTGGCTCGGCTGCACCGCCCTTCCTCGCTCCGGCCGCGTCTGCGAACATATGCTGACCGACGATGGCGATCCATCGCTCGGCGAACTCGATCCTTCCACCTCGGGTCTGCTTGGGCCTGCGACCTTGCCCGTAACCGTCATACCTGACCTGGCCCAAGACGAGCGCTACAAAGACAAGCCAGACGTGACGGACCGACCGCACAACAGCTTTTACGCCGGTGTACCTCTGCGGACACCCAGAGGGATAAATATTGGCACCTTGGGGATCTTCGACGACAAGCCACGAGACGGCCTAGACTCGTCACAAGTCGAGTTTTTGCAACATATGTCGTGTGCTGTCATGAGCCACCTAGAGCTCCGACGGTCAGCCGAGAACTCGTCCAGAAGCGAGCGTATGGTCCGCGGCATCGGCAGCTTTGTCGAGGGTAAGTCGACCATATCGAACCTGTGGCGAGGCACCCACGCAGCAGCCTTCGAGAAAGGTGATGCCGAAGGGAAACTCAATGCGAACCAGCAGACTCTGCAGCAAAGCCACGTAGACCGAGACTTGGCCTTGGATGAAAGCGCTCGGGAGTCTTCGCGCGCCGTATTTACCACCGAGTCCACGCCACTTCATGGCAACCACGAAACGGACCCGGAGCCCTTGTTCGAACAGGAAAGAGAGTCATCCCCGTCGCCACCTCCCGTACCACCAAGCGAAGAACCCGTAGCGGCCTCTTTGCAGGATAACTCTCAGTCGGTGACGGACAAAGGTACCACGCTGACCAAGTTCACTCTGACCTCGACCGGCTCGGTGGCCAGCGCCGCCACCAAGTCATTTGCGGACGAGATCCACACAACCGAGATCAGGGAGGCGTTCGGAAAGGCCGCCAACATCATCCGAGAATCAATCGAAGTGGAAGGCGTCGCATTCCTGGACGCCATGGTTAACACTTTCGGTGGCCTGGTTTCACGTGGTGCAGACAGTGAATCTGCCAGCTCTGACTCGCATCCCGACACTTCAGGTGGCGAAGGAGGCGCAACCGAAGAAGAAAAGGAGCCCAAATTTTGCAGAATCTTTGCCTTCTCAACGACTGATGCCTCAAGCATCGACGGCAAATCCAACCGCACCCAGATTAATGTTCCGCAAAAATTTCTGCGAAGCCTGCTCCGACGATACCCGGCCGGCAAGACTTTCCGATTCGATAGCAATAACGAGATTGTCTCTGGCGACTCAGAAGAAGATCAATACCAAGTCCCGGGAGCGGGAGGGGCCGAGGCACAGGCCTCGCTGCAGGTGCGCAAACGAAATGTTGCGCAGTCGCGACAGTCGGAGGGCAATGTTCTCTCCTCAATACTTCAAGGAGCCCGGAGCGTAATGATGGTGCCGCTGTGGGATCCCATTCAAGAGAGGTGGCATGCAGGCGCGTTCGTGGTAGGCAATCCCTTTCAGATTAATTTCCCCATTCATCTTGCACTACTTTGTGCAGGTATCCTCCCCTGCTCGCGAAGTTCCATCGGGCACACTGAAACGCGGAAGCCTCAAGAAGCAAATGCCGAGACTCGTCTGCACCCAGAGCAGAATGCTAAAACCAGACCTTGTAGTGGAGCAAAACCGCGGATCGAGTCTTCACAATGGAGAGAGAAGTGAGTTACCTGCGTGCGTTCGGATCAACCATCATGGCCGAGATCAATCATATAGAGGCTACGCAATCCGAAAAGATGAAGTCAGATCTACTGGGGTCTTTGAGCCATGAACTCCGGTCGCCATTACACGGTGTCCTGGCGGGTATTGAGCTGATACAGGACACTGAACTCGACGCATTCCAGGGAGACGCCCTAAACTCTATGGAATCATGTGGGCGGACTTTATTAGATGTAATTGAACATCTTCTGGATTTCAGCAAGATGAACAGGTTTGTCAAATCGACGAAAGAGCAGAAGAAAGCTAGAAAACATAATCGCAGCGGCCGCTCAAGAGAGCAACAGGAGTCCTTTGAATCAAAGATGCTGCCCATCATGGCAGATGTTGACCTGGGTGTCTTGGTCGAGGAAGTCGTTGAGAGTGTCTACGCCGGATTTGGTTATGAACGTCTGCGAATAGGTCAACCTGACCAACATGGACCCACGCCCGGATCCATGTACAACCAGGACCCTTATGCCTATCAAGACGGCCGGGATGCAGCGCGGTTCTCCACTGGTGGTGTGACCATCTATATTGACATCGACGCAAAGGAAACGTGGACCCGTCATATCCAGCCTGGAGGACTCAGGCGGATCATCATGAACATTCTTGGCAACTCCATGAAATACACCAATCAGGGCTATATCCACATCAAGATGAGGCAGGTCAAAGTACCCTTGAAACGCAATCGTCACCGGACCAATCTCGTACTCACCATCACTGATTCTGGTAAGGGCATTACGGCGGATTTTCTGCGCCACAAGCTCTTCACTCCTTTCAGTCAAGAGGACAGTCTCCAACCAGGAACGGGCCTAGGATTGAGCCTCATCCACCAGATCGTCACATTGCTGAACGGGTCCATAACGGTTGAAAGTCAGCTCGAGCTGGGAACGAGTTTCCAAGTCACGTTACCTCTACCAGCAACAAAATTCGACGGCGGCCAACCCAGTAATCTGGGCCCCAACGCCGACTTCCTGAGAGGGCTCAGAGTGAGTCTTCGTGGCTTCAAGGAGAAAAGGGACACAGCGGGACTTCCTAATCATCAAGCCCCGATCGAGCGACAGATTCTAACGGATATGTGTCACACTTGGCTAGGATTGGAAATTGTGACCGAGGACGATGAGGATACTCGGCCAGATTGCATAATATGCAGTGACCAAGCTCTGGAGGGTTTGGCAAGCGAGCCCTCTGGACTTCTACCTCCAGTCATTGTCGTATGTCAGAATGGAAGCATCGCTCAGAAGTTGCTCCAGAATCGCCGAACTGGGGAAAGCGGCCATTTCTTCGAGTGTATTTCACAACCGTAGGTGATATTGCGATGTTGAATCATACCAAACTAACCTGGCTTGCAGAATCGGACCTCACAAGCTTTCGAAGGCATTAATATTAGCCATGGAACGTTGGGGGAAGTTCACTACCTCGCTAGAGCCGTCGGCTGACGCAACTGTCACGTCAATGCCTGATGCCTACATCCCCCCACAGAGGAGCGATGCCGAACATTCAGAAGTCAAAGCACCTCCTTCATCAGCCCCACCGCTCCACTTTAGCCTCGCGCAGATGTCGCTCAACGAGGAGCATGTTGGGTCTGGTACAACGCAATCGATTGACACACAAATGCCTAACACGTCAACCCACGAATTACATCAATCTTATGAGAGCGAACAAGCTCCAACAAGCTTCTTGATTGTGGATGACAACAAGATCAACCTCCAGGTGTGTTTGGCAGGCGGCACCACTCCGTTTCTTGACATCGTTCTAATGATAAAACGTACAGATTCTCGTAGCTTTCATGAAGAAGATGAAGCGCTCATACAAAAGTGCACAAGATGGGCTTGAAGCACTAGGGACTTACGCCGAGACTCCGGGTCACTTCCGCTGTATCTTAATGGGTACCTGCCTCGTATCTGATCCTCTCTTCCACAATCGCTCTAACATATCATAGATATCTCTATGCCGGTAATGGACGGCTTGGAAGCGACCAGGCGCATCCGGGAGTTTGAGCAAGCGCGAGACCTGCCGCGTTCGACGATCATTGCTCTTACTGGAATGGCATCTGCTAGTACACAGCAGGAAGCATTTGGCAGCGGTGTTGATTTCTTCTTGGCCAAACCCGTGCGCCTGAAACAGCTGACCGAGATCCTGGCAGAAAAAGGGATGAGTTCACCATCAAGAAGCGAGGCAACAGTTTAGTGATCCATTATCGATTCGGAAGTCTGGAAGCCATCGATCCCAATTCTACGCTATGTCGATGCACAAGATCTTCATTTCATATCAACTGTTCCAATGGCACAACGAGAAGATTTAATCAGTTCACATACGACAGCACGCAGCTACATACATAGTTGCAATTCATATTTGGAAACATGAGGACTATAACCATGACGCGTAACGAAGACACGAAGCGTTTACTCATTTCGTTCTATCATAACAAGAGATGAGATTTACCCGACTAAGTATCCTAACCCTGACTGCTCTGACTGTTCTGACTCTGATGTATTTCAAAATGTGACCACAATCTTTTTCGCCGAGACTCCTTTCTGAAGCAGATCTATGGCTTTTTGAACTGACTCGAGGCCATGCCCAACCACCTGGGGCGGCGGTGCGGGTACGAAAGAGCCATCTTCCAGCGCGCCGGGCAAATATCTATTAAATATTGACGAAGCAAGGTCCTTGTCACCCTGCCAGACATCGACAAACTTGGTCTCAACTCCACCCGGAAGAGGAAAGCGAGGTACCATGGTGAGCGGAATCAACTTGCAGTTCTCAGGCGAGCTCAACGCCACAGCAGCACAGGCCTCCACTATTGCAGGGAATTGCTCGGATATGAACCCACCGTTTGCTATGGTACCTGCAACTGTCTTACCCTTCACGGCCGCTACCAGATCGTCCTTGACCGTCGAACTGTTGTAGTCGAACACGTGGCTGGCGCCGAGCTTCTTGACATACTCAAAATTCGCCGGTGATGCAGTGGTAATCACCTCGTAGCCTGCAGCTTTCGCCAATTGAATCGCGTTACAGCCGACACTGGTCGAGCCGCCCCAAACGAGGACTGTCTTGCCGGTGGGCTTGGGGTTCAGACATGGCGGCTCGAGTGCTAGGTACTCCGGATGGAAGAGCGTTTTAGCGGCGACGCCGAGACACAAGGGGAGGACAGCAGCTTGCTCGAAGCTGATTGCTGCCGGCAAAATCGAAGCGCAATGCTCCTCTACCAGCACGAACTCCTGATAGCAGCCCGTGGCATGGCCTGCAACTCTGTCGCCGACTTTGAACCTGGTGATGTCGGATCCGACGTCGACTACCTCACCGGCTACATCGTAACCGAGGATCGCTGGGAACTTGAGCCAGGTGAAGACCTCCGGCCCTAGAGCCTGCTGGGCCCAGTCGACGGGATTGAGCGCAACAGCTCGAGTTCGAACGATGACGCCGTTTTCTTTGAGCTCTGGATAGGGCGCGGGTTTGACCTCCAAAGTGGTTTTCTCAGCAGTGAGATATGCAGCCTTGTTGGACGGCATGATGTATGAAATTGAAAGATGCTGCTTGGCAGTTGCTGAACTTTGTTGACAAAGGATGAGCGGGAACTGATGAAATTAGCTGTCTTGGCTTGTTATTAACAGCTCTCTGCTAACTAATATGTGTACTCAAATCTAAGAACGTTGGAGTCTGGTATTTTTATACTTATTTACGCCGAAGGACATGTAATCGAGGCTCGGAAAGATTATCCCCACGCCTCCCTTTAACCCCGTAACGGAGATAAACTATTGCCCATTTTGGGGCCGAATCATACTCTGTAACACATCGGTCAATTAGCGTAATGTAAACCTTGAGACTATGGCGTCAGATAGCTAGTAATTGGACACGAGGACTTTGCGGTGCAGATTCAAAAGCGAATGTACGGATCATCACCACAAGCCTCGACGTGTTTTTGGTGATTATCAGTTGATCGCATCAATTCCTTCTCAAGCCGTGGCCCCAGATGTTCGTCAATACCGTTACGCTTTTATAAGTTGGCTGACCAATATGTTGGGGATAAAGCTCTGAATGCGAATGACATCCATCCTCTACGTACGCTCTTTAACTGAAATCAGAAGCGATGCCTGAACAAGCCCCAAAACCACCTCATGCTAATTACTGATACCATTTGACTCGCCGTTGCCGTTGTGTTTAGCCTCGAAATGTTCCAGATTGAAGATGCAGCCTGTACAGTTTTTCCCTGATTCGTTGCCCTCGAGAGAATCCCCTTTCCGGACCCCTTCTCCATCGGCACGCATGACAAGGGTCGCTCGATAACTCCGTCGATCCGGCCTTGGTGGCGATCATGTGCTCCTCCGCGAGCTCAAGAAGCTATGATGGGATCAGCACGATTGAGCACAAATCGCAGTCCAATGGGCATAATTTCAACTTGACATGTTGAGTACCTCAACAACAGTTCTTTGACGGGTGGCTTTCTCTATTCGGAGGTTCAGCGGAGTGCCCAGACTGCGGAGCTTCCTTGTTAGTGGAGTTGGTGGTGTGTATAGTCATCTTGACATGGTGCTGAGTTGTGAACGTTTGTTCAAAGATTAGCGTTAGATACCGGATCATTGCTAGGACGTACCATTTGGAGCAGCAAGGTCTCTAAGCGGATTGCTTCAAAAAAAATTAAAGCTTCTAACGCCGTCTATGGCGCCAATATGCAATGGTTAGCGGGAATACATGGCGCCCGAAGTGCCTCGTGGTAAATAAGCGGTCGCTTAGACCTGACTGAGTAAGCTAATCAATCGTGAGCGAGCTCCGACTCTCTGTGAGGAAACGGCCATATCACAGAACATCTGCAAGACAAGCACCATGTTCGTCGATTCATGTATGTACCTCAATAACCCTGGGCCAACTGTAGTTGCAAAGAGAAAAGCTCCTGGGTTGGGCTGATATTGAATTTCGGACCAGCATTACTGCCATTGTGCACGGCGCAGGACTTTACCCGATTGCCTCCAAATCTTTGGCAAGTCCATGGCGCCGCCTGGAGAGTTGGCTGAAGCGTTCAAGTAACCTCGGCATAAAATATTCGATCGTTTTGTGATTCCACTCACGACCTCAGGAAAAGGAGAAATCACTACTGTGCAAGTGGACCATGAAGCCTAACTTGGTACTAACTTTAGCTAGGGCTTAGATGCCCGTGGCACCACCTACAGCAAGGTTAGCACCTGTTAGTGTCGGGAACGGGTTGCCCTTGACCTCTTGCGGACTTTCAGCTGGACAATTATCGCAATAGCCTCATCGAATGCGTGCGCGTCGCTATTTTGATGTTAGCCTAGACATGCATCTCTCCACAGTTCTTTAATTGGTGGCTTGCATTATGTACTTCGTCAATGGGATACGATTACTTCAGATAAATGTCCATCAGGATTCGGGATCCCAAAGATTCGTTCGCTTCCTCCTATCTCCTTTACCAGTTCTCCAAACCCAGGGGATGTTCAATCGTTAATACATTCGTTCTTTTGAATCTTTCTTGATACTAATAATAACTACCACGATGCTCTCTGCAAGGTCTCTACTAGTCAGTGTGGCTGCATTGGCGCATATTGCTTTCGGCCAACCCGTTTCAACAACAACGAGCGCTTCGGCTCCGCAAGTAAGACATGCATGCCGAATATGTTCAACCTAGACTAAACCGCAGTTTCTAACAAATTAGTGCACCAATGATAGCCTACTGAGCCTTTTCTGTGAGGATGATCACAGAACGAAAGCCTCGTCCTTCTGCGCGAACTTACTTCAGACGGTTACTGCTACCTCTACTGTCCAGCCGACCACGACCATTCTCACAACGGTAACAGTTACTCCTTCAACAGATGTTATCACTGCAACCAATGTGATCGGGTCTACCATCACCACGATTGAATTATCCGTCACCACGATCCTCACTATCGTTACGACGACCATCAGCACATTGACAGTCGTTGACACCAGCTTAACCACCGTCTCGATAACCGATTTCACCACCACAACAGACGTAGCGACTACGACGGTGACATCTACCACTGTGGAAGTCAGGTAAGGCCTATCCATAGCCTTGAGACCATTATTCGTAGGACAGCGTGAGCTAACACACATAGCGTAACGACTGTCACACCGACTGCGACCGTTTTCAAGCGCGACAGCAAGTGCGGTGATGTGCCTGACTGGTTGCGCCCAGTTGCGACGAAAGCGACCTCGGATCTGGCCAGCGCCTGCTCCTGCTTGATGTACCCTACTGCCACTACCATCACTGTGACAGTAACGGGATCGCCGATCACAGAATCTGCTCAGGTGAGATGTAGACAACTAGTGGCCATCAGGTCTGGAATTCTGACAGATTGCAGACAACTATCTCTACCATCGCGAAGATCACAGAGACTGTGGACTTTACCAGTGTGACCACCGACGTAGAGGAGATCATTACAATTACCTCTCCATTGACATCCATCGTCGAAAAGACGGCTACAGCGACAGAGTCAACCACGCTGACTCTCACCGAGCAATTCACCGATGTTTCCACGGTCACAGTTACTGACACCATCACAGCGGTTGCGGCCACTGCAACGACGATAACCTCGACGGCTACTATCGTTGCTACCACGTTCACACTCGCGCCGTAGGGCCAATTAGCGAGCATTATCTTGGTTAACTCAATCTTGCCTATACGTAACACGTCTCGATAGCCAAATGGACTTTTGAAACAACCGGAATCGTGATATTTATTCTTCTGTGCCCCGGTGTGTGCTTGTTGCGTCAAAGTCTCCTTTTTATTTCGTTACTTATATAAGAAATACCGTGGTTTACAGACGAGAAATCGCCACCAAGCTTTGTTTCAAAAGAAGAAAAATACACAAAACGCCCGTAGCCGTAAACTCAGCTTTCTAAAATTATGCTTCTTTGAATTAAAATTTGAAAAATAATCTGGTACGTTAAGATATTATTCTACTTTATAGCTCCGGTAAGATTGGATACACGCCGCGACCTCGCCGCGGCTACGTTAACTCCGAAAGTGTCGAAGGTTCTAGTTCGGTGGCTATTACAAATAGGGAGACTATCCTATGTCGGGGATAGCCAGTCTTTTCAGGGGTAGTTACGTTGGTTAGGTGAAAACCAACGTCGCATTAGACACTATAACGTAGACGCTATTAGAGCGTAGAGCACACGAAGCGTACGGGTTTTGTCCAGCCCTTAAGGCAAGGTTTACCGTACGGTTTAATTCGGAGAGGTACCGAGGGACTTAGAGTCTTACGGCGTATTTAATAATAATAAAATAATAAAATATTCTACTTTAAAGTATTAAGCTGGATTTCTATTTTAAATCTATATGTTTTCTAACACTCTTTTAATATTTTCATAAGTTTAACTTTATAAGATCCTTCAATCTCCTGCATTCTGCGCTTTCGAAAACAATAAGGATGGGAAGAAGAGAAAAGGAAAGGGAAATAAAGAAAGGAAAATAAAGAAAGGAAAATAAAGAAAGTGTGGAATGGCTTCTCCATTCATTTCTTTCCGTACAGTTTGGGCGACAAATAGATCTATTCAGCGCTATCGTACGAAGGAGAAGAAGGGATTCTTCCCCTCGTACGTGGTCTATAGATAGGGGTTCACCCGCACGGCTGCTGGCTGCCGACAGCCATATCGTGGCTGTGGTGGCTTACTGCCAGCACGCCGGTGACTACCTATACTACGTAGTCAACCGTCGTACGAGACCGCGAATAGTATATTCCAACAGAAAGGAAAATAAAGAAAGGAAAATAAAGAAAGGAAAATAAAGAAAGGAAAATAAAGAAAGGAAAATAAAGAAAGGAAAAAAAAAAAAAAAAGGAAAATAAAGAAAGGAAAATAAAAAAAAGGAAAATAAAGAAAATAAAAAACGCTTGGTAGCAATGTATCGATTATGAACTATGATAGCTATCGACTAAAGTTTGCAAGGGCTTGTAGCTACAGTTGTGTACAAAGTAATCGTATGATCCATCTCCCTCACTATGACTCCACTATTGCAGTACTTGAACGCTTAAATAGAAGTCTCCTAAATGCACCAATTTGATCTGTCGGGAATGTATGGTTTAAAAAGGTTGATCCAGGAGGAATTTCCTTTTTACGGACATCGTTCCAGGAATGACCACGCTAGGTTCCGAGCAAGAATGTAAGAATGCATGACTTCAATGGATTTTTATTTCTTTTTCTTTTATTATTGGTATTATATATCTCATTCCAATAGATGAGAGAAACCGGTCACTAGGACGAACGGTAATTCTCTATGCTATCATCCTTTTCTTCTCAAGGCACCAGTCCGATACCGAAGAGCAGGAATATAGCCGTGCCGTCATGATTTGAAACCTAAGTCCCATCATCGTGTTATCCTGCTTAACAAACCAAGCCTGACAAGTGTAGCCTTATGCTTGGAATGATTGCCGCTTGCCGGACTTGGAAGCCTTAGCCGCGTTTGTTGTGCCAGCCGCTTTCGTGGTGCTAGCTGCGGCGGTTGTGTTTCCTGTGCTGGCACCTGCAATCTGGAAAGCAATGTTACCACCAAAGGGACCGTTGCCGTTGTTGTTAACAATCTTCATGAGACAAAAGTTACTTTGTCCGCTTGTAGCATCGGTTCCGGTGCAGGTGAGGCCGGCAGGGACCTTGACCGAGAAAGGCTGCAGATCTGATTAGTCTAACCGAAGAGAGGACGGGCCTAGAATAAGTCCACTCACTGCATCGGCACCAACATTGGTGGCACGCTTCTGGATACCAACGGCTTGGAGGGCACGTGTTACCATGCGCTGGACCACATTGCCCTGTCCGTTACCCACCATGTCCGAGGTGGCAGCCAGCTGTGTGCCCTTGGAGTATGCACCCGTGCCCGTCTCGTCGACCACGGCGAAGAGCTTTCCAGCCTTGTTGTTTGCCGTGCCGTCGCTGGTGACGATTCTCCAGGTACCGTTGATGGAGCCGGTGCCGTCAGCGGACACTTGAGGTAGTGTGGTGCCTGACAGTGCCATGGCATCTGCCAGGTCGGACACTTGGAGTTTGCCGTTGGCTGTAGTCTTGCCAAGACCGTCCTTCATGGGGTCGTTGGCATTGCCGCCAAAGACGGTGGTGTCCTTCTCGGTCTCGCTGTTGGCTCCAAACCTGGCCACGACTGCACCTTTGATGCCAAGAGCGGTGCCATTGCCACCTTGATCGCCACTGGATACGGTGGGGTTAGCAAAGGAGATGGGAAAACATTCAGACGGCAGATCTCTTACGTTACGACTTGAACGTTGCCATGTGCGCTGATGAGGCCAACAGCTGAAAGAGTGAGAGCGAGGATATAGCTGGAATGCATTTTGAATAGATCTATATGTCTGGCGTTGATGCAAGATGATTGAAATTGAAAAAAAAAAAAAAAAAAAAAACCAGAGACCTGAAGTGAAGGTGAAATGTTTGAAAAAGTGATTATTGAGAAGTGAACTAGACAGACCGAATCAACCGGCTGTAGATGGATGTACGAAAGCAGAGAAAAGCGAAACTGTGATGATACTGATGATGAGGCCAAAAGACATGACGCCCGAGATGAGTATATATACTCGCTGGATCATGATCATTCACGATGGTTTTGGCCGGCATAGCCGTCCTGCTCCTCGGTCTGACGGACCCCAGCCATGAGGCTGTAACATGGCCACCCACCTCTGAAATGCTCTTCTGGCACGATGCACTATGCTATGGCGAAAAGAATAAGCAACCATGACCCCTGGTTCCCTGTACAATCGTATCGCAGTAGTTCGGCAGATCCATTCTGTGGGAATGTCAAGGGAGCCCCTGGTCGTGCTGGGCGGGCTGCACGGCGAGGTTGAAGCAGGGGTTCATCACATGTGGGTGCATTTACTCCGCTTGGCTCTCTCCACCCATGAGACACAAGGGATCGCTGAAACCTGGCTGAGGTCCAACCACGGGTCTTTCCAGCGTCAATCTGCGCGTCTAAGAGATCTCGAAAGCTTGTCAAAGGTGCCATGGCGGGATCGACGCGCGCAAGCTGGGATCCTACGATTTTCTCACGGAACTGCAACCTCCCCAGATCGCCCATGAGAAGATCTACGTCGATTTGCAGGCGATTTCAAGCAAAAATTTCTGTTTATTTCAGGCAGCATCAGAATTAAGCTGAACAATTCGAACCGAGACACAATTCTTGAATGACAAGACGGCGTTTGCAATATCTGCAATCAGATGGCAGAATTTGCTACAACCATAGGACGAATTGTGCGCTCGAAACAGCTTGCTGAGACACCTAAAAGATGTCACGAACGTGAACTAGAGCCTCAAAACCGGGGTTCTAAGACAGTATGGGCGCCCGGGGGCCAACTAGCGTCCCACTAGCTAATCCCCAGGGAGCGCGAATGGTGCCGTACGAGCATGTCTCAGGGCAGTACTCCACGACATTGTCCAATGCGACTGTCAGAAACACGATGAAGCCATGCACAACTGGTTCAGAAGGACAAGTTCTCCCCGCGCAGCTTGTTTATTCATGTGTCATTGTCTACCAATGCTCAGGGGAGACCCTTTGTTTAAAGATAACTGGGTCGCTCGTTCGGGACCAAGCGTAGTCGGAAGCCAATCAAAGGAAGGTACGCTAGATTGACGAGGAATTACTGAGACGGGCGTCACGCTGGAAATAACGATAAGTAGTATTAACCTTCAAGCTTGACAAGAACAAAAAAGACATAGCTGGTTGTAAGATGGGATACGCATGAATAGGTGGCACAGGCAAGCTGATGTCGGCTCGTCCACCTCGACGAGGCGGGGATTATTAGGCCCATATGGCTGTAGAATGAGTAATCAAAGCCCAAGCGGACTGACTTGCCACCACCTGCACGTTGCAACGTAACTGCAGTACAAGAACAGAGTATGTAGCGACCCATCTGACCAGCTCTTTCATGCCCCGCAGTCTCGGAGATCGGCATAGCTATTTCTCTGCCGGAACTGAACTCGAGTGTTGTTGCCAGGAACTGATGCCGGCTGGGATACCAGATCGTATGCCCGAAGTGGGCGTTTATTTCTCATTCCGTAGTGAACACATCGCGCTTATATACAATACTCTAGATGCCGTGTACTTGTCTGCAGTACGATTAGAAACAGCTATATCAATGCGTCCGGTATTGTGAAGTCAACCATCTCACGCGTCCAAGCGAACACATCAGCTGCAGGCGTTTATCTTGAGGCAACTCTTTAGACACGAAACTGACGGTGGCGACGTGTCCAAGTTCATTTCCATTTGGCGTCTCAATTAGTTTCACTAGAGCCTGACCCTCCTCGTAATCATCGATGCATTTGATGACTGTATCCAGCATATAATTTCCACAGAAGCGCAAACCATCTAAAGCACTGCAAGTATCAGCACTGGTCTTCAGTTTCTCCACGTGCTGCCTGAACCGGGCGCCCAGTTTTCCAACATTCGACAAGGCCCTGTCCCTCCACACATGTCCTGGTTGGTGTGCAGCCCGAAGCCGCCGTATTCTTGGGCACCCATGTTGCATTAGAAGGGCCGCGTAGAAGGCGCCGGCCTTGTTACTATCCAGCGTCCAGTAAGTGCTCCTCTCGTACGGGTTGTTGCGGCCGTACCCACGCTGCTAGTAATCAGAAAGATACGGTTCCTGCAGATGATCTCACCACGTTCTCGATATATGACCCATCTACCATGGCGCTAGGGCTTTTCCGTGGGATACCTTTGGCACCAATGGCCGTCATTCGCGATATTTCAAGTAGAGATGCATGGAGAAACTTCAAGGCTACGAACGCTTCAACGTGATGTTGTCCTAACTCAAGAACTCATCTCTAATCTCCTTAACCAACCTCTTACAGATTTGGAATCCTGATAGCGAGAATAGAAACGTGTTGAAGAACTGGCTTAGAATAGCTGTCCCTTTCCATTTGAGCGGATTTTCAACGCCATTTCACATTGACTTCATATTGTACTCAGGTAACAGCTATAACAGATAATGGCTGTAACCGATATAGAATGCTTCGAATGCCCAGTTCTGGGTGAAATATATTTAAGAAAGAAATAAACCCACGTAGCTTTCTCCGGCTGATTTCGTCTTATTCCTAAAACTTTGGCCAGTCGTTATTCAAAAGATGGGTCGGTGTTATGATACCCGTTCACCAAATCCCATGGCATTCGCGAACGTCTGATATATTCCACCCTCCAGCATGGCCAAAGCTATAGATCTGGCAGTATAACTTTGAGGATCTTTCCCCGCGGCTCTATGAGGACAAGATTGTCCATTTCCATGCTCTCTGGAGTGGCCGAAGCCGCCAGGCGAGAGCCCTTGAATGTGCGGAAGAAAAGAGCAGCCCCATATCGAAGCTCCATGTATGCCAGGTACTTTCCTATGCAGACGCGGGATCCAGCGCCAAATGGTGTAAAAGCTGCTTTCGCCACCTCCGAGGTAGTGCACTCGCCATCGTGCAACCACCGCGTATGGTCGAATCTAGGAGTCGTTAGTCTGTTTCGACACCCGGCCTACTAAGAACTCACCTCTCAGGGTCTGCAAAAAACCTTGGATCTCTATGCATTGTCCAAGCCTGTGTCGCGACTTCCGTGCCCCCTGGAATATGATAGTTACCGAGCTTTACACCACCTGCAGGAACGACTCTGGGCAAAGGCATAGGGGCGGCACCATATAAGCGGAGAGTCTCCTCGATTACGGCCTGAAGAATGGGAATCTTCTCAAGTTGTTCATCGGTGAACGGTTCTTCGAGCGCACCCAGCTCGCGCTCGATAGACTCTTGCAGGTCCGGGTGTGACAACACTGCCCAGATCAGATAGGTGAGCGTATTTGAGGTCGTATCTGTGCCTGCAATCATGAAAGAACCGGCTTCGACGCAAATGTCGAGACTGCTCAGCTCACCATCGTTCTTCTCGGCCTTCCCCATAACCTTCGAGAACAAATTGGTGCTGGCTAGATTCCCAGTCTGCATACTGTTCGCAACAGCAGCCTGGCCCTTGTCGAGCAGTACCTTATGTGCCTGGAACCAACGAGATCCGCCAACGAACGGAACACATTTCAGGAACGCATAGAGCCAAGGAAATGAGAGGGCGCCAAACGCGGCCCGGTTAGCAATTCTCACCGAGCCAAACCAGGGGTCCTCCTGATCTTGGAAGTCAGTACGGTAGGATGCTGAAAGCTGACTTTGTTAAGGGCTTTTCATACCTTTCCGGTTTTGAGGGCATCAAACGAATCACCGAACATGATCTTCGAGACCACGTCGGAGGCCATGAAGATCCACCATTTACGAACATCAACTTCGCCTCGTGCTAACTTCGCATCATGGCGCATTCCTTCAATAGCAGCAGAGACTTTCTCGACGACCATGGACTCCCACTCCGTACGGAGAGATGTGGCCGTAAATCCTCTACCTAGGAGCTTCCTTCTTTGCGCATGGTCGGCGGCATTCGTCATTTGGAACAACCCGTAAGGTGGCTTTCCGGCTTCAGTCGGGCCAAAGTAATGGTAGTAGTCGGATTTATTGAAGTGACCCCCAATTTTATGGATGGACTTGTATGCGTCGATGTCTGCAACGAAGACCTGGCTTGGACCGGTTCGAACGAAGGGGCCATATCGTCGATGGAGTTCATGGTAGTACTGGACTTGTTGTCTTGATAAACTAGCAAGGGTACCCGGAATTTGGGTGTACTTGGCGTACCAAGGACCTGGGATGCTGTTGAGGGGATTGGCAAGAGTCTGGTTTGGTCAACAAAGCAATGGAGAATATCAGCAATAATACTGACCTGGTATAGTCTAAACACCAAATAGCTCGCGAGAAGCGCCAAAGGCGCAGCGACGTACTCGAAATCCGTCATAGAGATTCTTTAATGCTGATAAGCTGGGAAGTAGCGACGATTTCGTTGGTTTGTCTAGAGACGATTTGTTCAGTTACGAGGTTAGATCTCTCATAATTGTTGAATAAGTTATTACCACGCTGCTGAGAGAGAAGAGCAACCATTTAAATAAATTATCAAGAGTCTGAGTGACTGGCAGGATAAGCTTGTGTGGCGCTGACAAATATTCCAGCGTGGCTATTTGACATAAAATAAAGATCCCCATTCGTCACAGTGTTCTACCAAGACTCTAAGCGTTCTCGCTGGTTGACTTTTAGTCATCGCGATATGGCATGCTTACCCAGCAAGCTGTAGGCTAGGTCAATGGGCTGCAGGTTCATAATGCCGCATGTTAACGTTGTGTACAAGTGATATCTGCCAAGCTGTTTGATTCCATTTAGCTGTGAAGCCGAGTCCCGAGATCTCACAGACTCCGTCATCTAGAGCTCAACTCCCGATGACTAATCGAATTCAAACATGACCCAGCGCTTGTTCATTTAAATTGCGCTTACTCATCGGGAGTTGAACTGTTTGTTCTTTGCCTATAGCGCGCTAGTCAGTCTTTTGCTGCACTTAAAAAGTCACTAGTTCATCGCGAGTTGATGCTGGTTTTGTGGTTCCAGGCTCCTTGGCAATTCGCTTTAAGGTAACATGATGACTGGTTCTTCAATCTATCTTAACCTCTAGATTCGAGCGCTTTGTTCACGGCACACCGACCAAGTCTGATCAAGTTCATCACAAATTCTTCGAGCTGTTTGAAACGCATGCTGTCCGCCGGATCTAGCGCTGCAGGACACATATCTTTAATCAGCTGTGGGACCTTTTGTAGCAATATTATATCCTCCTCTGCCTGAGAGTTAAGCGGGCTTGTCAAAACGTTGCAAAAAATAGTAAGGCTGGCGGACATCGGGTAGAGAACGAAGAACCTAAATATCTGGTCAGCTCCTGAACGGCACTTGAATATGGTGTTGAATTTACCAAAAGTCTCCGGTCTTGAAAAACTGGGATACTATAGCAAGGTTCCCCAGTATCGACCGACTGGCTTTGAGGGCAAGAAGTTGGCAGGACGTTATGTTCGCCTTGTGATTTGCCGCTCGAATCTGGCAGCGGCCACTTGCAATATGAATCAAAGATAGTAGGAAGTAGTATTCAAAATGTATGACCACAACATGGATTTGTTTCGATTTGTTCCAGTCAGACTCAAGCCGAATACTGTAAGATGGCGCCAAGTTCGGTCGATATCGAGTCGGAATGGACATCCGCCACGTCTCAAGCTCTTCATCGAGTTCCCTGATATCCTGTAACAGCTGTATGTCATTCTTTTGAAAAGCTTTGGCGCAATATAAGAGTCTTATCATCTTGGACTTGATGATTGTCAGTCGCATGTCTCCGGGAATGAGGTCGCTGCCGTCCTTGAAACTATCAAAGTCGTCTATCTCCTTGTACGCGAGCGGCAAGGTCAAGTCACAATGGTCGTCATCAATGATCGGCGGATACCCTGCCCGGAGACAAATATCCTTGTCGTACATGTAGCAGTGCCAGAAGACTCGGCGGAGGTATTGGCTGTCAGAATATGCGTCTTCCAGGCTCCAAATTGGTGATGCCATGCCTGACGGCGTGAGGTGTGCGCCGAACATTGATACAAACCTGTATGCCACTGAGAGGTACATGGCAGCGGTCGCAACATTCCCCGAAAAGATACTGTACATACACTGGGTAGATTTGTGTCAATTCCTGGCGCAGCTACAAATAATTCGTTCATGCTTACCATCATAGTACACACTTGGAGTGATTCGACGCACGGGTTTGCAAGGATATCGGACATCATGCGATTTACGCGGGCGGCACATTGCTTCGCAGTGACAACCTGCTGTATGTCGAGCCTGCCTTCCATATGAACTAAAATGCATGTGAATGAAAGCACGCATGCTTTGGCGCAAATGACGTCAAGAGGTGACTGGCCCTGATCGTTCGCGTATGCCTTGTCGATAACATCCATAAAGGTGGCCTCGTTGACAATGGGAAAGACGTATCTCTTAGTCGAAGCCAGGAATATGGAGAAATATGCATCCACCATGATTCTTTCTGGAAGCTCCCAGATACCTTCGATCCGACTAGAAACTTCTTCCCTTGACTGTAGTTGTCGCCATGTCAATTCACTTGTATCTTGTCCTTGAGACATGTAATATGCCCCAGTATGCGAGTAAATCCATAGTTTTCCTTCCTCTGAGAAGAATGGGATCCCATGATAAGAGCTTATGCCACCAAGGTGGAACCCATTGAAGTAGAATCCACCCAGGCCTGCATGAGGTATGCTCTTGACGACTCCAGTAGGGAATTCTGTGGTTTCGTTGAATGACTCATCCTGAATCGGCAACGAGATTGAATTTTCAGGTTGATCACCTGTCCGAAAAGTTGATAACAGATGATGTTCGGCAACTGGAGCATCAAGCTCTACGTCATGGTGAGCCAGGTTGGCTCCCACGTTTCTTGGGGTTGTTTGTCAGTGCTGAAGTAATTCGAAGCACAGCTCCACTGCCGGGTTGGCATAATACCTCTTCTTTTTCCGCCGCCCGAATGGCCGGTTGAAAGTACACATCAGACCGTGGTGTTTACACCAATCGCAAGGCCTCGAGTCTGAATCACAATGGATCTTTGAGATCCACAATCAGTACTTGTTACAAGTCTGTCGGAGGAAATGCTGGCCCGGGGCTGGATTGGATACCTTACGCTGATGGCAGGCATCACAGGAACGCCTTCTCGTTGTACCCCCCGATGAACTCATTTTTGCCATGTTTGTAACGGGAAAACTTGCCGGTTGCTTTTTCTTTGATGACTGGCCCAAGTTGTAGGCTTTGAGCTACCGCTGACTAAGAGGAACTTGATTTTGCCCCATTTTAACAGCCAATAAGTCCCGACTATTGGCCTATTAGCTTTGCATTAGTCTAGCTTGGGCAATTTAGGCGATTGACTGTCAGGACTCAAACAATAAAAACTCGATACATCTTATGAAAGTCACTTGTGCTTTCGACTTCTGACTATGCCCTAGTCCGACAAGAACGTCATTTGTTTTAACCATGATATGCCTATTTATGTCTCGGAGCCCAAATCATGCACAGCTTTGTCAATATAAATACCTTGATATAGATTGATAACGTTATGTGAGATGCAAATCCTGACTGTTGGTGCCACGCTCGTTCTAGTTCTGTCCGCGGGAATGGTATTCGATATTGGGTTCATGATTCAGGTTTCTTGCTCGTCACAAAACTCTAAGATGGTGATCCAAAGTTGCGCAAGCACTGTACAGGAAGTATTTTCAAATCATGGAAGCTCGGGTCCTAGTGGACAATTTTATAAGATATGTCGTCAACCAAGCCGTAATGTTGGGTCGGGGCTATTCAAGGATGCTTTACTTTTTCTCTTGCTTTCTGTCTCGAGGCAGTGAACGTATCGGTGGGTGGTATTGCTGGTATGGCTAACGATAGCCTCTAACACCACCAGCCAAAGCATTTTGTCTCCAAGGAAATGTACGAAGTATTTTCGGTGATTCAGACTCATCGAGACGAGGACGTGATGTCTTATTCATCTACTACAGTCATATGTACAGAGTATGGATAGAGACTATGATGATACAGTCCCGACCACTCCACGACATGTAGCAGAATTACTGAATTTCTATACCTTTAACTCGAACGTCAAGCCCTCAATATTGGACCTGCGTAATCTGGATCCCTTGCCGTCACAAACACCATCCATATGAGAGGTCTTCAGATAAAACGTCGATCCGCTAGTAAATGTCCTTCATATTCCTTCCACCAACAAGATAATCCATAAACTTATGCATGAACCGACGGATCTTACCCCCAAGATCGAAACACTCATGTTTGTAACCTACCATGCTATAACTGCCTCAATGGATGGGCACGGTGTGAGTTGATTTATCTACACAAAACATATGTTCTAGTAACTTTTGTGGCAGATCGACAGTGGTCTTAACCATGAAAGGTCTTATTTGGTTCGACTCAACCAGTCTCATGGCCTGCACTGAGGACAACCTCATTCTCTAGCTCTTTCGCCATTCGAGATTGGAATGTATCGCCGCCGTTAGTGGAAGGCTTGTGCGTTGGATTTGATATTCTTTCGTTACTCAAGTCTCATGTTTTCTTCACACTGATAAGTTGTGTTCAGAAAGTCAGAATTGTTTGGTTCTAACTAGACTAGACTAAGTTAACCTAGTCTAGTTGAAGCTTTCATGGACATACAGCAAACATTCTTATATAGTATTAAAAAAAAGTTCAACTTGGGTCCTGGGCGCCCTGCACGCGATCTACCCGGTGTCGATCGGAGGCCCTGGCCGGCCTCTTGATAGATATCAGCTTGTCCTGTCCTTTTTACGCCTGTGCTAGGCTGCGCGACGGGGTGGAAAATCTATTCTTTTCGGTGTTCCTCGGGGTGGGTAAATCCCTTCGTTATACCGCTCATAGCCTTATTACGGGTTTATTAGCCTTACCCGGGCTTAGATTATTACTTGACGTAAGTTCGATTTAGTCTAGATAGGATTTATTCGGAGCGAAAGGGCGCGCTCTAATACGGACCCGTACAACCTGGTAATTAACAATTACCTGTATTACCCTCTTGGTCTAGAAGCTGAAAGAAAGACCTTCGGTCGTTTCGTTAGGCTCGTATACAGATACAGTTGATGCTTATCTCAGGAGCAAGGTTCTCCGCAGCCCCCTCCCCATCTCATTAGTTGATGCCGGGCTCAACAAGACTTTCGGGAATAGTTAACGCCGCCGCCAACTTCACGGCCGTCATGAGGGAAATATTCCAGTCGACATCTTGCCTTCGCAGTAACTTGGGGGTGCTAGCCACTGACGATGAGCTTGAACTATGAAAAAGAGTGTGAGCTGTAACCGATGAGCTTCAGGCATCATGTGGTCCCCCTTTAGAAAGCGAGGTGTCACGTGGTGTACTAGCTTTGTTCAATCGTCATAGAACACATAACAGGCGACTTGCAATTGCGACGACCAAACCTATGGCCCTTGCTCGACGCCGGAGGTCTGAGATGAGATACAGTTGCTGTATATATCTGTTAAAATATCTTGGGCATATATCAACGACAGGGAGTCACTTTGCTCGACCTATACCTGAGTCCGCCAAAATTTCGTGAATTTTAACAATTACCCAGGTTATGAAGTCTAGCACTAACCAAGGTTAGTCTAACCTAGTCTAGTTTAAAAAATACGGGGTATAATCACAGTAGCAGTCAGTGTTGACCCCGCGAAATTAGTAACTTGTCACCTCTTTGAGACATCCCAGTGACTGAAGTCCCACTCTACCACTTCCTTTCCAATTTATCACTCCCATTCTACCTGCCCGGTATGACAGCAAACGAGATTCCGACGTGCCGTTGGGGCATCATTAGTAGGGTCACGGCATATCTCATAGAGGACGCAAGCTAACAAGTGGCAGCCACTGGCCTGATCTCATCATGGTTCGTTGCAGACCTGGTGATGCAACGCTCGGATGCCAAAGCCAACCATGTCATTCAAGCTATCGGCTCGTCTTCTCTAGAAAAGGGCCGCGACTTTGCTGCCAAGTATGTGAAAGACGTGTCGACACAGCCTACCATCCATGCAAGCTATGAAGAAGTCTACAATGACCCCAGCGTAGACTGCGTCTATATTGGCAGCCCTCATGGTTTCCATAAGCGAGATTGTTTAGCCGCGATCAAAGCAGGCAAGAATATTCTCTGCGAAAAGGCGTTCACCATCAACGCCAAGGAGGCCAAAGAGGTCTTCGAAGCCGCGAAGGAAAAGGGCGTCTACGTTGCTGAGGCGATGTGGTTGCGCCATCGTCCTATGGTTGCGGATCTACGAAAGCTGCTGTATGAGGACAAGGCCATCGGCGAGGTGTTTCGTACGAGCTCGGACTTCCAGATGTACCTCGATATCGCCGGCCTGCCATCCACATCAAGGTACAAGGACATCAACCTCGGTGCTGGCTCATTGCTGGACATTGGTATCTACCCGTTGACCTGGGCCATCCTGACACTGGAGCCTGATACGCCCGGACCGAGGGAGCTACCAACGATCAAGGCTGCCCAGTCATTCGTCGATGGTATTGAGGTTACCACCAGCCTCATCCTCCATCATGGCGTTAGCGGGCGCCAGGCCGTGGTCACTTCCACTACGGAACGCAAGGATGGCCCAATGAAAATTATTGCTACCATCGACGGCACCAATGGATTTGTCGAGGTTGAGGGAGCAGCCCCGTCGCACCCGAAGTCTTTTACCGTCTACCCCAAGTGGACCGGCGAGAAGAAGCCGGAAGGAAAGAAATACGATTATGACAGACCTCAACAGGGCTTCATCTACGAGGCTGACAACACTGCTCTGGACCTTGCAGCTGGCAGAAAGGAGAGCACCATCATGCCTTGGTCGGAGACAATCCGGGTGCTGGAGATCATGGACGAGATCAGACGCCAAGGCGGTACGAAATACCCTGTTGACTAAACAAAAACATTAAATTTCTTTTGATAGAGCTCATTCAGAGTTGCAACTCCCGCGGATATGGGCCCCATCAATAGACAGTACATCCTCCAATCCAGATCATTGAAGTCGCGGCCTATAAAGACGCGTAATACTTGCAGCACGTGCTAGACTAGACTATAGTTCATCTCGGATGTCATAAGCTAAACAGCACTGGGTGGCATACTAACAACAGCCGTCTGGAAACTCAATGATACGTCGAGTTGGTGCTGCTGTGTAATGAAGGGCTATCTCAAAAGCCGATCAGTTCTGCAGTCAGCAGCAGTGACAGCTGAGTTTGGCGGATCCTGCAGGCTCAGCTGCTACGAGACATGAGTACTTGCTGGCTATCATCGCGCAGCAGCCCAGAGGGATGTGCTCAAACAGTAGCAAGTCTCTGGTGGCACTTCTTTTCTTTTGTACGACGTCACCGAACTCCAACATCGACGACCGAATTCTGCAATCAGCATGACCCCCAAAATGCAATGCTGAAAGCTCTCGCCAACAGAAAGCCAATTTGGCCACCAAGGTCAAGCCACTAACCTAAGGGTTTGGGTTCACCACGTTGCTTGGTGGCTGGGCACATAATGAAACTTAGCGCAGTGGTTTGTTTTTCCCCACCTACGGATCCGTACATGAGCTGCTGAAACCAAGAGAATGTTGCGTCACTCCGGGTCAGAGCTCCTGATCGATGATTCTTTTTTATCGATTCAAGCTCAGCTGACGCGAAAACTCTCACATTTTTGACATCGTTTCACAAACTCATAGTCCTGAAGTTTTCTCGGATTCCGGCAACTCAGAAAACTTGCTTTGTGCTGTTATGCGCATCTTCAGAACATATGCCGTCGCTGGCGCGCTGGCTGTCCGCGCAGCAGCCAGCGCAGTCTCGCCGCGGCAGTTGCAGCAGCATATCATGCCCAATCCGGACTCGACTTTATCTGCCCAGGGACCGAGAGAGACTGGGGTTGGTCATTTCAGCGAATGGTCTCGCGAGAACAAGCGACGGTTTCTCATCGACTGGCAGGCTGGAAGATCCTCGGAATGGATCATCGTGCAGGGTAACGAAGGCGGCGACCTGGACTCCATGGCAGCGGCTCTCACGTGGGCCTACCATCTGCAGCACTCCACGGAGAACGCAACACATCCGGTCAAGGCGATTGCGCTTCTGCAGACGCCCACCGATGCCCTGGACTTGCGCCCCGAGAACAAGGTCGCACTGGACAACTCTTTGATGAGCTCAGGGCACTCGGATTTACTCACCTTGGATGAATTGCCTGAGGACCCACAAACCCTGGCAAGTGACATCAAGGGCATCATTCTGGTCGACCATCCAGTGCCGCTGAGGAAATGGAACAATGCAGCAATTCTCAGCATCTTCGATCATCATCACGACAAGGGCGCAGGACCAGACGCCAAACCTCGTGTGTTCGAGAAGGTGGCAAGCTGCACAACCCTGGTTGCTCGGCAGATGCTGGACGAGCTGGAGGCTCTTCCACAGGAATACCACATGCCTCACGAGCTGCTCGAACTAATCTTGTCCGCGATTGCCATCGATTCTGGAGGTCTTGGAAAGGCCACGGATGAAGACCGCAAGACGGCCGAGAGGGTCCTGAAGCGGAGCAACTGGCGAAAAAAAGATCTTGATGACAAGATGGAACAGCTAGATGATAAGCTCGGCAAGGCAAAGAAGGATCTTGGCCATTTAGGCCTTCGTGATCTCCTCCGAAGAGATTGGAAGGGCGACTTGGTCGACACGCCGTCGCCACGCGTTCCTACTGTAAGCTTAGGTTTCTCGTCAATCCCGTATTCGTTTGACGACCAAATCAAGAAGACGGAATTTGAGGAGCTATTCGACTGGTTTGCGATCGAAGCAGCCTGGACTGCGCAGGTCGGTGCAGATATCAGCGTCGCTTTGAACAAGTACAAGATCCGGGACAAGAATGGCAAGAAGAAGAAGATCAGGGAGATTGTTTTGTGTGTACGCAAGGATGTACGTATCGATGAAGAACAGGCGGACAGCCTCTTCCATACTGTCTCGAAGGCTATCGAGGCAGATACGACGTTGAATGTCAAGCCGTGGCACCGGGCCGGCGAGCTTGGAAAACGACAAATGGTATGGACACACGAGCGCGCCGATGCTGGCAGGAAAGTCATTCGTCCAATCGTTGACGCTGCGGTTGAAGCATGGGACATGTAGATATTGCGTTTCCTCACTGCCGCGGCAGACAAAACACCTGGCGAACATATTCAAGGAGCTTTGTTTTGGCACAGCATAATAACAACCACCAAACGCTACGTCGGGCAGGCAGACGGCTGCGGTAAGTAAGGTGAGTAGTAAATTGAAGGGAATCAACAGGAGTGATGCACCCCCCTAGAACGACCGCATCTCACTGGTTCCACTTCGACGCGTGCGCGTATCAGTGCTTGCATCTAGCCAGTAGCAAAACATTGTGCACTCTTCTTTTGTGTCACTTGAATGGCGGATCGTGCAACCCAACCAGCCACCGTATAGCTGAGTGCCTACTGCTCCAGAAGCAGAAAGATCGTCTATGGACACTGTAATTGGCATGAGAAACCGGTACCCAGGTCGAGTGGAAGGTTAAACGGCATACGGATACGTGTAAGAAACAGTGAGGAGAAGAAAATAAAAATAAAAGCAAACAATAATGACAACCCCCACCTTACAACCACCCTGGATTTGCTGGATCACAAACAGCATATCTCATGGTATCGAAAGTCGCCGCTTTGGATATTTATAAGACTTGTTCGATGTTGTTCTGAGCGAAGTTCAGCCTCCACCAGCCTCCAGAACCGGCAATGGAGTTAGGCGTCGACTAGGAGACCACTGCCGGCTCACCAACTTGTCGCATTACGGGAGCGGAGAGGGGGATTATAATAGCCAATGTGCAATAGCAGAGTCTGGGCGAGATTGGGGATGATTCATATTACTTCGCCTATCTTATAAATCTCATGACGCTGTATCATGCATCGTGAGGTGCCATCAGCAAAAGGTATCCCCGTGCTAATCCTCCCATGTCATATCATGTAAATCGTTCCCTGTATCAATAACCCGTTTCTTTCCCTTTCTAGAAAACAATATTCCTGTTCCTGTATGTGCTTATAGCAGCCACGAGACCCATTTCTTGTAGAAAGCACCGGCAGTGTCCGGACCCTTGGCAGCCTTCTTGGCGGCCTGCTCAGCCAGGAACGCCTCCTCCTCACGATCAATGATGTCCTTTCCGGTGTAGAAGTCGCACTCGTGTGGTCGGATGCCCTTGCTCTTGGTGACGATCTTGTGGCCGAAGATCAGGATGAGATAGATTGGGATACCCAGGTAACCGGTGATGAAGGTGGCATACTTGGACTTGAAATCGCCGGTGAAGACGTCGAAGTTCTTGGTCAAAGCGATGATGACACACATGACCAGGGCGGCGTAAGAGCCGTAGATACCGAGAGGTGCGTTGTAGGGCATGGCGCTGTTGGGGATGTTCTGGGCCTTGCGGGCGCGGCGGAACCAGATGTGGGTGACGAGGATGGAGATCCAGGTGTTGAGTCCGAAGATGGTGGTCAGATTGACAAAGTAGCCAAAGACGGTCTTGGAGTCGTCCGAGACGTTCATGAAGGCTAGTAGACAGAACAGCGAGGAGGCACCGAGAGCATAGATGGGGACACCGTCCTTGTTGGTTCGTCGGAAGATGCGTGGCGCGTCACCGTCGGAAGCAAGACCGTACAGAGTACGGCTGGCGATGTACAAATCGGAGTTGCAAGCCGAGAAGACGAAGACGAGGATACAAGCGTTGAGGATGTGGTCCAAAACCTTGATGCCGGAAAGCTTGACCGCCAAGACAAATGGCGATGCAGCAGCGCCCGTGCTGGCCTTGTTTGCGAAAGCGAGTTCCTTGGAGTTGTAGGGCACGACCATACCGAGGAGAAGGACGGAGAGGATATAGAAGACCAGGATACGATAGAAGGTGAGACGAATCGCACGTGGGATGGTCTTGCGAGGGTTCTGAGCCTCTCCGACTGTGACACCAACCAACTCGGTTCCCAAGAAAGCAAAGGTAGCTATGACCATGGTCGACCAGAAACCGTAGAACTTGCCAGCAGCAATATTGTTGGTGTCAATGTAAGGAGCAAAAGCACTGACAAAGTGTTAGCGGCACGATCGAGAAACGAAACATCTAGCAAACAGTAGCAGCAGCAGCAGCAGCAGCAGCAGTAGTGGTACTCACCCAGGATCCTGCCAGTATCGGAAGCCCGTGCGTTGATGGTTGGGTCCACCACCCAGAGCAATGACCAAGGTCAAGATGATGACACCGCAGATGACGATGACCTTGAAACTGGACAGCCAGAACTCGAATTCACCAAAGAATTTGATACCAAAGTAGTTGATGACGATGATGATGACCAAGACTATCGCAATCCAAACACCGGGATTCACTCTGTCTCTCGGTAGCCAGTACTGCATCACCAGCGCAAAAGCAGTGAGCTGGTTCGGCGTGACAATGATATACTTGAACCAGTAGCTGTGCAGAGGAGTACGTTAGCAATCGATTTGCATGGCTGCGGTTAAATCATGGCTTCCAGACTGTTCCCGACACCCGCCAATTATTATTTTTATTATTTTATTTCCTCTTTTTCTTTTCTTTTCCCCTTTTCTTTTCTTTCTGGCTCGGCATCGCGCATTTCAGGGCCCCGTACCCCCAGTAAAACTGGCGGAGCTGGAGTCGTGTTTGAATGCCGAGCGCTAGGCGGTGGCACAGCACCGTTGATAACGCGGGAAATGCGGGGAGGACAAACAAAAGCTTTTAGTGGATAGAATGTGGGATTAGCACTGACCTGTACCCCAAAGCAAATCCCAAACTGGGGTCGCAGAACCTCGACGCATAGCCCGTGAAACCAGCACTCATGGGCAGCCAAGCAGCCATTTCACCCAGTGCGGCCATGACGAGGAACACGATCATGCCGACGATGGAATACGAGACGAAGATGGAACCGGGACCGGCTTGCGCTAGGGCCTTGCCGGTACCGATAATCAGACCCGTACCGATGGCACCACCGATGGCAATCATGGTAATGTGTCGCGCCTTTAAGCCGCGGTGCAGCGCCGTGTCGGTTGAGGTCTCGAGACCTCGAATATGGCCTGTCACATCATCGCCTGCGCCGGCGTCGTAGGTGGTCTTCTCGGCATCGTAGCCAGGTGGCGTCTTGTCGGAAGAGGAAGAGCGCTGCATCTTGAGAATGGTGCGCGCGTTGGCGCTGGCTGTCCTGTGTTCGATTCCTGTATTCTACTTGCGCGCGAGTGGTACGCGAAGCTGCGAGGTAAAACTGAAGCTCAAGTGCGATGTGGGGGGGGGGGGGGGGGGGGAGCCAGGTGGTGATTTCTTGTGACTTCTTTTGTGACTTGTGAGTTGCGAATTTGCTTCTGCCAAAGAATGACACCGACAGTGAGACAAAAGCTGAGCTTTCTCCGTGTCGAGGCTGAATATTGGAGCTTGCTGAAGCTCTATTGTAATCAAACCAAAGTGAATTGATTTGAGTGTCGCACCACGCCCGCGAGACCGGACAAGAAATGGCAGAGACTTATTATTACGAACCACCGATGAACCAGCTACTGTAGACTCGCCGTTGCATGTCCCGGTGCGAGGTACGCTCCCTCTAATAAGTAATCGAGGACTGGACTGGGGGGGTTGATCATCCCATACCATACCCAAACCCATGCCCATAACCATGACCATGGCCACGGGGAATGGGGCATGGAGATTGCGTCGCCAAGGCCTCAAGAGCCCATCCTAACCCTGGCGGCTTGACCGAGATGCTCACAAGCGTACCTAGGTAGTCAGCGTCTTATCTTTCCCCATTTGTCACTTGTATTGGCACACGCGACCAACCAGACTGGCAGCGCAGCAATCCCCTCTCTCCCATACTTTCGTCTGCGTATTTCGAGAGAGGGCGAGAACCGTTTGTGCTATGAAATACCAAGCCCTTAGTATCGGATATCCTGCGACGTCTGACTAGATGCGCGTCCTGCTATGGATCATAAGCTTCATTACTAATTAAGATTTGCCGCCAGTGGTTTTATTTATCGTTGCTTGCTTTCCTCTTCCTTCTGCATGGCTGTAGTATGCCATTACCAAATATCTGGGTCTAACGACAGTAATCATAATAAAAACTAACTCGTCAACGACTCGAACGGTTTACCCCGCAAGGTTTTGGTGCGTGGCCCCACCAGCTGAGCGCACTGCTACCCTGCGAACACCTTGAACACAATATATAAGTACCTACCAAGAGTGCCGTAGGGTTGCCAAACCACACAGGAATGCCCAGGCAAAGCCAGGCTCTTGGCATTGTAGAAACGGTCGCAAAGTTCTTGTCGTGTCTTGTTCCGCGCCGTTACATAGTAAACGCATCCAGCTTCTCCATTCAGCAAAGGTGGAGCGCATTGGCTTAGGTGCGCCACCAGCGCTGTAGTGGGCTAGCTGGTCCGCTCGCCAAGGTCGCCAAGGCAGAGCCAGTCTCGGCCGTTCACCATTATCGAGCTGTGCGGCCAATAGTTATCGCTCTGGATATCAGGACAAGAACTTTGGCGAGGATCCTTGCTTGCGCAGCCCTTCTGGAAGTTATCTGTCGGTCCTTTGCTAGTGAACAGTAATGGCCATGTTCGGGATAAGAGAGAGAGAGAGAGCACGGAGTATGGAGAACGGATCTCGGATGAGGCACTTCTTCAATCGTCTACTGTAATGATCAATTGAAAATTGTCAACCATTTCATTCGACAATGTTGATTGTTGTGACTCGCGTCCCTTTTTTTTTTATCGCACCATTTCAGTGCAATAAATATCTCGTAATAAGCCAACCGATGTCACTACCTAAATCCCAACGCCTCCCAGCCACCTAATGTAACTTTTATGCTGCTCCTTTTAACGTGTCGCTCTGAAATGAAGGACCGTCCCGCGTGACACGATATGCTGTAATGGTATCTCAGATTTTTTAGCACTAATCAATACGGCATATGCAGTCTAGTGAAAGAGCACAGGTGTGCCCTTGGCTTCAGGTGGTTGATACGCCTCGCTTTCGAACTGTGGGGATAAACGTTAGCTGTCAGCTCAGGTTGAATCTTCAGGCCATGACAGGTTTTTGCAGATCGCGGAAGTGCGGCTGACGAAGGTCACCGTCATATTGAAACATACCTCGAGAAAGTCCGTCGCCATGACGATCACCATGAACGCCTCGGCCAGATCCTGAATTTTGTCATCTAACGCTGCCTCCATCTTGCCCGCGCCGGCGCCAATGCCGGCAGACCGTTTGAGGACGTGCATAACCAGCATCCTATGCTCGGTCAAGAAACGTCTGCCTTGTGACACGTTGTGCGAACCGCGGCTGACGATAGCCGCCCCAATTATCCGTGAAACCTTCACAAGCAGGGCGTAGTGGTTTTCCAGCGCCTTGAAGTCAGACGAGTTGACTTGCAGTTCGGGATCCGCTGCGAACAAGCCCGACGTCTCTAGTGAACGGAAGAGATTGGCATGCAGCACATTCTTGGCACCGTCGCGCGTCTGGCATAGCTGCAAGAGAAGTGCCAATTTTGCATTCATATAATGCAATAAGTCGGAATTTCCTAGGAGAACCAAGTTAGAATATTCATGCTGAGGGGCAAAGAGACTTTTGTGTTAAAGTTTAACGTCACGTACCACTTCCGTTCACCTGGATCCAGTCTTCCATGAGTGTGCGGAGGGAGTCGACAAGGATGCCGATGAAGTTGAGCCGGTTAAGCATATCAACCACGTAGTTATCGCTTTCGTGTCTGCCCAGGTTGACCAAAGTGCTTAACAGGATCAAAGCTGCTGTTTGGCAAACGGCATCGCCGCCATAAGCGTCATCGCAAACAACATTCATCAGTCTCTCGCCAAAGACTTGAATTGTCTTGGCAGTTTTTTGACGCCCCGAAAGCAAGCCGGAACCATGATCTATAAGCGCAGTCATGTAGCGGTAGCAGATGTTATAATACAGAGTGCGCAGCTCAGGCGTACCGGACCACTTTGCGATTGCGTTGAGGCATATTTGGAACAATTGAAATAGCTTGTCGCTCACCAAACTGCCGATGGCACGGCTCTTTTTGTCCCCTCCTGACATCAAATTGAAGTCAAGGTTGAAGACGAGCACCTTTGCCAACTTAACAAGTTCAAACGCAGCAATTGGATTTTCGGAACCGTACACCTCCAGGCTGGGAAGTATAGCTTGAAGGACTTGCAAGATGAACGAGATGCGATTTGTGCCTTTGAAGTCGTTGGTTTCGGTCATGACCATGAGCAGCTTTGTCCAGGCTCTTAGGACTTTATGATTACGCGTGTTGACTTGTTTGAAGCGATTCAGATACCCAGCATATAACTGGATCTGCTCCTCTTCGATCTCGATAGGAGCAAGATCCTCCTGAGATATGATCTGCCCGGAGGAACGTGTCGCGTTACGTTTGAGAAGAATGATCTCTTTGACTTTGGTCAAGTTGTATAGAGCATCCCCATCCTCATCATCCTCAAGGCAAGCTCGAATGTCGAGATCCCGATATGCTCTGAGCTCTGGTGGCTCTGTTGAAAACTGGGATTCTTGCGGTAGAAAATCGTGGAATTCAAAAATGGACGGTACTTGTATGGCTTCACCGCCATCGACTGGGATCTGACCGCCCAGTGCGTCAAACACACGCCGTTTCAGCGCAGGCAAGTGGCTTTGTGACACGCTGCAAAGCTCATGCGTGATGTATTCTAACGCCATCGCTCTGATGGAAAGATAGTCAACGTACCCATGTGCAGCAGGCGCGACAAGAAAGTCCGGACCTGCAGGTTCCAAGCCGTCCCATGAGGAACTGGGCTGTACCACTAGTCCTTGTAGGAGGAGATGAAATAAGAAATCATTTTCCCTCAGTTGCTCAAGGACGAGCCCGGAAGAGAGTCGCGAGCTCCAGAGGGCTTGAAATATCCTCATAGCCTTGTACTTGAGATCAATGAGCCAGGTGCGTACGCTGCCTTGGTCGTCCGTGATGGGAAGTTCCACAGGCATGCCGAGGATAGAGTGGAACAAAGCGGCACCCTGGGCAAATGCCCCGCTAGGGGCGATGTCGATTGTGTTCGCTTCACACTGGAAACCCAAAAGCAAGTGGGCAACTGTGGGGCGATCTGGGTTTGCCTGAATGCATGCGTATAGGAAATCCAAGATGTACACTTTCGTCTGATAACTCGTCGACTCGGCTTGCCTGTACATGTCCAGCGGAGTTCCCATCTCAGCGACGAAGGAACCCGCTATCGACTCTGCGTATCCACCGTCTTCTAGAGCCACGATAGCCTTGTTGCGTCGCAAGGGTCTATCAGAACCATGTTGCCATGCAGAAATGATTCTAGACGAAGTAGAGATCTTCTCTAGCAACTTCAAGCTTGCAAGCGTCAGATCAGCGTGACCAATACCGCAGTAGCTTCCGAGATCAGAGATGATGTTCAAGCTTGTCATGAGACCATCTTCGACAGAACCAAATGCGCAGTTAGAGGTGGGGGTGAAGACCGATCGAGTTTGTGATCGAGGTTGGGATTTCAGCAGCGGCCGTACAAGGTCAAGGTAGGTGGGCTGCAGGTCAAGGACCTTCGTAATAAGTTCCACACTGCGGAGAATGCTAAGTATGAGAGGAGAGTCCGGGGCGGCACTGCCGACTTCTGTCGGTTCCTGGTGTATCGTGCTGAGCAGCGCCTTGATGACATTGGCATCATACATCCACTCCATGATGCGCGCAAATGGGTGAAGCGTGACATAAGTTGCCAAATCTTTCGGTGCGATGGCAGAGTCGACGGGGATGGAGGTCTCATTCGCAAAGACGATCAGATCCTCGTTGAAAGTTGATAGGCAGGTGAGCGCGAACTCCAGACATGTATAGCGTAACATGCGTTGTTGAACAACGTCCGTAGAGTCTTGAGACCGAACACCAAACACATGGCCGAGAGCAAAGTCGATATATGGCTCGATGCCCGGATGTACCCTAGTGGAGACACCCAGGCTCTCCGAGAAGGGCAGCGTATCGTTTAGCGCTGCATAGCCTTCAGGTAGACACGACAGCACCGTCAGCAGCTGCACAAATGCGCTCACTTCCTCGTGCCGAGAGCTCATCTCTTCGAAAAGCGACTCCATTATCACAGTAGGTGATTTAGTAGCGGCCTTACTGTTACTGGAAATAAAAGCCCCACTGAGACAGGCATCCAAATCGGCCCAGATGCCCATGCTCTGATCAAGAGTCTTGCGCGTGAGCACCGCGCGTATGGCATTGAATGCGCACGCTCTGAGACGTGGTGGGACATTGCTGCTGATTAGAGCGAACACCAAATCGAGCAGGTAAGGCTGCTGATGTTCGAGGAGGAATTGACGTGCTGTATTGCTGTTCGATGCAAGCTTTGTAATGAGACGCAAATAACACTCAAGCATCATTGCCGATTCGGGCTCTGTTTCGGCTTGTTCGTGATTGTTAAATCTTCCGGCCTTGAATCCTTGAGGTTGTACGGGGGCGGTTGGTTTCTCGCGAATCTTCTTTGTGAAGAAGTCTAGCTCTTTGAAGATTTGGGGCCATGTCAGCGACAAGGTCTTTCTCATCTTCCCTGATGCGTGAAAGCCGTCGTCAAGGAGAAACTCATGAGCCGACGTTGCGGATTCTGCATCTTCGGATAGAGACTGAAGCATCTCGCAGAAGGCACTGACGAGAGGCGTAGAGGCTCTCCTTGACGCCCATTGCAAGAAACCTGAGAGATGGCTATCAGGGTCTCCCCAAAAGGCATCTGCTGCCTCGGGACGCCCTTCGTATGTAAACGCGATGATGAGTAGGAATCTTTCCAGGTCCAGATCTTGCTCGTGGCCGGGGTTCATCTGTCGCTGCTCGTCCTCCTCTACCCGCAGTTTCCGCAATATATCGGGCAAGTTTGAGACGAATGCATCGACAAACATTTCGACCTGACTCGCGAGAGCCTTCTGGAAAAAGTCTGAGAAGGGTATAGTGTCAGGCGGCAATGATGGTGTTTTGCGTTGAAGCCATTGCCGGATACCAACGCGAGCAGGGTCCTGCCATTCAGACGTTTTAACATCGGCCACCACGGCCATCAATAAGTCGAAAGCACCGTCTTTCAGGGCCTCTGTAAATATCCTCGCCCTTTGAGCGTCCTCGGCATCAATGTCGACACCCTGGAGCAGAGCCCCTGCGGCATCGTCCACATACCACCCACTGTATTCTGACAACCACCAGGCTTTGACGCCCGCGTGAAAGAAAGGGACCATGCGCGTGTTGTCGTCGTCGGATTGTTTGCACATGGTGGCGTTGAATTTACGAGCGAGGTCGAGATCTCCGTTGCCTTCCGTGGAGCCAAAAACTGTGATGAACGAACCGAGGGCTGGGAATAGGTGAATAGTGGAATAGTCGTATCGATCCACGTTCTCCACCAAAGCAAAAAAGTCGGTGAGATGCTGAGGTGTAGCGATACGTTTGTCGACGGCATAAGACAAGACAACAGCCAGTAGCTCGTGTTGCTGAATGAGACTGACACGCGAGAACTCGATGGTCTCCCGCAGATCTGCCAGGTTGGACTGGCCCAGGAGGCTCAATTTCTGAACCTGGTCGGCAATTCGTTGCTGCCAGGACCTGATGTGGCGCATGCCTTCGATACACCTGGGTACGAGGTTCGTGGCCTTTGCCGAAGGCGCATTGCCTAGAATCAGCTCGGAAACATAAGCCCCCAGCCAATCTTCGACCTCCTCTGGAACCTCGTCGATCTTGGAAAGCTCAAGAAGGAGTCTGATGCAGTCTAGCAGGTACTTCCGTTGTTGGTGAAAGCGTATGAGGGCGCATTGGCGGCGGGGGCGGCCAAGTAGACGCTCGTCGTCTTCCGACTCGAGGATGAGTCGCGATGCCTCTAGCTCGTCCAGATCGATCTCGTCGGCCACCTGAAGGGCCATCTCTTGGAATTCCTTGGCGACCTGGTACTCATCCCCGTCAATCTGTATCTTGCCTGTGCGCGTTACCTGGTCAGCTCAATCATCTGTCAAAGCCCGGGCTGCCTGTGTGGAAGCGACGCACCCGAGAGCACGGCATCGCGGCTGGTTTTGGTCCTGGCTGGCTTGTCCAGGAATGCTGCAATCTTGTCGCTGAGGGCATCCAAGGAGGGGCCGAGGATCTGGGGAAGGTCGATGCGCTGGTCTTTCGGGCGGTCGATGACGGACAGCAAGGCTCCGTGGAGGGATTGGAGGGCCTCCAAGAGGCCGGGTACAGCTTCAGCCATGATTTTCTATGGCAATTCTATCTCATCGTCGCGTGTCGAAGGAGCAGTGTGTGACAAACACCGCGATCAGGCCGCCGTGGAGCTTGACCAAGCTCTGTTTTCGGACAATTACCGCTGTGTGGCCCTGGGAAGGGATAAACTGGCGGAATCGCGTGGCTGAGATGTCGAGACAGACTCGGCGTGTACGCTGTTTGGCGGGTTGCGTTGGTGATACTCGTCTCTTGTTGTTGTTGTTGTAGATATCGACGGTTGTTGTGACGCTGCACTGTATCTGACCTAATTTTCAGCGGGTGTTACCTTGCAGCAGAGGCAGAGGCAGGCAGGGTCCAGGGGGGAGCTTTGCTAGTAGGCAAGCTGGAACCCGCTACTCGGTAACTACGTATTCAGGATAAGTTACTATACCTTTTTTTTTTTTAGTGGGGATCTACCCTACCTGGCCGCCCTGACGCAGTTGAGTTACCAGTCTGCACTCTGCCTGTCAGGGAAAAAAATAACGTAGTCTAGACTAGGTTAGATGTGCATGCTATTTACAGCAGGCGGTGAACCGTAACGCCGTTTCCTCGTCGCGGTTTCAGCTCAGCTGCAGTCACTTTTAACCTTCGGCAGTTCGTTCCGGGGAGGGCGCCTACTGAGGCTGCGACTTGTTGCGAGAGGTCTCACCTTCAGCTGTTGATTTACACTTATACTGTTTATACTTATACTAACTAACTATACCGCCTGTAGCTGAAAGGCTGGACAGGCCTCCTGGCACTTGTTTTGTTATTCGTTTGCCTCGAATCGTCTCACTGTTTCTTGCCTTGTTGACGCTCGCACCATTTCTGCTCGGGTTGCAGAGCGCGCGTGCGAAACTCATCCAGCCTTTCGCGACTTGGTTTTTGGCGTCTTACTGAAGCACATGTAGCCTACAGAGCTCGACAACATCCTTGCCCAGCCATGCCATGGGGAGAGACGGGACTTTATGAGATCTGTGTCAACCCGTCATTTCTTTCCTCCTACCCATCTCTCTTTTCTTGACCTCCTGTATGTTGTTTATTTTATGATGTTATGAGATCAAGCTTGGTGCTTTCTGTACTTGGGTCGCCATGCCTCCAAAATCCACAAAGTCTACACAGTCACAGCGCGCGCGCGATGTCAATCTGAAAGACGCTATAGGTCGGTCATGCCCCATATGAAGATATATATCTATATCTATATACATATACCTATATACATATGTCTATATAAATGTCACTTGCTTTTGCTTGTACTAAAAACCACGTATAGATTCTATCGAGTCTTCTGGTGCACAAGATCGACTCAATGCTTTAGACAGTGGGTTTCATCTACCCCTTGCACACATCAGTTCTACCACAAAGCTAATACCTGACCACTCACACATAGACCTCGTCTATCTCTTCGGCACCCGTGCCAAACTTCATGAGTCGTGAGTTACGCCGGCTCTTACTCCATCTTGGCAGTACTGACCACGGAGTGCCAGTCATGAATTCAAAGACAAGGACTACCACAGAACGTTGGAGGCACTCTTTCGGTGCGCCATTTCGGAGAAAACCAGTTACTACAAGCCCAAGAAGGGATCGACAGCTTCTGCCGCGAGATTATCCAAGTGTGCCGAAGCCCTCCGAGTTGTGCTTGAGCATGGAGCAAACAAGCTCAAGCGCAAGACCTTGATGGCTGTGATTGACCACATCACTCAGACTCTGCCGGCCGCCGAAGATGACTATGTTCAGCCTCTTCTGTTGGAGTACGTTAAAGCGCTTCTGGCTCTGCTCTCCCACGCCGCTGTTGTAGAATCCCTGGCAACCCTCGAAGCGGCCATCTGGCTCGACTGCATGGACTTCGTCCTTCAGATCGTTGATTGGCATCTGAAATCGAATTCTGGAGGCTTAACATCCTCTCGTGGTTCGCCAGCTCCAGGTACACCCCAGACATATTCAGTTCCCGCGTCGACCTTTAGATCGACCGCAACATCCTCTTCGCAGCGCGCCAGCCCTGGCATACACCAGTCTGTCCTCCATAATCTACTCGAGTGCATTCAGCGCCTTGTATCTGCTTCAAACGCCCCTGTATTGCGGCGCTCCCAGAATGTCACGAGCACCGTTTTGCAATGCATGCAACCTCGCTCATTGGGAATATCATCGGTTCTGCAAGTTGGGTTTTCTGTTCTGAATGGCATCGTGCAAACCACCCAGACAGAAGACACCAGGTTTACCAACAGACTCGCAAGCGATATTCTTCCGTTGATTCGGCACTCCTGGCAGGCAAAGACGACATCGCAGGAAAATGCCCTTCTCAATGGTATTCAAGTCGAGGCTCTAAAATTGCTTTTTAATTTGCATCTGAACATTGAACATCTTGTCCAGCAGGGTGAGCCTTTGCTAATCGCGGAGTTGGAAGAACTCTGTGACATGCTCTGGACCGAGTACTCCCAACGAGAGGGCCGCAATCAATTACAACAAGAGGACCTTACTTATTCGACTGTCCCTCAACATCCCCATGCATTTACCGTCCCCATCTTTGCTCTACGTCCCCATAATGTAGAGGCAGAAAGAAAATGGGCAGTGGTACATATTCTCGCTCTGTTTGAGGCAATGATCTGGAAACGATCACAGTCTCAACAGGATGCTCCCGAGGATTCCGAAAAGCATCCACGGAAAAGACGGAAGATTGCCGCTGGTTCCAGCAGACTGCGCCAGAAGCTTCAGATGTCCCAAGACAGTTTTCGGATAACGGCTTTACAGCTCATCCCATTCTTCGTCTCATATGTCCAGATGTCCTCCGACGACGTTGTCGAGACTCTGTCAGAACTCGTGGTCTTCGTTAGCCACAAAAACTCAAGACTTTCTGTCTGGGCTATGATTGCCAGTGCTAGGTGCATTTCTCTTCTGCCATGCGACATTATCTTGCTAACTCGTATTGTAGTCTTGCCCACACCACTGTCTCTACAAACAGCGCATTACTTCCCATCTGGAAGCAGCTTTGGTACATTGCGGCCCGGAACTTAAGTATATCAGCCGATTCTCGCGCCTCAAGTGTGTTGTTGAACGCTATCTTGTCACAAGAAATCCTGTCTTACCATGAGATATCGGACGACATCAACAACATGATTACTGCGGCCGACGTGAGCGGACCCGCCGCCGTGGTGGACTCATCCATCATTCTCATGACGAAATTGTTACAGCTCAGGAACTACAGGCTCCCAAGCGCCAGCCATGCTACCTCCAGTCACGTAGTACGATGGTTGTTCCTGAGATGGGATCCCGGTAAGTTGAACGACTATTATGCATTATGGGGGCCTTTCGCTTACTTTCGCAGCTGATCCGCTTTTCGTATCGACCTCCTCGCTGCATGTAGCCCCACTAGACATAATCAATCTGCTTCGTGCCGCTTACGGACTACCTAATATGCTTTTATCGGGCAAGCCGCAACTTATCAAAGGCCCCATTGGTGAGACTTGGAGTATGCTTCAGGAGCGAATGGAGATGTTACGTTATCTACTTCTTCTCGAAGACGATGTACCCACCCTGGCAAGGTCGCTAAACGACGCATCTTTCCAGTCAGTTTCCCAAAATGCTGAAACTGCTGATTCACAGGCGGTAAGAAAATTGGTAGCTGAACTGCTGCATCCCAAGACCGAGGAACTGCAAGCATTGTGCCAGAGCTGGACCAAACGTGGAGAAGGCTCAACTCAAATCACCATTGACAAATTCCGAAGCCTTATCGACTGTCTTGTTGTAACAGCATTCAATCTGGTCTACCTCAACGATTTGAAGTCCAGACATTCGCAGGAGCTTGATATTACGGCGATACATTTGCTGAAAGATGCGGTCAATGTTGCCTCTGCGACGTCGGAAGGCCAAAATTTCATGGAGACTGCCTTGCGGACGGTTCGCCCGTACCTACCTTCTTGCTCAACAGAAGCCCTGGGCAACTTGTATCAGAATCATCCGCAGGTTCTCTTGTTTTTTTCGGAGCTGTCTGGAGAGTTCCGTGACAGACAATCTCAACTTTCCTTGTCAATTCGAGACGATCTGATGGACCTTGACGAAGAATTTGGATCGCAGGAAAGCCACTCAAGCACGATGCTCAAGACCAACGATGTTTCACGTCGAGACGCACAATTGCTCGACTCGGAGGCTTTTTACTGTGATACAGCGCAGAGACTAAACTTTCTGAGTGTCGTACATCGAGATCCTGGGCAGATCGGCCTGATTCCACCTCGCTTCCTGGAGGACTTTCTCGCGTTGTCCGATGAAGAATTTCTGTCCTGCCGTCTTTTGAATAAGGAACTGTTTACTGGCGATTTGATCATCAATCAAGATGACGCCACCAGGGTCACAGAGCGACACGCGATATTGATCAGTTCAACCAACTACTGCAACTGCGAAGTCGCTTTACATGCCTGCATCGATATCGTTGAGGGTTTCATTAACATCTGGTCAGACGAGAGAAGCGAGCTATCCCATGTGGTTTGTGATCTTTATGAGCATTTTATCGAAAAGGCGCTCCCCAACAATGTAATGTCGCCTCGGACCCAGATAGCCCTTGCTCGGCTCCTGTTTCGCCTCACCGAGATCAACGAGAAGTTTCCTGAGAGCATCAAACTACCTACAACCATCAAATCGTTGTTCAATATGCTTTCGGACGGCAACATTATCATCAAGTTTTTCATCGGAAAGAACATGTACCGCGTGTTCTATCGGTTTGTTTTGAAAACGCACGATCAGTACTGCGTCGATGTCGTCGACTGTCTGCCGATGAACTCTGAAGTACCCGAGGGTATATCAATACGCTTGTACGTTTTGAGCCAGCTTGCCAAGCACTGGGCGACTGTCCTTCGAAGATGCGTTTATCACATATTCGAGACACCAGGTACACTCCTTGAAGCTACGCGGCATGCAACATACTGTCTAAAAACTATTGCGGCCAGCTTGAAGTTGGAAAATGCCCAGGAGCTCTTTGACCTCTACGCACCACAACTCTTGTACACTTGGCTTAACTCTGATACGATCGAGAACATTCCATTCGGGATTTTCGGCTTTGACACCCTTGACGACCTTTTGAGAAGAGCACAGCCTGAAGCAGCAGCTATCATGATGATGCGTGGGCAGGATGCCGACTTTGCGACTTTCGCTGGAATGCTTGGCCTGAAACCTGCGGAACTCACCAAAAGCTGTTTTTCGAAACTGTTGGCTTATAGCATGGCCTACGATATTAGCACACCAAAGTCGGAACAGCAGCACGCCAGCGGAGAAAGCCGTATACGAAAGCTGATGGGTCGTGAGGAGTTCCTCAATCATGTCTATATTGAATTTGCAGATATCATTGGCATATTTTTCGGGTTGATCGACCAGGAAGACCCAGTCGAGAAGTCTTGGGTTAAGGACGAAAACTTCGCCGCAGCAGCTGCGTTGATGGATGAAATCAGAGACCTTGGACACTCCGACGTTGAGTTGTCGGGCAATCAGCAGCCTTCCTTCCGGGCCAAGTATTTAACCCGCGAGGTGTCCCTTTTGTGCAGTCGCACAGAATACGGAATTAAGGAGGTATTCACACCACCACTCGTCGTGGCCGTAGCAAGAAGGCTGTTCAACACCATCCACCCAGCTTTAGGGCCATTGCATGCATGCTCCGTCATTCGTAAAGTAAGAGTCCTGATATGTCTCGCAGGAAGGCATGCGTACGAGTCTTACACGCTTGAGATGTTGTTACATTCGATTCAACCGTACTTGACTGACCTAGAGTGTGCGGACGATGCTCTGGGGATCAGTCAATACTTATTGACACGCGGCGCTCCTTGTCTGTCCCGCGCGCCATCGTTCATGGCTGGATATGCGCTCTCCACACTGGCCTCACTTCGAGTGTTCCTCGAGTCAAGTCAGGCAAGCACCACTCAAGAGAGTCAATTCAAGGCGACCATGAGCAAGGCACAGAAATTTCATGGTTGGCTCAGTCAGTACCTTGAGAAGTACCAATCCCCACTACTGCGAAACGAGCAGCAACAGAACTCTTTCAAGTCCATTGCACAGTCTGCCGCGAGTGTACGAACCTCGGGCAATGCAGAACGCGGAACACACGAGAGTAATTTGCTATTGGAAATTCTCCGAGATGAGGATCGTGACTACCAGCTGTTGAACAAACCTTCACGTCAAGCAGCACTGAGAATATTGGCTAAAGATTTCAGAATACCTGCCCATCCCCATCAGGATGCTGTCGACTCTGACAAAAAGGCACTGGAGCTAGCAACTGCTGTCTGGAGGACAACGCATACGCAACCAGAAGGTGATGAATACCAGACCTATCGGACTTGGGCAGGTCGTGTCATTGGAAGGAGTTTCGCCGCATCTGGCCGCATTGACCAGAGTTTACTCCAAGAGTCTAACCTGTCCAAATACCTGAAACCCTCGCAAAGCACCACAAGCTCAGAACAAGGATTGATCTCGTTGCTGGCTTCTTTGACGGCCGGTGTAGACTGCTTCACAGCAGGGCTCGCGGAATCAGCGCTGCGAGGCATTATTTCTGAGGCTGCTTCCCAAGAGGATAATAGTCTCCTGGAAGCCTGCCGGAATGTGCTATCCGAACAGTTGTTGTTGACCTCCAATTGGGGTGTATATCAGACACCTCCGTCAGACGAGCTACCAGTAGACGCTGTTCCCGAGCCAATAGCATTCGCAGCAGAAGCGCTTGAGAACGCATCGTGGGCACAGCAGCTTGCGATCCACCTCTCCCAGTCCGTAAAAGGCCATCTTATCCTCGCTGCCCTACCTCAGGTCTTGTTCCATGTTAAAGGCTTTGCTGAAAATGCGTTCCCTTTCATTGTTCACCTCGTGCTGCTGTTTGAACGCGACAAGCAACAATCTGCAAAGAAGAATATCTCAACAGCCCTCAAGTCATGGCTCAAGGCATCCGCTCCAGATGTCAAAGATCGGCTCGGACTTCTTATCAATGCAATTCTCTACCTCAAGGCTCAGAAACTGCCTGGAGAACATTCCATCGCTGATCGGTCTCAGTGGCTCGACATCGATCTATCCATGGCTGCTTCCGCTGCTACTCGATGCGGCATGCACAAAACAGCGTTGCTTTTGATTGAGTCATGTACGGCTGAACGATCGCGTGGGTCTCGTCGCTCTTCTGCTATTCATTTTCAGGAATCCACGGATATGCTTTTGGAGATATTTGAGAACATTGATGATCCGGACGCTTACTACGGCCTACAAGACAGCGCAAGCCTCGGTAGTATATTGGCGAGACTCGAGTACGAAAAGAACGGCGCGAAAAGTCTCGCCTTTCGAGGTGCCCAGTTCGATAGCCATCTACGAACACGAGATCCAGCGATAAGAAAAGACGAGAACCACCTTGTCGGGACACTCAGCACCTTGGGACTATCGGGTCTATCGCACTCGCTTCTTCAGGCTCAACAAAACCATGACGGTACCATTGCGGCTGTCGAGGCAACATTCACAAATGCCAGAAGGTTGGAAATTTGGGATTTGCCCGTGCCAGCCTCGACGGGAAGCCCCTCGGTCGCTTTGTACAAAGCTTACCAAGGCTGTAACCAGTCCACCACCACGGCGGGGTTCCAGAAGGCAATCCATGCAGGTTTCAATCAAGTCATGCAGAATATCATCCAACACGACACCAGCACGGCTGACGTAAGGCGTAATCTTGGTGCACTAGCCGCCCTGACCGAGCTTGACGATGCGCTCGCCGTGGAAACTTCTGCAGAGCTCAACCAAGTTTTGGAGACATTCGCCCAACGGTCGCAGTGGTTGAAATGTGGAAGGTAAGTCCATCTACGCTCGATCAATATCCAACATACTGATTTTTCCCTTGAGCTACTCCGATGTCAGCCATGTACTATCCACTCGAGGCACAAGTATCGGCGTGCTTGGGAAAAGCCTTCAATCAATCCCAAAGAGTAACCTTACTCTACGTGACACACGATTAGGGGAAGCGCGATCTTTACTGCTGTCCTCGGATATTTACAGGTTTCATCGGGCACATCAGGAGTCTCTGAACATCGCCACCTCCTTGAATGACTCCATTGACCAGAATCTGGAGTTAGGACTGACCATTGATGCAGCGGCAAAAATGGAAGTCGCCCATGCTTTATGGGACCATGGAGAAATGATACCCTCGATTCGGATGCTCCAGAGCGTCGATAAAGAGTCCGACTTGAAAAAGCAAAGTGTTGAAGTCAGGCGAAGCGACCTGCTTGCTGAAATTGGCCACCGAGTATCGGTTGCGCGGCTCGAGAAGCCTGACAGCATCCAACGGAATTACTTACAGCCCGCCCTCAAGGAGCTCAAGGGCAAGACAGATGGCCAAGAAGCTGGTAAAGTTTATCATCAATTCGCCATGTTCTGTGATGAACAACTCCAAAACCCGGATGGTTTGGAGGATCTCAATCGCCTTCAACATCTGAAGCAAGGGAAGAACGACGAAGTATTACAGCTACAACAGCTTGTGAGAAGCGCCAAGGACTCTCAAACCAAGGGCCGATACCAGAACCATCTGTCCAAGGCTAAACAATGGCTCGATCTTGATGATCAGGAGCTCCGTCGCGTCGAGCAGAGTCGTGGCGAGTTTGTCCGACTTAGCCTGGAAAACTATCTTTTGTCCCTCACCGCCTCTGACGAACACAACAACGACGCATTGCGATTCACTGCGCTTTGGCTCGAGCGCTCGGATGAAGATTTTACCAGTGAGACTGTGAAGAAGTACATCGACAAAGTTCCAACCCGCAAGTTTGCGTCACTGATGAATCAACTTACGTCGAGACTTGTTGACCGCTCGCAACTATTCCAGAAGCTCCTTTTTGATCTCGTATATCGTATCTGTCTTGAACATCCTTACCACGGTATGTACCAAGTGTGGTCGGGTACGAAGTCAAGGACGAACAGCAAAGATGAGGTTGCTGTCCTCCGTCAAAAGGCTACGGAAAAGGTCGCCAAGAAACTTGCCCAAAACGAGGCTGTCGTCACTATATGGCGATCAATCGACAAGACGAACAAAGCATATCATGGACTCGCCATTGATCGAAACGATGCACGCTACAAGGCAGGACAGAAAATTCCCATCAAGGATTGTCCAGCCGGAGCATCGTTAGTCGCAGCACTTGCACAGTACCGAATTCCCCCACCCACCCTTCAGGTCGAGCTGTCACCTGACCGAGACTATTCTCGAGTCCCGCACGTCATGAAAGTCGACTCTTCAATGTCTATAGCGTCTGGCGTCAGCGCCCCGAAGATCATCACCCTTGTGGGCAGTGATGGCAAGCGGTATAGACAATTAGTCAAGGGTGGCAGTGACGACCTACGTCAAGATGCTATCATGGAGCAGGTTTTTGCAGCTGCCTCGTCAGTTTTGAAGCTCCATCGATCGACACAGCAGCGAAATCTAGGAATCCGAACTTACAAGGTGCTTCCTTTGACAGCTTCATCTGGACTAATTGAGTTCGTCCCCAACACGATTCCATTGCATGAATATCTGATGCCTGCGCATGAGCGCTTTCATCCAAAAGACCTCAAGGGCTCAAGTTGTCGTAAGGAGATTTCTCAAGTCCAGAGCAAGTCCATCGAGACGCGGCTGGCCACCTACAAGAGGGTGACGGAAAAGTTCCAGCCTGTCATGCGATACTTCTTCATGGAGTATTTCGTAGACCCGGACGAATGGTATGCCAAACGAACCAATTATACCCGTACCACAGCTGCGATCTCGATTCTAGGCCATGTTCTCGGTCTTGGCGATCGGCACGGCCACAATATTCTTCTGGACTCGGCCACAGGTGAGGTCGTTCACATCGATCTTGGCGTGGCCTTTGAGATGGGTCGTGTACTGCCCGTCCCTGAACTTGTTCCATTCCGCCTGACCCGAGATATCGTGGACGGCATGGGCGTCACGAAGACCGAAGGTGTCTTCCGCCGCTGCTGCGAGTTCACCCTGGATGCACTGCGTGAGGAGACATACTCTATTATGACTATTCTGGACGTATTGCGATACGATCCTCTATACTCGTGGTCCATCAGCCCTGTGCGAATGGCTAAGCTACAAGATACCAGACGCGACGAAGATGCTGGAGATGACGCCACAGCCGAGAGCGTGATCGACTTGAAGAAGAAGGGTCCTGGCGGCCTGGTCAATGAGCCAAGCGAGGCAGACAGAGCTCTTGAGGTGGTGAGAAAGAAGTTAAGCAAGACGTTAAGTGTCACGGCGACTGTCAATGATCTTATCAATCAGGCAGTGGATGAGAGGAATCTGGCCGTGCTTTACTCTGGTTGGGCTGCGTATGCGTAGGTACAGGGAGTCGCGCGAGTATATACTATACTTATCAAAATTCTGGCCTGCAGGTGGAAGAGGTGGATTGAAGAGTACAATACCGAGAGCTCTTCGCTCATACAGCTCCATACACATAATAGAGATCATATAGCTTCAAAGTATATAACCGATTCAGCTCAAATTTGAGCGAGCCGGTGTGCATCGCAGCTGATGGCTAACAGCAGCAGTTTGTTTTCATCCAACAAATAGATCTTGGGTGTGGTGTGGTCGACGTTCACACATGGTTCAATCCAAGTGCCGCAAGGCTGGCTGCATGGCCTTTCTTGGCGACAGCTCATGAAGCACACATTTGTGCTCTTTCCGTCTCATGTGCGTTCGATATTCGCGATGGCGACCTGTCAGCTACACCCACGCTTGGTGTTTCAGCCCCAGGCTCGCTGTGATGGCGCCCGGGACTTGTCGTGACGGAGTTGCGAACCGGCGATCATTGTCGCAGATCAACCCCTGTCGCTTTATTTAGACAAACGATTGCCAGGCATCATTGCCGAACCATTGGGATTACAACAACCCTTCAACAATAAGGCTGATCTCATGCACATTTGATAGGGAGTAGAGCTTTCAGGTCTCTCGATAGCATATATAATTGCCTGGACCCATATCGTGCTCCACTTGGGGTTATATCGTCTGCCTTTCCAAATTTTCATTCTTTGGTTCGATCGTCATTCCTTTTAACCGGTGTGTATAATAAACATTCCTTAAACAATACCTATACCAAGTAGCATCGACTCTACCGGGGACCATATACTTTTAAACTTAGAACAAGAGATTTCCTGCCGTCACAATGAGCTGTACCAACCTCGCGGGCGATCTGGCACCGTTCTGCGAGCCGGCCAACAACACAGAAGTCGGGCCCGGTGACAAACTTATCAGTATGCTACCACACCACCGCCATCTGTCGATTGCTACACACGCCCATGGATCTTTCTAATTGTCTTTTTGCCACAATCCTCCAAGCCGTCTCCTCATTTTCTCTACACCCGCATCGCTGTTTTGTAAGCTAACACGACAGAAAAAGTCCGCTGGGACCCGTCCTTCTTCGGCAACGCCAGCACGCTTGTGCAGATACAGGCCGACTTTGGCCCGGCCGCGGGCGACGACCCGACGCCGCTCGCCGACGTGGGCTTCACGTCCAACTCGCTGCGCGCCGCGACCGGTTCCTACCAGTGGGTCGTTTCGGACTCCATACTCAACTCCACCGCCGCCGACGCGGGCGGTATCAGCGCTCAGCTCTATATCGTCGCCGCCGCCGCCGATGGCGGCGTAGAGAACAGGACACTGGGACCGCTGGTGAGGGTGTTGCCCACGGAGTCCGGTGGTGGTGAGAGTGGCAGTGGTAGTGCCGGGCCGAATCTGGTCGCAATTATTGTCCCTGTTGTGCTGGGGGTCTTGTTGCTGATGGCTGTTGTCGGGTACTTGTTCATGAAGAGGCGCAATCCGGGGTGGAAGCTGAGAAGTGTTTTCGGTATAGGGAAGGGCATTGGGTATGGCAGTAGGAAGAGCCGGGCTGAGAGGGCGATCGATACCGGCGGGGTGGCGGGTAATGGGGTCCAGATGGGCGACTTGGGAATCAGTGGTCCAACGAGTGGGAGAAACGTGTTCAGGGAAGAAATGAGGCGGCAGGAGGAGGCAAGGGTCTAGTCATGAGAAAGATATAACTTTTATTTTGTATTATTACGTTCCACTAACGTCCTTAGCACTCGCGTAGCATTATGATCTGCTTATCACCTCACACAAGCCCTTCGTACTTGCTGATGTAGATTTGGAAGACAAGAGTTTCGCAAAGAGCAATGCCTAACAAAGTTCTGAGTGTTTGTGATAAATTCGTATTTTTAAAATCATCTATCGGAAGTCAAATTTCTCATTTCTTATTCTGACAGAATGTGGTGGTTATTAGGTAAGATTAACAATGATCTATTTCTTATACCCCATGGTTATGTTAATAGAATGTGACAACATTCTATACAAGGCGTTTCATTGGAATAGAGTAATGTTTAGGTGCGGTAACCGGTACTTTAGTGGAAAGTAGTTGTGCCTTTTCAGTAGTTATTGTGAGGTTTTATCAGAGTAGCGAGCCTGAAACTACATATACAATCAGATTTACCACAAAAACATCGCCTCTTTCCTCTCTACGACAAATGTAAATCTCGCCTCGTGATTCTCAGCCCTTCCGATAGCTGCACTAGTTAAGTATAGACTTCCAACCCCCATGATCCAATAAAGTTCTAAAGCAATGGACCAACACGCACAAACACCACATAGTTTGCACACCGGAGCGCCTGTCTCGTATGCCGAGAACACATCTAAACATGATAAAATCCTCGATAATCAGTAATCCAAGAAGCACCGGTCAGATACAAAGGGTGTGTTTTGACGCCTTTAAGACCACTCCTTGGCTCCGCAAGGCTTCAGCAAGACGGACTTACACAGAGCCTGAAGACCGAAAGACCACGAGCAAAAGGTTGGCACGTGTATGAATTAGATAACTAGTCTAGGCTGTTGTTTGCTCATTGTCGTCTTTGGACATCGAGAAGAATCCGCAATGAGTACCATTGTCGGGATGTGGTTCTGCCCAGGTTCAAATTGGCATGACGAAAAACGGAGATAGGCGACTGATCTAGAGCACTGACTGACGACCTCTTATTTTATTTTATTTTTATTCTTGCTTTCCGGCGCTCATCATCGAACTATACAGAAAAAAGGTGGTATGTAATATTATGCATTATTGACATTAGTACAAATCTACAGTAAGTGGTCCATATCGACAACCGCAAACCGTTTACCACGTCCTCTATCAATTCCCAGAAAGAGAACGCCAAGCTTCAGCAAGATGCACGGCGGCGTAGCACTTCCCACGTGTCACCTTATGCTCATGATACTTTTTATGTCCCAGCCTCGCGAGTAGCCAGCTTTGGGACATGTTCGCAGTTACTCTCACTGAATCCGAGTTAGTGAAGCCTCAATACCCACCAGTCCATTCGCTAAGCCTTACAGCTCCTTGAGCGACTGGCACAGGGCTGGCTGCAATAGAATTTCGTAGCGCCTCGCCCTCCACGAAAACCACCCAGGCGATACCAGCTTTTCGATCGATCTCACATTCTGTGACCGGGCCAAAACATTCCATAGCTTGTCTCAACAATGGTCCTGTGATGCCTCTGGCGAGTGTTGCTCCCCTGATTGCGGCCTTTGTGACAACTGGCTGGGTCTCGACGTCGGTAATGAAGTCGGGGAACGTCATTCGAGGATCCAGCACACCAAAAGAGCCGGCAGGCTGCCATTCATTTACAGCATTTGTCCTCACGCAGTGCTTGGCCAAATGGCCCGTCCCGCCGCAGTTATAGCAGGACCGTGGCTGTGAGCAGTTCCGTGCGAGGTGCTGTCCACCACAGATATAGCATGAGAATCCAGATTGAGGTTTTGGACCATTTGCAAGGGGCTTCCGGGCCCGCATTGGTCCTGTGGGGACTGCCGATGTATCCAAATCTTGGTTGACATGCACCTGGTCTTCGGAAACAGCGTCAGGTTGCAGCAGTTCCGGCGCCGGAGGTGGGAATGGATGTAGGCCTGGAATTCCATTCGATTTTGGTGCTGGCTTATTGGGCGGTGGAGTTCCATTAACTACATTCTTGTTGTTCCACCCATTGACCTGAGGCTTGAGCTTTTGAATTGGAGGATCTACTGTATGGTTTCTTGCGGTGTGTCCGTTTAACTGATTTACTTGTGGTTGAGGTATCTGCGCCTGCATCTGAGTTTGATCCGGTCTCGATATACCATTGGTGGCGGGTGATGCTTTCTTGGTGCTCGGCTGCCCGAGCTTCCCAATGACCTTGACAGCGGGTATCGATATACTAGGCTCTGGTTCCGGGATGGAGCCGTTCTGAGACTGCAAACCGATCCCTTTCCTATTCTTCTTGGCCTTCTTTGAGGCTTGACCATTAGTGCCGCCGGACTTGTCCTCGACGTCTTTCTGCGGGGGTTTCTGACAACTACCGTTGTGTAAATCTGGTGGCTGTTGTTGCTTCGGGCCTATAGTTGGTGCTGCCTTGGGCTTGGGCATCCCCAAAGGCTCCGACTCTGGCTCGGCGGCTGGTTCCGGTTCCGGTTCTGGCTCAACCGCCTCCTCGTCAGACTTGGGCTCCGGCTCCGGATTGGGCTTGGATTTGGGTTTGGGTATTATGGAGTATTCATCGTTCTCTCTCTTCCTCTGGTATTTGGTGAGACACTGTTGACATAGGAAGCTGGAGCAATATGGACATTCAAAGGCCATCATGCCACCTTTCTTGGCGCACAAGCCGCACTTGAACTTCTTCTTCTGGGGGACCTTGACGCAGAAGTCGGAATGTAGACACATTTTCAGTTTTTCGTCCCTGGTGACTGCGCCAGCCTCTTTCCATCTCTCCTCTTGCTTCCTTCTCTCTTCGGCTTTCCATGCTTCCTCGGCCTTCTTCAGAGCTTCCTCCTCGGCCTTCTTCTCGTCCTCCTTGGCTTTCCTCCTGGCGGCGTCGGCGGCCTCTCTCTGACGACGCTCTTCTGCGAGAATTTTGATGCGCTCGGCCTCTTTGCGCTCCTGCTCCTGGAAGAACTTCTCCATGTCCTCATAGGAATGAAAGCGGGAGCCACCAAAAGTGAATCCGCCATGTCGCTGCCCGCTGCTGAAGAATGGTCTGGGACCGCTGGAGCCGAAGGGAAAGTCGTAGTAGTAGTCATCATCGTCCTCATAGTCCGAGTACCAGTCTCCATCGTCGTAGTCGTCTTCGTCAAAACAATGGCCGCAGGTGCAGGTGCCCCGGGGCTGGGACAGGGTATCGTACCTGTTGCGGCCGGCGGTGCTGGAGAGAGTCTCGTAGGCTTGCTGGACCTGTCAAGAGAGGGTCAATTGGGGGTGTTGAATAGCCATTGGGGCTCAGGAACTAACCTTCTGAAATTTGGCGGTGGCTACATCTTGGTTGGTGGGATTCTTGTCTGGGTGATATACACGGGCTAGCCGTCGGTAGGCTGCTGTGATGTCTTGTAGTGTGGCGGAACTGGAGACTTCTAGCTCGGCATAGTAGTCAAAGGCCGGAGCTGGCGGCGGCGGCATCTTGAGAGGCGGGCGAGAGACAGATTCAGAGACAGAGACAGAGACAGACCCGGATCCAGGTAGAGATGCAGATGCTCAAATTGGCGTTTGCTGCTTCGCTTCGTTTGTGCTCGGAGGGGCGGTCATCAAACCAAACCGACAGCAGCGATAGCGGTGGCAGCACGTGAGATTTTGGGCATTTGACTCGACCTGACTTGACCAAGATCAATTGCCGCTGCACTCGATGCCGTACGAATACGATCAAAGAAGCTGCCCAATTGAAGAGAGTCACAGAGGTCAGCAGCCTCAAGCTTCAACCGCCAGAGGCTCTAAAATAATGAGTGGGCTTTGTCTGGTGAGACATGTGAAACCTGGGGATGGTTGCTTCTTTCCCCAGAAAATGTCCGCCCAGCAAGCGGATAAGGGCTGAACAAGTTGGAGTGTGTTCAGGCGTTCATGAATGATTTCTGGCGACGGGCTTCTGCAAGGGAAGTGGTCCACTTTTTAGACGCGTTGAGTCCTTTCCCCTTATTATGTACAAATATATACGTATATGTTATTCTATACTCCGGTTTGCACGCGTGTATTTGTAGCAAAGTGGGTGAGCTGCAACGTTCAATTCAATCACGGAATTGGTCGACTCAGTAGTTATCTTGTGAAGAGGGCTGAGGTAAGCAAGCATGACTTCCGATGTAGCAAGTTGATGTGCTAAGCTTAATTAATGGTTCATGTCGAACTAACTTGTAACACACACATCTCTATACCTACACTCAAACGAAAGCTTTACTTACTCACACAGTTCTGACAAAAAAGCATGCTGACATGGCCGTTTCAGCTTTTTGTGAGGCAGCCATATTAAAGTAAAGTAAAAACTCTTCTCTTTGCTGCGTCCCGTCACTTCTACATGTGCGGATACGGGCACTTCCAATGAAATGAGGGGTCAGCCCGTACCACAGTATACCTCCCACATTAGCGAGGGGCAGCCTGCATAATGACAAGCAATCGAACCCCTCCACACGTTGAAGGCCGAGGAGGGATTCTTCCACATGTTGCAATTCAGCAGTCATAACTAGAAATCCGCACAAGCATAACATGGCAAACGGGACTTCATACTGTGATGCCGTACAGCATGTGTTTGTTTCAGTTGCGGTTCCGCAACCTGGTATTATAGCAATACATGAATACATGAATACAGAATAGCGGTAGCCTTGAGACAAGGTCAGTTCAGCCTCGAGATCAGGCGGTCAAGAAGTGCTGCCCACATCGGATAGCTTTTCTACTACTAAGCTCGACAAACCTAACCCATTGACTTCAGGCAGTCACTTCCTGGCTTGGAATACCTTCTCCTTCTTTCTTTGCATGAGCTTCGGCCTTGGCCCGCTTCTTGCGTGCCCTCCGCACTTCGATTTCCAAATACTGCATTTCACCCTGCACTGTAACTAATCGTGGTATGACCTCCTCTACGGCCTTTATGCTTTGCCCCTGAGCTTGACGCAAGGGCATCGGGGTGAGCAGTCCAAACCAACGCAGCGGGTCCTTCTTCCGAGCCTTCTTCGCCGTCTGCTCCTCACTGTCGGCAGAGTTGTTGATATCTCCTGAACTGTCATCTTCCTCGGTATTCTCTTCCTTTGCCTGGGGTGCGTCGTCACTATTCTTCAGACGGTTTCCGGCTACGTCGTCTTTTGCTACTTGAAAGCTGAGGACACCTTCTTCGGAGCAATTGACTTTCACCCTTCTCGAGGCCTGCATCCGATCATCGTATAAATCCCGACCGTATCTCATGCCCCGCTCTGCAGTGAAATTGGCTCTGGCGATATTTTGATATATGCCGGTCTGCAGGTTGCGGAGTTCCGTGCGCAGGGTAGTGTACTCGTGGAGAAGATGTAGATACCGCTCCAAGAGCGTATCAATCTCGCGGCCTTCCATCCTGTATCTGATTCAGTCGGCCTCACGTTAGGGTGTCGAAGGCCTGGATGTTGGTGCCTGCATTTGCTGAGGTGGTGATGTGTCTGGTATCTGGTAACAACGTCGGGTCTTCAATCGGGCGAGATTGACAACGCTAAAGGTGCCGCCATCCACACAGAACCAAGCAAGAACGTGGCAGGTGGGGAACTACCTTGTAGGGCGGACTCGAAATTATCAAACTTGATCACCGGAATGTCTCCCGTCCTGCGAACTGCTCTCTCGCAGTTAATATCAACACTTGCGATCTTGAAAATCAACATTATGGTTGTCACACGCAGTCCGCAACGCTAAGCTCCATCTTTATTTTTATTTCTATTTTAACGCTTCTTGTCTTAACCTTTTATCCACGCAAGAACCATTGACTGCAATAGCGCTGCTGCGACGATCTTTACTGAAAGAGAATGTCTGAAGGTCTGAAAAGACATTACCGTTGCTACATAGTACATTTTCGCAAACACGGGTCACCAATTGAACTCAGCTGCCGGGAAAGGGATATGTTTCTCCCCGGAAGATAGTGCTGCAAGTTTGTCATGACCGTTGTTTCAAATAATCGCCGCCAGTCGCCGAGAGCCCACCAGCAAAGGCTTGGGAGACGATATTGAAGCGTGGTGAACCAGGATCACGGGAAATTAAGATTGCAGCCAACGTCACCGTCATCTCATTTTCTTCATAACCCATGTTTTCTAATCACGCAAGATCCAACAGACCATCGGCTATCTCCTATCTAATGCAGTAATACGATATGTGTTGGACTTGGCCCGTTTCCAATATTCCCACGATAGCTTCCAGTTGCGAGTGCGGCGTTTGCTGTGTTACCCACACACAGCCTTGCCAGCCTGGCGCACAACTCAGCACATGCACCAGCGTTGCCTCGCAGCTGCGATGAGTTGTGCTGGATTCGTATGCTGCATACTCCAAAGCCCATCTCGGCCAGTCGCACAACCGTCGTGGCTGAGCTCATATCTAGACGGCACATTGGCACGGCAGTATACTGCGGAAGCTGCAGAATACCTCATCTTTGCCTGCAACGTGTCTCGCAACACTTGCTCTGTCTTTAATAACAACCATGGACAAATGCACAATACGGGTTCACCTGTTACGGTCCGAGAGGCGAGCTCAGTCTCGTTTGACGAATCGTATGCAAGATGAATTATCCGCAGGCCATGCAGACTATTATGCCATGCCTGGATGCCAAAGCACCCAGCCAGGACGTGCTACTGGTTTTGAAGCCATGCGTGCCGTCCACTTCTGCACCGTATATAGCTTGGCACTAATTTCTCCCTTTCTTCACTTACCACACCACAACTGATTGATCCGAGGTACCATGGACCGTAGCCATTTCAAGCTCAGCGCTACAGGCGCTTGTAGTCGGCAAGATAAGATGGACTCCTTTGTGCAGACTGGCTGGCTGCAAGGGCCGTTGGTTGCGCCGTGCCGACACATCCATGGACTGTGACAACCAACCATGACCTTTACCATGTTGGTGCACAATCCTCACTGGCTCTTCATGAATTTAAATCGTGGGATTGGTCGGCTTCATGTGGTCCCATCCTGTGTCGAGTATGAAAGGCTATTCTTCAAGCGCTTACATACAGTTGGGGTGTAACCAGGTAAGAGTACACACATGTCTTGTTCTTCTGTTGGACCCTGAGAGCCAGAGGGCAGGGCCAACATTCCCCTGCCGAGACCCATGGCACCAATGGATTTACGCACTAAGGTTAGCTACTGGCAAGTATCACCCACCAGTAGTCACTAAAAGGAGTCTAGTGGGGGATCTGCGATCATGCACCTGCGCGCTGTTAGTGATCAACAAGAAGCTTAATGCGTGACGGTGGACCGTAAGCTCAATGGAGCCCTGAGCCCTGAGATATCAGACTTCTTTCATGCTCAGCTCAGAGTTCACACATGATCAGAACGGTATCGAGAAGTTTCACTCCCATGATTCCCCAGCTATTTCTGAAGATTGTTGTTGACCCTGTATTCCCCCGCTGTGGCCAGGCAGCCAGGGAACAGGGCTCTGAGATGAGTATTAGTTAATGTAAGTATCGCTGAAACCATCCTAGGGAGAACGCGCCTCGATAAGTGCAATCTCCATGTAAGTGTTATAGTGTAGTCTAGGTACTTTTCTGGAGGCCAGGAATCCCCCAGAAGCTCCTCCTGCGACAATGCGAAATCTCTTTTCATATGAATCAGCTACCACATACCAAGACATTGACAAACATGCGGTCATAGATCAGCGCATGGCTTCTGCCGAGGGGGGGAAACGGCATCCACAAGCTGCACCAACGTTGGTGATTAGCACGGGCTTGCGGCAGTCTATTTGAATCTGCTGGAGACTGCAAGGTAGATTGGCCTTGGATGGCCTATGATTTTGGGGTGCTCAAGTCCAAACACTTTCGATGAAGGAGGAGCCAAGCAACCCTCTCGCCGTATCAAAGTGGTTCTGCTGCTATCAATCAGTGTTTGGACCACAAACTGAACCCTGGCCACCCGAATGATCTTCCTGTTCTTCCATGCATCTTCCAGAGATTTTCTCATCTGGCTCCCCTTTCATACTCGAACTCGATAGTGAGATATTCGAAAACAACAGCAACAATTGAAACACAAAGGCTGCGCCCCTGGTCTGTATTTTTTTTCTTCTACCGCTTCTACCGATGACAAGCGATTTATTCATTCATTCAATCAATCATTCAAATTTCAACAGCTATTGTCACTATTATTATTGCTTTAGCGAAAACTGCCCGCATCCCATTAGCCGCATATCGCTTCCAATTCCCAGATAATTCCGGGTCAAGCTCCCTAATCCCCGATTGATTCCCAGGACTGTCGCTGGGGTTCCTTTTTTTTTTTTTTTTTTTTTTTAATATCTCCCCTTCCCCTCTCTAATACGGTCCCCAGTAAGTTTAATACAGGCCTGGCCAAACGCTGGCAAAGCACAAGCACGAGCACGAGCATAAAGCACTGCAATCATAACAAGGGCCCTGCAGACTCCAGTCGGAGTTCCAGTTGCAGACCCCCCCAGTCGAGTCGACCCCCTAGTCGGTGCTAGCATTTGCCAATCGAGAGCAACTGTCTGGTACTCATTCGTTCATTCATTCATCAATACCCTGCGTATCTGCTGTTGGGTTGCTGTCGCTTCCGCTTCCGCTTCCGCTTTTTGCTTCCCACTCCTCACAGAAGGTCGAGCTCGGAGCATCTTAGTGTTTCCAGTGTCCAGCTTCCAGCTTCCAGCGTCCAGCTTCATTCAGTCCATCATCAGCTGCCAAATCCATCCCAGCTCCTCTCGCCAATCCTGGATCTGGATTTCATCATCGCCAAAAAACCATAACCAAAAACCAAACTGCTTCAGTGCCCACAGCAAGTCCGGCCACTTCCAACTTTACGACCTCTTTTCCACATACCAAAACACACGACACAAAGCCAAGCCAACATTTGCCAGTTTCTCTTTGTAATCCAATCCCCCAACTTCAATTCTACCCAGCTTCAACTCATTGGCCCGACGTTGCTACCAAAAAGAAAACAACATCTTGTCATTCTCTTTCCACTTCGCTCGACGAACACTTTTTTTTTCTTCCCTGGTTGCATTAAAAAGGACCGTACCATATAAATTGAGTTAGTGATCGATAAAACCACCGCCGCAGGGCCCCTCTCCGTTCGATATCCCAGTCCAGTTCCATTACAGAAGCAAAACCGTCCCCCCGGTCCAATCCCTTGCAGGTTCACCAGCAACAACAAGATCGAATCAGGCCAAAACACCAATCTTCTGGCCAGCACTTGCAAAATCTAATCGTCTTCCTCAATCGCGCCATTAAACGACCTCTTTCGTGTCGCTCTAGCCAACCGTCTTGCTAGAACGCAACGAGTGCTAGGCTCTTGCCTCACCTTTTACCTCTCTGGACCTTGCCCACGTCGGCGCCGCGAAGAACGTCTCAGTCCAGTTACTTCCCTCAGAAGCATCTCAACTACAGAAGAAAACAAAACAATGGTTGTCGCAACGATCAAGTCAGTCTCGCTCCCCTCCATGCCCGCTGATTGCACGTGCACAAGACCCCGAATCGCTGTCGCAACGGCTGTCGCTTGGATTTTGGAGGCGGTCGAAGCCTCTCTCTCGGCAGACACCGCCAGGTCAAAGATCCACCTCTGCGTCTTTCATCATGATGACGCTTCGCCTACGACCATGCCTATGCCTATGCCTATGCTCTTCCCTATCTATTCCCGTGCCCTGCGACGATACGATTGTCACATGCAAATGTAATGTGAATCTGTAGGCTAATCTAGATACTCGCAATGCAGGTGTGTAGTAGTCGGTGACGGTGCTGTCGGCAAGACATGTCTCCTCATCAGCTACACGACGAACAAATTCCCCTCAGAATACGTGCCCACCGTCTTCGACAACTATGCTGTCACTGTTATGTGAGTCGCATTCTTCCTCCTGGCTAGCTTTCCCACTGTGATACAGCCCTCCTGGACCGGATGCATGCATGGCGGATCTCCTGGAGCAACACCCCATGCGCGAAACCGCCGCCGTCTTTGGTTAGGGAGGGAGGGGGGAGGAGGAGGAATGGAACGCCCTATCTTGGCAGGGAGTTCTTGTCACTAATCCGACTCTCAAATAGGATCGGAGATGAGCCATACACCTTGGGACTCTTCGATACCGCCGGACAGGAAGATTACGATCGTCTCAGACCTCTATCATACCCACAAACAGATGTCTTCCTCGTCTGCTTTAGTGTCACCTCCCCCGCCTCATTCGAAAACGTCCGCGAAAAGTGGTTTCCCGAGGTTCACCACCACTGCCCGGGTGTGCCCTGCCTCATCGTTGGCACGCAAACCGATTTGAGAGATGACCAGAGTGTTCGGGAGAAGCTGGCAAAACAGAAGATGCAGCCCGTGAGGAAAGAGGATGGCGAGCGGATGGCCAAAGAGCTCGGTGCTGTCAAGTACGTCGAGTGCAGTGCGCTGACCCAATATAAGCTCAAGGACGTTTTCGATGAGGTAAGTTCTCCCAAGCTTGACCCCCAATTCCAACCACCATTTTCTAGAGCTCTCTGTCTTGGTTGGTTGCCCATTTTGCTGACAGAAAACAGGCAATCGTCGCAGCACTGGAGCCACCCGCGCCTAAGAAGAAATCACACAAGTGCTTGATTCTATAGGGCCTTTCTACAAGGTGCCGTTATCCCTTTGTAAACCAGTATGGTTTTCATCCAGGATTTGGCATGGAACCAGGAGACGTCCTTGTTTCTCCTGATTTCCACTTTTATGCACTTTCGTCATAGCGATCTAGAGCCTCGAATGAACCAGCAATGTGAGATCAACCGGTGATCATCTCGGGACTGATTGTTTTTGAGGAACTTGTCCCAGCCCAGGTCTGGTGGAATATTGGGACCATGTTGAATGTGCTCACGTATGGCCTGCAGGCTAGAATCAGGCTAGATGGGTGCACGACTTTGTAAATGGTTCTTCGAGAGAATTCTAGACGTGCGAGACGGTACGGCAATAGTCACAAACATTGCGCAGGTCGGCGGTTATCCCCTGAGCGGATGCTGCCTTTTTTTTTTTTTTTTTTTTTGGTTTATTCATTCCGGGCACCGCAGCTCCTATCCCCCGCGGTTACTTCTTATTTCTTGCCATACATTATTCGTACGATAGGAGCAGGGTCAAGGGATATCTATACATCTTGGCAACGGCTTTGATTGGACTCAGTTTGGCGATTTGGAGTGCATTGAATTAAAATCGATTCTTTCAACTGTCTGTCTGTCTACTATGTAGGCAGCCGTCTGTCTTACTAGAAACCATGAGGTCACTGCAAAAAAACGTCGTTGTGCCGTATTATTCAGTTGAAGCGTTAGCATCGTGGCCGTCTAGGAGTTCTTCCCCCCAATTTTTCTTTCTTTCTCCCCATTCAGAGCGAACCAGGAATTTTGCGACTGTCCAAAAAGCCTGCGCTCCTTGAATCTCTGCATACTGCAGTCAAACACTGTGGTCGTCATCTTCAAGCGTCTTGACGTCCCGATCCATTACATTTTCCCAGACGTAAACCAACTCTTCACCTTGATATTTAGGAGGTGCACTTATTGCACCTTCGGATCTTGCCGCAAGTGATAACTGACCCTACCTTATGACATTTTGGCAGCCGTTCGGACTTGGGCGGCAATCCACAGAAAGAGTAGGTGAGCAGGGAACTTGGGCTTTGCTCTCCATACTTGGAGCCTTTATCATGTAGGTATCGACCAATCAAGCGAGATCGGACCACTTATCTTCATTCTCCCCGTCTTCTTTTATAATGCCCCCGCGATACTGGGGGGGCGGCGGTCAACATAGTTAGCCGCGTAGCGCTCGCTGGGTTAGAACTGCTTCAATCGGTAAGATGAAGTTGCCAAGACCCCGGCGGCGTCTCTGGAGATAGCACTCCACTTCTGGATGATATGTTGACGACATATCGCCGTGCTTTTCCATCAGACGTTGTTCCTTTATCAATTTATATAGAATTGGAATACCAACGAGATGAGGTTTGCATCTCTCGTCAGTCTTGCTTTGAGCTGGCAATCGGCTATAGTTTGGTCCTGTGGTGGTCATGGACAGGAGCTCAAGCATTGGAGTCAAGAGGAACTGGATGAGTTAGAGCGTAAATGGGGCATTGAGGTAAGCCTGACAAGTCTAGCATCGTGACCGCAAATAAGTTTGCGCTGATTCACGACAGTGGGGATTCACCGGCATTGGCTCCTTTGCGCACTTGAAATACGTCAAGTGCCTCACGACACCCAGCGAGCTGTTCGATATAGCCATCATCGGAGCGCCATTCGACACGGCTGTGAGCTACCGTCCAGGTATGTCGGGATCGTCCCGAGAAAGGTCCTAAAATACTGACAACTCCCAGGTGCCCGCTTCGGCCCTCGTGCCATCCGCCACGCCAGCTCCCGCCAGACCTCCTTCCGGGGCTTCAACACGCGCGCCGGCATCAACCCATACCAGAACTGGGCCACCATCCTGGACTGCGGCGACATCCCCGTGGTCCCGATCGACAACGCCGTGGCCCTGAGGCAGATGACGGCCGCGTTCGAGGAGCTCGGGTCCCGCCCGCCGCTGTCGCCCGTCCACAGCAAGCCCAAGCTCATCACGCTGGGCGGCGACCACAGCCTGGCCCTGCCGGCGCTCCGGGCCCTGCGGCCGCACTACCCGGGCCTGCGCGTCCTGCACTTCGACGCCCACCTCGACACCTGGCACCCGGCCAAGTACCCATCGGCCTGGGAGAGCACGCAGGCCCACTTCAACCACGGCTCCATGTTCTGGCTCGCCGGCAACGAAGGGCTGCTGTCCAACTCGTCCGCGCGCCCAAACGTGCACGCCGGCCTCCGCACGAGGCTGTCCGGAGATGACTACAGCGACTACGACGACGACACGGCCCAGAACTGGGCCCGCATCAGCGCTGACGACATGGACGACCTCGGCACCGCCGGCATCGTCAAGTCCATTATGGAGACCCTCGGCACCGAGGACCCCGTCTACCTCAGCCTGGATATCGACGTGCTGGACCCGGCCTTTGCGCCCGGCACGGGAACCCCCGAGCCCGGCGGCTGGACCACCAGGGAGCTGATCCGCGTCCTCAGGGGCATCGAGGGCCTGAACCTCGTCGGCGCCGACGTTGTCGAGGTCAGCCCCGCGTATCAGGGCGCCGGGGAGGAGACGGCGCTAGCGGCTGCGCAGGTCGTGTTCGAGGTGCTGAGCAGCATGGTGAAGAAGGGCCGGGAGGGAATGGCGAAGATTCCCGGCGCGGAGGCTGGCATAGGGGGCAAGGATGAGTTGTAGGAAGGATGTGCGGTGACATAGGTGCTTTTGGCAAGTTGAAACTCTCAAAAAGAAGTGGCGGACGATTCGGAGAATCTTGGTCATCTCTTTGGTCTCTGCGATGATAACCTTGCGCGAGTCGAGGTCTAGTCAAACACCACCTCCTTTCTTCTTCAAACTATTTTTATATTATACTTTGAATATATTTCAATAACAACAAAGATACCCTTTCGTGTATGTAACACGGTCAATATGGATATCAGAAGTGTCTTGTGAGAACGATGATTCGGAAGCTATCCACAGATCCATGGCCCGTGGTTAAGTACACATATTTATCTTGGTCCAATGCTTCTAAATTTCCAGCACTTTGAAGTATTGAGGGAACCATGGGCGAGTGCTCTACATCTTGTTGTTGCAAAGGCGGCGGTGACTGCGCATGGGACGGTTGTTGATTGTCCTGCAGCAGCATCTCGATTCGATGCAGCTTAATGGTAATATGCCAAATGTTGCTAAGGTTTGGTATACGTCAGATCAGATCACACTCACCCAGCTTCATGTGCCCACAACGGGGCGTAGCTGGCACGATAAACCTCACCAGTAGACACTTTAGTGGAAAAGTCGAGAACTCCTTGGCCTATCCCTAGAGCCCCGCCCAAGACGCCATGGTTTTTCACGCCTGTGTATGGTTTAATAACCAGGCCGGCAAAGCCCTCTCTGAGGCCGATTCCGAGACTTTTCCCCGACACCAGGAGCCCCGATTTTCAGTCTGTGACAGTGCCATAATCAGGCACTTCATCACCCAGCAATTTTGGCAACATGCGTGATCCTTCTGCAAAGGCCAGGGGAAGATCGACCATCACCCCTTTCGAATAATGATGAAAAAAGCGCCCCAAACTCGATGCAGAGGCTAGAGCCATTGAAGCTGCCACATTAGGCTTTGGTGAAACAGGTACACCCGAGCTGGTGCTTGGTCGGGCATGTGTTTCGCTTGGAAGCAATAATTTTGTGTTGAGGTGTGCTGACAATGACAGGGCTGAGCCTTCAGTAGTTGTTGTGAGGTGCGATGAGGCGACATTATCAATGAGCAGACTTGAGGCAGACGAAGTCTCCATATACTGGGGCTCAGTCTTCTGTTTCGATACTGCTTTGATAGATGCTCGATAAATCTGAGCAGGCTTGATAAATATGTTCGCAATGGACGATGACATTCTATAATACGTTGCGATCGCAACTGAGGTAGTACCTGTGACCGGATCCCAGCGCTGATTCTTGATCAGTAGCTCGTGTAATGAATGCCTGATTACGATTAGTGAACGAGCAGTACCTATCGTGTATGCTAGGCGAACTGACAACATCAGCTTCTTTCGATCGATTTTGAGGTGCTGATCAAGTACTTGGGAGGCTACACCGGACAACTTAATCACCCTCAAAAAAAATTTTTTTATGTCCATACTGCTGGTTGATCACTAAGAACATCGCAGCGGAGCTGCTCCAATAGCAGTTGCGCGTGAAAAGAGCGAACTGCATCCTTGACTCCCGAGCTCGCATGAAGCTTCTTGGCAATGACCCGTGCTGACTCGACGACTTCCTTCGACAGGCAAAACCTTATTGCTGTAGCGAGACCATCTGCGGTCAATAACTTGTAAGGAATAGGTTTCGGCCCGACGTGGGCTGCTGCTACCATATCTTCCCAAAAGGGCTGGCTACTTCTTCATGAGTAAATTATTCCAGCATCATACCCAGCAGGGATTACTTACTCGCCGAAGAATGGTATGATCGTGGTCGGGCATCCATACCGAAGTCCGCATGCCGTTGTGCCCGTGCCGCCGTGGTGGACTACAGCTGCGACTTTCTGAAAGAGCCATTCATGAGGGCAATCGTCGATATAATACACGTTGTCGTTTTCAAAGTCTGTTGATCCAAGCTTGCTCCAGCCGCGTGAAATGACGGCTCATACCCCTGTTAGCCGCACAGCTTCGAGTACCATGGCTGTTGTCTTTTCATTGTCTTCGACTACTATGCTCCCAAAGCCGATATATATGGGCAATGTTCCACCGTTCAAGAAAGCCTCCAAGCTGTTCGGTGGGGCGTAGGAGGGTGCCTCTCGAAAGAAAAGGCTATATACATCTGTAACATAATGTTAACCATCATCGAATACATTGATGGCACGTTTGGTATTGAAGTACCAATATGGTTACCCCAGTCTGCAGGCTTGGGTATAAGATCCGGGGACCGACAGTAGATGAATGGGATCTGTATCGTTTCTGTCAAACACGGGCCTTCGGATAAAGTCACAGGTTCCAGGTCCAGTGTGTTCCTCCAATATATTCGATGGGCCACCTGATCCATAGCTTATAACTTCGCCCAGCAGTAAATGAATTACCTATACGGATCTGTGCCAAGTAAAAAGCCCAATGTTCTGTCCACCAGCGCTTTCACAAGGCAGCAAATAAATCTAAGATATATAACGCCTCACTTTGTATCGCAAAATGGTTCTGTTATTTGGCTCCGACTCTATGGTATTACTACTACCCTCTTAGAAGCCGAGTACGAGACTTTCTCCGATACCAGTAAACACCACCCGATTGAAATTAGGTTGTTATTGAGGAGAGAGAGATCTGTCAAGCACGGGCTACAGTTGACATCACTGAGAGGCCTCGATCAGGCACAGCAACCACATTTTTGCTTGAGGGAGATATTTGCGGTAGAGAACATATTGATCAGTAGACAGGGATATATTATTCCATTATCTGTAAACAGTCGATGACTTTGGTCGTCAGATCCATAGACACCGATCCGTACTCTTTATTTGAGAATGCGCTACTAAGCGAATTGATTCTCTGTTTAAACAGGCTCATGGGTGCATAGTCCAAAAAGCAAAGAGATACTAGGCTGTCCGCTCATTTGCAATTCGATGAGTTGTGATTGCATTCCGCAGAGATACCTCAATTCACGTGCCATTATACTGAGACTATTGTACTCATCATTCTGTCCGGCACTTTGTCGTACTACCATGTCTGTCTTCTCCGAAACCTCCATGTAAGTTGACTCACGTATCTCGATCGAATATTTGGTCGACTTCGTACCCTTAGCAAAATGGTACATTCACGATGTTGCAGTATGGCCGAAGCACTACCGTATATCGCAGTGCAGATACAGCGGTATTGTTTTATAAACGCTGGTTGCTACTACCTTTGCACCTGTGTAGGCCTTTCACTGTGGCAGGCTTCGGTCTCATTAAGTGCGCACCATCACATCACAGCCAACCACAATACATAGCGCCATTGATAGATAATCCGGTACGACTCAATTGATCGAAACTGCGCCTTGAAGAGGTAACGCACTGAAGAGCAGTACACGTTGACAAAACATTGCAGGCCGTATACAGCCTCGCCTCCTGTTGAGAGCAGTAGTGCTAGGTGGAAATGGTGAAACTGTACCGAAAGCCCAGTATCGTCACGAAGCAAGATCGGCCACTGCGCACATTAAATATGCTCGGTAAGCGACCAGTTCTATTTAGTCCGCTTCCAGCATCTCAATCAAGCATGAATCTAACTCTGGTCATTTCAACGTGACGACGGAGCGATAATTAACTTGGCATATGCTTTTAGACTGACATTTTACAACGTTAGAAGAGGCTCGCTAAAGGCGCTGGATTTCCCCGCCGTTTTACTGTAACGGATGCCTCAGGTCTCCATCTGGAGCCTCAGGTACACTTAGGGCAAAAACACTAACCTTAGGTAGCCTTCAGTGCAACAGAGCTCTGTTCCTCACCGTTACATCACACTTCCTATCAATAGACTACAATGGATCACCATACGTGACGTGTTTATCAAACTGTTCCCTATTTATCTCATGCAACCTGCTTATGATAATATGCAGTAACCTAGTGCCTTGCACTAAATCATGCAGCCTGCTTATAAAAGTTTGCCTGTCCAGGTTGACCGATCGCCAAGTGGACCGTGCAAATGGCCAATCAGCACTTTGATCATATGTTAATGGAAATAATACCTTGCTTCCTTGCATGATAGCGTCAGTCATACACAGACACCAGACTGCGAGATCCACAATTCGAACCGCTGGAGGCGCACATGCACTAACATATATGTACGATAGTATCGTCCCAGTACTTGACAGAAGTTTTAGAACATGAGCTCATCTCTTACATTGATAGTATTCACAAGCCGCAGCTGGTAAGATGATCGCAAAGATAGGACTCGTCTGTATGGCGCTTTCTCAATGGTATTTGGCTTCTGCGAATCAATTCCCTCTCACCTTTCTAGCACGAGATGAGGTATCTCCCACTGCCGCCTGTCAACAATCGGTATGTGCCGGCTTCAAACCCTTTTTTGATTGTTTTTCGCTAATCGGTGGTAGTGTGCGGAGTTGACATTGGAATTCGGGTCTGCCGTCCATCCCGGTGGAAATGATTCTACTTTCGTGATCTGGGATGCGAAGCAACAAGAGGTTGTGCCAGCTTGCCGGGTGGAGCCCACGACTGCGGTCCAGGTTTCGAGGATTATCGATATCCTGATTGGACATTGGTGCCGATTTGCTGTCAAAGGAGGTGGTCATTCAACAAATCCAGATGCGTCCAACTCCATCGGTGGTGTCACGATCGATTTGCATAACATGAACCATGTCGAGATCTTGGACAACAGCACGCGCGCCAACCTTGGGCCTGGCCTCATCCTCTATGAGGCCTACACTGCTTTGGAAAAGCACAACCTTACCACTGTTGCTGGGAGAGTTGCCGACGTAGGAGTTCCAGGTTTCACACTTGGCGGAGGGTTTTCTAACCTCGGACCACAATACGGTCTGGCGGCCGACAACGTCTTCGAATACCAGGTCTGTGTTCACAAGAAGGGCTTGTTCCACCTGCCGCATATTCTGCTGACCGTATGAAGGTTGTGTTGCCAAATGCAACGATCGTTAATGTATCTGAGACTGTCAACCCCGACCTATACTTTGCACTCCGTGGTGGCGGAAATAATTTCGGGATTGTCACAAACTTTCAAGTTCGAGTGATACCACAAGGAACGGTGATGGGGGGCCTGAAGACTTACCATGACAACTACACGGATGCGCTTACCGAACAATCATACGAGCTCACAACGGTGTTATCTAATGATACATACATGTGTTTTTCGAATCGCTACTACTGGGATCCGGAGCAAAATCGCTATCGGATGACTTTCAACCAAGCATATACTAAGCCGGTTCTTAAACCAGCTGTATTCGACGCCTTGAATCAGATACCATTTGAGGATAGCAATATTCGTCTCGATTATGTGAGCAATTTTACCACTGATGAAGTTGCTACGTACGGCTCAAGGTTAGTCTTACTCGTATTGTCTTTTTGTCTTTTTCCCCCTTTGGCTCCCGTAACATTTTTATTGCCCTAGACAGGGAGTTAAATCTTTCACAGACGCGTCTATGCCACAGTCACACATCGCCCGTCCCAGAAACTACACAAGGATATATTGCAAATTTATCGCGATGAGGTTGAAGGTGTTAAAAACGTAGCCGGTTTTTCGTCGTCGATAGTCGTACAGGCTCTGCATCTGAATGCAATACAGGCCATGAAGAACAGAGGAGGCAATGCTCTCGGTGTCGAGTCTGATGTGCCTCTTACCGGTATTTGAATTTTCGATTCTCCTCACGTAGCAAAACTAACGTGATGGCAGTGGTACTTTTGACCCTAGGATGGACAAATAAAGTAGATGACACCGTGATGTACGCGTATGCCGACAGATGGGTCGAGCGAGCCACAACGGCGGCCACGGAGATGGCTCTCCTGCATCGGTGGAAGTACATCAACTACGCTAATTATAACCAAGATCCTTTTTCTGGATACGGCGAAGAAAACAAGTTGAGACTTCAGAGGATACAGAAAAGCATCGATTCGAAAGGCATATTCACGTCCCAAGGACTCTGTAGAGGTTCCTTCAAAGTCCTGTAGGTCTGTTACTAAAGATAAGGTTGAACTGGGTGTAACGAAGCTGTCCCGCTAATAGAAGCCATCTTGCCGCATGAATTTCTATCAGTGATTGTAGATATTTTCTCAATCACCCTTCAATAGAATTACCCATGTGTTACTCTAGAGAAGACGATCATGCTGCGAGCTCCCCACTACTAACATCGGATATGCCATCCACCATGGCCACCATAGCCATGTAGCCGCAGTCTATTATGATAAATACCAATCCGACCAGACCACACAACCATGAAAGCGGGACGCCACTACCTACTTCAACGACGTCTCTGGATGTAAAACTCTCAGCTTCTCACTGTTGGTTATATTGTTCCTGCGATCTCAGAATAGTTCAGGAATCATAGTTAAAGCTGACAGACATCTTCAACTTACTATTGTCAGTAACCAGGGAATAGACGAGACATAATAGTTCGTCCTGGACATTTTGGCAGGCTGTCGACCCGATTCAGATGTGTCTGTATCCCTGTCGCTGTTATGAAACATATAATTATCTGGAACGAAATTCACACTCGAGTAGTATCGCAGGTTACTATGCATGGAGGGGCTGATAAGGTGTCCACAGTGACCCTGCAAGAGGGGGACCGTCTGTTTGCGTCTTTGTGCACCGGATCTGAGGCAAGCGTGCCGTCACGGCATACGCACATGGGCGAGAGCTAGTGTTCATGGTGATGGTTCAACGTAAATAAAATATTATCAGCAATCTCCGGATACTTATGCATCGGTAAGTGTCCTCACCTAACCTAGCTATTTACAGCGGTTGGGGCCAAAGAGCTTTAAAAGAGCTATGGTGAATAAGCTTGACCACGTGAATAGGGCATGCTTACGCGACCACGTATTTCATTGAGTTCCGCGATAAAGCCCTTTTGTTCTTCAACTTTCTTATCTTCACAATGCACAGGGTAAACAGGAAGCCAAGTCTTCGTGCTCCAGTGGCCAAGACTCCATTAGAGTTTGGCACTCAATGTTGCTGGTCTTCGGAGACATAAATCAGGTGTGCCGGACGAATCCAAAATGCTTAAGCTTGTTAGTCTCGGCTAATGAGGTGGGGAGCTGAAATGCGACCTACATGCCCCACCACGGCTGTCGCTCAAATTGCATAGGCGTCGTATATTTATATCAAGAATACCCATCAATAAACAGCTCCAATGAATCAAGGAAGATACTTGTACTGTCACTATTTTGTTGAATCTTCTGAATCTGAAAGCATTGTTATAGCAACACATCATGGCTGAGACTATGAGGACTTGGAGGTACGGAAAGCTCACTGGGAAATTGGAAGATTTTCTTGTTAGGACTGAGGCTGCTCCATGCCCGGAGGAGAAATCCTTGACGGAGAACCAAATCATTGTGGAAGTCATCACTGCGGCGTTGAATCCAGTGGACTTTAAGCTACCCGAGTCAGGATGGGTGGGAGAGGTGATGATAAAACGACCTGCCACGCCCGGTCTAGACTACTGTGGGCGTGTCGTGGCGAAGCATCCCAGCAACAGTTCCGTTGCAATCGGACATCTAGTGTTCGGCGGACTACCTGGAGGGGGGCAATGGGGAACCGTTGGTCAGCGTACCCTCACGACTATGACTGAATGCACCATTCTTCCAAAGACCATCGACCCAGATCACGCCGCGGCAGTGGGGACCGCAGCAACAACTGCATATCAATCTGTCCTCTTCCATGTCAAGGAAGGCGACAAAGTTTTCATCAATGGTGGTAGCGGTGGTGTCGGAACTTGGGCCATTCAATTTGCCAAGGTGAAGGGTGCCGAAATAGTAGTGTCCTGCTCGACCGCCAATGTGGCCCTGTGCAAACAGCTCGGAGCTGATGAGGTCATCGACTACAAAAAAGCAGACTTATTCGGCAGGCTGAAAGCTTACGGGCAAGTCTTCGACGTTGTGATCGACAATGTCGGCAGCACTGAGGTTTACGATAACCGTCTATTATACCTCAAGGCTGGGGGATGCTTCGTTCAAGTGGGCACACCAATGACCAACAGCTTCATGCTTAACCTTGCCTTACGGCAGTTCTGGCCAACAATCCTAAACCATGGTCAAAGGAGATTCAACTTTGTACGACAGAATAATGCCTCCGAATATTTTCAGCAAATTGGGCAGTGGATGGTCGACGGCCGCGTCCGTGCAGTGATAGATGAGAAGTTTGACTGGGAAAATGTGCCCGCGGCCTTAGCGAAGCTGAGACGAGGGCGTACACAGGGCAAGATTGTCATTCAAGTTGGAGAGATCTGAAAGGATTCGAAGTTCATAACTAGGTGTGAGCATGTGAGTGGGTGAGAAGCCCACTCTACAACCTCGATGCGTCGACACGAGGACAGGCCGCGGGGGGCTACATAATCACTTCCTTGTGGCTTAGTAAAAATATATTGGTTATTGAGGGCGGTAAATGTATTGCGCCCAAATTCAGATAAGATTGATGTCGTGAGCTACGACAATCTAGGTATGCCACCAAGACAAGGCAAAATGACCAACGTTAACAACACATTACTTGAATGATATTTCTCTCGATACACAATCACAGGTGTAAGGGGACAACAAGAATTTCAGGCTCTAATTCTCACCTAGCCTCAAGCTTTCTCTCGTATAATCCAGCTTTTTATGGCATTTGATTTTGTCATGTTCGGTTCTAATTGACACGCTCATGAATTATTATGGTTTCGCCCAGACTCCTTACAGCTTTGTGACAAAGTGTGAGTATACCTGTTTTCTTGATGTTACTAGTCCGAAGAATGGGAAGCCAATTTTGCACTCAATCCGAATTGCCGACAAATTGCAGTCTATGGATAGCAGCACGGTGCTTTTTTGATTACACATGCGAGCGCCAGATACAGCGTACATTCAACGCAGGTAAAAATAGAATAATAAAAAATGCGTCAATCCGGGATAACATCGAAATTTCACCTTGAGAGGAAATATTTGCATTGTCATGTGAATCAGGCGATGTTCTAGTCAATGCCAAGCCAATGCCAAGCCAATGCCGATTGATGAGAAGATCGTACCTGCCAGAGCAAATGACGACCATATACATTCGTCATTGTGGAGAAAGTGTCTAGACTCTACACCAACGCAACAGCGGTGGGAGTCGACTGAGCGCATGTATGGTCGTTCCTTGCGTAATTTGGTTGAGCTGGTTAGTCTCGGTACCTCTTCGCACAGTTTCATGGCACCTAGGTCCGATCGATGGGGGCGGACGAACTACGGAGACTTTTCTTTCTTGGAGATTTTGCGCAATGCCACTAAGAATATCGTCGACCAATTTATTCCAATTCAAATAGAATTTGAATCCATGATTCAGTTTCTGGAGCTAAAGCTCTACCAGATCAGATCTTGAGCCTGCAGAACAACTCTCTCTCGTGTTGAGAGCCGTCCCAGCTACCTGTTTCCCATGTATATGTAGTGTGCTACCTTACACAGAAACCTACTGATACTTAACCGACTAATCAATCAAACTACTCCTCATAACCTCGTCCTATTCTGACATCTCCTGCTTCAAAATGGACAAGTGTGTCGTTCTTGATCCAATCACTGAAAGTCTCTTTCAATAGACATCTATTATTCAATGTTTCAATAAATACTTCCGTATTTGGTGGTGGGCCACAAATTATGGACCATTTCGATGATAAAGAAGTAAATGTAAGTACAAAATTCTGAGGGGCCATATTGTTCAGATGGCGTTCATCAACTCGTAGGCCACGTTGGCTATTATGGTAAGTAGCAAAGATTCGTGAGGGTCTTACTCGCAAGCCGAATGAGACAGCTATTCATGTGGATGAATCATCAGTTATTGTATCATTCGAGCTTGTAGACTGGACTCCCATGGTCGAGCACTGTGATTTATCGAGCTACGTATCGGACGGATCACTGCCGGCTGCGGGATGCAAAATCATTTACAGACTTACTTTGCTTGATTCCTGGACAGATACTTATTTACTAGAGCGTATTTCTGGTGTTGGAAACTATAATAAAAGGCATTACAGCATGTGTGGACGACAATGCCAATCATCGAGTTTGTATATCCTTCGGTCGTATTCTTGAGGTAATTCGATGTTGCCCTATCTAGATAACACCAAGACAAATACGTCACGCCAAAAAGTCAGTGTTGGACAGCTCTAGACTAGCTTGCAAGCATGTCATTTATAGTTGTCGCAAAGGATTAAAGTATACATTAACATACCCGCGTCTAATATTTTGCTTTTAAATGGTTGTTACCGTGAAATCAACGCAAGACTCATAGCTCTGTCTTGCACCCGTTCCGTACCACCACCACTGCAAGATCTATACCGAATACACTGATTAGGCTCCAGTCGCCGCAAAAGGAAGTACTGAAGACGGGCAAAACTTACACAAGATCCACCATCCGTGCAGGCATTGCCTAGATCCGAAGGGATTGTAACATTGAAGTCGATCTGACCCTTCGGCGTAGTGCCGCCGTAGAATGCCTTCTCATCAGCGTAGCCCTCGGCCCAGCTAATCAAAGGTTTACCCAGAATTTTGTTCGTTCTGGTATCAACCACGCTCACATTCGCGTTGCCCGTGTGCGGAATTGTGAGTTTGACTTTCAGGTTGACCACCTGGCCCGGCGTATACTTCTGCACGTTGGCCAAGTTGTCAGCGTACTGTATACCTCGACACTGCCATAGATTGCAAAGTGTGCTGTTGTATCCATTATCGTTAGCGGCGAGCTCAGGAAGACCTTCCACGTGTGACGTCTGTCTCATGTTAGTCAGGACGTTTTTATCCACAGTCGATGGAGATGTTGAGTAGAAATCGAAGGAATGTAGAATATGTGAACGAGGCGTACATTGTCGGCTTTAATGTTGTTTACAACCGATTGCCCACATGCAGCAACTGAAGCGTTGCCAACCTGACGTGCGGGTGGCGAGGAAACGTAGCCATGCGCAGCCACGGTGTTGGCGAACGCCAGAATGGACATAATATTGCCTTGCATAGCTGCGAGATCTTGTGGGCTGCTGCAAAGGCGGTAATCGTAAGTTGTGACAAGTGTACGGAAGTAAATGTGTGTACAAACAATGCTTCAGTTGAATTGTTGTTGAATTATCAAAAGATAACGCTCTTATATTTTATTGATTGCGCTCGATCTGAAGGGAAAGACAAGTACATGTCCAAGAAGACTCAGGCGGCCGCTCGCACATTTGTTCATCTATTCCCGAGGCTTAAGCGCTAGTAATCCAATATACCATCCGCCGATCAAGCTTTACGGTGAGCCATGTACCCGGCAAAATACGACACGCTTATATGAATGCCCCTGAACCATATGCCGGGTAAAGCACAAAGAACAAGTAGCGGCACCGCAAATCCGGAACTCCAGCCTCCGGAAGCCACAACCACTGCGACACGCAATTGTTGCGATAGTGAGATCATTGCAACCTGATCTCTTTGTGAATATATGTAACAAGGAGGCGTCCTGATCCTAGGTACTTCGGGCAGGGGATGCAACATCCGAAAATCTGTGCCGCCCTGCCAATAACAACCGACGTAGTGTTGATTTGCTCTGTATAAGAGATGCCAATGAGTGTCACTTGACAAGCTTCGGACGAGGCAATAGGCAGCACGATTCAATCCAGTCGGACCGAAACCTGCACTAGGAAAGCATTTTGTCGTAACACTTCATACAACTTGACTACTCATCCTTGAACTATCCCCATCAGAGAACAGCTTATCATCCTCCTTTAGCGGCGTCTCTGTTAATTGATGTATGACTACAGCTCTCGAACTCTGATAAATTCAAACACATTGAAGACAATAAAATGGATGCTTGTCAGTCTTTTAAGGATAATTAAAGTTATGGCTTATCGGCTTGAGAGAAGTCCAAACGCACCAGGCCCAGTATGTCCTATAGCAGCATAGATATGACCACACATTTTGTAGTTGTTATATTATATCTCTGACCAAACATCGCACCAGTATCCAGAATCGCGGAACCTTCGAGGCTATATTGTAATTTGTCATTGAGGTTATTCCCCCATCCTAGTTTCAGCCCTGAGTGAGTGATGTCCCCAATATCTAGAGCAAACTGGCGGAATCATTTGATGAAAGGTTTGCGTATTTCTAGATTTTTAGCGGTCTTTTATCCTAAAATATAGCCGAAAAGAAAGTGTTTTCCGATCAAGTCCTTCTCAATCTGGGTAAACACTCTTTTTCTCGCCATTTCGGGTGTTCGCCGATTGTAAGCATTGGATCACCGACCAACTCCGAAAAAGTGCAGCCATGGCCGCGACAAATGCCACTAAGAGAACTGATTGATGTCGGGAGTGATAAATACCTCATCATCCAAGATTTCTGTGCCTAGTAATATCTGTTAAAGTGACCTTACGACGGGTGATAGTTACTACTTCAGAGGTTTGTCACCTGGTACGAATAGAGTTTTTGGCGGAAGAACAAAAGTTTTGGCTCTGATTGTAAAAGCTTGGGGTGTTTCTCCGTTCACTAGTCTGGATATTTGAACAGGTGAGTAGAGCCGTAGCGTTTCATAACAGCCAAACAAAGCCTGAGGTGGGGAATATCAGAATATGACCACTCGTGAGGCTCACGATCGCCTAAAACGTGATTGACACTCTCCGATATCCAATCCTGAGTCTCCGGGCTCGCAGCTAAGAGGTAGAGAACGAATGTAAAAGTGTGGGCCTTTGTATCATGGCCGGCGAAGCTAACGGTAAACATTTTACCTCAGTTTCACGTTCTGTAAGACCCCAGAAGAAGTCCCTGTCGCCACATCTTACGACTTCTGAATGAGCGAAGTCTTGAAGTTGCGGTCGGCGAGTTTACCTCGGGCAAAAGAATTCTTTTTCTCTTCGTAGACTTATGTCATGTACTTCTGGATGAAGTATACGCATGATGGATCCGCCAATACTCGTTTGGGAACCAAGGGTCTGCGAGGAAACTGGTATTTCAGAGAAACGAGAATGAGAACCCAATTGTCCAGAATCATCTGTAACAAATCCTTATAACTCACGGAAAGGTTGGTTAGAACAGCTGCCCCTCTCTCTCGTCGTCACCTTGAAACTCGGAAAACTTGCCAAACTCAGCTATAGATATAACATACAGGGACAAAGTACGTAATTAATCAGCAGTCGCCCTTGTAGATAGCTTCAAGGTTCAGTAGCAGAGCACGCAATGTGCTACAACCACACTCTCAGACCACACAACGACATTGTTTTGGTTGTTGAAGGACGAGGCTATACTTCTGCGGGGCTTCGGCCACTATGTGTCTTGTGTCTAGAAGGACTATTGTCAGCTTTACGTAGCAATTGCAGAGTACTGACTGGTCAAATGGGATTGTGCTATCTGTATCAGAAATATCACGTGAAAACTCTTCTCTACTACATCCATCACAGCACCAGGATCCGCTATGTGAAGCCGAACATTACGCGGAGACACTAGAATATAAGTATCCCCCAGTTCATGATGCAAAGTCATACCTACAAGACACCTCCTAGCCTTGATAGTTGTATCTTTTGAAGCTGCTATTATCGAGTCCGAACAGAAGGCGCCTGACTAAGGACCGCACTAGGCGGTCAGATACTAACAACAATGATTTGACACGATCAGACTAAATGAAACGGATCAGTGCGCCAATCTTGCGGCCCATTACGAAATTGGAGCATAATTAGGTCCCGGATTGGATCATTTTGCCTAAGAGGGGAAGCGGCATGGCCGCAAGTATAATAATTTTGTGATACAGCTGGACAGCTTGATACCGAATGGAAATATGGGTGTTCAAGTCTGTTGCTACCAGAAAACGCTGCAGCTGTGATGGATTTCTTGCCTTATCTTATGCTGGCAATGCTCCGAATTAGAGAGGTTTTCGGGAGTCCTTGCCACCAACAGGTTTACTCATATTGTGGGTTACTATCCGAAGTTTTATCTGATGAGGCCTAGTTATAAATCAGCAAGGTTCCTTGCAGGAGGCTCAACAGCCATGCACGTTAGACCGTGAGAACTTCACACAAGGAACCTCATTGGTTCACCAAATGCACGTCTTCTGCTGGTATTATGGAAATTGCAAGGTTTGAAGGCTTAAGTCAGCATGCGGAAGGGGTAAGGCAGGAAAGCTGACAATGAAACTATTTACAGAAAGTTTGAATTAATCTAGTCTGAATCGAGACTTCTGACTTGAGATGAGTAGAATCAATAATTTGCAATCGTTGCGCAACCGTGTAGAGGCTAATACCAGATTGTGCGCTGTGACGTTTACGCTTGAACTTGATGGTGCAGGTCAGGCGTCCGGTTTCCATGCCGGAGATAAGCGAGCTGCTGACACCTCGTCTCTCCGCTCCTAACAACCATCACTCTATACTTGCACCGTTGAGACAATCGCAGTGCTGAACAATGTCTGCAACAAAGAGCACACCACACGTTGCCATCGTTGGCGGTGGCCTATGTGGACTTGCATTGGCAATTGCACTAGAGAAGCGCCACTTTCTGTACACAATCTATGAACTGCAGTCTACCTTCTCCGAGATAGGTGCTGGGCTGAATGTCGCCCCGAATGCAATCGCGGCATTCAATCTGATCGAGCCGGGACTTGGTGATGCAGTGATGGCTTTGGGGACAAGGAACCCCAATCCGGATGTGTGGATGGTCAACAGACTCGGCGCTCCGACGGACCACTTCCCCGATGCCTATCCGATCGCTCAGATCATGGCCCCAGGCGTGGGACATACCGCAGTGGGTCGATACGAGCTGCTAAACCTTCTCGCATCAAAGATCGACCCAGCACGGGCTCGTTTTTCGAAAAAGCTCGTGAGTATCGACCAAGATCAGTCAGCGGCGACGCTACACTTTGAAGACGGCACTTCGGATGTGGCCGACCTCGTTGTGGGTTGCGACGGCATTCACTCTGCCGTTCGGAAATGCATGCTTGGAGCTGAACATCCTGCCGCGGGAGCCAGGTTTACCGGTATAGCTGGATATCGTGCAGTTTTCCCGATGGAGAAGCTCGTCGAGGCGCTGGGCCCCGAAATTCCACGCTCCAGTTGCATCTGGAGCGGGCCGGGGGGTTATGTAACCATGTATACGATCGAAGGCGGAGAGAAAGTCAACACAGGCTTGTGGCTGAACAAGGAAGAATTTCGGGAGCGTCTTGCCAATGAACGGTGGGTGCTACGGAACCAAAAGGCGGCCCTGCTAAAAGATTTCGAGCAATGGGGGCCGGCGGTGCAGAAGATGATGTCAATGATGAGCGAGGAAACTCAGTTGTGGACCTCGCATCAGCACGATGTCGAGCTCGACTCGTACTTTGACGATCGGATTTGCTTGATTGGTGATGCCGCTCACTCGATGGGGCCTCACTGGGGTCAGGGGGCTTCACAAGTAATGGAAGATGCGTACGTAATGGCCGAGGTGCTCTCTCAGGTTGGATCTGTATCGACGACAGACAACAAGAATCTTTTAACCCAAATCCAAGCGGCCTTCGCAGGCTGGCAAGATGTCCGGAAGCCGCAATTTGAATGGCTTGTGAAAACTAGCCATGAGGCTTTTGACTTCTGGGCTGGGTTTTGGAGATCGGATCTCACCGATAATGGCATAAAGAGAAGAGAAGAAGAGGCGAGCATCTTATTGAGTAGAATTTGGAATGCTAACATCGGAAGGCAGGGTGAGATGGCTAAGTGTGCGATGACGAAGGTCTTGAGGACATCAAGAACTCCATCCTCTGCATAGACATATGGAGCATCAAGTGTTTGGAGCGTTTACCTCATACTGTGGTATTCTTTTATACGCTTTGTTCAAGTCTCAGAGCCCCAAACAAGATCAACATTTCTGTTAGGATCCAGATTTTATTAACAGATATCATGCCAACGGTTCGTGACGATGTCACTAACAAGAAACGTAACACATGCTGATAAAACCTAGCGTAATCCCAAAAGTCTCAGAGCTTCTTTCCACCTTCAAGATCCAGCGTTATTGTCGCCGAATAGCGTTCGTTCCATCAAATTACCCTCCTAGCAAGTAGTGATCAAGAATGAGTAACAAGTAAATCTATTCTACGGAAGTAAAGCTGTCGTCATGGTTTTGTGGAGAGATGCGAGACGCTCGGTGATATCCACCACGACCTCGGAAAATCCATTCCCCATTTAGACACAAGCGAGCAGAGTTCTTCCCTCTTTCCCGGGACTATGTTAACGAAGATCCGACCACCACAGCTCATTTGCGGCTCTGAATGAACAGCGCCGCTTTCCTGACCGATGCGGAAGACGGCACATTCGCCCTTCTTCGCCTGCTCAGATCCAAAGACGGACAGGTTTGCCGCAAGATCGTCTCTCACTGCATCTGCCGCGGTAGCGCACCCGGCGCAGCGGATAGATGTGCACAGGTGGTCCTTGGAGTTCTTCTTCTTGGCAGCAAATTGTATCTTCCTGGCATGTGGCTGGTGCCGCGATGGAATGAAAAGCGTGGACGGGCCAAGAAGGGTGGCGCAGATCTTCCAGTCTGTCTGCAGATCGAGATGCCTTTTGTTCGTCGCGCTCACACGACTCAACAGGCCACCACTCCCGGCACTGAAGAACATGTCATCAGTGTGCCATCTGGTCTTATCATACTCATATGTCGCAGTTGTAGCCCGCAACGTGATCCAGTAGTTGTCAAGGCCCCTTTCCGAAATGAAGTCGTTGACGAAGTTCAGTAGCGGTGATAGTATGGGCAGAATGGAACCAGAAAGCGTGGCTGTTTGCCATTCGTAAAGACTGGCCGGAAAGTCATCAGGATCAGTGGACAACACAGACCCGCAGTAGCTCCAATAGGCCTCTCGCTGCACGGATATACCACCTTCTATAGCACTGGCGGCTGCTGGTAGTTGCTGCTTGCTGTCGTACGTCAAGAACTCGAAGTCTAGCGACGTCCCGGAGTATGCCCGCATTTTTCGTGAAAGAATCATGTTTAGGTTCGGGTTCAAAAGAGTGTGGGGAATTGCAGTAATTCGAAGACATTGTTGTTCTATTTTAGTTGTTATGCATTCTGATGGCGCAGTGCATGCTCTTGTAGGACGCTTATTGGTTGCCTGATGTGAAGTGACTTACAGTCCCCAGGCACCAAAGGCCCCCGGCAAAAGCAAGCCGCATGGAGCGGACCCGCGAGCTCAGTTCTGAGTCTATGAATGAGGATAACAGGACTAACTTCGAGACAAAACCTGCGTGAATCGACTATCGTTGAATGATTTAAATACTTGCGCTAATAAGGGACTGCTCGTTGAATATCTCGTAAGCAAATCATAAATTGGAGAACGCACAATACAGCGAGCAGCACGCAGGCATCTGGCAGGCATTGGCAATTGGCTGCGGTCAAGCAACGGGGCAATCGCCAGTAGGCAGCGCTAAACTCTAGCGCTGTCTAGGGCCGGTTGGTACCCAGGTTGCCAGGTACCCGTCTTGACAACTACTACGATCGTTGGCTCGGGATTTTTTTCAATGATCTCGCAAAGATCTTGTTCCGTTTACCAAAATCATACTGGCAGTACCCAATGTGCTGATCTGCCGATAGCCCCATAGGTCACGTCATCATTCCTGCTGGGAGGATCAGGGTTGTCCACCGGGGATATCAAGATTTGAATGCGGCAATAATAACGCCGGGGAAACGTAAGAACTCAGAGCTATAATTATGGGTCATAAATTAACGTGTTAGACCACCGCGACAAAGCTTAGTGTTAACGTTCGATTAACTACAAATCCCCTCAAGTCAAGTGTTTGTGTGCGTTGAGTTATTGTCCCAATGTTTCAGGGATGAGGAGTCTGGAAGCTTAAACCCAGAGCATTGCGCCATTAGCCAGTAGTGTTCGTCAAGTCCTAAGCGGCGCAAAACGTGTTTCCACGATCTGACATTTATCCTGATCTTTTTCATGGTACTTGCACAGCTGTTGTCATAAGCTCAAGTTATCACCAATCCAAACATAGTCGGCAGCCCTATCTACGCACACGATAGTACATATGGAGGGGGGATTAATTGACCATATACAATATGCTTTTCATATGTACACAAGGATTGGTATTGAGAAAACTTCCCCCACTTTGAAAGGGCAAGAACACGCTAAGACTCTAGTCAAAGTCCGCTAAACCGCTTTAGGTATGTCGGAGCCGAAGTGGTCCGTGGCGCTATCGTGAGCCACATTCAAGGCAGGCAAGCTCTCCCATCACCAAGGCGTGGTGCATCTACTGTCAATCTACCAAAAGCTCAATTCTACCTGGCAGCTCGGTGTTTCTTTTCAAGAGGGATCACAAGGATCGATGGATGCTGCGGCGCCTGCTGTCGCTCAAATGCCCGGTAGTACGGGGCGAAGGCTGCTGAGAAGTTGCAATCACTGCAAGGCAAAGAAGACAAAATGCTCCGGTAGGCACTTTTAAGTGGTTTCTTTAAATTATTATTAACAATCGACAGGGTATCCGGCACCCTGTAATGGGTGTGTTGTAAGTTTAACGTACAATTGGCATCTACGTTGTGTCCCATTGTGATGTTCGCGCTTGTTGCGGCTCTTGTTGAAGAAGTTGCCTCTCTCGTGCAGTACAGAACTCAGCACAATTCTGATGCATCACTGCATTACTTCTTCAACTCGCTAAGACTTTACAGCGTCGAAACATAGAATGTCGTTTCAGCAAAGCGAATGTTCCTCGGCGAGCCTACTGTATGTGAATTACTGAACAAAAGCACGAAGCACACTGACAAGATGCCGAGCCAGCCAATACCGACCTCATCGTCCTGACTGCACCATGTGCGAGCAAATCTACGAAGCCCAAGCCAAGGATTGATGTTGGTATCCATGATATTTATATTTTGTACCGAAGAAGTTGATTGTTATTTCAGCCAATTAAACCTGTGCCGGACCTTTTTGTCGACCGTCTTCTTGCTCACATTCGCTCACCGGAGATCCTTAAGTACAATAGGCCTTACATGGTAAAGGTAAGTCCCTCAAGAAGTATTAATACTTATGTATGCTGACACATAAAAGAATGGGTTATTCGGTTTGTTAACTTTATGCACAACTTTTGTGCCCTGCTAACGATGCTACCTCAGTTGGCAATTATAGTTTGATGTTCTTCTCGGATAGTCGGCTACAACAGCTGACGATACAACTATGCAACAACAAAGTTAAAGAATTGTTACAGAGAATTTCGTCTGTGATCAGGTCGCGCATTGGTCACTCTCATCAGGTTTCACCAAGTACCATTGAGCGGGTCGCAATTACTGGTAACAAAGCCTCTCAAGATCCCACAGTTTCGGCTTATTGGATAAAATGCAAGTTAACCCCGAGAACTGATGATTACATGCTGACCAACTTAGCATATTTTGATCGGGTACACCCGTTCTATCCTTTCCTGGACCAGCGGTTGTTTGAGTCTATTGTGTCAAGCCCTCAGCTCCCTAGTCTCTTGGCGGAAAACAAAGCATGGTCTGCTTTGTACTATGCCATATTAGCTTTAGGATGTCAAGTTACAGGAGGTGGAAGTTTCGAACCAGGCAAAGGGGAAGCTTGGCGACTGTTCTCAATATCGCTGGCAATATTGCCAGATTTGATGACGCTACCCGACTCCCTCACTGTCCTCCAAGCCATGGCAGCCATGACTATATACTCGCTTGGGATATCATGTTTGGCCATTGAGCATCTCATGATTTCCGAATCCGCTAGAAGAGCTCAAAACCTCGGCAATGCCAAGTTAACAGGGAATGCCTTACTCTGTTACCAGAAGGTATTCTGGGTTTTATATTTCGTGGAAAAAGTCTCCAGCTTCCACTTCGGAAGAAACTCCGTAGGTCCACTCTGTTTACAATCATCACTGTCGATGCTAAATTTCATGGTAGCTCTATTGACACGTGTTTCAGGTTTTCTGCGATCATGACATAGTCTTCTCTGTTCCGTCGGTGCCTGAGGCTATCTTTGACGGATTTGACTGGTTTTTAACCTGTGTAAGATATGCACGACTTCTGTCGCGTGCGGCGACCTCACTGTTTTCGCCGGGTGTTTTAGGTAATCCAAAAACTTACTACCTCGCTGCGATCGATCAGCTTGAGGACGAGCTCAAAAGTTGGTGCTGGTTGATGCCAGAAAGCGTTCGGCCAGGCGAGATCTCTGGTCGCAATCTCACATATCTGAACAACGTTATGCGAACGGCAGCCATTTGGATGAGCTGCCTTCATCACAGTCTTCGACTCAGTCTCTGTCGCGCTACTTTACACCTCGAATCAGATGCCAAGGAAGTGGTTAGTCCTACACGACAAGCTACAGCCACAAGAACCATGATGGAGGCTGCTCGCTCAATTTTAGAGCTTGCGACATTTGTTGACGTCGAGCCCTATACGCCACTCTGGTAAGCTGAGCCCAATCACCGCATCATCTTGAATTCATACTCACGGCTCGTTACCAGGGTGATCGGTGGCATTCCGCTGACGTCTTATTTTGTTCTTTTTGACTTCGTGATTAATAATCCGAAATCTGCAGAGACTACCACTAACTTGGCGCTTCTGGATATTGCTGGTGGTCATTTCAGCAGGATAGAGTATGCTAGTGGTGGGTCTCTGCCAGGTTCCCTCATTAACGGGTTTGCACATATTGCAAGGGAACATGTTAATTCTGTGATATGTGATGGAGGCCGCGCTCCGCAACATTTGGCACTATTAGCTGCGGACCAGGATAGTAGAGTCGATGCGGCGCTCAGAAAGTCGCATCCTGTGACAGAGGATGTAAACATCCTCTTTCCCGAGGCGACCAGCACCAATCCCTTTTCTACCCCAGGGTCCTTCTCAGCCGTATGTTCCAGTGTCCCCGTTATCTTTGACTCGGTGTTCAAATGAATGCTAATCTGGTCCCAGATGACACCCGATCCCTCCCTTATGGCCGACGAGTTTCCATTAATGGATACGTTGTTCTTTCCGATCAACGATATCCCTATTGAAGCCGATGGACTATATGGGGCGGGCACTGACATTATGGACCTGTTCAATACCTATATCCCAGGCATAGACCCCGGCTTTTTCAACCAGCCATCCGATGACTATTTTACCCAGCAGCCCTGGAACTGATGACTTCTCTCTAATTTTGTCAATGCAATATTGGAAGACACCTGTCTACAGATGATAACGCGCACGCTCCCCGTCATCCACCTGTTCAGCTGTGCTACTCGCCGATCTCGTGGTAGTGGAACACAAACACAATTTGACTATGCTATCTTGACCTTGGTGCAGATTTAAGAAAAAGAAAACTCCTATAAAAATATTTGATGAATATCTGCCAATACGATGTTGTGCAGTGAGCTTTGAGCAAGAGTATAAAACTGGTATGCGACCTAAAAATGCCCCATCTACCACCGACCAAAAATATCAACTCAAGTTTATCATACTCCACCATGACTCCATTGAGTACTTATATCGCCGCAAACACCAGAAACACTATATCCACTTTAGAGATGCTTTACCGGCCAAGTGGGTCATGCTGAACTTCACGATTTATGTAACTGGCTATGGCTGAAAGCGTGGATCACTTTTGCGCTCCGTTGACAGTCCCACGATCCATGCTAACGTAGATTGCTTTGTTTCAAATCGATATGTATGGTTCCCTAGACATACCGGAAGTCTCAATCGCTGCTGGCTATTTATGTGGGCAATTGCCTCATGCGGAAAGTCGGAGCCGAAGATTTATTAACTGCCGAAAAGGCCCACATTTGAACTAATCCGGCCTTTGTAGAATACTCTTCCATGCACTGGAAAGAGCAGGTGTTAGATCCACCAATGATTGCGTACATGTATTACAGAGTGGTTTCATTTGGCAGTGGAAAACAAGACCCATAATTCAGAGCAGGTTTTTGCGTGGCAGTGACATGGCCACTGACCCTTGACATGCTGAGACTGTAGAATATAAATAGGTTACGTTTGTTCTTCTCGTAGGAAATAACATCAAAGCAAGAAACTTTACAGACTTGGAACACGTACTTAGTATGTTGACATCCGGAATACCCTCAACCACTGTTGTGGCTTGCATACTTATCAGTGTGAGTGAGAATGTACCACAGCGAGGCACAGTGCAGCGTTTTTAGTCGAAGTGTTTCCACCTTTGGTCATTATCTTCGAGTTATATCAAACAGTGTGGCCTAAAGTGGTAGCCCCGACAACTGACATCAAGACAGCTTCCAGTAATATGGATTGTAAGAGGCATTTACAACATATATTTCCACCAGCTCTCCGGCTACCCTGGGCCAACACTAGCCGCTGCCTCAGACGTAAGTTATTCCTATACAAGGCTTTCCATCACGACATTGTTCAAGTTTTCTTTCTTTAGTGGTGGTATGCCCGCAGCTACACCAGCGGTCACTGGCACGACATTATACAATCTCTGCATCAGAAATATGGCCCTGTCGTACGCATCGCCCCAAACGATCTCTCCTTTAGCACGCCCAGCTCCTACAAAGTGATCTATGGGCACGCAACAAATGGTCGCAAACTGTTTCTAAAATCTGAATTCTACGATCTATCACATGGGCGGCCCGACATCGTCTCTGCTCGGGATCCCGCCGAGCACTCTGTTCAACGACGGTCGTTGGCCCACGCATTTAGCGCCAAGTCATTACGCGAACAGGAGGATATTGTTCAGGCATACCTTGATAAATTTGTGGAGAAGATGGGGGAGCTTGGTGGTACGGAGGAAGGCGTGAATGTTACTGAAGCATACAATTGGCTAACGTTTGATATCATTGGTAAGTCTATTTGTCCTCAATCCTTTGATGACTTTTTATCGCCACACTTGGCCCAGTTGCCGTGGTGAACTCTGCGATTCAGCCACAACTACTTACCGCTAATTATTAAATATCTAGGTGACCTCGCGTTTGGCGAGTCCTTTGAAGCTGTTGAGAAAGGCGAATCACACTTCTGGGTTTCGCTTATATTGGGAAGCTTTTACATCCAAACATTGGCTAGTATCCGCAAACGGATACCCTTGTTCTCCCTACTACTTCCGTTTTTCGTCCCACCGTCTTTCCCATCCAAGTTCCAAAAACACAAGGCGCTTACTTTGGAGAAGACACGCAAGCGTATCGCAATGGGAGATACCGGGCGTGCAGACTTCTTTAGTCGTCTTCTACGGTCAAACTCAGCCCCTTCGGGCAATATGGCGACCGATGATGATGACACCCACCCCACACAAAGTACTGGAAAAGACAAAGGGGCGGAGTTGGACATCCAGTATCTGGCGAACCAATCCAACATCCTCATCGTCGCTGGCTCCGAAACCACCGCAACCTTCCTGGCTGGAGCAACTTATTTCCTCCTCCGCAACAAGCCAGCCCTGGCCAAACTCCAGACCGAGCTCAGGAGCACGTTCAGCGAGTTCTCACAGATCACTGGCGATTCCGTGACACCACTCCCGTATCTAGGCGCCGTCATCGAGGAGGGGCTCCGCCTCTTTCCTCCAGCTGGTTTTGGGCTTCCGAGGATCTGCCCCGGCGCAACTATCGATGGGTACTATATTCCGGCCGGCACAACGGTTTCAACGGATCCCTTCACCATGACTCGTGATCCAGCGAATTGGGAGCAGCCGGACTCTTTTTTGCCTGAACGCTGGTTGCCGGGTGGGATCGGTGGCGGGAAGTCCCATGATAACAAGGCAGCGAGCCAACCGTTCAGTCTTGGCCCGAGGTCTTGCTTGGGGATTAATCTGGCTCGGGTTGAGGCAAGGCTGACGCTGGCGAAGTTGGCGTGGAAGTATGAGTGGGATCTTGCGGAGTCTAGTAAGAACTTGGATTGGTGGCGGGACATGAGGATATACACGCTTTGGATGAAGCCGGAACTTAGGGTAGTATTTCGGAACGTTGATTCTGGATCTAAGAGGCTGTGAACGATTTTTTAGGCTCGTATTTAGTGTCTACTCTGGTTCATCAGGCGCAGGTGTGCCTGCGAAAAAGGTTTGGCGATTCTCGGCTGTTTTTATATACTCATCTCTTGGTACGTGTGTAATCTATTACTCTGTATCTGTCCTCCTGTCCGGACCGATTGAGCAATTCTTGTATATTTTTCCACAGTAGTTACGAGCGTCAAATTAAGGCCTTGGCCTTAAGAAAGTGAGATTTTATAGCACCTAAGGTCGTTAATCCAAGCTCAATCACCAACGCATCATAAATATTCTTGTTCCGTTGATAAAATTGTTTGCTGGCGACTGTAAATTAGTTGCATTGCTCTTGTAGTCATAAATGTGGAAATCATACAACGAGTCTATTGAGACTTTGATAAGACACGATTCTTGCCGGGACTATACAATGATATCACGGATGTGGTCACGCATATGTCAACCCCAACAAGTGATTGCATCATCAATTCGCACAGCTGTTATAAATAATTATTCTTATGCACATAGTGGAGTTCACATCTATTGTTCGATATATTCTCTTGCGCTTCATTTTGTCTTTTTCTCCTAACACTGAAGCAATATGCAGGTTCCTTGAAATTAACCTCAAATATTTTGAGTTGGTACGGATCCGCACATGGCGGCATCTCAGACTGTAAGAGGCAGAGGCGGTACAGTTTGCTGTATCTTAGTGGGGCGACAGCACTTTCAGCACATTAGTTCTAGACTAGTCTAGGTTAGGTTAGTTGGTGTAAATTTCAGCCACTGGACCTATCGAGTTTTGGTCCATCACCACAGTACATTACAATAGTAGCATTCCATTCTATCAGGCAGTGTCTAGAGATGTAGGACGTGAACGGACATGAGTGCCACCTTTCTCTTATACTACCCAAAACAGTCGGTCATCCCAGTATTGCATCCTGCCTATACATGCCATCAATCAAGTCAGGTCTTCCACGAAGCCCAGCCGTTCTCGATTCTCGTCGCAGACCCGCGCAAACTCAAGAAGCAATCTCCAAACGTATAGCAACATATCTTCGTGTCTCAAAACTCTTTCGCTCCAAGCTTTCCCTGACTCCGCGATATATTGTGCCGCAGTATCGCCTTTCTTATCTTTCGTAAAATAGTTGAGCACGGCGTACAGATCCTGCAATGTATTGTCCAGTGGCACGAAGTGCAACCACGGCAACAGGCGATCATCATGCCACTCCGCATATATAGTGCTCTTGAGGGGTAGCGACGTAGACAAGAGAAGACTTCTGAACCGAGCACTGAAGCTGTTTCCATCGATATCTGGAATGTACTTTTGCTTGAACTGTTCCTCCATGGGAATTACATCGACTTGGCTGAAGTATGGTGTTAAATAGCTGCAGTCGTCGCGGGGAAAGCATAACAAATCCACGAACCCAACGTCTGATATGCCTCTTAACCATTCACCAATATGGCCCTCGTGATCAATCGAGATGTTGTAGGGCGTCGACGGCATCTCGAAGGTTGAAGCATTGGCTCGACGTTGCTCGACACCAGACACAGTAGTGCCATTGAGCATTTGGACCAATCGAAGACGTTGGAAGTGTGTCCAGTTCTCCTTCTTATGGCGCCCGCCGGAAGCGACACCACGCCAAACAATACCGTCTTTCTTCAGGATCCAGGGCGAGCCATGGCTGTTGCCTCCAGAGTAACGAGCATCATCAGTCAAGTACATGGCGCCAGGGATCAGAATCGCGTTGTTCATAGGCAGTTTGCAACCGCTGAAGAGTGGAATGAGCGACTGAGTCGTAGACATTGTGATTTGTTCGACGAAAGTCCCGTGTAAGCCTCGAAGGTGAGGTTGGAGGCAAGGATCTGAGGCTGCAGTAAAATTCTTCACGAATCCATTCTGGGAATAGGAAGGGTTCCAATCGCTAGGAAATATAGGCCGCTGGGAGTAATCCTCTAGTGCAGGTGTGTTTCTTGCAGGAGATTCCGGTGCGCAAGCTAACCTGGTCAGATTCCAGTATTTGGGCGCTCCTTTTGTGATCCATTCTGGGTTGCTTGCATACGCTGACCAGATGTCTAGGTCGTCCAAACCCTTGAAGTCCTGAATCGTCTCGGTAGGCGGCGTAATTTTCTTGTTCAGCTCTGAGGCTTTCACCAGCTCGTTGATCTCCTCCCACTTTACCAAAACTCTCGTCTCGTCCATATAATTGATCGGCATATCTACATCTGGCAAAAATTCGGCCGCTTCCGCGATGAGAGAGGCCCACAACCCCAGCCACGGCACACGGTCCTCCCCATCACCAACACTGTATGCCTTCCCATCGCGGACTCTCACGAGATTGTCCCAAGTTGACGCTTGGTACGCTGTAAGTCTTGCTTCTGTGGCCCAGAATGGTCGGATGTCGTGTTCGATGCGGTCAAAGAACTGTTCAACGACGATTGCATTGTGCCTCATCGCATACTCAAACCATTTGTCGAACCCAGGCGGGGGGTGTCTGCCCCTTCGAGTACGATATTTGGCAGCAGCATCTCCAATCTTTGTGGATCTCTGAGTAAGCAAGAGATCATGGGTTCGGCCTGCATCGAGTACCAGATCATCGATGGGGTGGCTGTTGGAGGTGGGCTCGTCGAGCAGCTCTAGGAACTTGTCTAGCGTCGAGGCGGAATTATGTGAGGCCAGGATGAGATCGCTCTGATATGAGGGTCGGAATAAAATGTAAATTACAATAAGGACTGCTGGAACAAGGCTATAGGATCCCAGTGCAACCAGCAACCTAGGACGCAGGTTCGGTAGCCCGTGCCATGGCCTGAAGCGAGACAACATGAGGTACGAACAGCACGCAGCCGAACCATGTTTGCGAAGACAGCGAGCCTCACCACCACTATGGCATCCAGTCATGGTTTTAATTGCTTTGCGACATGACACTTACGAGCACTGCATGCACCTTAAATCCGCCAAGCCGGTCTTGGCGACTTGGTTTGTTCCGCAAATGCGCTTTTACGAGGAGCTTGGCTACCACCCACACCTCTTCACGGCCCCATCTTATGCCAAGTCGGGCGTAGGATCCATGCTTTTGTTCTCGCTATGCCTTGTAATTGGAGGTTATAATGCTGCCTGGCAGTGCGACCCGTCCCTTAACCGACAAGGCTGTCGGTCCAATTTCAAAGTTACCCCCGTAGACCCACCTAACCTAGGGGGATTTCAAGTAAACAAGTACGGTTAGAGCATTTTAAAAAACTTTATTAAGGTTACAATTAAGCATAGCTTGAATGTGGTTTGACGTGCGTCCAATTGCGTCACACTGCGGACAAGATATGCTGGGTTTGTTTGTACGTTACAATTGTTTATTTCCAAGCTCCCGATAAGCTTCCGTTGAGATGATGTAGAATGACCTCGAAAATGACCAGACCTGGTGCCTCTTTTCAGTAAAACCGACTACTATAATATAGGGATGGGGTAGGTTCACGGGTGAGGCTAGTGATTGCTTGAGTTTGCCCGGCTTCTTTTTCTTTTCCTTTTCCTTTTCCTTTTCCTTTTTTTTTTTTCGTGCCAATGGCTTTATCATATACACAGTAACTGCAACTTTTTGTTTGAGTCTATCGTTGAAAGCCAACAGTTATTGTCATATTGTCTCTTGCTAGTCTATTGGATCGATTGGTTGAGTGCATACCTGACCAGCGTCTTACTCAATATCCTTCATCATATGCTGCTCTTCTGAGTTCGCACATATTGCAAATTTCGACCTCGTTCCCGAAGATGGCACTCACGAAGACGCGACACTCCTGATTCAAATCTGGCTCAGAGTGTACAGGCGAGTGGTATTGGCCCTAACTGAAGCGAATGACCTGGCCCACCTTGACGTGAACTTCTGGATACTTTTCTAACCTTTCGCAAGCTTGGGATTAGGGTCGCTCATGTTCTAGCGCCACTGTCCCTTAGTTGGTGTTTCTAGCACTTCTGTGACAGCTGTGCTGGGTGCAATAACCCGCGCTGCGGACCTAGAAGTGTGACCGCGTACTTCAAATGTGGTAGTTGTGGCCTAGGGCAACTGCATTGAAACATTCGACCATCCGTGTGCCATCTCAGAACGACCCAAGCGTTTGTGGCCAGTCTCATACGTATGCACGGCACTGTTCCCTGTGCGCGAGCCGACGGTTGCGCAGTCTCCTGAAGCAGACGCCAGGAATATGTGTATGACTTTCTCGAGCATATCTGAGTTTGCATCTGAGTTTGAGCATATAAAGACTGGGGCCTGAGCGGCGAGTAAGCCGAGGTGGAATTGGCCATGAAACCCGTCTGATCGATTATCCTCTACCCGACTTAGAAGTGTTGCCAAGAATCGCTCGTGATGCAGAATTTCAAAAGGATCAGGCCGATACGCATTCCCGCAGCTAAAAACTCATTCATTACCTATGATCACTTCGTCCCAGGAATACGGCGATCAAACACTCTGACTGCAAAAGGCTGTATAGATTAGGTTGATGCTTGAGCACACAACTTGTCCATGATAAGCACATATATCAATGAAATGAGGCAGGCTGTAGCACCCAGATGAGGCGGGATTAGTCATTCATGCAAGGTGACAATGCGTTTGACAACCCCAACTCTAGCTTTTGTGTCACAATGCCGCACGTACTAGCGGGCTGCGTGCTTGGGCGGAGCGTGTCACCGTTGGTGGCTTTGTGCTCAGCGGTATTAGAGTTAGAAATATCCAGGGGTATATGTTCAGGCCTCTACTATTAACAGTCCTGATTCTTGAATTTAGAATTCAAGTGATGGTATTATTTCATTTCATAGTGAGAGGATACGTTGCACTCCCTAGCGAAAGCAGTCTCCTAACCTACTCTCTCTTACACAGCACTTTTGGCCCCGCTCTGGAGGGAGAGAATTCGCCCTTAAGTACCCTGTCAGACAGACAAGTATCGGGTTATTTATGGATCTAATTACAGTAGTTACTTCTGCTTCTTTGTATAATTCTTACAAGCTAGCGAATCAGCTTGTTACTGTCAAGAAGTGGAGACAGGCAAGGGGTGCCTGGAGCCACTAATTCTAGGCAGACAGGTATTACTCGCAATTCAGCCCTACCGTTAGCCCAACCCCGCTTCTCACTAATTGGCACATCTGTGTTGCCATTGCTACAGCTAACCCCGCGTTCCATTTTATTCTGTATTCATCGTAAAATTGCGCATGCCGTCCATTGTCACTCTGCTCTTGATGTGCCGACATGCGCCTTCTGAAGGCTGAAGCTGATGGCCGTGTCGTCTTGATAGAATGTTTTCCGCCAAACATACCCAAATATGCTATCCTGTCCCACACGTGGGGCCCCCCCGACCAAGAGGTCACCTTCCAAGACATCAGCGATGGTACAGCGGCGAGCAAGAAGGAATATCGGAAGATCAAGTTCTGTCAGAAGCAAACCGCCGCTGACGACTTGCAGTACTTCTGGATAGATACGTGCTGCATTGACAAGACGAGCTCAGCGGAGTTGACCGAAGCGATCAACTCCATGTTCCAATGGTATAGAGAAGCGCAACATTGTTACGTGTACTTGTCAGATGTTTCAGCTGTAACCGACGACGGTAGGCAGCCCGATCCTGCTTTACGGCTCTGGGATACTCAGTTCCGCCAGAGTAACTGGTTTAAGCGCGGGTGGACGCTTCAGGAACTTCTTGCCCCTGGATCGGTCAAGTTCTTCTCTGTACAAGGCGACATTCTAGGGAACAGGATGTCTTTGAAGAATGTTATCCATACTGTGACTAATATTGAGGTGTCTGCACTTGATGGCCGTCCGCTCTACGACTTCCCCGTGCACAAGAGACTGCAATGGTCGAGCAGTCGCACGACTATGAAAGAAGAAGATGCGGCTTACTGCCTGCTTGGGATCTTTGGCGTCTACCTTCCACTCATCTACGGAGAAGGGAAGACAAGTGCGATGAACCGAATGCTAAAGGTGGTTGAAGAGAAATTCGGACCCTCTAATGACCTATCTCCAACTCAGTCATCCAACTTGTCATTTGTAGCTCCGATGTCAATAGAAGAAGCTCATATACTAGTTCCATTCGGACGAAACGACGAGTTTGTTGGTAGGGAGTCCGTTCTGCGAGAACTGGTTGTCAAGATTCTGCCAAGTGGGAACAACAAGAACTGCCAACGGACGGTGCTCGAGGGACTTGGTGGCGTCGGAAAGACACAGATCGCACTCGAAGCTGCATACCGCGTTTTCGAACAGAGCCCGAACTGCTCTATCTTCTGGGTCCCTGCTCTTTCGCTAGTGATGTTCGAGAATGCTTACAGAGATATTGGCGAAGCGCTGGGAACGCCTGGTATGGATGACGACAATGCAGACATTAAAGAACTAGTCAAGACTACGCTGGAAAGGAGCAAAGGAGATTGGCTCTTGATAATCGATAATATTGATGATATTGGTTTGCTAACTAGAGACAAGGGTTTAAAGAGCTGCCTACCATTCAATCGGAAGGGGTCGATACTCTTCACTACGCGCAATCACGAAGTCGCTGTGCGACTTAACATTTCCAAAAAACACACATTCGTGGTTGAAAAGATGAGTGAAGCGGAAGCTGTACAATTGCTTCAGAACGAACTCAAGGAACGACAGTATCGAGACACCCAGGCCACAAAAGACCTCGTTCAGCATTTAGTGTTTCTACCTCTCGCGGTCAAGCAGGCATCTGCCTATATGGCACGAACACGCATCACGACAGCTGTATATCACAAGCTTTGTCGTGGATCTGATAACGCCCAGATCAAGCTTCTCAATACCGGGTTTGAGGAGCTACAACGATACTCTGATAACACAAACCCGATCACCCTGACGTGGTTAATCTCATTTCAACATTTAGCAGAGTCGTACCTACTGGCGATAGAGTATCTCAAGTTCGTATGTCTACTAGCGGAGAAAGATATTCCAATGTCTTTGCTACCGATTGGCAAGGACGAGGAAGCACTTCCGGAAGCTATTGGAATCCTGGAAGGATATGCTTTTGTCTCGATACATGAGCAAGGCGACTCGTTTGATATGCACCGATTGGTGCGACTAGTAACACGTAATTGGATTAAGAACGACTGGGAAGCATATTACGCAAAAGTGGTACATCAGCTTGCTAAAGTGTACCCAGTTCCGAAGCATGATAATCGACAATTGTGGACAAGGTACATGCCCCACGCTCAAGTGGCTATCGAACTACATCGCGAATGCATAGATAAAAAAGCGGCAGCAGATCTTCTTTTTGTTGTTGCAGATAGCTACAATGAACTTGGGAGGTATAAAGAAGCAGAGCAGATGCATCGACAGACACTGGAGCTGACCAAGTCGGTGCTCGGTGGTGAGCATCCGTCAACACTTAACAGCATGAACAACCTGGCTCTTGTATTTAACAGTCTAGGGAGGTATAAAGAGGCAGAGCAGATGCATCGACAGACACTGGAGCTGACAAAGTCAGTGCTCGGTCTTGAGCATCCGTCGACACTTGACAGCATGAACAACCTGGCAAGTGTGCTTGGCAGCCTAGGGAGGTATGAAGAGGCAGAGCAGATGCATCGACAAACACTGGAGCTGACCAAGTCGGTGCTCGGTGGTGAGCATCCGTCGACACTTGACAGCATGAACAACCTGGCAAGTGTGCTTGACAGCCTAGGGAGGTATGAAGAAGCAGAGCAGATGCATCGACAGACACTGGAGCTGACCAAGTCGGTGCTCGGTGGTGAGCATCCGTCGACACTTGACAGCATGAACAACCTGGCAAGTGTGCTTGACAGCCTAGGGAGGTATGAAGAGGCAGAGCAGATGCATCGACAGACACTGGAGCTGACCAAGTCGGTGCTCGGTGGTGAGCATCCGTCGACACTTGACAGCATGAACAACCTGGCAAGTGTGCTTGACAGCCTAGGGAGGTATGAAGAAGCAGAGCAGATGCATCGACAGACACTGGAGCTGAACAAGTCGGTGCTCGGTGGTGAGCATCCGTCGACACTATCTAGCATGAACAACCTGGCAAGTGTGCTTGGCAGCCTAGGGAGGTATGAAGAAGCAGAGCAGATGCATCGACAGACACTGGAGCTGAAGAAGTCGGTGCTGGGTCCTGGCCACCCTTCCACCATACGCAGCCGGAACAATCTACAGAATCTTCTAGACTCTATTCATGTTGGAGGTGATGATGATCAGTCAACAAGTCCTAGCGAGTCGGAAGACGAAGGCGAAGGTGGTACGACCTTGTAATAGCTTCTAATAATAAACGTGAATGCGTTGAGTATAGTATAGTAAAGATTGTTCGGGTACGATGATACCCGACTTGTCTTTTAATTGTTTCTTAACAGTGAAACGCTATATTACAACGAATCGTTACTCGAGCTATCATAGATAATACACGCCTTCTTCTGGTGGCAATGGTACATCTAACTTTCATGCATTTTCCTGTACTGCACGTGTTATTTGACAGTACGAGGTGATGGCTTGACACGATTGTCTCTTTTTTGATGCACCAATTGACTCTGCATAATATGTTGCTATGAAGTTATGCATTTTGAGCGGAAGTATCGTTGACAAGTCCAGAAATGGCCCAGTACTTGTTGGTATGGCAGGGTACATAGAAGCGGAATGTATCCCTTGGAAGTGGGCCTAAAAGTGAAGTGGAAGAGAGAGTGGGTTAGGAGGCTGCTTTCGCTAGGGACTGTATGATAATTCTCTCAATCTGATGCTGTTGAGGTAATTATTATTCCTAGAACGTTCCAGTAATATTGCGGATATTGCGGTAGCGGTATGGTTGTTTGCTTTGATTGGAGGCGGCGGGTTCCTTTTCTTTTGTCCCTTGTGTGGTTCTTTGCTTCCAAAGGGAGCTGGTATGTGGCGCCCGACTGCTCCAACAACTTCTCTTTCATCAAGTTGTACATCCATCGCAAGGCCGCCAGTTTTGATAGGTTTCTTAGGGGCTTACTCGCCATTCTTGCTCCTATAGTGAGGCTATTGACAACACCTGAACTGAGCGATACTATGGATGTCTTGGATTGCCGTTAGGCTGCAAATTCCTCGGCCGATGTGCCACTGGATGATATAGAGCTTTCGATGATTTGCGTGAATCGCACAATGCATGGGTGGCATCACGCCAGAAGGACGTCCAGGGTGGGACTATCTTCTGACAGCGTTCTCCAATAGTCCATGCAACAAGGCAACTGGCAGCTAGGTGGGACAGACCCTTGCTTTACTACCGATAAAGGATCTTTTGACCAGAATTGAATCGATAACGTTTTTGAGAACTTAAGCAAAGACTAATAAAGTTTCCCTATCATTCCAGTCGCTCAATGTGTCCCAAAAACAAGTTACATATCTACGCAAAGGGAGCCGACGAGGTCTGCCCCTCCCCCTCACCCCCCCCACGCCGCTTTTCTACGTAGTATGTTGTAAGTTTAGCTGAATGAGGTACGCTCCTTCTTTGGAAGTAATAATAATTGACGCTGACATGTGGCTTTCCTGACTTGAAAATTGCTGTACCGCCCAACTAACCAGCTTGTCATCACCACCAAGTATTAAAGGTAAACGACTGCCACACCAGGGTTGCCATGAGATTTATAAACTATCTTAATAGGACTGAAGGTGTTCGATCACGAGTAGGAAGCTCAGGAACTGACTCTTTCCAACCAACTCGGTGGCAAATACTCGTCGTAGGAATGAAGCAATGATTATGCTTACATATCCAACCTCGAGACAGCTTGGTGTATGGGCTTTGTAAACTGTAGTTTCCTACGTATTCGTGACTGCTTTCATCATGTGACTTACCCATGGGAACAGAAAGCACCACACCAAGACCGCCCGCGACAATCGATAGGATATAACTGGAACCTGTAAGTTTCCCTCCTGAAAAATAGGGTCGTGAGCAGCTTACACGTTGTCAATAGCTTGTACGATGATAGCTAATGCCTCGGATTGTTGCTCTGCGGAAAGGTTCAGGAGACGAACTTTTGCTTGATTGACGAAAATTGCTCCTATCATGCTAAGTACTAAAACAATGCCGCCAAGTTGAGGTTGTGAAATCTTTATTCAACGTGTCCTTGAGTCACGTGATGAGTATCATCCCTCTACAAACCATCATGAACCCTGAAGCCCAGGGTATTCCCTCTGGCTCAACCTTGGCTTGAACGACATCATAGCCTGCCTGGTCGAATGCACCGACACCGAGAGCCTTGAAGGAAGTATAGCCATAGATCGTACTGGCCATAGTATCTGGCTTGCACAAATTTGTCAATGTAGAAAAGAATTAGCCGGAGATTGGTTCTGGGCACTGAGAGGCGGGCGAGGAACAGCTGTGTATGGTTTCTTACACATGAAAGAGCCAGCCATCAACTCGAATATTAATCCAAGAACATAACATAGAATATAAATAAAAGAATATCAAAAAAAAAGGTGATCGCGTGGCTGTTGGCAATAATAGCAAAAAATAAGAAGCATAACAAATGGCAGAATTCGAAGCGAAGCCTCGATCGCACTATCTCCTTGGTTTATTCTGTCAAACTTATTCCAAAGGTCCTAGAATGGCAGCGCCTTGTCGGAATTACGCACAGGACTGAATTGAAAGAACAGGGATACTAAAGTTGATACCCATGATCAAGGAGGCCAAGGCACCGAAGAAAAGAACAAAGCCACCCCAGTGGATTTTGTAGCCTCTGCTTTTGAGTATAGCCTGGCATAGGATCGAAAGATCGCAGAAGCCAAGCATTTACTGCATAGGACACTCCACCAATGACAAGGGTGATGTAGAAAGCCTGTGAGTGGTGGCCAGGAAAGTCTAGTATCTTTAAGGAGTGATGCTCGACATACCCAGCGCCAGGTAGCATGGCTCTCCGCAAACGCGCCACCAATGCCTGACTCGCTACTGTACCAATTTCTCATGATACAGCTTCAACCGAATGTAAAATGGGCTTTCGGGAACGCTAGTGTTCACACTGAGCAAGTTCAAGACACCAAAGTATATGCTGCTACCTTGTGCTCCCGCCATGGCCCGTCCGACGATCTCGGCGTCCATAATCGTTGCTGTGTCACACAAAGCGCTCCCTGGCCTTGAAGAAAACCACGTAACCTATTTATATCCATTTTACGTTGTATGTCGCATAGAACTTGGGACAGGGTAGTACGAGAGCGGACGAGCACAGAGGGAACGCGACTGACAACCAGGCGGCCTTTTCAGCCTATCGAAGGCAGTGATATTGGCCTAATATCATTTAGCATGTAGGGATTTTGACTACTCTGATGGCCGAAATCTTCACCGGCTGAATATACGCGACAATTGTGTTGTCCAGGGCAAAGTGCATGTAATTGGATATCTATATGTAGTCCAAAGTGAACTTTGCTTAGGGAGTCGACAATTGCCATGCCAGCTGGCTCTCCGGTCAGGTCTAAAACTGTCGCTCGGTAATAGTAAGGAGGCTCAGCTTGGTTGATTACTCAACGGAAACAACCAGTTGCAATGTTACGAGCAAAGTCTTAGGTTACCTCTTTGTTCATGGAATATATACAAGGAACCCTGGGAAGAGCAGTAGAGCTTGTTTAATTTGTTTCGTGCAGCTATACAAAGCACTCCGGCACCGAGCGCGGCTTTTCTCCAATACTGGATCGGCAATTTTCCAGCTGACAAATTTATGAACGTCCACTTAGCGCCTTCATTTCCCTGTGTAAGGTAGCTACCGGTAAAGTTCGATGCGGGGTAACTAGGATAGATGGTCATGAGGAATCACCACTCAATAAAATTACTTTTGTGCAGGATTAGCCGTGAATGACACATTTGTTGTGCCTGCGATTGATATGTTAGAGACATCTTTTAGGTCGACGAGGTGATCAACGAACAAAGCCATCGAAACTAAGCTTCTCCTCGACATACAAGCAAGCAACAGACTCTATACGAAGAGCAAAAGCCCAAATCATCAAAGGTACTTGCGCACGATATCATCTATTGGAAATGGCTATGAGCAATCCTCATTCGCCAACGATGTGTATGTCAACGGGAATCCAGGTCGTTATAGTCGGTGCTGGCTTTGCTGGGCTGACCGCGGCGATTGAGTGTCACCGGCATGGCCATAGCCCCATCGTAGTAGAGAAGTTCCCATCTCTGAAGCCCCTGGGTGATATCATTTCGTTTGCCCCGAACGCTGCTAGGATCTTCCAGCGCTGGCCAGGCGTTGCACGGAAGTTGGACGCAATTTCTTTGAGGGCGCCGGAGCTTAACATCAAGTCCTTCAGGGGCGACACTCTGTACAACCAGGTCTGGAGCCAAGAAGAAAGCTCCTGGGGTATCAGATTCGACGGGCACCGCGGTGAGTATCACGACATAGTGTATCGGTATGCCATCGAGGCTTGCGGTATTGAAATTAAACTTGGAGCAAAAGTAGTAGATTATTTTGAGGATGACAGTTCGGCGGGGGTGATCCTGGAGAATGGAGAGAGGATAGTAGGAGATGTTGTCCTCGCAGCCGAAGGTATCCGTTCCAAAGGCCGTACTACGGTGCTCGGGTACGAAGACTTGCCTAAGGCTTCGGGATATGCTGTGTATAGGTCGTGGTTCTCGACCAAGGACACCGTGGCGCAGGACCCTGAGCTCGATTGGCTGGTGAAGCAGGGCGATAAGCAAGTAGCCTGGCTTGGTCCAGATGTTCATTTTATCGCGGCGACACTAAAAAGTGGCCAGGACATTAGCTGGGTCTGTACGCATAGGGACAATCAAGATATCGGCGAGTCATGGCAGTGGGAAGCGCCCCTTTCAGACGCGCGTAAAGTGCTGAGGGGTTGGGAACCAAATATTCAACGCATACTTGATCGCACTCCCGAGCCCTTGATAGACTGGAAGCTCGTGTACAGGGATCCGCTGGCCACTTGGATCTCACCTAAACGCCGCATTGCACTGATCGGTGATGCAGCGCATCCGTTCTTACCAACCAGCATTCAGGGTGCAAGCCAGGCGATGGAAGATGGGGCAACAATTGCTGTTTGTCTCCGAAAGGCGGGAAAGGATCAAATACATGGAGCAGTAGAAGTATTTGAAACCCTCAGGTATGAGAGGGTGAAGAGCGCGCAGAAGACGGGCGAGCAAACAAGGGAGATCTGGCATAAGGCTGATTTTGGAAGTGCGACGAAGGATCCCGCAAGTTTCCGACTGAGGCGGGAGAAATGGCTCCTGGACTTTGACGCTGAGGCATATGCAGAGAAGGAGTACGAGCGTACCGCTGAGGCCATCAAAGCGGAGGGCCTCTTCGAGGCTAGAGCATTGCATGTTCCGGCGGGCCGCCACGGGTATCTTGAGTATAAAACTTGAGTTAGGTTTCATCGAGACGGTAGACAGTGACCTATGATCAGGATTCATGCATATTCAACGCAGGCATGGCGTAATCGAGGTAGTCAAATTGAAGTAAAGGTCATCTGATCAGATCTGTTAAACCATTGCAAGTAGCTGGCTCACTAATATCGCCATACCGGCTTAGAAAAGAAAGGATGGAAAGTTTCTTTTCAGACCTAAAATAGTCAATTTTGTGGTAGTAATTATGTGGTCAGAGAAACGCGCACTCATGATTTCTCAACATCAAGTTGCACAGAGCTGTGACGGAAAGATGAAGAAACGTGTATCAGTTCCTTGATGCCATTAGATATTTTGCTGGACGACTACACAAACCTTATTTCTTCGATTGTACACTCGCTTGCTTTCAAAGCTTCCCCATCCATAACGCCATCCACGTAGCATTCACCGATCAGCTCATACATGCCATGGCCGTCTGGCCGAACTACAAATGGGACTTCCGCCCCGACCAGCACGCACAACCGATCCCCAACTTGTGCATCATATGGCAATTGTCCGAACCTCCCATCTCTTGTCACACAAAACTTACGACCTCCAGCCATGCCCAAAACCGCGTTTTCCAGACTGACCACATACTTGAGCTTATCGGCGGGATATTTCACGTAATCGGCCGTCTTGCCTTCGGCCCTGTCGGTGTAATATTCCATCAAAGGTGGAAACGCGTCAATGGTATCAGCAGAGGGTTGATCCCGCATTCCAGTCATACCGCAGAGCATTGTGCGGGTGAATGCTTTTGATCGCTCAGCATCTGCGGGAACAGCTTCGAAAGGTCTGCCGGCAAGCTCGTAGCGGTCCACCGCCCATCTACCGATGCGCTGCACGGACGCTTCGGATGAATCTATTGGGGCTCCACCTATGGGCGAATCCCACAACTCAGGCCGCTCTGAGAGGCACATCTCCATGTACGTCGGCAAAGCGACTTTGACAACATCAAACTCCCGCCCCTGGCATTGAAGTACTTTGCCGCCGCCGGAGAAGCTGATGATGGGTTTCGAGAGACCTCCAGCATGGAAGAGCTGCTCTCGAATGTTGTAGCTCATAAGTGTATCCATTTCACCTAGTAAACGCAGATCAGGAACCCATGAAGGTATGCCCAGTCTTGGCGTACGCGGCCGCGAGAATAGAAGTTTGTCCGGTGCCAGACCTAGTAACTTCAGACTTTGCGTCTCCGCTATCTCTTTTGCCGCAAATTGTTGAAACACGTCATCCTTAGATAGTTTGTAGTCCGGTACAACGCCTGAAGGCCGTCCTGGCAAACTCAGCAATGCGTAGACGTGATCGCGGTCGTCTGTGCACAAGAAACCGACTGTGGCTACAATACAGTCGAACAACGTGCCCATTCCGCTGTAGTGCTTGATCAAAAGCATCACTGTGGCATTGTGGATCAATTTCTGAATGAGAGCCGGCATGCGGCTCTGTGTATCGCTTGCATTTGAACCTCTGTCTCCGACCTTCTCCCGATTCTGCTGCGTTTGGACTGCGAGTTGTATAGCGCCCAAGGACTCCAGCTTGAATGAGAGCAATCCCACACTATTCCATGGCAACTCGATACGCCCGGCATACATTATAGCTTCTCTAGCAAGAGAGGTTTCTTGGACGACCCACTTGCGGCGGAACCATGGGCGCTCCAACAGACTTGCTAACGGTTTCCAATTATGGCTCAGCAGGCCGGGTTGACCCTTCTGTTGGCGCTCTAGCATATCGTTAACCAAGGCTTCTGTCTGCCGACTCAGCTCTGCTGCATCGTGCGTATCAGGTGGAAGAAACTCTAGTGCCTCGCTCACTGTTTTTTCCACACCTTCCAGGCCGTCCTCATCAGGCCCAAGCCAGATAAGAACGCGTGTGGCCAGGGAATAGATACGAGGCATCAACGACACCTGGTGACCTTTTTCGTCATTGTTCGTTTGGTCGATGCAGATGGCATCGGCCCAGAGGACGCGCGTTCTATCTGGGAGGCGGAATGCCACGAGAGCGCTAAACAAGCTTACTGTTGGAGATAGGGAAGCACCTCCACACACGATCTCGTGGACCTCACGAGGATTTCCCCAGCAATATGAAATAGCCTCATATACTGGATTTTCATCCAGTGACACTGTAGTTACTGAGACCTGAACACTGTCTGATGGTTCCCCTGGATGTAGATGAAGAAGACGAATGGTAGATGATTGCTCGAGTTTTTCATAGACGTACTGGTGCTTCTTCGCCATTGTTGACAGTGTTTTAGCTTTTACTTACACCTTCTATTATCGTGTGGCAGGATGTGCAGTGGGACGCATTATGACTTGACACTTTTGATGGCTTCCTACCGTTCACGGACTTTCTTTTTTTTTTCATGTGTCTTGGTTGTTTTGTATTTGGCCACCTGGCCGGCTTTTACCGACAGTACAGGCAGACTTGTCTCAGGCTAAGTCCGGGTCTGGAGGTATTACCGAATTAGAAAGCAAGTGGCTGCTTACGGTAGCGTCGTCCGCATGTAGTATGCCGGCTCCGGTACCCTGGTAGGGCGGTGAAGGTTAAATGATTCTTTAGTGTTACTGAGTACGGAATGATGGTAAACTAAATCGACAGATGCATCAATGGTCTCTTCTGAAGCATATGGTGGCTTTTGTGTATAGCCAGGAGCCAATGCTTAACGAAGCTGCCCGGTGAGATCTAAGAACTAAGCCAATCACAGATGGAGGTATGGACCCATGACTCGCGTAGATACCGATACTTGGCAACGCCCACATACTAGTTTAATCTCAGCAAGTGAGGGGTGCACTAGTGAGATCCTGCGTATTGATCCTTCTATCAACTCAACAATAAGTATTGAGTATCAGGGTCCTTGATAACATCAGCTGTCATACCCGGCTTGACCCTCTAGCTTTTCCTATTTGAATCAGTAGCATACTGTATGAAATGCAACTTGCTACTTCTCTGTTACAGAGAAAAGCTGGAGACTTAGGGGTTGGTCTGAGGTAACTTCACAATTATGTTCGTCAGGCATACTGTCAATATGTGAAATACCTTGTTACCTGCGGTGTAGCAAGCGCATGGCTGATGCTAGAGACATTAAAGATAGTGATGTTCCTTCTAAACGATGATGGTGATGGTCGTACATAGTTTGCAAAATCCATGCTTTCGTACCATGCGAGGATTCCATCGTCTCAAACGATGCTTCTTTCAACCTGAAGGCCGTCTTGAGGGCTGCTTCGAAAGTGATACGGCACCCTTTGGCTTGAGAGATACGGTTCCTCTCAATCTCAAGTCACTAATAATCCACGGGAAAAGAGAACTGGCGACCAACAAAACCCCAAGCCAACAATTACAGGATGTCGTAGGAGTGGAGATATCCCGTGTCTCAATCAACTTACCGTGAAAATCATAAATCTTAGTATCTCATATTACGCTGATACTGCTTACACGCCGTACGACGAAGTAGAACGATTATGCGAACAATATGGTATTCTATTCGATATTGCACATGATTCCTCGCTTCCTAAAGAAGGATCGGGTGTCGATATAACCACCAGACTGTGAACAAGCGGTCGCAGATGATTGAGACCTTGGAAGATGTTAGATATTCTTTAATTGAGTACTTGTCAAGGCTAAGAAAGTCAGTAAATAGAGATAATAGCTCATACGACTACCGGCACGTGCTCTCGGTAGATGATATCGACACCTATGAACTGCTATGGAACTGTGTAGATAGAGCAGTACTTAGCCTGCGGCTGAGTAGATTGCCGATTTGAATTGCGCGATTTTGGAAGAGAAAGATTGGGAGGAACTCGATACAGATGACATGATCTCCTCGAAAAGTGGTTTGAGATGTCCATGAGAGGCACTAGGGAATAGGATGGCTATTGTGAAAGGATATGGTAAACAAAACACGAATAATGCCCGGTCCTGAGACAACAGCACGCACGGATAGAAGGCGCGTTATGCAAACATGTTCTTCTTATGGATGCGGCATTTACAGGTACGTTGAAATATCACTCATATGATAGTTGAGATGATAACATCGACTGATATGGCTCTACAGGGCTCGGCATGTTGGATGTGATGAAGCTCGCCCAAGCTGCAACCAATGTGTCAGCACCGGGCGTTGCTGTGACGGATCTATCTCTTTTTGGTCATAAAGGGAAGCGGGTCGCCCGGTCAGAACTCTGCATCCATTGCTGTTTAACATAAGGGCAGGCTTATTCTCCAGAACAGAGAAATTAGACTACCCGGGTAGCGTGCAATGCAACGCTTCCAACTTGAGACTTCCGAGGAATTCTGGAGATAAGTTTAAGACGAATCCTTTAAAACTCTTATATACACTTATACTCCCCCCCCCCCCCCCCCCCCAAGCATATGATCCACAATACAAGTAACTAGTATGACTCATTCATCCCATGAGAAAGCTAATCGAGCTGCTAGCCCTATGTCTTTTGAATTCGTCTACTTGCAAAAGTGGCTTTGACAACCTCGAAGTAACCCTATCATGCTGTCCCATTATGCCGGCTTCGAGATACTTTTTGGCTCCTAACAAGATGCACAAAAGCATATACGGAGTGAACTAATGATTATAGCTAGGTGGTAAAGTCAGAAAAGCGGCATTTCTAGTACCCCAATTTCGTCACCGAAGGGGTGCCTTGTGCGAAAGACGTTGGGGCCCATGTTCGGCCAACTGGCAATGCAAGCCAGCATGTTCAGCGAAGTCCAACAGTCGCTTTCAAGGAACCATCTTACCTTGATGAATTGTACAACTAACCTCGGCGAAGAGAGACCTCGCTTCAATAGCCTCACCGATGCCCGCGGTTCTATACACTCGTTACTGTGGCAGACATTCTTTTCCCCACCACGCGGACACCTCAGGACGAGTTTCAAGAACAAGAGACGCGAAACAGAAGGCGGATTGATTTCGCAATGCGACTGAGACAGTGGCATGACGAGGTCACTGATTATCTCAACAACAATAACTCCACGGTCTGCATGGCACGCAGCCGGGATAAACAATGGGCTGCCACCAGAATTTTGACATTGTGCTACAAAGCATTGAGAATCATGATATCCACCTGTATAAATGATCACGAGATGACTTTCGATGACTTCGAGACCGACATTTGCCACATCATGCAGCAGGCGGAGAGACTTGTAGTGCCACTTACTCATCAGATTACTGGACAGATTCGTCACACTTAGCTACAAGCATCTTATTTCTCTCTGGAAAGTGGAGTAGTCCCGCTGCTATATTATGTGGCTTTGAAATGTCGCGTGCCCCAAATTCGATACCGAGCCCTCACTCTCAAGAAAGATACCCCTAATCAATAGGAAGGCGTGTGATACAATACAGCCGCTGCGCTGGTAGCAGGACAGATTGTAGAAATAGAAGATTGTAGGAGGCAGCATGATGGTGAACTTCCCGCCTTGGCACGTATTGACATGGTACAGGTTAGAGTTGATCAGAGGACTCTAAGTCTGCTTCTTGCAGTGTGGACATCGAGATATGGTAGACTGCAAGGTTGAGCGGGTACTAAGCTAGTAGTTAATAGTTAATTCAGGTGTTTATCGATAGATGGTTGCATGAAATCGCCACTGGTTTAATTGCATAAATCAATTTCAACTGTAATAACTCACACAAAGACTCATCATTCATTTCGTTCATCACAAATGCTCACCGGTCTGGCATAAGCCATCGCAGCATACGGACTACGACGCTTATCTACATACACACAAGAACTCCAGTCGTGCAGATGAATTTGCAGAGCATCCTGATGAGAGACAGACTTTCTCGGACCCTATGAAAACCATGCCCCATCATTGCCCCATATCTCATCGAACCGCAGATTTCCGAAGGAGTCAGAAGGCAGTTCATCAACTCCGTTAGTTTCGTGCGACGTGGCTATCGTAGATGAAGAAGCTGCTGCGGCAAGACTGCCGCCCATCGGCATCATTGGTTTTCCCGAGACATCATGCATGGGCTCGCATGCCCAGGCCTATACGTCTGCCGTGGTTGGAGTTGCACTCTTGCAACTCCCATTACAGAAATTGGTCATTGTAATAATAGCGAGGGGGTCACGGCTCTACATCTCGGAAAGCATGGGGAGTAGGTAGAGGTGGCTACGGACGTTGTGGCGGCCGCAGCTAGGAAGTAGTCGACGGGGTGAAGTAAATATGGCTCTGCTTCTAGAAAGGGGAGACCGGGTCCATATTGACGACAACGTGGTTCAGAATGTGGTCATGAATTGGCGTAGCGGCGAAGAGCTGATAGCTCTGCTCTTGGAAAATTGACGGGACCAAGTCCGAAATGCCGAGATGTGATTCAAAATACAGTCGGCGACAATCAAGCAGTGGCGATCGCGGCGTATGCCAATCTGCAAGTCCGACGGCGGTCCTGAAACTGCGAATGTCAGCTACTCATGGGGTTTGATACTCCTTGTCGTCGCAGAGTGGGACTTCAGTAGCAACTTCGGACCTGCACACTTAACCTTCTCGGTTCTTGTTACCGATTTGATTAAGGTTCAGGTCATCGTCCAAGTTGAATAGACAAGGTATCCAGTTACGCAGCGGGTTGCAGCGTTTCTGCGCCGAAGCGAGAAACGACATAGAGCAGCGTTGCGATACTGATTCAGTCTGCATAGATACGTGTGCTTATCAAGAGAAGCTGCTGGACTAGGGTGACTCGCCACAATCCCCGCCTACTAACGATAGCATGTCCTTTGACGATTGTAAATGCAAGAGCTAAATGGAGAGATGTTTAATCCGCCTCACTGAACTGCCCTCTGGATCGCAATCATGGGTTGTTCCTCCATTCCTTCATCGTCACTTCTCATGGCTTTTTCCGGTCTGAAGCCATTGACCCAATAAGACATAGAGTAGTGCGAACCAGGCTTGGCACATGAGTCCAAGCATGCTACAATGCACCCAGGTAGTGCAAGACGCGTGCAGGCTGGAATCATCAAGAGAAGGCCAAGATTGCGGTGATTGGCAGGAATGTGCAGCCGCCACATTACGGTGCGATGCCGTTGACAAGCGTTGGGTCAGCACCTGTCAGCTTGCTGATGACGACGTCCACTGCAGTGTTTCAGGCCTGGTATACATACGGAGTAGAACAATCGTCCAAGGTACAAACTTCTGACAGGTAGCCGAAGTTTCTGTGGATGTGCTAACCAAGTGGCCCTCTGCGGTGAGCAAACGGGAAAGACAGGGATAATTTAAAGTATTTTACATTGGCACCCAAGCTTTTCGGCAGTCGGTAAGCACGTGGTGTCGGTCTAGGGGACCGCACTTGGGTTAGCATAGTCCTAAATATCGCTGAGACCGAATCTCCGGGGCTCGTATTCGCTACAATTATATTAGGCGCTACCCGTCTTTCAGCCTAGTTTGGAGCTGCCATAGAAGCTTAAAATTGTTCCTCAAATGCGACGGCTTGAAGACCCCGTTGAAAAAAGATTAATACGAATCATGGTGAAACGTTAGGTTATATTGCGAAAGATCGCCTAGAGACTGACTACGAACACTTAAAGGTATAAATCATTGAGGTGCAGACCTGCGGTGAGAGAGCCTTGAATGTCATTCCCCAAGCACAATCTTTTGTCGCGTTCGCTCTTTTCGAAAATCAATCAATATGCAGATCTCTCGCTTTCTCACGTCCCTTGTGGCGGCTTCCACGGCGCTGGCCGCTCCTACCGAGCTGGATAAGCGCGGAGTGGATATTTCTTGCGGCTCATTTGGCTCGCTCGATAAAATTGGTTATACTATCTACCACAACAACTTTGGCGCCAGCGACGCTACTTCCGGCTCGCAGTGCACCCACTTCACTGGAGTCAACAGCGATAAGTCAATTCATTGGTCCACGGCCTGGACTTGGGCTGGCGGTCCTGGCCACGTCAAGTCTTATTCCAACGTCGCTCTCATGAACGTCAACAAGAAGCTGTCCTCCATCTCCTCCCTTACGTCTACTTGGAACTGGTCGTAAGTACATCTCCTAGCTCGGATCAAGCACATAACTGAAATTAGTGTTAGGCAAACCGGTAACAACGTTGTCGCCGATGTGTCGTATGACCTGTGGCTCGCTCCCACTTCCGGCGCCAACGATGCCTACGAGATCATGATCTGGCTTGCCGCTATCGGTGGTGCTCTTCCCATCTCCTCGACCGGCAACGCTATCGCTACAGTCACGCTTGAGGGCCATAGCTTCAAGCTCTACTATGGCTTGAACGGTGGTGTCAAGGTCTATTCTTTCGTTGCTTCCAGCCCTGTCTACAGCTTCAGCGGTGACGTCAAGAAGTTCTTGACCTACTTGACCAGCAAGCAAGGTGTTGACGCTAATTCCTGGGTCACTCACCTCCAGGCTGGTACTGAGCCCTTCACTGGAAGCAACGTTGTTTTCACCACGTCATCTTACAAATTGACGATTGCGTAAACTTCGCAGGGTTACCAACTCAGAAGAAGACAAACGTCCTGCTTCGATATACTCTTGGCAAGTCCAGGAAATAGCGCAATGGTCAGTGCGCTTTAGTATGGACTTGTAGAGGAATGTGGCTGTGAAAGCAACCGAATAAGAGGACGGGATTACTTTTTATAGATAATAGTAATTGATTGAATCAGCAATGTCATTAAAGCAATGGTTCCATGATGTCAATATAACATATGTTGCACAAAGAAACAAAGTATTGCTCACTAACTTGGTTATTGTATGTAAGTCCCAGGTAGCGGGAGAGCTGCGCCCTGAGATTTTTCGACCAGCTTTTGTCATCATGTGCAATGGAGCTGGTCAGGGTTTCCGACAAGTCCATAATCTTATTATCGAGCCTAAGTCTTGTGCTCCACCTCAATCTTGGTGCCTTGTTCAGGTGTCTTGGTGAAATTTCCGTCGGCCATCTCAACACCTTTAGCTACGTCGTGGGTATCCCCAAAAGGTCCATCCATCTGCTCGAGCAGTATTTTACGTATTTCAGGCAAGAACCGCCATATGAACGCTACTAAGAACATCTTGGTTCACATAAAGTATGTCGAGTGCCCAATTTTAGCACCGGAGCTGCGACCTGGGACTACGTTTAGACAAGCCGGCGCTCCTCATTTTATCTAGGATAGAGCGGAGAATGACGAGTTTTTTGAGGGCTATGTCCGTATGTGCTTAGAAATACCATAGTTTCTAGATACATTATAAAATTCCCACTTAAATGGATAATTTATAATTTAATACCGAACGTCAAGTCTCTTGCCTCGTTTTCCGTAATGTAAAGGTAGCGACCTTGGCGTATGAGCACAGGAACTGCGCATTCTGGGCTGAGGTCTGTTGGACACAGTTCTAATCAAACACTTCCATGCCGAGTCAATTTTGTGAGAAGGCTCCCCAACAAACTGCACGTCGTACCCATTTTAGCTGCTAAAAACAATACCGTTAGCTGTAAATCCGGCAGCACCTGTAAAGTTTTCTGTCGACCTGGATCCCGTGCCAAGAGAAGCCTTATACACAAAGGTATCCAATCAATGCCGATATATACAGACATGACTGACTGAATTCTTACCAAGACCGTCATTAGCAATTCTAATTGATGCTGAGTTGAGTCGCACGGCCAAACTATTGGGATGATTTCCACATCTAGCACAACTTTGCCAGTGACAAAGTCATTAAATAGCAACTAATAAGACATATACGATCTCGGAGTAACATATCGGTAATTAAAATTTTCGCTAGTATGGGGACTGATCCTTGACGAGGAGGTAGAGATTGATAATCTGAAGATCGAACATGTGGTATTTTGATTGTTAACACAAGAGTATGTCGATAATCAAATGTTACTGCAAATAAAAGGAACGCGATTATTAACAAATAGCATGAATGTAAAAGAACTTAAGAGCTTGGGCAAGGCGTGTTGACATCAATTATAATCTTACTAAGCATTAAGGAGTGTTTAACTCAGGACGCATGAGAGACTGCCAATAATTCCAGCATCGGCGGCTACACAAATGTCGCAGATCAGTATAGGCAAACCACGCGGCAATGGCGATCCGCCAAACCCGCCAATTATTAGACCTCGGTGGTAACTTTGAACAACCAGCTCAGGTGGAATTGGGTTGAGCTTTTCTCTATTCTTTAGGACAATAATATTGTCTCTACGCCCGTGGGACTTGAACAAAGTAGGCCTCTGTGGATGTTGCTTAAATAAGTCTTCAAGGTTAGTCAGGTATGTAGTGACACCTGGCAGATTGTGGTTGAGAGCGGAGGACTTTTTGGTGCTACCATCCAAAAGAATGACCATTTTGAAAATGGCTTCATCTGTGCCGTAGGGTCGCATCTCTTGCTTGTAGTTGGGGTTAAATTCGTGCCAGGCGCAGTCTTCACGAGGTGGTTGGATCTCAGGAACAACCCGGATTTTCGTTGCACCGTAAGGTGATATGATTTCGGTGACCTTTGAAAGATTATCTCTGACTGCATCACGGAAAGGAGCGCCAATAGGAGTCACGAAGTCCATGTTTTTGGAAAAAGAAAAAAAGGACCACCCAAAAAGAAACCCTGATGCCCTTCAGCTCTGCAAGAACATTTTCTATGAGTGACGACACAAGGACCATCGCACTCACATTCCGCTGCTGTAGACTTATTTCAACAGGTCGCCGTCAGGAACCATGTGCGGAGGGCCTAATATCGGAGAAAAGTTTCTGAAAATTGCATTTTCTGTGCGGATATTAGCACAGGTTCTGGCCCGAATGCTCAGGATCTGGCTTATGAGTCAAGGATAGGAATCCCGCCAGATGTACAAGTCAGCCAACACGAAATAGCCACAGTACAGAGAGGTCTAGAGAGTCTTACGTGGAAGATGGAAACATAACGAACACTCGTGCTTCACCTTCAAAGTCCTAACCTGATGAATCACGCTTCTTGGGCCTGTTAATTTTGAGTAAAGTATAACCATTGTTTGGCACTGCAAACGTGTCATGCGTTATAGTGATCGGCATGGGAGGACTTGTGTTATTCAGCTTCATGATGTCCGCACCTTACCAAACCGTGATCTTACCTGTCGATCCCGAGGAGTGCAATATAACTATGGGTTCGTTTCTAGCATCATCAAAGCTGTTTTGATAAAGAAAGAAAGTAAATAGAATCACTAGCCATCATTTTATAGATGGACGAGATGACTTCCTTGCGGATTGATGCCTCTGCTTTCTACATATATCTAAGGATAGGTGTCACCTCAACTACATGCACTAGTAATGTAATTCCAGTCTAATCCATGAACAACAAGTTGATAGCGGGCGGATTACCGGGCGAGGGATGTAGGACTCAATAAAGGCATCAGTAGGCTTGTACTTCATAGCTCCCAAAGAAGTCACACCTTATACACGCATTTCACAGCTCCTAGAAATATCGCAATGCTTCGAAGGTTAGAGATTCCTATATAAGTAATAGTCGCAAAGTGATCGCTGCAACCGAAGTTGCCTTCAATCCATTTGGCGGTGAAGTTGACACATCCAGCGACTATCCGATATGGTAACATCGCGAAACCCGTCCTTGACATTCGGGTGTCTTGGACTGACAGCGTAAAGTCTATTAGGATTTGTTGCTGCAAGCTGGTTAAGAACTACAGACAGTGGCCTTCGACTGTAAGCTAGGTTCATACCTAAAGTCATGCTGAAATCGAAAAATAGGATGCAGAATAATGGGATCATGGGTGGAACATCACATCCGCGCCATGAAGGGATTTTAATGCCATTCGAGTATTATATATCAAGCAAGGAGGCTGTTCATGTATGGGAATCGCAACACCTGGATCATCTTATGGCGCATGGGGCTCCATGCAAGCATCACTTCGGCTTCAGCAATAACAGCTCACTGATGGTGTATTATCGTGCATGTTTAGGTAGTAATGAGCGCATAGCCACACGCATCTCGCATCTACCCCTCATCGTTTGGTGGTTACTTTGCTTATCAAATTGCGCTGTCGCGGCGGTGGGTAAAGCACCTCTGTGTATCATATGAACCAACCAATCAGTGCCAGTTACCACAGGCCTACTTTGATGGAGCTGCAATATCGGAACAGATCACGTCAGATATCCCCGGCGCAACACGTCATTGAAGCGCACTGGCAAGGCGCGTGAAATCGAAGAATAAGAGATGGCTGGAGATATCAATGTTTCTTTCAACTTGTCTAGGGTATAGCATTAGCAATTAGAGATACAAGTAGAATTACCATGTAGCGGCTGCGAGCTGGTTGCCAGCCCGCCTTAACCAGAACAAAATTCTTCAAATTGCCTGAAGCAGAAGATGCTCAGTAGGGTGAATGGGCACGGTTCATTTTACCAACTTCAACCGGTCTGGTCGAAGCGGCCAGCAATAGTAGAATTGCAAAACTCCTAATACTTCGGGTACCGACAAGAGTTTTCTCAATCAATTATATTAGTCTTCAAGCTGCCTCATCAACAACCCTTGTACTAACCTTGGTCGCCAAAATATAAATTTTGGCTGCAGGTTTCTGTAACTGAACGCGATGCTATCGCCCTTCAACGTGCTTGACATAAGTATTCGCGGGAGTGCCATGTGGGATGTAGGCTTAGACAGCTCTAGCCTTCGTATAATTCCTTCATTTAATTCCTTCTCTATTGCGAGGGAGCCTGAAGTTTTCAGGTTCTTTTCAGACGTCCAAAATACTCCATCAGGAAAAGGCTCCCGACTAAGCCCCCCAAAAATATCCGCGAGAGTGAAATTCGTCAAGACTTTCGAGAGCTTTCTGAATCTCCTGGCTAATACCGAGTTTCTCTGCGGGAGTCAGAGACTTCGATATCTCTCCTAGCACATGGCCATCGACGTATTCTATAACGACAAAAGTACAAGTTGTCTTCGGCTCGATCATATTGCGAAAAGCTTAGGCACAGGAACCTTTCTATTTGCTGACAAATATTAAAGATTATGTGCTTCTAGATGGGGACCCGCCACAGAACTTGACCACGAAATGGTCGCCGACTTTCATCACAGTTACGGAGGCATCGGAAGGACTCGGATTTATGTTGAGGTATATATTTAGGCACTTGAATGGAGGGTAGGGTCCAGAATTCTGTGAAATATTGGTTTGCGAAGAGAGCATCTAAATCAGGAGAAAGTGCAGTGTAAAACTGTGATCTGCCGGCATATCCCGTGTAGGAAGTGTGGCTTTTTGCGCAAAAAGAAATGCAACAACATACAACCTAGTTCTAAACTAAGGTTACTGTACTATGTACCTCCCTGGCGTGAAGGGATCATTTGCCCCGCATCTTGTGCTACGGGGATAGGGAGGATCCGTAACACATAAGCCGCACTGCCAAACTAGGGTGTAGATCTTTCGGATCCAGTATTCGTGATGTAAAGGGCCAGTCTCAGCGGGGTTAATGTAAGGGATCATAAGCATAGCTTAGGACTAAATTAGTAAGAGGGACTTGTCAACTCCTACACCCTCTCCGTAAACATACTTATAAGGGACATTACGAAACAATTTCAATGAAAATCCGGTTCACTTCTATATACTCTAATTCACGGTGATACAAAATATTCATTCAGGATTGGTAAACGACGAAGCATATCCGACTGCCACGTGCAACCCCGCTTTCAGGCAGCACCTCATTGACACATGTTTCCGTACAAAGTATAAGATAAGCGACATCCGATCAAGTTTTTAATATACTTGATTAACTTTTAAATCTGGAAACCAGTCTGCCACGGGTAACCGTCATTGGCTCGCTTTCTAGGACTATTGCAACGCCGAGGCCGGACACCTACATATCCCTGTACCATCCTCTGTCACGATGTCGACGGAAGTAAGAGAGTTAAAATATTAACATAATCAGGCCGGAATTGATCGGCCACAATCCTTGGCAGAGCGTTGGTCTTGCTAACTTGTCCCTTAATCTAGGCAGGAATAACCTCATCCATCGTCGCCACCACCCTTGATGGTGGTTCCACGACGAGCTCAGTAGCAACATCTGTCACGCTCAAGCCTTCGTCTGTTTCTAAACTCAGCCCTATCGCTAGAGCGGCTAGAGGAAAAGAGATAACAGGACTCAAGATTTTTCAAAGATCGCCGGACGACACGACGGCAGCCAGAGCAATGGAACTTATTTCAGAGATGAACGCAGACATCCCCACTGGAGGCACGGACATAGCATATGGGGAGAGAGATTCTCATCGAATCCGTTTCTGGAAAGCCAAATCAAGTAGGGCTCCATTAGTCCTCTTTGTCCATGGCGGTAGTTGGCAAGTGGGGACATATCTGGACTCAGTTGGCTCAGCCAAAGTTGGCCATTTGACCTCCAGAGGTTATGCATTTGCTACCGTCAACTATACACTCATACCGTCGGTGAAAGTCGAGGAGCAAGTGCAGGAGGTGGCTAACTCGTTGAGCTACCTGGTCAAGAATGCGAGCAAACTTGACTTAGATTCCGAAAGAGTCATTTTGATGGGCCATAGTTCTGGCGCACACGTTGCTACCTTACTGGGCACGGATACGAGCTATTTAGCGAGGGCAGGGATGAGTATCGATATCGTGCGAGCTGTCATATCCTTGGATGGCTCGAACTATAATGCAATGGCGGAGATTACGGATAGTCCGGGCCCGGTAGCGGAAAACCTGATTTATGGACTCGGTACTGACCCGAAGCGGCTACGTGCCATGTCACCTACATACAACGCGCGTGCGCCTAATGCTCGCGCATTCTTACTCCTCCATGTGCTGAGGCAGGGTGACATTCGCCAAGTTGTCGAGTTTGCGGCGGCACTGAACGCTGCAGGTACCGACGCTGATATACACGTATTCGAGGGCCAAAGTTTCGAGGGCCACATGCAAATGCTTCTGCGGCTTGGCGACTCAAAATATCCGGCGACATTAGTGATGGATGACTGGCTCAATAAACACGTTCCAGTAGCCTAGTCTCTATTGATCCGATTATATCGACCGTTCATATTGAAGATTTACTCAAGGCCTCTAATAAATTTCAGTATGCGAAGAGAAGTCACTCACATGAAAAATCTATTGTTTTAGATTCTCTAACTTCTATTGGCAATGCTACTATACAACTATTGGTTATATAATTCATTCAAAGTATAGTAAATATCTCCATTCCTCCACGGGCTTGCCTATTAAACAGTGTACAGATACGTGGCGAGTTAGAAGGACAATACCTGTCCGGCATGAGAAGCGACGTAAGCCTTGACATTTGCCGAGCCCAGGAGCGTGTAGGAATAGGGTACAGAGGTCAGGTTACCCTCTGGAGCAAGATTCTGACTGCCGCCAAGATCAACATCATTCACCACGGCGTAGCCCTCGTAGGTATTATCGTCGGTGAATATGGCCTTCTTCGGGCAATTTTCGAAGGTTGAGCTTTCGACCAGAACTTCTGCGAGGTCACGTGTGTTGATGGCAGTATCTCCAAGGTTGGAATAGTAGGAGCTAAGTAGGGGTTAGTAGGTTAGTAAAGGAATCAAAGTTGAAACCGTCCTGGGACACTTACTTATACAAGTGACCCTGCAATTGACTAATTAGTGTCCAATCTATAGTGCTCATAGAGGGTTCAACTTACAGTACCGAATCTGTACATTGGGGTCCTCGAATTGATGTTGTCCCACCAGTTGTATGCAAAGGTAACATGCAGGTGACCCACATCCTCGGCCTCATTCTTAGAAGAGTGGCCAACAAGGCATCCTTTCCACTATCATATGATAAGCTGAATGCAATTGGCGATGTCATCGTCCTGCAGCTTACATGGTCATGGAAATAGTTATTGGTGATCGATACCCATTCGGACGCATGGACAGTATCTACAAGGCCGTCATAGTAATCTTTACCGTGATCAAGGTCATTCGAGAAATCGGAAGAATCAACCCAAACATTAGATGACTTCTGAATGGTAACACAATCACCATAGTCGGCGAGAACCTTCGAGATCTTCATGTTACGGACGATAACATTGGACTGGCCCAAGATAGTGAGGCCAATTCCGGTAAGACCTAGTTGGAGTAAGCGAGGACCGTTCTGAAATTTAAAGAGTGAGGAACGTACTGGACCCCGGCAAGCCAATAATGGACTTGTCCGAGCCGACCTCAACCTTGGCAGCGCCCGATAGAGCACCACTGAGCAGAATAACATAGGGACCCGTCGCATTGGCTACTGCAGTAAACTGAGCCAGGGAGGAGACAGTGGTAGTAGTTCCACCTGTGCCGCCGGTCGTACCTCCATTCTGCGTGCAGAACCCAACGGTGCAAGCATCCGTAATGGTAGCTCTTTTCTCAATGGTACGAGCATCTAATGTACCATCTTCAGTTGGTGTAGGACTGGCAGCCACCAGGCCTGCAAATGAGGCGAAAAGAGCAATGGCTTTCATGTTTCAAATCGCACAGAAAGTTCGAAGTTGGCACGTTTGATTGAAGGAGCACACTTATTTTAACGAAGAATCACAGTATTTCTCCCATGATATATAGTCAATGGAATTTTATTTTGTTCGCTTCGGAAGCGTGGACGGAGTATAGCACCCCCAATTAGTCCATGTATGACAAGATACCTGCAGCGAGCCTCAAGATAATCCTCCAATAAGAACGGAGCGTTAGGGTGGTACACGGAACCAGTTCAGCCGCTTTACTATTATGTCTTGGCCAGTCCATCGCCTAAATAGTTCCAAGCAAACTCATTAATATACGTGAAGACGACCACCTTCCTGAATACGTCTGTTCAAATGATTGTGGCATATTGGACGCGAAGACAACATGATTAAAGTTGTAATATGATGGGGCTCTGTTAGTTGCCACCTGTGTGCTAGCAGCTTTTGGTAGCGGGCAGCTGCGGGATGTCCCTAGCGTCGTGCTACCGCTAGACCAACCCACCGTCTGGATATCTTCCTTTGGTTCAGATAGGGTTCCAAAATATCTGGCTAACAAGTATTATATCCCAATTTTCTCTTTGCCTATTGGGCGAAACTAATACGGGAAGCTAGATGGTGTGAAATGGTGGAATTTTCTTATTTATCGTTCGCTCGATTCGTGTGAGACATGTCGGCTGTTTAATGGCCAATTAAATGTTTGAAAAACGGGATAAGGAATAAGCCGAGCAGCCACAAAAACCACAACGTCTTCCAAGCGAAATCATTCGCCTCCTGATCTCGGTTTAGTAACAATGTCTTTGTCAGCATCGCTGCGCCCAGCCAAGCTGCACCTGATTCTTTCCATCCGGCGCTCCAGAACCAATATGACAGGAGCGTGAACAAAAATAGTCCGCCGGAGGCGACCAATCTAGCATTCCAATCGCCTATCACAATAGGGATTGTTTGCCTCCCAGATGCTTTGTCGCCAGCCACATCTCTAAAATCTTGAACATGGACAGTTGTCACGATTGCACAACCGATAATCAGCATCCAAGTTGCCAATTGATAGTCTGTAGCGATGCTCCTTTGCAACACAACCTCAAGCGGCCCGGCTAGGAAACATGAGATACCAATTCCGTTCAGAAGGTTCTTCAGAAATGGGTCAGAACCCCCTTCGAAATGGTTGTACCACAAACATGCTCCTAGCTCCAGCAGCGAGACGTTCAACCCCCCGATCTTTGCCGCGAGCAACACCGTCAGGGGATACAGGAGACAAAGCAGGATTCTAGTCTGTCGCTCGCTTATGCGACCTTGGGGAATAGGCCGCCAGGGCTTATTGATGGCGTCCTCTGTTAATCCTCCCAATTGATTGTGGAGATTGAATATGAGGAGATGACTCCATGTCCAGAGGATCATCGAAGGCACAGCTAATAGTACTTGGAACATGGAAAAGTCCGGACCTCCATACGCCTTGTGTGCTATCAAGCCATTGAGAACCCCAAAAAACACGCCGACAGTGGGCAAGTTGAAGATGTCGTTGCGAACGAACAGCCAGGCGGTGAGAGCATGGTAAGAAACGGACGCGACAAGGGTGTTCAAGGACCCCGTAGATGAAAGTGAGAATCCGCGAGTATCGAGGATCCTAGGATGATGGGTTGGATCAGCGCGAGGCATGGCATCCGTCGGTCGTTGGCTGCGATAAAACGCCAGCGTAGAATTAACTTGCACTGACAGCACCCTGATGCAACACCAAGCCGACGAAGGGGGCTTCTTAAGGAAACCCGCGCTACGTTTCCACATGTCTTGTTTTACGGGGCCTCGACCAGGATGGATACACAATAGAGAGGGTGATCTGCGGGTTATTGAATGCGTGCGTCATTTGGGAAATAGCCACGCATCAAAGCAACGGTGCCGGTGCGAGTCAAGGAGATGGTAACTCAATCCGGAAAACCGCTACGTTACGCTAGAAGTGAGGCACTGCAACTAACTCGACTGCAATTCGTTTTAGGCAGAGCTAAGGGCCTTGGATTAGCAAGTTCAGAGGATTCGCTTATGCTGTTTTGATCCCGAAGCCCCGGGTCCCCGTTAAGGTTCGATGGATGGCTAGGAACGTGTTAATGGTGCCGCGTTCCTTTGGTGAATTAACAAGAATCTTGATCCAATGGCGTGGCATGCTGGCCTATTTATATGATAGTGCAACAATAGAGTTGAGATAACACCTAGCGCAACCTTTTGTCTCATGCAACCGATAGACTATAGAAGAACATACTACACAAAGAGTTTGTGTCACCACAATTGCCAAATCCTTCGAACGTCCTCTTCCAGTGAGGCACCAGCTGAAGGGGCGTGAAGTTCGTGGCGATGGCAAATTTAGGTTCCACATGCCAAATGCAAGAGTACGAATGGGTCAGAACCATGCTCCATAAGCATGAAGGAGTTGCACTAGGATCATGGGATTTGCATCGTCTTGACTGGTTCCTTGTGGTCCTGCAAAGAACTCTCCTGATGTGGTGCCCCGCTAAGACTTGATTGAGCCTGTGGGGACATCTCTAGGGTCCCTTGGATGTTTCGGGTACTTTTAGTAGTGGCTGTAGCACCACTGTCGGCGATTACTGTTTGCTACTTGTGCATACCATGATTCCATGTTCGCACGTTGACTACCGTACTTACGTTGTAAATGACTCGGCATCATTCCTCCTCCCTGCCCTCCTCCTTACTGTGTACTTGTAACGACTCTGTCCCTGGCCCCTTCCCCTTGAAGCCTTTGAGGGATTTTCAGTGGACTGCAGGCGAAGTGACAGGTTGGGGTGGTAGGGGTTTCGCGGCATGCAGTGTAGTTTCCGCGATGCAGCAACATCATTTCGCATGTGATCAAGTAAGTATTCGTTTAGTCAGAGCCTCCGAGACAACTTGCTTCTAACTAGTCTACTATATGCTCAAAGTGATGAGTTTTGCTTGAAAGCTGTTGCAGTGTGTTTTACAAGTAAAGTAATCTTGTGTTTAATTTTGTTCTCCAGTCTCCGTCGATTCTAGACCGGGGCCAAGGCCACAAAATGCACCCACTTTGTGTGTCTACTAGTCTAGTGTCTACTGCAGCATCCGGTGCCAATACTAGTATCTCAAACCCAAGAAATTCCTGCGGGTCCAACACGAAGCATGAATTTGCGGCGGTTAATCCGTACTGTAAGTTCGAGTTCCAGAATCCGTAGTACATAGGAGTAAGAAGAATTAATGCGCGTTAAGAATCGCCAGTTGCGGACCTCAGGCCAGGAACCGGTAGCGTACCAACTGATCCACATGATGCACAGCTGGCTCGCAGCTCTATGCGTTAGCCCTGCCCACAATACTATGCACAACTCCTGGCTTCATGGAATGATAATCTTCTGTTATCATATGATGTGATGGTATATTTCGTAGCATCCGTTACGACATCGCCAAATTGTTAATCAACTGCAAACCTTGGCTTCGTGGTCAAGCTTCTTAGGCCATCCAGATTCATGGCCAACAGTAACATGCCACGAGTGGAAAGTTAACTCAACGTAAGATTGAACTTACCGACAATCTATGAATGCATATTAGATGTATGGTACTCCAAATCAAGCTCACCGCTGGACTATAACTGGACGACGCGCCAAACCCTGTTCGCCGTCATCCCCACTCCCGGGATCCGGCTTAGTTAGCTGTCAGATTCCGTAAGACTGGTACGCTATTTCCCAAGCACGTGGATATCGTGCTGTCCATTGCGCATCGCGGTTCGACAATTTGAGAAGCATGAGTGGTCAGGCCTTCGACTTTGACTTCGGCTAACCTTCCCCACCAACAGCAAACATTTGATCGCGCAGCAGGCGGCATGGCCGATACACACATATCTTGGGACCAAACAGACATGTTTCGGTAGAATCTGGGGCGCCAGTACGACCTACGATCAGGATTGAACAACGCACAAATACCCGATAAAAGGACCAGGCCAGGGCTTGTGGATTGCGATAAACGTGCTCTTAGAGGTTCAACATGATCAAGACGAGTCATGATGACGATGCATGTGCTTGATTCATTTACAGTGAAAAGCAAGAACCAAACTTCATCGGCCTTGTGTGCATGCACACAGCCAGCCGCAAAGGCGATGGTTGACAATGGAGCTCTTTGCCACGCTTGCGGAGTACATCAGAAGTTTCCAAAGCCGAGTTGTGCAATCCCTTGCTGTGATACGTGATGATGATGGTCAAAATACCCGGTACTAACGTGGCTAGTGTTAACTCAATCTGCTCCTGCACATATGAATCAACTTGGAGGTTGAATCAGTAAATACGTGGAAGCAATTGACCGCCGCCAGTGCGTATGGGAAATCCGATATGCGATTCTGGCTTGAAAACGACCTTTCACTTCAAACTCAAGTCGCACGGATTTGAGGATCCAATCATTTGGAACGATGTTCTTAGACCATACAAGTCAGTCAATGTCAGTATAGCACCCGCCATATTGCTTCGCTTCTAAGCCCGTTGGCGGACCGATGACTAGAAAGTACCATAACTTCTCCCATAGCTCATCGGCTATGAAGAATGTATACTGCCGGTACCAAAAGAGGATCAACTGCCCATCAACCGAAGTCGGTAACCTTTGCCGCTTATGATGCAGGGGTTGCGTGAGCTCGCCCGAGGCCCTAGCTGGCTCTTGCTAACTACGTGGCATTACACATGCCGAAGTGCATTCCGTATATGCACAATGTCCCTGCAAATCTTCCATGGTTGTTTTTTGAAGGACATGCTGCAAGGGTTGAAATCCTGCCCGGACGCACCGTGTGGCATAATGCAAGGGCGACCGACGTGCATTGCGCAAATACATTCCTGGTTGTTTTATTAGCCATGGATTTTGTCGAGATACCATGTAATGTTGGAGAAAGATGAAACCACACGCTTGAGGGCCCTCCTGCTTGCTGAATTGTGCCGATCCAGTTTGCGAAGGAGGCCATCTTGATTCAAATCTAGCGTGGCCCGCTCTCCGATATCCCTGAGCCTTCCCACAATCGTCCAGCCAGGGTGGCGCATGCTAAAACTCAAAACGACTACAATCAATTTCTACGAGACTCTACTTGATCCATAGTATAAGAGAAACAAACGATGAGAGCCGCTAAATCAATAGATAACGATATAAGCGATACTTACAGAGTCTAGTGGTACAACATGGGATAAGATAGCGTCGTTGTGGTTTGACTGTTCGAGTTTGCGTACTACAGCCACGTTCGCTTTTAGGCCGATAACTTTATAAAACAGTATCGAAATTCCTTTGTTCCTAATTATGAAGAAGGCGAGCGCGATCGTTTACTTCTCAGAACCACGATGTTTCGCAGCTCCCACAAGAGTCGTTTTGGCGGAATAAAGGAAACTAATGTGTACTAGCTAGCTGATGTGCTACCACAAAAGAACACAAAAGTTTCTAGCTCTGCTATGCATCGACTTCACACAGCTGCCTTATTGTCACGTGTTCCTGACACTGTATCGCCTTCCGCAGCTGGGTTGCTATTATAGGTTGCTACCACGACGGCGCCTAACCGCTGCAACTGTATCGTTTCCGCATTCGTGGGCAGCTTTATTAGGACAGCACATAGACCCCATCAGAACCATGTATCAAACTAACCGAGGTTAGTGTCATCGCCCGTCAGTCAGAGCAATAGTCTCACGCTACACTGAGCTGACGCTTTGAGGTCATCCTCTGCGCCGTTGCCCTCAGCATGGCGCCACTGGATCTAAGCCCTGTCAAATGACCCCACTGTTGTAATTGGTGTTGCAAATTTCTTCCTTTCGCAATTTCACGCCGCTGCGCACCGAGCCTGCCGCTTTCGTGTCGCAATAGTATTGCTCTTCGTTCTCAAACCAGGTATTTAGAGATGCATGGATGCATCTGCTTCTCTGTTTCCTAATAAGGTTGCTACAAAAATGTTTCCACCACCAGGTACACCGTCAGACTTTGTCTTGCATACGAGAAAACCACTGAGTTAAGAGCTTTCATTGCTACTTTTGCGTGGCCCAGATCGCGTGGTTATCTGGGAGTGTCACGTTGGAGCTGGTACATCTCATGAAGTATTTCATTTGACTGCGTCCGAATAATTCATTTAGCAGTAAAGAAGAAATCCAGCTTTCATGGACTGAACACTAGAGTATGGAATTAGGATATTAGCAACGACAATGGCAGCCAATGGATCTAGGCTCTCTCAATAGTCGTGTCTATCAAGTTCAAGTAATGAGGCCTCAAATTAGCGCCAGTAGTCATTCCAACTGTGGAAGCGACTCTTTCGCAAGATTCCACATCACCGTTTTAATGCATCCAGCAGATCATGTAGAAATGACATAGCCAAATCGATACCCAAGCTTTGGGTATGCACATATTACTCTCATAAAAGTAGAAAGTCCCCCGGCTCAGTAATTGTCTGACATGGCCCGCCGTGTTCGGCGAGTGGCTATAGTTGAGTAATCTGACCCACCCCAACAGATCACCATCTATCTAAATCAGCTTGTTTTGAATTTGCATCTTCAGATTGCATGGTATGCCAAGAACAAGGCGCAGTCCTCTTCATAATTCAAGGTTGAGCTTTTCGAAGTCTTTGGAACTAGATTTAACAGGACAACAATGTGTAGGCTCAAAGCCTTTCATTAATTGAAATTGTTGAGGATATCCCATCCGAGCCCCCCCTTGAGCTGAAGTGCCGGAGGCGACCACTGCTGATCAGGTCTCGAATCATGGGCCAGTGCACAAGCTAGTAGGTATATGGCATTCTTTGCGACAAGCTTCGGACGATTTCCTTAGCCAATGGCCGATCTTACAGCATTCCCCGCAAACTTTTATCAATGTATAGTATCAAAATTGGTTCCGATTCTGTGCTCTTTGTTGCGATTGGCTGTTCCCTTTTATTGGCAATGCTTCACCCCGCAGGATCGAAGTCCACTATTGGGCTTTGAGCGTCGCCCATGGCCTGTCAGCGTCCGATGTTTCGCCCTGTAGTGATATATAATAACAAGCCAACGTTCATCGGCAATAATATACTTAGCAAACCTCCTATTAAAACCAATATGCCGAGTACACTATAGGGTTGCAACGTTTCGAGCCATGTGATTGCCAAGGCATATTCGAGCGCGCACGTCCAGCGATATGTGGTCATAATACAATGGCCACAAGATGTATAAAGCCAACAGATTCAGCAAGGTGTAATGACTTGCGTGTCAAGTACATCGCATCAGCATGTGGCACAGTAGCGTGATCAGTTTCTTCCTTCTCACCTCAGTCGTATCGCAGAAGACACCAGTAGACGAAGGTCTGCTGGCAGATTTCAAGCGCTATGCCACGTTTGCCTCAGCAGCATACAGCTCTAGTTGTGCCCAGCCACCGTTGGGAAGCGTCGTGGAGCAGTACTTCAGCGACATCACCACCAGCACGCAAGCTACTCTATTCAGGGACGATGCTACCGAGGAATATATCATATCGTTCCGAGGAACATCTGATGTCCAAGATTTCTTGACGGACTTGGATCAGGACCTTGTACCTTGCGTCGCACCCGGGATTGATTGCTCAGGTTGTACGGTAAGTGAAGGCCCTGGAGCGGCTGCGAGGAGCTTTCATGCGTTAGTCGCTGATGACTTATTTATGTATTCAGTGCTCTCAAGGCTATCTGCGTCAATACAATGCCGTTGCCGAAGAAGTCAAGACTGCTATTGACACCGGTCTCAGCCAGCACCCTAACTATAGCCTAACAATCACCGGACATAGCATGGGCGGCGCGCTTGCTTCACTCGGGGCAGCTTCACTGCAGGGCCAAGGTTTGAGTGTAACGCCCTACACCTACGGCCAGCCACGCACGGGTGATCAGGCCTATGCCGACTACATAGACTCGACCTTTCCAGACACCATATTCCGCGTGACTCACAAGAACGACGGCGTTCCTCAAATACCATCGCAGGATGATGGGTACCGACACCATAGCACAGAATACTGGCAAAGCGAAGACCCACCAACGATAAATGACACATTCCAATGCCAAGGACAAGAACCCACCGATTGCAACCAGAGTGAGATTGGATTTGGTATCGGTAATGATGGGAGAGGCATTAATGCAGCTCATTTGAGTTATCTGGGGGTTAGCATTGGAAATCCTCTTGACCCAAATGCAGCTTGCTGAGGTAATATCTGATTTGGTGGGTGGGTGGGTATGATGCAGGTGGGAGATAATGGGACGAAAGGACTTCAAAAAGCAAGACAAAGCAACATTTGTATGTGACGCGATGTGGTAGATCCCCGAATGTTAAAATTCCAACGCCTGACCTTGGGTAATATTGTGCCTATCTGATACCTAAGATCCAGTTAACTATGACACACGGTGCCAACCAAAAGATTGTCTCCCACCGCAGCGGCCGAGATGATTATTGGTCCGCCCGACAGATCCGGCGGCTTTGCAAGATGGGCTCGGAGCGCATTATGAAAATAATGGGGCGTGATGGTTTAGCGAACTAAATTGATCAAGACTTCAATGATTGAATTTAGGTCATTTACTAGGAAATGGATTGAGAAACCTAATTGGAACAGCCAGGCTAGGTGCTGCATCAGCTACTCAACAATAACACGGAGACGACCGGACAAAGGCTAAGCATTGAAAGGACATGATTTATTCGTACTGGCCATGTCTGGGCTAGTATAAACATCTCTATAATTCTTCTATTTCTATGGTCAGGAATGAGCCGTATCAGCGACTGCCTTTAGCGATTGTACCCGTTTCTCCAACACCTTTTGGTGTTTACGAAAGTGCGCTGCTTGTGTGAACAGTGCTTCACTTTGCTTGAATTGATAAGAGCAGTAGCCTTGAACTGGATGATTTTCTTCCCCCTCTCAATCATCGTGTTCCGGACCAAAGCTTTGGATCCCTGAAGTTCAGGAGGAAGGTTGTCCACTAGATGGATGTCCTCTAATAGAGCAGGTAGCGGGTCAGATCTGAACCTAAACTTGATAGCGAGTGAATGCCATGCTTCTTGTTTGCTTCTTGTTTGCGTCTTTTTCTAATTCTAGCACTGTTGTCATCCGCGCGAGATCTCTGTATAGATTTGTAAGCCTGCCAACCAGCTAGTGGGCTTTTTCAATTAAAAGGCAAGTGAAATACGATTAGAATATAGCATTAACGGCTGCTATAATATAGTGAATTTTATGTAAATCAACAAACATACAATAAGAATAACCTATCCATTTTCTTATAAAATTTCATAAAGACTCATGATTATATGCGACCTTCCACCCCGTTTCAATCCACCTCGCCCTTTAAAATTTGCGGTATAGCTCATGCGTCTAGCTTCAAGTTTTCAGAGTTCTTAGTAAGGCCTTTGCCCAAGGTAATTACCAGGGGGCGAATATCTAGCAACGATGTAGACACCACCGTTGGCGGCCGTAGCATTAGCCATTCCAATCTTGTTTGTAGACGACCACATGACTTGAGCTAGAAGGCGGTGTCTATCAGTATTGCCTCGAGTTCTTTAGGCTTCCGGACTCAAAAAAGGACTTACTATAATGGCCATAAGCCGCAAAATTGCCTTGGGGAATGATCTCATTATTATAGTTAGAGACTTCAGCTACCCAGCCTTGAGCGCCTTGTGTTAATGGGTATAAGACGCCGTCGGAGTTACTGTATTATGAGACCTGGTTAGTTGCGTATTCAATAGTGATATAACAAGAAAAGGGAGAAGATAGAAAGGAGATGTGACCAAAGCTAATACGTACAAAGAATAGGCCAAATTCTCTCCTTGGTTAGCTCGTTGATCGGATGTAGAATGCATAAGACTGTCAATCGACGCAAGGTGGTTGGCCCATTGCTGCGCATCCGCGGCCAAGTTGTCGTCCCAGATAAGGCTCTTTAATTCTTTTGTTAATCGTTGGTCGTTCTGAGTCTTTAATGTAGTAGCTTGGTCCGAGGAAAGAGTCGTAGGCTGCGTGGTCCTCTTCTTAACGAATCCCTCAAGAGAATTGTTAGCTACCCGTGCATTAACGTAGATTATCTGGCTGAGGACGAATAAGGGCATGAGTATGATCTTCATTTTTTAAATCGGGAGATTAATTAATGTTAGGGAATTGAGTTTGGTGAAAAGATAGTTATGTTAATTAAAGCCAAAGATAATGATTTAAGCTAGAGATTCTCAAGGTTTTATATCCCATTCAAAGAATGCGCCCTCGATATAGTGTTAAACCGGATAAGAGGCCATTTAAGACAAATAGCTACTAATCATCATATTGAATTTCTGTAAACATGTGCTTGTTAGCCTGAACATTCGTGGTTAATCCTATTGACTCGTGGTTGCCACCGGCTAAATGCAACCATAATAAGGTTCACGGGTTATTACTCGTCGAGACATTGGGGGATAATTGCGTTTTGCCTCTCTCGATATCATAGTCCACTAAATCTTCTACATCCATCGAATAGCATAGCTTTTTCCCACCAGTGCGGTATATGTTATGAATCGCGACTGGTGTTCCTTGTACCTTAGTCATTTTATTAAAAATGTCAGAAGTGTCAAAATGAAAGTCTAGCCAATAATAACGCCTCCCAGGATCTAGAAGTCTAGGGTTGAAGTAAGACATGCTTAGTTCCTTCAATTGTCTAAAAGGGTGTAAGAAATGACTTACGGCGATAAATCTGACTCGCGAAGAACATTATTGCCACGATGCATTCCCTTAAAGCGTTTGCTAAGAGTAAAGTATAGCCTCTTAAAACTAGGACTTTCATCCTCTTGCGTCAGTGGCTGAGACTAGCCTATTCTAACAGCCCGAGATCATAGACGATTTTCCTAAGATTGTTGTCAGATTCGAATACATCTCCGGGAGGAGCTTACATGTTTCCAAACTTCATCGGATGGAAAACGTGCCCTCTCGTTAGGACTTGAACGGAGTAAGTAATTTCTTAAATATATCGAATCTAGATTGTTTACTTCCGAATGTTTTAGATACTCTAGCCGACGCAAAAGGTCCTGCCGTTAGCGTTCCCATTATATCACGATACGTATAAAGTAATACGTAGCCGATCTTAATGAAATGCGTTCTCACCACGTTATATACTCGAGGCTATAATATACGCAGAGCTCGGTACACTGTGACAAGATGTACCCAAGTCCATAGTTGTGCTTTCCAAAGATTGATATTACTAGAATACAGCTAAGGAAACGGCAGTCCAACCTTTGGAAGCGCAGTTGAAGCCTGCTCAGCTGGGCCTCTCCAAAAAAACCCATGGGTTGCCAGGGTTTTGGTCCAGGTAATGCATGGCCATGGCAAACTCAACAAGGCACTGCGGGCTCTTCCTAGATCCCTCAGGTGTTCTGCCGTTTTTACTTAACCCGCCGTGGAAGCACTCGAGATGGTTGTCTGCGCCAATTAGTATTGTATGAGCTCAAAAAAATAAATGTATATATATGGAAAAGAAAAGAAAACCCCGAAAAGGAATTTGCAGCAGACTTACTGTTTACGTCCGGAGCTTGGCCTGCTCCTGCTACGGCATGGAACATCTCATGCATAAGAGCACCACTACGAGAGAAGTGTGCATCCATCAACTGGCCGCTTCGGGCCGTGGTACCGTTGATAACGTCTCCAGCCAAGTCGGTAAAGAGACTGCCACCTTGGGTCCCTCGAGGATGGCAGAGCACAAACAAACGCCTATTACCCGCCACAGGCGTAGTAAAAGCATAGGACTTTGTGCACTCCGAGCCTGGAGATCCTGGCGTGAATTTTCCTGGAACAGCAAAGGCATACCCTCCCATGGCCGGGATCCAGATGGGTACAAGCCCTTTGTCCACTATATAGGGGGTAAATGTGGGTATATCCCTGATTTTCACATTCTCCTTCTGATTCTGTGCATTCAGTCTGGTGTAAAACGAGCCATCAGGTTTTTGAACCCAGTCGGAACCCGACCTCATTTCCTGGAAGTTGTCGCCGCAGAAGAGCCACGAGTTGGCAATTGTGCCTCCTCTTCCAGTTGATGCCAACACCTTGAGGTCTCCGAACCATCCTGAAGGCTCATGTCAGTCTGCACGTCCATAAGCTGAGAGGGAGTGGCGTATGGGCTCTCAATGTTTGAAAAGGGTCACTGACGTAAAGTTTCATCAAAAGCTTGCTGGTTTTGCGGCACAAACCTACCCCCCTGGAAATTGTAAAATAACCCTATGAAGGCTCTTGCGCTGAAAGCCACATGTCTGCTGGTGGCGTAGTTATTGAGCTTGTCAACGGCCTTGCCGGCGAGGTATTCGATGTCTTTGAGCCATTTGTCAATCTGGTTCTTCTGGTCATCGGTGGAAGAACCAGCACCTCCCGCAACAAAATTGAAGTCTGCAAGGCCTCTGATGTCTAACGACTGGCCAAGCGACCGATCCAAGGGAAGGAAATAAGCCTTGACTTGCACAAGCAGAGGCACCAAGGTCAATGCCCAGTGGAAGAGCATGATGTTGGGCTTTGGAGTGCTGATCTGCGGCTGAATTAGAAAGCTGTAGAGGTCAAAGTTGATAAAGAATCATCAAGCGTAGCACCCGGCAACTGGGCACTTGGGTGTTTGGACAACAGTCTTGTCAAGTCTGAGAGCACATCATTTGCGTTTATGATGGCGATGTTGGTCCAATATCCTCAAAGGTAGTCTTCTATCCACTGCATAGACCACGTGGAATATGGTATTGTGTTGAGTCAAAACGGTAGGGCGAGGATATGTATAAGCGTCTCCAGAAGTCTCTGGGAATTACCCGACTGCGCTGTGTCTCCTAGTCTAGTCACGAGGCTTGAAATGACATGAACCAGCATCCTGAGCATGGTATACATCCTGTCAGCTTGCCAAGGCCCCAGAGTTGGGTCTATTAGCTCAATCCACCGTAAGCTGCCAAACTCAATTGAATCGCGATGTAACGCTGCGTAACGAACGCTGCGTAACGTACGCCAGCAACCAAACTATTAGTTCCTACCTTGGATAATATCCAGCTGATGTTAGGCCGAACTGTCTAGCCTTGAGGACGTTTCCTACGGCAATGTCAGCATTGCATGGGACGACATGCATGGCAGGCGATCGCGACAGGGCATGAGGCAAAAAGCCTATGCTCGATCCTTGCAGTTGCATGTCTCCACAAAGCCAGCCCTATACAAGTCAATGGCGAAAGTCTCGTGGAGCCTCGCGCGCGGAACAACAGGCTCCTCAATGAAGGGCGCTGGTTTCGATAGCATTTCCCTGCGTGCGCTGGGCAATATTGATAAAACCCTAACCCTAAGTCTCCCTCCCTGCGTCTTTGTCTTGCCTCCCTTGATGCTCTCCTCGGCCACAACCATCTCTATTCCCCCTGCGACGGAGACAATCGGCGAGGTGTGGCCGATCACGACCCAAGGCACCAATACCGTTTATACGACGGTGACCACCACGGTCATCATCACCATTCCCGAAATCACAACATCCATCATCTCATTCTCGAATGTCGAGTGGGACGGAAATGATCCGTCCGTCTGGTTTTGGTCCAGCGTTCGACCGCCCCCCATCTACTTGACCACTACCCTTGGTGGGGAGGCACTTACATGGACATACGACTTTGGCCCGTTCCCACCGGCAACTGACTCAACTGAGCCTCCGTCAACCTGGACTCCCGGGTCAACTTTGGTGCGCACCTCAATCAAGCCGAGCAGCGGCACCGCAAAGCCAACCTGCACATCCCCAAGCAAATGTGGTGAGCCGTGTGACGACTGCCCGCCAGCCGGTCGTCGCGGGCCTAAGCCGCTAAAACTGCCCTGCATCGGGTTTGGATGCTGGGACATCGGTCCTCCAGGAAGCGGCAGTGGCAGCGGTGGTGGTAGCGGCCCCGGTAACTGTATTGGGCTTGGGTGCATAAACATAGGTCCTCCAGGAGGAGGAGGAGGTAGTCCAGGAGGAGGCGGAGATAGTCTAAGTAGCTGTGCGACGCCGACAACCGTCTCTGACTGTGTCGTGCAGTGCGTCACGTCCCGGCCCTGCACGACCGATTGTTTCGGAATCATCGGCTGCGATATCACGCGTACAACAACTACCACGAACAAAGCAAACGGCACCCCGGCACCTGGCGTAGAGTTCGACGATGACGAGGACTGGGGCCCGGATGACATGAACTTTGCCAGCATGTCGGCTCTTCTGCCAGAACTTCAATCCATGATCTATGACCAATTCTCCTCGGATCGCTCTACCGGCCTGCCCGATTTGCCTACGCTCCCGCCGACGCAGGTCCCGAGCCCGACCGGTGGGGTCTGCGTTTCGAGCACGACGTGGGTTGAAGTTGGTGGGCCCAGAGGTGAAGCCACCCTCACCCATACCGAATGTGCATCTTGGACTATGCCCGACCCAGAGCCAACGGACAAGCCCACAGAGCCCGATCGTAACCATGGCTGGGTCGTGATTTCCTACTCGGAGGTGACGCTTACACAGCCCATCGGAGGCCCGTCATGGGTTCGTTCGTACAATGCCCATGCAACGACCATCGATGGCCATATTGACATTTGCGAAGACGACTCTATATTTAAAAAGACGGGCTCCGATGTAATCGCTGATGCAAAGTCTCCAGCGCAGTTGGGTCCTTTCAAAGCTCAAGGCTACGATTGCGAGTACACGGGGACCGAAGGCGGCGTAGGCACCCTCAAGTGTAATGGTCTGCCAGATGGCAAATGTGAAAGACTGGAGCAGGATGTGGTTTGTAGCCAGTCGGCGACAGCGAAGAGTTTCATTAGTTGTCGTTTCTAAACAAGATACCTAAGGGAGAATGTTAGAATAAATGATTTATTGTATATCATTCTACGTCCTTACAATTTATACCATGAGCAACACTCTCGCTAAATCTAATCTGCTACAATACACAAACAAGGACATAAAAATCAATACCCATATCGTCGAAACGCATATCACTGAGCTCAGGTTTACTGATCTGAGTAGTTTCAAGTTGGAAACATGATCCAAGCTTATGGGTGAAAGTATGCCAAATAACATCTTAGACCTGAGTCCAGCTTTTGACTTGATCGAGAAGCGTTTTGATTGAAAGCTTCGGCTTATTGGCAATGTTTTCTGGATCCTTGTCATCGTTCTGATCTTAGAAGAGGTGACTCATACGAGGCCATGGATCCTACATAGGCTGATCTTCTGCTTTTTGACGGATTGTTTGTAAACCTGAGACAAGTCTAATTGGGCCACTTTGGATAGTGAAGGGACAGGCTAATTTACAGAGCTATGACCTATATGGCCGTGGCCGAGGAATGACACAAAGAACCGTGGAGTATGGTGCAGTGGATGTGTGATTTGAGCAAAGGTGCTGTAGGGGAATCGGTGTATTGAAGTTTTCACAAGTGCTATCTTGTGCTCTTGGCGCGGCGACCACAGTTTCCGCGATTCCGCCGCTTATTGCCAAGCGAGCCCCAAGCGATCCTCTTCCCAACGAAAAGTTTGGATGGTTCAGCACGGTCTCACTGCAGGATGCAAGGTCGGGAATTCTGAAGTCGCACAATGGTACTATTTCCAAATTTATGGAAGGCCTTGGAAACAGCTCCGAAGATGTCACCGATGCTTCTGCAAAGGCCCTCTTGAGGGCGTGCGCTATGCTACCAGCCGCGATTCACGATCCCTGGCAACTCTGAGGAATCAGAAGACGCGTATGGGCCCGCACTGCAAGACGTTATACAGAATGCTTGCGAATGGGAAGAACCCGATCTGCCAAGCGTGACAAGAGAGACGGTTCTATATACGACGGGACTGGAAGCATCACCTCGCGAGTGGGAGCAGAAGTAGTTTTGAGAGGTACGACGGAGCACGAATACAACTGTCGGCTGGCATTTGCTTACCCATTCAATATGCTCGGGGCTTATGAAATCGTCCTCAAAGGACATCTTGAGGATTCTTGGGATCAAGCGGTGGTCGAAGTCCTGGGCTATGATCAAGTGCCAGCTAGCCGGGTCATACAAATGCCAACGTCGGAGGGGGCTACTTTCGGCGACTTTATCCAGCGATCTAGATCATGTACGTCCAGGAGGTTCTAGATTCGGTGCCAGCCATTAACAAAGCTGATGAGGAAATGACTGTCGGCTACCGCTTCCTGTGGAGCTCCAGAATATGGATCCTCAAAGACACGGACGACGGAGGCGTCGATTAGGGATATGCGCCTTTCCGTAGGATAAAGCGATCACTCGATAAAAAGCAAGTACGGAGTTCTCTCCTTGCTTCCAATAGCTCCAATTTCTCACAGGAGAACCCAAAACATCATGAGAGGTTGACCGAGTCCATCAAGCGTGACTTGAGACCATTAGCGAGTACAATTGCTAAGAACACAGATATTGAGCATCATGAAGGCCCTAGTAGCCGGCATAGAACAATATCACCCATACCGCATGAGACAAACATTTCGCTCTCAGAAATCGAAAAGCGTGCGCAAGAAGGTGAGGAACGACAGTTTTGGGTCAGGTCGAACATTCCCGGCAGTATATAGAAACCTGTTAACTGCCTCTCTTCAAAGTACCCGAATGGCAACCAAGGTGACGACCTCCAGACCTTGATTGCTGACACCTATCGTTATCTTATGGTCTCTTACGCATGTGGGCCGACAGAATATGACTTCAAGGTACAGACATTAAAGTCAGAGGCCTAATCCTGGGTCTGTAAGTTCTCTCTCCCCCCCCTCTCTCTGCGTGTGTGCACATCCCTACCGTCTACTCTTTCGCATTAAAGCAGGCGAAGGGAAACAAAAACCCACATTAGGAACTAAAGCTATTAATCTTCTTTACAGCTGAGAATGTCCTGAAGCTTCAATCAATACCCCGCTTCCTTACATCTATTCTCGATGGCTAGTTAGTGTCGGTGCCATCAATGGGCATGCCCTCGGTCACCTTCACTCAGCTCCCCAATCACTTCGTTGGATATTTTCTCAAAACCTTCCCCGCCTGGCAGCAATACTCGGCTTACGAGCCTGCTAGCGAGTCTCTCAAGTTCTGCGGATCCACCTAATGGACCTATGGTATGGTAGTAGCTGAGTCGACCCTCAACTCCTACAAGAAAAGTGTGAGTCAAATGAATGGTACCCGCTTGACCCAAATACCCAGTTTCCTTGTGAAAAGCTCCCTTGTATGACGAGCCAAGTCTCCGACGCATTTCATCAGAGCATCAGCCCCTTCGCGGCATCGGAAGTTAACAACATGACGGTAGCAGCTCACAGCTAACACGATGAATAGTTGTATGATCTTGAGAGACCCAGGACCGACGCGGACTTCATAACATATTGTCTCGAAACAACACAAAGCAGGGCCGAAAATGCATTCGGCGTCATCCATGAGACCATGGCGGTATTCGACTGTTATGCGCATAGCAATGTCAAAGAACACCACCAGGCAGCATATGTCGTAGTCAGAGAAGTCATAGAAAGCTACGAGAACGCATACTTAGCCGAATTTCATATCGATTTGCGGGGCTTCATGCAAAAAGCCTGGAAAGGCCCTCTGCAAAGCTCATAAGGCGCGGGTGGCCAACTTCGCCATGCTGTATACCCCGAGACATCTGACCGACTTACAAGACGTATGGGACCGCACGCGCCTGGCAGCCATAGCATCTGCTAGTGTATATGATATATGGTTTTCGACACAGATGCTGCAGCACATCAGCGGCTACCGACTGGCCATCAACCAGGGAAGTAAATTTAACTTCGACACAAGCATCTTCACATAATCTAAGAAAACAGTACACATAGTTCGTACTACGATTCCGTCGGAGAACCTTTCCATTCTGTGCCATTCTAGTAGTCTTTGTGATGCACGTCAAATTGCGGGTAAAGGAAGGTATTTGTTTCCACTTGGGGGAAGAATCACCTGAGCAGAAAGACCTGCCAGTATTAAACATATGAGGGAAAGCTTTATCAGCCGCCAAATTCTTTTATAGGACCAACCTACTATTGACACCATACACAAGAGCACCACAAGGCACACTTAAACGTTGCGCCTTGTGGGCAGCTTTTAAAACTCTTGGTCACAAAGCAATCACCAGTAATATATAAATACGGCTATGCAGCGTCACAGTCAGCCGTCTACGTCGCCAAAATACTAATACCACTTGATTCGTGGCTGGACATATTTGCGTTAAATTCAATTTGAACCTCCAAAGCTCCAGCTTTGTAAATGCCAGACCGTTTTCCACTCTCTGTGACTCGTTGCCACGTGTTGGTCCAATGGAAAAACTGTGTTTATCATGGTCTTGAAATCCACAATCATCGTGAAATCATCAGAAAATAATAATAAAGTCTATCAATAATGCCATATCGTTGAATTCTTTGACCAATGTTTTAATTCTTGTGCCCTCTGGATTGTTTGCCGCCATATTCATGACGGCTATCAAAGTTGCACGAATGTCCTTTAAGATAAAAATAGTCAGCCCGCATCCCTCGACTATATCTAGAGCTTCCGCGCACCGTCACCCCTTATGTTTGAGCAGATGGATCTATCAGTTTATACAAGACTATTGAGAAGTAAACACGAGACTTCAATAGTAAAACTTGTTAAGATCGTCATGACGTTGGAAACTGCAGCTGGCCTACCTAGACGATTCAAGCAGGGTTTCAGGAATTAATGTCGAAATATATCCAGACATCTTCTCAGACGCGCCAAAGATAACAAAACGTCCAGAGGAACAGTATTGGAATCTCATTTCTTTTTGGATATTAAGGAGGAATGAGTCGGCTCCCAGGTACTCCGAAACCATGGTGGTTCTCTATAGCCTCCATTTGGCTTGTTCTGGCTGAAAAAGACTCATCTGAAATTGATCGTGGCAGGATAAACACGGCAGATCGGCGTCCGAAAGCACGCCGTGATCACGGATGACGTTCGGTCGTGGACTTTGCTGTATATGCGGTGATGATTGGACACCTTTCTACGGGTATCATCCAGTCTGTGGAAGAGCTCATCATTGATCCTATTAACATCATTTACCTGTAGATCTATAATATCGGCGGTTTGCTCAAATGAACGCGGGGATGGAGACTGGGCGAAGGGATTGCGCCAAGATCCTATACCACAACCCCGTAGCGGCTAAGGCATGAAGATTGCTGGACAAAGATATCCAAGACCTTCTTATCTTGACAACAAGGTGGTTTCGAAAGTTCTACACGCAGTGTTTGCTCGTCAATGACAGACGAAATACAGTCGAGAACTTAGCCAGATGGAGTCGACCACGCTCCCAAAGAAGCAAACCATAGAGCTTCAACTACTTGATTGGCTACGGAAACTTCTTTGCGAGCCTGAGGTTCAAGTTTGGTATGCCTATTCCGCTATAGCGCTCCTAATCCATTCCCGCGCTCGGACACACATTCTCTTTCCAGTCTTCGGCTAATATTAAAAACGGGCGCATCTCAATTTGCCTTCTGGACGGCAGATATTCTGATACTTCTAACTGGCGCTAAGGATTGGTTAATGACATCTGTGAAATGTATAAGTACATCATGGATTGAGAATGGTACCAACTTGCTCAGTTAGGTATGCTGATGAACATCTATGACGCGTTTTTCACGTACAATTACGATGAATCTAGTACACGATGATCACCATACTCACATGGAAGCCCTTGCCACGCACGCCCACTGTGATAATCTAAAACACTCCTCCAACTCCCCCGGCAATTCTTTCTTGGAACAAATTGTGGATTAGAAGCGCTACCACCTTAGGACTGAGATGCCAAATACAGTATTTATAATGATCTAGTAGCTCAAAATAAAAAGCACTTGCATCTGAGTTTTCAATAGAGTCCTAGGCACAATTGGGTAGATCGTTTCTGGCCGTCTTATTACTGGTGAATTTCGTCGCAAGAGCTTATCATTTCCTTTGTAGGACGTGTAGTTCGACTCGTAACTTGTTGTGGTAAACGCAGCATGGCATCAACTCGCGTAGATTTACAATAGCTACGGCCGACTAGGCTCACTTTACATAATCTCTTACAGGAACACTTTGTTGCAGTTTGTGAGCGTTTCCAACATATGGCTCTCAAGATGACAGAACCATATTATGGCAAGTCGTCTTAAATTCGTACAAGGAGCCTAGGTCGCCACTATGATGTGCGATAAAAGCCCAAAAAGATATATGTGTAGGGGAGGGGGTAGACTAATATGTACATACTTAACCAGTCCCGCAAGCAAACTCCCGATACTCGGTGGAGATAATCTTAGCTTCTTGAAGATAAGGATCGAAAAACTCCTCATTTGTCAATCTCGAACTTAGAAAATAATCATCCTGACGTTATTCACCACTAACACGTCATTAGGGCTTGCTAATGATAGTTCAAGAAAATGGACTATATAAATTCTTTCATTACAAATACGATCGGATACTTTCTATCTATATCTCCCTCTCAGTTAACTAATAGGATAAGGTAGTCTACAAATGCTAGGAATAAGTGAACACTATAACTAATCGCTTGAAAATCGTATACTTAATTTAGTTTTATAGTAAGATAAGTAAGCAGAGATTGAGTGAACAGTCTCGTGGTATTCCTAAGTTCAGGCATACTTCCAAGACCACCCCGAAGAACTATATAGCAAAACCAAAAATACGTCCCAGATTCAAATGCAATAAAGGTCATTATCTGTAACAATAACAACCATCTACTACATAGATCAATGTATCGGAAATGAAAGGATCGGCCGGACATAGTTAAACTTTGTACCTGGACCGTTCTTGAAACCACTATCGTCCACCTTCATATGGTCCACTGAACCTATTTGGTAATATTGGCAGATACGATATAATCGATGTTATCCATCAGAGTAACTCCGAGCTGCCTAATACTCTCGTAGGTTGTTGTTATAACAACCCGACTGACGCCCTTGAAGGTGTTGTCGAATCTAGCTTGGATCATATTTGCCCGGAGGGACAAGGCAGGTGGAGTGAAGATAAATTGCTCGAAGCCGATACGCTTGCCAGTACCGTCATAGCCACCAACGGCGATCTTGCAATTAATGGGGGCCGAGACAACGTTATCAACGGTGCCAAGAACGCAGCCGAACCACAAACTGTTGAGATCGAAACTCACAGCGTTCGAGCCGGCATACGTTGTCGTAATGGCAGCTCCCACGCCACCGAGCGGAACAATCGGAAGCCCTACCGTGTTTTGCCTACTGTAGGGCACCACGCCTGAGATAATATCACCGTCAACTCCAACTCCTGCTTTTATAAGTGCTAAAATGACATGTGTTAGTCGTACTGCTCAAACTGTGGTTGGGTTTAATCTAGATACATACTCATCCCCTGAAAATTAAGCCCCTTGTAAACGCCTAGGGCAGTCTTTGGACCACTCTGCGGGGTGCGATCTTCGAAAGTTGCGAGAACTGGGACAATCCTAATAGTGCGAAGTTCGATGCTATGCTTCTCGAGATCCAGATCGCGTGCCTCAAGATCTAGCTGCTCCGGGAAAGTGTAATGGATAGGCTCTGCTTTCAAGGCAGTGGTAGCCATCAAGACTAGAGTAATAATAGACTTGAACATCTTGAAACGATTTATGATGATGATGATGGTTGTGAAGTTATTATTTGTTGAATGTGGATAAGTGAGGTGATGTCTGAACTGTGATCTCTGTGATATATGGATAGTGAACGTCTTTTATAGACGATTCGAAAATATCAAATGGCTTTATAACGACCAAGATAGACGTGGTTGTTATTCTTCACCATGAAATGATGAATCCTGTACAAAATCAAGAGAAATGGACGACACTAATATGACGATTCAATTATGATAATAGTGCAGAGAAGTGAGACCATTTAGTTTTTCGGCAGCTAACCCTTTCTTTTGGTGGCTATAACGTTTACATTTCACACATCCTGTTCAGTAGTAACTAACCATTCCTAAGATGAGGCATTTATTCACGATTCGAGGGATTGCGAGTAGTCAGAACATATTCCGACTCGAAAAGATTAGTTCTTGAGAGAAATGGAAGCCTTTATAGAAATGGCCAAAATTTTACAGTCAAGTGAATTAGTCACTCTCGAGATAGGTATATCCCGTGCTTCCTAGTTATACCATGTCAAAAATCATATATTGTCCTTTACTCCTACATCAACGAAACTCAAGTTTTCCAGCAACCCGAAGCTAAGGTTAGCGTCACCTGAGCCTTGAATTCCTGCAGATGTTGAAACTTATTTAGGAATTGTAGACAATTTCATGTAGGTAGATATTAAGATTAGCGTTAAGGTTCAGTAATCAACAAGTTCCCACGATCTGACGCAGTATTAAGCAGTCTTTCACAAAGAAAAATATTCTAGATTCCTGGGGTTTCAGAGATGAGCTAGTTCCCGCTCGTGTGCCGTCCCAAGCAGGATCGTTACCGATTGATCGTGACACTTTGGTTGTAATTTTGACTCTGTATGACAGTATGATTCCGAAAAAGAAACCACCACATACATTAGGCCTTCACATTTCAAATATCATTTTAATTAAAATAAAATAAAACCTCCACAATCTAGTTGTATGCTCTCCTAAGACAATTGAAAGACTTTTAACACCAGGCCTTAGCTTTAGCGTAAGCGCCAGACGGCTCCACTGTATTAATGAGTACCCTAGGTATAGTATATTAGACCTGTTAACTTCCTAGTCCTCGATCCGGACTAAGGCGAACTAATACGACCGGTAACTTGTATGGCATGTAATGAAAGCTTTATTTCCAGTAGTTATTTTTGCCGGAATCACTTTTCCCTACACCCCTCCGAGAAACAAATAGTGGTATATGACCCAATGATAGCCCTAAGCACTTATGGCTTTCTTCCTTCAGCTCTCTTTTCTATTCAATCAATCTACTTACACTCGTTTCAATTTCACCTAAACAAAGTCGAGACACAGGCTGTAGGTTCCATTTTATTTCAAAGATTCAATAATCGAAATTCTTTTTTTCTCCTTCTTCTTTGCATATCTTTCATTCAATTGTTCCCCTCCGCGTGAAACTTTATTGTCCCTAATATTTGAAGTTCACTACTAGCGTCGTGAATATGCTAATCCTGGAAATAGGCATGGGTGCCTGGATCACAAAACGTATTAAGAGACGATGCCAGTCCGATTACCCCATTAGCGGTGGCTACGACACTGGCTGTGGCTGTGGATACGGCCACCACTAAGACTCGGCTAGATTTTGTCATCGTCAATCCTGCGGCTAACAGTTAGGGGAGGGGCCGGTGATATGCGGGCCGACGCCGTTTTCGCCTATGACTTTGGTAATTTAAACTCAGATCCAAGATCAGGCATAGTAATTCCATATTGTCTACCGTACTCAACCAGCTCTTCAGGCGTGATATTTGAGGATAAGGCAGGGGAAAAGCCGGATACTACAGCATATAGCGCGCGATATCTTCTGTCTAGCTGTTCGAAACTCCCATAAATTCTCTGCTTCCGTGGCAGAGGTTTTTCACACTCAATTCCCATATCGATACAGTTCTGGCAAGCTGGTAAGTTATCCTCCTCCTCGCCGTCGTTAGGCCTGATCTTTGGCTCCGTTCGAAGACATTTATGTTTTTTAACCTTGTAGGCATCATAGCTGAGATTCGTGCGCTTCTTTGTAAAACTGGTACTCGCCTCCTCGCTCTAGCATTCTCTCTATGTTGGGCTTCTATTCAATTTGGAATGTCATAGAACTTGGACCATTTGCGTGTGGTTAAGGTTTGGTGAGCGTCTTCTGTTGATGAAGATGGGCTGAAAATAAGAAGGGTTGGTGGAATAGTCGCGAATAAGGAAGGGTCACCTCGTCCTCGGCCAGAGCCTAGCAGTGGCTCGAGACTGTTACCTATAGTGCAATAGATATCCACCATTGAATTAGCGATCTCTATTTCCTAAACTTGAAGCGAATATAATAACACTCTCCTTTAGGCGCGTGAAATAAAGGGTTATGAATGTGTAACGATGATTACCGTTTACCTTGGTATCGGCGTTAGACATACACATGTCGCCTACATGTTGAGATTTTGGAGTCTCACCTTTTGTCACTCACTCTAGGTGTCTTCGACTTCCTTAGGAGGAGTCTGATCAACTATGAACACTGTATTGCGTGTGGCTAATTATACAACTTAGAGGCTTATACAGACACAAGCCGGTGAAAGCTAAAATAGTCGTCTTGCTGCTTCATCAAAATATTGTCCTTGATTGTAGGAAATCAGATAATTGGCTAACTGTGCACTAGTTCATAATAACACTATTACGCTGAATTGGTATAGTAAGAGTGGAAGTTATTCATACTAAGCTGGAGCTCTCTGCAATACCGTGAACTCGAATTGTTTCCAAGACTTTTTGTACAATTTTCTTTCCCAGTCCATGTAACCAGGCTTTCTTCAGGCAGAGATTGGTTAAATGAGTATACATATATAAAAACGGATCATAGGACAAGTTTCAATGGAATATTATAACGAGCATCAATGTAAGAATGGCTAAACTTCTTCATGCTACAAGTGTCTTTTTGAAAGGGAACAAGAAGGGAAAAGGAAACCCTGGTATTACGCCACCAGCATCCTAATGGCGATGACGGTCAAAGGTTTACTGGGACGTGAAAGTTCCTAGGACATTGTCTCAAGCCACGCAGTTATCTGGCCTGATTATATGCAACCTTCCCTGGCATTGTGAAACATTGTCTCTTTTTTGCGATGAATATTGTTCTATTGAGTACCTACGGATTTCAGAGAAATGAGGGTGGTATCTGAGCCATCTTGTAGATTCGGTGGCGTACTAGTGACCCACAAAGTATACGCGAGCTGACAAAGCTTTTGGACTTGAAGTACGGTAACCAAGAATGCACTATTGTACGAATCGATTCTCTAAAAATGCTGTAACAGAGGGAGACTGTTGGCGACTTATAAGAACTATACTCCAGCCTGGGTAGATAAATTTGCACCTCGACCTGGTTGAACAATCAACAGAGTAACGTTTCTCGCTTTCAAGAAAATGATCAGGTCGTCGTAAATGGAAGATATTGCAATTGCTCGATCCACGTACCAGCTGAGGCCGCAGAGGCGGGAAATAACGCTTCCACTGGTTAGCGCTCGTTTGTGTGAAGAAAACACGTATCAAGGACGGGGAAAAAACAGTGTTGCCCAAGTATGTCGTCGTTGCGCCACCTGCAAATCGGGGTGGTGGAACTAAATATTGCTAGTAATTGTCGGGACTAGTGCTGTAATACATTCACGCTTTGTTCTAACAGCAGCCGACGAAATAGCAGCTTTTGTCCTCCGGAGTACACTCCATAATAAATGTCGTATTTACTATAGTTTGCTCACAGTGACTCAAGCCGCCCACAGGGAACTTCGAAAACAAAACAGATTTCAAACTCCGCCGAGGGGGATGGTCCTTGCTTCTTGCCCGTCTGCAATGAAACATTCATAATCGTGACGCGAAAACTGCAAGACCTTGATCGGTTATACCGATGTGGAGGTGCATGACCCGTCCTGGATTTGCTTTTGCTCGTGAAGTTGCAGTATTTGCTAAGCTACAGCTATGGTAGCAATTTTCGTGTAAAGACATTCTCGTGATTTTTTATCTATGACCTGGTCGGATGATGTCTCGTTTTCTGTATTTACGTAACGTGGAAGCAGATGATCGGCGCCGCAAATTGCAGAAGACAAGTGATCTCAAACAAGATATACTGGGTGTATGCGGATAACCCCGCAGTGTTCGCCTCAGCCGTCAGAATCCACTGGCACCTCCCAAATCTTCCCGTTCTCGATGGAGATCTTGCTCCTCAATTCGCCTGCTGATCCCCTGATGCGTCTATATTTGCACATTAGCCAACGGGCCATGACACCAACCATGAATGTTAGTTTGACGACACTAGCGTTTGTCCGGATCTTGATCTGAGTCGTGTCCTTCTTTTCAACATTCTGCCTCCTGCGACGACAAGATAGGCTGCTCTGCCCAAAGTTATTGCACATCATTCATTAGGGTCGTATACAATTGCAGTGGTGCAAGGCGCACTCTAGCATGTTTTTTGCATCTTATTGACAAGCCCAGCCCAGCCTAAATTCAAATACTCAGAAGATCTGGACATTAGGATGCAGAATATTCAACTGTTAGATCATAATGGTTGCCTAGTGCCACCAGATAGGAAAATGCCTGAGGTGCACGGTCCACCCTTATTAGATAGCCTTCAGGGATCCCTTAGAATAGCTGAGGAACCACGCCACTGAAAAACACTCTACTGAGGATCAATATACATACATTTGATCATTATCACGATCCTACAGAGTAGTGACGTCCATCACATAGACTCCATTTGTTAAACGCCTTCCAAGTCAGACACTTATTCGATCAATTCCACGAGTGCTCAGAGACAAATGAGGACAGCTTCAAAATGCGCAGGTAGCCGCAGCAGCATAGAACGTTGCGCATGCTAGTAAGTAACGACACAATTGTACGAACACCTGAGCAGGCTATCCATTGATGAAGATACTTGTCCAAAGTACCCTTAATACGAGACTTCCTGTTCCGGACCTGGAAGAGTAGGGATGTTGAGACAAGTCGTGAGCTGTGGTGTTTGCAGTCACTTCTCCGTTGGTGCTTGGTCAAGCATCCTCCGAAGAACATCTATATAAAGTGAGCAAAGATGCCCGGAAATGTTGAATCCAACGGAGCTGAAGTCTCAAGTGTCATTCCGAGAGTGGATGTGATTAGGGCGAGACAGACTAAGAGGACGAAGAAAAGGACATAGCCGAGAAATACACATCCACCGACAATAGTACAAGCAGCCTCAGCAAGGCCATAAGGAATTATGATCCCATGACTCCGTATCGGCTGAAAAGAAATAAGGCTAAGAGGGCGTGCCATGCTTGTCAAAAAGCACATCTCAGTTGTGGTAAGTTCGTACTCCATGACCAACCTTTTCTATATTTTATTTTCGCCTTTACCTTCCGACCGGAACCGTCCTAGTTGTATTTGTCAATAATTTTCGACGTGCCATATTGTCTGTCTTTGATGACTTAAATCCTTAACTAAACCATTCCAGAGGATGAGAGACCATGTCAGCGATGTGTCAAGCGCGGTCTTGCCGACACTTGTCAATATGTTGTGCGCAGAAGGGTAAAGTATCTTTTTATTACGCCTCATGAGGTGACGATGCCGTTTCGATACTGAAACACCCGTTCGATATGTTCTAGGCCAAACCGTCTCGAGCATTGGGAGAGATTAGGTTCCCCCATTGATCAAGGTACAACTGACATTTGGGGAGCAAGGCTAAGCACGTTGACTACGAACAAGAAGTTGACGTCAATCTCTTAGGGTACTTGGAAGCTTGAATCCCTTCATTCAAGGTGGTATTAGTGGCAGTGGATTCAATTTGGAAGTTTTTCCGTTCGTATGACATTGCCAAATCGTCCATATCTGCTAATCGTACCAGTTATCACAAACACGAAGGTTCGATGATAATATAGAGTGAAAGTCGTTCGGTTGTCGATGAGAATTGAATTATGACGTGATTTGAAGCTTCACTTTAGGCCCTTCAAAGCAGCGCTGATTCAGGATTTTTTTTACTTAAGTTGAGATATCCTAGAAACAATATAGTTGTGATACTCACTAAGTGGAATGATTGATGCCGCGAGAGTGAGCAACCAAGCACACTTGATGGTTGTCTCTAGGAAACACATGCCCCACGACAGATCGACGTAGTACAGCATGGCTTCTGTAATATAATAAGCATAATCCGTTGACATAAGTCGTCATGAACCAGTCATCACCATCAGTTGAGAACGTGACAAGGCATGATGCTTTGAAAGGATACAGAATTTATTAGATCTGGGCTAACCCCAAATGTTCAGTATTTACCCTTGCTAGACTCATCGTAGAAAACCAGGTTCGTTTTCATATGTACCAATTACCTTCTGGATTGGTGTCCTATGCAATGCGAATCCGTCACCTTCTGTTTTTTCTTTAAATATCAGATTTTGAGGCAATAAGACGACATATTGTCCTTCGTTTTATGTCAAACTAACTTATCCCGTAATAATGGAACCGTACACGTGAACCGGTCTGACCACTGGGTTTGTCGCAGCCTCTGTGACGGAATAATCGCGTCATATTTACACCAATGCACCGCTAGTGCAAGGGATACCGAGAAATGCATGTCTTGATTGGAGCACTCGCTCAATTGGCATTGTGAGAATGGAATGGAAAGGAATGGAATGAATCTAGGCGGGAAGGGATGTCTCTCCTTCGTCTCATTCTCGAATGCAGCGTGGGGCTGGCAGTAAATATCCCTCTGGGATTGATGAGTAGTCTTAACTACCGGGGTACATGCGCCGTGATCTCAATGCAGTGGGCTGTTGGCTATATAGTGGCGTACTTCATCACGAATGGGGACGCAGGATCGGGGAAGTGGCTGAGTAGTATTGACTGTAAGGCTGATGCGTGAGCCACCGCTCGTCGAGTTGAAGGAATCAGCGTTGTCTAATTTTGTAGTGCAATGGATATGGAGCCATGTGAGAACAACCATTCAGTAGCTTGCGAGGTAGTCGCGTTGTTCTTAGCTGTCCGATTATACAGGAAGGAGACAGAAGATCAACACGCTGTATAAGATCTAGACGAAGACTTTACAGACGGGCTCTGAGGAAAGTGTGCTTGGGACATGGCTTGGGATGTAGGCCCTACGGTATGGCTTGAAGAGCTGATAAGACTGTGGAGAGACTCGTCGCCATCAGGGGTGATCTGAAAGAACGAATCATGGGCCATGGTAAGACCTCGTTCGTCCGCTGCAGGTACATCCATTAGTTGCCAACATTGCAGGTTAGCAACACGCTAGACCCTGTAGGTAGACCCCGCAAGTAGACCCTACAGGTAAGGTCTCGTCTCCGGTTCCGCTTTTCAGGGCCGTTGATGCATATCGGATCACAGAGTTGTCAGATCGTATCAGAGGGGTGGTACAAAGCATCGGTAATTTAAGCCTGCTCCTTTCTTCTCATTTTGCAGTCCACACTCTGATTGATTTGATTCCACCAGTCACAACGACAGAAACGCTTCAGTACCTGAACTGCCTAGCGAAATATACATATCCCACTCGGCTGAAATGGTCACAAATTCCCAGTGGGACACCATATTGTACAAGCATGGTAATCCAAAAGTCCTCCACGTCACACAATGAGGTCCCACGGCTTCGAGCTTGCAACCGATACTCGACCAAATATATCGTCCAGATGCGTTCAATTCGTATAAGTTGCAGGGACCTCCACCTGCGTGGCCATATTTCTCAAAGCAGACACTTCCCCAACGAGGTGTACTGCTGTGCCGCTCAATGTCAAATCAGTGGGACCGAGGCCGAGCCGATCTACCAGACTGGTGTGAAGAATCATCACCCTTTCTTGCTCAGGCAGGTCAACTGTACTTATGTCTTTAAGAAATGAAAGTATCTAACGAGAGGTTTCCGCTTCTCGTTGCACGTGCTTCGCAGAAAAGACGTTCACGATGGTTTTCTTTAATCCAAATTGTTGGTATTCCGTTTCCCTTCTTTCCCTATTGGTGACCGTCATTGCTTTTCACCAAGAATACACGCAATTCTACTGCCCTCATCAACGTCGCGCATTAGAGAGCCCACCGATTCGGAGACGCTAGGTATGTTGAAAAATCTCCTGTTCTATACTAGGCATCCACGTGAAAAGTTTCGTGTCGTAAAGCTATTCTCATACTGTCGTGTGGGCTATGCATCAAATGTCTAGTTCGCATGATGTATTAAAGCTTCACCCACTAAAATTCTTGCGAGAGCACAACCAGCATTGAGCTTCAACAAGCAGAGGATCTTATCAACGCAGCAGTGGCTCAGCAAGGTCTCTAGAACGCACAAAGAGTCGCGAATCCAAGCGAAACACATATGTCTCAAAGCACTCGGCTGAAGCGCAAGCTGTCAGGAGCAGGAAGCACGACGGTGAACACCTAGCACCCAGCCTCAACTCCAAAAGACACATTTGGCTACAGTGGTAGCTTTAAGTGTTATGGAGGTGTTCATCTGGGGCTTGTGCCCGATCTGGCTCTACAGACGACCCGGAACCGGAAATATGTTGCTTTGAGACTCGTTGATAGCATTAAAGGGATAATATCGCAGTCTAGACAAATAATGACATTATGTAATCGGCCATTTGCAAGGGCCTCAAAAAGAAAAACCTTTCTTCCCGAAGTTGGCTTTGCGTTACAGCTCTATAATCGATAATGAATCCACCACTAAGGACCAATCTTTCTTCTTCGCTGGTGGCTTTTTTTTTTTCGAACCATTTTGGTTTATAATGCCGAGATCCGATTTTCGTTAAGCTCCCTTACTCCCGGCAATCCACAACGTAGCAGCAGTCACGAAGAAAACAGAGCGGGCAACGAGGCACCCACACCTCGTACGACATCACCGTTCAAGTACTTGCGGAGAGCAGCCTCTCTCTTCGCAGTGAACTCCTTCTCATCCATGAGCTAAAAGTTCTTCGGCACCATCTTCCACGAAAAGGTCAGCGGGAATTATACTGCACTGAACAAGCTACCCAATAGGTAGGCCATAGTAACAGCCGACCATCCCTGTTTTGGAACCACCATCCAGAATACCGAAAAGGGTGGAACCTCGCGCGTTCAGGATTCCAGGGATAATGTTAGGCACGTAGGTAGCAAAGATGAGCGGTAAGTTGCGGTCGCGGATATGTAGCCAGGAGCCTGGCATGACAACCCATATGGACTCGGGCGGGACATCGGAAGCATTAAAGCTTCTGATACAGAAATCGGACACGCGGATTAAGGTCAAGTTGGCGCTGGAGAGGATAATGGGTGATATTCGTAGCAGGGCTGGGCCTACTGTCTGGGCGGAGAGTTCTGATGCCATTGTTTTGCGATTACGCCCAGGATAGGGAATGTTTAGTTTTGTTGTTAGAGAGTTATTTACGATGGAGATTTAATGAGGATTGGATGAAGAGTGCTAATCAGCGCACGTAATTGGACTTGATATGACAATTCCAAAGGTCGTCGTTTCTATATGGTCTTTCTGATCGATTTCTCGTGCCTATCTATAGGGGAGTCATTAGCTACATCAACCGCCAGGCGTTCTAGTGTTGAGATAGGTCCCAACCACCTATATTTCAGGCTTACCAGCCACTATCTACTGTGTACATATATAGCTATCGCACACATAGCTACTCCCTGATACTTAACCTATACATCAATCCTTCTACTCCATAATCTGTCTCATTTCAACAGTGAGTACACCTTGATTGGAAACGTTTCACAACTTATTTTCCGGCCGCCAGCGGGTTATAACCCTCGCAAAGCAGACCATCACGCGTCTGGACCCAATTTTCGCTCCCCACGCACTGGGGACACCAGAAGACACCCGTGGGGTCGTACTTGTCCTTTATCTGACGAAGTCGGCCGTAGTTGGAACCAAAGAAAGACCACTGCCAACCGGGCTCCATAGTATTGGCCTACATGATGTTAGCAAAGAGCTCTTCCCAGGGATGGAATGATCAGAAGGGGAAGGAATCTGTACCTCATTGAGATAGCATCCAGAAGCAGGCTCGAGCTGGCGTAAAAGGTTCAGCTTGTTGTAAGTCATGTCATACACGAGCTCGGCGGCTTGTGCCCGATCCACGGCGTCGTTCCACTTGCGGCTCGTGATTACGTGGACGGCGGCATCGCGCCACGCTGGATTGAGGGCATTGTCGACAGGTATCTTGCTGGCCGTCATCGTCCCTGACATGGAAAAGTTTGGCTTGCCATCCTGTTCCTCTTTCGTTAATGGTTTTTGCACCCCAAACAGGTTTGTGTTTTGAATTTCTTACCAATGTCCCAGGGTTCTTCGGTCCAACCGCCTCGAGCGTCTGTATAAATGCGTCTTGGTTCTCCAAGACAGTTTTTCTGGTGATAAATCTTGACGCCGTGATCTCCTTGAGCGTGCCAGCACTCTCGGCGGCAGGGAGGAGGCTCATGAGCTGGAACCAAGACGGGGAATTGAACTTCGTGATGCTGTAGGTGACGGTGGCATTTGATGCGTGGAGGAGATCTATAAACGGTTGCTGGACCTTCTCGGCCGTTGTGTTATCCTTGTTGTACTGAAACATGGAGAAGGCGATGCTCCAGGTAGGGTCGCCGCCCATGGTCCAATACCCGGAGAGACCGGCGTCTTGGGCAGCGGGCATAAGCTTGTGGATATCGGCGACAAGCTTGAACCACTGTTTAGACGTCGTTCCATTCTTGGCACTGATGTTAAGACCCATGAGATTTACCGAGGGCATAGTGTACGCTTTCATGGTGACGCTCGTGATCACACCAAAAGTACCACCGCCTCCGCCGCGGATGGCCCAGAAGATGTCGGCATTTTGGCATTGATTTGCAGTAAGGAGATCACCATCAGCAGTCACTAGAGTGGCTTCGATGATGTTGTCAGCGCCCTGCCCGTACTGTCCAGTCAGGGTGCCGTGGCCACCTCCTGTTGCCCATCCAACAACACCAACATCCTGGGGTTATTATCAGCACTGGTGTGACAAAACATCGGAATGGGACCAGATACCATGGAAGTTCCTCCAACCGTGACGACATTATCCTTCGCCGCTGCCGTGTAGAGCTCACCGTCTTGGACACCGGCGCCAACGGTGATGGCCATCAGCTGCGTGGCGTTAGCAGACAGAGAGCAGTTCCCAGACAAGCTGAATTTCTCGTTAAATTCAATTTTCTTCAGGTTATGCGTCCAGATACTGAATCTATTAGTTTCCTGCGTTCCAAGTGATGACAAGGCGTGACTTACGATAAGCTTCCGTAACCGATGTTTCTATGCAACCTCACGTCAGTACAATACTACAAAGAGTTTCTCGGTCGTTCTTCTTACCTCCCAGCTCCATTATGACCAGTGTTCTTGATATTGAGTCGTAGATTCCACTTCTTGACAAACTTCAGAGCAGCCTTGATATGGGCGACCTCGGTGGCGTTGACAACGTAGGGAGGATACAAACCAATATCACAGCCCCTATCACCGGCATAAACATCGCCAGTCACGCTCGTGCCGTTGGGGTAGATGGGATTGCAGCTATCGTTGGCCATGGCGGGTGCAGGGATGCTGACCGGGTTCGAGGAGTGCCAGACAGAAGTGCTCCAGCCGGCGATGACGGCTTGGCACGCGGTTTCGTTGTACTCGGGTCTTGCTCGGTAACAGACGGCTCCAGGGGGTACGGATTTTATGAGACGCCCGGCAACGGTCGCGTTGAGAGAATCCCACTCAGGCGCTGCAGGCCAGCAAGGGTCCGTAGGCGCCTGCGGGTTAAACATTAGCAGAGACTTCGGAGGATTCGTCAAAATGGCTCGTTACTCACACATCTGCAGTTCTGCGCTGTTGATAATCCGCACATCAAAGCGGCAACTGCGACAAATGATACCAAGGATTGCATCTTTGCAGTTGTCTCGGGTTCGGATCCTCTACCAGATGTGACCTGTCGATGTAGTTTCGTTGTGTTAAACCAATGTGATTCAACGTATTTGCTATGTTCTAGGGCTATTTAAATAGAAGTCTAGATGGCTAATTAACAAGAAATGGTCTCGAGGATTCTTTACATGATATAGACTTTATGAGAAAAGGTCCATCGATCATGTACGCTGATTAATGCAATCCAGCACCGCCCCTTTGGGTGTTACGAAAAATCAAATAACCCCGTCGACTCATGTCAATTTCGGAGCGTATACTGGAACGACGCTGGAACAGCCTTCAAGTCGTCGCCTTTGGCACTGTCACGTACCGTGATCGACGTCATCCAGCTGTAATCATAGTGTGTCGAAGCTAAGCGCCATCGCCGGCAGTCCCGGATTGTTCAAATCCTCTACGGGCAATAGAGCCAGCCTAAACTGTATAAACGAAAAATCACACGAGTTAAACGGCCCTTTATTTTCCTAACAAACTTGTGGATTTATACCGTACGCTCAGCCAATTCGGGGGTAATCATTAGGGAGGACCCCACCATGGTTGAAGAAGACAAACGGGTTAGCCTCACGACAAATAAAATTGGCCCCAGTGGGTGTTCCTCAAAATTTAGTTCCATGTCCTGTACCGCAGTAGTGTCTACTGATCGGTGCTCATGTATATTCGTCTAGGTTAATCTCTTATGAGCTTTTGGATGACGTTTCCCACCCTCTTCCGCTCCTTGTGATCTTCCATTCTATCAAGCGACGAGCGAGCCGCCTATAGTGCCATGACCCCTTCCTCTGCCTGCCATAATTGATATCTTAGTAGAGTCTCTCAAGTGAAGGAGTGGTGGCTCAAGGGTGGTGGCTCTTTACCGGAGGGCAACTGATGGCTTGCTGGGCTGTAGGCTATGCCCTGGCTCTTCGAGCACCCCATAACTTAGAGGCTTGGGGCTTAGAAGTGGAGCTGGTTAGACTGACTTTAACGTCGGCACTAAGCCCAACATAGTATCTCCGGCAAACATAGAAATCAATTTTCAACAATCGCACCAACTCCTACAGTACGTATGGCTGTGGTCAGTCAGTACGGCTACTAGGTGGACCAGGAGTTGAAGATGCCTGCGCTATACGGGGTTCAGAGCCGGACCGTATATTTGAATTTTCGTACCAAATACGAGTCATAATACCCCTGACTCTGGAGACGAAGGAGTGGTGGGCCGAAAGGCCCTTCATGAATAGCTCGTCAGCCGCTCACCAGAATTATTGATAGAGCAGACACAGCGAAAGATTTTAGCCCATAATGCGACTTCAGTTGCTCAAAGATATGTTTGACGTCCTTCACTCCACCACAGTCGCGTGTTCACTCGTTAGCAGACCGGACAAGATTGATTACCCCCGCGTTATAGCGTAATTGTACATCCTTGGCGATAAGCTACTGTGATGATTGACTGGTACAGTTGATTTGCATCTCGTTGCTGAAGGCTTCGTGATTGGATTGGCTATGTGCCCTAGTGACTTGTTATATTGCCCGTGGAGGTTAGCTTTCCTGTTTACTAGATTTTTGTAGTCGATGGGGCTGAAGTTGGACATATAAAGTTGAAAATAAATGCGACACGCGTTTTAGGAACGCGTATAGAGTGGGTCTGCGTTAAACCATCAAATCTAAATTAAATCAGCACCATAGGACGTGGTAATCTCATCATCTGTAGCAGTAAAGAATTAGTGGGAGGTTAATGAAGGGGAATTCGAAATGTCATGATTCTATGAAGGAAAATTTACTGAGTTGACTAGCTATAGAGTAGGTGAAATGGGCGTTTGGGTCTCTCCAGCCAGCACATTTAGCCACATGGCCGATAGGAGCAGCTATCCTTTTTTCTCCAGCAAAATGATCAGGTTATAATCTTACATCGCTCAAACTGTAAAAGCAAATCAAAATATGTCGTCGTTGACCTATCTAGTGCGCCTTTCTAAATCGGCCTGCGCGGAGAGATAGCTATATTGTAAGGGTATTCTAGGCCTTAAAGCCACCAGATGAGTTAGCCCAATTACCTGACTGTTGATCTGAGAGGGAGACAACTCAAAATTTCACCCACCCGTCTCTGTGTTCCAAACGCCTTGAATCCCGTACCAGTCTTCCAGGGTAGATGATCAGAAATATCAACACGACCATCAATATAAACGCCGCGTCGAAGAGGTAGATGAATATTTCACGAGAGGCTACGTAACCATCCGTACCCTGCAGAAATTCAATAGCACGAACAACGCTTCGAATCAAGATGAGGAACGTCACCGCCATCACTGCCAGAAGGTGTTTTTCCCAGTGGACCGCTGGGTCCTGGGAAAAGGGGCTTATACCAGAGCCGTTGCCGAGATCGCACTTCAGCCCGTGATAAACACGCCAGGCGAACAGCATAAAGATAAGCAATGCCACCAACTGGGTGATTAAGCCACCCAAGAGGAGGGCCCTGGATAGCGCAAAGGAGGACGGATCCCCGGACGCAGTGACAGTTGACCCAATCAGCTGGGAGGCGATGCAGCCAATGTCGATGAGGACGTAGAGCTTTGTGAGCCAGCGCGGGCTTATGAAGATGTACTCGGCGGCGTTGAGGGCGACGATGATGCGGCCGAGCGACATATAGAGCGAGGCGGCGAGGAATGGCGGGGCCGAGAGGAGGAGGAGGTTCTGAAGGATCCAGGGGCCGGCGACGTTAGGCTGGGCGTGGGAAAGATAGCGGCCGTAGTAGCCAAAAACTTCGGCTGCCGTGAAGAGACGGGTTAGCCATGCCAGCCAATCACTTAAAGATTCCGACGCAAATACGGCACAAGAAGCAAAAGGTGCTCACCAATACATCCGAGGAAAAACGGGACGAAGAACCAGGCGCGGAACATGAAAATATACACCAAGTGCCCAAGTGCGGCCATACTAAAAAGTGCCATGAAGGCAAGAGCCGGGGGCTCACTAGGACGGTACTCCCAAAACACGACGATCATAGAACCATTGACGACGGGCCCGAAAGGAGGGTGATCAGGCTGCATCGCAGACGCCATTGTGAATCAACTGGACACGTGTATACGCAATGGAGAAGATAAGATGGAATAAGTGCGACCTAGGAAAGGGCCAATGAAAGTCAGAGCCGGTATAAACAATGTATAGAGAATGCCGATCGATGAACTGAAGAAGAGGATGGCGAAAATAATCTGCATTATGAGACACAGAGCATGTAACTGAGTCTTTAAGAAAGCAGACTTTTAAAGCGAGGCCCGAATCCCGAAGATCATTATTAGAGGTTTCCTCTATTTCGAGGAGTCTTAAGATTGTATAGTTGTCGATAGGACTCTGTCATGCATGTCCCGACTACTAGAAGGTTACCAGTCTCGCTAACCGTAGCCCCCGGTGGCTCTCACGACGAGAAAAAGTCCGTGCTAGCAGTATAGTCCGTACTTATCGAAACATCAAGATTCGATTGGAGTGTTTCGGTCGGTAATTTGTGAATCATTAAATTAGAAATTATTAAAACGAAAGTGATACAGAAATGGAATACGAAAAATAAGGTGTACCATTAAGCGGCAAACAATTGAATGTGCGGGTTACCGACGCGCTCTAGCTCGAGTGAGGCACTCTATGCCGCGCTACGACAGTGCACCGCTTTCTGTGCGTTTCGAGACGGCCGAGCTACAAACAATACTAAATTGGCCTGTTAGCCTGCAGGGAGCCAGGTTTTTTGAAGTATGCATAATCTTCGATGGGTCTCGATCCAGGTGGAGGATCCGTCAGTACCATCTTTCTCGCATTGGGAATGCGAAAATTTGACCAATCGGATGAATGTATCGTCAGATCCTTGGCCGAATCTGGCTGTTCCGCCCTTAGCGCCGGGCGTTCCTGCAGCCCTGCTGTGGAGATCGGCAACAAAAAAGAGAAGCCGCAGCAAGTTGCGTGCGTTGCCGCTTGCTATAAGTGCTAATTCGGTGGTTTGCAGCGGCCCAGCTCTCGTACTTCGTACCTCGTACAAACACTCCTTGTTGAGTCCTTCTTTACGACAAAGAATCTTCCTGCAGTGCTGCGTAAAAACTAGGTCAACATAGGTAGTCAAACATGACCAACAGATTACAGGGAAGAAAAGATATGACGTTATGGCTATCGCCCTCCCGCGAAGTAGTCTCGGCAACAAGCAACACAGTCGTTGAAAGACCAACCAAGAGGAGGAAGCCGCATCGCAAGTCCCGCCATGGTTGTCTCAACTGCAAGCGACGCAAAGTAAAGGTATGTACCCTGTGGAGGATTCCACTGTTCTGCCTGATATCGAAGCACCAATGAAGCGGGTATCACCTTTGGCTGTCTTACCGCTCATAGTGGTTAACAAATAACTCTGAATAGTGTGACGAGAATGGTCCAACGTGTTCGCGATGCATCGCTTTCGGTATAACTTGCGTCTACAAATCCATCAATCCGCCATTAGCAAGTCCGGACCAACCGTCGTCTTACAAGCATGTATCGAAAGACGGTACGCTCGCTCCTCGCGCCTTGGCTACAGTCAAGCCGTTACGGAGGGGAAGGGGACGTCCTCGAAACAACTACAGTGCCTCTCTTGAACCCAACCTAGCTTTATCATCCTCGGTCTCTGGCAAGGAGGTGGACACATCGCTGGCGGACACACCTCCGAGATCAGAGCTCAACATAGGGAACAACCATGGCTTTCATCTTGAAATCGATGACATCGAACTACTCTTACACTTTACCTCCCGACTGGCACGAGATTTTGCCCCATCAGGCGACCTGAATGATGCCATGTCCCGGTTTTGGACGCACAATGTATCACAATTGGGCTTGTCTCATCCCTTCATCCTATACCTAGTCTTGGCTTTAGCAGGTTATCACCTTCACTTCCAAGAGAAAGCAAAAGATACGCTGCCGGAGGCACTCGCCACTTCGTCCCAACTTGTAAGCGATGGTTCTACCCCGAACCAGGATCGATACCAATCACTCGCCAGCCGCCACTTTCACATGGGTCTGACAGGTCTCAACAAGACGTTGCGGTCAATTGACGAGACGAACTGCGGGGCGCTCTACATCGGCGCGACGCTGGTGTGCTATTGCGCATTTGCCGCGGGGCCGACCGCGGCGAACGACCTGCTCATCTGTCATACAAGAGGCTGCCGTCCGGGCGAGATTGACGTTCGATGGCTCCCCCTCACTCGTGGCGTGCGGCTCATACGGGAAAGTTTTGCCACAGACGTATTGTTCTCCGGTCTGCTGGCTGCTTTTGGGGGAAAGACAGCCGAAAGTGAAGAAGACCTTGATGTCGTAGACGATGCATCACAGAACACGGAGGGAAATGAGAAGCCCCGTGGCGTAGATGTCCTCCCAACTTATCTGCAGGAGGGTTTTGCTCGTATGCAATGGGAAAATCAGTTCAATTCCCTCCGCCAGTTGATCTCGACAACTCCCTCTGCACTTAGGAAGGATGCAACACCAAGCGAAAGGCTGGAAGTTCAACGCACCTCCCTGAAAGCCATGGAAAACTTGCACCTAAGATATAGCGCAACATACGGAAGGGATCTTGACGGTAACTACGACGGCCCTCCAGATGGCCAATTCATTCTGGGCTGGTTGTACCACTTGGATGAAGACTTCGTCGCACATGTACGGTCCAGGGAGCCTATAGCCCTCCTGGTACTCGCGTACTTCACACCACTTCTCCACACGTTAGCTAAATGCTGGTTCTTGCGTGGGTGGCCAGAACATTTGTTGGTCCAGATACGGCGAATGTTGCAGGAGGATGGTAGTGCCGCAGGTGAGCTTGATCTGGCGGCTTGGATAACATGGCCAATGGCGCAGATTGGACTGACCGGTTAGACAAACGACTTGGGTTGTGATGAGAGTTCATGTAGTGAGTGGTGATGGCGGTGTTAATTGCTTAAAGACGGCTGATGGAGGGCAAGATTTCGGCGAAAGGACGCCATATCGATTGTATTGATGTTGTCATTCCATGAGACTCGTATCAGGGTAGTATGCGTGTGGGGTAATAAGGTTCACAGACGGCGAATATGCACCTCCTATTAACGCAAGGACTGGTCTCGCTGTCGCCATGATAGTAAACGGACCATTCGGATCACGCTACAACGCGACACGGAAGGAAGCCAGCATGACAGTAACGGTGCATCTAAGCGCTCGAAATGATTCTTACAATCATACGAGGGCGGAAAGCTTATGCTTACTTGCTTGCTTCCTCCGTTGGATATGTTATCTACGGTTTGTGGCTTCCGAGGCCCATGAGGCAACAACAAGCCGAACTAGTGAAGTACCTTATGGTGGCACAAAATGCATAGAACTGTTGATGGAGATACTAAGCTTTCAAGATTGTAGGAGCTAGTTTTGTTTAGGATCTTTCAAGAGCCACGAGGAGAGTGTTTTGACAATGACCCAGGTTGTCCCTTGACGTAGGATACGGGAAGAGAAAATGGGGTAGCGGCTACTTTTTTCGAAATAGGTAGGAAAAGCTCAAGGATGCCTACTGTCGAAACGAACAGTTGCTGATCTCCCTCGGTTGTTCGAGTCTAGAGGAGAAACGGGTTGTTGATTAAACTGTTCGTCGACACAACTTCGGTCCCCATGAGATATGACCCGTTCCGGATATGCTCCCATTCTAGGTCGTCGATTTCGAGCATCCACGGCGGATGTGTACTAAGTTTAACTTGTTTGAGAGATGGCAGTCATGGTGGTCCAAATGTTGCTCTGGGATAATCTTTCCAAGGCACTACCAGCAAGAACGGCCGAAACAAGGCCTTTCTCCTCTCTATGCTGTCGAATTTGGACTTGCTCGAAGGTTGTCATGGGCGAAAGCGGAATCTGGAATACCGTTTTCCAAACCCGACCCCACCACCGGGCTCAATGCTGAATACTGCTTGCCGCAAAGGCAAAAGCTAGAAATCAGTATCCTGCACTCGCGGCGGAGGAAACGGTTCCGCGAGTAGCCACTTTGCTGAGCTGACTGTAGTTTTCGGCGTCCTTGTCTTTGCTCGCGCTACAAGTTTGCCGTAGTACCATAAAGTTCATGCTCTCCATTTAAACGATGCGAGGCGCATTTGAAATTGACTCTTGTTCTGCTTTATATACCTACCAAGGTCAATTGATCGAAAATCGGCTGCATTGTTTACTACGACCTCTGCCTGGTTCATCCCACTAGACTAGAGGAAGCCTGGTCTCATATTATGATGTCATTATTGCAGACATCACAACCCTTGTGCGCTACCATTCGCTGGTAATAGCGAATTGCAACACCTCTGATTCATTCCCAAAACCGCCAATCTCTGGCTAAACAACATTTAAGCGTAAAAGCGTGATGTGATGTCATGCCTGGAACCGTTTTCACCTCTGTAACAACCTCCCGATAGTCCAAGTTATTCAGGGTCAAAGTCAACACCGTCTCCGGAACGATTTGCAATGCTGCCGATGAGCGTTCTCGCCCCTCGAACGTGTTGATTCATACTCGTACAGACAGCAACCAGTTGAAGATCACTATCGCACCCCAAAACTGTTTATGTTCTTCTTCATCAGAATGACCAAGCATCGTCGCACCGGCAATGTAGAGCGTATCCCCATCTCTTCTCTCCTTCCTAAGGTTGTCGCGCAATGCCATAAAACCTCGTACGGACTCCAACATGAAGAGAAATAAAACATGATCGCGTGCGGGTTCGCATCCTGTGTGTGCATCCACTGGTCACCCTCTTTCACGGCCACTGTGAGTCGGGCTCCGCTGGATATCATGTCGAGCCACGTCGTCAAGTCCTCGTCCCGGTGCCGTCGAGGGATTTGTGATATCATCTCAAGTTCTCTTACAATGCAGATAACTAGCGCAGTCGAAATTGATAGCTAATAAATAGCTAACCTAGTGACATGTCTTACTATTCTCCATGCAATGGCTACACGGTGCTCCTAGAGTGCTCCTTTAGCCTGCTGCTTGCATGTGAGAGTGCCCGGTCCCCTAACGGTTAATGGTTCACGGTAACGGAATCTGCAAAACACGCAATGGAACCTTGAAAAGAAAAAGCCAAAAAGGGCGTTTTTAATTGTTGGGGCACGCCGTTCTACTAAGAAACCTTATCTGGTTCAGGTGTTGCAAACGGGTGTTACTAGGGTATGTAGGGCCAGTGCGCCCTTTTATGCCCAATGGAGGGACCACTGGGGGATGTATAGTCCTTCTAAAGAGGTCCCGTTGGTTCCGTTTAGACTATCGCAAGTACCGGTTTATCTATACTTATTGAAGGTGGTACGGGAAAGCGGGTGCGGTGTCGTCTTCGGATAAGTCGTGCACATATCCTGCAGGTTTCATCCGGAAACTCAGCCGAACATGAGAATAGGCCCTACGAAAGTACGAATAGAAGGAATAAATAATTACTTTTTCAGTCAAGGACGGCGTCTCTTTTCTTTTTTTCTTCCTCCTTTTCTTTTTTGGCCCGCATGGCGAGTGATGAGCTAGAGGGCCACCTAGCCATTCAGAAGGCTTGTGACTGCACGGGGGCCGCAGCAAAGTCTCTTCACAGAACCAGCAACGCCTGGCATCCACTCAAGGCCATCGACTGGCCGACCGACCATTTTGGTCAGGTCGCTGATACCGATTCCCATCGCTTCACAAGCCTGCCGATTGATACCGAATGGATGAATTGATTCGAAAACTATACCTATCGATATCAAACATGATTATTAGAGCGATCGTCTAGTAGCAGGTGGAGATGGACATGGCGTCCGACCGGTGCATCTTGTTTTCAAGTAATGCGCAACAATGGAGGACAATACGGGCGACATGATATACAATCATAACCATCGGCCCTCGTCCGGAAAGTCTCGACCAGATGCCCCATAAGATGGATGAGCTGCTGTTTGCAAACTTCCTCTAGTCGTTGATCCAACTCCCGCAGGGTCCAAGCAGTAATCTTTTGTCTCCTAGATGAGTCGCAAACCGATACTCGCACCCATTTCCCCGATCTCGCGGATCATGGTCAGTGGCAAGTGAGGAGCATCGATTGGTCAGTTGATAGGATCTTCTTACATGACACCAACTCGTTTATCGCCTTATGTAATAGCAGTCCAGGCTCAGCAGCCCACACCTGAGGATCACACAAGACAGCTGGAGCACGCTGGCAGTTCTAGGCTAGACGAACCACGTAGCCAAAGCTTGGTGGCTGCTGTCATATTTGCTTCGGAGGTAAGTTGAACTTTCGAGCACTTTGTCGCCTTTGCTTGTGATGATGCAAGTTGACCAGAGCGAGGATAGCTGCCCTTTATGCTAGAGAGATGTAGTGTAGTAAAAATATTCCGGATGTTAACCAATTGGAAGCGCTAAAGTAGATGCCGACCCTGCCGCGTCTGCTCGTCGCCGTTAGTTGATGCGAAGCAGGCCAGGTGAACAGGGCGAAAGGCTCGACCGCGAACATTAACCTAGGACATGAAGCACGTACCTATAGTTGGAACCAATTCGGGGCTAAGACCGTGAACACCGCATCAGGCCTCACCATCATCCAGAAACGGCCCCAAATGCGTCTCCAAAATTTGATACACCTTCTCATGTAATTTCCGTGGCGTAATCTGTTTGAACTACGAGCTATACTACCCGTCTTTTAGGCTGACAAGTAGACGATCCTGCCTCTGAGGCCCACCATTATGCTTCCTTACCCGATGGCAGAAACGACCACCATGACTCAATTAGCCATAGACAGGTTGCTTGCCTTCGGTTACACAACCCTTCAAACAACCGATTGTCACAAATATTCGAACCGTTTCAGCAGGAATCTGCGTCTTTGCTGGGTACATCTCGAGCGATGAAGGAGTGGTCCTTTCGTTGAGAGATCTCTGCGGCTTTGACTTGCATGAGACTGTGAGCTCCACTCTAGAGCTAGGCCGACTAGGATTCTGGCTTATTCTAGGATTTCCGACTCTTGGTATCTTACAGCGGGTACCCAAATAGATGACATCCTCGCTGGACGGCATTTAGAAGCCTTATCAAGACGTAAATGGTATAGTATCGGCAGGGCAGGTCTGGCTCGACAGGAAACGGTGGAACGGGCGTCAGTGGGTAGTAAGCGAACGACTTATTGCGTTGTAGGACGTTTTGGTGTTTGGAGCATTGATCAATCAAGAGGAGCAAGGGTGTCGGAGATGCGGGTTGACGGACGATGAAGGTGGCAAGCTCTCGACGACGTGCTTCCTACCGACAATATTCTACATCGAGCTATCCAACTACCACAGTAGTCACTTTCTGCATGTAGCGGCATTATATCATACAAGTGCTCTTACGTGTCATGCTCAATCGGCGGTCTAACTGGGATTCTTCCCTACCTCTGCGGATGCAGGACCCGAGTTCTAAGCGGGCCAGGCCCAGGCGTTCGCCCACCTCTCGTCGAAAAGCTGCCACAGCCAACTTCACGTCCATCGATTGCAATGCCACCGCACGATTGTGCTACGGTAGTGCCGACGTCCCCTCTATCTTGCGCACCGCCGCGAAACAAGGCATATGGCTGACCTGGCAGCTCGAGGACGCTGTAGGGGCCGAGGGCTGGACAGATTGGATCTCGCAGCAGGTCGTCGCTGGTCTCGAGGTAGCCTTGAAGGAAGGTCTCTAGAAGATGGGGTCCGCTATGGCTCAGGCTTTCGATAGTGCTTCGGAGGCTGTTGATAAAGTTTTCCAATTCGCCAAAGACCATCCTATCGCTACGGCAGGGTTGCTGATCATCCTGGCGGTGGGATGCTCGTCATATTCGTTCCGGTGTTTGTCAAAACTTTGGGTTTTGTAGAACTCGGTCCGGTCGAAGGTACGTTGCTTATTTGGGAGAGACAGCACACTCAGGCTTGCGTGGAGTCAACTTCCTGATATTAGCTTGACAGGGTCATTTGCCGCGTGGTGGGAAAGGACGTATCCCCGCTATATCCTAACCTAGAACTATCCCTGTTCTCACACTTGTAGCGCCTGGGGATGATCCGGGGATGATTTTAATGTAACCAATTGGAAGGAGGAAGCCCACTGCCCAGCTCCGAAATACTGCATCATCTTGTTCTCCCATCACTGTGTCTACTTCATTATTTCTAGCCGCAACATATGTAGGAAATCCGATTGGAACTGTGCGCTGGGTGGCCCCGGAAGACCATATTGTAAAATTTCATCAGTGGTGCAGTACCTTTTCAGTACGTCCTAATTGGGAAGTTATAGCGCTTGGCAAGGCCCGCTTCTGACAAATCTGCGGACGGAGACCTCACCCCACCCTCCATTCCTCACCTCTTCTTACAACCCTCCTTTTTAACCTCGACCGCAATGTACCAGAATGTGTAACTGACATAAGAGGTTCACCGCAATAATTTGATAGCAAAAGTTTCAATATGGCCCGCCAGTTTCAATTCGTCAGTGCCTCGCAGCCGACGGAACACGTTTCCCCTGAGTCTCGAAAGTTAAACCATTCACATGTCATGCGTCATGTACATGCCAAGAAACGACGCTTGCGAACCCAAAGATATCAAGATGAATTAATCAATGTCGGGATGGAGCAGGATCTGACGACCTCCGATACGGTTCTCTCAAGCCCTCTCATCCAGAGATTCGCCAACAGCAAGGATCCATTTTCCTCCTTGGCAAGACCGCTTTCATCTGAGGAATACTTCCTACTGGATCACTGTATGTCTATAGATGCTTTGCCTAACTATGCAGGTCTTTTTTCTCTCTTTTTAATTTGGGCGCACATTCCCCTGTTCACCCCACCCACCCAACCACACGACCTTCTCCGTTCCAGTATGCCTGATTTGATTGCAGACATTCAGGTTGTTGTGCCATACTCTATTGGACACTGCGATTTGTTCGACTACAACGGAGACCACCGGAAACAAATGCTCCAAGAATGGGTCGGTCTCGCCATTACTGACGACACCTTCATGACCGTTGCGATTCTCCTCAGTACATGTCGCTATATTCTATTGGAACGACCCGGCGACCCATTCTTCACGCAAATGGCTCTGCGGTATAAGCAGATATGCCTCCGTTCGTTGCGCTTGGAAATTGAGAGCAAACCGTCTTACGTCAACATAATGAGTGTTGCCAAGGCATTAGCACTTGCGGTAGATGAGGTAAGACTACTCGCCGCATGGTTTGCATGCGCTGCCTAATACCCAGGAATGGGTAGCTGATGTACTCTGTTTCAGGTGATTTCTGGTGAACACGGCATTGCCCGGAAGCATTTGCATGGTGTGCTTGCTATGGTTCAGTTTAGCGGTGGCCCAAAATCGCTTGGTCTAACAGGTTTACTAGAGAGGATGTGCCACAAATTCTTGAAGGCGCTAAGACTCACAGACGCAAGGCATAAGCAGCCAGGCGCGGGATGTTAGCTGTTGTGTTATAATCTCCGTTCTTCCACCCACGGAATCCGAAGTAATTGGGATTGCCTCTTGGGCTTAGGGTTAATCCCCTGTCAATCGCGGCGGTTTGTCACGAATTCTGACGCCAAGAAGTATAACTTCCTTATCGGGCGATAGTCCTAGCTAGCTGGGGTTCTCCTTACGTCGATATTTATCTCTGGTGATGCAAACCCAACTTCGTAATTTGCTCAACAGGGTCCTTTTCATTCTTCTCGTCCATCATCTTGATGTGAACTCACTTGGACCGATTTATAAGTAGTGCAGGTCATTAGTGGACCACAGGCAGTCATGGAACGATCAAATAAACTTATAAGAAGAGGCCCCAAACCAGTTCCGTCCACCAAAATCATCAAGCATTTTGCTCTGATTCTATCCATTTATACACATTATCTATCTTCATATCAGCTGCATAAATCTTATTGCAACATCATGTCCTCTTTAGCCACAGCCATTCCCGCCGGTTCTTGGGTTCTTGTGACCGGTGCCAGCGGATTCCTCGCCTCCCACGTCACCAGCCAATTCCTAAAGCGTGGCTTCCGAGTTCGGGGTACCGTTCGGGACGTCAGTAAATCTTCATGGCTTGTTGAAGGTCCTTTCAAATCCTACGCAAAAGACGGTGTCTTCGAGCTTGTGGCCGTACCTAATCTCGGAGCTGACGGCGCCTACGATGAAGCCATCAAGGGTGTTGCGGCTATTTTGCATGTCGCCTATGTCACCAAGATCGTCCCTGACCCGAACGAGGTAATTACCCCAACAATAAACGGCATCCGGTCTATCATGGACGCAGCAATGCGAGAGCCCTCCGTCAAAAGGGTCGTGTTTACTAGCAGCGCCTTGACCGCTTCAGCGCTCACCCAGGGCATCGACAACGGCACGGTAGGGCGAAACTCATGGAACGATGCCGTCCTCGAGGCTGCCTGGGCCCCGCCTCCTTATGGTGTGTCGCATGCCATGGCTAATTATCCCGCCAGCAAGGTTGCTGCTGAAAAAGAAGTGTGGAGGCTCGTCGAGGAGAACGAGCTTCCTTTCACGGTCAACGTCGTGTCTCCCGCGGGAATTATCGGGGAACCCCTTAATAAGACCCACATAGAGGGACAAGCAAACTGGGTTGTTCACGCCTTTAGAGGTAACAGGAAGTCCATGGACCCAATGCTAGCTTGTGAGAACCCCAGCTCTTTTTTGACTTGAAGCCTTTTCATGCAGTCATCTGACTTGATTTCGTATAGCTTTTTACGGTGATGTGAAAGACCTGGCATTGATCCACGTCGCAGCCGTTCTAGATCCCGAGGTCAAAAATGCACGCCTACAGAGTTGGGGACATAGCACTCACTGGAACGATATTTTGGCTGTTCTGCGCAAACTCCGTCCGCAGAAAAATTTCATAGAAGACTACCCTGATCCTCAGCATCTCAAAATATCGGTCGACCAGTCGGACTCTATTGCGCTCCTGAAGAAGTGGTCCGACAAGGATGGATGGACGTCTTTGGAGGACAGCGTCTTTGAAAACATCACTACCCCGTACTTGGATGATTGATATGTTAATCGATCTCGAATATATAGCACTTCATTGTCAGCTCTTGAGTCCGTTCCCGTCTGTCCGTACTTGTGATGTCTCACCCATACAGAATTTGCAAGCTTGAGAGCCAAGTAACACCCTGCTATTACTACTATCCCACGGGTATTCAATAATGCGTCAACTTACGACAAATATAGTACGTGCACGTCTCTATGAACCCTGGTTCAGTTTAAAGATTCGTTAACTACCACTTTCTCATCCGTGCACATCGCGAATGTGCGAGTGCCAGGTGATGGAAGGTCAAGCTGGTATGACATCAAACCTGAAAACACAGACCGTGATAGATGGAATCGTTACCGTTGATGGCGTACGTCTTTGCGTTTGTAACTTGGACACATTTGTGGCCCGATTTGAGCAAACTCTGACGAATCAAGATGCCATGGTAGAATGAGGTTTGTGTAGGAGGGTTCCAGGAACGTGACTATCAATGTCAGATTTGCTTAGCGGAATTAGTGGGGTATTCTTCATTACTTAATAACGATGAGGTGGTTGAGTCTATTCAGATGTTAAAAATAAAACAAGAGTTGGCGTCGTATCCATCATTGACGTATGTACCTTACAACGTGGTTGCTCAAGTAATGGTCGGGACAGCTGTTGTAGCACTATTCGACACTCGAACAACAATAATAGTTTCAGCAAAAGCAATGGGTCCGAAGCTCGTCAACCGTGTCGTGAAGGCCTGCGACGTTTAACATTACATATTCATTATGGTTACTTTAGATGTTTTAGATGTTCAGAAACTAAAGCACTGACCTTTGAATGTGAGGCTCCCGAATTATCGGTGGAGGGAAACATATCTTGAACTGGCTAGGCATTTCGGTAGACTTGGTTAAAGAGAGAGCCTGAAAACGACAGCGCATAGTCTGCAGAACACAGACAACAGGGTGTCTGGAATATCAGATATGACCTCGCAACATTTCCCAAGAAGATATTGACGAATTAAGAATTATGTATAAGCAAGTCGTCCAGACATGACTGCAGCCAAAGTATGTGGAAATGTTAGATTGAGAATGAATACTGAACAGTGGACACTGGAGATCGACATATGTGGCAATAGTACTAACAATGCTCAAGCCCCTGGAATTTTGATTCTAGGCGTTCTCATCAGAATTACATTAGCCACGGCATATCAATAATAGACGTACAGGCCCTTGTCCACTTCTTGTGCAATTGGCGTATAGCTCCAGTTGCTGAAATAGGCTGGTGCGCCACTTGATGCGCCACCATTAGTAGTTGCGAAGACGCCGAGCAGTGTGCCTGTGTACATTCCGCCTCCTCCGCTCAACATCGCAGCTGGCCCTGTGCCGAGTTTGACAGAATCTACAGGACTGGTAGATGAAGAGGCTGTGAACTCATAGTACGTATCGTTCACGGTGGTGATTGTCAACCGGACTCGGTCCCATGACTCCGGAAGCAGAAGTCTGAAGGTTTCGGGTACTGTTGTATCGAAGGAAGTCGAGACCCAGTACGCTTCTGCTCGGAACTGTAAGTACTTCACGATTTTCGCCTTTCCAGAACAACTCGAGGTACTATTCGACGTCACGGCGATAACGCTCAAGTCAAAATGCTGTCCCTGTGACAGGAAAGCAGTAATACCCGCTTCCTCGCCATGAGCAGATGGATTGAACTCGACCAAGTCTACTGAGAACTCGAACAAAGTGTGCGACTGTCCCTTTCGAGCGATGAACGACTGTCCTTCTTGGCCCGGGATAAAGCTCGCGTCGGCCGTCAGGTTGGCTCGCGAAGGTAGCAGTCGTAGAGTGTTCTCATGACCTACAGCTGAGATGGCGAAATTGTCAAACGTCTCGTTTTGTGCTCGCCAGGTAACGAAGTTCTTAGGAATCTGCATGCCAGGCCCGAATCTCAGGGTTTGCGAAGCGTTCACGATAGGGCCTTCACCAGGTGGGCTTAGTTCAGCCGTGGGAAGTTCCCAGCCAGACATGACACCACGGACCGGCTGGAAGGTCGGCCATTCGTTTTCGTCCCAAGTCACTGGATATAGCACCGACTCCCGGCCCATTGGATAGACTGCCCATTCTGGGCCAGATCGTGTCGCTAGTGCCACGCCCCACCACTTTCCATTCCTGTCCTGGAACAAGTCGCCATGGCCCACAGTCTGGTAGTATTCGTCTGTGCCTCGATTGGTGAGTACAGGGTTGCCCTCATAGAATTCATATTGTCCATCGATGGTTTCACTGCGTAGCATGGCAATGCTATGATTGAGTTGAGTGCCCCCATTGGCGACGAGGAGCCAATGGTACCCGTCCTTGAGGTATATGTGGGGACCTTCGGGCGAAGACTCCCCGTTTCCGTTCCAGAGAACAGCTGGTTCGCCCAACACCTCTTGAGTGGGAAGGTCAATCTGGTACTGGGTAATTGACCAAGGCCCAGTGCCGTTTGCTACTGTTACATATGCCAAATCACTGGCATCGTCGAAGAAGATGTCTGGATCGGCACCATACGTAGGATTGGGTACTTCCCACGGGTCAGACCATGATTCATCAGTGTACGGATCCGTGGTACGAAACAACAATAGGTGAGGGTTGAATTGCGCAATCGTGACAAATGCCGTGATGATATAAAAAGCACCTTTGTGATAACGCAATGTCGATGCCCATGTTCCGTCGAATTGCAGGGGGTAAGTAGTCGCGATGTCCGGAAATTGGTCCACACGATTGTAGGCATGGCTCACCAACCGCCAGGTCTGAAGATCCTTGCTGGCATAAATCGGGATGTTGGGAAATGTGAGGAAGCTGGATGTCGTGCAGAACCAAGTGTCATTATACGCGCCTTCGGTGACGAAAACGCAGGAAGGATCTGAATTCCAGCCCGGCAGCATAGGATTTGTGTAAGTCGAGTTGGTCTCGGCTGCGACCTGCCATGCGGCGAGCTGTAAAGCTGCTGCCACCCAAGAAGGGGTTCTCATAGTGCGTATACTATAAACTCAGTCGGCGATACTCCTTCATTGACATTGCCAGTGGGTGAAACACTGAGGCTTCTGCCCACACATTGATACGTGTATTTCTACCCCGGATTCAGTTCCGGAGAGTCCATGGTGGGGTTGCCGGAAATCCCGGCAGCGCAACTTATAATGTTACCAGATCAAGTTGCTCGACTAGACCGCAATATAGAGTTCAGAATTCAGGGGGTCATGTGTGCAGTCCTCGTGTGAATGTGCTCCATAATTGTCGCTACGTGCCGTATGTACTCCGTACTTGGCAAAGAGCTAGGACAGAAAGCTGTTAGATTTTCGCGGACATTCCGTCACCGGAAATGTGCGATCTAGTAAGGGGCTCGCAAAGTCGGCGTTTGGCAGTGTGCTACCTAAGTGCAAGCTTCCACACAACATATTATCTAACTACCTAACCGTGGCGGAGAAATGTAGGTTGACAAGTTGTAGCAAATGTGCTGCGTTTGTCGTCATGCATAGCCTCTAAGGGTAGCCGTCTGTGCTATACACTTGCTTATCGCCGAGAGAGAAGACGGGGCTTCGGAAGAGGTGCCTTTCCGACTGCCGAAAATCGTTCTAACCATGGGCTTATCAGATGCTTAGATTATCGCCCGGGCGACAGACCATCGCTGTCAACTTGTTTAAATCCACACCTACACACCTACACTGCAGTCTGAGCTCAACCCGTCTCCAATCCCCACGAAAACTCATCATCGACTCAAGCAGTGACATCATGGCTGACGTAGAAGGTGTTGCGCCGGCAAAAGCCGCTGACACGCTTACTGACAGCCAAAAGCCAGCGGAAACTACAGCTCCGGTAGCGCCTGAGACGACTGAGACGATTGAGACGACTGAGTCTGCTGCCCCCGTCGGTACTGGGAAAGCTGCCGAGCCAACCACTAGTGCAGCAGCAATCCCAGAAGAGGCACCCGAAAGCACGCCTCAAGCTCAAGCTGCCGACAAGGCCGACACTGAGCCCGCAGTCGCTCCTGAGAAGCCCGATGAAAAGCCCGATGAAAAGCCCGATGAAAAGCCCGATGAAAAGCCCGATGGAAAGCCCGAAGCCGCCGCAAGCGAGCCTCGGACCGTCCCTGCCGGTACTCCGCTGGAGCAGCTGTGGGCCATCGCCCAAACCAACGGCCACCCGGAAGTCTGGGGCGTGACTCTGGCGGACCCCGAGACACATGTGCCGTCGCAAATCGTCTTCCAGAAATATCTCAATGCCAATGATGGCGACCTCAACAAGGCCAAAGAGCAGCTGATCAAGACGCTGGAATGGCGCGCCAAGTGGAAGCCTCTCGACTCTCTGTCTAAGACTTTCAGCAAGGAGAAGTTCGCCGGGCTGGGCTATGTCACTTCTTATGGTGGTCCGACTCCGGAAACCAAGGAGGTCTTCACCTGGAATATCTACGGCATTGTAAAGAACATGGAGTCTACCTTTGGTAACGTGGACGAGTAAGCTTTTCTCCTTGTACCCATTCATTTTGTCCTGGGGTCACCCGCGATCGCAGAGTGGTTTAACCCCCCCCCCCCCCCCCCCCCCGGCAGTCTATTTATCGAGACTAATACCGTCAAAGGTTCATCGCATGGCGCGCTGCACTGATGGAGCTGGCCCTCCAGGAATTGTCACTTTCAACCGCCACAAAGCCCATCACCGCTACCGAGGATCCTTACAAGATCTACCAGGTGCACGACTACAAGTCTCTGAGCTTCTTCCGCCAGAACTCGGCAGTCAAGGCGGCCTCGAAGGAAACGATCCAGGTGTTCGGGTTGACATACCCAGAGCTCCTGCGGGAGAAGTTCTTCGTGAACGTACCCGCCATCATGGGCTTCATGTACGGTGTGATGAAGCTTTTCGTTGCGCCCAAGACCATCAAGAAGTTCCACCCCATGAGCAACGGCGGGGCACTGGCTTCGGAATTCGGCGAGAGCAAGGTCAAGAAGCTTGGCGATGCGCTGCCAAAGGCCTACGGTGGTCACGGCGAAGACCTGCAGATCCAGGGCAAAACTACCACGTTGGAATAATTTGCTCATGTGAGAGAAGCGAGCGATCCGATAGTGCGGGATGTAAACTTTTCTTCGTTACGTCTCTAGAAGAGACGTGTTAACCCCCTTCGCTTTGCGATTTTTACTTTCTGCTTTTGAGCACGGGGAACGATGATACCATTAGAATGTAAAGTTTAATTGAATCATATACTAGACATTGATCAAGATGTTATTTCGATATCCTCCTTGAACTCATTTCGATTGTATTGTTCCAAAATTCAACTTCTTAAAACAAATCAAGTGAACTAGTTATAACGTAGTTCACAAGCGAGCTGGCCACCCAAGGAAGCTGGCCACGCTAATTAGCATAACATATAATTCAACCTTTTACCTCCATTTTCATCACTACTTCCAAATGACTTTAATTAATAAAGAAGCTCAATTAATCCTTGCTATTCAAGCTATTGAAAAAGATCCAACATTAAGCGTACGGCGCGTCGCAGCGATATATACAGTCCCTCGTTCAACGCGTATGACGCGAATACGCGGTATTCAACCTCGACGCGATACCCGACCTAAAAATCAAATTCTTACAAAACTAGAAGAGGATACGATTATTAAAAGGATAATTAAGCTAGATTCCCAAGCATTCCCTCCCCGGTTAAGCGCTATAGAAGATATGGCGAATCGATTACTACGCGACCGCGACGCGTCACGCGTCGGGAAGAACTAGGCCTCTAACTTCGTCAAGCGACAACCACAACTCAAAACGGTATTTAGTCGCAAGTACGACTATTCTAGGGCTTTATACGAAGATCCAGAACTTATCCAAGGTTAGTTCGACCTCGTACGTAACACAATCGCGAAATACGGGGTTGTAAATACGGATATTTACAACTTCGATAAGACCGGGTTTATAATAGGACAAATCACCCCATCGATGGTCGTTACCAGCTCCGAAAGGAAAGGCAAACCTAAGCTAGCCCAGCCTAATAATCAAGAATGGGCTACGGTTATCCAAGGCGTTAATTCGCAAGGCTAGACGGTCCCGCCGTATATCATCGTTAAAGGCAAATACCACCTCTCATCTTGGTACGAAAACAGCTTAATGCCGAAGAATTAGAAGGTCGCTATTAGCCCGAATGGTTAGATTACTAATAAACTAACTACAGATTAGCTAAAACACTTTAACGCGTATACAAAAAGCCGGAAATTAGGTATATACCGGCTTTTAATCCTTAACGGCTACGAGAGCCACCATTCGGATGCTTTCGAATAGTATTATAAAGAGAATAACATTCTTACACTTTGTATACCTGCCTATTCATCCTATATCCTTCAGCCATTAGATATAGCATGTTTTGCACCTCTTAAGAAAGCGTACAACGCGCAAATTAAACGTCTTATCCGAGCCCGGATTTCCCATATTATGAAAGAGGACTTCCTCCCGGCGTTTTACGAAGCATTCGAGAAGAGTATAACCGAAAGCAATATCCGCGCAAGCTTCGAGGGAGCTAGACTTATCCTTCTAAGCCCGGAAGTAGTGATATCGAAGCTAGATATGAAATTACAAACGCTAACGTCCTCTCGGCCCCCTACGCGAGAAACCCGACCTTAGGCTTCGAAGACACCGAACAACCCAATCGAGGCTACTTCACAATCTGAATTTATTAAATCTCGGATCGCCAACCATCAAAATAGCTCTCCAACCTCAATTTACGAAGCCATCGACCAATTCGCGAAAAGAGCGCATGGGATTATACACCGGATGGCCCTCCTCTAAGCCGAGGTGACTAAACTACGAGAGGCAAATACGGTTATTAGTAAACGACGTAGGGCTAAAAAAACACGTATTCGGCTTAGAGGATCACTTAATATACAAGATGTAAAAGATCTACAAGACCAAAAAGACGTTACACAACAAGTACAACAAGAAATACGTGAAAACGGTAATGGTTCGGGTCGGGGACCGGCGCGCCAACGACGCTATAGAGTGTGCGGGAAGCCCGGGCATAACGCAAGAACCTATCAGATTGAAATAGAATCATCTGGGCAAGAGTATTCAGAGTAGTTTTAATTGATTTACGGCGTTATGGTTACGAAATTCAGTTAAATTACGTATTATGCTAATTAGCGTGGCCAGCTTCCTTGGGTGGCCAGCTCGCTTATAAACTACGTTACTCAGAAGATCCACAATACATTGAAACAACTATTTAGTATGATTGTAAAATTAGGCAGACTTGACCGCCTTTATGATATAAATAACAAAGAAGTCTCTTTACTCGATAGACGTGGGTAGATTGAGAAAACGTGCCAAGCTGTTACCCTAGTTGCGCTCGCGTTCGAGTATCCTCATAATCTTATCTTCGATCAATACAGCAAATTACATCATAAATGCACCGCAGATTGTGGCATCACCTGGCAAAGTGGCATGATTAATATTGACAACCACATATTGATGTATATTTATACATCTTGCTAAGCATGCGTGGTCATCAAAAGCTCTTGCGCACCATTCCGCTACAGGCGGGATTGTGTAAGGCACCGCTGCTATGGCTGCTCTTGACTGCAAGACCGTGAGATCAGTCAAATATCGGGTTTCTACAACTCCGTTATGCTTGTAAAAAAATTAACATTCAGAACAATATTAATAAAAAAGCGTCCCTGTATTGTAAAGGCTATTGACGGTGTGACTACTGATGAGTGTTTGTACTTGGTCGACCTATTTGCAGCCTGCATGGCTCTTAGTCCCAACGATTTGTAAACTTCCCAGTCGAGGCCGTGCTCAACGTCCACTGACCGGGAATTATATCCAATACCAACCGATGGGTCGAACTTCAAAACGTGGGAAAGCTGCACGAGAAGTGGGGTAAGCGGCACAATTCCGCCGCCAGCATGACCACGGCTATCCCATTGATGTTCGACCTTGAGATTGTGAATATGTTACTGCATGCAGGCCGGGTTCTCTTTGGTTATCATTGTAATCTGACAGGCATTCTCGCCTTTAGCCTAAATAACAGAAACAGGCGGGTTGTACATTATACACGGTGCATGCTCTGCACATGTACACTCTCATCGCATAACCGAGGACCCACTCGCAACCCGTCGTTTTGTTAAAGGAGGATTTATAAGCAAACGGAGGTCATAAAAACACCTGACACTCTACAACGCGGAGGTTCTGATTTGGGTTTTGACTGCGTACACTTTCATCAGATATATGCAGATTTTGCTCGCTTGTCCCTGACAGATAGTCTTCTTATTACAGATCTGTCGTCAACGATAGTGGAAGTTCAAAATACGCCAAGAAAGGCTCCACCTCAGTGACGATGAAAAAAACCGAAATCAATACCAAGTTTCAGGTCCAAGCAGCCCTTGACTTGCTCCAGTTATTTGATATTTTCGTGGATACGTACAAGACAGTGAATGACCATCCCATCGGCGTGCATATTCTTATCCCGAAGACAAAGTCGACGTCAGGCAGGAGGCCTATCCTTGTGAAATTGCATGGAGGGGGTTGGCACGAAGGGACGTCGGATGACTGGTGGCGACCATGGTAAATCTTTAGTTCTGCAGTCTACAGCCTTGTGACCTGTCCTCAAATGCTGATGTGAAAAAAAGGACACTAGAACTGGCTCTCAAGCATAATGCCGTGGTTGTGTCCCCAGACTACAGGCTTATGCCAGAGTCACAGTTCCAGGATATCGCCGACGACCTGCGTGACTTCTGGCGCTGGGTAGACACTGACTTCGAAGCGCTACCAGGGCTCGACGTCGACACGAGTAACCTGGCCATCGTTGGAGAAAGTGCGGGCGGCCACCTGTCAGCGCTGTCCGTTCTGCTTGGTTTCTCCAAACAGGCTGCTGTTGTCATGCTTCAATATCCGGCCCTGGCGATCCGAAAGCATTGCGATTACGTTACCCGCGCCCCGGCCCCTCAAGTGCCCGTTTCCGTTCTGGACACGTACCTTGCAAATGTCGACCCGAGCAAGTTGCTCACTCGGGCCGAGTTTGCCACGAGAATGGACCTTGCCTACGCGTCGGGGCAGAGCGGACGACTTGTTGATCTGGATAGGTATCCGCACTTGGACCCGATCAAGAGTCTCGAAACGGCCGACAGGATACCGCCGGTTTTCCTGTTCCATGGCACCAACGATACCAGTGTTTCGGTGAAAGATTCACAGTTATGGGTGGAAAAGCTGGAGAGGTTGCATCCTGATGTACCCATTCATGCAGTCTATCCTCATGGGGAGCACGTGCTCGACCAGGAAGCCACACTGGCGGAACCTTGGCTGAAAGAACCTATTGCTTTTGTTGAGCGGTATTGGCCAACCAAGTAGAATGGCACACCTCCACACAACACTGGAATACATGCAGGGAGCCTTTGGTGAAGTGTGGCATTGCTTGATGGTCCGCCACAGCCATGCAGTTTCCGTAGCGATCACATTTTTGCAGGCAGGCTAATTATTCCTTGTAGTGTGTGAGATAGCACCAGTTAGGCCACTCAAAGATTTTCCGTAGTTATTAGAGGTCCTAACGGGCATCATCTATGTCTATATCATTTTCCATTGGAATAGGTCTCTTGTAACATAAAAGACACAATTTCAGAGACCTCGTCCTCGAATTTCTAGCATCAACCTGGCGTTGGTAGTCGTAGTGGTTAATAGCCATCGAGGACTCTGCTTTAGTACCAAAATTCACGCGGAATAGGTCAAATTACAAAAGTACTGTTTAAAAATCAATTCGGCGAAATTGTTTCTGTTATTTTCGAAGCGTTAGCAGAGGCTACTTGTAGCTACCAATCGCCTTCTCAGCACCCAAGCCTACACTTACGCCACGCCGTAGTACAGCTCGCACTCTATCCAACAGGTGCAGTGGCATTTGGAGCTTCTGAATAACTATTCTTATTGTCAATGGCTAAACAGGAAACTCAACAAAACAGTGGCTTGGGTGATGCGCTTGTGATCAATATAATGTTCTCCTGGCGTCCGCGGAGGGATATATGTGAATTTTGAAGCGGCTAAATTATGACTTCTATCTCCAGTGATGGTCTTCCATACAACAGTCACAAATAATCATTATTCAGGCGACTTCAGTGCTGGTCTGGAGGATGTAGATCTTGAAGCACAACTCAATAGTCGTCGCGAAGGCTTCTTACCAATACTTAAGAAGCCAGTTGTTGTATCAAACGTTCACCATTAGCTATTTACCTAGCTGTAGCGTACGTATTTAGCACATCGTCATTGATATCCCCATTTTGAATCTGCACCGTCCCCATACCCAGAAGGTGCCACCAGTCCCTCCAGCTTGAACGAACGACAGGGTACCCAGGCATGACTAAAGCTCAGTTGGTCAAGCTGTTGGCGTGGGCAAGTCCTCAACAGCGAGCGAAGCCTTAGCAGTTTGTGACTTCCCGGCAGAGGGAGAAGCCTTCGTAGTTGGTGAAGTCTCGGTAGGGAGTGCAGCCTTAGTAGTTGGCGAGTCCTCAGCAGCTGGCGAATGCCCGTGAATGGGCAGAACCTCGAAACTAGCCGAAGGTGCAGTGGAGGGCGATCGGTTGTACTCCCAATCAGCATCCCATCTCTGTTTGTCATAAATCTGCATGAGCTTACGTGAAACGGCGCCCTGGGTCACACGTTCCTTGACTGCCTTTGGCAAAGGGTTCTCATCATCTCTCCTGGTCTGCTCGGCAGCAGCTGAGCTCGAGATTTTCTCGCTATCAGATCCGTGGCCTTCATATAGGTTGTATGGAACAGCGTTAATGAGTGCGCGCCTGCGCGCATCCCAGTCCATAATCGATACTCCGTCAGCACGCGAAGCTTGAGAGTTGGCCAGCTCTTCATCATCGATGATAGCCCGGCTACTGCTCGAAGCATGATCATAGATCACAGTTTGATGGCCGCTCACGGCTAGCTCGTCGATCGGAGCTTTCTCATCCCTCAAAGTGTCATTGTTGTTTGAGTCGCCGGACATGATGGCTTGGATGGTTTGGGGTGCAGCGATTGAGCTTTCTTGGTACCTTCTCCAGAAAATGTGTCTTCTTTTGAGATAGTGAGATGTTCCAGATTGCCGCTTGAAAACAAGGAAGAGAGCTTTTTGGAGTCAAAGGTCTCTTGTATTTATAGACCTTTTGAAGCGCGATTCACTCTCTTGATAAAAAGCTGTTGGGATTAACAGAGAAATCGAGAGTCACTACTATGCTCTATTATTGGCACATATGATTTGTGATGCGCTTTCACCGAGCTGGGTTATTCGTGCTTGATTCTCTATCGTAGTACGACCATTACGTTATTGTGCACCGAAGTCGTCACACAGCAAGGCCTATCGCAAACATGACAAACACCAATGAGAGATGTCACCATAGGTTAAGATTAGTGTGTTTGGTATCTATGGCGAATGATTACAGAGTGTTGTCGTGAAACAAAGGTTTCTTTGCACGGCAAAAAGACGTTCCAGATCCACCGTAATAACCAGTTACTCTAGACTGGAAAACCCTATCACGAAACATTGCGCGGTAATATCTGGCGCAGGTGCTGTTGCATGGCACATGCTCTACCTTTTGCGAAACGTAACACAAAGCGTGTGATGCCGAGCCCCCAAAACCCACAATGCCTTTAACCGTGACGCTAAAGTGCTCGGTTCAATTACATCCTTACGATTCTCAATCCTTGGACGAGCAAGGCCTTTCAGAACCAGCCAACCAATAGTATATATCACAATGGCGTGTTGGAAACGTAAGGCGACATGGCTATAAATTAGGCAAGTATAGCTTATTTGTGGAAGAAAGATTTTGACCAAGGTTCACGGTTCAGTATAAAAAGACAATTTACGACTCGTAGATCATAATGCATGATAATTTCAGTGAATCTTTTTTTTTTTTTAAAAAGGAAAAAAAAAACCTAACTTATGATATGATTCACAATGAAAGCATTAAATGATAAGGAATAATATGAATCTTAGAAAAATGACAGATCGCGCGACTGGTACATAGTTAATATCTGATGTTTCTTGAACTGTACAAAGTGTTGCACGAAAGATAAAATCTCTATCCTTACCGACGGTTGGTATATAAGTAGATTTCAGCGTTTCTATGCCTTCCATGTGGTAGCTTTCTTGATCTACCTCTCATGACTTGTTCAACCCTATTTGAAGGTGAAGCAGTGAATCTCAATCAAAATATCGAGAATGTGTTTGAAGAATTGCAGCTGGATATGCTTAAATGGTGCGACGATCTTGAGGTAACTATGGTAGCTTTCGTATGGTGTACTGACTGTTTGTTCTAATAGTTTTAAACATTCAAAGTAGCTTGGCCGCCAGCATAGAATGTCTGGACGGTTTTGGTATTGAAGCGCTGAGCCCTACTCTCTATCACATATGGAGGATTATAGCCCTTATATACCCAGTGGCAGTCTGATACCGGATAAGGTCTGACAATGAGTCTGATGTCTCGCCCTGGTCCTGCTCAGCCAGCATAAAACGTGACAAGAACAGTCGGGATGAACGGAAACTAGAGGTAATAAACCTAGGATAAATTACAGAGGGAATAATCTCTGGAGGTGCGATGAAGAATGCCACTGTGGTCATTACACTAGAACAGACATGATACATGGTGGCTACATGAGGCATTTGACCTGTCCATGTTTATCTGTATGGCTAGATAGGATTTTTTGGTATGTGTATTGATAATTTGTTAAGGAGTGTGTTAAGATATGAAAATAACGTGGTATGTTTGCACCATTGTGGGTTGGAAAGCAAGGATATCAATCAAATCTTACCAGCAGGGCTGAGTCGAATCATCAACGGACCCTTGTTGTAAACAATGAAAACTCTTTGGCGTGACACCCAGTCGTTTTGTCCGGGCATGAGCTCTAAATCAAAGTTCCAAAGCATCCGGGTAATGACCAGCCGCATCTCCGAGTAAGCAAGGTTCTTGCCGAGGCAGTCTCGCGGTCCGTAAGAGAATGGCTTGCATGCACTCTTATTATCTGCCGAGTACTTCTGGTTATATAGCGGATGCCTAACAGGAAGCCAACGTTCAGGCGCGAACCTTTCAGGATCTGTGAAATTAAGGGGCGAGTGGTGTGTAGGCCATTGGTAGATGGTGATGTAAGTCTGTTGGCGGTGTCAATCCATGCTCTGTTGAAAGTATGTCACTTCTGGGGGGAGTGGGAGTGCTACATACACCCTTCGGCACAAACTGTCCACCAACAGTCTCGCCTGGTGATACCCGTGGCGGTGTCTCGGCGGCGGGTGGATATATACGAAGGACCTCCTCAAGACATGCCTGGAGATAGTGTAGTTGACCTGTAGAGTTCATATTTATTTCCTCTTCGGAGGAGAACGCCGACCGAACTTCGCTCGCAAGTCTCTGGTAAACTTCGGGGTTCATTGTCAGGTGGTAGGTCAGACCTGACAAGGCAGTAGCTGTTGTTTCACTGCCAGCAACAATGAGAGCTAGGGAGTTAACAAGGATCTCGTCATGAGTCATGCCCTTGCCATCAGAATTGTGACGGAGAATGTACGTCATGAAATCCTTTCGACTCTCGTCGACACCCAGGGCCAGCCGCTTCTCTGTTTTCTGCTTGGCGAGTTCCCGTGACTCGATGAACTTCCTGATGTCCTCTTTTCCATACACTAGTAGAATCAAGGGCTTGAGCAGCCAATAATGATCAAGGAACATCTTCACCCCACCAGCCTTGATGCTAGAGAATATCAAAGCAACCCAAGGGTGATAGTCACTGTTTGCCAGGGAATTGAAGGGGTCAGCAAAAGCGAGCTCGCCAATGATGTCAAATGTTGTGTAATTATACCATTTAGTCATGTCGACGACTTTGCCCTGTTCCATGTTGCTCTGAAGCTTACGAATAAGCAGGTCGACGTAGAACTTGACATATCCCTCTTGATCTTGCAGCGCGGTGCTGGAGAAGGCGTGTGACAGAAGCCGGCGCTGGCGCCGGTGGTCCTCTTTGTAGGTAGGAAAGAGTCCAACCCGCCCACCAAGTTGGTAAAACTCGATGGTTTTTTCGAATTCTGGAGCGTTGCCGCGCGGTGCGAAGACATCCGGCCACCCTATAGAGCCATCGACAGAGAGACGATTGGGAGATATTCGAACAATTGGCCCATAAATCTCGTGCATCTGCTGCACATCCTTCGCCAGAGTGCCTTGAATTCGCTCGTGGATGAGGTATGGGAGGTAAGAGATGGCGTAAAGCCTCGGTCCAGGAAACCTGGAAAGCGGGTCGAGGTAAAGTCGATAGACGGTGAGAAGAATTCGATAGACTATTGACTGTCCTCAAATTAGCTTCGCCATACAGCGAGGGTGATGTCTGTTGTGAGAACTCACAGTTCCGATAAGAGCTGTAATAGCTGTTGATAAGCTAATGCTTAGCAGACTGTCTGCGCTGCTAGTGAGGGTACCCATGGTAAGGGGCTTATAAAGTGTTTAGATGGTTTTGACGCTCAAATAACAGCTGGGATACTTTTTTGCTGAGAGAATTGACGACTGCACATGGTTTTACAGTGTCTACTACGTGGTATATCAGATATATAGGCGTTATGTTTTCGTCTGCGGGTTTCAATTGGGTCCGAGAGTCCGTGATTTTACATCCGCGTTTATAAATCAAGCATAACCTAGTGGGGTTGTATATTGTTATCCAATTAACATGTTGCGTTACGTGACACAGACCGAGCATATACTGTGTCAAGTAGAGTAAATTAGGAACAGTGTAAGAAAAGTAGTCTAAGGTGCTATATTGACAATTGCTACGTAACGATCTTGAGGATTATAAGAAGTTGAGAAAATGGCTGTGCAAACAGTTTTTTCATGGGCAGCATGATTTGGCTGGTAAATGGCTTGTTAGAGTAACGGGTACAAAATAAACCGCATGTTAAGGCCCCGCCACTGCAACATTTAGTCTAAGGTTAGGTTAGTGAGTAAACCATGTAACGTTAAGAGGCTGGCACTCCACTGGGCAACCATCACTGCATTACTCAGTCGTAACGGCGGCGTAGTTATTAGTACTACAAGGAAACACTCACCCCTCTTTTTGCGGTTTACGCGTTGAACACTCCAATTGAGATGATATTCACGGCTTACAACCCGAATTTGTTCCTTGATAGTAACGCCGCGTAATATGGAAACAAGCTGGCTCGAGACCTTCCCTTTTCACTGATTGCGGAAACACAGCACGAACAATCGCTGTCGCTCGGCCTTTTGACCATTCGGACAGGCCGGCAGTTGGAATAGTCTGGTAGACTGCCGTTGCAGAAAAAGGCAGAGAAGAGCGACTAGCCGGCGCGACCCGACCGTAGTCCATGGGTGCTAGACTGTTCTTCTACATGAGCCTTGACAACAGATAGCTTTCCGATCATGTAAATTCCGACCATACAGAGATTTTCTTCCAAAGACAGCACTGATAATACTGCAAGAATCTGATAATCATGCCTCCTTTGATCCTCACCTATGGTGGCAGTATAGCTGATAATAGCCTTGCTTTTTGGTGATCAAAGTGGGCTATAACATAATGGTTGTCGAGAATTTTTCTAGTCTATCCTCTAGTATTAGTTTACGAACGATGGGTTGGCAGATAGACAGACTTGCGAGGACTGGGACTTAAGGTTTTGCGGCGTCTAGGCCTCAAGTCTGGCTTCCGCAACAATGCAGTCTAAGGGCAAGGCATGGCAATAGTCAATAAATCCGACACACAGAGGGCGATGTTCGAGGCGAACAGGACCGGCGAGGGGTAATAAAGCTTTACTACTGCCTTCGAGATAAGGAGGAGATCTATGTCGGGTTATATACGATACTACTAAGGATCGTATTGAACACGATTTTGTAGGAGAGAGATATCTGCATCTCGCGCGAATCGTGTCTTCAAGTGAAAATGTATTGACATCCAAGAGCGAAATGAGCCGTAAGGACGTAGTCTCTGATGTGCCAAGAACGGGTGAAGTACGCTATCGCGACGCCGAATGTATAGTAATTATCTGGATTGTCGGATCCAAACATGGTTCTCCGGGTTCGCGATCGTTAGCCATCGGCGTCAACAATAACATCAAGTTCATCCCTTTTACAGCCCTTAAAAGGCACTCTGACAGAGATGTTAAGATACTCAAAGTTCTGAACAAATATTTCAAGTATAACTTTGGCGGCGGAACAAAAAAGGGTAAAAAGGGTTATGTTAAGGAAGAGGAGATGGTGACGGCAGAATTTTCCGAGACGTAGGGTGGAAATAGAACATATTCTCAAGGCGCTAGAAGACGTTGACGACTTCTGTCTTGGACGCCTGGCTATTGTCAAACTGGACTCATGGTCTCGTGACCGCGCCGTCCTTGTTGGAAACGCCGCGTATTGTCCCTTAGCAAGCACAGGAATTGGTAATACTTCCAGCCTAGCCGGTGCTATCCTTTTATCATTCTTCTGCCTTTCTGGAGCCATTTGCGTCCATTTTGCAGAAGTAATGCTCTCGCACGTTCTATGATCTTGTGATCGACCCTAAAAAAGCGGCCACAGCCGAGACAACTCCTGAAATTATCGAAAGTCGCTAGGTTAAGCCGCTAACAGGAAAGGTCATGCCAATCCGTTGTTCTCGTCTGACCGATGTGCAGCGGATCGAGTTGCCTGCTGAGAGCATGCCAGTCCTTCTTACTGAGTACATAGGCGGGATTCCTGGCTGTCTGGCCTCTCAGGTGTCGCCCAAACCACACCCTGGCGCAGACATGCAATGGAGAGGGCAGTGCCTGGCTAGTGCACACGCAACCACTCCTGTGAATAGAAGAGGAAAGGAGAGTTTCGTGAAGTCTAGAGATGACTTGCCTAAAGTGTGATTAATTTATTCTCAGCATTGTCACAAGGAGAAATACCACTATCTCAAGGGCCTGAGACTTTCTGGGCTTGCAGGGTGGTTATAGTTATCCCTACAATGACGAGTGACACGGTGCTAACCGTCCTGTAGTATCCACCTACTTTCTAGTATAAGTCTCTCGACCCATTAAATACACTCTGTACTACGCTCTCGTTCCCGATTTTCGAGAATCGACCGTGTAATTGTATCACCGAACTCTGTTGCTAATTCTAGGGGTTTGTGGAGACCGAACATGCTTCAGAGCGATCACAATATCTTGTTTAGTTGCGCCGGTTAATTCTTCACAGCCACGATGGTTGAATGCTTTAAAGGAGCTGGGTTGGGTCAGTACTTTAGATGCTTATAGTTAGCTCCAGGGTCAAAAGGGAACGGTGAGAGTCCCCTTCGTAGGGCTCATGGTAACTATCGTTGTTGCAAAAGTGGTGAGTTGTACCACTGTTATGGGACTCTGACCGAGGAGTCGGGGGTCACCTCGGTTCAATCGCGCTGGACCTGGTTTCAATCTGGGAAGGGGAACACACCAAATTCTACTATAAGTTCTACACATGGGATCATCGCAATGATGCTTACACAAGAAACATGGCAAGCGTTCACGACAAATATTTCAGTGGTACAAATACACCACTTCGGTCAAAATTCCATTGCCACATCTAAGAGCAGTCCGCTGACATCTGCAAATGCTCATCAAAAGCAACCAAGCCACAGCGCATGGCTAACACGTCTCAACACCTGCAGGGTAGGGCTGCTTGTGTCCTGCATCCTCCGCATCTCCCTCGTTTCAACAAACTTGTCTTCGATCTTACTCGTTTGGGTATTTATGCCAATGGCTCGTAAGAACCAGACCCAGTGTGTGCCTGGCGGTTGGAGAAAATGTAGTAAATGACCATTCCGACGATGGGGAAGAGGAAGACGATGAGGCACCAGAGGACCTTGTGGGAAGGCGGGCGGTTTGACTTGAGAACCTCGACTGCGTGCGGCATTAGCAACTTGGGGATCGACACGGCGAATTTGTGGCGGATGCAAATGACTTGACTTACTAAAGACAATGATGTCGAGAATCAAGACGACGAATCCGATGATGCCACCGCCAGTGCCGTACTGCCAAGCGTCACCGTGCCCGGCGGTTGTGATCTCACCGGCCATGGGCGCGGCCAATGCGAGAGTCGCCAGGCAGAGCTGGAGGAAGATGGTGAGCATGTTCTGGAACATTTCAGCGACTTGTCTTTGTGCGATATGGATGAGTTTCTCGATGTCTATTCGGATTTCAATTGTTGCCGGTGAGAGGGGTAGAATCACAGGGACGGTTGCGAGCTGACGCCTCCTCTTTATTCGGGCGAGGATAGGAATGGATGCCTGCAAGCTGCGTTGGCGTTGGTGACGTCACGGTGTCGCGTGATTTTGATGTTGATTCTAGCTGCGTAACGCGGGAACGTGGGAAGTGGGGGACATGGGCCAATCACCAAACCCCCCGGGGTTTCATTGTTACGCAGTCATAGTCTTGCCTCAAAGAATCACAACATGTGCAAGCCCCGACAGAAATATTGGAGATGCACGCATCCAGGGCCGAGTAATATAGTATAGACATAAGCCAAAGGGATCATATACTAACAGTATGCTTTTGCGCTATGAATAATCTAATCCCTCTCATTGTGCGTGTTGCCCAGCCTCAAAGTTGGGGATTGTGATGACGCCTGGCCGCCCCCGCAGTCATGTCTCACAGCGCTAAGGCTTAGCGCTGTCTCGGCGAGCGAACATCACATTGGCCGTTTTCAGAATCCCATGGCCCTGGCATAACAGCATTCATATGAGCTATGTACGGCCAAAGGACGAAGATACATTGGACAAGGTAAGCACCGTTCCAACCCATGTCAGAGCAATTAGTTTCTACTTCCACAGTAGTACAGTAAAGTATACGACCTAGCATTCATTGCCTTGGTCTAGGTTAGCGGCTAAGCCCCCTTCTAAAGTCGGACAAGCGTTGATCAGGAGTCACGTTGAATTAGCGCAGACTATGTCCAGTGATATGAGTGTCCTATTTTGATATACATCGGTAAATGGGACTACCGAAAAGATCAAGGATTGTGGCAAGAATAGCAGCGATTTTGTTGCAGCCGTATTATGTTGTCATTTACATTTCGGTGGAATGGTCACTCGGCTTCTTAGAGAAACACAAACAATGATCCGTGCTGTTATAAGGATAATATCAGTGATATATTTTCGTACTTACTGGTGTACCAAATGAAGAGGTACAAGACCGGTTCGCGCTCATGGGATACAAGTCTCGGCATCAATCCCACAAGGCACACGAAAAGACACACGAAGAAAGGAATGGAAGACAATTAACAAGCTCCCAGAGCCTCTCATGCAGGATGAAATAAATGAGTAGTGTATGATAATGGTATAATTTACTAAACATTTTGCTCTCACAATTTATGAGCAGAGCAGTAATCAACGGCTTCTAAGAACTACCGCTAGTCCTCTCAAATTAGAGCAGCTGCTCGCAGGGTCCGTGTCAGGGGATTTACCTATTTCACCGAAATCGCTGCCCTCGACAATTCCGAGGCAGGTTGAAATGTTCCAAAGCAGTTTAAACAATTCAAGGAACCGTAGACATTCCGGGGATATCAGTGAGCCCTGCAAATTTATCGGCTAAAATCAGCTCATGGGATCGCTCTGAGACACATGGTCGGGAGGTTTCACTTACAGCTGTCTATATCCTCCTCCACAACCGCGGGCTTTGTACACTTCATTGCCTCCTCTGAGGACTGGGTCTTTAATCCGTCGCAGACGGTACCATTGCAGCGGCCGTTCATCGCGCGCTGAAGCGCATCGCCTTGCCAACCGAAGACGTAGTCCCCATGTTGCGAATAACCACCGCTGAACCGTGCTTTTAGCATCGCAGTCCGAGATATAAGTGCGGCTAGCAGGAAACTCACTTATCGTTCGTGCTCCACACGAATGGCTGCGAGCCATCCTCAGGCCATAAATTCCTGTCATTGAAGATTCGAGTCTGTCAAAACCCGACCCAAATTAGCAGCTAGACTAGACTAGACTTCATCTGGCGCCATTGGAAACTAGAGCTCGAGCCCAAGGCGACCTGCACCACGCCGGGGTAGCACAAGTTCCAACACTTGGGTCAACACCGCGGCTCATTACAGATGGAAAACAGGTACGGAGCTAATATCACTTACATCCCACATGACTTCATACATCACTTGGGGTATCTTTACGGGATGGGTTTCCGGGCAAGTGCCAGACGCACCGACATCATAATCGGAACCTCCCGAGATCGGGTAGGCGATGTGGCTCTCGTGATCGGGGCTATCGGTGTTCTTTCCATCCCAACAAGTAGGAAAAGTGATAACCGAACGTATACCTCCGGGGCAGAAGTCGCTCGGAAGCGCCTGGCTGTCGGGAGCCCCGCAGTTGATGTTGCTATTATCCCCCGAGGCCGGCATGCAGCGGTGGCACACCTTGCGCGCCGCGCCGGGCGAGCGCAGCGAGGCATCACCGACAAGCATGCGGAAGCCGGGCGTGAAAGCGGTGACGTTCGTCTTCGTATCCGGCGATGGGATATAGTATACCGTGATGCCACCGTTGGCATCCAGACCCTCGCTAACGAACTGGGGCACGCGCTTGTAAGTTCCGTTGCGAGCTCGGAAGAAGAGGACCGCCGTCCAGTAGTTGGAAAAGTCCTCCAAGAACGTGCAGCTAGTGCATGTGGAACCCGATGGAAGATCGTGCGTCTTGGGGTCCATGGAGGCGTTGAAGGAGTTGCCCCCGACGATTTGGTGGAGATGCGGCGACGGCACGGAACCTGGGTTGACCAGAGGGTCGAGTCTCTCGACCACGAGCTGCGAACAGCTGAATCGCATCATGGCCATGTACTGGCTGATGCCTTGCCTCACGAGGAGCGCGGCGGCGAGGGTTTTCCACATCATATTGCGTGAAATGACTGCTGTCGTCAGGAGTAAGAAGAACTCGTAGTCGCAACCTGGTCAGCTTGTGTTGATGGCATGGTTCGCAATTGTTATTTACGGGGTTTCCTCGCAACCTTTTAACGTCAAGTCCCTCATAGGTAACGCTGGGCATCGGCCATTTTAAAATTTGCTCACATATTGATTCAATTAGGCGGGAGCGGATAATGGGTATACCAACGAATCACCAGAGGTATCGGGTGTATTCCGGTCATAAGCGCTTTGAGAATCTTATCGTGCCAATGATGTCTCGTCCAGGTCGAGCTTGTGCGCATATACTATAAGCAAGGTGCCATATTCTATGTGATTGGTTCGGCACTTCACACACACAAACTGCATGGTCACATGATAGGTGTGACCGTGGGGTTTTATATCTTTGTCCGCGGTTTCCTCCAAATGTGATAATCTGTTACATCACAATTCTCGGCGTTGAAAAAGTTCTTTTTTGGCAGCTCCGGTATTAGTGGAAATTGCAGAAATTTATATTTCATATTGTTTGAATCCTTTGATCACCATACTTCAATATTTGGTAGGTTTCAATGTGCCATTCTCATCTCTTGATTGCGCATCTTGTGGAAACTCAAAAGCAGCTGATGTATGATCCCAATTGTATGAAGCATGCTAGTCTAAAAGACGTTGGAACGTGGACGGTATCGTTGGTGAAGAAAATAAATTCATAATTTGAAAGACTTAGGTGTGTCAAGAGAATTGGGCAGAAAGTTAGCCCTATTTTACTCTCTTTGAATTGTAGCAAAAATTCAGGAGCAGGCCATACTGGGGGTTTAAGATTGCAGAATTGCGGCTGGTGATGTCGGGCTAATTACTGAAAGATGTCCCATTTAGTAAATAACAGTATGTGACCCTTAGGGTATCTCAAATTCTAGGAATAAACCCAGTTGGCCTTGCTGTTACGGCTGGATGTAGGAGAAGAGACCCGCACAAATCGACGTTTCGATTTTCAGGGTAACATGCATAACATATCGAGTTAATTCATATTCCAGGTAGAACACCGTAAGTTTCCTCGATGCAAATTTCTGCCTGCTTGCAATAGGCTAACGACTAGTCATCCTTCTTACCCACAGTTCCTCCTTTCCTAAACCCAAAGTACGAAATAGCTACTACCAGGGCGGTGGAGGCAAATATCGTCCAGAATGCAGCACGGTATCCCTCCATAAGGGAATCTCTGTGATCGACGATTTGAGAGTGCTCAGTGACGGATGCCGCAATGGCCGCTGTGACGGCCAAACCAACACTGTTGCCAAACTGAGCCACCTCGTTAAAGACGCCTCACGCAAGAGATTGTACTTCTGGAGGGAAAGTGTCTGAGATAACCAAGTTCGCGGCCGTAAAAAGGACTGCCTATATATGAGTACATTAACACGCTCGATAATATGAGGAGATGTCGAAGGACCACTCACCGTCGGGGTTCATAGGCGAGAGGAAGAGAGCCCAAAACGGAGCAAACTGGTAGTTCTCTCCAACTTTGATCGTTGCCATGAGTATTGGAGCGATCACAGTGACCAAGCCGGAAACAACACTCAAGGTTCGAATGCTCACACGGGAAATAAGATATGCTGTGGCGATGTTGGTAGCTGCACCCATTATAGGGTGTGGGATGAATCGGATAGAACTTTGTAACGCAGAAAGTCCTTCAACCTCCTGAAAGCTGCCGGGGCATATTTTAGCACCTTCTGGGGGATCCACAGTTTTAATTACATATAGAACAGGGCGTTGAGGCACTCACTAGAGAGTCGTAAAATACTCAATGCCGTTTAGGGACGCCCAGCAGAAAAATATCGATACACAGACGGAAGTAAAGGATGCTTTACGCCACAGTGCATTAGGAATCAGGGCTTGTCGATCCTTTTTCTTTTGGCAATGCATCCAACATGGGAATGTTATCAACAGAGCTGGCGATACTGCGAGCAAGGTTGCATTTTGAGCATAACCAATGCTGAGGTAAGATGACGTTGTGTTGGCAAGAACATACATCAACAGTCCTAGGGCTGCACTGAGTATAACAGCGCCCACCCAGTCGATCTCAGCCAAACGCCTTGTCCACTTCTTACTTCCATGATGACGGGGGTTCGGAAGTGACCATATGGAAGCAGTCGAGAGACAAAAGTTGATTATAGCCATCATGTAGTAGGCCCATCTCCAGCCGATTGTGTCTGTGAATATACCACCCAGAACTAGACCGAGAGCATAGCCTAACGGCTGCCCCACCCCGTTCATGGCGAATGCAGTATTTCGCCATGAGCCCCTTGGAAACGTATGTGTAATGAGACCTACCGCAGTAGGTAAGCACATGGCAATAGCGACGCCCAGAAGAGTGCGAAAGAGAATGATTTGGAGAGCTGTCTTTGCCGAACCAAGCGCTATAGTAAATATGCAAAACAGATAGCTGCCTGTTATCCACATGGGCTTGGCCCCGACAACATCGGCTATAGCGCCGGCCGACAATAACATTGTGATGGCACAGCCAGATTTCGTGAGTCGTGATGACTCCTTCGTGACTAAGGCAGTTTAGAATTACCATTGTACAAGAACGGCTCGTTCCGCGCAGGCATGGTCTGCGACACAGAAACTGTGAGATACCACGAGGAAAATTCCGAGAAATTTGCCCCTTGGTTCAAGAACGAGTTCTCTGGAATTATACCTAACCTCTAATCCGAAGAAGAGACCACGACCCAGTTTGTCAAACACCAAAAGCTACCCCTCAAATCGACCAAATTGAATAAGCTGGGCTATAAGGACAGTGTAATTCTTCTTGGTGACAGCTCTCACACAATGACGCCTTTTCATGCAATGGGTATGATCACGGGTCTCGAGGACGTGCGTGTCTTCTTCAGACAGTTCCGTGATGAAGCCGCCGCGCGTGTCGCAACTGGGAAAGGGCTACCTCCTATATGTCCTACGGGCACCATCGCGGATTACACGGCTCATCGGCTGCCTGATGTTCACTCCATAGTTGACCTTGCACACGAACACTACTATGAGTTGCGTCATGGTGTCAGATCGCCCGGCAAGCGTGCACGCAAGGTTTTTGATCATCTCGTCAGTCGATGGCTTCCATTCCTCGATTGGACGACGCTGTATGCCCGTATCCAGTTTGGCAACGATCGGTTCAGCGACGTTGTACGGAAGGAAAAGCTCCAGGATAAAGTCATCCATAGGGCGATGACTACTGCTACAGCCCTGCTGTTCGGTTCAGCTATTGCAGGGGTCTATGTGGTTGCGAAACCACAAATTTTACTTTGGTGATGGTTTTCTTTTAATAATCAACTTCATTCAAGCATGCTAATTCTGACGCCATCTTCGGAATGGCTGGCAACAAAACGTCTGGAAGTCTACGTGGTACGGCGCAGAACCCTGATCTTGATCCCAGAGCTTGATAAACCACAAGAAACGTAAAACCTCATCCTCAATATATCAATCAACGAGTAACGATCATATAGTAGTATTCCTCCTCTACAAAGTCACCAATATGTTGAAATCCATCATAAATCCAATGTCTCCATCGCAAAAGCCTTTTAAGCTCAAAAGTTTCCAATTTGCCACTCGTGCGCGGTCATGACGGGCGAAGAGTCTGTTTTACTGATTTTTCAAAGAAGAATAACTTTAATTGGTCTTAGGAGTTGTTCTTGATCGGTGGCCTATCCTGACTAGTCTAGAGCTTAAGGTTTTAACTGTAAAAGTTGACGACGATGTCATAGTCAGAAATACCGGGGGTGTCTCAATTATGGCGGCGCGGGCATCGCTCTTACTTTTGAGAAGTGAGTATGGCGTCGCCTGTCCATTGGACTTTGGCGAAATTCGGGCCGTGCCTATAGCCGTTTGCTCGGCTAGGGGCAGCTCCAATCCAAGATTACCACTAACTAGTCTAAAATACGCTTACTTCGTACCGCAGCATACATGTAACTTCTCGTCAGCCTGCTACATCATTGGCTCAATACCGACAGTCCGAATGAGTAGTACGTGACGATGGCTAGTCCACTCTGTGCGGATCAATCTTGGACCTTGTCTTACTATAGTAAATGGGACAGAAGGCGTTCTAGTTTCCCTTGAAGTCCTCATGCGCCATTTTTAGCATGTTATGGGACGCCGCAAAACTTGCCATGCATGCATAACGCCATCGCCTCGGTTCGAGTTTCTCAATGTAGGCAGAAAACTTCACAACTGATATTGTGTAAATAGCACTTGCGTCTCTACCCCTCACTGCAACCCAAAAAGAAATTCACATGAGCGCATCGTTTTCTCGTGGCCAATCAAGGCCCTGTGTAATATAAACTAATCTAAAAGAAACTTGAAAAAGCTTTTGGGCGGAAGCCTCGCGAGGTGGCCCCATGCTCTCGCCAGGCAGACGCCAAGTAAATCAGCATTTTTGACCTACACCGTAACATTTCAAATTTGCGCAATAGAGGCGCAGCAATATCATGGTCAGATTACATCTATGAGGGAGTTTTGTCAGCGGTTATCATAGGTGCCACGCTACAGCTGTCTCAGGTGGCCATGTATTTAGATGTTGGCTAAATGCGGTAGTTATGATCAATTTATGATCAACTAATAAATAGCCGTTACCGCCTCAAAAAGGTGTATGCTTTTTTCCCATTGTTAATCATATACAATTTGAACTTACACACATTTACCATCATTGCGATCACGATATCCGACTCATTTACAGACAAGAAAGAAGCGGTATTCCTGTAGTCACCGTCACTAGCCAGCCAAAAAGACAAGTAAAGCAAAATCAACAATCAAAGAAGTGACGCAATGAGTGCGCCTGTAGGCAGCATGGGCGGATCAGGCTGGGAGATCCGCGGCGAGAAGCGCCACGATGAGTCCTTCTACAGTGAACACCGCCAGCGTCGCGACGACGCCATTGCCCGCGGCGAGGACCCTTATGCCGGGTACAAGAAGCAGGTCGCCGAGAGGCAGTCAGCCTCGCACTCCGGCGGACTTTTGGGCAAGCTTATAGGCAAGGGTGGCAGCAGTGGCAGCAAAACCACTGCGACGAAAGAGAAGAATGACAGTGAAAAGGTAGCTCAGAAAAAAGATGGTGAAAAAGTAGCTACCTAGGTTTGGTGGGTTCCTTTTATGGATTATATGTCCATTGGGATATATGGATTGTTTATATCTGAAGTCCAGGACGTTCATGGCCTACATGATATCTGCTAGAAGCTGTACGTTGTTTGTAACACGTCGTATCGCTTTCTAAAGTGTCACTAGGCCTCCAATGATGGAACAGGGCTACAATCAAGCTATCATCAGTTCATTCCACGGTGTTGTGACAAGGCATGGCAAGGGATGGTGTAAGGCAGCCCACCAAGGTAATCTTCAACCTTTTGAAACCATAATGGGCCCTTTAGGATACCATATTGTACTCGAGTCACGTAACAATGAATGTGAATAATTGAGAGGATGCGAATCTATGTTCAATGGTACGGAAGGGGGTTGACATACAGCTGATTGTTGCTGGATATAACTGTTCCGGCATGCCCCCAGCATAGCCATCTCATCTTTTTCTGGTTTGCTCATCTATTTGTTAGGTACTCAAGATGTTGACCAGCTGTATCCGCTATTTTTAAATTCATAAGGATTACATATGTACTGACTCTATTCGTGATTTATGAGGCATATTATGAAATCTGGTCTGAATGTATCCCAATAATAGTGATCAGACTCCCAGAAGGGTTGTAGTAACTTCGTGAACTTTGAGTAACGGAGACCCCTGGATGTTGGAGTCCCAGTCTCGTCATGCGTTGACAATAGCGGTGCCCTTGTACGTGCTTTATCTTAGAGATGAGAAATAATATCGTCTTTATGTGCCATTTCTTAGAGCACCCCTAGACATATACGCTGATCACGCTAAAAGATAAAGCATGGTAATAAAGATTCAATGCTTTAACGGGGGTCTATTATGATAATATAGTCTGAGAAACAAAGGAAAGTTAACGAGTGTATGAGAAATCCGTCTCCGTTTTATCTAGGTCCTCGAACCGGTCACATTCAGCCGTAATGGCAGGTCTCTAAGCCTGCATCGCACTGTGGGATCGTGGTATTCTGCCATACTTGATTGAATGAATGAAAGTCGTCGTTTGGCTACTCCTAGTTCCTCCTAACGGCCATATAGGTCGAAAAACCATTGAAAATCCGTGCAACTATTTGCAAGAAGTATGCATTTTTTTGTTACACTTTCCAATCAATTTTGATCACACTCCAAGTCCATTAGAGCTTAGAAATTCGTTGATCGTGCTGTACGTGATATTTGCGGTATAGTCCTGCACCCTTGGTTAATAACGGAACCATTGAAATCAAAGTATTACATACTAGATTGAGACCATGACCGGCGCCTGGAATCACTGCTGTCTTGAATGATGTTGTTGAAGAAAAGTATATCTCCGAAAGATCCAAAACAGAAGTCATGTTTCCAGTTACTCCAGCTAGACAATCGGTGCCGCAATAGATAAGGTCACGTTCTGCAGATTACACATAAATTAGCGTCCAATACTTCCATAATAGTATGACTTCACAAATCCGTTGCCTTTTAAAAGATTGTTCTTACCTCCTGTCGCTATCAGTACTGGCGCTTTGGAATAGATGGTGGCATTCCCCATGTATGCCGCTGTTGCCAACTCCCCGACAGTAATCGGCGCCTGTGCCAAAAATGCAGCATCCAAAATCTCTGGATCAAAGGAGCCTGGTGCGAAGAAATCAGTTTGCACTGCAATAGTATCCTTTTGAGCAAGATAACCAGGAACATAATCGGTGAACCCGTCAATGGTATTGGCCTGCACCAGGTGGAAACCTATAAGACCGACTGGCTGATAGGCGACAAAGTGGCTAAACCCCGTCAGAACTATGGCATCCAACATGTCTGGGTCGGTTGCAGCTAATGCGTAGATCATAGCTGACCCCAAGGAGTGACCAATATGAGCTATCTTTCCGTAGCTGGTCCCCGTGGAAGACAAGTTCCCTGTACGAGCGACACGAGAGAGCGCTCCTAGGGCTGCAACTTCGAGAGGAATTTGAATCTCGTTGATAGGGTCGCCATGAGACGACATTCCGAGACCTAATCGGTCCCAGGAAAGTGTAGAGTATCCGTGATCGAGTGCAAAATTGACGTAGCTGTAGTTATGGTCGTTGAAGGGGAAATCCCAGTAGCTGCGATCAAAGCCGAAACCGTGAGTCAGGATTTGAAGTACGTCAGATGGACCAGATTCGGGATCGCAACGAGTGGCAGCAAGGTTGTAGATGCCGCTGATTGTTGTAGTCTGGGGGTTTTGAACCCCATCACGGATGGCTTTGAGACTGTTCAGAAGAAAGTTGGTCGCATCGAAGTTTGTGAGTGGTGGCGCAAAATTGAGTGGCGTGTTCTCGGCTGATATGGTAACTGGGATTGTGATATTCTGGCACAGACTTGTAGCTACAGTGATTTCAGCCACGCCTAGAGCGGCGATGATGAGAAGTTTCGGGGAAGGCATTGATTTCAATAGTGAGGAAGTAGCAGAAGAGAATGATGTTACTGGTGATGAAATTGGTGGATGTGATCTGGATTCCGTTGGCAGTAGTCCTCCCTTTATACGTCTTCTGGAGCCACCTCAACCGGAACTACTATGAGTGATTCCAATATACGAAGTAATCAACTAACTACATGCCTCTCAATTCGGCATCATTTGTTGCGGAGTCATCTTTGGTGATCCGCATCTCTGAGGTAATTCCAAATTTCGTCGAATGTTGTAGTAGCCTCACTAAAGTCGGCGTATAAACGCCTGTCGCCTTCCTAACCATGAAAGCGCCATCTTCATGTCGCCAAGTCACGGCACTCTGAGAGATATACTTGGGTGCCTTAATCCGTCTGACAGATAGTGCTGACATGGCGGATACCAAAGATAACAGGCTGTCGGGTAGAGGCGTCAGGCCATTCAAGAGGTTCGGATTAGATTTCCAGATTTCCCGGGCGGATAACATGACAGGAAACTTTTGGTTAAAATATTTGGAATTAGTCCTATTTACTGTCGTGACTGCAGAGAATATTTGCTTTAGGTAGTGGGATATGGCTTGGCGGAGTTCTTCCGCTGAACCGCCTCACTAGTTGCCTGCATTTGCGTATTCGCTTATTAGCATGTTTGCTGCGCAACGCTTACTTTGACACTAACCTTAGACTAGTAGCTACGTCATCTCACTGAGAACACCTCAGAATATTGTAGCTACTTTATTTATTGTTGTGCTTGCGACTATGCGTGAACGCGTCGTAGGGCACTGATTTTGACACACGTGAACCTCCGAATGCTGCTTCATATTGATGATGGCCCCATGCCACATGACTAATCACAGCCACAAACACTCCCAATCGTTGACTGTGGGTTCTTCAATAGCAAGCTACGACGACATGGACCCTTTGAACTATGAAAATACATATCAACAAGGGTTAGTCCTGCATATCAAGTCAATCTTCTAAGCGAATACGCAGTCTTCAAGAGCCCGTAGAAGCAGAAGTTTGAAGTTCTAATATCTTTAGACTGAGATCGGACTGGCCATAAAAGAAAGGACATCTCCCATGCCAACGATGATTGAGTTTGAGCCAAAGCTGTTGCCGCTTGCCGCTAGATACTCATACTCGCCGCTTCACAATCATGAAGCTGACACGATTCTCAGCCATTTCGTTGCTGGCCACGTCTGCTATTGCTCGCACAGGAAAAGAACCAGTTGGTCATACATGGCACCCAGCGGGACCCTTTGATAGTTAGTATGCCGTAACAATTTTTTCAATGTCTGACACTTCTCAGGTCGTTCTCCTTGCCCTGGACTCAATGCACTAGCTAATCATGATTGGCTTCCTCATGACGGCAAGAACATTGATCTGGAAGCCATTCAGTTCGCGGCTGGCGCTGTCTACAACTTTGACCGTGATGTTCTGGTCAGCGCCGTCCAGAGCGTGTATGACTTCAACCTTTCCACCACTGGTAACTCTTCTACTTTCGATCTTGGAGACTTGGCCAGACACGACACAATCGAGATGGACGGCTCTTTGTCGAGGAACGACATCTACTTCGGAGACGATCTGCATTTTGACCCTGTCGTCTGGGCCTTCACTGCGGACAAGCTTGGTCTTTACGACCTTACAGACGAGAACGGTATATACGTGACCATCGAGAGCGCAGCCAAAGCCCGTGCGGCACGTGTTGCAGAAGCGATGAGAGTCAACCCAACTTTCAACGCTTCTCAGGCCCAAATGATTGGATCGCCAGGAACTACTGCTCTGTACTTGCGTGTACTATGGGATTCTTCCGTGAATGCTACACACAAGGATTGGGTCGAGGCTTTTTTCGGTAAGTTTTGTACACCCTCTTAATGACCACGACGAGCTATATCCACTAATCCTGGGACACAGAAGAGGAACGCTTGCCGTATCGGGAGGGATATGAGAAGCCTGAGGAGGTAACCACCGGCCAGAGCCTTGGGGCCTTGGTCGAAGCGGTCATTAATGTGGTTGTTTGAGCCCTGAGGGTTTGCATTGGCGACTACTCTGTTAACACAAGCCATCGGGACCCTGTTGAATTATTCCAAGTTGGTAGTTATGAGACTCTATGAGATAGTAGATGAAGAGCTCTACATATCAGGTGTATAATTGGCTTCCATATCCCCATACTCTTTTGATCATCTGATCACGACTCCCCGGCTTTCTGTGTAGTGAAACGTCCAGTGCCGGCGTGGCTGTTCCCCTTCAGGTGAATGGCAAGTATTTATTTGAAGAGAATTTGTAGACTGTCTCAGCTTCCTCAATCATTTCTGATTCGAACCAGAAGGCTTCCTTGCGCCTGGCGGAAATACCTGTCGCGAGAATCATTTGCCAAATTGGGTACATGAAAACGCCATTGCACCGTCAACCTGCAAGCCAGACCCGATCTTGATGCTGCATGATTGCTGTGTAATTCGTGCACCTCGCCGAATCTTTGCGAAATACTCAATATCTAGTTGGCAAATATCTCGCGCCTGCCATCCTGCGCCTCTTTGCCAAGACCATCCGATCATCACGCTGTTCTCCATTGGCTAACATGATGTTATGCATGACCAAATTCGCGGTACTAGCCCTCTTCGGTGGTTAGCTTGAGCCGCGGATGCTTTTCAAACATTTTAGCTTCGCAACTCAGCCTCAACAGCAGAACTGGCCAAGGCTTCAAAAGGTCTGAGTTGACAAGCGCCCTAGAAAGCCCATGCATGCTTTCAATGGTAGAGGTGGGTCTCAGCTAGTTATTTGGAATGCTTGGAACCATGACAGCAATATTATGCTGCAAGCTGACGTGATCTTCGGTTTTCTCACTGAAGGGGGGTTAATGAAAGTTCTCACTATATAGGAAAACCATGAACGCACGCTTCCAGATTTCGTTTCATCGATATCCACATGTTTACGTCCTAAGTACTTCTCCCAGAACGCCTGCCTGTAACTTAGTATGGCTTTTAGACGGACCTCGCCATCGCTTCTAGATGGCTGCCTGTCTGCCAACGGGACTGAAGTTATCCAGGAAACAGGGAATGCCGGCGGAGTGGAAGAGTCTCATATATACAAGTCTCGACGGCCACACACGAAATCTCGAGCGGGTTGCCTTAGGTGCAAAAAGGACAAACGGAAGGTTCGGAAAGACTTGATCTTTGGGTGCATATGGGCCTTGCTAACGAAGTGTCACCCCAGTGCGACGAGCGCAGTCCTAGTTGTTCCAGATGTGAGAAAAGGAATATCACGTGTGTGAAGCCAGAAGGCAAACCGAGACGACGCTCAAAAAGTTCGCACGACGCAACAGGAGTAGCGTATGCGGAATGCGGACAGTGGGTTGACACGGACCTCGTTTTTAATTCGAATATTTCAGTCTCCTGTTGCAATGTCGCAATGCCGGTGTCTGATGCTGGCGCTACCGATCTATCAGCTTCCTTACCACTCCAGGAGGATGTAGGTCAGTGGGATGATAGTTGGGGGCTTTTGGACACACTAGCTCCTCTGCAGCGGGAGCTGTACAACTATTACCTAAACCACACTGCTAAGAGCATTGCAGTTGATGACGCAGAACTACATGCATTGAGAACAGAAATAGGAAGCCTTGCTTCGGATAGCAACATCATACTCAATTCGGTTCTCGCCCTGGCAGCAGTCGACAAATGTCACTGCTTAATCTGGGATTCTGCTCCGCAACCCGAGTATCACGCCCAAATTACTGGTCTGCTGCTTTCGGCGGAACAATATCATTGGCAGGCGGTCAGGCAAACACGAAGCGATGCTGTGCACATGGGTTGTTACGATCATGTGATGGCCAACGCAGCATTGATGGTGCTTTATGGCTGTGCTAGTCACGGCGTTCGTATCCGTCTAGCGAGCAAAGAATATGCTAAAATGCACCTGGCAAGTGAGCTTGCGCCGGTCCGACTGCAGTGGATGTCGTTGATCTGGGCTGTTCATATTGCGTATTCCGGATTGACGAACACGAAACCGAATTACTTCAGCGTGAAGGGGCACCAGTGGGCCTCGTTGGCCCAGCCTCACCAAGACATCGTTTGGCAAAGCTTCGAGGAAGAGCAGCAGCTTTCTAGCAATGAGGAGTCAACAGACAGAACTCGACGATTGTTCTCCCCCATAGTTGCTGCGACATGGGCCAGTGCGGTTGGCAAGTTGCACGAGCTAGTGAGCGTTGTCGTTGGCTCTTATCAAGCATATTCTCTGTTGAATGAAGAACAAGAGAATGACCTTTACCTGCAGTTTGGGGATGATTATCTTTCCGATGTCTTTGTATGTATGAGATCGCTAAACCTTTTACACAACATCTTTTCTGAGGTTTTCTCGACGGATCTCCCCACAAAGCCATCCACTTCCTCACATGAGACAGGTGACACCCACGAAGGGTATAAACCTCCAAATGGTCTCTCAGAACTTCAGCCCTGGCTCCGTGGCTATTTGGCCCGTGTCACTTCCAGGACGCCACACAAACCTCTTCGCAGGATTGTCATGGCGTTTGTCCACAAAATGCCCCCGAGATACTTCAATCTCCTGCAGACGACGTTAGAAGCACTACCAGAAAATTTCGATGATGATAAGAATCCGGACCAAAAGCACTCCGTTCTGGCCAAGTCCAGTTTGCACAAGCTCGTCATTGACATATTCGCTCATTGGCTTGTCCTCGTCATGCTGTTGGACGGTGTATGGTGGATCAGCGATATCGGCACATGGGAACTTAACCGGGTGATCTTAACGATGAGGTCGTTTAGTGTTGTCGATAGTAGAGAGCTTGCTGATAACTGGTGGCCGCATAATATGTATATTATCAACGAAAAATTGAGCAATGTGTGAATCAGAACGATATTTACAGACGTTTAAGCTTATCAGCCATTAGCGGTACTTTCCACCAAGGATGCGTCGGGACGCATGCGCATACCCATGCTCAAACCAAGGTCCTTGCTGTAATTCGTAATCGGTGGGTCGACGTCTTTTAAACGACATACGTTCCACCATTCCGGCGACGCCTCGAAAATTCCTGAGGGCGTATACCTTATAGGAAATCGCTAGTGCATAATAGGTTCGTGGCATGTATACCACCTAATGATTACTATGAACAATATCAATTACGCATGCGGAAATCAGATACGCCATACCTGTGAGGATGATCGAATGCCTCGACTGGCTGGATGAATTTCCGAAATGACGAACCCGGAACAGGCGGACGACGCTATCTGCCAAGGCCGATCGACTGCGCCGCCTGATTGGCTATTTGCAGCTACATATCCACTTATTCTCGTAGGTGAGTATCGAATAACTAATTATGCTGCCGGCTGTGAATTGTCAGTCCAGTCTTCTGATTCTCCAGTCCGATGTACGATACATGACAGGGACATCAACCAGAGCTGGATGCAAGCGATCCGCATCTTGAGGAATGACCTTTTGTTTGTGTTACAGATAAACAGAATTGCTGGTTTCTGTAAGTCGCCGGGGCCCGACATCAGCACTCGGGAACATCGTGCCACCAAGACCCTAAGAACTTGGACTCATCTGCGTTCACAGGAGGATTTCGCCTTGTCACATCGTCGTGTCTCTAATCGCCGTCATGCTGTTTCGCCATCTGTATACAGCGATCGTAGTAGCACAGCTCGCGTTCCCCAGCTGGGCGCTGGTAGCGACTCCGATCGACCAGCGCAGCGCCCAAGAGGTTGTCGAACAGCTCCAACTAGTGCCCAACGTCGAGAAGGGCTACTACATTCAGACATTCCAGGACCCGGTCACAATTGCCAACCGTTCCCTCAGCACCGCCATTTACTACCTGCTCGAGGGCACCGCGGGGCAATCCATCTGGCATCGCCTCGACGCAGCCGAGGTATGGCACTTTTATGCTGGCGCGCCGCTCACGCTTTCGCTGTCGCACAATGACGGCGCGCCGGTCCAAAAGCAAGTCTTGGGCCCGGATGTGTTCAGCGACCAGAGTCCACAGGTGGTCATTCCGGCTGGCACGTGGCAGAGTGCGCACTCCTTGGGGTCCTGGACGTTGGTTGGCACAACGGGTAAGAAATGAAGCTGTATTCTGTACTCGTGATGCGTGGTGGGTGGCTAACGATTGTATGCCAGTTGCACCAGGCTTCGTCGAAGGCGGATCCGAGCTCGCCGAGCCTGGCTGGGCGCCGGCGGGCAATTGCAGCTCAAGCGCGGCTGGGTGAGTTTAGGTGCTAGGGTGGGGCTGATAGTATACATTTCTAGCGACACGGAATGTATGAATTTGCGAACCTTATCGGCAACGCATGTAGATCTCATCTTTACAGACAACGGGCGCGCGCATCAAACGCTAATAATAGCTCTTTTGTGTCTCATCGCGGAGCATTTAATACCTAACTGGTTCACTCATGCTGCTAAGATAGGTGCCCGGCTCTCGCTACTATGTGACCTGAGTTTGTTCCCGTTGGCCGATTGTGCGAGCTCTACTCCTTCGTTTTCGCCTGCAACTTGCAGCCCCTGTCTCTTGTGCGTAAGTCCGTTATGCCCCAGAGCCCGACGAGCGCTATGATCACTGGCAATCCAATCCCTGGGATATGTCTCTCCGTTGGAACGGCCTTGGATACTGTTGATTAGACGATTCAGAATGACGAATTCAACTTTGAGCTTGATGCCGTAGACACATGGTTTGAACGCGCCCTGTAGATAGAACAAGTCGGCGCACTGAATTCCAAGGAGCGTGATATCAAGTACAATGATAAGTACATTGGTGTAAATCAACTGCCGTAGTATTTTTTTCTGGTCGTTCGACTGCGCTCGATTAACCCCACCAGCGGTGGCCGGTGCGGCCCAGGGACGCTCTAACAGAGGGGAGGAGTCGCGTAGGTATTTGCGAGTCTCATATATGTAGAGAATGCTCAGAGCAGTTTCCTGGACGAAGAAAACTACGAGCTGTAGGCGGTCCCAAATGAGGTTGAATGAAGTCAAATGCGTGTTGACAGTTGTGGATTGCTGCAGGAAAGATTGGCCGCGTTAGGAACTGCCTGTGCTTCACATCCATCCCCTTGAATATACTCACTGCTAGGATACCAATCACAATCGTCGGTACCGAGAATGCAATCGAATTGAAAACGAGAAGATATTTGATTCCGTTCAACACCTTGGTCTCACGCACAAACAGGTGTAGCCGCGAGTATAGGACCCAACCTTGCGGGACCACCATGATCAGCCATGTCAGGTAGATCATGGTTATCGATGGTACGACATCTTTCCATACACCAAAGTCCGCGAGAATTATGAAAAGAGGTTGTAGAATGACACCCCAAGAGGCGAGTGCGCATGACCAGAAGTATAAGCCACGGCGTCGTTTGAAGAGGAAGAGCAATGATGTGTTGATTTCAACCCCGATGTACCACGAGATTCCTGTGAAAGCGGCTATAGTCATCGACATGGGTAGATCTAGTCTAACGTCGCTCATCTTGCAATGTTGGATGTCATGTCTTGGTGTAGTTGGAAGTAAAAAGACAGTACCAGGAGGCTGGACGACGATGCGACGTTCCCGGGCGCGCAGATGCAATTTTAAGTTTGATTGAATTTGAAGTGGCACAGATAGCATCTCAGAGTGAGCAGATGTTGGCGCATACACAGGCGCTCGCCCGTCTTTCCTTGATAAGCGTGTGGCTGCTTCGATTTAGGGGCTGACCCGGCTTATTTCACATTGGCAGATGCGATACCATGCATACACGGCAGCAATCTTACTCAGAGACTGCCGACGGTTATGTCGAGCTGCATCCTTGACGTATCAATTCCCTCACACCATGCGCCTATCTCGAAAACAGACATGGTGCTCAATTGGGTTCTCTCTCTACCATGGCCCGCGCCAAGCAGGATACGTGCGCTCGCAGAAGAGCACAGAAAGCCCGTTAGCTGCCGTACCCCTTCAGTGAAACTATGTCTATGAAATCAGTGGTGTTTTGATCATGATGCCCAGGCATTGTATTCCACTTTTGGCAAACATCCCCATTGGCCATGCTGTATGAATGGATACACAGACGAGGTAGGCTACCGCTGTAGTCTAAGGTCAGGCTAAGTTTAAGGCGGTATGTGGGTGGGTGTAGGTGCTAAATAAAACCGATGCTACTGTGGTACACATGCTGACTCCGTACCCCCACCCCCATTCAATTGAACTCGGCCGCTACTGTACGGATCCCGTACTTACCGCTTGAACTGCTCTGTCTTTACCCCTCACAGAGCTCACCTCAGCTGCAATTGCCGATCAGTGATGCAAGGAACAACAAGCAAGTACCAAAATTACCCTCCTTGACCTCGACCTCAACTTCTCCCCGCCTGGGCATGAGAGTTGTTTTGATTTTCTTTGGATTTCGATCGAGTCGTCCAGCTAGACCACAAAAACTAACACTCTTACACACCGCCCTGTTTGCTAATACACAAGGGCAGAAGTCGCAATACCTACATGCAAACCACAATGGCGACGACACGTACGGCCAAGGATGTGATTTCAGCTTTGAACCTCTCTCCACATCCAGAGAAGGGCTATTACATCGAGACATTCCGTGACCCGAAGGCATCCTCCGACGGTCGCTCGTCAAGCACGCACATTTACTACCTCCTGGAAGGTGAAGCCGGTGTATCGCACTGGCACCGAGTGCTCGACGCTGTCGAAGTGTGGCACCACTATGCCGGCGCACCGCTACAGCTCTCGCTATCGTGGGACGACGGCGAGCCTGTGCGCGACCTAGTTCTCGGCACCGACCTCTGGAAGGGTGAGAAGCCACAGATTGTCGTGCAGCGCGGAGAATGGCAGCATGCGCAATGTCTAGGGGACTGGACGCTTGTAGGGTGCTCCGTCGCACCTGCTTTCGAGTTTGAGAGCTTTGAGATGGCCAAGCCAGGCTGGGAACCCAGGGGTGCGGTCAAGGAAAAGTGATGTACGTCGAGAGAAGCAGTTGCTTCGAATGAAGCGATACAAGAATCCAGAGTCATCACCGCGAGCATCGTGCTGGCTTACCAGAGAGAAGTATCTTCTGAATGTTACGACCTAGGTACGCTGAGATTCAGCCAACAACTCATGTCCTTAAATACCAAGACTGGCATTCATAATTGCTTTAGTGTACGAGCAATCTCGTCTTACCATAAAAGTGATTTAGTGGTGCCCAGCTGCCGTTGCCCGTCTCCTTTTTCATGTCGTCAAGGTTGGCCGTGGGCGCCAAAACACATATCAACAGAGCCATCCCTCCATGTTATTTAATGAGTGTTGATGACCATGCCGTGGTATATTACGGCCACAATCGCAGTTAGTTGTGATTCGATTTGATACTCGCGACAATTGGTCTAAATTTATGGTAAATACCCAACAGTTGCTATATCAGTTGAAAAGTGCGTCGTTCATAGCACTCCAGAGCATTCGGAAATGTGATTTGATCTCACCATTGTTGTTTTTCTGGGTGCAACAGTCATATTTCCAGCGTCACACTGTTGTATCTCACTAACGGGGTGCAATACCTGTTACCCCTTATCCCACTAACTGACAATCACACATATTGAATCCCGACCATTGAAATAAAAATAGCTTTAGCATACACTGAATGTTTCTTCTTGTCTCTGAATACACAGCCTCGCCCTTTCCCTTTACTAAGATAGATCGCAATGTTCTATTTAACCATGGCTACACCAGGGCCCACACTGCATTTAAAGTGCGGCCATCTGTATCCTTCTGGATCGTCATCGGAAGTCGACATGGGTAGGAACTTCCTTGCGTGTTTGCTGCTATCGGCAAAGGTGGTAAAGCTGACGTGACAATAGAGAGTCTCTTGCAAACCAAGTCGTTCTGTTCCGTTTGCACCAACGAATTGAGCTTACAACACAAGGCCTTCAGAAGTTTCACCTATCAATTGGCTATAACTTTGAAAGCAAGTGAATACGAGCAGTTTGACGCCGCTGAGCTCTACGACATTGCTCGGGATGAGCTGTTCAAGAGTTTCAGGCAAGATTCTCAGGAGGCTGCAGCTGAAGATGGCGGCGTCACATCGAGCACTGAAGCGCTTGACACTTTGAAGCTCAGAATGGGACTTGTGACCAAGTTGAGGGAAAGACTCCTGAAGGAGGTCCAGGACGTTTACGGCCAGAATTTGGCTCCACGCGGTCATGGCAAGCTTCGCGTCTTCGTTCGCCTAGTGTACCTGATCTTCGACGCTTTCCTGCACAGGATCCTCTCTAAGGATACTTGGCTCTCAGACGAAAATGCAATGATGGGAGTCATCGATGGGCATATGCATAGAATGGTCACGCACGCAAATGTGAATGTAATCGATGAGGACCACTGGGATGAAATTGGCCAGAGGTTTGTGTTCTGGGTGGATGACATGATGGACTAAGAAGATATACTCTGCTTGGTGAATACACGAGCTACACCCGTGATATTTGATCTATGTTTGTGATCAATAAAGAATAACTGTTACATCAGTTGAAACGTAACTGTCGGTGTACCTTTGTAGTGAATAGCCAACAACTGTTACATCAGTTGGATCGGGTGTTGTCGACAGAATTCCAGATCATTCGAGACAGTGATGCGAAGTCACCATTTTGAGATAATAAATAGCTTCAGAAAAGACTTATCAACTCTTCATCTCTAGAAAAACACGAACTCAACCTTTCCACGTCCTCCACAACAATGACTACACCAAATGCCAAGTTGCATACCAGGTGCGGCCATCTGTATCCTCGTCATGCCGACCTTGGTGGGAATTTCCCTTGCGTATCTGCTGCTACTTAGTATATGCGACAACGCTAACTGGAAAGTAGGGAGTTCTGAGAAGATCAAATCACTATGTCCTGATTGCGCAAACGGCGCAGCAGTAGCTTTCGAGATCAAACGAGCTTTCACCGACAAATTTCCGCTGTGGCCAGACGTAACGGGAATTGAGCAGGTCCAACCAGGTGATCTCTACGAGAAGGGCCGCAGAGACATATACGAAAAATTCATAAAGGATGCTGGGAAGGCTGCTGAGGCTGGTTTTCCTGCAAGCTATGAAGCACTTGACCACTTGAATATCCGAACGGCGCTTTTAGATAAGTTTGCGAGATTCTTCGTGGAAGAAATCGGCAAATTCAACAGGAAAAGCGACAAGCAGAATGAGGCGGTAGTTCCAGTCGACGCGGTCGATGAGACTGACCAAGCCGACAAGAAAAGCGGTAAGGGAAAGGAGAAGGCTGTTTCAGCCGACGAGGTCGACGAGTCTCACTCTGCCGACAAGAAACGTGGTAAGGGGAAGGAGATGGCTGTTCCACCAACCGAGAGTGAAGAGTCCGACAAGAGTGAAGAGTCCGACGACACCGAGGAAGGTGTAGGATCCGACGAGTCCGAAAAAGGCAGGACTCCAAAATTCACTTTTCTTTTAACCATGCTCTTCGACTCTTTCATTTGTAGGATTCTCTCCAAAATCGAATGGCTCCACGACGACAAGGAAGCAATGGTGAAGTTTATGGATTCGAAAATGCATGAGCTTATTAGCCACGCAGGTGCGATTGCCGATGAAGAGGATGATTGGGAGTTTCTTGGCGCGAAGTACCAATCCTTAGTGGATTCGATAATGAACTGAGGGAATCTATGATGAGTGCACGAGCTACACCTATTAAATCGAAATAGGGTTCACTACGGTCACATGAGCCATAGAGATGAATGAGACGAGCTATTGTCTTTGCAATTATTTACTTGAAAGCTGGCAGTCTCCCAGGACTCGACGCGTTCATCCAAGGCAACGATCCAAATATGTCGTATCTAGCCTCATCCCTGGTCTTATGAATAAAGGCCAAAATCTCATGAACTTAGAGTTCATTATCACAGCTATAAGCAGTGTTACCAAGATGCCTTGTACGACCGTCTCAGCGGGGTACTGCCTAGAATCAAGCAGGGTTGAGGCACAAGCGCCGTGAAGGAACCAACAAGTGTAGGGCTCGCTTTATCATCGATAAATATATCTCTAAGCCGGTCTAAGCGGCTCCCAGCACTAACCGGAACAAGCCACTCCTAAAAACTCACTCAGGGGACAATTTTCTCGATAGCCAGATCATAGTATATTCGCAGACTCGGCCGCTATTTATGGTGCGAAGAATGTCTATATAGGCTATCTTCTAATAAATTTACCCTCGGCCTATTGTTTTTGGTGTTTATTTTTGTCTCATGTCTAATGGGGCAGCTATCAAATGAACCAAGGGATGGGCCCCTGATCTAATGGAAAGTATGGAAATCATGTTTGAATCCTTAATTTAGTTGATGTGTGGTTACAAGCGCCCATGGAGTGTTTCACTATTTGGATTGATATACGAACTGTAGAATGAATGAATGACTTTGGCTTCGACTCTAATTCCATATTGTCATCAAATGCAAATTTCACCATTTTTTTCTTAACACATTTGAAGATATTCTGGAGTTTTAAGCCGGCATTAATGAAACCAGCGCCATCCCACGTTTATCGAAGTTAGGTCGCCGCCTAAATATCTCAAACAATTGTCAGCATTCCCAAGTTTGACAAGTGGTTACTTTACAGGCTGGGTACTATGACCAACCGTTTCGTTAGGAATGATAGATCCTTACACAGGAACACTATGAAGATAATGGCACCGTCTGAAGTATACCTACCCACGATCAAGATATAAAGCTACATATCACACATGCGCATATATGAACCAGGTTCGTAGAAACATTTGGCCGGCTAAGTTTGGCAAGAATATTCCAGCATGCACGCAACTGGATAAGTTGGAAGTTAACGGACAATAGCAAGGAGATTACAAAATGGTACTCGTGACAGAGGGATACATACTATTTCATATTTGGAAAATCATCTACCAGTATGTGGAATATGGCATAAAAGTTAGGGATAGCAGCTCAAGACAAGCTCTCAAGTTAGTCCCATATCGAGTATTTCGACATATGACTACCACTTTAGAGTCAGCTTCAAGATCACACCCACCAACGTATACCAATGTAATTATATCAGGTATAATAGTTCTGATAATATAACAACTCAGTAGATCATATAATCAATATTGTGCCGCAACAGCGAGCGGCACCCTTTCCGTTAAGCGGTCATACGAGCCAACAACTCTACGTGCCCGCCCAAGTGCTTCTATTGGCAGTGCTGAATTTGTCGACATGACCGGCTCTTTGTTTAATGTGTCCTGTTGGCTCACACAGGTCACAGCCTACACACGAGCCGAGCTATATATTCAGCGGGTATATATTATGCTCAAAGGGTCGTCCGGATATGTCCCATACCACCCGAGCATTCCCACGAAAGTAGACGCGCCGCGACAATGAGCAGCACTTAGAAGCCTGGATACATCCTAATTAGGCAGCAGAAAAGGAAAGGAGGAGGAGGAAGAGGAGGAGGAGGAAGAGGAGGAGGAGGAAGAGGAGGAGGAGGAAGAGGAGGAGGAGGAGAATAAACACACATCGCCGCTCACGTGACTTCAGATACGAATGTCGCTGTTCGGGGCAATTGGCAAAGTCTAGAAGAAGAGTGAATAAGAGGGCTTGGCAAGATATGAAATTTGGACAAAGCTCCGAGGCTTGACAAAACCATGGCGGCCTTCAAATCCGAGATCGGAAAACTAGTCATCCATCGGGTCTATGACCAGATCAAGGTCGCCGATTGGCTGATCGAAGCCTTATCATATAACGACAAGTAACAGAGAGAGTTCATCAAGAAGGAATTCACGAAACCTCTCATTCAAATCTTCCCTAACGTCATTGACTTTGCGATTGACCACTGCGACGGGGATAATTGGCAGAAAGACTTGGGGGAAAGGTTTGACAGCGAAGTCGTCAGGGTACTTTCACAGTATAAGTATACATAGCATCTTAAGAAAGTACTACTCAAAGAAAACGAGAAAGAGAGGGAGAGAGAGAAAGGGGAAAAAAGAAAAAGAAGAACAAACTCAAAGATCAAACGACTGCGACAAACACTCATTTTCAGCAGAAGGATCGGAGATGCAGGAATGAGGGTACTCTTCTTTTTACTAACATCAAGCACGACTAACTTGTCTAGTCTGGGGTAACGTTCAATTTAGTATCAGCCCTTAAGTACCAAGAATGGCCCTGCGTGTGCAATGAGCTTCATACTTGTGATCGCTACATCTAACCACCACTCTTTTGCTGCTACTTGGTGTTTATCACAAAGTCCAGGTAATATGTATCAGGTGTTGTGTTCCCAAATACGACTTCAGGATGTCGTCGCTGGAGATTTACCGAACGCCCTGTCCCTGGAATATAGCCGGCTCATGTGCTACAAATAGCTTTCACGTCTTTCTCTCTTTCGTCCAACTTGAACCCTACCATTCCGCGTTAGGTCCTTGACAATGATAGAATGAAGACCACTGTGCATCTGCACTATTCGATCAGCTGGCTTTAACTTGAAGGACTGCGGTCTTCAATAAAGAGCCAACATACCACAGTTAGCGACATTGGTACCGCACACAAACATGCAACGTCACAACTCTACAATGAGTATGGATTTGTGATTGTGATATTGCACAAAGGGAATGAGTGCCGTCTAGGCGTATATTATTTCCAATCTCCTCCTCCGTCTTTCTCTCTTTCTCTTCTTCGCCCCGAACCAAAGTTGCAAGTTCCTGAACCGAGTATAAATGTACAAATAAAGTTTCATTCTCGGCTCGTGTTCCTCTAAGCCCTCGCGCGCCCCACAAAAAAGGATTAAAAAAAGTTCGAGATTGATGCAGTGTCCTCCAACTCCAGTCATGAACGCTCGTAACACCGAAATCGCCCCAGCCAATGCTAGTGAATTCCAACAATATGCTTTGCCTAAACCACCAACACCGATGCCTTAAAAGCAGTAACAATAAAACCCGCAAGCAGGTCGCTGTTCAAAGAGGGCCAGATGCCTAGGGAGATGTGTCCATTTCGAAGAAGTTCTGAACCCCTTTGGTGGTATCTACACAAATGAAAAAAAAGGGGGTTTCGAAGATGGGCTAGTAGGTCTCTCCAAGGTCGGCCAAGGTGTTTCCCGGGATGCCAACGCTAGATCGCCTGGATGAGGCGGCGCCACTTTGCCGCCTTGGCATGGGAATACCACTCGCGCCGCCGTCTGTGTCGTACTTGCTGAAGGTTCCCCTGCGACTTGGTGTACGGCCTTCGTCTGCTTCGTCGGCTTCGTCAAACTCGATTGGCTGACCGATACTCTGTGAGTGGCCGTGGCCGTGACCGCGCATGCTACCACCCATGGAGCTGCGAGGTCGCAAACCCATCGGTGTCCGAGCCCCAGTCAGAGAGGCTCTGGATGGAGGGCGTCCGATTTCCGAGCGAGATGCTGGTCTCTCGGGTCTCGCAAACTGGGAGGACGAGATACTAGCTCGGCTGCTGGGACGGGACATGGAGACTGAGCTCGCATCGGGATCGTAATTGTTGGTCCTGTTGGGCAGGGGGCCGAAGGATAGGCGGGAGACGCCAGATGAACTAAGCCTTGGTACATGCTTTACAGCACGGCTATTGTTGGTAGTCTGACTCGGAGTGTCTTCGGCGGTAGACGAGGCAGAAGAGCCAAGACCGCGCTTCCGACTCCGGACAGTAACCGAAGAGGGTATTCCGCCAAGGACGGAGCGGGGCGATGCTCTCGGGGGAGTTGTGGTTGGGGCGGGCAGCTTGGATCGAGCGTTCTGGACGCGGGCTTCAAGGCGTTGCATCTGAGCCGTAAGAGTACGGATGTGGTTGAGTGATGCGGATGGCGGTACTCTGTGGGATGCTGCACGGTTGGTGGTGGTCGGCCTCGCAGCAGCAGCAGCAGCGGGACTACGTGTCTGGGTAGCGGCACGCATGCCGGCAGGTCGGGTTGTGGTGGAGGAAGTGAGCGCCCTCGGCTTCGGCGTGACGCTTTTATCGGCAATGGATGGCAACCTAGACCTCTTTTGGGAGGACGGCGCTGGTGTCCTTAGCCGAGAAGAAGGCTTTGGCAGCGAAGCGGATGTGTCAGACCTGGGCGGCGATGGCGGATCAGTGAGCATTGGTGCTCCTTTTCTTGGCGGTGGCAGAGCGATCACGTCTGGAGGGGTAGTGATGAGTGGTGAGCTCGCCGTCGAGCGTGGTGAGTTTCCGAAGACGGGCGATTCGGGAATGGAGATATCGGTGGAAATGGTCGAGAGGTGGCGGTTTTCGGCCTTCTTGACCTTGTCTTGCAGGATCTCCGCTTCCACCTTGAGGTCGGACAGTTCTTCGCGCAGTCGTTGGGCCTCGATTCGCAACGTCTCTCGCTCTTTCTCTCCTATCCTGACCTCCTCCTCCATCATGACGTTGCGTTCAATAGCCTGGTTGTACTTGGATTCCATATCCTCGAGGGTCGAGGTGGTGTTTCGGGCCTGCCTTTCAAAGTCATCGTTGACTACCTCGATGTCGCGCAATCGGAGCTGAAGGGTTCTGTTTGTGTCGCGGAGGGTTGTGATCTCCTTCTCCAGGTTGGCCTGGGCCGAGTTCGCATCCGACTTTGCCTTTCTGCACTTCTCCTTCCACTCGTCGACTTCAAACTGCAATCCTTCGGCCCTCTCCCTCAGTTTTCGCTCTCGCTTGTCGGCAGCCTCCAAATCCTTCTCCAGCTCGGCTTCCAGTTCATGGCTGGACTCGCGGAATTCCGTCAGTTCGGCAGCTAACTGCTCATATTGGTTTTTGTACCAGGCCAGGGTCTCCTCTGTGGTCATGTCGCCACGAGGCGGGGAAGATGGTGGTTCGGCCATAATTGTTTTTTTTGTTCTTGTTGTTGTTCTTGTTGTTGTTATTGTTGTTGTCGTCTGTTAGTATAAAAGAAGAAAGAAGGTACGAGAAAGCTGTCGCGCCAAAGATTCAAAAGCACAGTCAAGTATTTTGAAGTGAGCAGAGCTGAGCTGGGCAGAGCTAGGCAGAGCAATGCTGGGGGTTAAAGGGCATTCGAACGCTGTCGATATAGCACCTGCAGAGGAAGAATATTGCAGAGCAAATGCGGCTCGTGGCGGGTAAATGCAAGACTCAAACGGCCATTTGGGTCGGCTTGGTTGTGGTTGTGTCTGACGGGGTGGGGAGATGTCAGTTACTGCAGTGTCATGGTCGTCGCCATCAACGGAGGGAGCGAGAGGCAAAGGCGCACGCTGGGGGACTGATGCGGTGGTCTGTCAGGTGCTCGCTCCTTCCGACACAGGTCAAGTCGCGGTTTTTGCTGCGTTTGGATGGGGCGGGTTTCGGTATTTGGTGGTTTGTCGCCGGCTCGCTGCTGGTTGTTTGTCCTTGTCGTCAGTTGTCGCCCCGAGCAAATGTTGTGGGATTTGCTGGCTTATCGCATCGTTGAGGTCGAAGTCGTCCACCCTAGTCGAGGAAGGGGGTTCTGATCCTCGCGGAGGAGGTTGGGTTCGTGGTCTTGTTGTTCGCCGTTCACAAAGTGGGTTGCGGATGGATATCACTGCGTTCGCTCCTGCCCATCTGTTGATTAAGGACTAGTGAAGACCGTCTCTCTCCTTTGGGCTGGCATGACGCTAGGCTGGATGCGGGGCTAGCCGCTACCATGGGCAACCCGTGGCGCCTGCAGATGTGCTTGCGGGTGGGGTCATATGCTGCTAGGGGGTGTGTGCAGCGTCTACGCGTGTATGTACATAACCAACAATCATTATGTTGTAGGTTAACTAGACTCGAGAGTTTGGCGTCCACTAATCACATATCAACCACTGGAATTCTGTGCTGCCTGCATCGGAACACGTGCAATCACCTTTCAAAACTCTGGAAACATCCTGCCATTGCCCCTCGATGGCCGGCGGCACCTGCAAGTACAGAGCTAGTCAAACCGCCTCTAGTTCGCAGCTCGCCGCCTCATCTAAATCATCAATGCAACCTTCTTTAGCTTCATAGCATAATACTGTAATCTAGCATGTGTAGAATCACAGTACCCATTTTTCTTTTAGCAGATCAGCCCCCCATCATTTGGGCGTCAATTCCCGCTAGACCTTCCAAAGACATCCGCTGCACAATGCACGGGACGGCAATATAGTCACATGTACGAATGATGGCTGGCATCGTCTCAAACCCGCATGCATATGTCGACTGTTCGTCTCGCATGGCTTGTCCGTACCGCTGATGGTGTATTTCATCAAGTTCATCTCATCTTGCGTCTCTCTGCTGCACACGATGTTCTCCCATTCCCATCACTGACAGCAACTGGCCGCCAGGGAACACCACCTGTGCCTGCACAAACTTATCATGTGTTGCGCGGACCACAACGTCCCCAGCGATACTTGCTTGTTCCCAGCCAAAGCTTACTCTCCAACCGCCTCTCAAACACACGTCGCTTATCTTGCCTTTTGACCAAGATCGTGGGCATGCTGGAAGGAGTTGAATCACGACAACTTGCTCCTTGAGCTCCAACTGAATTGTGGACGATTGGACCAAGCATTCGACCACGCCGGCACAGCCGCCAAAGTTGCCATCAATCTGAAACGGGGGATGGTTGTCAAGAAGGTTGGGCAGAGTCGACTTGCTCAGCAGCAACTCTCCATGGTTCTCGCAGCCTTCAGCATCTTGCAACCGCGCGTGCATGTTGAGCAACCAGGCCCGGCTCCATCCCGTGTGGCCACCACCGTGTGCAGCTCGGCGTTCAAGCACTTTCCGCGCAGCTTCGGCTAGCTCCGGCGAATTTGTTGGGTCAATCACGTCTCCGGGATGCAGCCCGAACAGGTGCGACACATGGCGATGGCCTGGCTCGTACTCTTCATAATCCTGTGTTCCCCATTCCTGTATCAGGCCCGCTTCGTTGATCTGCAGAGGTGGTAGTTGCAACATCATCTCCCTCACTTTCAGTTCCCTCAACCCGCCACGGTGTCCGAGAATGCCAGCACTCCAAATGTACAATTCAAAAACAGATTTGACGATTGTCATGTCTATGGCTGAACCTTCACAAAATATTCCCGGCTCTCCTGACTTCGACACGTACGTGTTTTCCGGAGAGAGGGAGGGGCTCGTCACAAGATATAGCCCGTCGGCTGAAGGCACCAAGAAGTCTTGGAGAAATTGAACGCACCCTTCCAGTATCGGGAACAGCCTGTCGTGCAGGGCCTTATCGTATTGGCGCTGCAGCATCTGAACCAGATCGATACATAGCCACACACCGCCGAGAGGCCACAGTGTCGCGGGCATCCACGTATCTTGAGGGTCCGTATCCGCCCAAATATCTGTGTTGTGATGTCCACACCAGCCTCCACAACCATACATCAGCTCGGCCGTCCGTTTTCCACGTTCTGCCATCCTCTCCAGGAGATCAACAAGAGGCAGAGCACATTCTGCAAGATCACAAAGTGGGGCCGGCCAGTAGTTCATTTGAATGTTGATATTGATCGTGTATTTGCTTCCCCACGGGGGAGTGAAGCTTGGGTTCCATATTCCTTGCAAATTCGCGGGCAAGGCCTTGTGGCCAGCACGGCTGCTTGATATGAGCAGGTATTTCCCATAGTTGTGGTACAAGGCAATCAGGCCAGCGTCTTCTGGATCCCTCCGTCCAATCCTAATATCCGTCGGAACGTGGCTATGGTCCGGCCACAGTCGCAGGCTCGTGCGGTTGAACAACTCCTGATAGTCCGTTGCATGTCGTACCATAAGTTCCCGCCACGTCCCGTGCAGTGCAGTAAATACATCCTGCCTAGCAACAGCCCCCGGATTATCGTGTCGAAATGCAGTATGTGCGCCAATCGCAATAAGGCAATCCGAAGAGTTGACTTTGACACAGTTCCCTGTTGCTGCCACCGTTCCATGGTCTGGTGCCGATTTCACTCCAAGCACACAAGACAATCGATTACTGAATGCACCGCCGGGAAGTGCATCCATATGAATGAACGATACCTCTTCGACCTGGTCATGTCCCACCTCCAGGCGATCGAAAAACTCGTTCGTGTCCCATTCATGTTCGCCCCGGCGGCCGAGTCGCACACTGAAGCTAATTGGTCTCGAAGCGGTCACGTGCATCACCAACACACTGTCTGGGTTGCTTGCGATGACATCTCTTCGCACATTAATGCCGTTCACCTCGTAAGTCACCGAAGATATGGCGTCGGCAATGTTCAGCCAGCGGCGATAACTCTTGACATTTTTTTCGTCGTGGCCAAAGTCCAGATAGGCAGACCCTAGGGGCTCATAGTGTCGCATCGAAGCCGGACTCGAAAAAAACTCATCGCGAACCAGCTCTTCTGCGTTCTGATGTCGACCGTCTCTAATCAGTTGACGTAGTTTCGACAGATGTTTGGCGCTCCGCGGTGTGCGATCTTGCGGGCCACCATACCATACTGAGTCTTCGTTGAGTTGAAGGAGCTCGGTTGAGGTACGGCCGTGTACCATGCATCCCAAACGCCCATTGCCCAATGGTAATGCCTGGGACCATTCAGTCGCAGGTGAGGTGTAATGAAGGCACAGATGTTCCCGGTCGTGCTCCATGGCGAAATCAGCGCATCAGAACTTGCTGGTTCGATTGGAATATTTCATGATTGGAGGACAGCTTGGACAGCTTCAGAAGATTGCTCCGGAGATCGAATCGGCCGACGGATCGGCTCCCCTTCTTGCACGGAGGATTTGCAATTCTGGCAGACTTTAAGCCGACGCGTCATAACGGCTCCGATACATAACTGCAATCCTGGCCGTACTCAATGGAGCACCTACCCGACTCTGAGAATTGGCCGACGGTTATTTAAGCTCATTCTAAGCGAGACTGGAATGCGTCCCGATATCCCGAAGACCATGACCTGACAAAGACGCACTAGTAGGTCAATGTCGGATGGCAGGATGCTCATACTAATCCCGAAATCCATTCCTCCCAGCCATTTGCTCATGAACTAGGCCCTGTCGGCAGGATCCAGCCGGCGTGGTTGGACGGAAAATCTGTGGACCTCGGGAGCGTTTTGTTCGACCTGGGGATTGTGGGGTATGCAGTCGATCGCTGTACGCGGGCTAGCCTTGTCCGGGGAAACCAATCGTCGACCCCTATACTCACCGACACCCCCACCTGTTCAACTTATCCTATCATGAGATGCTGGCGAGGTCCCTGTTTCTGGGCAAGCGAGACTCAACCTTGACAGGTATGCGCCAATGACATCCGATGATCGTACTGTCGAGAGCTCCAGGATGCATAGCCGAATGGCCTAGAGCTGGGTTGGAGCTTCGTACCAGCATTCCGGCCCGGTCTTCAGGTTGAACCCTTGAGGAAGTGTAGGGTCACATGCAGCAGATGTGCAAGACACACGGCTGGGACAACATTCCTGGTCATATAATATGCCTGGAGATCGCCTCTCTTTTTTTTTCCCCCTACGTCTTAACCGCCGAGGTCTGGGAAAGTGAACATTGCGACTGCTGGACCGGTCTGCCCCAATTCAAACGGAACACATACTTGGGCATCAAATCGGAAGTTGAACCACTCGCCCACCATGGCAGAACGCGGCCACAAGACCGGCGTCACGCACATCGATGCCGTTGAAACGGCCGAAAAGCTCGGCACAACCGTCGACGAGGTCATCGCCACTCGCATCACGGAAGAGGACATGATGCGACACTCCGCCCAAGCACTGACCTTCCGCTCCAAGACCGGTTGGCGCATCTGTCTTATTATGTTCGTCATGGGCTGCAACCAGGCGGGGTTCGGTATTGATTGGGCTGTTATTGGTGGTATCAACGCGTACGACAGCTGGCACAACTACTTTGGATTCGCTACTACCGGTGTCGTTATTGGAACTATCAATGCGCTCATGACAGTTGGTACCTTTGTCGGCGCGCCGTTCTTGGCGCTTGCTGATCCCTTTGGGCGTCGTGGCGTCAACTTCCTGGGCAACTTCCTGGTCGTCATCGCAGCACTACTGCAGGGCCTGGCCCCAAACCTTCCGTGTTTCTTTATTGGACGACTGCTATTGGGTTTCGGCACTGCTCTTTGCACCGCTCCCCAGTACATGGCTGAGATTGCCCCAGTCCATCTCAGAGGTAGACTGGTTGGCGTTTTTGGTGCCTGTTTTCAGGTTGGCAGTATCGTCATGAATGCTGCCATGATGGGCTTTACCCAGTGGAAGGGTAGTGACTGGCAATGGCGAGCGCCTTTGAGTATGTTTGCTTCTTTCTAACTTGCTGGAAATACTTTTTGCATGTGCTAATGTTAGGTCATTTTTCAGTCCTCGAAGGTCTCTTCCCCTTCATCGTCTGCGTCACGATTTACTTGTGGTGTCCCGAATCTCCGAGATGGCTCGTTATGAGGGGCAGGCACGAGGAGGCCCGCCGCGTTATTGCCAGGTACATGACAACAAATGACGACGTGAACACCCCCATCGTGGGTATGATGATAGCACAGATCGAGGAGTCGTTGGAGGAATCCAATACCGGAATCAGGGCTGCCTGGGATTATCGCGTCTTCTTCACCAAGCAAGTCGGGTACCGCACATTTGTCCTGCTCATCTACTCCCTGTTCCAGTCCTGGAACGGCGGCGGCATCATCGGACAGTACCTCACCCCGGCCCTCGAGACCATCGGCATCACCAGCGACCTCGACCAGCTCGGCATCAACCTGGGCCTGACGGCCGTCTACTTTGTCTTCACCGCCTTCGGAGCCTACATCATCGACTTCGTCCGCCGCCGCACCCTGATCTTCTCCGGCCTGATCGCCATCATCCTCGCCCAGACCGCCGTCACCATCACGAGCTGGAAGTACACTGAGAACCCGACCAAGGCGACAGCCTCCCTGACTCTGTTCTGGATCTTCAGCTTCCAGGTCGCCTCCGCCACCTTGATTGCCACCATGCACAATCTGTACCCCGTCGAGATTCTGAGTCTGCCCCTCCGCGCCAAGGGCATGGGTCTGTACGCCATGTTCCAGGGCGCCGCGGGCGTGGTAAACAACTACGCCATCTCTCTGGGTATCGGCATTCTCGGCTACAAGATCTGGGCCGTGTACATCGGATACAACCTGGTGCAGCTGGTGCTGAGCTACTTCATCTTCCCTGAGACCGGCAAGCTAAGTCTGGAGGAAATCGACTCCATCTTCGAGACTAAGAACACCAACCCCGTCAAGCTGAGCTTGAAGATCAGCAGGGCCAAGAAGGAAATGCGGAAGGCGGAGAGGCAGGGGGCCCATGGTGCTTAGATGGTGGTGAAAGTGAACACCAGTCGCGCAAGTGTGCGAACTGCGCATTACCAGCGAGCACGTTTAGTTCTTTCTACAAGACTATCATCTAAGGGTCCAAGACTACTTAATTCAACGTATGGTAAATTCAGCCTTTGATCTTATATAAAGCAACTAAATTTCGCATTTGTGACATGTGGCTGCCACTAACGCCTGTACTATAATTTTGATCTAAGCTAAATCCGAAGGCAATAAATTATACTCCCCACGTGATGTAGACTTCTCAAAAATGCCGTGTATTCAACGATACCTCAATTTTAGACGAGTCTCAAGTTTATTGACTTGCAATGACCTACACATAAAACGAAACTCGACGTGGTTCCGTCAGGGAGGGAGGCGGTTTTCTTTCTCTTTTGGATTAAAAACAACAAGCGTACAGTTTCCCACAAGTAGGATTTAGAATATTTTGAGTGTCCACACTCTTTAGTGTAGTCTTAAACGCGTCATTATATTTTGTCCAGAGTTTTTATCAAAGGCTGTCTGGCTCTATTGCCTTTTCTTTTCGAGATTTTGGTAATAATCAAACCTTAGTGCTCAATAGTTGAGTGTTACGATCTGAAGGCTCGAGGCTCTCACCTACCAGTATGCCTTTGGGATTAGCATATCAGCGACTATCGGGCTACGTTGCATGCTAGTCCTCTGGTCACTCCCCCAACGTGAAGACAGAACATTGCTGGGAGTCTGAAAAACCGTGCCCATCAACGCCGATCGCACAAGGTTCATCGGACTGTTCACGGCTGATAAATTCTTGACTCAGCGGCAGAGCAACCCCTATATTCTTGCCTAACGCAGAGCCTACGCTACAAACGGTCTGGCCGCTACAACGGCTCCCAGCCCTTGCTACGCTTCAACACCGACATTGACCTTTACAGCTTTGGCGGCCCCATGGACAACCAGCCAGAGTATCCCCTCATAATCTAAGATAGCAGCATTCGGTACGACCATTCGCATTGAGGTGTATCCACGTACTTGATGCTGGTGGGGTGCTTCTTCCTTGCTGGCAAAACGCGGCGGATGTAAAGATCTCCTACGTTTATAATGTCATACTTCGGCGCCGCGTTTGGCTCCTTGAAGCTATCCAGCACACCCAGGTCGACATCTGGATCCATGGTCAGGAAGAAAGGAAGCGAGTATCGCTCCTGCCCCGTCTGATTCCTGACCCGGTGGACCGTCGCAGGGAATTGCCCGTTTGTCTGACGTTCGAGATATTGCCCGACATTGCAGACCAGCGTACCAGGTCTTGGGGGCGCATTGACCCAAACGCCATCGGCATTGAGCACTTCGAGTGCGGGTACATTGTCTTCTTGCAACACTAAAGTCAGCCAAGAAAAATCTGCATGCGCCCCCAACCCAACGCTGGCCTCATTATCCGTCGCGGTCATCGGTGGATAGTAAAGTGGCCGCATGCCTGTTATCGGGAATCGAAATTTGTCGTCCAGAGCAGCTTCGTCAAGGCCGAATGCTAGTGCAAATATGCGGACGAGCTTCATTGATAAAGGGAAGACATGGCTATCAGAATTATGGCTCAGCTTGAGTCCTCTTCGGGTTCTTGGTTGCATCTCGTTGCCTACTGGTAGTATTTGTACAGCCCATCCCGCCACCATGGTGCGCTTTCTGGCCAAATATTCTGTGGTCGAGTGATATGAGCTGGAGGCGGTTTCCCAGTTCTACCTATATAGTCTTGCTCCGGCTCGATGGCACAATCACCCATGGTGAAAGCTTCTTTGATGTCTTGTTCATATTAGAAATTTTCAACGGTAGACATCGGTCCTCGAGTTAATCAAATGCTCACCTCCGGATGTTCTAGGATCTAGACGTGTTTCTAGCATGGGTTCATAACCTCGAATGGCCGGGTTCTTTTGTACGTGGGCTATCATCTTTGTGTCCAAGTCGAGCGCAAAGAATCTCCTGAGCAGTGAGAAAGTTTCTGTGATGAGCTCCAGGGAAATCCCGTGGTTTCTGATGTAAAAGAAACCACACTCGTGACATGCTTTGAAGATTTCTTTCGCAATTTTCATGCGCTGAGGAAGAGGGCCATCTAGCTCAGTCAGGTCGATGATAGGTATAGACGTGAAGCCGGATGCGTTCTCTGATACCACTCGATACGTCGCTTCTGATCCAGAGTGGAAATATACATGTTTGACATCCTTTAATGACAATTGTCAGATTACTTTTCAGACAAAAGCTCTACGAGACGTGACAAGCGACTTGCATCTTTCATTGAATCAAGCTGGCTTGATCCCGGCTGTATCACCTCTGCCATGATGCGGTCGTCTTTTCGAAGATGATTATGATAACGGTCTTGAAAGTCGAGATAAATAATTATTAAAGGATAATGTTAGATTGGCATTTCGTTGCTTACGAGGGTAGTGCGAGAGATGGATTAGATATACGAAACATCTCCTCTCATACCTGTCAACCTGCCCCACCAACCCCCTCCTTTTGCGTATCCATCGGATGATGTGCTATCTGTGTTAATTTCATCAACCCTGTTATCCATCGACGAATGGTAGGATCTGGAGAGATAAGGATATGTGCATCACTTGATGACGGGAATATTCTACTGCGTCCGCCACATATAACCGTAGTTGTTAATCCTCCTGCGTCACTCATGAACTCGATCTCTTTCTTCTGCAAGGGATAATACCCCTGGGCTACCTTGTTTTTGCGGCAATATCTCTCTCCTAGTGTCTTCATATATCATCAATCTTTTTGCTTCACCTTACAGCAAGGATCACGTAATGTTCTTCATCTAGTACTCTAAAGGCGTCGTCTGCGGAGAAGGTACTCTTCAAGCTTGACTCTTTCCATCCTTAGTAACTGTTGCCTTGCGTACTTTACTAAATGCCTAGGTAGGTGTTGAAAGTCGTGATTAGACGCTCTGTGGATTGAAACGACCATATACCATGGAAAGACTAATTTTTGTTTTCACGACCAGGCTAATCTCAGCAATGCCTATGTGTGTGGGATGCAGGAAGATGTAGCCATGTATGGAACATAGTATAACATAGCTGTTACCTATTTTTTTCTTAGCAAGATCAGTTGTGCTATACCCCGCAGATGTTTTTTCTAACTTGGATTCCGCCGCGTATTTTACTGCCCGGATTGGGGCTAATCTGGGCCAAATTGGCCAACAGGACTTGTGTGGCCCACCATGTGAACCATGTATAATGACTACCAGCATAACTCAAATTTCATGGTTCCAAGTAAATCTCGAAGCCTGAAAATAGATAGCTGATCAGGTCCAAGAGCTCTATCCTCTGCGCTTATTTATGGACTTTCTCAATGGTTCCTGTTTTGTTGGCGTACAATACGTTCTTAGTAGCTGTTTCAAGCAGACTAAACTCGGTGAGATTTTATTGTTCAAGAAATCGAACGGACTTTTGAGTTCTATCTGCTCGGGTTTTTTCTAGTCGATGGTCTCATCACGGTCGTTGTAGCCATTTATAGCTTCATTGTCTTTCCTGGTACGCCATATGACACCACGTTTATCGTCGCGCCGAGGAAAGGTCAAGGTGTCTCAAGCGTATTTTGGATGACGGGAGACAGGAAACAACCAATAACTTTAGTCAGGACATACGTTCTGACTATCCTGTCCATGTGAGAGCCTTCACCTAGTTTGTCAATCATTGGATACTAAATTGTATGGTACCGAAGCTTTGGGATGATATTGTCGGCGAGGTTACAAACACTGTGATACAGCTCTACCTAAAGAACAATACCGAGCACAGCTAGTCGCTCCATAACATAATAATTGAGCGACGTAGGTCCAAGTTGTAGTCTAGTAAGCTGAGACTTCGCTGCGCGTCAGTGGACTGGCAACTCCTTCCGAGCCTTGTGTTGTAAGCAGATAGCAGCGGCTAAAAGGCGTAGCGTTTTGTTTTTAGCGTATTTCATAGTTCAGTAGCTTGTTCCTTGGGAAAAGCATTGTGAGTACGTTTTAATGACATCACTCAGGCATCGCAAAATCATTTTAATAGAAAGGTGTTCAAGCCGCATTAGGTTAGTGCAGTTTTCGCAAACAAATTATTCCTGACACGCACTGATTATCCATGACCGCGGGTCGGCAACTAAATACAATTAAACTCGATACGACATGAACCGTTTGTCTGTGTATAACTCCATGACCACCAACCTAGTCGGATGCAAGTTTGATTGCGTAACCAGTGTCGAAAAGGACGGCTTTGGATATTTTACTACATTGGTGGTATCATTGGTGACAGCTACATCTACAGCTAACTACTGTACAATTCGAGCTTTTCTTCTGCTTTTTGACTACAAGCCGTCAGTATAGTCCTCTATCGCCGGCGCCCGCTCATTGGCTGAGAGGGTTGTGAGCCTCTGTGGCGTCGATCTTACCAACTTTCGTGGCCGCCTCGATATCTACATCTCCCGTAGGCGCCTCTCGCTTCCTTGATTCTTCCTTGGCCACACCATTCTCAAAGTCAGTCATACTGACCTCCTTGGAGACGCTAGCAGAAGACTTGACCTTGGGCTTCTCCTCCTTCAACACCCCCTCGGTCACGGCAGCACCGGTGGCCCCTCCCTTGCCCTTCTCGAAGTCAGCCATGGTGATTGCGGGTGCCACAGTGGCGCCATGGTGCTCGTCGTTCAAGTGCTCAGTTTCATGGATGTGGTTGGTGGTGTGAACTACTTGACGTTGGATGGTCTCCTTCTCAATTACAGGTTGGATAGTCTCGTGGATGTGGCTGAAAATTTGTTAGACCAAGAGCCAGAAGCAGAATGTGACGGCAATACTCACTGGTGAATGTGCTGACCCTCTTGCGTAGGGGCAACCTCCTTCGAGTGTGTTGTAGCCTTGACGTCCTTCTCATCATGAATGCTGGCAGCCTCTCTTGCAGCCTCCTTCTTGGCGGCGTTGTTGCGGTGGTCAATCTCACGCTCCTCCTCATTATCTTGGTAAATGTGTTGTGTGGGGAGGACATTCTTGTCCTTGACAGGTTGAATCGTGGTGTGGTAGTGGTCCTGGTGGATTTCCTTGTCGATGACAGTATCCACCTTCTCGTGCTCGTGTGATTTCACTGTCTCATGCTCAACGGCTGAGGCCTTCTCCTTGTGTACTGTTGTGCCATCATGGTGAGCCTCCACAGTTGTGTCAACCTTCTTGGCAGCCGGTGCCGCGACCTTTGCCTCGACCTGGGTTGCCTGAACCTTGGTGTGTGCATCCGCATCGGCGGTTTGGCCTGTGACAATATTCTTGACTGAGCTTGCCAAGTTGCTCAAGGCGCCAGTTGGGAGTTCAGAAGCCATGTTGATGATTGGCTGGAGGGTAAACTGGTGTTTGATTCAAGGATCTTGGGAGAGATTTAGTTTTCTGAGGTCGTTTGGCGGAAGAACTGTATGGTAGTCTTCTGTACGGAGTAATATGAGTATAATGGTTGTTCAAAGCCACACTCGAGTGGAGGGGGCTGTGTCATTATATCGTTGTTCTGACAAGGGCTGTGGCTAGTGTGTCAATTGTACGTCATGCCCACTTTTTCTTTTTTTCCAAGGTGTCAATTTCAAGTTTCTGCTCGCTTACAGTTCCAACGATGGCATCTCCAGTTGTCTAATAATGACGAACTTGTCCTGCATGATGGCTGTCTTAGTATTAATTTATTTGGTGGCAATTGCATGCGAGCTCACAGGCACACGCAAAGGCGCGGCGCCACAAAAGACCAATCGAGGCCTGTGACCGAGGCACCACGCCCCCGTACCTGTAGCGTTACTGCAAAGAATCGCGATACTGGCGCGATTTTTCAACAGTGACGCCACGCACACGAGCGCCAAGCTTTCTGTAAGCGAGTGTCGACAATGCCAATGGTGATGAATTTTGTCCACAGCGGCCCGCATCAGAGCGGAACCACGTGTAAACTGGGATGCGAGGCGTTGATGACTTCATTTGATTTGATTTGATTTGCCGCTTGACGTTGAGCTACCGATGTCTATGGTTACATCAAGATGGCCGGACCTCGATGATCGCTCCCCACGCCATCGAGCCGCATGTGCCCAGACGCAAACGAAAGGACTGTCAGCCCGGAAGACGTAATTTCTCTCTGCACAGCTTGAGCTTATCAAAAGGCAAACACGATTCCAGAAGGCCCGATCTCGGGATCTGTGATTTTCCGTCTCTGCTCCGTCCCTGCAAAGCAAATCTGGAACTGCAGCGATTGGTTGCTCAATTCCAGACACAGTCCAGCCACACGTTCCAACACCAGGTGGACTTCTTTCAGGACAAGAGCTAATAGTAGAGTACGGGCTCCGCATATGGTCAAATCGGTACTTTGCTTATTTCATCCTGGTTTTCTCGCATGGAGCACATATTTTGAGGCTCATTAAGCCCATGCTGTTCCATCACTAAGATACTCGTTCAGGGTCAACGTGCCTTTCTGCCAGACGTCTGCCAAGGTCCCATTTTTGTCTCCGCTTGAGCTTGGTTATTCGCTAGTAGTTCGTTTCAGGGTTTATAGTTTCGAGAGACTGCCATTAAACATACAATTGGTGACATGTCAGCGGTGAGGCTTGTCTGATATCCCAAAAGTCCTAAGTCAATAGGTACATTTTATTACAGCACGCGTCAAAGGTCCCGAATCAGCTATGCATTGGATCGACAAAACAAAATTCAATCACTGTTCTCTTGCTTTCAATAGATTTTTCAGCTGAGCTGAACGATATTCATCTCCAATCATCAGAATAATGAGTTATGATATTGAGTCTCGATCAATGTGGCATAAGTGATATTATATACCTAGAAAACCACCCAGCCAATCCTTTTTACCCAAGGGGACGCCCTTAGCCCTCAAGAACTGGTAGCCTGTTGAGAGATGGAAGAAGAAGTTCGGCAAGACATGAGTTAAAAAGAAACCCTGAAGTGTAGTTTTATGGTCCCCGCCTTTGAAAGAACTTGAGATTAATGATAAGCGATAAATTCCCATTACTATAATACGACGGCGTGGGACAGGACTGCTGGGTAGAATTACTCACAAGTCGAACTCCGCTCCAAAGTCAGTCGCTTGTGCTTTTGCCAGGTCGAATGCCTTGACAAGGTCAAGCGTTCGATCAATGCGCTTTCGCAGCTCCTGGAATGTCTTCTCATCTTCCTCCCACAACGTCGCCGTCTCCCCAGACAAGCGACCCAGGTTCGTTTGGACAATCCTGCTCACAAACTGTACCTGGAAAGAGAGTGGTAGTTGGTCCTCAACAAGACGTTGATTGACGAATGAGTCTGGGTCAACGCCGTTCTCTTTGGCCCACTCATCCGATTTTGCCAAGACGTGCGCAAACGTCTCGAGGCCCCTGGCGAAGGTCGAAATGATGAGTTCGGGGATGCTGAGGCTTGACATATCGACGAAATCTTGACTGCAGATAATGTTAGTCCGTAGGAAGTGACTTTGTTAGGGACGTGAAACGGTCGCTGATCACTATTTAAGGAGAATCAGTTATTTAGGAAGAGCACGTTTGTCATCAAAGCTGCCCCTGGTCGGGTATGCAATGCTGCGGCACAGCAGACCTAAAATAGGATCAGTCGCTCTATCGCCAATGGCATCATTCAGACTATCCCGCACCATCTCACTGAACTCTTGCTTGATAGGTGGGTTTGACAGGGTACCCTGTCAAACCGTATGGCCGCACTGCATACCAGTCAAATCGACCTCCCCAGATAAGGAATGTGCAAATAGCCACCACGTATCTTACATTTGCGGGGACTATGAAGCGGGGGATATCAGAGCAGGTGAGCCCAAGTCAAGTATGTAGTCTCTTGTCAGCATATCCAGCCCCAGTCAATCAGATAGATCGCCCCCTCATCTTTAAATTTCCTGCCTTGCTGCATAAAGTCGATATGTCAATCACGTATCATGCTTTGGACCCGGTAGGCAAGAAATAAGGTTATTGGAACTTTTCGCATGTCCTAGCTTGAAGCACTTGAAAATTTTTGGATGTTGTATTTTGCAGGCCTCTCTCTTAGAGAATCTGCAGTATGAGCACTCTCCTACGTGTGGGGAAACCCAAGAGATAATCATGTGATAATCGTGGATGGTGTCAGCATTCGCATTCCAGAGAACCTTTACGGTGCCCTCATGACGGCAAGACCTACCGAGGGTCTGCTCGCGATATGGTTAGACTACCTTTGCATTAGTCAACATGACGAAAAAAAAACCCTGGCAAGCAGCGCTTATGCGGTCAATCCATTATTAAGCAGAAAGAGTGCTCGTCTGGCTTGGACCTGCTGTCAACGCATACCAGGCTTATAGCCGGATACTGATTGAAGAAGCTATCGGAAACATATCAGTGGGCTGAGGAGTGGCTGATTGAAATACTACGGTTATCATATCAAGTAAACTGCCACTATGCAACATTTGTTGAGCGCCTCAAGACAGTGACTAGAAAATCCGTCGGAGGGGCAATAACCATTCATAAGAAATTATTCAGAATCGATAACGCTCGCTTCTACGAGGCTGCATTTCTTCTTCAACGCGGGTTAAATGGAATTAAAGACAGAAGAATCAGACGGGATGCTCAGAAGTTTCTGAACGACCGAGGCCATAAGCAACAGACTCAACAAATGAGTATAAGATCCCTCAATCTGATAAAAGATATCAATGGAAGGAGCCTTAGAAGGTTGCCATTCATCATAGGAAAGGATATTTGGGGGTCAGTAGTGTTGAGATAATGGCAGGCGATTGTGTAGCCATTATCAAGGGGGCTCAGGTGCCGTATGTATTGCGTCCGCTGTTAGCTGGATCGTATCGGCTTATTGGTGAAGCGTATATTGATGGGGTGATGGACGGTGAGCTTGCGGCAGAGTCAAACTTCACTCCATTGACGTTAGAATAGCGATATAGTCCACCTATCATAACTGACTACATCAAATGCCGCGCTTGCTTCTGAAAATGAGCTCTTAGCAACTTAGTCTGAGCTATTACTAAGCAGTCGCGAGATTCCACACCATGACCGAGATTGGAAGTTTAGATACACCAGGGAAGAGCTCACTCAGTCAGCACATCAGCCAGTAGGGGTATCAAATAAAATGGGTCACAGTACAAACCCAAAAGACAAATAAGATCTATTTCGCCGTTCATTTCAACTGCAAGGATATTTATTGGGCCCCCAGACGGATAAAATTGCGCTTGGTAGACATAACACAATGTCCCGTGGGTGTCTTTGGGTTTACTATTTCATACTTCACAGGCTGGGTGAAAATGAGGCTTTTTGGTAACAAACGCATTTAGCCAATCAGGCGAACGATTCTAGTGGACTGGTGCGAGCGATACCAACTTGAAGGCCGGAACTGGCACGTACTTCTAACTTTGCCGTGAACACAATTTCTTAAACATATTAACAAGGTCTGACGAACCCATATAACATCGAGAAAAGACAACAGAAAAACTTGCCTTTCCGGACGTGGCATACAGGACAGGCAAGGGATATGCAGATATGTTAGGAACGTCTACATACGGAGGACAAGAACAAATAGCGGCGTCTGTCTCACAAGTTACTCGCAAACCGCGCTTGCTTCACTCTACTATCAGGTTGGGGCTAATGATGTGCCCAACTACTCGGTGTGCGAGTAGACGCAAGGAAAGGGTCAAAAACAAATCCGGACCGTTAATGATGATTGGGACTGTGGAAACCACTCAGCATAAGATGAAAAATTACCCTGGAAGGTAGCGAATGCTGTCAATTATTTCTCTATGATGCCGTCCCAACAATATGTATTTGTCACTTCCAAATAGAACTCAAAAAGAAGGGCATCGTTTATACCCAGCCTGCTTAACGCAAGACACTGGTTGCTAAAGATATTGAAACTCTTGGAAATAGATAGCGTGAATGAATATGCGATAAATGATCCACGTCGCCCCATTTTCGGAACCGTTAATCCGTATATTATCAATACTTAGTTTCACCGCTGTTTTCGAAACGCTTATGGATAGAAATACCACCACGGACAGACAGCGGACAGCGTAGAGGTCCCAGCCATGACGGCCGATCAACTATGCCTTACGCGAGAACAGCAAGGCCCAGCTCAGAGAGCCAAAGTAGACAATCAATGCGTGCCATCCCCCGACCTTAAGCGTTAGCGATAGAGTAGCCCGAATCACATACCCATTGAGTAGTGTCAACGAACACCGACACGATTCTTTGGCTGGGCAGAATATGAGCCGTTAAGACAGTGACTTCCAGGCCATGGCATCGGTACTTCAGATTCGTCAAGAAAGCTTCGTCCCAGCGCCAATGATGCTGGGCATCGTCCAGATATAGCGCCGAGTGGGCAAACTCTGCAGCGTACCAATCACAGAACTCGGCCAATAGCTTCAACATGGTGAGGGCTAAGTTCAAGAAACCACCACCATATTGTAGTTGTGCCACTGCATCTTGGAATTTGCATGTAGATCTGCAGTATCTGGAAGCGGCGAAGGTCGAGTCTTCCCCCAATTAGAGCATACTCTCTCTCTTTTGTTCTTCGCTCCAGTAATCCGTGAGTCTGCTGTTTCGATACTCGAAACTGGTATGGTGAGAGTTGACTATCTCGTCGCAGATTGAGCACGTGTGAGGTCCCGTGTGAGTTCCCGTACCACTTTGGGTAGTTCAACCTTGAACATCGTGCGAGCAGTGCTGGAACACTGGGATGAGTCGCGGGTTAGCATGCCTCATGGGATCAAGTGAGAACTTTTCAGAAATCCTGTCAGAACAACGGAAATTACGATCTAATGGTTATGAACTTCGCACCGTTGTTTGTTTCAAGCTCAAAAATTCCATATTAGATGGATAGATCACCAAATTGGAAACGATTAACCGAGTTCGCGAATCGCTTTATTCTGGTCCGCCCGCCTAACAGTCTGTCCCGCTGCTGGCTATGGCGAACAAAGACCGGGGATTCGAAAATATTATCTCGTGAAATCAACATCTAATGCTGCGAAATCATTGGGCTCATGCTTTGGTGGCACGGTGATTTTTGTACTGTTGTTGGGCGGAGTGAAATGTGTTGGCTAGGTCAGAGAGGTCTAGTAGCAGGTTGGTGAGTACCACTAAGGGAAATCAATGAAACCGTCGTGTTTATGGGTGTTGAAGAATAATATCTATAGGATAGTGAGTGTTACATACCGAAATAGGGTAAACCCAGTCACCTCGGAACTTTCTTCAATCCCGTGTTGTGGAGAGGTTCAGCGCAACCAGGGGACAGAAGCAGATGATAAGTTCGACCGCGCCCGGCAAGAATACACTTGTTGTTCCAGAACAAAAGAAACGTGGGATCTTTTGCATCAGCGGCTTCGACAATTAAAGTTGTTCAGTTGAGACGAGTTACAAATTGAATTGAAACTACACTTGATCACATCCTGCTCATCGAAGCAGTGGAAGAAGGGTGCCATTCACAGGTCAAGGCTATAAGCAAAGGTCTAAACTCATAACACAACAGGACACGACACGGACCACCCGAGGGCAAAGTCGCCAATTGTTTGTCTTCTGATAGACTCGGTGTGCATGAAGCGGGATGGGCTTGGCCCAAGCGGAAGGTGGACAATCAGAAGTGGCGTTGAACCCACAATCAATTGTTTCGCGACCTCACAAGATCATCATGGAATCTGAGGCTCAAATAAGCATATCTCTTCAAGTTCGAACCAAACAGAACACAGCTTAGCTAGCGATGGCATTCCTAGATTGCCGAGATAAGGGTTCCTGGCACGGGTATGCACATCATTTCTGCGCTTGCGGAAAAGGGGAGCTTCTTCAGCCCTACCTTGGAGCTACCCTTGCTCATGCTCAGAAAATCGTACGATTCTGACATCAAGCGCAACGGCTGCACAGAGGATCGAACTATGTATGCTTGGGTCCCCGGCTGGAACCTGTCAGACCCTTAAAACCAGATGGCCTGTCGACTTTGTGTTAGTATGGAATACATTGCCTTTTGCATACATATCATCCAGAAGTGCGTCGCCAGGCTCAATAGAGTTGCCTGTGGTACGGTTGATTGACCACTCAATAGACTACAGTACGGAACGTCAGGAACGTCAGGAACGTCACGTCACGTCGAGATGCTTTGCGGCAGCCCCACATTGGCAGCAAATACGACTTCGGGCTTGTACATACACATGAAGTGATGCCGTCCGTGTCAGGGAGAGCGAAGAGCGCACAGGTGCCGGACTTGGTTGTGCGGGTCTCAACGGTGATAACGGACGTCCAAGATTCAAGCGATACATTTCGGGCAAGCCCGTTGCACCGTTCGGTACAGCAGGTATCGCGCTATTGAGCCGCCCAAACGAAGTCTTTCCACCTCTGTTTCGATGCGTGGATGTCACGGGAAACAACATGCTTAATACTGTAATGAAACACAGTGAGGTTCTTCGGTTAATTCGCACGAACAACTCGCAGCACAGTCAGCAGCCGACAGTCAAGCAAGCGTGAGTATTGCGATGAAGGATTTCGTGACCCGAAACACCCGATAAGCCGAATGTGACATGCTATACGCAGCAAGATTTCGGTAAGAGGATCAGCCGAGCGGCAACTAGCCCGCTCGAGCGACAACGGAAGTTCCCCAAAAGGTGAATTCCACCATATTAGTATGTGGTCTGGCGATAGGGATTGAAAGCGTCTTCAACAACCACCTGATTCGAAGTAAAGTCAATTGGCAGCGTGTGCACGGTTGTGTACTTTAGTATAGCGTTTGCATCGGATTGGCGGACAAGATGTTGGGGACCTGCGACATTGAGGTGTGGAGCGACGAGAAAAGGAGCGAAAGCAAAGAATTTGGAAATCCATCCACGGGAAAGACGAAGATGCCCAGCAGCTACTGCGCGGGACCCGAAAGGCCCCGGACCTGGCACTGGACTATGCAGCTAACTTGGTGAGGTAAGCTCGACTTCTGCAGCCGGTTCCAAGTGGGCTAGCCTCAAGGCAAAGTGGGATGGACCCCCAACAACGCCAACAATTGAGAGCAAACAGGGGAGGTTTCTACATAGTATTCTGCTGCACACAACATTGAAAGCAATGCGCCGCGACAAACCATCTTGCCCAGAAAGAATATTTGAAGAAGAAAAAATTGCTGCTAACGATGCGGGTTACTCACATACATAATGTTGATATCTCGAAGAACAGGGTCCTCATGATATTGGATGCCCACGAACAGTCAGCTATGAAAATATTATGCAGTGGATTTACAGTAAGCTATGCACTCCTTTGGCTGCGGCCAGGGAGCTGAGCTGCTATTTTGTACTCTTCCCCAGACTAGACTATGCTATCTTGGGGATAGTGTCAATTTGTGTGTTGAGTTTTCGGGCTTCTACTAGAGTCTTATAGGACTCCCCTGTCAGCTTCTGACCTTGATTAAATCCTGCGTATGCAGAGATAATGCAAAGCTGACATACAGCAAGGCAAGTGTACTGTACCAGTCGTGTCACCGTACCATGTCGCAATTCAGATTCTATGAGATTCGATGCCCTATGAGGCCTTTTTGTTCTTGTTCGGCGTTGAAGATTCGGCGATGGATCATTCGGCAATGAGATCTCCAATAGGGCCCCAAGAAAAAAAGAGTGCTATGAAAAGCCGGCGCCACTAAAAAGCCGTGTGCGTTCTAACAATTATTTTTTGGGAGCTGTAGCGCGCATTGGTCAAGACCGAATGAATATCCGTAACCACAAATCAACACATTGACCACTTTCCCAGCGGAATGGGATGGATGGCATTGAGATTGGCAATGGATCTCGTTTGAATCTTCCCCAACACCCCGGGCCCTGTTACCATTGGCTCGCTGCAAACTTAGTGGTTGCACAGTTCATGGTGGTAAGGTAAGTAAGCTCTGATACCTAGGTCAGAATACCTTATCCCGCGATCCCAATCGCGGAATTTGTGTTGCATAAGCCCCGCCATAGCTCAGCTGCTACCTGTCTATCTATGGTAGAGTAAGTGAGTGAGGACGAGGATGAGGAAAGAGAGGTACACGTCCAGGAGAGATGGATACGTGCGAAGATGTTGTGTACGCAAAGTAAGTCTTGAGTACCGTAGGTCATCAATCATTGAGTTTGAATTGGGTGGATGCATGTCGCAGGTTGCCAGTCTCGCTAGTCTCCTTGACGTGGTGGCTCGGAGTATGGGATGGAATGGCATGGGATGGGGGACATGGATGTCGGATTATGGGCAAGAAAAGAGTAGGGGTAGTTTAACATGAACTAAAAGTATTCAACCACATTGGATCAGCCTTGTTGGTGCACCCCAGCCCCGATGAAGGAGCGATAGTCAAAGTAAAGTTCTTTTTATTTCAAGACCTCCCACGTCTTCGGTCTCCGTCTTGAGCCTTCCTTACTGCTCTTGCTGCCTCTATTGCCATTTTCTCCTACCCATCTTCTCTCCCTCCCTCATAGACTCGGGTTTTCTTGTGGAAGCGGTGGACGTACTTTGCATCTTGTCTGCTTTGTGTAAGTTTGTATACCTAATGCAAGGTCAGCCATCTGGCTGGCCAGCTCACCGTGGATCCTCTAGCATTCCCGTTCCCACTACCGTTCCCATCCCCCAATCTATGACCTGGAAGAAAGAGACCCCTCGCACGATCTGCCACTGGAATGGCATCTTCCAGAAGCTCGTCGCGTCGCATGCATCGCATTGCGAGGACGAAGGCGGGCGGGGGTGTTCGGACAGACAAGCCCGCATAATCGCAACCATCTCACTCTGCCAGCTCTTACATAGAGCTCCCCAACTTCGAATGCGCCGTCCTAGACCCGGATTTCGGACCCCGAACTTCCAGGTGGTCCCTTGTCCCACATCCAGGTTCAGGCGCTGGTTCAGGCTCTGGCTGCAATAGATCCTCAACAGAAACTCCCGAAAGGAGTCCGCCAAAAGCGGCCAATGAAAAGATCCGAATGACCGTAATAGGTTGCGGGCTCTTACTACCAATTCTCACGGGTCCCATCATTGATTACTCTAAAAACGTTTTCTCGAGGATTGGCGAACTCGGTCTCTTTCCCGGGTCATCCCACTACCACATTTACCTGATTTCTATCTTGTCAATTCACTTCCCTCCAAACACAACAGTGGATTCTGTTACATTAGTTCTCGTTCGGTTCTTCTTTCTTTTCCATATGCTGACAGCAGATTGAAACGGGTTGCAGATATTCCCCAGTTTGTTCCAGTTCCACGATTTGCTCTTTCCACATTAGGGAGCAACCGCCGAAATCTACGTCAGGTGGCATTCAATACAACACAACACAATACAATACGATACAACACAAGCGACAGGCACAAGGTACGCGCACGTGTGAAAAACCTCCCCCGATTCAGTTCTAATCTTCACGGCACTCCACTGCAATCTTTTTTATTCTATGTTATCTTTTCTACTTCTTAGACGGTCCAATTGGTTTTGGACTTGTAGATAACGGATTTCTCTCATGCCTTCTCTCATGCTTTCTCTCATGTTCGTTTTCATCCCAGATCTGGCAGCTTACTTACTCTTATTCGCAGTGCTGAATTGAGATTTCTCGCCTCTCAATTCCACCCTTCTGCCGTAAACCCCCGCCATTGCACGATTCGCGAGCTTACTGGGAGCTCGACTCGGGCAGTCTCTGTACATTAATGGTCGTTTAGATCTTCTTCTATTCCGCATAATCGATTCGATACCCTCCCCACTTTCGAATCCCGCCACGATATCTCCCCTTCCTCCGCCATCCGACACAATGGCGACAACCAACGGTTCCGGCCCTGCTGCCAATGGCAACGGCGCAGTCAACGGCAACAGAACCGTGCCCCAAGCCAATGGCAAGGCGTCCTACGCTGAGAAGCACCGGATCGCCGACCACTTCATTGGTGGCAACAAGATCCAGAATGCCGCCTCTTCCGAGGTGAAGGACTTTGTCGTCGCCCACGACGGTCACACAGTCATCACCAACGTAAGCAACGCCCCCGAGTGAAGCACCAGATACACAGACAGCTGACAGGAGACCAACACAGGTCCTGATTGCCAACAACGGTATCGCTGCCGTCAAGGAGATCCGATCGGTGCGAAAATGGGCATACGAGACCTTTGGCAACGAGAAGGCCATCAAGTTCACGGTCATGGCCACCCCCGAAGATTTGGCAGCCAATGCCGACTACATCAGAATGGCAGACCACTATGTCGAAGTACCTGGCGGCACGAATAACAACAACTACGCCAACGTAGAGCTGATTGTGGATATTGCCGAGCGGATGGACGTACACGCCGTCTGGGCAGGATGGGGCCACGCCTCGGAAAACCCAAAGCTTCCCGAGTCCCTCGCTGCTTCCCCAAAGAAGATTGTCTTCATCGGACCTCCCGGCTCCGCCATGCGTTCGCTTGGTGACAAGATCTCTTCCACAATCGTCGCACAACACGCAAAAGTGCCCTGTATTCCCTGGTCCGGAACTGGTGTCGACAAGGTAGAAGTTGACAGCAACGGCATCGTGACCGTCGAGGATGACGTCTACCTCAAGGGCTGCGTCAACTCTTGGGAGGAAGGTCTGGAAAAGGCCAAAGAGATCGGCTTTCCGATCATGATCAAGGCTTCGGAAGGCGGTGGCGGTAAGGGTATCCGTAAGGCCATGTCGGAAGACGGCTTCGAGCAGTTGTACAAGGCAGCTGCTAGCGAGATTCCTGGTTCCCCCATCTTCATCATGAAGCTTGCTGGAAACGCGAGACACTTGGAGGTGCAGCTGCTTGCTGATCAGTATGGCAACAACATCTCCCTCTTTGGCAGAGATTGCTCTGTTCAGCGAAGACACCAGAAGATCATCGAGGAGGCCCCAGTCACAATCGCAAAGCCTCCTACCTTCAAGGGGATGGAGCAGGCTGCTGTACGTCTGGGTAAGCTTGTCGGCTACGTTTCGGCCGGCACTGTCGAGTACCTGTACTCGCACGCCGATGACCAGTTCTACTTCCTCGAGTTGAACCCTCGTCTGCAAGTCGAGCATCCTACCACGGAAATGGTCAGCGGTGTCAACTTGCCCGTGGCTCAGCTTCAAATTGCCATGGGTATCCCTCTGCACAGAATCCGGGACATCCGTCTGCTGTACGGTGTTGATCCCAAGACGGCTACTGAGATCGACTTCGACTTTAGCACCCCACAGAGCGAGAAGACCCAACGCAGGCCCCTCCCCAAGGGTCACTGCACGGCTTGCCGTATCACCTCGGAGGATCCCGGTGAGGGTTTCAAGCCTTCCAACGGTGTTCTGAGGGATCTCAACTTCAGATCAAGCGCCAACGTTTGGGGTTACTTCTCTGTCAGTACAGCATCTAGTATCCACAGTTTCTCCGATTCCCAATTCGGTCACATTTTCGCCTACGGAGAGAACAGGGCTGCCTCGCGGAAACACATGGTTGTAGCATTGAAGGAGCTCAGCATTCGTGGTGACTTCAAGACCACCGTCGAGTACCTGATCAAGCTGCTCGAGACCGAGGCCTTCGAGGACAACACCATCACCACTGGCTGGCTTGACGAGCTCATTTCCACTAAGCTGACTGCCGAGCGTCCCGATCCTATGCTTGCCGTCATCTGTGGTGCCGTTACCAAGGCCCACGTTGCAAGCGAGGATTGCATCAACGAGTATAACTCGGGTCTGTTGAGAGGACAGGTGCCCTCAAAGGATATTCTCAAGACCGTATTTGGCATTGACTTCATTTATGAGGGCTCGCGTTACAAATTCACCGCTACCCGTGCCAGCTTCGACAGTTACCATCTCTTCATCAACGGCTCTCGATGCTCAATCGGTGTCCGTGCCTTGAGTGACGGTGGCCTGCTGGTTTTGGTTGATGGCCGCAGTCACAGTGTCTACTGGAAGGAGGAAGTTGGTGCAACCCGCGTCTCTGTGGACGGCAAGACCGCCTTGCTTGAGCAGGAGAACGACCCTACTCAACTCCGAACTCCCAGTCCTGGTAAGCTCGTCAAGTACAACGTGGAGAACGGCGAGCACGTCAAGGCTGGCCAAACCTACGCTGAAGTCGAGGTCATGAAGATGTTTATGCCTCTTGTCGCTCAAGAGGATGGTATTGTTCAGCTCATCAAGCAGCCTGGTATCACCATTGAGGCTGGCGACATCCTCGGTATACTGGCACTGGATGACCCGACCCGTGTCAAGCAGGCCACTCCTTTCCTTGGCCGCATGCCTGATCTTGGTCCGCCCCAGGTCATCGGAAACAAGCCTGCCCAGCGATTCAACACACTGTACAACACACTGACCAACATTCTCGATGGTTTCGATAACTCCGCTATCATGAAGGAGACTCTGGACGAGACGATCAAGGTCCTGCGCAACCCCGAGCTTCCCTTTAGCGAGTGGAACACCCAGCACTCTGCCCTGCACTCTCGTATGCCTGGCAAGCTGGATACTCTTCTCACCCAGGTCATCGAGAAGGCCAAGTCTCGAAATGCTGAGTTCCCCGCCAAGGCCCTTTCCAAGACACTTGCCCGGTTCCTGGATGAGAACGTGCCCGCCGGCGATGCCGAGCTTCTGAGAACTGGCTTGGCCCCTCTAACCGACGTCCTAGACAGCTACGCCGAAGGCCAAAAGTCGCGTGAACTCAAGGCTATTGCGTCCCTGCTTGACATCTACTACAACGTCGAACACCTTTTCTCTGGCCACCGGTCTCAAGATGAGGATGTTGTCCTGAAGCTCCGTGACGAAAACAAGGAGGACTTCATGAAGGTCATTCAGACTGTGCTTTCTCACAGCCGTGTTGGCTCCAAGAGTAACCTCATTGTGGCCATCCTCGACAAGTACCGACCCAACCAACCCAATGTTGGAAACATCAACAAGCACTTGCGGCCTTCGCTGCGTCACCTCACCGAGCTAGAGTCTCGCCAGACTGCAAAGGTCTCCGTCAAGGCCCGTGAGATCCTTATCCAGTGCTCTCTTCCTTCTATCGAGGAACGTACTGAGCAGATGGCGCATATTCTCAAGTCGTCGGTCATTGAGAACAAGTATGGCGAGTCAGGCTGGGAACACCGAGAGCCCAACCTCGAGGTCATTCGCGAGGTTGTTGACTCCAAGTACACTGTCTTTGATGTCCTCAGCAAGTTCTTTGCGAATGAAGATCCTTGGGTTTCCCTGGCTGCTTTGGAGGTCTATGTCCGCCGCGCTTACCGTGCATATACCCTCAAGGAAGTGCAGTACCAAGCCGATGAGGCCGATGCTCCTTCTTTCTTGACCTGGGACTTTGCTTTCAAGAAGGTCGGCCAACCTGAGCTTGGTGTAGCTGCAAATGGAGCCTATACTTCGGTGCCTCAAACCCCTACCCAAGAATACAGCTTCAAGCGCATCAGCTCTATCAGCGATATGTCCTACCTTGACAAGCACATCGCCGAGGAGCCTACTCGCAAGGGTGTCATTGCCTCGTGCAAATACATCGACGATGCTGAGGAGTACCTCCAGAAGGTGCTCGAGTCACTTCCCAAGAAGAAGACTACCGGCAAATCCATCCCGGATCTAAGCGGCAAGCGAAAGCCAATTCGTTCTGAGACCCTTGACGAGCTGTCCAACGTTGTGAACATTGCTGTCGCTGATGCTGAGTCCACCGATGATGCTGACATTCTCCCTCGTATTCGTTCCATTGTCGAGGCTAGCAAGGAAGAGCTTCTGGCTCGCCGCGTACGCCGCGTCACGTTCATCTGCGGCCACGATGACGGTTCCTACCCAGGTCATTACACTTTCCGAGGTCCTGACTACCAAGAAGATGACACCATTCGTCACAACGAACCTGCCCTTGCATACCAACTCGAGATGGGTCGTCTCTCGAAATTCAAGCTCTCCCCTGTCTTCACGGACAACAAGAACATCCACATTTACGAGGCCGTTGGCAAGGGTGTCGAGACTGACAAGCGATACTTCACTCGTGCCGTCATCCGACCTGGCCGTCTTCGTGATGAGATCCCTACCGCCGAGTACCTGATATCTGAGGCTGACCGTGTCATTAACGACATCTTTGACGCTCTCGAGATTATTGGCAACAACAACTCCGATCTCAACCACATGTTCATCAATTTCACCCCCGTCTTCCAGCTTCAGCCCGAGGAAGTCGAGCACTCGCTGCAGGGCTTCCTGGACCGATTTGGACCTCGTGGCTGGCGTCTACGTGTAGCCCAGGTCGAAATTCGTATCGTCTGCACTGACCCGGCAACTGGTATGCCATACCCTCTCCGTGTCATCATTACCAACACCTCCGGATACGTCATTCAGGTCGAGATCTATGCCGAGCGCAAGTCGGAGAAGGGTGAGATGGTCTTCCACTCCATTGGCGGTACAACCAAGATTGGTGCCATGCACTTGTTGCCCATCACTACTCCTTACCCCACCAAGAATGCTCTGCAGCCCAAGCGTTATAAGGCTCACTTGATGGGAACTCAGTACGTCTACGATTTCCCTGAGCTTTTTCGTCAGGCCATTCAGAACAGCTGGGCCAAGACTGTCAAGGCTCAGCCTGCCCTCGCCTCTCAACAGCCTGCTCAGGGTGAGTGCATTGACTACATGGAGTTGGTCCTTGATGACTCGGACAAGCTTGCTGAGGTAGCACGTGAGCCTGGCACAAACACTTGTGGTATGGTCGGTTGGATGATTAAGGCCCGCACTCCCGAGTACCCCCGTGGCCGTAAGTTCATCATCGTTGCCAACGACATTACCTACAAGATTGGTTCCTTCGGACCTAAGGAGGACCACTTCTTCAACAAGTGTACTGAGCTTGCCCGTGCTCTCGGTATTCCTCGCATCTACCTGTCAGCCAACTCTGGTGCCCGTCTCGGTATAGCTGAGGAGCTCATCCCTCACTTCAAGGTTGCATGGAACGACCCTGCTAAGCAGGAGGCCGGCTTCAAGTATCTGTACCTTGACGAGGAGGGCAAGAAGCGATTCGAGGACGGTCCCACCCGTTCCGTGATCACTGAGGAGATTACGGAGGAAGGTGAGAAGCGACACAAGCTTGCTGCCGTCATTGGTGCTGAGGATGGTCTTGGCGTTGAGTCTCTGCGTGGCTCCGGACTCATTGCCGGTGCTACCAGCCGGGCCTACAACGACATCTTTACTGTCACTCTCGTTACCTGCAGATCCATTGGTGAGTTATCTCGACGTGTAATTTCTTTTTTGGCAGATTTTCGCTAACAGTCTTTAGGTATTGGTGCTTACCTTGTCCGTCTCGGCCAGCGTGCCGTCCAAATTGAGGGTCAGCCTATCATTCTCACTGGTGCTGGAGCTCTCAACAACCTGCTGGGTCGTGAGGTCTACACTTCCAATTTGCAGCTTGGTGGTACCCAGATCATGTATCGAAATGGTGTATCGCACATGACTGCCAACGATGATTTCGCTGGTGTCTCCAAGATAGTCGATTGGTTGTCTTTCGTCCCTGCTCAGCGCAACCTGCCTGTTCCCATCACTCCTAGCGTTGACACCTGGGACCGTGAATGCATCTTCACACCCCCTGGCAAGGCTCCTTACGATGTCAGGTGGCTCATTGGCGGTAAGCAGGACGAGGAAGGCTTCCAGCCTGGTCTCTTTGACAAGGACTCTTTCATCGAGTCTCTTGGTGGCTGGGCTCGTACTGTTGTTGTCGGTCGTGCCCGTCTCGGAGGTATCCCCATGGGTGTTATCGCTGTCGAGACCCGAACCGTCGAGAACATCACCCCTGCTGACCCTGCCAATCCCGATTCCGTCGAGCAGGTCGCTCAAGAAGCAGGTGGCGTTTGGTACCCCAACTCTGCCTTCAAGACTGCTCAGGCCATCAACGACTTCAATCATGGTGAACAGCTGCCTCTCATGATCCTTGCCAACTGGAGAGGTTTCTCTGGTGGTCAGCGTGACATGTACAATGAGGTCCTGAAGTACGGTTCGTACATTGTTGATGCCCTCGTCAAGTACGAGCAGCCCATCTTCGTCTACATTCCACCTTTCGGTGAGCTTCGTGGTGGATCTTGGGTCGTCGTTGACCCCACTATCAACCCAACTGCCATGGAGATGTACGCCGATGTTGAGTCTCGTGCCGGTGTCCTTGAGCCTGAGGGCATCATCGGTATCAAGTACCGCAAGGAGAAGCAACTTGACACCATGGCACGCATGGATCCTACCTACGCAGCTCTACGCAAACAAGCTGCTGAGGCCAACCTCAGCAAGCAGGAGCTTGAGGAGGTCAAGGCTAAGATGGTCACCCGTGAGAAGCAACTCTTGCCCATCTACGCCCAGATCAGCATCCAGTTTGCTGACCTGCACGACCGTGCCGGCCGCATGAAGGCGAAGGGTGTCATTCGCCAGGAGATCGAGTGGAAGTCTGCTCGTCGCTTCTTCTACTGGCGTGTGCGCAGAAGACTCAACGAGGAGTACATCCTCAAGCGCATGGCTGCTGCCTCGGCTACCCTCAAGACCCAGCACGCGAGCGGATCCGCAGCGGCCACCCAGGAGCGCCACAGACACAAGGATATGCTCGCTGCCTGGACCGGTATTGCCGAGTTCGACCAAAGCGACAAGGAGGTTGCTACCTGGTACGAGAAGAACGCCGAAACTGTCACTACCAAGGTCAAGCAGCTCAAGAGCGAGGCCTCTGCCGGCGAGTTGGCTGACTTGTTCCGTGGCGACAAGCCTGCTGCCCTTAAGAGCCTGAAGGAGATTCTGCACACCATGCCGGTGGCAGAGCGCGAGGAGATCCTGAAGTACCTCAAGTAGAAAGGTTCAGTTGAAGAATGAGGGAGACGGAACAGGTACATTTTCAAGATGGACGGTTTATGATAAATTCATGTATAATGGCATTGGTCTGGCGATTGGCTGGTGCTTTTGGTTTAGGTGCATTGGTTGATTTGGTTTCTACGTATAGTGTGATGTGGATGAGGCGCAGCCGAGTATGAAATTACATGCCAAGTTCAAAATACTCCTTTGGTCTATGATAAGTAAATAAAAACATGTTGATTCATCATGGTGGTAACGATCGCAAAGATTATTAGTTTTGCTCGTGCGCATCAAGAGGCAGTGTCCAGCCTCCACGAGGTATCCCCACACCTCTCCAAGTCTTCCAAAATATCCGGATCCTATACTTGTGCAGCCACTGCTCGCTCACAAAGCACAGCGTGGCCTTTGGGTCCGTCCCCGGCCAGTCCCTAAACACGAAGGTCCGGAGCTCCGCGGTCCGCCAGGTCCAGAAGCCACGCGCGCGCCCGCAACGCCCGGATCTGTGGGTCTGCGAAGTCGTCGTAGGGCCCCGAGTCTCGCGTCTGGTATCTCTGAGTGCAAAGCAGAGAGGTGTCGATCAGATCGCCCCCGCCGTGCCGAGAGAGGATCGTCGTAGGCACCGAGGGCCGGTTGCAGGGCAGGTCGCCGGTTTCTATGAAATCGGCGTTGAGACTTCGTGGGTTGGGGGAGTCAGTGCGGGTTTGGCCATGCCGCCGCTGTTGGCATGTCCCCCCCCCCCCCCCCCCCCCCCAAAAAAAGGAGGGGGGGGGTTTGCATGTGGAGGAGATGGTAGATATACACCTATTCATAATATACGCAGCCCAGGAAGATGAGGAAAACAAGAAGACGAAAACAAAAATAACTCACAAATCTTATGACACTGCCCCTCCGCACCGCGTAGCACGTCCTCGAGCACGATCTGTGCTGTCCGCACGGCGCGCTGCGAAGGCGACGATACCACGTGTGTTATGTGCGGGCGCCGGTGCGCGTTAACGTACGATGCGAGTTGTCGCACCTGCTGGTGCCCGTCGTTGTAGGATTCCGAGTCGGGCGTGTCGTGCGTCAGGTCCGGGTCGGGAAGTTTGTTGTTTCTACAGTGGTTGTGCGAGGCTTTGGCGTGGCGGATTATGTGGATTAGGGGTGGCATCTTTGTATTTGTTTTCTTTTTCGATGTGGTTTGTGGATTTGGTCGGTTGGTCTTAGGGATCTATCTTGATGGATAATGTTGATGATGTGCTGTTCTTGGGATGGCCTTTTCTCATGTGTCGAGCTTGGGTTGTGTCAAATGGTTTCTGGTTTCAGATGAAAAGAAATACAAAGAGAAGTTCGTAAGCAGGCCGTCGCAACTGGGAAGTCGGGTGGTCATAATGTAATCACGGTGCTGAGAGTGAGGTTTATCCAATATGACTGCCTGCTGACGCAGTCGTGGTTGGTTGACAGTGATCAGGCGCGCTGGTGTTGGTGGTATGATATATCGTACAGATAAATATTGTCACTCCTGCTCGTCTCCGTTTACAGTGTCGTATCGTGTGCATTTCAAGCAGCCATTACGTGAATCGGATATGCTTCTGTGCTGTAGTATCGTCAGACGTGAAATCCGACTAAGCATCGTCAGACGTAAAGTTCTCAACAATATCACTTATCCCAAACAGGCGAATACCATCAGACAAATTCTAATGCTCAAGAACACACGCCGTTTGATCTGTTAGCTAAGCTTCTACCCCAATTCCAGGCGATTCGAGCATCCATAGTTATCAAGCATGAGACGAGAGGTATGATACCTACATCACCTCGTGCAACTGTTCGACCTATACGGTGATAACCATGCTATAGGCCTACAAATTTATGCTAGCCATTACTTAATGAATTGTAATTCTATATTGTTCTTCATACTCACTATGGCTTGTGCAGTGGATGTCCCTTTTAGCCTGTAGTCACCATTAAGGCAATACTCCACGTAGAATCACAACAGTGGAAATTCGTAGCCAGTTGCTTGAAGCGTGGACACGTGCTGCGAAGAATGACTCAAAAATTTCGGTCTCCAATATTTCAGTAGTAATTCATCATTGGGGATATATGTTGGCCTCACATTTAGTAGCTATCACGGTAAACGAGCTCAAGCAAGAAATTTAGTGAGGGTGAAAGAGCCTCGAAGGCAAGTCGGATTTTCTTGAGCTATCTATGGCCGCGCCTCAGAAAGATTGCAATTGATGTTGCAATAATCAGCGCTCTGTGCTGTGGTGAGGATCAATTATTACTGTCCTGCCAAACGTGGCATTTCACTCAAACGGCAGTCCGTTGTCCATGAGAACCAAGATCCCCTTCCGCCCCGTTTTAAACTTCTCTGAATTAGCCCTTTACTATGCTGCATTCGCCGTAGAGAGTAATTTGGCTTCCTATGCCAATATATCTACCAGCGCAGCAATCATCGCTGTTGAAACAGAACTCACCAGGAGAATAGCAGGTGTCCTCCTTGTGGCCGCTGCAGTAGCCACCGCGGGTGGAGCTACCACCAATACAGATGCCGCTGCAGCACTGTTCGCCATCATAGCAAAAGTGGTAGGAGGCAATGCAGTCGCCTCGCTCACAATGAGAGGACAAGTCAGCTCCTGAAGCAGACCCGACGGGAAGTAGTACGACTTACCCGAGCGAGAGCTTGGCCAGTCTGACCAGCAGCCGGGAGGGCCATGGTGGTAGTAGCACCGAGAACAACTGTCAAGAAGGTGGTGGTGCAAGACTTCATCTCGAATAGTAAGTATCAATTGAAGGTGTGTGGACGTACGGTTCTGTGCTGTTGCAAGAGTGGTTCAGTTGATGAAGAAGAAAGAGTGGCTTTGCCTGATACAGGTGGCAGGTGATTTTGCTTTTGTTGGAAGAAAGGTCTTCGCGTTCTGGTTGAAAGCCTTCCTTACATACACAAGATTACGCTGAAAATCTATTGCTGTCTTGGACCGTTCTTGCCAGTGATATTTGGTGGCCCAATGGGACGATCGTTGTTTCCATAACCAAGATAGGCTAGCAGTTTTGTTTTTTGCAACCAGTAAATTTATCAAATATGACGTTTTCGAGTAGTGATTTCTGACTATTACAAAATCACTACAGCTAGGTGAAGTGCGGTGATCTAAAGTATTGTCCTCAAGGTGACCACACCCCTTTTAGTGCGCTCGAGCTATGTTAACGATAACCTTTCATTGATTCAAGAATTCATATAATCCATGCATAATCATCCGAAGAACACCTAATTTTTGTCTGCCTTCTAGATTTTCAGTCTGGCGTTAACATCTTTTTGTTCCCTACGTCACATGCAATAGTCATCCTCATACGTGCACCACCTACCCATATTTACCTGTCGCAATAGAATCATCTGGCTTTCTTTGTAATAAGGGCTCTATTTACAAGAAGGGCTCAGGTGAGGACTTTATAGTCTGGTAGGATGATTTGCGCTGATTGATGGCTGTAGTGACGATTGCAACTCCAAATTTTGCATGTTCTGCTATCGTCATGTCGCTCGCAAAAGTTCGTCCTCACATTAAATCTCACGTTTTGATTGTTATTGACCAGATATATTTTGATATGTCGCTGTCCAGTTTCTGTATATGTCCAGATAGCTATGGTAGCTAAAATTGTAGGAGGTAAACATGCTACCTGAACCATACAAAATGGTGGCAGTACATACAAGATCTCCAATCCGACACTTGCATCGACTTGATCTTTCGATGGACACCCAAATCATTGTTGTTTAGCAAATATCTAGCCTTAAAATTGGCTCACGATCTACTATTTGGAGGATGTGCAAACTGAGCCCCTGTCACAGGCATATTCGCTGCCAGCGCTTGCAGTAATCACGAGCTGTTTTAATAATTCAGTATAGTATTCTCTTCTCAATCGAAAGATGTTAATACAAGAGTAGCTACAGCCTCGAGTGGAGAGTCATGAAACGAAGTATATTCATGGATTCGGCTCACCTATACTGTAGTATTTACTGCATGTTCTCGCCATTTGAGCTAGACTAGCTGTTGAGCCTAGTTCCCGCCTGCATCGCACTCATGTCACGTCAGGCCTCAAAACGTGCAAAAGAATACAACGAAACTGAATCCCAAGCTTCGCTCCATCATGCTACCAAAACTGGAATTAGAACTATGGTGTCAGCTTGTGTCACGCAAATCTTAAGCTATGAACGTGGGGAGAGCTTTCATCAAGCTTCAATCAAAATGTGGCATAGAGTCTGCGAGTCAGCGGGATACCTCTCAAGCCAAAGCATGCCTCACCGCTGATGACTTCTCTGCGGCTGTAAATGAGACGTGACTAGCAAGAGCCTGGAGCAAGATAAAGTTCGACGTTAATGTCGGTCCCGCATCTAGTTGTATCTAGTTACCAATGGGTCCGCAACAACCGGCCGGCACCGTTTGTACAAGGAGCAACGGCCGAACCTTAAACAAACTCGCAGACCTCGGGCGCATTGACTTGATCTTAAATGAGATCCTAGCCAGCGTTTATGGGAGTGTCGGCTCAAGGTTTGAGAGGTAGGTCAGTGGGCTCAATCGCAGCTCCAGAGCGCCCCGGCAAGACAATACGAAGAAATGTTTCGGCTTCTCGGCGAAGGTACAAGTTCCGAACAAGCAGGACCAGCAGGAGAGCTCGGAAAACTCTAACTCGACGGCCAATGATGGCGCTATGAAAAGGCTAGACCGCCGACTACACCACTACACCCTATGCAACTCCGCTGCTGTTGTTGGGCAGACTTTTGCAACCGTGGGGTATATTTGCTGCACTCCGCACATCAATTCTCGGCGTCTTGTTTACGTATCAGGACGTGTGATGGGCAGGTATTGCGAATGGCGCGGCTTCTGCGTGTCCGTATGCAGATACGAATATCAAGAGAATGTGTGGAGTTGTTCATAATGCTGCATTAATAGCTGAAAATTGCTCTGAAATGATCGACATGTTAATGTGATGGTGGTGGGACAGTAGCCTGTGGCTTGTCGGACAAATGAGGAGTTGCCACCAGAGAGTATGCAGGGACTTTGCCAATATCGAATGATCTGGATGCGTCTTGACCGAATAAGTGGCACCCTCCTACCTCGTCCGGACGGTCCCCGCCAATGGTCGAGGATCGTTGTATATCATACGCCAGCTGTGCTACCTGAGCCTGGAGCTCCGCAGCTGTACCAGAGTCTCTCACGGCCTAGCATGCTATGGCTTAATCGGCAGAATGACAGTGTAGATCATATCACATGTTGTGGAGCTGACTTTGCAACTCAAGTATTCATATTGACATTGCCAAATTGCTTTCCAATACCTCGTGACGTTCTCAGTTGCAAGAGTAAGCATGTCAACGCATTAGTCCGCATGCTCTAGGCTATCATGATGTCTTACAATACAGCAGTCCGATATCGGTAGATTTCTGTACGTTGTACTTGGTATAACAGAAAGGTAAAGTTACAGTTTGAAGTGTGTACCAAGTAGCTGAGGTCAACAATGAGCCTCATAGAGTCTTACGCCTGACAAAAAGCTACCATAGATACTCCTCGACCCATAATCCTAAACAGTGTTCCGCGCTTGTTTGCCAGCTAATCCAGGACCCTACGGGCATGAGAATTTGCAACAGTGTGAGGACACTGTCTGTCAATGATAAACTCATAATCTTTGACGTCGCATCTTGCAGCTCACAGCATCTGAGAAGAGTTTTATTTCGTGTAACAAGTGTCAGAGGAATTGCCCAAAAGGGTTTACCCGATTTAACCAAGTCTTCTTCGAGTCGCATAAGTTTGGATTCCGCAATTGGCCACTTGCGGGCCCATCACACCATCTTTCGAAGGGTGGTGTTCGGATGTGCCTATAAGTATGGGGCCGTAGGTGGTTCCATCTCGGGGAAGTCAGGGTCTGGGTCTTGAGCGCGCTGACACTCTCCGCGAACAACTGTGAGAGGGATCCACTGATAAATCTCTCGTAGTATTGCATGAAGAGAGAGGGCAATAACGCGACCGGCAAAGCCATACCGCTCCTGCATTCTATCATTGCCTTGTGCGCCATCGCAGCGTTTGTTTGGGTTATACTAAGAACAGCTTGGACAGGTGGGACCATGGGATGAGGGGTAATTGGCCAGTAACATACGATACACATGACGGATCATATTCTTGGAGGCTGGCACAAAACGTGCGAAAAGTTTTGTTGATTCTTGCCACTTGACGTGTACCAAGGAAAGTGAGGCCATTCCCAACCACAATGCGCGCCTCAACTTCTGTGTAATGAGTGTGTGTAGCTCGGAAACTTCCAGCGTCGCAATCTCCCGACATTACAGACCTCCTAGAGAGGCATACTGGCGAATGTTGCATGTTGTCAAAAACCAATTACCGTAGCGCTATAAACCTGGCAACCTCCTTCCCTAGGGCAACGGTGTGGCACTTCTCGCCTATTATAGAAAGGAAGGGTCTTGTTCGATATTGCGCATAATCAAACTTACAATGCACCTCAAGATTACTACAGGTCGTCTCACATGCTAAAGCCCGCAGCTAGATAACGGTGCGCCGCCCACTCGTCCAATCGTCTGTGGGGACCGGTCAGGATCATATCTGGCTTCGCACATTGACTTGCATAATGCGGCGTTCTGGGCTTTGAGCTCTCACAGGCCCGCTTGGCGACAAAGGTGCGGCTCGAAATATTCGGCTGCGGCAGGAATGAGGAGTCGTCAATAGCTCGTATTTCGAACTTGGATAAAATGATGTAACGGTTCGGCGTGTAAAACCGGTCAAAGTCGACGTGAAAATGTTGATCTACGGGTCGTGAGCGCGAGTCGCGAGACCGTAGGTTGGGTGAGTATCGTCAGTTCATTGTGGTCCCGATTTGCCGGATGTCACGGCTGGCATGTCGGCCATTGTGGAAGCAAAAAGTCACACCACTCTCCCCGCTCCAAGCATTCTTGGACACTCTTGACTCCATACCTTACGTATCTGAGATCTGGAGACCTCCCCCGTAGTCTAGAGTCGAGCGTCGGGGCAGATGCCCCGGATCGATGGCGTGCAATTCTATGCTTGTCATTGTGGCCCATGATATCGGTAGCTACTCCCCAGGCTTGACATCATGTGACTGACAGAGCAGCGTTGAGCCAAGAGGCACATAATTGTATGAATGTGTTCTGGGCGCTCGCGACACGTGCACGTATACTCCAGCCACTGAACATGCGTATGGCAACACAACACCTGCAGGGTCCTCGCCGAATTCTGGGGTGCATGCCAAAATCGTCCCAGGCCGACCTCTCCCGGCAGGCAATGTGCCGGCGAACAATGTCGAATGGAGATGGTCTTCCAGGCTCGTTCTGGCATACCGGACTTGGTGGCCTTGTACTACTATTCCCATCTGACGTAGTGACCTGCAACTAAGGTCTTGTGGAACCGAAGAAGTGTACAAGCTCGAAAACCCAAGTCTTTGCCTGGGGAGACCTGCCCCCATACTGGTTGGCTTTGATGTTTTGGCAATGTACCAGCAACTGGCGGGTTGGCTGGACCTGGAGCGTACCTAGGTGGTCATCGATTGTGTTTACGGAATTGGACCGACCCGTCTTCGAGCGCTCCTGGTGGAAAACTGCCGTTTCTCAAGGATACAACCCTATACTACTTAATTACACCATACATGGGATATTGAATCCCAACATCGCCACTTTAATACTCACCATCGCCCTTCTTCAAAGATGAGGCCATCGAGTAACCATATTAAGGCTCATCCGATAAAGCTTGACTGAACCAAACCACGCTCGAAGGGCGGAACGCAGAGTTGCCAACTGGCTAGCAAGACTTAGCTTTGCCAGCAGTATATGAGCCATGATAAGATGGGCAATATTCCGCGATACCATAGCATTGATCAAACTTTAACCATTGATCTGCGGCCGGTGTACAATATACAAATGAAATGGAAAACTGTCCACGATTCTTCCATGCTTCTTATTGGACGACTTTCTTGACCGCGTGCTCAAATTCCGAAACGTGTGTATGAGAAGCCGGCAGCTCTGCATTCGGTGAACGTCAAACCAAATATTGGGCATGACCCAACCAACATATACAGTTCCATACTAGTTCGCATG